CGGCCGGATTGGGAGCCCCGTCGAAGATCGGTCAACTTGAAGTATAGTAGGATGCGCAGTTTGCACGCCATGGTTCTCAATAGTAGAACTGAAAAGTGTAGGTGTACCAATGGTCCAACATGGGACTGATCTCGGACCATGTCGCTCAATAAAGGAACATTCTCCTGCAAGGGCATTCCTGTCTATTTCCTTTGGCCATGCCTGTGAATTCTCCGTCAAACCATCTTATCGCTAATCGGCTCATATGCCAACTGCAAATCGCAATACATTGGATTTGCAGTGCCAATTCCATTAGTTGTTTCTTGTCATTGTCTTGGGGGTCTCGGGGCACAGTAAGGATCCAAATGACCCCAGACACAAAAATCGCGCATAGTCAGAGCTGGGGCACTCCAGCTAAGGCCCTCAAAAAGCGTGTAATTTTCCTTCTTATGCTATACCTTTTGCATACACCAGATTTCATCCCACTGATGTTTGTGGAGGCCAACTCGGCAGACCGGTGCCGGTAGCAGACTCTGGAGTGTCGTGGTATTGGTATGATCAGGTTTTTTACCGGTTTTGATACTAGCCTGAAAACAGCAATCGCCCCACTCAATGCTATGCGCCTGGCAGGTGAGTGGCTGCAACCGGGGGTCCCGTTGGAGCTTTCTTGGTAGGGCAAGGGGCAAAGTCTGGTAACAACCAAGAAATAAGACCGGACTAACTCGAAGGGGAATGGAAAAATGAGAATTTTGCGGGAACGAAAAATAAATATGGAGAAAAACAGAAAATAAAGAAAATAAAGACCCCAAAAAAATAAATATCATATTCGCGGGCGGGTCAGCGTAGTACCTAGGCTCAACCTCCCCCAGCAACCATATTCAGAAGTATCTTTTCCCCCAAATTCGACAAACACGGGATTATGGTTGTGAAATTCCTTCTTATCCTAATTCAGTCGACTGAATTTTCATTTTCCTAATTCCCAATTTTCGCTTTTATTCTATTTTTTTTTTATTTCCCTCACTCTTTTCGTTCATTATCCACCCACCCACTCCGGTTTCTTCTTTCTGACCCCCCCGGTAATCCATTATAAAACAGACCTTCCTTCACCCGTCTGGTTTACTTTTTCTTCTCTCTTTACATAGGATCACTTCCGCCTCTGCCAGACCCGTCATCCAGCTGTGTTTACTCATATCGTTGGGTTCCAAGGCTGTGTGAGCCGAAGCAACAACAATGGCGGAGCGGAGAATTTCCTATGCTGTCGATGTCGAGAATGGTGAGCGTCACAACCGTGAGGCTGGAGATGAACACAACCTTGATGAGTACTCTGCTCTGAACCGGTACATTTCGACTGCCCGCGATGGTCGTCGTGGTTCTACCTCGAGCGCCGCTGCTCTGAGCGCCGCAGGCGACAAGAAGAAGCCCTGGTGGAAGTTCGGTGGTAAGACCGATGGTGTCGAGGATGGCTTCGTCACTCCCGATGAGTGGCTCGAGACCGACCTGCGCGCTGGTCTGAGCTCCGGCGATATTGAGCCTCGTCGCAAGAAGACTGGCTGGAACGAGCTGGTTACTGAGAAGACCAACATCTTCGTCCAGTTCATTGGTTACTTCCGTGGTCCTATTCTCTATGGTAAGTGGCTTGCAAGTCTCGATGGAGACGCGTCCTGCCAACGGCTACTAACGCGTTGGCTCTACAGTTATGGAACTTGCTGTCCTCCTCGCTGCCGGTCTGCGTGACTGGATCGATCTCGGTGTTATCTGTGGTATTCTTGCGCTTAATGCTCTCGTCGGTTGGTACCAGGAGAAGCAGGCTGCCGATGTCGTTGCTTCTCTCAAGGGTGATATTGCTATGCGTGCTGTCGTTGTCCGTAACGGCCAGGAGGAGGAGATCCTCGCTCGTGAGCTCGTTGCCGGTGATATCGTTATCGTTGAGGAGGGTACTGTCATTCCCGCCGATGTCCGCCTGATCTGTGACTACTCCAAGCCCGAGATGTTCGAGGCCTACAAGGAGTACCTCGCCAACGCCAACTCCGACGATCTCAAGGAGAAGCACGGTGATGATGACGATGATGATGTTGAGACCCACCAGGGTGTCTCCCTCATTGCCTGTGATCAGTCCGCCATCACTGGTGAGTCTCTCGCCGTCGACAAGTACATGGCCGATACCTGTTACTACACCACCGGTTGCAAGCGCGGCAAGGCCTACGGTATTGTCACTGCTACTGCCCGTCACTCTTTCGTCGGAAAGACCGCTGCCCTCGTTCAGGGTGCCCAGGACTCTGGTCACTTCAAGGCTGTCATGGACAACATCGGTACCTCTCTGCTCGTTCTCGTCATGTTCTGGATTCTCGCTGCCTGGATTGGTGGATTCTTCCGTCACTTGAAGATTGCTACCCCCGAGGATACCGACAACAACCTGCTCCACTACACCCTGATTCTCCTGATTATCGGTGTCCCCGTCGGTCTCCCCGTTGTTACCACCACTACCCTCGCTGTCGGTGCCGCCTACCTCGCCGAGCAGAAGGCTATTGTCCAGAAGCTCACTGCCATCGAGTCCCTCGCTGGTGTCGATATCCTTTGCTCTGATAAGACCGGTACTCTCACTGCCAACCAGCTCTCCATCCGCGAGCCCTACGTCGCTGAGGGTGTTGATGTCAACTGGATGATGGCCGTCGCTGCTATTGCCTCTTCCCACAACATCAAGAACCTGGATCCCATTGATAAGGTCACCGTCCTTACTCTCCGCCGCTACCCCAAGGCCCGTGAGATCCTGTCCCGCAACTGGATCACCGAGAAGTACACTCCCTTCGACCCCGTCTCCAAGCGTATTACCACCGTCTGTACCTGCGATGGTGTCCGTTACATCTGTGCCAAGGGTGCCCCCAAGGCTATCCTCAACCTGTCTGCCTGCTCCGAGGAGGAGGGCCGTCTCTACCGCGAGAAGGTCACTGAGTTCGCTCGTCGTGGTTTCCGTTCCCTCGGTGTCGCCGTCCAGAAGGAGGGTGAGCCCTGGCAGCTTCTGGGCATGTACCCCATGTTCGATCCCCCCGTGAGGATACCGCCCACACCATCGCTGAGGCCCAGGTTCTCGGTCTTTCCGTCAAGATGCTTACTGGTGATGCCATCGCTATCGCCAAGGAGACTTGCAAGATGCTTGCCCTCGGTACTAAGGTTTACAACTCTGAGCGTCTGATCCACGGTGGTCTCGCTGGTTCCGCCCAGCACGACCTTGTTGAGAAGGCTGATGGTTTCGCTGAGGTTTTCCCCGAGCACAAGTACCAGGTCGTCGAGATGCTCCAGCAGCGTGGTCACTTGACTGCCATGACTGGTGACGGTGTCAACGATGCTCCCTCTCTCAAGAAGGCCGATTGTGGTATCGCTGTCGAGGGTTCCACTGAGGCTGCCCAGGCTGCCGCCGATATTGTCTTCCTCGCCCCCGGTCTCTCCACCATCGTCGATGCTATTAAGCTTGCCCGCCAGATTTTCCAGCGTATGAAGGCTTACATTCAGTACCGTATTGCTCTGTGTCTCCACCTTGAGATCTACCTTGTTACCTCCATGATCATCATCAACGAGACCGTCGACTCTTCCCTGATTGTCTTCATCGCCCTGTTCGCTGATCTTGCTACCATCGCCGTCGCTTACGATAATGCTCACTTCGAGGCCCGCCCCGTCGAGTGGCAGTTGCCCAAGATCTGGGTTATCTCCGTCGTCCTCGGAATCTTACTCGCTGTCGCCACCTGGATCATCCGTGCCACTCTCTTCCTTGAGAACGGCGGTATCATCCAGAACTTCGGTTCTCCCCAGGAAATTCTGTTCCTCGAGATTGCCCTCACTGAGAACTGGCTCATCTTCGTTACCCGTGGTGGAAAGACCTGGCCCTCGTGGCAGTTGGTTATTGCCATCTTCATCGTCGATGTCCTTGCCACCCTCTTCTGTGTCTTCGGCTGGCTCGCACCCGACTGGAAGCAGACCTCCCCCATCACCCCCGGTGGCCCTGGCTTCTCCAAGAACAACGATGTCGACATTGTCACCGTCGTTGTCATCTGGGCTTACTCTATTGGTGTCACCGTCATCATTGCCGTTGTGTACTACCTTCTGACCATCGTCCCCGCTCTGGACAACCTTGGCCGCAAGACCCGCTCCAAGGCCGATACCCAGATCGAGAACATGATCGCTCACCTCTCCAAGCTTGCCATCGAGCACGAGCACGACTCGGAAGGAAAGTCCCGCTACGTCATCTCTGCTCGCGCCGAGGATGTCGAGGACAATGAGTAAATGCTCTTTCCTTAGCTAATTTTTCGACTCGTTACTGATCCGAGGTCTAATTTTTCTTACTTCCCTGCGATCTATCAAACTGGTGTGCCACCTACTTGAACATGCATACCGTGGAAGTTCAAAAGCCCGTACGTCGAGCTTTTGCTTCCGTTTTACCGTATTATAGACTTTGTGTGTTTCATTTACCCCTTGACTGTTGTTTGCTCTTGAGTTGCTAGGGTCAAGTTTTTCTTTCTCTACGTGTATGTATGTCGTTAATAGTGGCACCAAGTCAATCTAAGGGATTCTAATCATTTTTCTTCCTTGTAAATTCTTCAAATTCTTCTCCTTTTTAAAACTTTCAGAGCATTCCAGCCTTCTATTTCAAATTCTCTTCCTGGCTCCTCATCCCTGCTGCATATACCCCTGGCGTTTTTGTCTCAGTCTCAACCCTCACCGGTGGAAGCCAGATTTTCCGTGGCTGTCTGTTATTCCGGATTATGGTCTTTTGCGGGGAGACAAGCTTTCATGCAAGCCTCCATTCCTCCGTCGAGTACGCAGTATACAGAGATGACCGGGGTGTACTTGCTTCGTCCCCCCGGCCCTCTCATCTACGAAGTCTTTACTGGTGCACAATGAACTTGCTATTTCTCCGTCTGGTACCACAGGGGACCCGGGCTTGTATAGAACCAATTCCTCTAGTCCTATAAAAACAAGGATCATGTTCATTCACAAGAGCCTATCCCAATCCACGAGAGTAAACAACCATGCCCCCATACTTCCTCCTCTTAAGCCTCCTCTTCCACGCCATAGGCGCCAACGCCAAACCCATCCAACTTGCTTCTAGACAAAAATGCCAATCCTCAGGAACCCATTGTCCTCCCGGAACAATCATCGTCAGCGCCTCTGACCAACGCGCCGACTTCCCGACTATTCAAGACGCCATAAACTCCCTCCCAGACGACCCAAGCCCGCAAACAATCCTCATCCTAGCAGGCACCTACACCGAGCAAGTCAACATAACCCGCTCCGGCCCAATCACTCTCCTCGGCCAAACGACCTCGCCCAAAGACGCCACCCGCAATCGCGTGCGCATCACCTGGGCCGCCGCCAATCAAGACAACACCGGCCAAAGCCTCGACAACGTCTACTCCAGCGTCCTGGTCGTAGCCCCCACGCTCGAATCAAGTCTCACGGGCTCTGGGCCAACAGGCCATGCCGTGCCGGCCGATACGCGCTTCGGAAATGGGGATTTCCGCGCATACAACATCGATTTCGATAATACCTGGGCGGAGTACGCTGATGGACCCGCGCACGCATTGAGTTTCAGTCGCGCTAACGGGGGCTTCTATTACTGCGGATTCTATTCGTATCAGGATACAGTATGTATCATTCTCGTTTTTCGAATGGACTCGTACCGTACTGACCCCCGACAGGTCTATGTAGGCAAGCTCGCCAATGCATACTTCCATGCTAGCATCATTGCCGGCCAGACGGACTTCGTTTATGGATTTGGCACCGCCTGGATCCAATCCAGCGCGCTGCAGCTGCGGGGTTGTGGTGGTGGTATTACTGCTTGGAAAGGTACTGATACTACCTTTGCAAATAGGTATGGCGTGTACGTCGTTGACTCGACGGTTCGTGCGGCGAATGCTTCTGTTGCGCTGGATATCGTGGGTGCGTGTGCGCTTGGCAGGCCGTGGAATAGCCAGCATCGGTCTATCTTTGCGCGGTGCTATGAAGATGGGAGTATTGATCCTAGTGGGTATGTGGATTGGGTTGTTTCGGGTGTTTCGCGGTTTGAAGAGGGTGTTACCCTTATGGCGGAGTATCGGTCGTATGGGCCTGGGTTTAACGCCACAGGCAGGGTCGGGGGTGTGACTACTGTTCTGGAGCGAGAGACGTGGGAGATGTACAATCATCCGCAGAAGGTGTTTCAGGATTCGGATGGTCAGTTTGGGAATACGAAGTGGATTGATTGGGAGACTGTGAGAGGATGATACTCTAGAATCAGTTGTGATATGCTTGTAACACTCAGCACACGTTGCCCTCACCACATCCTATACATCTCTACCCGGCTCATGACGCATCTCCCCAATAGCCTTCTCCTCCGAAGTCCCATAAGTGTCCGCATACCGACCCGTCATCCATTCATGGACTGTCACCGGGGGGTATCTCGCACCCACCTCCGCATCCTCACAACCAGGGAGACACCGAATCGTATAATCCGGATTCCCAGAGAAGAAGAACGGAACACTGAACCTCTCCTTCCCACTCGTATTAATCACACGATGCAGATTCGACAAATACCGATCATTCGTCCAGCGCATCATCATATTCCCCAGATTCACAACATAGGCACCACGAACAGGCGTCACGTCCACCCACTCAGACGAGAGATTATTCCACACCTGCAGTCCGCCAGTATCATCCTGCAGGAGCATAGTAATAGCGCCAAAGTCCGTATGCGCCCCGATTCCTATATTCATTTAGCCCACACCCAGATAGCGTCATTCCAATGAGGAATATGCCTCACCTCTCTCCAGATCCGACGCATCAGCCTCCTGCAGCGGATGATGAAGCAATCGCAGAATCGTAACCGGATGATCGTAGAAATCACCGAAGACGGTCTCCTGCAGACCAAGCGTATGCGCTAGGACTTGCATAATCGCCACCGCGAGCTCGATCATGGCGTCGTGGTACTCGTCCACGACTTGCCGGAAGGCCTCTGGTTCTGCGAGTTCAGAGGGATACTTATTCGGGCCTTGGCCGAAGCGTCGCTTGGCGACGTAGACATCGTCCAGTGGGAGGTCTTTGCCGAGATAGAAGCCTTCCTTTAGATCGCCTTTGGTGCGTTTTTCGAAGTTTTGGGAGCGGAGGCGCTCGTAGCCTCGGTTGAAGCCGTCGATAGCTTTTGGGTTGGGTTAGTTGTGGATCTGGGTATGTAGGTCTGGGGTTGGTGTGCATACATAGATCATATTTCTGTTTTGTTTCTAAGGGGAGGTTGAAGAATTCGGTTGATTGGTGGAGAATGGCGGTTTGGAGGCTGGTTGGGATGGGGTGGTTGATTAGTTGGAAGAAGCCGAATTGTGAACATGCCTGGCGGATTTGATCGATGAGGGCTTCTTTGGCGGTTGGGTTGGTGCTGTAGAAGGCTGGGGAGGTGGTTAGGTAGCTTGTAGAGGAGGGCTACAGGGGCACTTACGAGCGAAATCGATGATGGGGGGTTCTTCGCAGTTCATCTCGGTGCTATTCAAACTTCCGTACACTGGAAGAGGTTTGATATGTGATTTCCATCCGACGTTGTATACACTCTCTATCGTCTTAAATGCGGGGATTCGGGCATCGCCGTTATCTGCACGATGTAGCCATTCACAGTGCAGATTGTACCCTCCGAACCTCCGAAAATCTGTCCTATTAGAGTCCACCTTTCTTATATCCAGTTGCTTGATTGCTTTGCCCCCAATGTTCTAGCGATAAGAGGTCTTGATGAGGCTGCTGGGAAACCAGGACTCAAGAGGCGTCTCCTCAGTCTAGAGGAGTGTATGGTGTGCAGGATAGCGCAGTATAGAAACAGTATCCGGCCCACTCTTTAGCAGTAAGAAACACAGTCTAGAAATAGCATAAGACCACGGAGGGCATGAGATACGGAATGAAATGTATGATACAAGACAAAAGATAGTAAATCATTGAGACAGGGATTTCCCTGTACGTGTAGAAGAGAAGTGGATAAAAAAAAGGCATATTGGTAAACATGAATGAAAAGACTCAAAAAGAAGAATCCATGCGAACGGGCTATTGGGTATCAAGAGGTGCTTTAATCAAACATCCGCTAATAGCAGATCGGCGTCCACTCCTGTCCTGGATAGGATGTGGGGGACATGATAATCTCCTCGCTGGAGTTGTCCGCGGTGATGGCAAGTTCCGCCGGCCGGGGCGGGTCGTGGACGACACAGGCCTTAGATTCACTGCGGTGAGGATGCGAGGACACCACCGAGCTATTGGAGTCGGCAATGGCATTTGTATGGTTCTCAGAAGATGAGGTAGCCGAGGCCGGTGACGCTGGCGTTCGAGATCCGACGTTGGGCTGGGGAGAGAGACTTTGTTGAGATTTGCTACCTGGCACCTCGTATCGGTCTTGAGCATAATCGTGCTCATTCTTTTGAGTATCGGTTGGCTCCCCGGGTAGCTCGTGTCGGAGGTGTTCTCCAAGAACGCGATCGTTGAGTTCTTCATGCTCCTCCTGTTCTTGATTCTCGCTCAGCGTACCTAGTTGCGGATCTTGAAGTTCGGTTTGCTTGGTTTCTTGCTTATGCTGCTCATCTTCCCGTAACTGATGTATCTGTTGATCTTGTAATTCCTGTAGTGGTGATAGTGGCTGTGGAACTCGATTCTCGTGTACTGACATAGGAGATGGTGTTCGAGAATGACCTGGGAGAGGCAGACTGAGTGCACCACCGTAATGGGACCCAGTGGGTGTTTCATTCATAGATGGGGACCTAAATTGCGAGTAAAACCGACCTCCCATCGCCATGTGATTGAAGGACGAACTAGGCGGATGTGATATGCTAGCATGTTGAGGGATATGAGCCGATGAACTCCTTGTATAGCTCGGTGTCAGTGATGGAGGTGCAGTTGGCTCTGGAAGCCTAATTGGCCAAGGCTGTTGTTCAAACGGATGGTCAAGGGCTGGTAGTTCAACTTGTGCAGCGGTAATGGCTTTCGTACTATTTCCATCTGTTGCTGGGGGTGTTGCCAGCGTCCTGTTCAGCGGTTCTGAGGTAGGCCTCGTGTGGTCGGGCGAGTTGTTCTCGCGATCCTGAGAGTCTTGCCGGCCAAATAGTATCTGTTTAGGTCAGAATGAGTGGCAAGAAGAGATTATAGAATCGACATACACTAAACCTGCTGAACGACCGTTTCCGCTGCCTTGCAGGTGCTTCCTGAGATCCTTGCACTTGAACTTTGGAGAATAGATCCCCCACTGAGGCCCGTCGTTGTTTCCCAAAGTTCTTGATCTTTCTGATGGTAGACTTCTCGATTTGCGCTGGGGACTCGGATTCTGAAGCTTGCGATAGACCGTTAGCAGGCGTGACCGGGCGAGATCCCTTATTACTGCTGTGTTTGCTGAAGCTACCAAAGCTAAGCATACTGCTTCGGGTCCCTGGTACGTTTCTGACTTCGTTCCTCAAGGGACTATGCAAATTTGGAGCGGACGGAGGCAGCCCACTAATTGATCTCCTTTTTGACTCGAGAACCTCGGCAGAACTCGGGGATTCTGACGGATAGAAAGGCATGAAAGACTTTCTCTTCTGTTGGACAGATGGAAGAGAGCCACTGGAAGGGTCGGCACTCAGAGCATGGTTGTCATTCATCGGACGCTCAGCCTTGCTTTTGTGCTCGGTGTGCTCAATGTCAGATGCAACCTCGTTTATGGTCTCTTGTAAAGGAGAAGGGGGTTCCCTGTCCGCGTCATCATCAAATCCAAGTCCAGTTTGCTCGTCAGCTCCAAGTGTTGAGACCGAAGGCTGGCGGTTATGACCTTCATCGGGTGCAAGCCCATTATTATCTTTCGGGGGAGGCGAAGGAGGCTTGGTGCTTTCATCTAACACCGGGCGGATTGACGGAGTAATAATTTCCGGTATATTCTTGCTTGGCTGATGCCTTTGGCTGTTCAGTATCGGCAAAGGGACATCAAAAGGCTCATGACGAACGACGGGCAAACTCTTTTCTGCGACTAAAGATTTTCTCGCTGGCAGCTTCGAAGCAGGTTGATCGCCAGTCGTGTGTTCACCCGATTGTTCTGAGGACTCTGCGAATTGTCTTTTACCACCATTGACTTGACCAGGTCCATTCAGCTTCATGGGAGTACTTGCCGACCTCTGAGGACGAGGATCTGTAGGTGAGAGACCAAGCGCAGCTATCATTTCCTGCGCTAAATCTCCAGCTAATCCAGGGCTTCTGGCGACTTGGGTTTTAGGAGGTACAGCCGGAGGGGATGGCAACTCCTTCGGTTGTACACCAGTTTCACCAACCCGCTTGCGCGATAGGAAATCCCTCGAGCTGACTCCATTGATACGATTCTGGGGATTGTTTTCACGTGCGCCATCTAGACGGAGACTGGCCCCCGTAGGATCAGGGTCAGAACTTGCTTCAGCTCGCCCGGATTTGAATATAGGCAGGCTTCCCAAGTTGACCGAGTTCCGCATAGAAGAAGAGTTACCAGACATACCAGCGGCTCCTGATGGGATAGAGAACTGTATGCTGTGGCGAGGAGCACTAGAAGCACTCGGAGCTGATTGACCCTACAACGTTACCAACATCAGAACCGAAACAATCAAGGACGGGGAGTTAGGTTGTAGAGAAAGGGCGGATGCATCATTCGTATCGCATTCTAGAGCTCAATGCAAAAAAAAAGTGCTCGGAATTACATCGTGGTATCCAAAAAGTCAAGCAATGCACCGATATTAAAAAAGGGGGAGACATTCAGGCAATGGCCTCCACTAACCCAAGTGAATAACCCGCTCAGACGAAATAGAAAGAAAAATTCAGGCATCTACCTTGTCTCCACTAGCACGGAACTTGCTTCTGCCCTTGGCAAACAGCCCCTTGGCTGCTCCGCTCGCCTTGCCACTAAACGCTCCAGCAGTGTGAAGGAACTCCTTTCCTTTCTCTCCGACCTTCTCCCTGTTCATCACAGTGGCCAGATGGGTCGACGGTCGCCTCACATGACTGGCGCCGGCTGGAGTACCGTCATTCGAAGAACCGAGGTTCCCAAGAGATCCCAACTTGGGGAATCTGCTTCTGGTAGGTGATGATGGCACAGTGGGAGAAAGACTCTGGCTCTGCTGAACTACGCCAGCATGTTCGGGGTGCTCATGAACTACGAACTGCAGCCAATTATTCAGTCCAGTGTCAAGAGTAGCAAACTGATCGCGGGTATGTTCGAAAGACTTGATCCTCTGGTTGACAGACGTGATACCGAGGATATCACGGAAGCCCAGAAGTTGAGACTCATCGAGGGATATGGGTTCAACGTGAGGAGGGGCTTTAGGTTGCTTTGGCGAGACAGTACCTGGGCCCATGATTTGTTCCGGTGGTGTGTTATTTTCCGGAAGAGGTGGAACAATCGAGAGTCGAGGCTTTCGAACGGCATTCTGGGTGTCGGAACCTTCATTATCAGAAGTAATTGATTCAGGCAATGCCTCCGAAGGCAACGGGACAATCTCCTCAGTGATAGGCTCAGGCTCCTGCATAGATAATGATGCGTCCAAAGGAAGGGGCGATGCATAGCTGCCAGGCTTTTGAGGTGCTGGCTCTTCTTCGTCAGAGGACTCCCAAGAGAACCTTCTTTCTAACTTGGGCTTTTTTGGCTGATCAACGATGTTAGAAGAAGAGTCCCCAGTTAGACTAGGACTATTCGAATAAGGATCCTTGGGCGCCAAAGGATGCGGGCTGGACCAGTCTGGGTGGCTCTCCGAGACCAGAGCCTTAGGTTGTTCATTCGGACCAGGTCCGGTCTGACCATCCCAATATTTCTCAAACTGATGCGGGATGGACTCGGTGGGTGCCTGTGACTGGGGTTGATGACTCTGCTCCGGGTTCTCCGCAGGGGTGGCTTCACGGCTTAACGATCGAATGATTTCTTCCCTCAGACGGTCATTATCGGCATGCTGTGGCGACTCCTCGGGCCCCCTGATGGTAGGGATTTCGCCAGGGAAGCCGTCAGGGCCTAAAGTGCTTCCGAATTTGAGAGGGGCAGGCAGATCCTGCCCACTGCTCGAGTATGATTGCATCGATGAGTTCTGAGGAGAGATCCCTGCGTCAGGCGACTCTGGGAAGAGATTCTGAGGGGGAATGGAGGACAGTTCTGCGCAATCCGCTGGTGGGGTATCCTGGTCTGTAACTTGTGGTTTCCTTGACGGACTGTTGTCCGAATTTGGAAGGCTCAGGTCGCGACGATGCCCTGGGTTAAACATTGGCCCAGCAGTCGCACCTACCTTCGGACTCGACTCATTAGGTTCTTCGAAAATGGTGGGTGTTCTTTCATCAGTCATACTGCGACCACCCATGATAGGGCTGATCGTCGAAGTGCCGTCGCTATTCGACCGCGCAACACTGGTAGTGGTGGATTGCGGAGTTTCTGGAACGTCGAAAGCCTGATGAACTACCGATCTGAATCCTGCCGAGGGTTTGTGATGCAAAGAAGCATCCTGGGGAGCAGAGGTCTCCTTAGGGATGTTGGGGTCTGCACCATCCAAGAAGTCGGCTCCAAAGCTAGACATGCGCTCAACTTCCGGTAGACCCATGGAGGGGGTTTGTTGATCTGTCTGAGATGGGGTCCCAGCTCCGTCAGGCTTAAGATCTTTGGGATCTGCGATAGGAGACTGATGTGTTGCTTTTTCCTCGCGCATGCGTTTGTAGAGATCGGCTGGCCTCACAAAGGCAAGAGGCTTCTGATCTCCCCCACTAACACTCCGTCCCTTATTGACCGAAACCTGCTCATCGGCACCAAATGGAAGGGCAGACAAACGCCTCGAGACCAACTCGGAGGAACTGCCCGTATGATGGGTGGCATAGAAAGGCCGAGGTACGGCGGCAGGCTCCTCCTCTTCATCATCGTCATCATCGTCATCATCACCCCAGTCACCTCCATCGTAGGAATACTGTTTTGCTTCCACCCAGCGTTTCGTTTTGGAGCGATTCACGTTCGTTTGGAAGGAGATTGGAGTTCCGCTACTACCGGTGCCTGCGGAAAGCGGACTGCGAACATTTGACGAGGGGCTAAAGCAGGTCTCAGTATTTGTGCGACTGGATATGCGACTGGATATAAATGTGTTGCCTTACAAGTTCTGGGGTCCGCGCCCATGCGATTGCGCGGGGTCTGCCATCAGGAGAGCAGTGTCAGGGAAGTGAGGCGAGCTCGATTACCAGCATCGACTGCTGCCTAGCGATTTGCGATAACTCGGCAAGAAAGGTGTATGTTGGAAGCGATAATTAAGGACAGCAACTGTACTCGGTATTGTCCCCTTTCTAGCAAGGCTAACGAGGGGGAGGACGAAAGTGGCGATTTGGCCCAAGTTGGGCAAGGCGCCGATCAGATGGCTGGTCTAATGGAGGGAAACAAGATTAGGTATAAGTAATTTTGTACAAGAATGACGTGTTATCATAAAGGAAAAGAGCAAGACAGGAACATCAATGCGACTAACATTAGAATATCAAAGATGAAACGAGAGAACTGAAACAAGCTATTGCCCCTGACGAAAGGGAAAGGTGCGTCAGTTGAGCTATTCGCCGTCTAAATTTGGCTGGTGCGGGGCTTATGTAAGGGTTTCCGATTTAGTAACGTGGACCCAACGGGGGTCTGGGGGTTGCGTAGACGATTTGTTCTTCTCGATGTTCTCACTTTGCCTCTTAGTATACCACGTGTAGACCTTCGTTCTTGTTCCTGTCCTTGAGCCGATACTTTCGGAGCTGGGTACCTGCAACCGGACACGTCTTCACCTTGCCCCTTATCGATTGCCGATAGACCACACTCCAGTTCAAGTCCGAATTCAGCCCTCTCTGTTCAACGTGAATTGAAATAAGCCTCTTGAGATCGAACTTTCATTGGAGAATATAACTTTTGATCGCTCAGCCTCCCTTCACATCGCTCCTGCCGCAACGCAAAATGACTGGACCCTCGATACAAGATCGGACCAGCGAGTTCAGCGCTATCTTAGGCCAGGCCCAGAAGCGCTTAGGAACATCGAAAGTAGGCTCACAACGCCAGGCATTGTTGACCGATGCGCAAAGGCGCCAAGCCAATGCTTCGCCCACGGGAGCCACAGGGGAGGCGAAGGCGGCAAGATCGGAGTTCGCGCGACGAGCGCGAGATATCGGAAGGGGGATTACAGGCACAATGGCGAAATTGCAGCGACTGGCTGAATGTGAGTGTGTCGTCACAATGTTGAGAGTACCAATAATCTAACAGGCGAATAGTGGCGAAACGGAAAACGCTGTTCGATGACCGACCTGTCGAAATCTCCGAATTGACGTATGTGATCAAACAAGACCTGGCCGCCCTAAACCAGAGCATCGCATCGCTGCAGGCGCTCACCCATGCGCAACACCCCAAGTCGACTCGCTCAAGGACAGACCAGGAAGGAGAACACAATGACAATGTAAGTGAGACATGAAAGGACGGGAACGGATAGTTGCTGATTGCCCTTCTTAGGTTGTCGTTATGCTGCAGGGAAAGCTAGCCGATGTAGGTGCCAGCTTCAAAGAAGTTCTCGAGGTCCGCACGAAGAATATCCAAGCATCCCGAACACGCACCGAGAACTTTGTCTCCTCGGTCTCTTCCAAATCACACAATCTCGATGCACAGCGCTCAGACTCCCCCTTGTATAACCTATCGGGACGACGGACACCTCAGCCCGGATTTCAAGTCAATTCTTCTGACCTATTGACCCTCGAGCCCTCGAACCCTTCACCGCTAGGGCGTCCATCGTTCCAATCAGACCAACAGCTGATGGTCATGGAAGAGGGAGAATCAAGCAATACATATGTCCAAGCACGAGGTGAAGCCATCGAAGCCATCGAGCGCACCATCAGCGAACTGGGTGGCATCTTCGGTCAACTAGCGCAGATGGTCAGCGAACAGTCAGAAATGATTCAGCGCATAGACGCCAACACCGAAGATGTGGTCGATAACGTTGAGGGCGCACAGAGAGAACTAATGAAGTATTGGGGGCGCGTATCTGGGAATCGCTGGTTAATTGCCAAGATGTTTGGTATCCTGATGGTACGTTCACATATCATGGCCTTCTTGCGAGGATGGTTAACTAATGACCGCTTTAGATCTTCTTCCTTCTTTGGGTGTTGATTTCGTGATAGATTCGATATCCCCTCCCCCTTTTTTTTACTGTATTATAATACCTGGCCTGTGTGGTTTCGACAGATCATGGCCCTTCTGCATGTCCGCACACGCTGAGCATTTCAATTTCTTTTTACACTCTGGCTAGACTCTGGGATGTCGAAACCGTCACGCTCCTTATTCCCCCCCCCTTTTCTCTACTGCCTGGGACTGTGTCCTCAAGAGTTACCTGCGTAAATACATTTCATGTACTAATTGGATTCCACCCAAGATCATGGGATAACCATGAACGACCTCTATAAACTGTCTCGATATGTGACCTTCCTTCACATTAGGCTGAAGCTTTGTTCCATGATCCAGGCCTTGCTCTTTCTTAGAATTTGTGATGCAGCACGATTCGTGTTTGCTATATATGAGGAGTACATCAAAGAAGTGGGTTTCTCACCAGTGGGGATAAATTTCAAAGCCGCAGGCTGTGATTTCTGCTCAGCTATACTGGCTCAAGCAATGTGTCTGACTCTCCTACTTGGGGGCTTCTACCTACTACATATATAGGTAGATGTCTACATGTACGTTAAATTTTCTGATACACACCCCAAGCGCCCGTTCCGTTCGGCTCAACCTCCGATCCACGGGTAGATCTACCCTTAACTCTGTTGCCCATGACCCTCCTACTTTGGCTTTCACCCCAGGCCGAATATCTATTGACACTATCAATACGCATCACAATTCGCCATGATTCAAATATCTCATTGGAACTTGAACTGAGCAGGGAGACTACAATAAGCTCCATTCCAGAAAATGCATCTGAGGTCCAAAATTTTGTTACGCAAGGGTTGGATAGACGTGTTGAGTCCAGAAAGCTTCCGTCCATGATATCACATTGCTTTCTGACATACATGCCGCCCTACAAAAGGATTCGCAAGGAATGTACCTCAGGACAGTTCTTCAAATAGAATCGCTGTGTTCCGTGGCGACCGACAAAGCAATTCGTTCTGCTCTTGCAAACCTTTCAAAAGGTCTCCCAGAAACATTTTGCTATATTTTACAGAGATCAGAGAAGATCGTATCGTCGCCTTCTTACCAGAAGCCGATATTGGGGTTGCTCTTTGTGGCTCAGCGTCCACTTATAGTGGATGAATTGCGTGAAGCTTCGAGTGTTGTGCCTGGTGATACAAACCAGGACATCACACGGCTTGTCAGCAACATTATGAAGGGGACAGTTGGGGAAGAACACCTTTACAACATGCCGCTATGAAAGGCTTTTGTGACGCTGTTCACCAGATCTTGGATATTCCAAAAGTGGGCTTTAGGACCAAGGGCTTGAAGGAGTATACGCGTTAATCATATGCTTTGGAGATTGGTCATAGTTGTGCTAATCCGCCATCGATTAAAATAGGGCAATGTGCGTTGCCGAGAAAATCACAAGTAAATATCGCAATCAAATGCCATATTTTATGCCCCATCAAACTGGGCCATAACGTTCCACGGTTCTGATTCCGCCCACCCCAAAGAGGGCTGGTTATCAAACAATTCCCACACAAGAATATCATCCCAACCTTCCATAGACCGCGGTCCAGCGGAGGTTTCATCGGTGGGATCGTTACCATGCGGAGTAGCCATAACCTGGTTGGCAGAATGGCCAAATATATCAGAATAAGATCTAATCTGGCCCTCGGAATAATTTTCAGTCCCATTCCCATCGGACAGTGCGTTGGCTGGCTGCTCTGAACGAGAGCCATCAGGATCTCCTTTGACCAATGGAGCACAGAGATCCAGAAATTTGGAAAAGAGTTTGTATAGCTTGCCGATAGAGACATTTGCCTCGGCGAATTGGTGAAGATCATCAGTGATGTTTTTGATCATGTTGAAGTCTCTCTCATTCGAGGTTGCAATCACATTGCAAAACAGGACAAAGAATGGTGCCAGGGGGAATAGCAACATGGTCCTATGTAGCAGGAGTTTGTTAGTATAGAAAGATGGCTGAGTTGGGTCATATCATACCAAGTGAGAAAATATGGATATGAATCGATGGGATTGAGGCGGCTCGAGAATGCTTCCTGTAAAGCCCGGAGGGTAGTGAGGGCTTCCCGGGCTGTGTATAAACAGTTTTCGCAGACCAGGCGGGACTTGAGTACGGAAGAGCGAGCTTGAATGATTGTCGTAAGAATCGAGTAGTAGTTAAAATCCATTGCCAGCCACTCGCGCCGCAAGTCACTCCATGATTGTCGGAACTGCTGTTCCTGGCGACGCCGAAACTGGAAATAGAATCAGCGGCATATCATTGCGGAGCTTGGTCTTTTCTCCTGTCTTACCATCTGCACATTGAGGTGGATTGTATGTGCCCGCGCCACCAGATCTGATAGTATATTGGCCTTCTCTGAGTCGTCTATTGTTTTGGTATCAAGCAAGATATTCAGTAATGTGTTTTTCAACTCCGAAAACTCAACTGTGCCTGTTACCATGGTAGATGTTGGCAAATCAGGGTCAACATGAACTAATTGACTCGGCTTAACTTTCAAATCTGGCAAAGAGGGTGGTCGAAGCAGCAGTAGACTGAGAGTCTTGTCAAAGTAATAGCAAGAGTACACACAGGCATGGATGTTTTTCTCTGTTTCGGTTCGAGGATTAGGATCCGTGATGTTGTGGTAGTTCAAAGCAACAATCATCCTCGAGGCTAGTGCTGTGAACATCCAGCAACGGGACATGTCACCTAGATATTGCATCAAGCGTGTCTATCATGGTCAGAGATTTTACACCCATGCCACATAGGAAAGCGAAACAAACATACAGCGGACAATATTGACTGAAGCAAAAGCAGACTTGGTGCGGCTGCAAGCGGAATTTGATTTATAGCTTCCATGGCGCCGGCTTCGTATCTTCTTTTGAGTGATCTGAAATGAACTCTCAAAGGCTCATTCGTAATTAGAGGGGCCATTTTGGATATGAAACCCATGGCTTTCACCCAGACAATGATCCGATAATGCTGCATTACTTGCTCACATTCTGTGCCCCCAATAATTGCAAGCCCCATCCGCTCCAGCATCTTTTCAGATATATGATCAGGCCAGCTCACTATTCCCTGGGAACTTGTTCTCTTATCGGTTCCTAGAACAAATAATTTAGTAGTGCTAACGTTTGCCTCGTTGTCGGCAACTTACCAGGCAGCATCATGTAGAGCAATTCTGGCGTGAGAGACGGATGCTCCAGATTTTCTTGAACATCCAAATCATCCATAGTCACAGTCTCTTCCCAATGTAGAGTTGGATCAGACAATTGACTGACGAATTTTCGCGCTGATTCAAGCGCGGTTCGTCTATCTTTTGAAAGAGCCGGGTTGCATTGTAGCTCATGCTCAATATATTCCCTAGCCTCGCTGACATGATGTGTTGAGCCAGGAGAATGCGCTTGGTGGGTATGTTGGGGCGTCACGGTTTGAGACTTGTGGCGCTTGTTTGCTTGAAGCTTGAGAGGCGTGGTCTCGTGCAAGTCAGATTCTCGATAGCGCTTCTTTTTGTCATTAAGACCTTCGGCATTGTTCATAAGATTATCCAAAGGCGATGAAGTGGATGTACTGCTAACGGCATGATGACCTGATGGAAAATCTGCTATCTCTTTGCCGTTGGACTCCTCTAGCTTGGTTAATCTTTGTGTCAATGCGTCTAATCTTACGGATATCAGCTTTCAATTGACTTGATTTAAGGTAAGTTGCACATACCGAGAAACTCGCGGCCTATGAACTCGTGCCTGGCGGGTACGGAGACATTCTGCCCCTGCGTCGGTGCAATTCATACAAGGGTCTTGGCGGTCGCACTTCACCTGCAATAGAATGGTTCAAAATGAGCATGCGGGTATCAGAGTATAAAATACACCAATTGAAAGACTCTCTACCTTTCGATTATGACATAAATCACACTAGTCAATGATTAGTTTGGCTGCATACTTGTTTTGAAACAGCGTATGCCGTTCGCGATGCCATGAGTTATTTAGGCAGACTTACTGCAGACATATTGACATTAGTCTCCCAAACAGACCCTCGGAATCATGAAATTTTAGTCAGATGCTTCAGAGAAAGCCCTATCTTGGAGCCTCCAAGTAGGAATGTTGTTGAAGTCCAAGGGTTGACGCGTTCGGCTCCCGAAATGCCGTGTCCGAACCAAAGCGGCTTAGTTCTGATGCCATATTCATAAGGCTACGACGACGACCGGGAACTGAGAAAATGATTCTGATACCACATCCATCTCTTAGTATACATATATATTTGACCCTTGAAAAGATCTAGATATTGAACTGGACTTATTAAAAGATGTATCAAACATATGCTTCACCTCCACCTCCATCTGTCCTTCACAATGCAACGCGGTTCCATACACCAGTTGGCATCACATGGCGACTTGCCGAGGTACCTATGCAGTTTATATCGGTTGATCGGCCTTCGAAAGCTTGCATAACCTCATTTATGACTTGAGTAGACGTTTCATATCCTTATTCCAAAGGCAGAAAACAGTCTAGTCTCCGGGGTGCAAACCAAAAGAGGGTATCTGAACAACACATTGGATATCCGGAGAACATACCACTAACATCCATCCCCATTTAAGATTGATTTATCCAGTCACCCCCGCATTTTTTCACAAATACCGTGATAATTGAGACTATCTTGCGTATCTAGCGACTGTCACATCGGGCAGGCTACTACCGTTCCTCGGCTTAAGACGATCCGATGGAGATCTGCGGCTAACAGTAACCGGTTCCCAGAAGACCTAGTATAAATACCCGCCATGTCCAGTACTAACAATGTTCAAACATCAGTCAATCTCTAACTGTGATCATTAAGATTCCTGTGCCATTTCCTCCCGAAAAGATGTCGAACGGAATGTGAGACTGGGCTCCGTTTCTATCTCAGATGCGTATACTAACCTAGGCTCTATTGTTATCTAGTAACAACCCTTCTGGGATCTTTATTGCTGCCACTGGACCTATTTATCTGGTCAGTGCCTCTCCAAATTTGCTATACATGACCGCTAACCAGAACAAGGCACTTGCACCTTTGGCATCGAAAATCGCCGCACCTAACGGGATTGTTCAACAGCTCACCGAGACTTTGGTTAGCCTGGCCACCCGCAGTGATGTAGCACCAGCCCGTGCAATCCCTGCACTTACTCTAGTTTACGCACTGTGGAGTTTTGTCGGCAGTAGCGCTCTGTCGGTCGCCGGACAAGCCATGTCCAGATCGGCTGGTCTCGATCATGATCACCCTCGGAAACATCGCAGCAACATGGAGGGGGTTCCATTGCGTCTCATGTCTGCCCATCATGCGCTTATCGAGATATTCCCATTGTTTGCGGCTGCGGCTTGTTTCGCTCAAGTGCTGGCCCCCGGAGATCAGCAGATTCGGAATCTTCTTGGTCTTCATGTGTTGTTGAAGACTTTCGTCTTCTACCCTTCATATGTTGCGGGGGTTTCTCCGGTCAGATCACTGTCCCATATACTTTCAACTTCCGCTATTATCCGCGTCCTTTGGTTGCTCGCAAACTGAAGTAGCTGCTAGAAGATATCTCGCTTTCTTCTTTATCTCTCGTCGAAAGAAGAAAGCAGCGACGAAAGAAATGAAATCTATATTATTTGCCGGTTACAGGCTCCTAGCTCATCTCCCAATGACTGAATGCCTCTCCGTAGCTTTGAAATGGACCTGGCCTAGATATATTCCAAAACTATAGCTGCGTCGGGTCTGTATTTGGATGCAAGCCCATGTAAATAAGATCTTTGGCGAATATTCGCCAGATATCCCATTTTTTGTAGTGCATCTATAGTAATGATTCACAACCAAATGATAGTCAACTGGGGTATACATCTTGAAACGCTGGGACCCCAGATATAGTACCCAAGTACATTCTCGGGACACACTGGTTCCCGGGAACGTCCATGGAATCTTACCGAAGCGGAACTGATCTTAGACCTCGTATACCGAATAAATCTAGGGCTTCGTTTGAATTTTGTACATTTTACTAATTAGCATTGTGTGCTTAGATTTGTCCACGTTCAAAGGCTTGAGCAGCACTACTACTGACACCCACAATGTATTACCGAATATTTGCATTGGTTTGAGCTATCATTCATGATAACAATGATAACAGTATTCACACTCCAATCTAACAACAGACCCGTGAAGAACATGCACTTCCGTATCTTCAACAGTATGTGGAATAGCACCTCGTCGGTCCATCTCATTGCATGCCGCTTCGAACCATATGTGGTTGAGATTTGGCACAATTTTTTGTTCGCCATGCTGGTTAAAAGATAATATGTATTCGTTCAGATCCTGCCGCATCGCCCATAGGAACTCCTTTCTATGAGACCACGTGGAATTTTGTTCGCCTTTCCGTTGTCTCTGGTCGTCTTTCGCTATGGCAACAAAAAAGCTGACAAGTCTCTCCATAGTTGACGTGGTGAGAAGAAGACTAAACCAGCTTTCGGCTGACGAATGGGGAATTTCCGGGCCCATCAAGCGTTGGACGGTCGAAAATAAAAGAGTCATGCAGTGATGGGTTGATAGGAAGATCTGAGTGTCGGTGAATGGTGCCTTTTGAAGAATTGACTGCTGCCTTTTTACAGATAGAGCCATATTTTGGGGATGATGTTCAAACGCATCAGAGTCAGAGTCAGAGTCAGAAGATGCCAACGATTCGAGGAAAAATGTTGCGTAGGCGCTTTATTCAAGTCAGTAGATCTCACAAAGGGGACATTCTGAGACCATACATCGGATACAAAAGCTTGGACTGGAGCGAAGCCACGGCTCTGCTGTAGATGACTTCTTTCTCGGTCTTAGACGATGCCCACATAGGCTGGGCAATTTTGTCTGTCTTCAGATGATATGCAACCACACGTCCAGCTAGGTGATGAGATAATCGAATACAAGTATTCCAACATCTTCTTAAATCGCCTAGATATCTCAGAGAATACCCTGCGTTGTCATGGACAAAACCTGTGCTGTACTCAGGCGGCGGGGGAGGGAATAGTTTAGAGATAAAAGCGATGTCATCACCTGGTGACAGGCTTTCGTCAATAAAATGACCTTTCTGATGCTTCCGCTTCCGGAGTTGGATATATGCCCACGCTATTGCGAATTCTAGCTGTGAAACCCGGTCATGGAGTGCTCGGCAAGAGAGAGACAAAGAGCCGATGTCCTTCAATTCACAAGATGCTAGGATCGTCACAAACGCATGAGCCGGGAGTCGCTTCCAGCCTGAACCTTTAGGCCCAGTGGTCATCGACCCTCTTTTACCTCTCCGAAGGACTGTTCGGACTCGATCGAGAAAATGTGCCATGGCTAGATCTGAAGCGGTCTCCGACTATCCTTTGGTAGATGTCGAATTTTTCATTGAAGAAGGACACGTAAAATAGAAGAACTTTGGAATAGATGGTGAAAATTGCCGATAGGTTTCTTCCTGTCATCTGACTGTACCCAAATTGAAGACCTCGGGCACAGTCGTGGGGCTGACGCTTTACAAAAGCACAGTCGCCGATTTCAAGTTGAGGGGTGGGGATTTGCAAAAATTAAGCCTGGAATGAAGCAGTAGCAGTGGAGAAAATACAAGCTAATCGAAGTACAGAATTCGAAACATCTGAAATTGTGATGATGTCGATGGTGGATATAGTGGACTTGATGCCTTATCGCCTGATACCCAAGGCATCAACATCTCTTGGCGCTGACTCCATTGGAACACCAAAGTACATGTACCTATCCGCTTCCCTTCTTCAATGTCCTCTTCTTCAATGTCCTCTTCTTCAATGTCGCCAGTAATCAAATCGATGGACTGTTCATACAAAACATTGATGCCTAGCTGACTACTTACATGCGGCGCTTTTCAGAGCGTGCAGCGCGGCGATGGCGACTCCAAATGACCCTGTAAATGGCGGAGGGGCAACAGACTGGCCATCGAAACCACCAACATTATTTTCATGCATGGTTTGTCATAACAGGAAAGTCAAATGCGACAGGCAAGAACCCTGTTCAAATTGCGCAAAGGCAAATGTGGAGTGCATATACCGTGCTCCACCGCCGCGTCGTCGCAAAAGGGACCGAGAGACCAATGGGAGTTTGTTTCAAGAGCGCAGAAAGGCTCTCAAACGCCGCCCGGACATTGGCTCTACCACTCACCATCACCCTGCTGGGGAAGACCACCGGACTGATGCAGGGAAAGGTGGATCTGGGAGGATGATCATAAAAGATGGCAATTCCATCTATATCGACAAGTGAGTCCCTGCGTTTCATGTGGCTCAATATGAAGCTTCTAACTTCCACGCCAGCAATCTTTGGGCGAGTGTCAGCAATGAGGTTTGTTTTATTTATTTATTTATTTTACTTATGCGTATGTATGTCAATTCTGATCATTATTGCTAGCTGTCGAATGCAGCAGACGTACTGGGCGATGTATCGGATACTGGTACCGATGACTTCGCCCAGGACGTGAACGACGATTATACAATACTCTCAACTTCCGCAACCAAACATGTTCTCACCGGACTCCACCCAAATCCCCTGAATATCTTCAAGTTATGGCAGGCATTTCTCGAGAATGTGAACCCACTCACCAAAATCATACATGCTCCAACTGTACAACAACAAATTTTGGAAGCTACGAGTGACCTCCCAAAAGTAAGCCGGGAGTTCGAAACATTGATGTTTGCGATATACTGCATATCGTTGGTTTCCTTACAGGAAGAAGATGTGAAAAAATTGTTCGGAGAAAGCAAAAAAGCCCTGTTATCGAAGAGCAGACGAGGCGCCCAGCTCGCTTTTAGGAACGCAACTCTTCTTCGTACATCGAGTTCAGTGGTGCTTCAAGCTTTCATGCTATACCTGGTAGGCTCATTTTACTTTTACGGAGTACAACACCTTTTAACGATGTTTCGGTAGCTTTGTATGCGCGCCTTCTCTGACCCACATACTATCTGGACACTGTGTGGCATTGCAACACGAATTGCGCAGCGAATTGGGATCCATCGTGACGGGTCTGGACATGGGCTTTCAATATTCGAGACTGAGATGCGTCGTCGTATCTGGTTCCAGCTCGTGATCATAGATGCCACGTCAGCACAGTTCTGTGGTGTAGCATCAACGCCGCTTCCAGCTACAATTGACGTTCAACCACCGATGAATGCGAATGATAGCGATCTTGATCCGCGAATGACCGAGCCAGCCTGTGAGAAGCCAGGTTCGACGGAGATGATTTTTGTCCTGGCTCGGAGCGGCTTTGGAAAATGGCTCCACCGTCTATCAAAGAAGGTCGAGGGATCCAAAGTCAAACTATGGGACTTTTTATCATCATCGTCAATGTCCTTGGTTGATAAGGATAAGGCAATTGATGAGCTTGAAACATACTTGGAAGAAAATTTCATTAGACATTGTGATAAATCCATTCCACTGCACATGGCAACCGAAACCATGGCACGTTCGGCCATATACTATACCCGATTTATGGCACACCATCCTCGTCAATACCAGGACCCCAATACTCGCATCTCTCAGGCTGAGAAAGATGTCATTTTCGAGTATTCCCTCAAGATGATAGAGTATGCTGATTATGCCCAAAGCAATTCCGTTGTACAGAAATTCTCGTGGCACATGGTGAATCATATGCCGTGGGACGCCATAATCTTCATGCTCTCGGAGATGCAACATCGGGCCGATCCTGAAGAAAAGAGCAAAGTCTGGCAATTGATCGGAAGGGTGTATTTGGTATATTCCGGGCATATTAGGGATATGGGCAAAAAGGATCCAACGCCTCTTCACATGGCCATACAAAACTTGATTCTGAAGGCCTGGTGGGCTTATATTGAGGAGTGCAATCTCAACCACCGCATACCGACCCCTTGTCCAACCATTGTCACATCATTGATTGCAACCATGCCAGATAATTCTCGTCCACAATCGGAGAGAAACGACCAAGTTATTGCGCTCTGTGAGGGTTCAAAAGATCACCTCAGCCACGGCATTTCGATCTCACAATTCGCACCAGAGGCCGACAATTTGGAGTTTTCACACGGTGACAGCCCGAAAGACTGGAATGACTGGGACAATCTTCTCGCTCACTTCCAGGATTCCCTGGCAAATGATACAATGCATCTGTCGTGACCCAAACAAAATTCCTCTCCGGGGCCGTGAGGGTTATAGACTGGCCTATCTTGCACACTCCAAATGCGTTCACCGTACCCTATTTGTTTCAGTGCTACGAGAAATCGGTTAACAGCGTTGGAATTTCTTTTCCATGGGGAAACATTCCAGCAACTTGGTGGATGGAGAGTCTCTCGTCTCATGCACATTACCAATGACCTTCCAATTTCGGCCGTTCTTAATGGACTGGAACCTATCAGCCACCACGTGGAAGTCAACGGTGCCGTTTTGGCTTTTAAGACGCAGCATTTATACCGGCCTGCATCCATAAGAACGGTGAAAGTGTTGATCTGACTTCCCAATTGAGCATAGCTGTCTTCTTAGTTGTCTCCTTAGCTACAAACCCGAGTGCTCAGCTACTAGATCTTCTGTCAAACACAATGATGGCTGGCACCACTGAGAAGACCCCCAAAATCGCTAGTTTTTGCTCTCATATACTACATACTTTGTTATCTCACAAGCTTTTCTAAAAGCTTTTGGCGTGAGCAGTCGCTTTGATATTTTCTCGGCAGACGCGGTAAGACCATGAGGGCATATGAAAGTGAGCGACCCCCATATAGACTGGAGTCCGGACTTTCTGGATAAATGCGTCACAGAGCGGGATAGGGTTGTATGTATCATCATCCGCGTGCGCCAAGAACAAGACGTGATTGGTGATGAGGAGAATTAAGCCCGCAGACGTTCTCATTGGTGTGCCTGTGGCACTAAGCCTTTGTGAGTGGATCTATGAGACCCCCACCTATGCTTCTTGAATGTGATGCCCACCATTGTCATCCAATCTCACATACACGAGGATTGACAACTGGAAGATCGGACTATTAGCCCGGGAGTATCCCACTGTCTAAGATCCACTAATCCTTCACTGACCGATTGTGTGCCCGCTAAGCATCAATCTGTCCGTGGTTGGCCACTGAAACTTCACTGCTCGAACATGTGAACAAAATGAGTGCTGGTCATTTGCGATCGAGGCAAATGAGAGCCGGTATTTTGCTATCTTGAAATTACAGTTCTGGTAGTAGTCATCTCGCGACAGTAGAGGTATAAAGGCTTCGCAGCGGCTGAGGGAATGATCTTCTGGCTCACTTCAGTCAAGCTCTTGTCTACTTCCTCCATTTGCAAAATGAAGACCAACGCCCTCATTTCCCTACTTGGCCTGTCCGGAAGTGCCCTGGGCGCAGCTATGGACAAGGGCCATCATGAGCCCTTTGGCTACAAATCCGGCTCGAAGGAGTCGATTGCTAACATGAAGGACAAGGTCGAGAACGTTGTCTGGATCCTGCTGGAGAACCGCGGATTTGACAATATCTTGGGTGGAGTGAAGAAGAAAGGGCTGGACAACGTCGTCAACAATGGCCCTTTCTGGAACCCCGAAAGAGTCAACGACACTAGCAGCAAGAAGTGGCCTAGCCAGTATAAGAATTACGACTCGGTTCTCCATGATCCCGACCATACAGTGACTGGTGTCAACTTTGAGCTTTACGGTTCTTACAGTCCTGACAATGAGGCCATCGCCAACGGCTCTTTGACTCCCAACCTGGAGGGCTTTGTCAACCGCCAAATGCTGCGCTACCCCAGTATCTCCGCCCAGCGAGCCACAGACGAAGTCATGGGATATTACTCTGAAGACCAGATCCCCACTCTCGTTGACCTGGTTGATGAGTTTACCACTTTCAACTATTGGCACTCGTGTGTTCCTGGTGTAAGTACCTTCCTGACTCACGACATGCCAGAATAGCAATTTAACAATCAACTAGCCCACCAATCCCAACCGTCTCTGCGCCGTCTCAGGTATCACCGATGGACATGGTAAAAACGACAAGAGCTTCGATGTCTCCAGCATAGACGCCACCAGCATCTTCCAAGTTGCCTCAGAGAAAGGCATCTCCTGGCTGAACTATGACGGCACCAACGGCGCCTTCAACCCTGACTCCATGTTCTTCGACTGGACCACCAGAAACGCCAAGAGCAACGTCGTCCCGCTCGAGAACTTCTATCAAGACGCTTATCTCGGTCTCCTGCCCCAGCTGTCATATATCAACCCGTCCTGCTGCGGCCTGAACACGAACTCCATGCACCCTGCCGGAAATGTCTCCTTCGGCCAGGTTCTCTTGAAACAAGTCTACGACGCCGTCCGCACTGGCCCTCAGTGGGACAAGACCCTCCTACTCATCAGCTTTGACGAGACAGGTGGATTCTTCGACCATGTCGCGCCCCTACTGGCCGTCCGCCCAGACAACAAGACCTACACTGAGACTGCTTTCGATGGCAGCAAGTATACACTCAATTTCGATCGCCTGGGCGGTCGTATGCCCACTTGGTTGGTTTCTCCTTATACCCCTCGTGGCCACATCGAAAATTTCGGCACCGATCCCGTCACTGGTGAATCTTCCTCATATAGCGCTACCTCCGTGTTAAAGACGCTTGGCTACTTGTGGGATTTGGAGGATATGAGTCCCCGTGTGGAGCATTCGCCTGCCTTTGATCATCTTATTGGCCCGAAGGCGCGCTCTTTCACACCGGCTACTCTCAAGAACCCTCACACGTTCCCCGATGCTATTTAAAGGTCTGTCCTGGAATATTCCGACTTGATGGGTCTGACATCTGATGTGATGGATGGATGTATCGATCGATCATTATGAATTATTGTTTCCTCTCTCAATTTTGAAGATATGCGGGATTGGTTTGAACTATATATATTATGCTATTTATCATCATCTTTTCTAAACGGACTAGATGAACATCAGGAATCAGCTACTCAACTCTCATCAGGACAGGATACGATAATATCAGACAATATGCGCGGTGAAGGAGAGTGTTAGAAACTATGGATGAAGAAATTTGCTGGATTATGCCGAGTCACATCGCATCTCTTCCGCGGAGAGTCCATAGTCGTAGGACGATCCAGAGTCGCCGCGGTTTGATGATGACTCTGATAGGAGTTTCTTCGATCAAGTGTCTGAGAATACATCCAGCCACCCCTGCCCTTCCCCTTCACAGGATTAGAGCTCTGTCAAAGAGCGCCTTTTCTGCGACTTCGTTGCTGGGGCATGTTTGTCTGTTGCCGAAAATGGCACCAGAGCACTTGGACAATCCAAGCCTACCTGGGTACACACTTCGGACATTGGCAACATTTTACAATGGTAGTCAGGCCATTTTATCCTATGATGCCTTAGCTGGGAATTCAAACAAAACTGGCCTTGGAAGACAGTCGCGTCAAAGGACATAAGATCCTGGCGGAGAATCGAGTTGCGGCGATCTCGTGAATGGAGGTGACTTAGGATTGAATGTAATAGGGTAAAGATAAAGCAATTAACTCGAGGGATCACATCTGGTTATAGAAAATATCCCAAAGTGAATAGAAAAAACGCAATCAATATCTGGAGTACTTGCCAAAGCTCCCCCGATATATAAATCAATCTACTTTGCCTGAGATTTACAACAGGGTACCTTGTCTAATGGAACAGATAGCTATCTAGCTATATATCCGTAGGTATCCCCGCTCAAGGTTGAAGCCTGAACTTATCAATGTCGTTAGTGTCCTGCAAATATATCGATCGTGCAAATGAACATCCCATATTTATCAAGTACCCTCAAGAGAAGTTATCCGGAACGCATTTTTGATCGCAGCTCTACACGGGGTTGAAGACGAAGCCGTTCGATCTAACATGGCTGTAGAGACTTAATTTCAACTCTATGGCAAATCATTGGCTCAAGCAAAACATTGAACTGGTCATTCGGGAGCCTCAGTATCACGTCAAGCTTCTCATGAATGCTCCACATGCTGAGCCGCCACCAGTTAGCCCTAAGCCCTGGAGCTCTATTTTGCTTATTAATAAGGCCCCCAAGTGGTCGGTTGCTTTATATATCGCTTTAAGGCCAACTCATACATCAAGTAACATAAGGCGGTTTGGCCGAGTGGTCTAAGGCGATTGACTAGAAATCAATTCTCTTCGGAGGCGCATGTTCGAATCATGCAGCCGTCGGTTCTTTCTTTTTGGCTGGTGTTTCTCTTTTTGTCTCCACAGGGACGTCTGAAAAGTGGCTCCTGGGGCTTGACTTCTGCCGGGAATGATTCGGGGAACACACATGTGCGTTCATAAAGCACTTGTTGTACGGTCATCCCGACGATTTTTTGCCTGGAAAACAAGTCGCTTTTTCATACATACGTGGTTCATGGCATGGATCCTCGAGATTCGATATGCACTGGGAGGAATTTTGATCTCTGGTTGAATAGGATCAAAGTAGGTCTTTATTGCAGATGATATTGAATAGCAATATTGTATGGTTGTTTGATTGGAATACTACATATTTTACATTGCGCACGTTCTTTGGGTTGACCTCCCGGAGTGTCTTTGTTTAATTTCTAGGCGAGATTAGTGGAGCGAAAAGAAAGATAGTAGCACCTCCGTTTGTCTGTTGAAGCAAAGAAAGAGATGGCTTTTCGATTGCATTGCCCTGATGCTTGTCATGGCATAGAAGAAAAGAACTAAAAACAGCCAAGCCTGTTCGCAAGTCCTTGCTTTTCCTCAATGTTTCTGTATATCTATGCTTCAAATCAGCCATCAATGGATATATGCAATCAAACCTAATCAATTATAAGATATAACACCTAGATGCTTTCACACACCTCTAAGGTTGCAAGATAGAAGACACAACTGTGTATGTGATAGTGGTTGAGGCCTCAGGCGGACACCCTAAACTCGATTGAGGTGTCGATCTGGAGATTCTCGAATTCCGCCCGCAGCATCCATTGATAATCAACCTTCCTCTTCCCAACCACAGCCCTGCAACAGTCAAAATGCCTGCTCCCTTGAGATTGACAAGCGGGCTCCTCACCCGAGCCACTCGCAATCTTGTTCTCGAATCTACCCACACACAGCGCATCCTCCCTCTTCTCCGAAACAACACTGCGTCACAATGCCGAGCCTACACCCAAGCACAGCGCCCGCGATGCGAACAAAGCATGCGCAGCATGCTCGCTGCCCAGAACAACTTCTCCACCTCTGCCTCCCGAGCAGGCCCCAAGACAATGGGTCAGATGCGCCAGCGTAACTCCACCGGCCCATTCTCATGGAAGGCCGCGTTGCTCTTCGTGCTGACCGGCGCCGGTATGATGCTCTACTTCCGGGTTGAGAAGGCTCGTCTGGAGCGCAAGCGTATGACGGAGATGAGCAAGGGTGTTGGCAAGCCGAAGGTTGGCGGTCCGTTTGTGTTGACGGATCTTGATGGCAAGGAGTTCACAGCGGAGGACTTGAAGGGCAAATACAGTTTCGTGAGTAATCCCAGGGAATCGACCAGAATTGGATGGATTTGTGGCTTTGGAATGTGTGTTTGCTAACACAACCTTGTCTTACTTCTGTAGGTCTACTTCGGCTTCACTCACTGCCCCGATATCTGCCCCGATGAGCTGGACAAGATGGCCGAGATCATCGAGAAGGTCAAGGCCGCTACCAAAGACGAGAAGCTCTTCATGCCCGTTTTCATTACTTGCGATCCCGTCCGCGATACCCCCGAGGTCCTGCGCGAGTATCTGAAGGAGTTCCACACCGGCATCGTCGGCCTGACTGGCACGTACGAACAGGTCAAGCACGTTTGCAAGCAGTACCGCGTGTACTTCAGTACTCCCAAGGATGTGAAGCCCGGCGAGGACTACCTCGTGGATCACAGTATCTACTTCTACCTGATGGGTGAGTGTGGGCCCATACAATGCTATAACTCGGGTGACAGATTTCAGTATGCTGACCATATATTATAGATCCCGACAATGATTTCGTCGAATGTATCGGCCGCCAGGATACTCCCGAGTCTGCCTCCAAGGTGATCTTGGAGCACATCAACGACTGGAAGCGGGAGGGAAAGCCCCTCAAGACGGAGTAAGCGTCTTGCGCCAGATGTATCTGTGGAAATTGTACAATATAGTCATTCAGTATCTGAATACCCTACTCACGCTGGAGCCGTGCTCTCATGATCCCGTTTTTGTTCATGTCCATGTTCGTACATCCGCAATGCTCAGACCAAACCTGGCCTCAACAACCACCCAACACAAACCCAGGCGCCGAGGGAGCCAATTCCCTCGAGTAACGGCTATTATCCCTAGCAGAACCTGTAAAAAGATATCAGCGTTGCCCAGAAGCCACAATCAAGAAAGCCGCACCAACCTACCAAGTTCACTCAACCACATCGAACCTCAATCCAAGCAACATCATCTCTAGACCGCATCAGTCCCCAAAGCCTTCCCTTCAGCATCCCGATCCGCATTAGCCCTCCACTCCATCCCCCCATCAACAAATTCCTCCCTCTTCCAAATCTCCGCCTTCTCCTTACATGCCTCCAAAACCTCCTCCCCAGCCCTCCACGCCGCGCCCCGATGTCCCGCACTAACCGCGATAACAATCGAAGCTTCTCCAATCGGCACAGTACCCAGCCTGTGCGCAATACTCACACCCTCAAGCTGGTGCGTCTTCACAGCAGCCTCCGCGATCCTCGCCAGCGTCTTCAGCGCCAGAGGCGGGTAGGCTGTGTAGCTGAGCTGCGAGACGGAGCGGCCTTCAAAGGTATCGCGCGTTGTGCCGAGGAAGAGGACGTTTGCGCCGGCGGCTGGCGAGGACGTTTGGGATAGATAGGTGTTTGCGTCGAGGGTGTCGTAGGTTAGTGTGATGTGGATGTTTTGGGCTGCAATGTGGTGGGTGCGTGGGTAGGTTTTTGGGTCGAGGTGCGCTGGGAGCGCAGATTCGGTGGATGTCATTGTTTTGGCATTGAATGTGTTGGGAGAGAGGATGGGTTCCTGGAAGTGTTTGGGTGGACTTGCTTGCGGCTTATCTGCGGGGATGGATAAGAGCCGATATGTGGAGAGCCCCGCGGGAGGCTTGGGTTTGTTTTTTTGGATGTGAATTCATGGCTTAGGGTTTATGATTTGGGGGTTGTGTTCGTGTGTCTTCATTGTAGGAAACGGTCTAGCTACAATGTATAGATGGTGTGGCTTGCTGCCAAACATACGTCTCAAGTACAACATATATTTATCATAGGAGTAGCACAGTGGCTTCGTACGGCCGGAGTGTGAACTTGTCACCAGAGAAGCGCTGGGTGGCCTCTTCGACTCCTTCATAGGTGTTGAGCAAGACCTGCTTCACGCCGGTGATACCGTTGCTGGCTGCATCCCACTCCAGGGTCTTCTCTGTCCAGTGGCACACAACCAAGGCCTTCTGGTCGCCATACTGGCGAGTGTATACAAAGACATCCTGGTTAGGCTTGTCCAAAAGTGTGAAGTTGCCGTACACAAAGATGTCAAGATACTTCTTGCGCAATTTGAGCACAGTCGCCCAGTAATGGTAGGTGGAGTTGGGATCCTTGACTTCGGCCTCGGCATTGATCCGAACATAATCGGTGTTCACAGACATCCAGGGCTTGACCCCGGGTCCGGTGAAACCAGCGTTCTCGGCAGCAGACCATTGAACCGGAGTGCGTGCGTTGTCGCGTGACTTCTTCTGGTATTCTTGAAGAGCAATGAGTTGAGCATTCTTGTCCTGCTTTTCCAACCTGTAATATCGTCAGCCATGCCGCTGATGAGTAGCATCAGGAAAGTGAAATTACCTCTTCCAGTGGTTCAAACAGTCAATGTCCTTGTATTCTTCAATGCCCCATTCCTTGGGCACGTTTCTGGTTCCAAGCTCCTGTCCCTGGTAAACGAAGGGAGTACCAGCCATCAGTGTGAGGGCAGTAGCCAGCATCTTGGATGCGACCAATCGATGCTCTTCCTTGGCGTTTGTGTAACGATCAATAGAACGTGGCTGGTCATGGTTCTCCCAGTAGAGCGCATTCCAACCATCATTGTCATACATAAAGGTCTGCCAGCGCTCAAAGAAGTCCTTCAAATCAGTGAGTTGCCAGCTGCCAGGCTCGAACTTGTCGTATTTACCATGGTCAATGTCAACATGCTCAAAATTGAAGATCATGTTGATTTCATTGCGGTCAAATTGCACGGCACGGAGCACCTCCTTCTCATCGGTGACGAAGGGCATCTCGCCCACACTGAAGGCATCGTACTCCTTGAGAATCTTGCCAATACCCTGGAGATACTCGTGCAAGCGTGGCCCGTTGGCATACCACTTATCTCCCCACTGCCAGGGAGTACGGGGATCTTTGATGGGTCCATCAGGGAAGCTTTGATCCTTGCTAATGAAATTGATCACATCCATGCGGAAACCATCGCAGCCCTTGTTGAGCCAGAATCGCACAATATCGTGCACGGCTTCAACGACTGCTGGGTGTTCCCAATTGAGATCGGGCTGCTCAACTGCGTATAAATGCAGATAGTATTCTTGGGTCAGCTCATCCCATTGCCAGGCACTTCCTAAATTGGATCATTCATCAGATGGATTCATGCAAGCGGCAAGATAGGTAGAGACGCATACCCTGGAAATGAGACACCCAGTTATTAGGAGGCTGGCGATTTCCCTGCTCATCGTATTTGGCTGGCTTCCAGACATACCAGTCGCGGTACTTATTATCCTTGGAGCTGCGGGACTGTTTGAACCATTCATGCTGGTCGCTGGTGTGGTTGACGACGAGATCCATCAGAAGTTTCATACCGCGCTCATGGCACCCGGCAATTAACTTCTCAACATCTTCAACAATGCCATACTCATCGGCAATACTGTAGTAATCGGCGATGTCGTAGCCCATATCCACCTGCGGCGATTTGTACGATGGACACAGCCAGACGATGTCTACTGCTAGGTTCTTGATGTAATCAAGCTCGGAGATAATGCCGGGAATATCACCGATTCCATCGTTATTTGAATCCTTGAAAGAGGCCGGCCAGATTTGGTACACAGAGCTCTCTTTCCACCAGGCACGGTGGTTGGAAGTTTCCGGTGTCGTCATACTGTCCACTACGGTTCCCCGCAATGAGAATGATCAGTGATAAGGGAGGAGGTCAGGTGTGGGAAGGACAGGGAAAATGGACCAGAGGAAGAGGAAACAAAAAGAACCAGGAATCTAGATAGTTTGGGTGGTTTATATAGTGAACGAGTACAGAAAGAATGTCGTATTCATCTCCTACCGAGGGGCAGATGCGGAGAATCATCGGGTCTCTCAACAATTGATTTGCCTGCATTCGACAGGGATAAGCCGTCCTTTGCACTTGCCAGGTGCATCATTGAATCAGATCTCGAGAAACTCTTGTCGCTGGCCCAGTGGATCGTCTCCACCTGGCAATGGGAGTTGGGGTTTCTTGGCAGACAACCAGACCCAGACCCAGACTTAGAACTTTGCATGTTTTGCTGTGAGACTTATGAGCTTTTTAGAAAAGGGCATGTGTAGAATGTTTTCAATCTTCTCATACAATTAGAATATGTATGTATTAATTGTATGTTTGCTGATTGTGTGCGGGTTAAACCATGTACATAACACATACGTACGGAGTACGGAGTACACAATGGGGATCGTCGTGTTGTTTGATGCATCTCGGGAGCATCTCGGCCCGAGATATGTATCGGGTAGGCGGTGAAAACAGGTACATGATGCTTTTCCTTATCGCTTATCGGATAGCGGATAGCTTCGAACATCCATTTCGGAGATCAACTTAGCATGTTTGCCAACCACTGCAACCATGGCGCATCCTCGAAATGAGCGATATCCTGCAGGATCAACCGGTCGCCCATTCCCTTCGCGCAGTGAACACGACGACTTCATGTATGATGATCAATCCAGATCGCGATCGCCTGGTAAGCTCCTCCCCGCACGGCAATGGTGCGCCGGGTGTATACATAGACATCTGCGGCTTGGGAACAAGTCTCTCACAAGATCAAAGTTGACTAAATTGAGTCCCAGTTGAAACGAGGGATAGAGAACGCGTCCACTCCCCCCATCGAAGACCAGCAGCCGACGGCAGACTCCAATACTCGAGAGATCGAGAATCTGGTCAAGGCTATCGAGGCCACGATCGCGGCGACTACCGCCAGCGAAACTCGCGCTCATCCCCTGGCCGGGGCAGGAATACATACAGAGACCGTGACAGAGAGGGTTATCGAAGCGGGAGCCACAGTCGAAGTCGTAGCCGCAGCCCTCGTCGAGGCCCGTCCCATCTCGGACAGGTGAGCCGAGAAGTGATGATGGAGGGACTGCCGGTGGACATGACAGAAGAACATGTGAGTCCAAATAAACAAACAGCCCTCGTTTCACCGTTGTGAACAACTGGCTCGCCAGGGACAAATGCTGATGACCAACAGATCTCCGTTGAACTTAATACTGCCTATCATATCGATGGCCTCGAGGATATTCGAGTGATCCGTGATCGGCAGACAAGTATGTGAACACGGCACAAACCTGTGGGGTCTTGCGTTTATCTAACCTGGTACTGTGTTCAACAGAACTGTCAAGAAAGCTAGGGTTCCTGCGCTTTCCTACCATTGACGCATCCCGCGCATTCGTCGAACGAAACCATCCGTTCATTTACCTTTATGGTCCCAGCGCGGGAAACACTGACCGGGGCACCAAAGTTCGCATTGCTTACAGCCGTGAGAGGGAAGACCGAGCTCGTGCAAAAGGCGCAGGCGACTGGAACTGCAGAAAGGTAAGTGAGCTCGGTAAAACCTTGAGCTGCGTATGCGGGTTGTATTTCATGATATGCGCTTACAAATTCAGTGTTTTATTCTCAATTTTTCTACACGTCCGCATTGTTTCAAGTGTGGCAGTCCGCGACCAGGTGAGTACACGTTAACTACCACCTTACATTTACCATCTCCCACACCCCATTTCACACGCATCATTCATCGCAGCGCATCTTTCCCTTCACAAATTTCATTGTCCATCTTTTACTCAGCATTCGCCTTTCTTCATCGCTGACTGTCCCAGCAGACATGGATCCTACCGGCCCTCCGGGAGTTCCCACCCCGAAAGTAGCTAACGATGGTGATAATGATGCCGCTCCAGAGAACCAACCCTCTCAGTTCCTGCTTGTTCGTGGCCTGGAGGCATCTGTCTCAGAAGAGCTTCTTGCAAAAGGAGTTTCTAAACTGTACCGACCCTCTGGAAACACTGAATCTGCCCCCAACATTCAAAAAAAGGGATCAAAAGTAGCATCTACAACTGGTGACAGCAATCTGGGAGCCCCAGAAGGATCTCTTCGTCGCGTTCTTCTTGTACGTGATCGCAGAACCAATGAAAGCTGGCGTTATGGATTCGCGGAATTTGCAGGAGTCGCGGTATGTATGCTCTATTCATTTACTCCATTGTCCTACCTCCTCTGACACTCTGCCTTCCAGGACGCACAAGCTGCGATGGCACGACTCAAATCCTTCGACAAGTTTACCATTTCCTCTAAGCCAGTTTTGGTAACCTACATTCACGGCGGAGTATTTGTTCCTGTCATCAACCCCTCATCCAGTGCTAGTCACTACACATTCAGCCCAGCGAACAACCCGTCGCTGCAGTTGATGTACTGGGATGACGCGGCGTACGTGACGGAACTTAAGCTGTCAACCGATCAAGACAATGCCGCACAGGAACAGAGAGGCGGCAAGGCGGCTTCCAACCAGCAAGATACCCAAGCCAAGGGCAACAAGGACTCTGATAAGACAAAAAAGAGAAAGGCCGATGCAACTGCCGCTACCACTGCCACCACGAACGCAAAGAAGCTTTCAATGCCATCCCAGCTGCAATTCTGGAGTGACCGCCACGCTGAACTGCATGCCAACAAAGACGATGGCGAAGATCATGCGGAGACGGCCCCGGAGCTAAACGCGTCGGTGACTGACCTGGGTGCTCTTCCTGTTCAATCATTTGCAGACTTGGAGAACAGCACCTGCTATTTGTGCTGGCGCATCTTTGACAATCCGGAAGATGTCCTAGAGCATGAAAGTGTCAGTGAAATGCACCAAGAAAATTTACGTAACGAAGCCTTGAGGGAACAGAAAATGCGCGAAATGATTAAACATGGTGTTATAGAAGCACCCCAAGCCTACCGAGACCGGGCAAAGGAGCGCCGCCAGGCATTTGGTGTTCAAGATAATTCAGGTGCTGATGCCAACTCTGACTCCAGCATTGATTTGATCGCCCAGCCGGTTACATCATACGCAGACTTTGACCAGATCGTCTGCTTGTTGTGTGCTGAGGGGTTCGAAAGACCTGAATTACTCGTTCTCCATGAACGCCACTCTACAACTCACGAGAAAAATATGCAGGATGAAGCAGCACGGGCACAAGGCGATTTTAACCGGGTCAGTTATGGTCTCATCCCCCTGCCCACACCAACCTATCGAGCTTTCGCCGATGATCCTGAGTCGGTTTCATCCTATGCAGATTTGAAGGAGAATTGCTGCCTCTTGTGTCGACGAAAGTTCCGGAGTCCGGAAGCTGTTCTTCTCCACGAGCGTGTGAATGAAAACCACCGGGAAAACCTAAAGGATAAGGAAAAGAGAGCATACGCCGATCGTGACCTCGTCCGGAGTGGTCTCGCGACCCTACCGACTCCAATCTATCGTGCTTTTGCGGAAGATCCGGAAACAATTTCCTCCTATGCAGACATGAAGGAACTGCAGTGCCACTTGTGCAACTGGATATTCCCAACCCCGGAAGGTCTTTTCCTCCACGAGCGCGTGAACGAAGCGCACCTCGCAAACATGAAGGATAAAAAATTGAGGGCAGAAAGCGATTGGAGGATCATGGAGGCAGGTCTCGCGACCGCACCGAATCCCATCTATCGTGTTTTTACGGAGGATCTGGAAACGTTCTCATCCTATGCAGAACTCGGAAAGAATATCTGCCACTTGTGCTTATTTCAATTTAAGACTCCGGAACATCTTCTTGTTCACGAACGCGTGGATGAGCCACACCTCGAAAAATTGAAGGATAAAGAAGCGAGGGCACGCGGTGATATGAGACTGATCGAGGAAGGTCTCGCATCCCTACCAAGTCCTGTCTATCGATTTAGCCCAGAGGATCTCGAGTGTGACGATTTTGATACTAAACCGCCCTCATCCTATGCTGATCTGGGGCAGAATGGGTGTTTTTTGTGCAATGCCCAATATGAAAAACCAGAATATGTGTTCTTGCATGACCGCTTCGCTGACATGCACTTCGAAAACCTGAAGAGCAAAAGAAAGAGGGAAATCGCCATGTGCGCGCTGGTCATTAGACATATCGTGGAAATACCTCACATTTATGGGGATTCCGCCAACCAGAAACGCTTGAAGGAGCAACGCGCGGCATTTTGCTCTGACGACTCCAGTGCTCCGCCGGATGCATCTTACATCGATCCGAACACCCAGAGCTGCTGGCTATGCTGGTTGGACTTTGAGGCGCCTGAGCTAGCCATTCTCCACGAGCGCATAGATGAAGCACACCAAGAAAAGTTGAAGGACGAAGCATTGCGAGTCCGAGCCCGGCGCGCATTGATCGAAAGTGGTGCTTTGGAAGAGCGTGAAAACGACGAAAATCAAGCAACGGAGCGCCACGAGGCCCCCAGTGCTGACGACTCTAATGCCCGCCAGAAGGCGTCTGAGCCAGCGCAAGAGGATCAGCAACCTGCGCAGCCAACCTCAATTGGTGCTTCTCTTCTCCGCAAAATGGGCTGGTCGGCTGGTTCTGGCCTCGGCGCTGAAGGCACCGGAGTGACGGCGCCAATTTCTACAGAACTTTATGCCCCAGGTGTGGGACTGGGTGCTCAAGGAGGTAAACTGGGTGATGCAACCGAGGAAGCTGGCCGGAAAACCCGAGGTCGGTACGAAGAATTCTTGGAAAAGACTAAGGATAATGCACGCCAGCGCTACGAAGAGATGGATCGGTCTTAACCCCGGTTGGAAAGATCCGTAACGGTTTGACTGTACAACATACAACATGAATATCGAGAATGGAGGTGTGAAGTTGCTGGATAGTTGAGAAATATGAGTGGGGAATTTGAAGTCTGGAGAATTTGACGTCTGGGGATATTTGAGAAGGCTTGAGGAGGTCTGGGAATGACTTCAATGTCGCCATACTCTTTGGCTGATTACCTGTACGATACTAATGGATAACCAAATGAACTTATGTAGCCTTGCTTGCACCTGTTCGCGGATAGTTCTTCCTATTGCTATCTGCAAGCTATGCCCACAAGTCAATGCAATAATGTACAAGCTGGTATCAAATCATGAGTAGAGTGTGTAGTGGTATAAGCACTTTGCAAATAAAACCCCGAATCAGTTTTCTTTCGTCCCTTGCTCTTCCCGAGCGTCCTGGAACGCCCTCTTCATCTTCTCCTTCTCCAACTCCTTCTCAAACTTATCACCAAACACTTTGGTCACCCACTCCGTAACCTCCACCTCAAGCTCCTCATCACTCTTCATAGGCACATCACTTCCACCCTGCAACCCAGCCCGCACAAATTTCCTCAAATCCTCAAGCCCGTTGATATCCAATGCATACCCAACCGCACCGCCAGCCATCAACCCGAACGAAATCACATTCAGCGTAGCCAGGTTCAGCGCCTCGAAGGCGTCCATCGCGGAGTTCGAGAACGGCTGGTGGTACACCGAGCTTGTGTAGTATTGCGGCATGCAAGCAATTCGCTTCTTGTGGAAAGCGCGCCGCGTCACGAGTAATGAGAGCGCGAAGAAAGTCATTCCTCCCAGGAGGAGTTTGAGGGTCGTCTTTGTTTGCGGCGCAGGCGGCTGCGTTATTTGTGCTGGTGGTGGTGTTGGGATCTGAGATTGATCGGGCAGCGGCTTTTCCTGAGGTGCTGGCTCGCTCGACTCAGATTTCGGGCTTGAGCCCCAGCCAAATAGTGACACCATTGCTATGGTGTGTGATGGGAGTATTGGGTTTGTGATGCGAAGGTAGAGAGCTGAATGGCGCTCGGGAATCGGCGGATGCTGGAGGATGAATTGGAAATTCGGACAAATAGATTGTTTGGGTATGGAATTCTCGTTTCTTCCACGAGTTTCCTTGGGAGACTGTATATGAGCGGGGCAATTGTTCGGTCGAAGATGAAGCAGATCTGCGCGGCGGAGACGATGTTGATCCCTGGCACGTGACTGGATTTTTTCGCCGAGGAATTTCGAAGTTGACTGCTGTCTTGACTTGAGGATGATTGGAGCAGAATATGACTGGGCTTATATCTGCTTTTGTTGCTTCCAAGGAGTAAGTTTTTGGCAATGACCACTTTCTAGAAGCACACGAAGCAAAGGATGGCGATACTCGACTGATGCGGAGACTACATGTAGTCTACTGGGGCATTTCCCAAAGAAGCTTAAGAGTCATCTACAATTCTATTTTGGAGTTGATTCACGCTAGACCGAAATGGCCTTCTAATATTTAGAGCCTTATCCCATTAATTCGAAGACAAATTAGTAAATCAAGGCTGCAATTAAACGAATTACCATCTATACCAACATCTATCACCTATGCATAACACTAATCCGAGAAAGAAACTCATCGCAATATATGAAATATCAAAATAACGCCTAGAATGCAAAGAGTCAGAAAGAAAGCAACACGCAAACCCGAAAACCCCAACATCTCAAAGTCATCCACATATGTTCGTAATTCAGCGCTTCGAAACATTCGTCAATATATGCTCATAAAAGGATTGCAGATCATAGTAACGTAGTAACATAACAGAGGAAACCAAAAAAAGAGTCGTTAGTAGGGAAGTTATGTCATGAGCCCGTGGTAATAAGCATATCGGTCCGACCAGGGCGATGGAAGCGATCAATACCAAGATGCTCTTTGCCGTCACGGCCAATATAGATTCCAAAGCCATATAAAGGTAGGTTGCGGTCTGCTGGCGGGGCAATGATAAGACGGGTGACGAGGTCGGTTTTGCTCCTCGGTTCGCGGAGGATCTTGTCAGATAGGAGAGGGGACTGGTATAGGTAGCTCATCAAATCAGCTAAGGTCGTGATGTCGTGAGGGAGATAGCGGCGACGGCCGGGCCAGATCGCCAGGAAGGATAAGGCATATAGGCCACAGAAGACGATCAAAGCGTAGAATGCAGGCATGAGAGCGGAAATGCGGATGTCGTTGTGATTGGGATACCAGAGGGCGATGAAGACGCCACCGGCGAGAATGGGAATTGCGAGAGATAGCAGGCTCATGAGGGATATCCAGGCAATTTTGAAGTGGCGGTTGATGATGGCTTGGATGGTGACCTGGAACGGGAAAGCGGATGGGTAGGCGAGGAGGATGCTCTGCTCGGCAGATGCGCCGCCGGGGGATGAGAGCTCAGCGAATGGCTGGAGGGCTCGGAAGTATACATCGATGGGCTGCCAGGCGAGGAAGAGGACGTTGCCAATCAATGTAGGGACGAAGCTGTATAGGAAATTGGACGAGGAGAAACCATTGGTCGATGGTAATGTTGGAAGCCTAGGAGGGAAGCCGCCCTCGATGGCGTTGTTGATAAAGCTGACGGAAACAAAGGCGATAAACAGGGCGAAGACAATGGTAATCCACACAAATACTGGGAGGCTGCGTAAGAACCAAGGTGTCCAACGGTATCGGGTGAAAGGCGGATAAAGGTGACCATCAGGTGAATCGTCGGCGGCTGCACCATGCTGCTCAACGTCATAATAGACCGGGACAAGTCCTTGTGGCTGGCTGTCCCGACTCTTTCCAGTCTGATGAAGTGATGGGCTGCGCACAGGAGCATTGACTTCTCCCATTCCGTAGAAGATTTCGGGCTTGCTCGAGATTTTCCAGTAGCCTAATCGCAAGATACGGGGATCAAGCGACTCTTGCACAGACGGGACTGTCTCAGAGTGCTCGAAATCGTGCAGGATATTCGACCGTTGGATAATAGAGATCAAGTCTGCCAGACTCACAGGATCCCACATCAAGCCGGTCCAACCGCGACCGAAACGCAGGGAAAGGAGGAACAACCCAATTGTTAAAACACCATATAACCCCACCAATGTCCAGCCCACAGATTGAACTGAGGTCCATCTCCAGACACCCTGTCCACCAATGATATAGTACTTTGCCTGGAAGAGACAGCTGAGGAGAGGCAAGGCGAAGAAGTTGGCAAGCCAAATTGAGAATAAAGAGAATCCTAGCAACGGCTCGCCATGTTGAAAGTGGGAGAGATCAGGAAGCAGAAAATTCTGTGAGAGGATAGGTAAACGATGCATGACAAGTCCTCGTTGTCGCTCTGCTGACATTATAGCAAAAGGCGCTATCCGATACACCGCAGCCTGGATGACGAACGACCAAATGATGATCGGTGCGGCGAGAATTTGTGGTAGGAATTGCATCACAAAATATCGTGAGTCGCCTTGACGAATGTAGTTCCATAAGCCGCTATGACCATGGGACCATACATTGCAGAAAACCACACCCGCGATCATGAGCAGACAGCAAAATATCGCCAAAGCCAGCGCCCACGGCCGCAAGACAATGGGCACGTAATCCAAAGGAGGATACATCAAGCTCTGCTCAGGTGGATCAACGGGAATAAACGATTCGGGATCCACAGACGTTGGCCTTTGCGGCAAAGCTTGGACAGGAGATGGAGATGTGTACGATTGATTCACAGGGGGCGTGTCATGTCGAATGGGAGTTCGTGTGCGTGTGAAGTAGCCGAGCCCTTCATCCCATACCAAACGATCATTTGGATAGTCACCTGTAGTTGTCGTAGAAACTGAGTCGTGTCTTTGGATTCCCCGAGCTCGGTCCTGGGTGAGCTGGTCGATTGCAAACCGGACGTATGGGGTGTCATCCAGGCCTGGAGTAGGGGGTGGACCTGCGTAGTCACTGGGAACTCGACGAGCAGTCTCCTCTGAAGCTGTCCTGTCGGATAAGGGGCTGATGCGAGATATTCTTTCTTCTCCAAAGCGGACAGTACTGGAAGTGGGTGGACGCGGGGACTCATACTCCTCTTCGGCAAGTTGCATATGCGACATAGCGAGTGATGGTGGCCGGGACGAGGGATGGGAGTTGGGAGTCATGAATACCCTGACAGTTATAAGACTGTCAGGAGTAGAAGAAGCTTGATCTGAGAACGAATAGTAGTCGTCTGATGCAGCTATAGATTGTCGGGATTCTGATCTGGCAAGTTGAGGCCTACTTGCTATATATGAGTCAGTTGACATCAATCCCTGTGCGAGCGCAGGTTCCGCATCTGAATTAGCAACGAGGCGGGGGATTCATCTATGCACGTACTATTCACGTTGCGCAGGCTGAAGTTTTTCGTCGGGGTGGTCATGCTGGGCCCTGGAATGTGGATATTGATCCCACGCGCAACGGCAATTAATCTAGAAGCATTCCCCGAACAAGGCACTTGAGAAGCGAAGGGGTTTTTCAAGACTCACAGTCGCTGCCCAGCGGGCTTTTGTCTAGCTGTCATGGTGCTAGGTGACGTTTCCCAGCCTCCCCAGCCACCAGACCGAGGTTTCCATCACCCAGGCCAATAGGGATAGATGAATTATGGGGACTGTCAACTCAGACACTATTAATTTGATGAATCACACTGAAGACTCCATCGAATGAAAAAGCGAGGAAGTGAATCTCGGAATCGTTGGTTGTTTCGCGGCCCGATCACCAACCCATGGATGGCCCAAAGCTTGGCTTTGATTTCTATTCTTCTACCTTCCTACTTTCCCACTTCCCTACCATCTTTTGGATGAGGTATTCGACTGCAAGTCTAATAATTGGCGATTGTATGTATGAACTTGGGTTATTCTTGCTATTTGCTCCGAACTACTACAGTTCAACACTCTAGGCCCCACCCAGGTGCCTCGCAGACACGTTCCGCGCTGGGCCCTCAAGACAAATAATTGTCAACAATATTGCTATCCTAGATTGTGGCTATTGAGACTAACAAGCAGGGTGTCTCAAATAGTTTCCAATGCTCCTTGAAGATAAATCATAGTGTTACAATTGTTCTGCCTCCCTTGCTGGCATGGGCGGCTGGGTCTAGGGCTTCGCGGGCGACCGAATACAATTCGAAGACATATTGCATCTAGGGCATGGAAGATATGATGGCGATACATCTTACAGAAATTTCCGAGTTAGTGTCCAAGAAAGAAAGAGTGAAACCAAAATCGACAGTATCGACCGATTACTCTGGTAACCAGGATAGAATGAGATCCATAAGTAGCTCGGTTGGCTTGGAGCATTGTATCCACAAGTCGTGTTAATAACGGAAACCAAGTATTTGATAGCGACAATAAATACTTTCAGCGCGCATCATCAGGGTCGTCAATCTTATTTTGAACCCTTACGTTTCAGATTGAGGGCAATTGTAGACAAAACAGTCACACAGTTTGCTGTCAGAAAGTCAATTCGGGGGGAATTATTGAATGACAAGCCTTAAGTAGCTTCCTAGGTATAGTGTCTTCCCGTATAGCCTCTTAGGCATCCGAGCAGCTTGTATGGACGCATCAAGCCAAAATTAGGCGCCAGCAGAAGGACAGCGTGCTATACGAAGTTTCGCATATAGCCCTCGGGGCTCGGTTTGGATTGAAATCGAATTTGCTGCCTGGCAATGCTTATTTTCAAGCTGATAGAAAAATACAGAAATAGAATACCTAAATTACTATGACATAGACCTTAACAAATGCCTAGTCTGCGCTTCTAGCCTGAGATTCCATTTAATTTGAATCTATTAATCTATCCTTCATGATCTTGCCCCTAGATTTCAACATCGTTCAACGCAAACCTCATTCCAAGGTTGCTATTTCGCGCCCATTATGTGAGAGCACCCTATTGATATCTTCCATGTCAGTAAAGGAAAGTATCTATTAGACTTATCTGAACATCCAGGAAAGGGAAGCAGGACTTGCGCGTGTTGCCAGCACCCCCAATTCCGAACCTGACATAACGCTGTTGAAGGTCATATGTAGTTCCACCATCGGGGACATCATTGCCCCGAGAGCTATTCAATGACTCCAGCAGAGTTATCCTATCAAAGGTCTCTAACGCCAGTTGCCTCTCTTCGTCCTTGGACTTTTGCCGTCTTGGCCATTTGAACAATCTCCATATGCAGCGCATATTCAAAGAGGGAGGAAAATATTTCCCGTTGTCTTCGTTTTCAATGACAAATTGAACTGAAAGCTTGAGTCAGCCACTTCTGGGGTTAGTATTTTAGTTTCTCGATACCTTGATAGCTTCAACTCACCTCGAGACCATGGGTCTAGTTCAGTGAGCTTTTGCAGGAGCAAATAGCTTCTTGGATTTAAGGCTGGTTATACGTCTAATGAGCCGGTCCCTTACTGTGGCCTGCACCATGGGTTACACTGACACTGTATAACCTAGGCATGAAGCCTAAGTCTGCCCAAAGTAGTAAGCCTTGAGTCTCAAACGCAGCACATGAGATAGGAACAAAAAAATGTGCTAGGTTAGATGATACGTTGCCTACATCTTGAGATCAACAGGGTTGTCACTTTCGATTCGGAAGAGAATGCTCTTATTTTATGAAACCTGGACCGAGTCAGGTCTAATATGAGTTGGCCGGATTGAATGAAGGATTGCAACATTCCAAGGTTACCACCATGTGTAACCGCTCATGCAAGTACCCTTTTTATGATCTGGTATCTGTCCATAATCCTGCTGCAGAAGAATGAGGAATATGTGAAGGGTTCAAAGGCGAACGATGCGATTTGTGATGCGTAGAGAGAAGCATTGGAGATCACCACTTATAGTACAATCTCCACTATAGCAACGAGTTCCCCAGGGATCGTAGGTTGACGATGGAGTGGTTTGCGGGGGGAGTAAGTGAATATTTTGGGCCGTGTCGCCGTAGTGGAACTCTACTAGGAAGCTGTTTGTTCACGAGGTCATCGGCGCTAGATTGATGGCCTACCCAAATCGAATGTCCTCGTAGAGAGCCTGTGCAGTGTCTAGGCAGCACGATGTACGACACATTTCTTCAAACAGAAGCACAAAAGCCGGCCATGATCAAAGGCGATAAACCTTATCTGGTCTTTAGCAAATGGTATGTTTGATAATCAAGTGAGATCTTTAGGGTGGAGACAGCCTGTTTCATCTTCGAAAACGTGGGAAGGTGGGCCTCCAACGGGGCCTGAAGCCCGGACTCCAGTCCAAGCGTTTTTTGGGGGCTAAATATCCCGGTTGAGAGCTGTGCCGTGTTAGTGGATCGATGAAATCCGAATGGGGGCTGGCGAGATTGCAAGTTATGGTCCATGAGTGTGTCTGATGGTGGACCGCAATCAATCTCTGGGTAGGTAAATTTCAGAAATGCAGATCCCGTTTCACCACTCACAAGATGAGCCTCCTGAAATCAGGCACTTCGGATCCTTTGAAGAGCTCGATTCAAATTCAGGAGTCAATGGTCACATTAAAAAGCAACAGCTGGGATTCAACCCCTGAGTGAAAAGAAAGAAGCGTTGATGCTCTGCGAGAACAAAGAAATCACAAACATCTCGATATTGGCTAACAAACAGATATAGCTGATGACCGCATGTGTCACGAAGCTCGAGATTATTCCAGCGGCCGCCCGCGATTCCTCCGGCGCCCGGGCTTGGCAACCTGTCCCGAAGTGACGCCTCAACCGGGCAGAGCGAATGAGAGGCCCGGGGAGCTCTGCGCGAACAACCCCGGGCTTTCAAAGAAGGGAACCGTGCTGCGGATGGATGGAGTAGCTTCACCGATTAGAATTTGGAAGGAACATTGAAATAGGGGGAAATGAAATTGCAAGCATATGAAAAGACAGAGAGAGAGAGTATGGAGTACAGATACGAAGAGGGTGATGAAGAGGAAACATACCAAGTTGTAGAGATCATCTGACTGTTGCCTGAGGCCAAAAGCCTCTCTCCTCCTCCAAACGCCCATCCACGGTTTCTTCTCCAATGGCTTAGCTAGGCCCTTGTCATTCCTTTATTCTTCTTTCTTAAATTCTTGGCCTTTCCCCTCATTTGCTTCTGCTCCTTGATTGTTCTCGTTTTGGAGCCTTGGTGGCTTCTATTTCCCCAGAGTCTCAGACCAATGTCCCCTGCCAATGCAGCCTTGGATTCACCTCGAACTCTTGCGTCGCGTGTGTCATTAGGCTATTAGAATTAATCGCTCATTTTTTCTCCTATCATTTCGCTGTCTGGAGACAGGTTTGACTTCCAGGGTCGTCTCCCCTCACCATGTTGCTCAAGCCTGCGACACCCCTCACCGTCTTGCTACTGATCGCATTTGTGCTGTTGCTACTCTCCTGTCTTTCGACTCCTATCGTTAAAGGCATCCCCCTAGCAACTTTCAAAGATGTCGATTATGGCGTCTTTGGATATTGTAAGGGTAGCACCTGCACCAATATCCATGTGGGATATACTAGCAGTTGGTCTCTCCCTTTCTTTTCTGCCTGTGCGCCGCTAAGTTTCATGCAGATGATATAAGTAGCACCGGCGATGACTTCAATCTCCCCTCCGGCACTCGAAAGTCGCTCTCGTCGATTCTTATCATTCACCCAGTCGCCGCCTTCATGACCCTGATCTGCCTCTGCTTAGCTTTCGCGGCCCACTTCCATGCTCCCTCCCACTCGCCGCGCTTCCTATTAGCTCTTCTGATTTTGCTTCTGCCCACACTGCTCGTGACTCTCTTAGCATTCCTGGTCGATATTTTGCTCTTTGTGCCGCATCTAGGATGGGGTGGTTGGATTGTCCTGGCGGCGACCATCATTCTCACCTCCTGCGGAGTGGTTACATGTGCCATGCGCCGAACCCTTGTGAGCCGAAAGGCGAGGAAGCTCCGAATCGCGGAAAATGCTGAGATGAGTGGCGAGAATTACTACAACCGACAGAACGCCGCAGCTGCGATTGCGGCCCCTGCCCCGGTCCCTGCTCCGGCCCATGTCGAACCCAAAGATGCCTTGGTCTCCACTTCTCTTACCTCCGACTCCGGCCCTACATTTGCAACCTTCCAAACGGAAAGGAGCAATAGCGATGATGATCGCATTCCTCTCAACTCGCGGACACCACCCCCAGACAATCGCGGCACTCCATACCGCTCTCAGCAAGATGAATTAGGCAACATGCCACCTCAGGGCTCGGATCCCTATGGCGCTGGTCAAATGTCTCGTAATCCCTCTGATCCGCGGATCCGTCCCCAATATTCAGATGGCAGCATGGGCTCCCGGAGAGGAGGAGCACCACCTGGCTTCAATGGACGCGGACGCGGTGGATATCCTCCCCGGGGTGGACGCGGAGGACCATATATGGGGCCTCCTCGCGGGCCTTCCCCTGGCGCTCGGGGTGGCTATATGGGGCCCATGTCAGCTCGTGGAGGCCGCGGTGGAATGCCGCCTCGAGCACCACCGGGTGGTTATGGTCCCGGTCCAGGCCCCAATCGCGGCTATGACGCATACGCTCAATCTGCATCGCCTCCTCAGGATGGCTCCTATGGTTATGGACCGCGGCAGGGACAGATGCGCCAGCCATCCCCCGGTCCCATTGGAATGGCCGTGTCACCTGAGACGGTAGGCCAGGCCATTGAGATGACGCCGCAGAATCGACCACAGTACGATATGTATGAGTCAACCCAGCCAATGAGCAGCGTACCGCAAGCGCTCACAGCTGAGAACCCCAACGCTCCTCTTGAAAGTCCAACAAGCATGTATAGCCGACCCGAGTAAGTCAAGTTATCGCAACATCGCACACCTAGGTTGATCACTAATCATATCTGTGTAGTTCATACATTCCTCCCCGATCGGGCTGGGGTGCAAATGACTATAGTACCCCGCGACCGAACGGTCAGCAGACCAACAGCACTGGTGCTACCTACTACGAAGACGTGGATCCTCGATTCGCTCGCCGACCATCGCCGGCCAATGATTCTGCAATTCCCCCATCTCTAACGCCTGGACCTGGCCACTGTACGTGCTTTTCTATGAAACACTCGTGTTGACCGAAACTTACTAACTTCTCCCAGTTTAATGAAACTTATTTGCTTTCCTGAGTGTCTATCACACTTGACACGATTCCCTCACCTCTTCTAAGCTCTGCGATACCCTTCTTTTTTTCTTCAATTCCCTGGCTTATCTTTGGATGACTTTTTACTTTTCGAACTTATGGCACAATGTAGTCATTTTGGGGACTGGAGTTTTGGTTTCTCTTTTTTTATCTTCATTTTGTCCTCGATAAACGCTGTCCTTCCGGACCAAACCCTGAGGGTTCAACTTGGTCTCACGTATCCGCTTGGACAAAAGGTGGCGTTGAGCACGAAAGTCTTTTATTTGTTGAGTCGCATTCTGTCTGGTTTTCGATGTATAGCAGCAGGCAGATACGATGTACAGGAACCGCTTCCCAGTCGTCCTGGCCTCCAAGATCCAAAGCACTTGATATTGCTTCTGGTTTGATCACTTTTCTTTCCTATTCTATTTTCCTACCTTCTTCCACTGAGTGGACTGTCAACCATATCCTCCCCAATGTTACATACATTTTCCTTTGTAGAGTACAGCTGGCGTCTGGCTTCCAAAATCAATGGGACAGTGCAAGCGTTTCCAATTGACCTTTGAGCTAATCAGATATCTAGGGACGTCATACATGCATATAAGCTTTATTTATGTATAATTTCATAGTAAAAGAAGGGAGACACGAAGGTAAACTGAAGAGTGTGATTTCAATAAGCCAAGTTGGAAAACCAACGCCCTTTTTTCTCTATACCAGCTGCACCCAAGACCTCTATTCGGTTTGCTGCTGCAAGCATGTCCCGGTCAGCGGTTGCGGTGCTCGATTGGACGAATTCTCGAGAGCTTTACAGCTGACCGGGTCAATCTTCATGTTCAGATTGGGCAATGTAAAAGGCTACCTCACAGCTCTACACGCGGGAAATAAAGATAGATCAATGGTTACTATGTCCAGCAGTCCCCAAATCCCGAGAATGCATATTGGAATAAATTCAAGGAATCTTAAGCTTCGAATGCCTGCGAAGGTAGATCAAATTATCCATTAGCAGCGCATCATTGTCCAAGTCCATAAAACACAAAAGTAACGTGAAGGAAATCATTCTTAATATGTCCGTGGGTCGTGACCTAGGCTGTCGGAGGCACAGCCTCACGGAAGAACGAGAAGCATTTCGCAGTCTGGTGCAAATCTAACCAGCCCTTCTCCAGATCTCCTGTGTCTCCTCCAAGTTCGCCGCCTCTTCGGCCTCCAGCTCGCGCATTTCGTCCGCCAGGATTCTCAGCTGGTGCTGCAGGGCAAGGTGGGTTGAAGTGGTAGTATCCCTGTAGGTCAACCAGTTGAGATGCTCGTAGTAATTGAAAATTGACCGTATGTCCTGCAGGATTGATTCCTTCATACTCGCTCGCGCATAGTCTTTGATTCGCAGCTTCATGAGCCGCTCGAGCTGCTCATCACTGAGTGTTGGGATCGGTCTAGGCTGGGACACTGTTCCTCTGTTAGCTTTACGAAGTGTAGTGGCAGAAAGGCCTATTTCGCACTTTTCGGTTTGATGAGGTGTCAGTGGGAGTCACCTTGGAGTAGAAATCTGGGTATTTAGCTTTGGCCTCTGCTTTCATCATCAGTGTGGCTTACCTAGGTGGGAAACACAGCATCACCTTGCTTGGTAATGTCGGGGGAATTAGGAGGATAGTTGGAAATGATCGATGTAAGTTGAGGAGGTGAGTTGGATGGTCTGGGTAGCAATCATGGAGAGGATTCTCACAAAAGGAAGGTGCCATATTCATAGAAGGGATAGGAAGAGCTGTGAAGTCCTACTAAGGCTCTCGTAATGTAGCAATAAATGCGGAGTACATGTATTAACCTAGACACCTTTATGAGCCCCCTCCTAGTAATGGATGATTCAAATCAAAATATATTGATATTCTATTCGGCCTCCAGGTGAAGTGAAAGCAAATCGAGGTCTAGCAGTGTTACCTTTTATACCCGATGCTTCATTTCTCCATATTCACAGTGCTTCTGGAGGAGATGATTCCACAGCTTGGTCTTGTCTACCGAGGTCAACCCACACATCATATGGCCTCTGATTACGACATCGCCTACGCCAACATTACTTCGATTCATGGCAACAAGCAGGTCAGGGGGCAGAGAAGAGCGGAGGTCATCCGTTTTGATCGTATATGTTCTGGTGCCGTCGTCAGTTGTGGCGAGATACTCGGCGGGCTTCGAGCCCAGATTGTGGCCGGGAAGGAAACCTTTGATGGTTTATGTTATGCTGAGGCCTACGAAATGGGGCTCGGTGAGGAGGGAGAGAGCTGTATTGGAAAAGGAGATGGAACTCCTAAGTATATATCTGCGACGTGCTCTGCACTTAGGATAACCAGGCTAATCAGCCCTTCTCGGACTGCATGTCGTAGAAACTGATATCTAGCTTCCGGCCACTTCGTCCCTTTTGCCAGGGAGTCCTGTTTCATGACAATCTCTTCTGCATATGGCTTCTAACTAAGAAAGATCCATTTTTCACAGCGAGACGGACTGTTGCCGAGAAAATGACTCGGTTCTATCATATTCAGTGGGTGAGTGCCTAACTGAAGCCCGGTGACTTCTTGATACATAACCACGAGATAAGGAGTTTTATAATTATATGATGAGATTTGGTGAATATTTGAGTAGAAAAACTAATATTGATGCTCGACTGGCATTCTTAAGCAATGATCGGGGCAAAATGATGCCGAGCGATGCCTTGTAGGTAGTTGGGGGTAGTTGGGTCAAACCTATACGACGACAAGCTAGGTTTAAACGACGTTATGATCGTGCAAATAAATTAAATGATTTATTTACTATCCTTTCCCCAAATACATTGCAATCAGGTCCTAAGAAATATTCCTGGGCCATAGGATATCCATGTCAAGTGCTTGCCTGGGCCGTGCATTTCTTTGATTGACACGCAGCAGATTGCAATGCACCAACGGTGCTACCTCAGTATAGATTTAGCAAACAAGCTTCCCAGGGCATACCGAGAATCCCCACTATGGTCTCATATTCAAATTCTAAGCCGAAAAATGACACGCGCCAAAGCCTATGATAAAGAAGCAGGTGAAGCAGGAGACTAGAAGCCGACTCCTAGGGATATGTCGTTGTAAGGAGACTCGATAAGAGGTCTCCTTTGTAGGGTCTCCTTAAAGCCCAGCCAAATAGCGAAATATTCGGCCGAATCCTCCACAGTCTAATTCAATAAATAGAGCAAATATGCCACTTTGCAGCCTATATTGCGTTGAATAAACTCAAATGTCCCATGCAAGCCAGTCAAGCTCCTTCCAGGTCGTCACACCTGATAGGTAAGGCACTATATCTTTTCAAAATGTCTACGAATGAGACACCTCCATACATGAGGAGTACATTGAGAAATTCAGGAGGGAAGAGCTATGGAAGCTAGGTATCCATCCGTTACCTCTCAGAAGCCCTCTCCTTGATGCATCGTAAGCATCAATCCCAACCTCAATCACGCTCATCAAACATGCTGCCGATGTAAAAATAAGAGACTATAGAAGTTGATGAATTCAAAAAACTACATGACCAAGCCATCTGATATACCCATTTCTTCTAGATTTAACTCCGAACTGTCAATTCCAGCACAGGACTTATCGGACTAATGAAGGCTTTGTCGAAGTTTCAAATGATCAACCTACCCAATAGCAATATTCCGTAGCTTTCAATGGAATCTGGAGATTCAGCCACCGATGACTCGCTCTCAATGTCATTTTGACGGGGTAGACACGTAACAGGTCGACACGTAATAGATCGTCACATGGGTCCGAGGCCATCACGTACTTTAGGCGTCCGATGCGATGATTCCGTCGCCTTCTCAAGGCTTCCGGAACGTCGCCAGAGGGTATAAAGAGAGCAGCGAGCCCCAGAAGCGACGATCGCTCTCGCACACCTCTCCCCCCACACCCGCTCATCCTCAGCTATGGCAGCTATAGCTGTCAGTTTCTCTGTCCCAAGAGCTAAGCTCGCCCTCGCGAGAAAGATTTCATGTTCGCTCTGTTCGAGCGTGTCTGAGATCGTGGCATTTGCTAGGGACCACCGAGAGTCCAATCAGATATCACAACTCTGCCTGTGAATGAGCGCAGCAAGACTGATGCGAAAAGTTCCCAAGACACCGGAAATGACCTTGCGGAGCACCCGCGAGCCAGACAAGCTTGTCTCATTCTCTCAAACTGCCTAACAAAGCGGTTCGAAAACAACCACATCCACCCACGATCTGCCTCTGCTTGATTCTCATCCTCACTCCATCTTAAGTGGTGAAGAAGCAAAAAACACTTAATGCTTCTTTCTCGGGTTTTTTCTTAAACGACCGTGATTCGTTGTCGTCTGCATTCGGCTGCCCTATAAGTTGCATATTCGGCAATGCCCTCATATATGCCGGCTACTTAAGCCGGCCCTCACTCATCGAGCTGTGCTCGAGCCCGTTCGAATCGTGGCACTTGCTAGGGACCGTCAAGAGTCCAATGAATACCACAACTCCGCCTGCGAACGACTCGGCAAGCCCAATGCGGCAAGATACCAAGGCAGCGGATATGCCCTTGGCGAGCGAAATCGCAAGGCGCCGAAAATTCCCTTGGCGAGCAAGATCCCAAGACATCGGAAATGACCTTGCTGAGTCCCTGCGAGCTACCTAAGCTTGTCTCATTCTCTCAAACCGCCTAACAAAGCAATCTGAAAACAATCGCATCCAGCCCTGCTCTGCTTTTGCTTGATTTCCTTCTTCCCTGCCTGCAAGTGGTGAAAACAGAAACAGAGCTATGCTTCTCTTTCGGGGTTTTCTCAAAGCTGCCGAATCATACCCATCAGTATTCGGCTGCCCTCTCAGTTGCATATCCGGCAATTCCCTCATATATGCCGGTAGCCAGATCCAAAGTTTGCTCATCGAGCTCGCCGAGCACGTACTCTTATGGAGAGACCCTGCCTCGAGAATGCCATAATTTGGCTCAGAAGCACCCGAGACAACACCCACTGATCAACAAACGAAGACTCATTTCACAACATCCATAACGCCCGTTCCTTCCGACAATCACCAAGTTCAGTGCCGTTGTCGTCAACTGCGAAATGGTCCAAACCGAGTCCAACCAATCTGCAGTTGACTTCGTCACCAGCGAAATCCTGATAAATAACCACGTCGCCCTCATCCTCCGACCATGGTCGTCGGATTGGATAACTTCCGCTAGCGGCATCCACGAAATGGCTGTATACCCCTCTATCATCGCCGAAGGTGGTACATGCTGAGATGTCGCATGTGTACGCAATAAGATGGAGCAGTTCACGGAGCAAACCATGCATTCTTGTGGACCACGCGTTGCACAATGATCTGCGTGAGGTGCAGAGCTTGCAGAGCTTGCATCAAGATGCACCTGCGCGTCATGGATACTTCTGCCGTGACTTCTGACGCGGCTTTCTTGCAGGTCGTTTCTAGGCTTGGGTTGCCTCAAAATTGCGGTAGGGGATTCAAGATCCCGTCAATCGAGCTGCTTGGGTCTTGACCACCGATATCGAGATTGGCCCCTGATACATGGGGGAGGTGCTAGGCAACCGGGAGGTTTATCTGTGGTGTCTTCGAGAACTGGGGTTTCTGGAGGACTGCGCTGATGTGACTCGGTTACGGGCTGGGAACTCGGCAAGAACGGGAGATAGGTCGAAACAAAGACAAACACAGAGCGGGGAGTATCGGTTGCTTGTGCCAGTGCATCTGGACGAACTGAAGATAGTTTGGCAGATGATTTGAGAGATGAAATGAGGGGCAGAAAATGTCAACTTCGGAGTGAAACAAATGGGAAGTCGTTTGACAGGTGCTTTAAGTGCTTTCTACTGTCATCTCTTTATTTGATTTAGAGAGAACACACTCGACTGTACCTAGCACTACGGATAAGGCCTGAACAGGCAATTAGGTATTAATGGATCACCATTGAAGACGGAACTATTGCGCAAAAAAAAAACAAAACCAGAACCACAGCGAATTGGGGGGATAGGGGGAATTAAACGCCATGTTACAGAAAAAAAAAAAGACACGGTAAAGACAGCAACAGGAACCAGTAGAAATATGACGACTTGTGAAAGCGGCAATGGAGAAAACACCCTCGCTATAGATACGAGAACACCTCTCCGCATTTCACCATGCATGCATCGAGAGGCTCAGAATCCAGCGCTAAACAACTTCCAGAAAGAATACACGAATCCAGCAATTTGTTTTTTCAAAGGATGCTTCGACTGGCCTGGCTTCGGCTTGCCTGGCTGCGACTAGCCATACTAGCGCGGCTCGGGCTCGTACGACTAGGCTCATCTTCCTCGAGGACATCGCTCAGACGTGTCGGGTGACGGTGGCGCGGTGTCATAGACTCCCATCCAGTACCAGGGCCCCAGCCAGCGCCACTATAGTCTGCAGCAGAGGTAGGTGGGTAAGGGGCTTGCAATGGGGCGGGTGCGTCAGAAGATGTGTAGGAAGCTCCCGGCATATAGTGACCCCCTGGCGGGGACTGGTCATACTCCTCGCTTCCCTCAGATGCTGGGCCAGGTGGATAGTTGAAGGACTGGTTGTGTGGGTCTTGGGAATACTGCGCGTACTCGTCATCACCGGCTTCGCTGCTTCCAACATACGACCGCGCATCGGGTTCGGAGGTTGCGGGGCCTGGGTACGGAACACTTGTGTTATCGTGTGAGTACAGTGGGCCCGGGTAAGGGGCCTTTGAGGCTGGTGGGTCAACCTTTTTCGGTTCAATGAAAGGGTCGGAGCCTGTGGGAGACATCGGTGTGCTCTGATATGCGTCCGTAGCCATAGCAGTAGCAGTTGGACCACCTGGGTATGGACCCTCCCGGGTCTGTGGTCGGGTGGTGTTGTGACGACCAGGCAAACCCGAAACCATAGGCACAACCTGAACCCCCCGACAAGAGTGGGCTCTCCATTGCGCAGAGAATTGGTTCGGTCTCGCTCTTCTTGTTCGCGACGGCCAAGCTCCTCCCAGGCACGGCGTGCTTCCTCTTTGGATATCTGAAGTTCGCGTCGCATCTCTTTGAGGAGCTCTTCGGCCTTGGCTTTGTCTTTTTCGGATTCTTGTGCGGCAGCAAATGCATCGGCTCGGCCTTGTCGCTCTGCCTTGAGCTGGCGGTCTAGATCGGCTTGCAGTTCCTTTGAACGTTCCTGCTCAGCACGAGTGTCAAAGAACCAGCGCTGGAACTTGCGTTCGGAAGATGCTCGTAGCCGTTGCAATTCAACAACGGCATGGAAAAGGTTGGCACCAGCGGCAGACAAGTCTGTAATCTGTCGAGCCAATTGTTGACTGATTGGATCGCGCTCTAGATCGTCATTGTTTTGTTCAAGCTTGCGCATCCAATAGCTGGTGAGACCCTCCCAGTGTGATGACAGTGTCTCCCATCGCTCGAATGCATGCGGAAACCCAATGCGTTTCGGCTGTTGGAGCGCTTGGGGAGCACCAGGCTGTCCTGCGGGTGGAACCTGAGAGACTTTGGAGAGCCCACTTGGCTTCATGTGAGCCCCAACCTCTGCGGCACTCTGCGAGCGACCGTGCTGGGGCTGCTGGCCGGTTGCCTGTGCCAGTCGTGGCTGGCTGGCCACTGGTCCCGTGGCAGCTGTGGGTAGTCCTGCCTGATATTCTGATGGTCGGCTATTTGCGGTAGCATCTGCTGTTGGTCGATACCCAGGTACTGCGCCCGAGGCGACGGGGACGATCTGGGGCTGTCCTTCGGGGGCTCTAGATGTTCGTGGGACTCTATTTCTTGCTTGGGAGGCATTGTCGCCGGCAACGCCAGCACTGTACTGTTGGGCTTGGGCCTGTTGTTCTTGCTCCAATTGTTGTCTTTCCAATTGTTCTTGTTCCGCCTTGCGGCGAGCCTCTCGATCCCGGCGTTGTCTCATGATATCCGTAGGCGTCCGCACACCACTGGGTGGCTGCGACGTACCTGTAATGGGGTTTTGAGGTACACGGGGTCCACCGTTTTGAACATTTTGAACACGGCCATTGCCCATAGGCCCAGCGGGGCCAGCAACACCTACCATGTCTGACATTGAAGCATTCACTTCGTCCCAGTCAGTAGAAAGCTGCAACGGTCCACGGATGGCTTCTTCAAGCGCAAAGAGTATTGCTGACGCGGTGCGTGATGAAACACTGGTTGTTCTCTGCGGCCAATACGAAGAATCGAGAAGCTGGTACGGGTCGTCGATGGTAGAACCGTTGTCGTCAGTGTGTGCTTCGGAAAGGGCCGGGCGTAGCGCTGCAATGCCACTGGTCGGCGCGCGTTGTACAGGGACCGGGTTTGTCTGTGCCGGTTGGGGGTGATTGGGGTATGAGCCCGGAACACCTAGAGAGACAGCTCGTCTATGGAGGGATTGGCGAACCTCTGACTGACGCGGAATACGACGTAATGGACGCTGGGAGTCAGAAGCGCTCGAAGGTCGAAATTGATCGGCTGATGAAGAGGAAGAAGGTCGCTGCACAGTCGGCTGGCGTTGCCGCGCAAAATTCGTAAACGTGGGTCGGTCGTTAGATTCGTTGGCTTCGTTAACCGCTCTGGGGGTTCGGCGAGACACCTCTAAGAATGGTCGATATAAATGTGGATAGGGCGACAATGCGAGATGTTGCGTCACTTGAGTAGTGGATAGCTCTCAATCGCGATCGCAAAATTATCGCTCGGAGTGCGCAAAAAGTGTACAGCCCCAACGGCTGTATAAATCAATACTCAATGCACAAAGTAACACAATTGAGAGAAACACAGAAGCAATTCGAAATCAGGAGAGACGAAAGAACGGGGAAAGGGACGGAGTGCGAGGTGGCTGGTTAATTGGGATGGCTGGGGGTCGCCGCAGCTCCAGCTGCAGCGCACCAAACGTGTCTTGGGGATGAAGCGCCAACTCTTACCCTAATTCCAGATCTCAAAAGAAAGAAGATGGAAATGGGGAAGATTCAAGGCTGAAGTTGGAATGGAAATTCACGTTCTGATTGGGGCAGGAATGCTAGCTCGGTACCCTAATTGACCCGACCTGGGAAGTCAGGCCTGAATCGCTCGGCACTAGGACTTTTGCAGTAGCTGGAGCTAGAGCTAGTATATTGTTAGATCCTCAATAGCCCTATGATCAGGGCAATCCGGGGAGAGCAATACCTCCAATAATTAGTTGTGAGCCTGCACGGATGACCCTGCAAACTCGAGTCAAAATGTAAGCCCAATTCTGAGGCCTGCACATGGGTATTTGTAGAAGAAAATTCAGAGAAAGGGCTCAGAAACCCCGAATTCAATTTCCCAGCGTGCCATGGTTGGGTTTCGAAGCTAGGCACTCCGAGCATTCGAGAGATATACCTGTACAGCTGGTGATGCGTTGGCAGTACACTGTACTCGCTCTTGTTTGTCGGGCAGCTATATATATTCCGTACGGAGTACATGTTCCTCTTATATATCGAACACCTACTCCGTATGGGATATAAAGCTGTTCCAACGTGCCTTCTTCCATTGAATGCATCTTCCAGGAACTAGACTCCATCTGATCCACTGCCTACGCGCCAGTGGCTCCAAATTCATGGCTCGAACTGCTCTTCCCCACATCGTAGTTCCGAGGGCCCGTAGTTCGTTCGATTCTCAGGGTTCGGTTTCTATTTCTGTTTCCCAGCGTTAGAGTGGGAACGAATGTAGCCATTGACGAGTGTGCACACCTACTCCGTATTCAATGCAGAGTTATAACACCTCTCATGCTCAATTGGATACTACTCAAGGATGTTCCCCGTGGCCGAGGTCTCCCTGGAGGGCTGAACGGATGACAAAGCAAAATAGACTACCTCGTGGACCAACTCAAGGACTGGGAAAACAGAGTCAAGGACAACTCGAGAACAACACAAGGATGCATCGAGTATCTGCACAAGCCCTAGGGCTGTAAATGGCCGAATAGCTGGGCATAACAAAAACCCAGTCTGTGTCCAGTCTAAATACAACATGCAGAAGGAGAGCAGGAGCAATTGTGAACATTTAACCGAGATGAATCAATTTCCTACCTGTCACTTAATAGCATTGGAATAGTTCGAAGCTTTCTGGATTTTCCACTCTTCATGAACTTTGAACTATTTTTCAAATCTCCTGGCATCGTGGAACGCTCGATTGTGACCAGACCTTCCGTTTCCGAGTGCAAATAATAACTATAACATAGATATACTGTGTCCGGGAGAGACTCGGGGAACCCACGGTCTCATCGGCCCGACAGGTTCAGACTGGACAGTTGACCTAGGAACGGGATTTCTTTGGTGCATCATCCATTTTGATGACTCAAATCGTCACCGAAAAATCTCCCCGGGGCCCCTCTTCCAATGCATCCGCGTGACCGCACGCCTCGCAACACGACAAATACCCTCAGTCGTCGGGTCTTCCAGCCGAGCATAAACCCTAATAGCTAGCTAGTTGGAGGTCCGTATGCGGGCGCACTTACTGCAGCTTTGGGGTCAGCTAGCTCAACCCCTCGCGATACCCAATTCCAAATCTGCAAGCCAGGAGGCTTCAATAGAACGAGGGGTCACCGAGCCCACAACGAGGCGCTAATCAACACGAGCCGTCCCAGGAGCACGACGACATCAAAGGCACAGATCCTCCCTTAGGGAGGGAAGGCCTAGACTCCGCTGGACAAGCACGCAAGGGCCCCAGAATCGGACAATTTCATATTTCAATCGGACCGGGGAAAAGCTTCCCGTAGTGCCGCGGATGCACAATCGCGAAACCCGGGAAGATCTCGAAAGGGGACCGAAGACCCAGAGTGGAGGAAGGTTTCACATGTGCCTTGCAGCCTGCATCTGGACGCGGGAGCTTGGGTGTTTTAGGAGCAGTGTTTCAGTGTCGTTCAGGAGCGTTGGGTTTGGACTATTGGCTACCTAAATCATGGTATTATGTGTTGCCAGACACGGGGGACGGAGAGGCGATATTCCTTTTTCGGAAAAGATCTGTTTAAGACGTCGCCGTGTCGCCGTGAAATTGGATCGTGCTGATCATTACATTTCATTGATTTGTTCCTGGCAGTGATTTTAAATGAAGTTTTCGAGTCTGTTGGCTCGTGAATCATGGGATGGCCTCGTGTGCTGGTCTTTTGCTCTTCGGCTCCCGGTCCTTCCCCTTGGGAAGACTTCTGGTGGAAATTGCTTCTCTAGTGGATGGGGTTATATTGCACTCTGGATCCTCATCTGCATTGGCTTGGTGTAGGTCTAAGATTTAAATTATATGTGCTAACGTCCTAAGAATGTGGCCGAGAGGGCTGGAGGTGAGGGTTTCTGCAGAGGCTGCACCCGCTGTGACTTAATCGCTTCAAGATCGCGGATACTGCATGCACCGAACGCTCAAGAGTGATTACGTCTGCCGATCAGGGGCACCACTGGGGGTGCGGCGATACTTATACGGAGTACATGGCCGAGATAGCTGCAATGGAGCGGGCTGTATAGCGGGATGCATGCAAGTCAGGCTTTCGATGGAATGTGGGGTTTATTTACTCGGTGATTAAGCAGAAGCATGTCTCGAGGGTTTTGTTCTTAAAAAAAACCTTTTTTCTTTCTTTCTGGTTTGTTCTGGCGTTAAGGGGAATTGAATGTGTAGAGGGTAAGTTCTGGTGGATCGACCGTCACATATAGAGTGCCATTTCGAGTTGGACCCAGGACTCCGTAGATACAATTGACATATTGGGTTCAAATGGGGTCGAGTGATTCGATCCGAGCTAAATTAGGACAAAAGAGACTTTTTGGACTCACCAATGGCCGCATCCTCCTTATAGAGTTACTCCGTTCAGCTGCATAACATTTGTGATTTGTCAACCGTCAGTGTATATGTACCCTGGAGCTCCTTGAGCCTCTCGCTAGCGCTGCAGAAAGTTAAGATGGTTCGGTTTAATCTAATCCAGACACTGAGTTTTTGACTATTGTTGTGGCAGTGAAGGTTACGAGCTATAGACACTAAGTAGTGGACAGGAGGTACCACGCCAACTACAATAGTGGCCGCTATCAGGCTATAACGGTGGAAGACGACTTGGTCACCCGATAGAATGTCCGGAGTACGGAGTAGAAGCCTTGAAGATGCTTAGCCAGCCACTCAAATGCACAGAAGAAAAACGAAATTAACCCACATCAGCCCATGACGTAGGGGCAGCTAGAACAATTTCCGAGATGAAACGTCGAAGTGTGAGGCTTGAAATTCAAACGTTGCTAGGAGAAGTGTGAGGAATGTCCAACGCCGAGAAAAGACCTAAGCGTCCCCACAATGCCTCCACAGCCCAGAAGCCCTACAGTGCTGCCAAAGTGACAGAGCAGAAGAAGCATAGATCACGGCGATCGGCATTAGTGGCTGATCCGGAACTCACCCACCTTCACTCCGTGGCTGATACCTCACATTTTCGCTCCCAGCCTCTGCATGGGATTTTGGTCTGCACATGCACAGTGGGCGGACAATCAGCTGAAAATGACGACAAAGAAGGATGAGATGATTCATGGGAATGAGTTCGATCGCTGAGACGAAGAGCCGTGTCACTTCGTGGCCGTCTAGAGCTCACATCCTCGCACAAGATGGATTACGAGGCCCATTGCACTATAGAGGCTTCGGGATGTTTCTCAAGCCCTACGGATCGAGTTCCGCGCCCTTGCTGGGGGAGGAGAGACCCAATCGAAAAAGGTCCTTGCTGTAACCCCATCCCTGCGGAAGGGGACCATGCAAGGTCGGATAGGTCATGATCGTCTGTGCTTCGGTCTGTTTACATTGTGCATTTGGCATGCGTCGGTCTTTCCGGCCACCGGGCCATTATCCTCGAGCTTCTAGTCCTCGAGGTTATTTTTGGTATATCTATCCCCTTCGCCCTGGCATCCACCTCGTTTGTCCTCCATTCCTTCTCTTCTATCGTCCTGGCGGCAATCCCCTCTCGTTAACCTGCAGTGACTGTGCCTGGGTCCTAGTGGTTCTGCATTACTCGTGTTTCCTTCTCTTACCACTCGAGAGCATAGTCCCATGGATCGCAGAGGTCTTTACTGTCCAGGCGAGTTGGACGTGTTGTATCAAGACAGGAACGAATCAGAGACTACCATCTGTCTGCCGTCACCACCTGCAAAGCGAATTTCATCATACTACCCCACGACGGGCCCCAAGGTTGTTGAGGATTCACACCTTGATCCCTTCTACCTGGAACAATCATTGGCGGCCACCCCAACTTGGGATTCATACCCATCGGACATGCGCAATGATAATTTTGAAGACGAAAATCAATACTATACACTGTCCTTTTCTCACAACAAACAAATCAACACATTAAAATACCGACGTCCAAATCGCTCCACACTTGCACAGGTGGAGTTGGAGAACAGCCTGAGATTCCACCGATACACTTCCTCGACCGAAGAACATAGTACTTTGCACAGCAGCCATATCTCCTTCAGCTCTGTGCAGACAGACAATACCACCCCAGATTTGACACCCAGCAGCTCCTTCTCCTACGATACACCTGGCTGCCCAGACATTGTGATCGAGGCAACCCAACAACTTTACCAACACGCGCACCAAACCAAGTGCGAACCTCGCCGCCGATTCTATCTTCCTGCTTCGACACCACCTACATATTCTCTTCCTCCCCCGCCACCCCCACTGGGAGGGTCTTTTACCCCCGATAGTCGTCCCACTACACCTTCCTTCCAACATTCAAACGACTCCACTACAACCATCACTATGGGCTACGAGGACATGACGGGATCCGCTTCATCACGATCACGCCGCAGGAAGCAGCCTCCCCCTAGTCTCAACTTATCATCGCGTGACCCAAGCTCCCACAGCGTTAGCCGTCGCAAGCAATATAGCCCTGGGACCCGCCCCCCCGCTTGACCCTTCTATGATTTCCCCTCCATGTCTCATCAACCCAGTCACAATGGAGCCCCACATGACACACTTTGACCACCCTCTTTTCATCCCTGCCAACGATTGTCCAAGCCCAGTTCCCAGCCCGGTGGCTAGCTCCCCGCCTATTTCCCGCCAATGGACAGCGAACTCGATGGAGCGGCCTTCGATCTCTACCATTGATGCCTTTTGCGAGCAGTCTGTCTGGGAGTCCGACTCCGATTCAGAGTCTCTTGGCTGCAAATCCATGTCGCGGAGACCTATCGACACTCTGCGCAAGGTCCGCAGTCGCGCTAAGCTCCGTGGTGCCAAGTCGCAGCCTCGACTGCATCAGACTATGCTCGGTGAACAGACAGTGGACGAGTTCCGATGCATGCCCGAGGACATTGTAGGGGAGCCCATCCCAGACAATATCCGACCTAGCATCGAACGTCCCAGCACTAGCAGAGACGGCCTGCGTCCGCCTAACGCCCTGCAGACACTGCGTCTTGTTGCCCCTTCCACCACATCTCTCATTCGCCCTCGATCTCGGAAGAACAGCAATCCAGATAGCGCTGATGTCGCTCGCGCTGCAGCTGCGGCTGCAGCTTTGCAAGCACAATCCCGGCGGCGCCAGCGCTCCGACTCACCAGAATACTCGAACCCCGACAAGAGCAGCCAGGAGAAGTTGACGGCATTCTGCTACGAGCAGCACTCGCAGTTTCCGTTCATTGATGGATCCCGCGAGCAAAGACCCCTCTTCCAGCGCTTCATGGACTCCTTACGTTCACTTAACTGCCAGAAGCCCACCAAGTCTCGCAAATCTTACAAGAAAACCAATGTTACCACCATTTGATGCATTTACAATCGGCGTTCCGGTTCCCAGGGTTCTACTTAACGGACGATACCATGCTACAACATTCAACTCTCTCAGCGATCACTACATTGTTTTGATATCATTTGCCATCACATATCCCACGTGTTTTCCATTACCAACACTTTCGCTCCCACGCGACTCCTTTTGCCTCCCAATGAAAATAACGAATCTCCACATCTGACTGTGGCTGGACACTGACATGCGCCAAAAGAGGTTCTCTACGCGTAAACCTCGCGCAAAACGAATTTCACGCCTGGTTCTAGCGACCATGACTACCAACTACTGACTCGAAACCCTCGAGCTGACTATCGTTAACTTTCCTATATGTTATCTCTCTTCAATATCTTGCATGTCTGGATCGCGCCTCCCGCGCGCTGTATCAACAACGCTTTGTCTGATCACGAAGTCCTCGTGTACACGGTCTTCATCACATCATGAATGTCTATAGACTCAAGTCTCACCCTCGCTGTGCCAACAATTATTTCCTTATTTTCTCATTTTTTTTTGTCATTTACTTAATCCCAGACTTTGCCGGAATTTGGCGTTCTCTGTGGTCTGTCTTTTTACGATGCAAAATCCCTGCATTCTCTCAATCTCAGCATTCACCAAAAAACCTGTTTCATTATTTCAAACTTGCATAGACAAAGCTAGAAATCTATACATTCACGATGATGTCAGCGATCGTTTTGCCTTTCTATCGTCTAGGTGATGACACGCTTTCGAGGAATGCTAGATCACCTCTCGAAACCATCCTCCGAGGTATCTCGAATGCTACCACACCCTCCAGCCACACTCCCTTCGCAATGACGCATAACAGCAGCTCCACAGACCAGGACCCCACAGTCCTACACAACGCACGGTGACTCAATCCACTACACCCAAACCTCAACCAAGGGCGAAAGGGGCAAGCCTCGGCCCTGGCCACAAAATTAAGATTCCCAGCTAGGAATTATTACCTTTGGGACTTTGGATAGCCCTCCATCCTGTTAGCCACGTACGTAGTCCGCTTCGATGAACCGATATTGTCGATCGCCTGCAGCCCTCTCGGACTCCCCCGGGCCTAATGTACGCGACGAAGCCCGCATCCTGGATCTCGGGTCGCTTTCCCCACCAGGAAACCGCACTGCCTACCTGTCGGATTCCTGCGAAGCTATTTCTAGGAACCCCACTGTGGCTTCGACGGAGACACCGAGTGCAGATCGTCTGGGCTGTGCTGGGTCGACGTGTCGACTTTAGAGTTCTTAGGGCTTGGAGCCACATGCCGACTATTTTGGATTATCATCCACGACACTTCTCTTCCCCTGCCGCTACAGGTAAATTGTTTCCTTTGCTAGCGTTTCTCATCTAGATTAACTATACTCCGTACGGGATATTTCGTACTCAACTACCCAGTATACACGTTCGATCGAGAAACCCACGAGTGGAGACAGGATGGCATCCCTTGCATCGGCCCCTCAACGTCTGCCAAGCGACACATTGCGTCTGAGATCCTTATTTTCGATCTGGGCTGGAAAGTCTTGGAAAACCCATATATCGAATATAGGTGATACAAGCTTAATCGGAACGTATCGAGTCAACCAAACGGCCCGGAGTACATTCCCCGCGCTTTCCCCTCAACCTGATATCACACGTTCGCTATGCTGAATGCAACTTCAAGCCAACTCGTAGATCTGCCAATTGTCACTTTGACAGTCAACGCTAGACAGGGGTCTTGTTTGTGCTGGTCAAACACAATTTGTCTCTGCCGGACTTGCCTTATGCGATTTCACAACGCAAGGCGGTCGATCCTTCGGATGCGTGCTCGTGTCCCCCAGGTCTGTCTGCTTGTCGGTTTCAGATCTGTCGGAGTTTGCGCGGTGGAGATCTAGGCCGCAGAGAGTTCGATCGGGTGCCTTGTTGTCAAGACTTCCCTGTTTCTGGGTGGGTACGCTTTTGTCTTTGAATCTAGGCCAAGGGCTACGTAGGGGATAGGTGTGACATATGAGCTGTCGGATTCGCCTCGTGTTTGACAGACAGGTGTCTGTCCTGTCGTCTGTGCTATCTCACAAATGCAGTCTTGTAAAGTACATTATACTGTTGGGTGCTCGCTGGGTATAATCTGCCGTGAGTCGGGGCGAGTGTCTCAAGATTCCTCGCAAGGAAAACCCAATATCAAATCCCAGTCGCAGTACCATAGCAACAACGCCACCAACAGCTGCGGCTATAGTAGTCTGCAGAATCCCCAGCGTCAGTGTGTCTCGGAGCAGCACAACCGTTATGTCCCAGGTGGCAAAGAACGGACAGGCCGGAGAGACTTTCCGCCCCGCCCACTGTATCGACCTTGCAGCGGCAGCGGACCCCTGTTCCAAGCCCTTGGGTACCGTACCCGCATCCTCACGCCAAGGGATGAGTCGTGCGGCGCGGGATGCGCGGTGGAGTCCCCGAGAGACAATCGACCCGTGTCTGCAGAAACATACATCTGCGTTGGCAATCGGCACGATGCTCGTTTTTCGTCCTTCATCCCTCGCACTGCTTCCCTGGAGAAGGAACTTGGCATGTAGATCCTGACAGCGCTGTATCGCATCGACAAACATCCAATGCAAATCATGGATGTATCGCAAATCGGAAACAGCTTCAGCTCCGTTCCACAGTGCCCTCATCACCCTTACTCTCATCCTTCTTCATCTCCAAGGCCTCCATATTCTCCTCCCACTTTGGAACATCCACCCGTCTCTCCCATTTAGATAGAATGACATCACCCCGCCGCGCCAGCTGCACCTCCGCCCGCTCTTCTTCCGCCTTGCCCGGGGCCGCAACCTCCGCAGGGCCACCGCCCTCCGCAAAGACCGCCTGGACATCTAGTTCATTGAGGGCGGTCTCGTAGAGCGTACGCAGCTGCTCCCTCTTCTGCCGACGCAATTCCGTAATCTCATCTGTATTGCCCATATCCCCGGAGCCAGATGTAGCGGGGTTGCCCCGCACGGGCTTCTTCACAGCACCGGGTCCGCTCCGCTCTTCAAATCCGCGTAGTAGACCTTCCATAATACCGAGGACCGTACCCGCGCGCATTCCCATCTGCGCACCGACGGGGAAGCCGGCGTCGAAGCCTTCTTGGACGTGTGCGCCCTTTGAGGAGGCCGTGCCGTCGCGATACCCGGCTGTGACGTGCTGGCGGCGCAGGGAAGGGAGGTCGGATGGTTCGGCGGAGGTGGATGCCGAGGCGGCTGCTGCTCGGGCTGTGTCGAGCTCTCTTTCGCTGCGCGGTGGGGAGGAGCCGAAGATGTCGTCGAGGGAGTTGTCCACTGCGGGGTCGTCGGTTTGCGTTGAGGTCATTGTGGTTTCTGGGGAGGCTGGAGCGGATTGGGCGGAATCCGAGCCTGTGGGTGTTAGAGACATTGTTTGAGGAGCTGGATCTGGTGCACTCTTTGACTTGGGTTGGAGAGTGTTGACGCTGTGGAAGAAAAAAAGTTGATGGGAGCGGGTCGGCGGGGCGATCCGCCGATCCACTGAAGTATAAGGGGAGCATCTATAGACGGTTATTGCTTGTGTCTTGCCATTGTGCGCTGATGCTTGTGTGTACGGAAACATTAGGACTGCACTTCTTCAACTCCTACATTGTATACTCATATTCTCTTACAATTGAGGACATTATTCGGGGGTGGAGTGCTACGCCGCCCAAAGCCTCATGGGCCATACGCGCCGGATGTTATAGGTATCTAGGTACCTGGTCAATTGAAGAACCTTGTGAAACTAATATGACAGCACATACGACTGCTAAGATGCATTTGCAACATATTGAGTGCTCCTTTCACAGTTCGAAGGCCTGAAATAGCCTCCGAAATCACCTTAGGGCTCAACAATCTGCACAACAAGTATCCAACTCTCACGAGAGTATGGCCCTCCACATACTGCATTGTCCAATGATTCTTGACTGCACATATGCCAAAATATGTATACCCAAAACTCCGCTCAAAGTCTCTCACCCAGAAATTCTGCGACCAGAACATCGTATCTAGACAAGGAAGGCTGAGCTCTCGCTGAAGCTACCTCGGGGAACTTCGTACTGGCCGCCGCTTCTGCTAGTGTCATCCATTTGTTTGATACACTACTAATAGACTGAAGGTAAATACCGTCAACCAAGAAGCCGCTCATGGTGAGCACATCTCCTTGCCTTGGTCAAGCTACGGTGGTTCAATTGCCCAGTTGTCCCGCCGAGTGACGAATTGCAGTCGTCATAAAGGCAAAATGCGAGGAACCTCTGCCTGAACTTGAAGTTTTGAAGAGACACCACAGATTCGGTGAGGCAATCTCGCTTCATGGAATTTCATGTCCCGTCCGGTGTCAGGTATTCATTCCTGGGAAGGGAGCAGGATGCTAAGGTTCACTCTGCATATTCCTACGACCGAAAATTCTTCAACCCGAGGAAAAACAGAAGGTTATGCCCGGTTGTGTTATGGCCTTATGGTCTTGATATTTTGGGTAATTCTCTGACTTCCTTGATGGCGTCATTGCGCTTCCTCCAATATGATGAGACCCGCCAGTTCTAGACGGCACTTGGCCAATCTCCTTGGCTTTGAGAGCTATAACTACATGTCTTTCTTAGCCATACCATGATTTTGGGTCTTCTTTGCGCAAGCCCGTTATCCCGGAATTATACTCTTGTGTCAAAATACATTTACTCTCCGTAAGGAACAGTAAATGGATTGATCACTGTTCAGACTTATTAGGATTATGTTTATGAAGAGACCTAGTAAGATCATATTGTAGAGCTTCTCTGCTGGAAATGCGATTTTGAATTACTAATGTTCCAATGGTCTTTCAGACCTATGATTTACCGTCCATGATGTAGAAAGCCTCATGGACTTTGATATTTCTGCTCTAAGCTACCTAGGTAGGGCCAGAAAGGTGAAAGCTGCCGAATTAACCTTGCCATCATACACTTAGCTATACCCCAAACATATTTGCTTCATACAGGTTGGATTTGTAATCGCATTTTTTGCCAAAATTCTTCCCAAGACTATACAAATTGATGTAACCCGAATCCAACTTATGGACCTAGCTCTATACCTGGAAAGGTCTACTGCTGTTCTTCTCCATCACCCTCATCACTCCCATCAGGGAAACAAGGATCCCCTTTCGAAACAACGGAATATGACTGGAACCCATTGTACAAGTAGCACACATCCCAGTCATTGGTAATCTTCGCCAAGTAGCTCTCAGGGGCACAATCATCAGTGCCGAACATGCAAAGGTCGAACCGATACGAAATCATGGGTGCTTTCCATGAGATACTCTTGATTTCCTCGGGTTCATTAAAAATTTGCTCGCAAGTACGCCCAGACTGGCCGTAGCGACGACCGATGGAGTACTCGATATTAGATACGGAGGAATTGCAAACTGGGGGTGCTTCGCTGAGGAAGCGCAGATCCCACTGGCAAGTGTTAGCGGGATAGTTTTATAGAGATGAGAATTTGAAGAGTTCTTCTTGGTGGGACTGAACATACAGCTCTCCAGGCGAGAGTTCCGACTTCTTCAGGGGTAGGAACTGCGTTCACAGTCCAGGCAGAGGCGCTGAAGAGCGCTAGAGTCATGGCGAGAAACTTCATCTTGCACGGTGAAAACGGACTTTTCTTTGGTGCCAAGGAGTGTTATTAGGAAAAGGAAAACAGAATTTCTCTGAAAGGTACAAGATTCGAGCAGATTTTCTCCTTATTATACGCCTGCACACCCCCCGTCAGGCTATTTGAACACTCATGCACCTGCAGGAAGCGGGCCCAACAGCCCAATCACATCCGACAATGACCAGTCTCGACTCCATGGACTCCAAGATAAAACCCTGCAGTTGCAGCAAAAGAGGAGTCAAAAAAAAACAAAATACTGGGAGCTGAAAGAGTCTCTGGCTGATACCACTCCATAGAGGGGTCTCGCATAAAGCGTTTCTTGGCATCGGGGAAAACAGCGTTGGGCTTTGGGATATTCATTGGGCGACGTGAGACGAGGCGAGAGGTTTGCGTCTTGAAGGCTTCTCATAAGATACAGCTCATTCGGGTCTTGAACGCGGAGGAATTATGGGCGATGAATCCACATTTCCAGGTCATTGGACAGAAGGTTGGTTGTCTCGCCGATTCAGGAACATGGCGAATAAGCGCTGGCTTGGCTCAGGGACCTGTCACTTCAGGAACCGGATATTAGCTGACATGCAGATTGGGTTGCAGACACGAGTTCGCTTAATCAATTTTTCTCCGGTCATACGAGGTTGACCCAGACCGTCAGCTTTAGAGCACGTACACTCGAGCAGCAGTGAGGGGATTTGCTCGTTTTGCTAATATCCTCTAGTCAATTGAGATCTTGACTTGCAGATGGTCTGAAAGGCAATTGTGATATTGACCTTTATCATTTTCCTGGCTCACTGCCTTAGTGGAGGACGGCACGGAGTACTAGACCTTTTGATACGCATAACTAGAGGCGACGTAGGAGAAAACATTGATGAAATGTCACGGGAGAAAAATAACCAGTGACAATAGAAGATAAACCTTCGATATCTTTGATTCATCTTTTGCCATTGACACAAATCTCATCGCCGAACACATCACAGGCATTGGTCCAGACCCAACATAACATGCCGGATGTAAGAGGATAGATATAGCCAATACTCTGAACCATGCGATATCCCTCATATAGAGCATTGGCCGCGTTAGGCGCCCCCGCCTGACATCACAGCAGCATTCTCCTCGGTATCTAGGTCCAAGTCAGATCATTTCCATAATATCCAGATACAGGAGACCTTGTAAGATCGATAAAAAGTACAAGAAGAAGTCCAAGTGAAGATGGTTGAGTCCGACAATCCGAGAAGGGAAGAAATTATCCAGACCGTGCTGTGTTCGCTAGAATTTATGATGGTAGAATGTGTTTGAGTGAGGCACTGGCTAAGATGGGAACAGGTATTTTGCTTTTATGACTATTATTTTCTAGTTGACTTTATGAACAAGAGACCAGAAAGGATGGAAGGGTCTCTGAGGCGTCAATTTGGACATTTTGGACACTATAAAACTCGCGTATCCCCTCCAGCGAATGCTCTCGGAGGCGCATTTCCGTCCAATAAACTAGCCAGAGTAGTAGAAGTGGACAATGGGTTGGATCTCCTGTCTTTTGCAATCTGATCTGACTGGATCAGTCAATCCCGCGTAATTCGCCAGTCAGGATCCCGATATTGATCTATGGCAAGATCAAGATCGCAAGATAGACGTCGAAACAATGGTCGAATTCTCCAGGTTTCATCGGCTGGTTTGCCAAAGTGCCTCGCTGGCATATGATGGAATGGAAATTGAAGGTAGGAGTCTTTGGGAGTAAGGGAAGAATGAAGTAAGAGAAAATTCAAGTTGATTTGCAGATGAGATAGGGGACAGCAAAGAAGATGGAAGCCGAATTCTCTAGGAGATAGGAAGGACCCTTGTATAATCGGGTACACTAAAGCTGAAACAAAGACTATGTAGGAATATCGACGTGCGATCAATCTCTTGCTTAATATACTAAGGTACTTGTTGAGCAGGCTCGTTTTCAGTTTCGTCCTTCAGACGTAGTCCATCGGCCTTATAATATCTTGCTAAATACGACTCCGTACATCTCCAAATAACATATAACATATCTAAGTCATTTATTTATTCAATCTATAGAATATCCCACACAGGGGGTATACATTATAGGCCGTCACAAGAACCAGCACTGCACGAGACTGTTTCAATCATTGCCGCTGTGGACTCGTGGTCAACCGCCAAGCCCGAAGAGGCAAGTCCTGCAACTTCTGTGCTGCCGGTTTGATAAACATTATAAATGTAAGCGTGCCGATCAGCACACAAAGCATGTTGGTCATGTAGTAGCCGTCACGGTCGATCTGACAGGTACCGCCACCGTTGATGCAGCGGTTCTTCTCTGGCTCGAGGGCGCAGGAGAATGCCGTTGTGACAAGGGCGTCTTTGAGGGAATCGGTGGGTGGGGCGATGGTCGGGGGTAGACATGTGGCTTCTGTGAACATGTCGACGAGTTTAAGGACGAAGATGCGGGGGAAGGTTCCTCCCAGGTTACAGACACTGGAGATATGTTAGCTATTGGTAAGGCTGTGAGTGCTTTGGGGAGATGGGAGATGTTTGGGCTTACGTTGCGAGGAGTGTCATGTATGTCCCGCCAATGGCTGGGTCGGCAATACGCGCGTGGAAGGCCGAGATGGCGACGAACATGACGGTGTTCATGAAGGTTGATAGGACATGCTCGCCAATTACAGTAAGCATGTACCACATCGGCACTTCCGGAGCACTGGGGTAGATCATCACGGTCAATTGGGCGAGCACGGCGGCTGCCAGTCGGCCGATAAATGCCCAGCCCCAGAGGCGCATTGCGCCGTAGTTGGTTGACCACTGACCGGCGTAATAGCCCAGCATGATTTCAAAGGGGAAGTCAATCAACACAACCAAGGCCATGTTGTCTTGGCCGAAGCCCTTATCCAGAAGCTTGAGGCTGGTGACTCCGTCATTGGCCTGGAATCCGATCTTGGCAATCAGGTGGATCAGAATGATGGTCTGAATGTTCTTCAACTTCAAGACACTCCACATGCTCTTATAGACATCCATGATACTATCACGCTCCTTGGTGCGCTCTTCCTTCTTCAGGAGAGCCAAGCCACAGGTCACGATCAGATAAGCCCAGCCCCAGAAGCTAAGGTATGTGCCGAGGGATAGCAGGCCACCCTCGCCAGGGACGGTTCGGAACCATCGGTTCGCAAAGTCCTTCGAGTTAAAAGCCAAGAACACGGTGTACGACAGAAAATGGCCGGCTGTCAATCCGACCGTTTGCGCGGTCGAGGCGTAGGAGATGTTCGGCGGGGACATCAAAGTGATAGCCCAGCCATCCACTGCAATGTCCTGGGTGGCGCAGAACAGAACCAGCATGAACCACCAGTATGTGAATGTCCAGACACCCGCGCCGCCATTCGCGCCGGCCTTGACCATCATGTTTTCAATGTGGCCTCCCATATAGATCATAGCTAGTCCGGCAATCACCTGCACTGGGGTAATCCAGCTCTTGCGGCGACCGAAACGCGTGCTCCATACTGCATCCACAATTGGACTCCAGAATAGTTTGAGAGAGTATGGGTATGAGGCGAGCGAGAAGACTCCAATCTGGCCGTATGAGAGATATGGCTTGAGGAGGAAGGGCACAGAGCCAGTGGCCAGGCCCATGGGCACTCCTTGGAGAAAGTATAGTAATACCAACAGCAGGAAGTTGCGGCGATCACTGTGCGGTAGGTCGTTGAAAGTTGTAGTGGTCTGGACGGGGGTCTGCGGGATGACGGCGGGTTCGTAATCGAGGGAGAAGCCAGGCCTTGACATGAGTTGAGCAGTTCTTTCAGCAGAGGTCTCTGCAGAGGGCGTGTCCCTCCTGCGCATTTCTATGTTGTGATTCATCTTGCCGTTCGCATGTCCGTTTGTCTGTGTAGCCAGGTGCAAGCTCGGTTTGGAGCGGCGCTTCGTGAGGCTCCCGTTCTTGCGTGGCATTGAATATTAATTAATGAAAAACAGAATTCACTGTGGTGGCCAACTTTGTCCTAGTTGGATTTGAGGACAGAAGTTGGGTATTATGATAAGGGAATGTGAAAGGGATGGAACGAGGGCAGTTGGGCTGTAAGGAGAGCCGGGGGGTTATGAAAAGGTCTAGGTACCCGAGTAGTACGTTTAGTTTCGAAGATAAAAGAGTGTATGCATGAATATCAAAAGGAAGAATCAAAGAATGGGGGGGATCTCCAAGACGCCCAAGTGGAGGATGACAAAAAAAGTAGTTTTGAGGCAAGCTGGCCTCTTGGCTTTTCGGTGGCTTTGCAAATCCGGGGGAGCCTCTTTTTTAATCTCATTCTTCACACTTCTGCAACTGGATCCCATTTGCCCTTGATCTCCTTCATCTGCCCATTTGTTCTATTGTTACACACCATGCAGATGAACTCATCGGAGCAAACCCCAGGAGCTATGAGGTCATAGCAACACAGTGGGACTGTATCAGGGATCTAATGAGACTAAAAGCCCAACCTAGACCCTCTACTTCAAACATCGGCTTTCAATAGATCGGGCATCAGCATGTAATAATAGATGGATTTAATGTCAGTGCTTCGCTAAGCTTCTCGCGTCAACTCTTGCCCAGATCACGTGCTGTAAATAAACATTGCATCGGGAACTGCGCAGCTGTCCTACCTTCTCGCGGGCTTAGGGGAACCTCGATTTCTAAACCTCCCATCTATTTCAACCCACTCTCCAGTAACCATCATCTACCTATATCTACAATGACAAAATTAATGTCGCGCGTCCCCGCATCACCAGACCCAGAAGAAGAAGAACTAGACTCGGAGATCACCTCGATCCGCGCAGAAAGTAAGCAGACCGAGTCCCAACCAAATCCCCAAAAGCAACAAACTAACCCATACAAAGTCCAAAATCTCCAAAAACGCAAGCGCATCCTCACATCGAGTCTCCTAGCAACCGACCCCGTCCAAAAACTGCTCCGCAAACCCGCAGCTCTAAACAATCTCAGTGATGACCTCGCAACAATCTCTCCTCTAGCTCGCGCCGCCGGCACGCACACCTCATCAAACCACCACCGCATCGCCTTCAGTGCAACCGCATTCCCATTCAAGGATCCGTCCCCAAGAGCCCCCGCGAACCTCCTCGGCGTGCGCATTGACGTCTGCGCGCGCAACGGCCGCTTCGCCAAGCCATACTATGTCCTCCTCCGGCAGGGCCAGAGTCGCGCAGATTCCGGCTCCAAAGTATTGAAGGTCCATCGGCACACGGTGCCGGGGTTTATATCTCTTGAAAAACTGGAGAGTGTTTATCTACCCCACCCTGGAGGTTCGCAAGGCGATAGGGATGGAGATGGAGATGGTTCATCTGACGGGGAAGATGAGGTTGCTGAGCCAGCGAAGCCGTGGAAGAAGAATGGCCGAGTTGCGCGCAAGCAAGATCTGCGGGGCTTTGTGCGCGAACTACGCCGCGAGCTTGTGGCGTGGCATATGCGTGTGGACGCTGTTGAGTTCCTGCGCGAGAAGTTGGGTCTTGTGGGCGAGGGGGGCGCGCCATTGCCGTTTGACGCGTCGCCGGATCAGGATACGGGGATTGTGTCTTTGGCTGCTGCTGCGCTGGAGGCGCGGTATGTGCGGCTTGAGTGGGCGGATGGACGGGTTGGGCGGTTTAAGTTGACCAATGCTGGGGTTGTGGAGAGGGCTGTTGTTATTGGTGATGAGGGGCGTGATAAGAAGACTGAAGATGCGATGACTGGGGGTGGGGGTAGGATTGAGACGGTCTTGGAGAGATTGAAGGTGGATGTTTTGTCCAAGTCACCATGAAGCGTTGTGTTTTGTCTTATCAAATGATTCTTCTACTAGCCAGATACCCCAATACGAAATTAAACTGAATCCCACGATACCATTACTCCATCCTTCAGACCTCTACAAATACCCGAACGGATTGCGCAGATGGAAGTTGATATAACCACAGTGCTACGATGAGCCAAGAACCAAAAATCAGAGATAGCCATTGTAAATAAGTTCAATTGTCACGTCTATTCAATAACCTCCACCAATGCTATGCAATCATGAGACCAAAAAGCCGCCGCAATGCGTATATGTGGGGGTGACCAATGGTCGATCCAAAAGCAGATCAAGTTTATTACAAGAAGAGTAGGGGGCGTAACAAAGAGAGAAGATGCGGAGATAGCAATGTCCGACATTAAAAAGATAGGGCAAAGAAGTGGGCTGATTAAAAAGGGTATATTGAGTGGATGTCGTGTCATCGTGAGCACTCCAATTAGAGCGCCACGCAATCCTGGTTGGGATGGATTGTATCCGGGGTACTGGACGATTCGAGAGGGGAGTGTTCTGGAACCCCGACGGGGGTATCGGTAGGGTGTGCGAACGAAACAAGGGGTAAGGGACCATATGATTGGCCATGTCGCATCTCGAGATGTCTCCGTAGGACAGCCTCTTCTAGGTGCCAGCGTTGTCGCAGGGTTGTCTTCTTCGTATCCAAGGCTTGCATGAGAGAGATTTCTTCTCGTTGGTGCTCTGCCTGCAACGTAGCAAGATCCTGAGTGTTTTTATTACACATGTCATCGAGTTCCCTTTCCATACGCGCCGTGGCTTCCTGCAGCTTGAGTTCTTGGCGGTCACGGAGGACTTTGATACGAGCGTTGTGGAGCTGGTCCATTGTTTCGTGGCTATGGTATTGTTGTTCGAGCTGCTCCATATGTTGACGAGTCAATACACGAGGTGGTGGGGTTAAGTCGGGTTCTGAAAATGATTCCGAGGTTCTTTCGGTTCTTGTCGGGGTTGCGATGGGAGAGGGTGGTGGGCTGGCATTGCGGAGATACCCCTCCATGTGCTTGATCCGAGTGCGCGAGTTCATCTTGGCTCGATCGAACTCACGTTGCTGTTCAATTTCAACGGCGAGTTGTCGCTCTTCAATTAGGGATATGGCTTCGATGTTCTGCAGGAGAAAACGTTAGCATAGAATTACATAATGAAGCGAATGTTGGCAGAACGAACCTTGTCGCGTTTCTCATCCTCGTGCTGCTGGTTGTCAGATTGCTTTTCCGAGACAGCAGTCAGGTGTCGGCGCCGGAGGATACTCAAGGCGGCATCTTGGAAAGCCAAATGCCTGTCCCTTTCCATCCGATGCCGTTCTTGCATCTCACTCAGCTCGGGATCATCGAGAGTTCTCTGCAATGCCTCTTTGCTAAACAAAGGGATTTCCAACTTAGGAAGCGGTACCTCGATGATCGGATTGGCCGGGACATGTTCATGAGCCGCATCGTTGGACTCTGCGTCACGTTCTAAGAACACATGATCCACGCCGTTTTCGCCCGTAGAGACTGTAATCCGTGCCGCCGGTGGCAGGACCAGGGCCGACGATGTGCGCTTTTTGCGGAAATTAATCCTTCCGATAGCAGATTTCAAGCTGCTTCGGCGCTTCTCCTTCTTATCCGCAGAAGCGACACTTAGCATTGAATGCCGATGTGAATTGGGGTCAAATGGTTCGAGAGAATACCCAAGCCCAGTAATGCCCGACTTCCCCTCACTTGAACAAAACGAGGTCGGGCGAGTAGACAGCGAAGCCAGCGATCGCGTGCTGCCGGGTTTCATGCGATCGGAAGCCAGTGTGACATCGGACAACGACGAAACGACTTGGTCCAGCGCAGAGGGAGCGGGGGAGGACGGCTCGTGGGACGGAGTGACAGAGCCGCAGGTCGAATTCCGATCGGTCGACGAGCCGGAGGACAGGACTGGCGATGAGAGATCGACCATTCCTGAGGCGATCGAGGCGGCCAGTGGTGCAGTTGCCTCGATCTCCGGGACTTTCAGCCCCAGCTCTCGTGCCTCGTCGGCGAGCTGTTGCGCCCGCGCTTCTTCGGATTCGGGTGTGGGGAGATCGAGGACATCGCGACGGTAATGGGCCTCATCAAAGACGGGCCCAGTGCTTGACTCCATTGTATGTACAGGTAGCAGTTGTATAGGGCGCCTAACCAGCGCACATGAAGTAGCGAGGAATGGAGAACTCGCCCACTGCAGTGGACGAGAAGGACGCAGGCTATGACGGCATCCGCTCAGGAGAGGGTCAAATTGATGAGGGGGGGGGTAATGACAGTGGAGGTGGTCAAAGCCAATTCAGAAGATCAATACGAGGCAATAAGGGGCAGAAAGGGGAACAAAGACCATGTTTCTTCATGTTTTTCTTTTTCGGGCAATTTTTCATAAAAAAATCAGCTTGACCCACGGGCGACCCTGGCGCAATCCCTGGCTCTACTATGGGACGATGGGGTCATCATGAAACGGCCTAAGATGTGGGTTGATGAGTGATATCAGAGAACCGACTATTACTCCATACCCTGGTTTCCAATAGATATGACTCGTCTAGCTCGTAGGCATATATTAACTATTGGACACCGGCATTTATCCCGATAGCCTTGCGCCAAACTGCCCTAACTCTATACTCCGGACATCGACTTCATACCCCTGGCCGATGGTTGCCATCTCAGGAAAGTAGGGCTTAGGGCTACGGTCATAGCCTCCGGTTCCAACTTCCAAGTTTATGACGGGTCAGGCCAGGAACGGGGGACTCCGTGAGGGAGTTCAAGAAAATGAGTCGGGAATACAGGACTATTCGTTCAACATGTCAAATGCCAGCTGGTAAGCCCGTTCTTTGGCTTCGTGCTGCGGGGTTCCCGCCCTCGTGCCTTTGTCCCACCCATGGCTGCATCCGATCATTCTGTAGCTGTCCACATGCCAGCCCTTCAAATCCTGGATCTTCTGGGCCAGTGCCTCTGCCTCCACTGCGAGGGTATCCCCATCCGCAGTGATTATCAGCATTCGTCGAGGGAAACGATCTGCCGGAGCATAGAGTGGTGAAAGGCGCGGGTCCCGCTTGTCCAAGGACGAGGGTATATAGCAGCGGTCGAACAGGCGCATCACGGGAATCGGAATTACAAAATCTCCTCTGGTTGGTGCAATCTTCAACGCAGGATCGAGGCTCAGATCGGTCACCGGATAGATTGTCACCAGGGATCGGAAAGTATCGCGCGGGAAGAGGTTCGAGGCGGCTACCAGCGCGAGGTTACCACCGGCACTGAAACCAGACAGAGACACATGGTTCAAGTCAAACTCGTCGGGATTTGTAAGGACATATCTGATAGCATCTTCCACGTCGTTTAGGGCTGCGGGGAAAGGGTGTTCTGGTGCTAGACGATACGGAACATCCAAGACGGTATACTTCGTTTCGCGGCTGACCCTTCGACAGTACTCGTCGTCACCGCCGTGGAGAGGTATTACGAAGCCACTCCCGTGAAAGTTGAGCAGCACCGGTGATGGTCCCTTCCCAGACGATCGATACAGACGAACTGGAATAGTTCGGCCGTCATCCCGCGAGTTGATCTGGCGGATTTCATCTGGCGCGGCCGATACATCCCTGGCAAATCTCATATAACTTCGTACGATAAATGCAAAGCATTTGTTGTAATAATTTGTGGGAAACGACATATTTGGCGGATGTACGGAGTACGGAGTGTGTTGAAGCTGAGTCTCAGTCAAAGGCTGGGGTTCGACCGGGGTGCAACTAACTACTGCTGATCCTGACCCAATCCTAATCTGATCTAACCTCTACTAGCTACCTAGGTAGGATTACTTACCAGTAACTGGTCCCGAACCTGCCGCCCATGTGTCAAATCTCATTTATAACCTCGGGATGTACGGAGTACTCCCTAAATATTGAATCCCTCGAAACCCAGGAGATGACTTCCCAGAGCCTAAGGCAGCCGCGCCCCCGTGCAGTAGACAGTGCAACCTTTATCTGAAATTGCAGTGAAGTGATTGGGGAGATCTCAATTAGACGAATACTTTAAATCTGACATTCTTCCACAAACACTCTAAATTCCCGATCTCTGTAACATGAATCATGCCACCTTCTGTCGTGCGTCGACATATCTGATCCATCGTGGTCGTAGCGTGACTCTCATCTCGTGGCTGTGGATTCCCCGCAATGGGAAAATTCCACGCGGAGCCGCAATCGTTTTCCACGCACCTTGTCCGCCAATGAAAATGACCACCTGCCGTCGTGACGCCCATCTCCATCTCCCATCACCATCCCATCTATTGTTTCCTTTTTGGAGTTCGGGGCTGCCTAACAAGCTATTAATTGATATATTTCCTACATAATCTAGCCTTTTATCTAACTAGCCACCGAAAGGCTTGTTGTTGAGCTGCACAGGACCATTGGGAGATCCGCTTTTTACACCGCAATCTACACAATGACCACCAAAGTCGACCCCGTTGATACCAACTTCACAGTTTTCATACGGTTGCCATTCCCTCGGGGGGACTTTATCGATCCGCCACCGGCAGGTTCTTCCAGACGGAGCTTCTTGAACATTTTACTAACAGAACTAGGTGGAATGGAACGCTTCCAAAGACCAAGCGCTATGGGATATTCTCTCCCGGCCATCGAAAGGAGACATTGACTGTACGAACCTCACTGGGCTATACATTTACAGCTAAACTAAGTAATACTGACATCATTCTAGGGAAAGCTTTGTAAATGCCTTTCACTTTCCACCACCCCAAGATTTGCTAACATGGTTCATCTAGGGCAGAGAACTTTGATGTCACACTGCAGTTCTTACTCCAACAGGCAGCATGGCTTTACGACCGCCAGCTATCACAGGTTCGGGCTCAGATGCGGAAGGTTGGGACTACGCAGTCAAGCTCTCCTTCCCCAGCTCCAGGTTCTGTCACTGGGAGTACGGCCTTGGGTGGGCAGTCACAGAGAGACACCCCCACGCTAGGTAAGTATATCGTGCTGATAATGCCTATTATTGTTGAAGACTCACATTCAACAGGTTCTCGGGCGACATCACGACATGTAGCTCAACAAAAAGATATTCAGCGAGGTATGGACCAATCTCTCGCCCGTCCGTTGGATTCAACACATCTGATAGTGACTAGCTCCTGACAACCGACGCACAAGTGTCACGTCAATTACCACTATTACTGCTACTAATACAGCCCGGGGGTCTCGCGACCCTGTACGCACTGGCACACCCACAATCGACGATAAAGAACCACACTGGGATGCTTTTGGTCGTCGCCCTTCGGCTGTCAGACGGGAACAGCCGCCCGTCGCGTCTTTACCTAAATCTCCCACACTAGAGGAAGAGTCTCTATCTTCTAGCTCGGAGGAATCTGACTCCGATGATGACGCAGACCCACGGGCACCCCGATTCAAACGGTTTGGTAAATTCTCTATGCAGCGCTCTGGTCTTCGGGATGATGAGGACGACGAGGATGATACCCCAGCATTCCTCCCCTTTCCCCGGGAAACTGAACACGCTTACCGAGAACGACCAGTCCATGGAAGTGCCACTCTCCGCTTAGATGCCGAGCGAGGAGCAGCTGTGCAAGGCCGACGTGCCGATCAGCAATCTGGTCCCCGGACACCGACAGCTACGGAGTCCTCCACTAGCTCGATGAGTTCTGGTGGGCCTGTCATTGTACCCGGAAATAGACGGATCAGCCAGGGCCCACCAATCTATAGCCCCCAGCGCGTCGCTCACTCGCGCCAAAACTCCCGCAAGTCCACCGCCTCCGGTCGCGAAGCTAGTGACGGTACCCCCAGCATGGGTAGCAGCTTCAGTGACCTCGACGGTATGTGCCCCCAGCCCGAGGATTCCGGATTTCAACTGATCGCCCGGTCAGATGCAAGCGTCACGCAATCTGCCCTGGAGGAGGCCCTTCTCAGTAACATGCAGCACGGTGGAATGGCGAGTCGGATGAGTACCATCAGCCAAGCATTGCGTAGCCGGTATCTGCAATGATGTACACAGTCCGCTTTATATAGCAAATCCTATTGGGGCAATATCGTGGAATGTATGATGTAGCTGCGGGACACCCCGCATGTGGCATCCACGTGACGGGTGGCGCCTCTGATCATGGACATTTGCTTCGCACGTTGTTCCCAGATATTCAAAGTATTCAGAGTCACGGATCCATATCGGTCAAACGGGTGCGCTAGTGCCGGATCAGGCGATTCGGTCTCAGTTCTTTTCACTTGGAGGGGTAGCTCCACGGATTTTTAGCCAAAACCAAAAACATCCAACAGCCGGGAAAAGCCTATATATCGTGCATCAACGAGAATCTCGGGCCAATCGTGAGGAGGCTAAATAATCAGCATCAGGGAATACCCGTGAACCCCACCAAAGCGTAGAGCAACACGCAGCGGCATCCTCGGCATCTTCTTATCAGACATCAGACGTTCCTCGATTCACAATTGCTTTTTTTTCTTTCTCAAGTACCGCACAGCAACCCCTCACAAATCATAATGACAACTCCTTTAGTCGGCGAAATGCCTCCAGCGGAAGCCGAGTCGGTTTACTTCAGTGAGTACCCGCCACCAAAAGCTCTACCGAGACATGAAGCGCTCGCGCGCGCCTTCATTGAGCTTCACGTGGAGGCAAACCGACGTGTAGTTCTCGTCACATCTGGCGGCACTACAGTACCACTTGAAGCGCAAACAGTGCGATTCATCGACAACTTCTCCGCAGGTACTCGTGGTGCCACATCAGCCGAGTACTTCCTCGAGCAAGGCTATGCCGTGATCTTCTTGCACCGACAGTACAGTCTGCTGCCGTACTCGCGGCACTACAGCCACTCAACCAACTGTTTCCTTGATTTCATGGACGAGGCGCCCGCCTCGGCAGACTCTTCCAACCCAGACAATGGGCCCATTATGGTGCGCGATGAGTATCAGAATGAGATGCGCGATGTGCTGCGCAAGTACCGCTATGCGAAGCAGAACAACCGACTTCTCCTGCTGCCGTTTACAACGGTGTCGGAGTACATGTTCGAGCTGCGAGCTATGGCGAAGCTGATGCGCCCACTGGGCGCGAATGCGCTGTTCTATCTGGCTGCCGCAGTCAGCGATTTCTTCATCCCGCGCAGCCGGATGTCCGAGCACAAGATTCAGTCTTCGGAGTTGCCCGCGCACATGCAGGGCAGTGCTATTGCACCGGATGACATCTACACTGGCGAGAATGAAGAGCAGCCATCCTCGCATCGCAAGAAGCTCATTGTCAACCTCGACCCTGTACCCAAATTCCTGCACCAATTGGTTGACGGCTGGGCGCCGGAGGGAAGTATGGTTGTCTCGTTTAAGTTGGAGACCGATCCCTCGTTGTTGGTGTATAAGGCGCGGACTGCGTTGCAGCGCTATTCGCATCACTTGGTGATTGGTAATTTGCTTTCAACGCGCAAGTGGGAGGTGGTTTTCATTACACCGGATCCGCCACATGAGCGTTGGCTTCGGGTGCCTAAGTCCAGGCGCAGCAAGAGTATCTCTGGTGTTGAGGATCAGGTTGGGTTGGCAGAGGCTAAGAAAGGGGACTCGGTGTCGTCGGAGCAGCCTGAGACAGCGCAGATTGTGGGTGGGGATCACGATGGCATTGAGATTGAGAGTCTGATCATCCCGGAGTTGGTCAAGTTGCACACGAAGATGGTTGAGAAGAAGACAAAGTCTACGCAGTGAATGTTTTATGGAAATGTACAAATCGATTGAAAAATAACATACTACCTAGGTACGCTTTGCCACTAGGATCGCTATATCTATATAATGTCAATATTGTCTATATAGCTGAACGTGTCCTGTACGTCATGCCTTTCACGATTTATCAAAGCTTTCTGCAGCGTTGCACGTTCTCTTTACACATTGCAGTAGTCCATAGTTATACGCTATGTATGCAGGGGTGTGGACCTCCTACAACTCCGTAATTGCCAACTCCTAGTCCACTCTGCCATGATATCTTTGCAAAGCCATATTGGTCGCGGTGGATCCTGACGCCGATTAGCGGGAACAGGATCTCCACGGTGTACGCCCCGGGAGATCCAAATCGCCAGCTCAATTGCAACAAAGGACTCCTTTTTTTTTCTCAGCAGGAAGATATCTAAGTCAAGGGGGAGATATCTGAAACCTTCGAATTCCACCAGGGCTACGCGTCCCGATGTGTCAGCAGGCGGCAAAGCTCGGGGGTCGATCATCTTAGCGTCGACCTTTCCCCAGTCCCTCGCTCTCATGATCAACAGGAGAGGAGGAAAAGGACAGCTTTGATCTCCTCTGGGCATTGCTCTCGAAACACCAAAAAATGACTGATTGATTTATTTTCTGTTTAGCGTCGTATTTTTCTCAGGATGCTTTCCCGCCGCCGGTTCAGTCGCCGCTTAATTGCTATTGCGACCGCCATTGCGCTCTTCTTCCTCTATCACATTTCCTCTCTCTCCGATCACAGTAGCTCATGGCCACCTCACTTCTCAACGACCGAAACAATCCCCGACCTCGATGAGAATGGCGAACCCGTCCCATTCTGTCCGCCATTACCAGGCATCGAAAATATACTCGTGGTCATGAAGACCGGAGTGACGGAATCGAAAGAGAAAGTCCCCGTGCACTTCAAATCCACTCTCCGCTGCATCCCCCACTACGTGATCTACTCCGACTTCGCCGAAGAAATCGAAGGCGTCCAAATCCACGATGTCCTCCAAAACATGGACAGCGCCGCAAAGAGGAACCCGGACTTCGACTTCTACCACCGCATCGTGAAATACGGCCGTAAAGGTCTCGAGCAGCAAGATTTCGCCGACGAGGCCAATTCAGCCATCGGAAAACCCAACAATCCCGGCTGGAAGCTGGACAAATGGAAGTTCTTGCCGATGGCGCAAGAAGCGCTGCGCTACAAGCCCGATGCGAAATGGTTCGTCTTCGTCGAAGCCGATACCTATCTGTCGTGGCCGACGGTCCTGAGCTGGCTGGCCCGGTTCGACCACACAAAGCCTCACTACCTAGGCACGGAGACGCAGATTGCGGACGTTATCTTCGCCCACGGCGGTTCGGGCTTCGTGCTCTCCAATTCTGCTCTGCAGCGCGCGTCTGACGAGTACTCCGCCCGCGAAGTCGAGCTGAATCTCTACACCGACCAGCACTGGGCAGGTGACTGTGTTCTGGGCAAGGTCCTCAGCGACGCAGGCGTCAATCTGCACTTCACATGGCCGATTCTCCAGAACTCCAACATCGGCGAGCTGGACGAGTTCACCACCGAGTTCTACCGACACCCGTGGTGTTTCATCGCCGCCTCCATGCACCACCTCTCACCAACTGAAATTGAGAATCTTTGGAAATTCGAACAAAAGCGCTGGCGTAATGTGAGTATACCCAATCCTCCCACGTCCCATCGGTCCCACCCAACTAACCAACTCCCAGAAAAACAAACGCATCCTCCTCCACAGTGACCTCTTCCGCGAATACATTTACCAAGAAATCGCCACCCAACCCACCCGTCTAAGCTGGAACAACCTAGCCAGCGACGAACAACCCTTCGCCCACTCCTTCGACGACTGCCGCACAATCTGCGAAGCCCAAAAAACCTGCGTGCAATTCTCCTTCCGCGCAGACACCTGCTGGACAAGCTCCAGCCCCCGTCTCGGAAAGCTCGTCTCCGATAAAGACGCCACATCTGGCTGGATCATCCCGCGGATCCGCTCTCTGACCGAGTCAAAGGGTGTATGCCGGAAGCCCGATTACGGCGATTGAGAGGGCCTTGGCTTAGAAAAAGTGTAATCTTGATCATCTACGTGTCTTGTTTTGGCTGTCTATCTGGTGTACAGCCGTTATTGTGTTTGCATGGAAAAGCGAAAGGAATCGAATTGGCTTTGGCAATTGGCTTTCAATTGGGGGTCTGGGTCTGGCTTTTTCGGGTTATATGCATTTGTACTGGGCATCTTGGGCTCGATTATGATAACTTGCTTTGTTTCTCCTCATTTCCTGTACTACCATATTCTTACATTCTCTAGCTGATGATTGTCTTGGACGGACAATGTTTGCTATTGTGGCGTTGGTGCTGTGTTGGATCTTTTTATATAACCCCTTGGTCAACACAGTCAATACATCCCTTGGACGTGTATAAACATGTTCAAATTTGCTTGTATCAGGTGTCATCTGCTCTACCATCGATTCATGCTCTAAGGATTACCACCGGAAAGAATTGTTATATGAATGAAAGTCATCATTGCCAAGAGGGCATTAGGACAGCAAAGAGGAGAGATATTATCAAATAAGGATGTATACGAAGGACAACTCCTGCTGCAAGTCCGTACAAATTCCACGGACATTGTGCATTCACAACGGTGGAGCAGATGAATCCTCCAGGCATTGGTCGATGCGCATGATCTGGTACCCGGCCCCCTTGACGTGTCGGATGAATTGCGGGAGGTAATTGATAGTAGTGGGATTCAGGTAGTGCATGACAGCAAGGTTCCCGCCCATACCTACGCCCCGGTAAAATGCTTCGAGCTGCTTTTCTGGTGTGGTGGTATTGGCCCATAGCCAGTCTTCGACATCCACACTCCAGTTCACAATGTACGGGTTTGGAATGTTCCGGGCTAGCTGCTGGCGTAGTCGGGCACCTACTGTGCCATATGGTGGACGGAAGTATGAAGCTGCAGATTTTCAGAGTGTTAGATGCATGCCCGTTGGAATAGAGGGAACAACTTACACTCAATTCCCAGCTTATCCTTGAACACTTGTATAGCTTGAATGATCTCGTTATCAATGTCCCGGAGGGTTGGCAATGATTCCATCCTTGGTAATCTTATTAGCAACTTCACTATGAAATAAAACCCGAGTTTTATAGAGTGGACTTACTTCGGATGAGTATTCGAGTGGAGCGCCACCTGGTGGCCCTTTCTCAACATTTCCTTATAGAACTCTGTGAAATTGCTCGTCTGATCCCTGAGTCCTGCTCCAACGACAAAGAAAGTGACTCGGACATTCTCCTCGTCAAGGATGCGCATGACTCGCTGAGAGAACTGCGGATGTCCATCATCAATGCCAAAGGCAAAAGAATTCGGACGCGAACACCGCAGAACCAATCGCCCGCTGGGCAACTTCCCAGGCAAACGATAATGACCATTTTCTGGGATTGGTGGTGGAATATCTGGCACAATCTCCACACGATGAAGAGTGAGCGTTTCCTGAGTATAAAAGCCATGGAATGAGAAAGACACGACCCGATTGAAATCGACCGCGAAATGACTGAGAGGAATATAGAGTTGACGACGACCCGTCGGGATTCTGGAATTTCCTTTGGGATGCTTGCGTCTGGAGCTTTTGCATTGTCCATGCTTGTACTGATTCCTTCTTCGTTTATCCAAGTCCATATCATCGTCGTCATCCCAGTCATCGTCATCGTCCCAGTCATCATCATCATCGCCGGAGGCTTCAGAGGCGGGATGCATCACGTACCGCTCTGCCTGAACGGAGTCTGTAACGCTGGGAAAGGGACTGCGGTGCGGGCTACATTCGTCATTGTGCTGGTTTAACGAAATGCTGAATTGATCTGTGCCCTCAAACTCGACATGCAAGTACTCGTTATACCAGGGGATCAGACTATAGCATAGATTGGTGTCAAACTGTGTGTGGAAATTCTGGTCCGGATCTGTTGGGAGTAAACGGATGAAGCCCGGTCCATGTTGCACTGTGAGATTCTCGCCAGAGCCATGCCAGAACCCTAAGTCATTGTGGGTGAGGTTTTGGAAAGTGTCGATGACCATAGGGGGGCTTGAACTTTTTATCTGCGAGGCATTTTGCGAGGCGCTACGAGGGAGGCCTCGGAGTTCATTCCAGTGGCCGTGGTCAACAATTCCGCGGAATAGAGCTGAGGTCGAAAGGAATAGTGAAAGAGTGGCGGATCCTATAAATAACCAATGCATGATGAAGTCCCTTTGGAAAAGACCGAATGTGCTTGGGTTGAAAAGGTTGGATTGGGATTTGTAGAAAAGTAGAGTTGTTTACTCTGCCCAAGAGGTCGGGGCAAGAGCCATTGATCTGGCACAGAGGCAGGAGCTCTACAATACGCTATGAAGGGCGTTCTTTCTACGAGCTCTCTACAGTATATGCGCTACAGGCAATCAGGAACATAGAATAGGAAATGAAAACTAGATAGTTGCATAAAAGCTCCACGAAATCAGTATTGAGGCACATCTCTCGACTAAAGTCATTCGCATCCATGTGACGGTGGTCGCAATAACGCTCACTAAAACCATTAAATCCTCATACAAGATGCAGAAGAAATGGTCTTGATATCGCTTTCACTGACTTTGGCTGCTGACCATAGCGAGAGATCAAGCGGTCAAGGTACGTTCGGGTTCTCCCATAATGTGACAATGTGATCCTGAATTGGAATGTCTCAGAGACATCATCCAGGGTAAAGTTGCAAGCTGCTGCTGTTGGACTTCTTACGTTTCCATTTTTTTGGTGGGTTCTTGCCCTGCTTTTGTTAAATCGTTGATCTTGTTAATTGCGTTGGTCTCGTTGTTCGCCAGCTTTGACAGACTCAGAAAGGAAGACTGGGTATCGAAGCTCTAACCCCAGAATGCATCATTGTCGCTAGAAGCAACAGATGCTGGAGCCCAGTTGGAACCGGTCAATCCGGTCGTCTTCTTAGGTTTCTCAGGCTTGTCGACATCGTATGTCTCATGGCGGTCGTCCACGGTCGTCTGTTCGGCATCACTCCCCTGATCACGCCGGTCATCCTCCTTAGACTTGGGTTTGCCAGTGGACTCACTGCGGTCAGGCTCTTCTTTGATCGGGGATTCTTCCTCGTCGGCAGCAGACTCCTCTTGACCAAACCCGGCATCACTCTCGGCGGATTTCTCACTTTCATCGGCCTCAGCAGACGCAACTACAACAGACTCAGCCGCGCCAGACTCCGAACCAGAGTCGGCGTTGGATTCAGCATCAGACCCAGCATCGAAGAAACTCTTGTCAGAGTCATCATCGAATTCTAGCAAGTCACCCTCAGGACGGTAGCTCTCGAGGAACTGAGGAATGTTCTGCTTGCATTCGATCAAGTTCTTGACCAAATCTTCGGCAATATCCTCGTTGCGTTCATTGTAGAATGAGGTAGCAATACCTTCGTTGCCAATGCGAGCGGTACGGCCTGTGGACCATCGAAAAAGATATTAGCGGGCAATTTCATCAACTGTATCAGAACGCAGGCAGCGCCTAGTTGGTGTAATACTTACCAATACGGTGAATGTATTCGGTAATTCCGCCGTGCATAGCGCTGGGAAGATCGTAGTTCACAACATGAAGGACATTGATCACATCAAGACCACGGGCGGAGACGCCGGTGGCAATCAGGATAGGGCACTTGGCAGTCCGGAAGGCACGCCTGTTTTAGTGCATTAGTAGGGTAAGATAAAACAACATACCAAACAGCTACTTACATAGCATCCTCACGCTCACGCTGATTGCGTCCGCCATGAATCGAAGTACTAGGCATTCCTGAGTTGTAAAGATAGTCGTCCACGAAGTCAACTTGCTCTTTATTGTTGACAAAAATCAGAGTGCGGACAGGCGGCATGCTTATGAGAAGATCATAAATAGCACGCATCTTCTGGTTCTGGTCCACCCAGATGATCTGAAAGTCCCATCAAGTTAGTATAATCATAATCCATGCGAACTATCTTGGGGTATTTGCGGTGCACATACATCTTGAACAACATTGTGGTGTGAACTGCCAGCTCGGCCGACGCGAAGACGCACATGATCATCACCAAGGTATGTCTTTGCAAGCTGGCGGAAGTCCTTGCTGAAGGTAGCGGAAAACATCAAGTAGCGGTGATCATCATCCTCATTGATATCTTGCTCAAGTCAGCATCATGCAAGTAAAGAAAAGGATATTCGCAAGTACTCACCTCCTCCAGACATAATTTTCTTGAATTCGTCCTCCCAATCAGATTGCAGCATCTCGTCAGCCTCATCGATTACAGTGTAGCTAAGGAGATATCAGTATACAACCCGTGTGGACCTATGTCAGAATTGGTGAACAGGCTGACTTACCGAACGCGACGGAGAGACAAGACGTGGGTTTGGTTCATGAAATCGAGCAGGCGACCAGGAGTGGCAATCAGAATATCACATCCTTTCTGAAGTTCCTCACGTTGATGAGCGGAAGGAGCACCGCCATAAGCAACGCAGGGACGAAGCATGGAGCGATAGCAAAGACGACGTGCGTCATCAAAAATTTGAGTAGCCAGTTCACGAGTAGGGCACACGATGAGAACCAATGGCTCTGCACGAACAGCATTTTCCCTTGGGTTGAAATGATCAGCGGGATTTGGCCTAGGAGCAGCCAGCTTTTTCGCCTTTCCCATCAACTTAGACAGAATGGGGATAAGAAAAGCTCCCGTCTTTCCCGAACCTACGTTTGTTAGTTCAATTCATGCGAGGGAGCAAATTTCGCGGCACATACCAGTTTGGGCCACGGAAATCAAGTCATGGTTTGCTAGAACCGCTGGGATAGCATACGATTGAACTGCGGTAGGGTGTCGATAGCCACAGAGACGGACGTTCTCAAGCATAACCGGATGCAAACCAAAGTTTCCCCACTATTTATCTTTAGGCTGGCACAACATAACTAACTTCTCTCGCAGACTAACCTCGGTAACGGCCTTGATCTCGTTGGGACTTTCTATGTTCACCTTATAGCTATTCAGCCTGGAAGGGAAGATATATTTAGCTACCATGCTGCACCCATGCTCTTCGAAGACCCGTTACTTACTCGTCAAATTTGTCACCGGCACGAGAGATCACGTCGCTATTGAAAAGCTGCGCCTCCAATTCGGGGACGGGAGGTCCGACATCGCCATACTCATCCTTCCATTCATAGCGGGTAGCAATGCCAGCCCAATCCCGATGCTCCTTGTTGTTGACAAGTTCAGCGTATTCGAAGGGAACGCGGTCAGTCCAACCTTTGTCACGAGCAACCTGGAGAGCAGCATTGGTGCTAGGGCCAACACCAGAGAGAACACCTTCGACAGGCTCACTCTTCTGGGTGTTCAAAGCATCATCATCATCGCTAGAGGGGCGATCGACAGCGGAGGCAGTATCAGCCACCGAGGCCACCGAGGCCACCGAGGCAGCCTCAGGGTCATCGTAGTCCATGGCTTGGATAGTTCAAAGGCGATAGTGGGATAGAATAGATACTAAAATGGATAGCGAAGATTCGAGGAGATGGAAGAGAAGAAGGAGAAGAGTGAAGTGTAAACAGAAAGACTTTATGTTCGAATGAAAGGAACGCAAACGACGTGCTAACTTGGCGGGAAGGAAGAGCAGGAATATTCGGGGCTGCAGTAAACGATTCGTCGCGTACTCTACCTGTGATCTTGAGGGCCGTAGTATGGAAAGGGATGTATCTAAATGTACCTGGATATAGCTCCAGGGGCTCTAACTGGGAAGGAACTACCAGCGTAGATAGTACATGGGTCGTAACAGTACATCGTTGTATACCGAACATTCGGTACAGTATTTGCCTACATGTATGTATACGGAGTACAAGGTAGTACCTACATGTAGGTATGGAGGTATCAGGTAGCGTCTAGAAATTCGTAAGATCGCTTTTTATCAGACTTCCTGCGAAGGGGCGTAGCGGCCAATGTCCTAATGGACTTTTTGGCCTAGTTGATGCCTGAATTATGCCTGATTCTAGACCGCTTTTTTGACCGCTCTATACAGTGTATTGTAAATGAAGCTATTCCCATCATTGTTTTCATCCCTTTCATCATCTCCATCGTCGTCGCCCCAAAGCTATTCCCATCTCCAACCATTATCGTAACGCACGAAATGCCAGCTTACATCGATGCTCAGCCTTATAAAGCTAAGATACTCGATCTTCTCCAATAAAAAACCACCTACAAAGCTATTCGCACTAATCTTGAGCTGGACGGATGACGGAGGTTTACCTTAAAGTAAGCGTAAAGCGGTAACCCAGGTAGTGATAAAGACAAAGAGTAGGAGAGAGAGGAGAAGAGAGTGTTATGAAATAAAAATGCTTTTATCGCTAGGTCCGGGGGTTCATAATATTTTATATGGTGGGAATAGCTTCATTCTATTGGACTTGGGCACTTTCGAAGGTTGGGTACTTTGCTTAATAAGACCCCTATCATTGTAATTCAGGTATTTTAATTTCTGCCTGTTCAAAATAAGACGCCAATAAGGCATTTTCAAACGCTTTCAGGCATCAACTAGGCCAAAAAGTCGATTGGGACATTGGCCGCTATGCCCCTTCGCAGGGCGTGACCCGCGTGTTGAACATCAAACTGCTTCTCATTTTGTATTCGCCTCACGTGCGATTTCATCTGGTGTGACTCTCGAGATCAGCCCTACCCAGACGAGTGCAGAAGATCTCAGTATGGCTATAGTTCGGAGCTAATGCAAACATCGCCCCGAAGATGGACGAAAGCGGAAGAGGGAAAAGCGGGCCGCACAGAGCCCGATTCCTCATATATTCGAGAATCCCCAGGGATAACGGAGGCAGTCCCACAACTCCTAGGAATATCTCCATCTGATTATGCTCAGGGCTGATCATTCTGATTGATAACAACCGGGATCTGCCCTCGGGACGTTGGTAGCTCCTCGGCTTGTTGCAGTGGAACCCGTGGATCCGGGTAGAAGGAGATATACGCAGTAAGCCTGGGCACGGGTACCTCTCCAGCATCAGCTCCGTCGGTCACTCTACTTCTCCCCAACTTCCTCATGATGGCTGCCTCCGATCGCATTCCGGCGGTAGATACCAATTCTCGACGCAAGCGCCCCAATCGTCTGGAGGAGGCGATTACCAATCCCGGCGCCGTGAAAATCAACGTCAAGGGCGCATTTATCGTCGACGACGAGCCACGCTCCAAGAGTCCCGTTGATGCGGAGGGCGTACACTATGAGAATAAGGACATTCGACTCCCCCACCATACAGGCGTTGTGAGCCATGTAGCTGTCGATGTGAGTGATTCATGGGAAGGCTTTTTTTTTGCTGTGTGCCCCGCACTACTGCTGCTTCCCCCGCAATCAAGGGGCTGTGAAGAAATTCCGTCCACAACACGAGTAGAGAGTATGGGCTGACGCGAAATCGCACTTGACAGATCGGTGGAACACTTGCGAAGCTTGTCTATTTTACTCGGGAGCTGGATAGCGCGGACAACGGCGGTCGACTCAATTTCCTTAACTTTGAAACCCATCGAATTGATCTGTGCATCAATTTCATTCGGCAGCTCAAAGAAGAACATGAAAAGCGCAATGGCTCTACACGAGAGGGACTATGTGTCGTGGCGACTGGCGGAGGTGCCTACAAATACTATGACAGGCTGAAGGAAGAGCTGAACGTCAATATTCTACGGGAAGAGGAGATGGAATGTCTGATCATTGGTAAGTCGTCGGACATGCCTAAGCAGTTAGGGCTATCATTTAACACCAGCAAATAGGTCTCGACTTTTTCATCACCGAGATTCCCAACGAAGTCTTCACCTATAGCGATGCCGATGCGGAACCCATGCAATATGCCGAGGCCCGACCTGACGTCTATCCCTATCTCCTTGTCAATATAGGATCAGGCGTGTCAATGATCAAAGTCTCTGGTCCGCGACAATTTGAGCGTGTTGGTGGAACGCATTTGGGAGGTGGAACGTTTTGGGGCATTATGTCATTGTTGACCGGCTCCCGAACCTTTGACGACATGCTGGCAATGGCCGATCGTGGAGATAATAGTGCTGTGGATATGCTTGTGGGAGATATATACGGCATGGATTATACCAAGATTGGTTTGAAGAGCACAGCCATTGCCAGTACTTTCGGCAAGGTACTCCGGTTGCAAAACGACGCGGAGCAAGGCGCCGAGGACGGCGAGGGCTCGACTGGTGGTGACTCGATTGAAACTAATTCCAGTCACGATGGCAAGCCAAACCCGGAAGACATGAGTCGAAGTCTACTCTACGCCATCAGGTATGTCCCAGTATTTAAATTCCCCGAACCCCGAGTCCGACCTCAACTAACCCCAATTAGTAATAATATCGGCCAGATCGCATATCTCCAGTCAGAAAAACACTCAGTGAAACACATTTATTTCGGAGGCTCATTTATACGGGGCCACCGGCAAACTATGAATACCCTGTCTTACGCTATTCGCTTCTGGTCCAAAGGCGAGAAGCAAGCGTATTTCCTGCGCCACGAAGGCTACCTCGGTGCCGTTGGGGCTTTTATCCAACGACAGCCACAGAACTGGGGTCGCAGAAACAGCGTTGACGAGGTGGTCGCACCGCAGGCGGTCCGAAACCTCGCTCGAAATAAAAATGTTCTTCAGCAACACGGTAGGTCATCGAGTGATCTATGACATCTGACAGAACTGTTGTGGCTCTACCTTCCTCTGCATTGAGTCTTGATACCCCTTCCACGCAAACCACGAACTACCCATCTTATGCCACCCTATGTTGTGCACTGTTGAGCCCAGTGTGGCCGCTTCAGAATTTCCCGCTTCAGAGCTTCCCTGTCAGAAGCCAATGTGTTTCTTTGGGCATTTACCCAAGTTGTACCTCTAGATCTAGGTAACTTATGAAGTCTGTTGGCTCTGTATTGGATGTGAAATATGTTCGGTTTTGATGTTTTAAAGAAATAAAATCTTCGTTTGATCTGGTTTGTTGTATCGTATCTTATTGGTACATCATTCTTAGGGTCACTTTTCAAGGTCAGCTTGTGTTTGATGTCGAATATGTGTGTCCATGGATGTTTGCACTAGGACACTCTGCGGTGCCCACGTGAATATCGAGAGCCCTAAGCTTGGAAGAATTCAGCATTGAGCATTCGCGCCAGCGCCGACTCAGCACGGGCTATTCTAGGCAATCCATCTATGAACCCCTAGTAAGGTCATTGCGCTTATGTCGTCCATGTTTTACATTTGCTATTTCCTATTTCATACTAGAACTCATTGCGCTTATGTCGTCAACGTCCTATATTTGTCTCCCGTTCCCCAGTTTCCACTTCGCACTGTTTACCATTTCCGCGAGCATACACGCAGAACCCCGTCACGTCTGCTCGTTTTTCTATCTCCCAGTTTCTCGCTGTCTTCCACAGTTCTGTCGTGGCTTGCTTGCACTTGTCTCACACTTTTCTCTCACTTTGATCGCAATCTTACTTCATTTGCCATTGGTTGGGTCCATGTTCTCTGATTTTACGTGGCTATTCATCCTACAAGCCATATTCTTTTGCTGTCCATTCCTGACCCGGTTTTCCTACTGCTGTCTCGTAGACAATCTTTGGCACGCCTTCGCATCACCTGTCACCTCCAGTCTTTTCACTCCCTTGTTCCCATACTCATCAACATGACCAAGAACATGGTGCACGAGGTCGTTGATCAGCTGGAGAATCTCTCCGCGCACTCGCCCCGGGCCCAGCATGCAACCCAACTTCCAGCTGTGCAAGCTGACATGCTTGAGTCGACTGTTCATGGCTCTGTACCTGATGCACTGAATGCAGCTGATCAACAGGCTGTCACTCCAACTCTATCTGAGTTGACTGAAGTCGACGACTCTTTCCTGCAACTTTTGCCAGATCCTGCTGCGGTGTCTCAGTTGGGTTCAACTGGGACTCAGTTCCTCAACCCTGCGCCGCCCAGCGTCAATTACCAAGTGTCTCCCAAAGGGCTTGTCACGCTTTCTGAAAGTGCTGGACATACCACTGAAGCCGCTTCCCCCCATCTTCTGAGCCCTGCATTGGGATTCACATCTTTCGAGCAACATCGTGCACAGAGCTCCCCTCTGAATTCAACAGCTGCTCAAACCACCCAACCCAGCACGTCTTCGCTTACAGCGGAGCGCATCGTGGGTCCGTCGCGGCCAATCCCAGCAACAATATTGACCATGCTTGAGAATTGGCATGTAGCCAATCCCGATACTGAGCACCCCGCCGCCATAGCTGGCCGTGCGCTCTCCGCCTGGAAGAACTTCAAAGTCTTCAATGATGATGCTGATGAGTACGAACTGTCGATGTTCCAGATAGCTTTCAAGGCTCAGAAAAAGAAAACTTTGAATTATCGTATCATGGTACTTCACTCACCGAACGGCATGACGCAGCTGGTAGTTTATGGCCAACCTCATCCACGATTCAACGGAAAATCGAGAAAAGGAACCAAGGGAATTTACCTGCTGGATTGGCTTGAGGTTGATGAGCATGGGGAAGCCGAGGCCTGTGGCATCAAACTATGGAGGACCGATAATGAAAACATCACCTTCAGCGCACAGATTGCCGACTCCGAAGGCAAGTGTCTTCCGGCGTCTGGACCGGTCAAGCCTGCCAACGTGCCTCGCCCAGTGTCAACTCCTAAGCAAGAAGAGCATGCAGATGATGGAGATGATGGAGATGAGATTGAATCCGGCTCCTCCGACCAACCTCTTCTACTCAAGTCCACTCGTCAATTCTCGTTTCCCAAAGCCAGAATCCCCAATCAGAACAACGGAGATGAATTCGTGTATGACTCCCCTCTGTCTCGTTTGGCGGCTGCTTTCCCTTTTCACGCCCCCCTGTTCTCAGGCCTCCCCGGGCTCTTGGCAGTCCCTGGAAACCACAGGAGAAGAGACGTCGCGGTAGTTTGTTTGAACTCAATTTCAATGCCCACAGCGCCACCCCTATCAGATACAAACTTACCTGTGATTTGTCCAATCACGTACGCGTCTTCAAGACCAACGATGCCCAGGTCTTGTTCCAAAGGGCCCGGGAGTTTTACAATGGCACCGACAAGCCGATGCGTCTCCTATGCACTGTGCCTGGTGTTGAAGGAGTCCGATACTTGGGAGAGGGATGCACCGATGAGTTTGATATTCTCCAGGAGGATATTCGCAAGGCTTCTGGTGGTGATTATGAGAATGTTGTTGTGGAGGTGAAGGCCTATAATGGTGCTTAAGCTTTGGTGAGACGTGCTGGTGAGATGGGGTGTGTGTGGCTGAAAGGCCTAAGGGAAGCTACTGCATTCATATCTGCTCGAAGTCCGAGCGTGCGCACGAGTGCATGTATTTGTATCTACAGAAAGTCAGAAGTTTCCATCTCTAACCAGTCAATTTGCATTATGTGTGTTATGTGCATGTACGGAGTACTCCGTTCGTATTTTGGCTTTCTGTTGTTTCGGCAGCAATATGTTAGCCAGCTCTACCCCGCATATGAACCTTCTTTCTCGGTGAATCGAGAATAGATCGCCGTATTTCCCAGTGTCTATGACATCATGATAGGCCATAAGTTTGTGATATGCAGGAGAAACATACGTAGGATATCATATCTCATGCATGTACGTGCCGCCATATCGAGACGCATTCCTACGCCCAGACTCCAGACCTTCGTAGCACAAGGGAATAAGTTTTTCGCAGATTCCACATTCTCAAGTCCTTGAAAAGGCTCGAACCCCCTACATGTGAATCTGAAATATCTTTCACTTTGATCAAGGTCGCCAGTTGTTGCTTTTCCCGCTATGGATGTATCCACTTTGTCCCCAAAGGCTGTGACACTCTTCTGTGGTCTGTTGAGCTTCTATATCTTCATCACGATCACCAAATATGTCAAGTTGAGGCAGTTCCGAGGTCCTTCATGGACCAACATCTCGCACTGGCCTCATAGTATAGCGCTGCTCCGGGGGAATTGCCACGAGTGGTATGCAGAAGTCAATAAGAAACATGGTGCGAGTCATCTTCTCGGGAGCATTATGCTTTGCCTTACTACCGTGGTGTCATACATCCTTCGCTAACAGTTCCCATTTGAGCCAGGTCCGATTGCCCGTATCGCTCCTGGACGGCTGATCACATCCTCCCCCGACGTTTGGATGCATGTGAACAACAAGCCTGGCTATAAGCGCTCCGATTGGTACTACCGCGCCGTGCGACTTGAGTACCGGAAGGATAATGTCTTCAGTCAGACGGATAACGTGAAACATGAGCAACGGAGGAAGCAGATGGCTCCAGGGGTATGATAGCTGCCCTTTCATCGTACTCGGATTCTTTTTCCGTCCAATCATGGGATAGCACGCTGACTGTGGCTGAATAAAGTATTCGGGAAGGGAGAATCCCAACTTTGAGGGCTCTATAGATGAGCAAGTCCATGGTCTCTTGAACCTCATCCGGTCTAAATATCTCTCGTCTGAGCAGGAGATCGTACCGATGGATCTATCAAAGAAGATCCAGTATTTCACAGTCGATGTCATCAGCAGTGTGGGTCTCGGCAAGGCGTTTGGTATGCTTCAAAATGACCAAGATGTGGACGAGTACCTCCAATCGACCGACGAGGGTCTTTCTATCGCTAATACCGCCCTCGCCATGGGGTTCAGCTGGCTCGCTCAGGCGCCTTTCATCGGTCAATTTATTGCACCCTCACCCAACGACAACAACGGCTTCGGTAGGATGATGGCAGCATGCTTCCGTCTCGTCAATGAGCGTGCTGCAAACCCCTTTGACGATCGGAGCGATATGCTAGCCTCATTCATGCGTCATGGCTTATTGGATGATGAGCTACGCAGTGAGGCGCTAGAGCAAATACTTGCGGGTTCTGATACCACAGCTGCCGCCATTCGTGGCACCCTTTTGCATATAGTAACCACCCCTCGCGTCTATATCAAGCTGCGGGGTGAAATTGATGATGCCGTCCACCGTGGAAATGCGCCAAGCGAAGACCAAGGCCTGATCACTGCTGCCCAAGCTAAACAGCTTCCGTACCTGCAGGCTGTAATCCGCGAGGGTCTAAGAATACGGCCGCCTGTTGCGAATGTGTTCCCCCGCGATATCCCGAAAGGTGGTGACACTGTTGTTGTCGATGGCGAGAGGGTGTTCCTACCGGGTGGTGCCTGCATTGGATACTCGGCATACGCAATGCATCACAGTGAGAAAGTCTATGGCAAAGATGCAGGGGCTTTCCGACCGGAGCGGTGGCTTGAGTCAGATCCTGATAAGTTGGCTCTCATGACTCATACCAACGAGCTTATATTTGGCTTTGGCAGATTCCAGTGTTTGGGAAAGGTAGTAGCCCAGATCGAGATTGGAAAGATAATATTTGAGGTCAGTAGAATTAGATCCGCGTCCCTGCTGCCATCTTCTTGCTTCTTGATGAAACGCTAACGCACTGCCGACTGACATAGCTCTTCCGCAATTTCGATATAGCTTTTGTCAACCCCACACATCCCTGGGATGTGCGAAACAATGCTGGGCTTTTTTCGATCTCAAATATGTGGGTGCAAGTAGTCGAACGGACGCCCTGTTCTCAGTCCGGGTAGAGATGGGCTCTACTGTCATATTTGGGTATGCCATGTTATGATGCCGCGTTAATCGAGAACAAATTGCTCATGTCGCTCGGATCTTCTCTCGGGATGTCATCAAACTCATCTGAAATTGTGAAACTGTCTTTGAATCAACGTGAATTTCATCTTGGTCTTGATATATATGCACACAATATATCCACAAATAGCACTCCTAGACATCTATCATGTCAATGCCTTTAGAACTCGATCATTAATATTGGTGATCAGTCTTATATCTTATTAAATCATTCTTTACGCTAGCTATGTCAGTAGTACTCAGGTGCAACTGTATCTCTCTTTGTGAAATGTGGTCTACCTCCTATCTTGATCCGAATGTGTCCCTCCTATAGATCAAAAATTCTCTCTATTTAGGCCTTTTTGCTTTCTTGAAATCTACAACATTGTCAGCATTGTCAAGATCTGCATGTGTGGTCCTATCCCCTATTACTGGACGCTTGACCCCAGGGGCATCTCTTTTATAATATGGTCTTATCGCCGCCTCGGTCATTAATAGAACACCAAGATTCCATAGGCTGCTACCTACGGGTAGGCACCCCTAAGTGATTTCAGAAGCCCAATTTACCTCTCTGCAATACACATTAGCAACAATCAGAATAGCCGATTGTAGATGCAAGCAGATCCAAAGCTCCGCGCCCAATAAGGGCTGATTGGATCACGTGCATCTATAGATAACTGCTGAATCAGCCTCCAGTTGCGCCCGGGCGCGTTTCGTGTACAGCTGTCACTTTGCCAAGGATATCAATCAACGGGGTTATTTCGTTCTCGCGCCATGCCCCAATATTAGTTCTGCCCGTGCTCCATGACGTCTCCTCCCTCCCTAGACCCTTCCCCTCCCCCAATCCCCGTTGACACCCATCCAAACCGCGCCCCCGGGTCCAAGTCTCCTGAGCTTGAACGGTCCCTCCCCGATCCCAATCGACTGGCGCCGGAGGATGCATATTTTGCACCCTCACTCTCACGAGTCCGGTCGGCACCAACCAATTATGAAGAAAGTTTGCGGGCCTTGAATGGCGAGAGCGGTGCCCATCTTGGGTCCGCCGCCGCATTGCGGAAGAGAGTCGGCGGTGCTGGCAGACGGCGCAGGCGAAAAGGTGCCTGGAAGAAGTTGCTCTGGGTTAAACAATCCTGTATGTTTGCGCGCACCCACACAGGGCTCGAGCTTGGAGTTCCACCGTTGCTGACGATCGTTTATAGATCCGGATAATTACACCGATACGGAGACATTTCTGGACCATCTCCAGCGCAATCCTCGAGTGCGGCCGTATGATTTCTGGCCTCTCGTGGCTGATTCGACTGTGATTGTGCAACATGTGTGCTCGGTGGTGATCTTTGTTTGCTGCTTTGTCGGTATCGTTCAAGATCGGGTGAGCCCCGTCTCGATTGTGTGCTGGGGAAGTGTTGGCACGGCCGTGGGCTGGATTCTATGGGACAATTGGATCTGGAAGGAGCATGAGGAATCCGTGAGAAGCCCAGATGGAATCACTGGAGCCGACGACGACTCTAGTTCGGCTTCCATTGCTAGCGCCGTCAATGCACCTTCAAGCGACACACAATTTGAGGGCCCGAAGACCAACGCTATTCACGGTCTTGGATTGACTATGTCTGCAAATGAATCAAAAGAGCGATTTGCTCGTCGCAGTGCAGATTTCAGCGAGAGCATCGATGCAGTCGCTCATCTGACAGCGCACAGTGCTATGCCGTCTCCTCCAGACGGCTCTATTGGCAGTATGGACGGAGTAGTATCGCAAGATACACACCGGGTTTCGATGCTATCACCCCGCAACCGCCAGCGACTGACTACAGTCAAGTCAGCATTCCTTATCTACTTCGCCCTCCTCGGCCTGAGCCCTATCTTAAAGTCTCTCACCAAATCTACCGCCAGTGACTCTATCTGGGCCATGAGCTGCTGGCTTTTAATCATGAATATATTTTCCTTCGACTATGGAAGTGGGGAAGGCGCTGGCGCCACCACCAAGTTTCCTGCTTCTTTGTCCACAAACGCAGCTGTGATGGCCTCGACTGTGCTTGCGTCTCGATTGCCGTCTACGACCCACGTGTTTAGTCTCATGCTATTCTCGATGGAAGTATTTGGGCTGTTCCCGATCTTCCGGCGCCAACTACGGCAGAAGTCATGGACTGGTCACGTTCTCCTGACACTGGCCCTTGTGATTGTTGCCGGGGGCGCTGTTGGTGTCACCTTGAGCGGTGGATGGGCAGCAGCCATCATCGGATCAGCTCTGGGAAGCATCCTGACCGCGTTTGGCATGGGCGGCTGCAGTTGGTGGCTTATCAGCCTGCAGAAATATAAGAACGTTGTGATCGGTCCTTGGGATCCTGCACGGCCTATTATTCGGAGGCATTGGAACTAAACACCACTTGACGTTTGACTATTGATGACTTTTACCTTCATTGTAATATAGATTTCGGCGTCTGGAACTTGTCGTTACTTATACCCCTAGATTATCTAGTCTTACTTATTCTTGAGACATCCCAGTTTCACTTGCCTTCATTTTCTGTTTATTCGAACGTGTCATTGGGGCTGTTTCCCATTCCAATATCCTGGGTGCTTTGCAAACCAACCTTCCAGGAATACATATTCTCGTGAGTGATGGAATCTATTTCCGAGGGACTGTATGATCATCGGACTCAGTCAAGCATCAAGCACCCAGTGACGTAGGGGCAAGAATGCGGGCTGGGAGGGAATGAATGCACAACCCCAATCTGGTATGTCGAGTCCATCGCGATGCCTCGATTTTGCACCAAGGCAACGCAGCTTCTAGTTGTGCTGACCGAAACTGCAGTTTTTCGTTTGAAAACCAATTGGCATGAGTTGTTGATGTTCTATTTTTACTTGGGGGTTCAATCACCTGTACACCTGTCAGCTTCGGGAGCATCCAATTTAGCCCCCCGAGGTGGACTCGCTTGGCATTCCGAGCCGCCTGCTTAGCGCCTCGGACCACTTTTCAGCGGCCTTCTGACGGCGTTCTATTTGCACCAGTGACATTCCTCTAAAGGAATGGCCCACATGCCCCGTATGAAAATCAGCCGCAGAACAAGGCGCATGTTGGGACAGATCGTCTAGGGGGATGTGGTGGCATTCATGGATGTTGCGGGACTATATACTCGACGTTCTGCTGTCCTCGAACATGTCCTCGTTTATTCCTATTTCACTCGAATCGCGGCGTGTAGCTGCTTGATAACCTCTCACGACAAACTGGGTATTTTATTATACCCTTTAATCCTATAATATACCCTTTCGCCCGTATATAGCCATACCATCGCAACCGCAACTCATCATGCTTAAGCGCTTGGCACTCGGCCTGTTGGCCGCTCAATCTGTGGTGGCTACACGCTTTGTCATGTACATTGACGAGTGAGCAACACCTTTCTGATTCATTTGCGGCGAATCCTATAGCTGACTGTTATACAAGATGGCATGTAACCGATCTTCCGAGCCAGGACAAGACCGAGGGCATCGACTATGCTGTCATGGGATTCGCTCCCTCGAAGACTTTCAACACAGGGTCATCGTTCCAGCCCTTCGAGTCTCCTGATACCATGCGCAAGCGCTTCGGTCCAGATACCAAGCTGATGATTGCCATTGGAGGCTGGGGTGATACTGCCGGTTTCTCGGAAGCAGCAAAGACCGAGGCTTCGCGTGAGCGATATGCTAAGAATGTTGCTTCCATGGTTGAATCGAACGGATTCGACGGCGTCGGTAAGAAATCTCCATTAACCTTGACATTAATACACAATACTAACGTATCCAAAAAAGATATCGACTGGGAGTATCCCGGTGGCAATGGTGAAGACTACAAGACTGTGCCCAACTCGAAAAAAGTCGACGAAATCGAAACTTATCCCCTCTTCCTCGCCGCTATCCGCAAGGAAATCGGCGACAAGCTCCTCTCCATCGCTGTGCCAGGTCGTAAGCTGGACTTCATTGCTTTCACCAAGCAGCAGGGTCCCAAGATCTTCGAGTCAGTCGATATGGTTAATGTCATGAGTTACGATCTGATCAACCGTCGTGATAACGTTACCGATCACCACACTGGTGTCCAGAACTCCTTGGATACCATTAACGAGTATCTCGCTATCGGTGCTGCTCCCGAGAAGCTCAACCTTGGCTTCGCCTACTATGCTAAGTGGTTCACCACCGCCGCTGACTCTGACTGTGATGAAAACCCACTCGGATGCCAGCTCGCTCAGCTCGAGAACGACGATGGTAGTGATAATGGAAAGTCTGGTGCTTTGACCTTCGAGGCTAGCGCGGTTGCTCCTCCCCCTAAGAACTTGAAGGAATCTAGCAATGGAAAATGTGGAGCTGCTGATGGCGCCAAGTGTCCCCAGGGACAGTGCTGCAGTGCCTCTGGTTACTGGTATGTATACCCAATATCTTCCCGATAATTGACATCAATCTAACTATCCTTGACAGCGGTACAACCGATGAGTTCTGCCAGGCTGGTTGTCTCTCCGACTACGGCACCTGCAAGGGACTTTCAATCACCGACTCCTGGCGCAAGGCCCAGCAGGACGGCAAGACCGATGCCAAGGGCGGCGGTCAGTACTACTTCGACAGTGATAACAACCTCTTCTGGACCTGGGATACTCCGGAACTGATTGAGCGCAAGTTCAAGGAGATTGTGGGGGAGAAGAAGCTCGGTGGTATCATGGCGTGGAGCTTGGGTGAGGATACCTACAAGTTTGAGCACTTGGAGGCTATGCAGAAGGGCCTCAAGTCTCACTCCACCATGGCCAAGTCCGAAGTTCCTGGTAAATAGGTTATTCGATGATAGAAAGCACGCTAAGGTCAAGTTGAGCCTGTCCTGTCATAGATTGTGCGATTATTGATGACTGATATCTGTATGATGTTTTACTGCCCTGAAATGAAATGACAATTTGAATTCCCCTCTGCTATTCTATTCATACGAATCATACTCGTTTCTAATCCTGGAAGCTCTTTTGTCCTAATATACCAACGAATAACCAAAGCGTGGGCTCTCAGGTCAACGAGTCACACGTTTGCTTTCTTGTGTCATGTGTTAATTATTTGTCCATCTCTCCATCCAAGACCCCAGATATCTTTCAAGCAAACCACTCGCAACTGGATCACCCACAAGAGCCAAAGAGGGACAGTCTAGGATTGTAACCTCCGTTTCAAACGAAAGCCCAGCCTCCTTCATTTCCTCCCATGCAGCCGTGTCTCCTCCCCCTAGCTGAGCCTGCCCCGCATACTTAGATCGCCAAAAATCAATGAGCTTAATACTTGGATTCTTCTCCGGGTCCTGTTCACTCTCTGCCAATCGTCTCAGCCACTCCCGCGGAGACACGACCTCAAAGTCCGGCAAAGCCGAGCCCTGCCTCAAAGCAGGAAGCAAATCATCCTTCCAACTCAACGTCTGAGGATTGACCAGATGATACACCATGTTGGCATCGTTTGACCCACTTCGGCTATTCATGACAATATCCGCAATAGCCCGTCCACACTCATCAACAGGTAACCAGCTCAGCCTTTCATTCAGCTGCGGTAGGGCGCCCGTCGTTAATGCACTACGGAACATGAGCGGCACAGCTTCCGTGTCATTCCACTGCGCGCTGACTGTATCCCCGCCAAGCTGGCCAATTCTCAGCACTCGAGCTTGCATACCTGTTTGGTGCATGGCGTTGCGGACAATATGTTCAGTGACGAGCTTGGATCTGCCGTACCCCATGGTCTGCGCGTGTTCTAGATTCTCGATCATGGTCTCGGGAATTGATGCAGGCTTCGGGGCGTTGCTTGCTGTGCTCACGCTTGAGCAAAAGAAGAGGCGTGCTGGGGTGGACAGATGAGAACGCAGACAGAAATTGATGAGGTTGTGTGTTCCGCGGATATGCTGTTGCTCGAAGGATCGCACGCCTAGGTTGAAGTTGACTGCCCATGCGCTGTGAACGACGCATGTCAATGATGAAAGCAAGTGGCAAAGATCATGGTCTTTGAGACCGAGATTAGCATCTGATAAATCACCGGGGACGGCATGGAGTTTTGCGGCTTCAATATCGGTGAACGTGATGTTGCGATCAGCAAGTGATTTGTAAAGACGTGCCCCCGCCGCTGCTTGTCCTGGTGCACGTACAATCGCCCATACTTCGGAGACTGTTGGTCGTTTCAGTAACTCTCCGACGATGAATGCTCCTAGGTTGCCGGTGGCGCCTGTGACCATCACTACTTCAGTTTCTGGTTTTGCAGAAATGGTCGGGAAATGTTGAGTGAAGTGCGAATACTTCTCAATTAGTTCGCGCATAACATGAAGCTCATCCTCTTTCTCAAACTCCTGACCTGTTCTCATCTGGTAAAGATGCCTGGCAAGCGCACTGACGGTTCCTTTCTCAAACACAATGTTTTGAGATAGCTGATCCGCTAGATCACCGAGATTAATATCACGCATGATGCACCTCCAAATCTGCGTCGTCTGCAAGCTATCCACTCCAGCCGAGAAGATATCATCTTCAGCGCTGGATAGCGTTATACCCAAGTCTTTGCTGAATCTCGATAAGAGCCAGTCCTCCAGTTCTGGAACACTGAGCTTGAGGGAACCTCCTTCCTGCCCACTTCCTTCGAATTTGGCATAAACCTCCTTTATATCATCCTCAAACTGCTGGTAGATCTGAGCACGTATGCATGTCCCTTTGTCGGTTTTAGCATATAGAACATCGGCACCTTTGATCACGACAAGTTCCTTGGGTATTCGAGAAAATGTCTCGGCACGAGCATTTGCCGCCTCCACAGCCGGCCAGATAACCTCCAAGAACTCATCATTATCTAGATGAGGCAGCTTGCCAGGGGCGCGGAAGATGAAAGCTCCAGGTACAGTTCGTTGAAATCCAAACATCACACAATCACTGACGATAGGCTCTTCTCTGATGCGCCCTTCAATGGGAATAGGAAGAACCTTTTCCCCATTGACCAGTGTGATCCGATCATCCAGCCGACTCAAGTATTTATAATAATTAGACTTTTCAGGATCTGAATGTCTAGTAAACAAATCAGCAGTCCTGAAACTATTCTCAGGGTTCTTCGCACTGTAAGGCGGCTTTGAATTCGAAGGCCCCTTACTCGGCAAGCCATCCAGCGCAACACATTCAAAAACCCCTGGCGAAATTTCATCCATCAAAGTGAAATCAGCAACTGGTCGGTGCAATCGCATATATTGCCACTCCTTATCTTCCGGATCTCGAAAAGAAGTCATGATCTGTCCCGTCTCCGTCGCTCCATAGTTGCCGACGAGATTCACACCCTGCGCAACAAGACGGTCGCCAAGGTCATCTGGACAGCTGGAGCCCCCATATAGCACGAGCTTGGGCCGAGCAAGAGCTTGAATTCCTTCTTGCTTTTCTGCGAGTAGTTTGATGACATATGGCACGGCGCTGATTTGCTCTGGCTGGGCTACCTGGAGCGCGGCGAAAAGGGTTTGGTATGTCACTGGAAGGGAGTGATTTCCCAAGTACGCGGGTGCTCTTGTGAAAAATGCTCGACCGAGTTCCATCAATGCATGGGAGTGGAAAAGCGGACTGACAGTGAAGAGGCGAAGACCGAAACTCTTACGGAAATTAGCGAGGGTTTGAAGGTTGGTTAGGAAGATCGGCTTCGGGAACCCGGTGCTTCCAGATGAATGCAGGATCCAGGCGATCTTCTTGCTCTCTTCGGATATATTCACTCCGAATCGTTCAAATCGAGGGAAGCTGTAAGGACAATTGAGCCAGTCTTCTCGTCGTAGATGCAAAAAGCTACTGCAACCAGGGTTCTCCGTGCGAATTTCATCCACGACATGCTGAAACTGGATTGTGTGGATGATCTGGTTGCAATTTGCCATCTCCATTAGCCGGGTATAAGCCGGGGCCGTGAGGCGCGTGGACAAGAAGAGCACGGCATAACCGAGGCGATTCAGGGCGAAGAAGGTTACCACGACTTCGAAGCTGGATCCAGCAAGCAGGGCGATAACAGGTGCCTGCTCAAGTCTTCCATCCTGTTGATAGACTGTTAGTTGAGGCTGAAACATAAACCTGGGTTTATTCTTACGGCTTCCATAATTCCTTGTCGCATATAACAGCGAACAGCTACGTCGGTATAGCGATCGATATCTCTAGCTGTATGCTCTTCGAAGTCAGCGGCCCCATGAGCTGGATAGCAGATCAGCGGCCTCTGTGCTTCGTCTGGCTGAGCAGCATGAGACTCCAAAAGCCCATCAATAGTTGCAAACTGTTCATATTCAGGCCATTGAGAGTGGAGAGTGCCGTTCAACAGACGAGCTGCGATGTCCTTGGTCTGGGGTGGCTCCACGGCGCCTTTAATGGTTTCAAGGGTGATTGCAGCCATGTCTGCTATGTGCATATCAAACGGGAGTATTGGATTCTATTGACATATCTTTATATTCTCGAGAAAACCCCCATGTTTGAGGTATCCCACGCATCGCGGGTGCTTTTCCGGATTTCCGGTTTGGGGCCTCGGAAAACACCCATCCCCGGATTTTGTTATCCATGTTCTTTGGAGAAACAGTTCGGAACTCATGTGATGTTGTTTCAACATGAAGATGATATTACATAGCAAATAAATCTATAGAAGCATAATCCAAAGAAGACTAGGCTCTACTGCAATACTATAAGATAAATTTGGCTATCAAGCCTTTCAAAGGATCAAGAGCATACAGCATGAAAAATAAAGATATAAACCAAAGTTATTGTCACTCTATATACCTACAGGATCTTGTTGTACATGTACGACCCCCAAAATGTACATCTTGTCCAATCTAAACGCGGCACAAGCGACCGTTCTGATCGGGAAGACCATCAAGGCTGTCCACAACCCAGTCATCACTGCCAATAGCAGTAGGGGCATAGAACAAAGAAGTAGGATCATACTCGTTCTTGATCTCATACAAGCGGTCGTAGTTGGAACCGTAGAATGCTTGGTTCAAGTTAGGCTCCTGGATATCCGACTCGGCCATGTAGACACCGGAGTCGGGGCAGACAGTGCGCCACTTGCCGACAACATTGTTGGTGAGGTAATCCATCTTGGCTTGGATCTCAGCATCGGGAGTAGTGTCGGTCCAGGCGGTCGAGGTGATAGCGTGCATCAGCGACGGGCGCCAAGCGGGGTTGGCCGCGTTGGGAGCGTAGAGATCGTGTGCCTCGGTCTTCATGTTGAAGCCAAGCAACAAGAAGCCATCAGTGATGGTTTCGCGCAGAACGTTGAAGGTTTCGTTGAACAGAGTGGGGGACTCGAAGTTCTCGCGGGGGAACAGGCGAGAGGCGGTGATCATGGTTGAAGGACCGACAAACTCGCGGGGGAAACCAGCAGCCCAGCCGTCGTGGAAGTTATCGTAGTAGGTAGTGATGGGCTCGAATGAGATACCCAACTCGTTAAGATCATCGAACCATGGCTTCATGAGAGCGTTGAACTGGGCCACGGTGTGGTTGACGGCGAAGTAGGGGGCCATCAGGAAGATGTAAGAGTCCGGGCCGGTCGGGGTCACCGAGAAGTAGGTGTAGGTACCAGCGTCAGCGTTAACAGGGAAGCGCTCAAGGTAGGATCGGACACCAGCGAAGAAGGTATCCGAGGAGACAGTCTCGCTAGTGGTGAAGTTGAAAGTCGAGACAGTCACGCCAACCTGGGGGTAGACACGAGAAATGAGGGAGGTGACGACTCCGAAAGTGCCTGGTGAGATTGTTAGATGGGCGTATTAAAAACAGAGATTAGAGGCAGACTTACCACCACCGCCACCGCGCAGAGCCCAGAAGAGATCGGGTTCGCTTTCCTTGGTGACTGTGACGAAGCGGCCATTGGCCAGAACGACCTCAAGAGCCAGGACTTGATCAGCAGCCAAGCCGTAGACGCTGGACATGGGGGAGTGGCCACCGCCAAGAACATAACCACCAGCAACACCAACAGTCTAAGATAGTCAGCGAATTTTGTCTACTTGCCGCTGTAGAATGAACAACTCACCATGCCTTCGCCACCAACGGCAGTGAAACCAAGCTCCTTGCTCTTCTGGTAGATCTCAAAGGCCTGCACACCAGAACCCATCTTGACAGCGGGACCCTGGTAGCCAGCAATTTGGTAATCCTCGTAGTATTCAATGTTCTTGAGGTGGTGAGTCCAGATACCGAGAGCACCCGCACCGGTCGACTTTCCGTTGAAGTCGTGGCCGGTGTTCTTGACAACCAGGCGGACACCGGTATTGCGAGCAAAGTTAACAGCAAGCTGGATCTGAGCCACACTGCTCACATTGACAGCGTAGCTACTGTAGCCACCCAGGGTACAAGATGCCGAGGCATTGGTGGTAGGCAGGCAGCTTCTACCCTCGAACAGAGGCCACATGGCCGAGGCCGAGTCAGCAGCGCTAATTGTAGAGTCAGTATATAATGTTCGTGTTTGCAATGTGTGGTGTTACTCACTGAATGTTCGAGTTGTTCCATTCTGCACTGACGTACGCGCACTTCTGGGCATCATATTGTGGCCATGAAGTGTAACAAGATGCGGCCAGAGGCACGGTCTTGATGAGTGCGCCATCTACAAGGTCATCCAAGGTGGACCATGTGGACTCGGAAGGCCACTGGTCGTCACCGGGGAAGACCTTGCATCCGTCGGTAGACGGGGGGGTCTGATCTTTCTCACCAAATGCCGCAAGAGCAGCCTCGCTCTCGCTAAGCTTCTTAATGTAGTCATCGGTCAACTGGAACTGCTCGCTCTCAAACAGAGGAGCGTTCGCAATCGAATCAGAGGCGACCTTCTGGCCAACAAGAGCGGTTGTGGGTGTGACCAGCAGGAGGGCATTGAGCAGAACGCCCGCGAATACCGAGGAAGGAGCCATGGTGAGAGTGTGGAGGTCAGATTCCTGCACCAAAACGGAACAGAAGTGCAGGGGGGAGTGGCAGTGGCGTCTTATAAACTGCGAATCCTCACCATACCCCTGTCGAGTACCACGAGGTTGACATCTTCCCAACGGCGATTGCCTGGCTCCACTACAATTTGGAAGCAATACTCCCGAGGTCCGTATGGCGCTCCAATCCTTTGCTGCCACTCCACTGTTGTGCATCCCTTCCAGCATCCAATCACAAGAGTGAAATTGAGACTGGACTCAGATGGGGCGCTCCGGCTCGACGGAGTACCACTTGCCTGATTAACGCCAAGCCTTCGCCTAGGATCCGGTCTGCACTAGACGGGGATGTTCTGGTCTAGACAAGGATGGTCTCCAGTATCATGGGCTTGTTCTATTATCACCATTGTGGGGTACTGTTTCACCCTAGACTGTCCGAATTTTCTCTCCTTTTCCTTCACGGGTCACAAGGGCAGGATCAACACCCATCAAATTGGGAAGCAAAGACCACCGAGTATCCCGTTCGTTGTGCTCCATACGGAGTACTCCGGACTCCATAGAGCACAAGCGAGCAGCAAGCACACTGGCCGTCGGCATCTGGATCAGCCACCATGCGGTCCGCCTCCATTCTCCGTGGCCCACTGCCGATCCACTCCGGTAGATCCGATCTGTTCACTGGGCAATGCGACGCCAACATAGGGGACCCTGGGAATGTTACATTGGGACTAACTTTGCCGAGATTGAAGGCTCCAAAATAATAAATGAATTGATTCACCCAAGGCCGAGAAGAAAGTTCCTTCCATATCGAACGTGGGGGCCGAATATTACAACCGACATTCCAACATCGTGAAGTCTCGAAGCGATGCCCTGATCCATGGTCTGCACAAAGTTTGTTGCTTCGAGGACCCCAATCGTGTGCATCATCCTTTGCTAATTGGTGGGAGGGTGCTGATCGTCGCCGCAATATTGGCAATGCTGGCCTTCCAACCTTGGAAGTTCATGACCTCGGTACTGGTGATTCTCGTGTCCCGCTTTCCCCCCCCCCTAACAACAAGGATCTAGCTCTTCTGAGATGTAACGGTGCAAAGGCTGTGAAGTTTGCCGACCCCCTCCGAGATTGTGATCCTCTACGCTAGTCTGCACCTGAGGTTCAAATATTGCCATCGGCTGTTGACTGTGAAGAAAGCAGCTGGAACCTAGTGTGTACAAAGTACGAATCGAGTATATCATGCATCTCACGATCGACGATCGGCTGGCTATTTGAATGTCCCACGGGCAGAGACCCGGTTTTGTCTCCAGCTTCGTGCTTCGTGTTTCGCGCTTCGTGCTTAGCGTCATCCGCGGCATCCGTGGCATCGTATTCGATCCTTCCAATCCCAATCCGTGGCGTGGGGCCGGTCGCTTTTGCCTTCGCCTTCATCTGGTCTCTGATGACAGTTCATTATTGGCCCCTTAATGAGCCTCAAACACCTCAAACGCCATAGAATCGTAGAACCGGTGCTGCGACCCGAACTAGCTTCGTAATCTCGTCTAGCCAGCAATTTTTCCCAAATCCCGTCAAACCTTGAAGCCAAAGAAGTGGGAGATTGCTGCCGATCCTGGCTCGCAGTGCTCCGTAGTGACCAGCGTACCAGGTTTCCCACCCGTGTTGCATTTTATCATTCGGGTCTTGCCCTGTCTGGAGTTTCCTCTCTGATATACTCTCCTGAGTGGGACACAACGATGATTGACGATTCTTACCAGAGGGTTGGACTGGCAATCATCGTCGCATTTACGGTGCTTGGAGGCGTTGCAGTTCTACTTCGGCTCTGGAGCCGATGGCTATCACGATCGCCGATCACCAGTGGTATGATGTCCGCTTCTTGTGCTAACTCTAGATCTCCACTGGGACCTGCATCCTTAGGAGCGATCGCTAACAAGGCTTATTGCAGATGATTACATGATTGTGCTGAGCTGTGTAAGATTCTCAGATCCACAGACTGTGACAGGGATGAAAGGGGTATACTGATACGTCTGATGTAGATCATCTCAACATGTCAAGGCGTCACGATGTGGTACCGTAAGTCACTCGATCAACAAGGAGAACGATTGCTCAACTGCCAAATCCAGTCTTTAAAACCAGCTATATTGGCATCCACGCTCGGGATATACCCAAAGACTACGATGCCAAACTGGGGCGAACTGTAAGTCGGCTGCACAATTCACTATGAATGAAAAGCTCACGAACGAAACAGTGGGAATTCGCAAACCAGCTTCTCTACAACCCGGCCTTGACCACGGTCAAGCTCGCGATCATTTTGTTTCTGCGTCGACTGAACTCCCACTCGCGGGTGGTGAATTATCTCATCTGGAGTTCCTTCGTGGTGGTAATCGGGCTTTTCATCGCCGTCCTCCTGGTCGATATTTTCCAATGTAATCCAGTATCATACGTCTACGATAAGTCTATCCAAGGGTCATGCATTAATCAAAGTGCCTTCTTCATCGCCACCGCCGCGGTAAACCTCATCAGCGATCTGATGGTTCTCTCAATCCCCATCATCATTACCGCTCGGCTTCAAATGCCACTACGCCGCAAGATCGCCGTCTGTGTCATTCTCTGTCTGGGTGGAATGTGAGTGATTCTCAAAACGCAAATGCCCGCCCTTCTAACATTATCCACAGCGCCACGGGTGTCGGAGTCTGGCGCATCATATTGATTGTCCAATCATACATGCACCTAGCTACTGATCCGGATCCCACCTACTCAATTGCTATCTGCAGCTCAGCCGTCGAGGTTAACGTCGCAATCGTGACGGCTTGTGCCCCGTCCATGAAAGCCATCGCCAGCAGATACCTGCCCAAGCTCCTGGGCAGCTCGCGCAATGGCGGAAAAACCAGCTACGGCACTGGGCCCAGCAATAGTACCGGCTTTTGGTCACGCAAGCTCGGCAAGTCAACCTATACCAAGCGCAATTCAAACATGCAGTCAGGGTGCGGCGAGGAAGGATACGAGATGGCTGACCCACTCGGTGGGTCGCGGTTCGAGGTCACTGCCGACAAATTCGATATGCGCAAGTATCGACGTGGTGGAGATAGTGGCAGCGACATCACTCTGAGTGACGATGGTAAAGCGGGGATTATGAAACGGACTGAGATCTCAGTCGGATATAGTGAAACGGCGACGCCTGGAGATGGGAGGTCGGCGTCGCAAGGGGATGGGAGATCGCAGGGCAAAGCAGCGAGTGTGGATAGTATTGTTTGAGATATATAATTTAGACTAGGATGACTTACGCTATAGAGATTTATTCCCTTTGTTCATATAGCCTTCTCGAAGAAAATGGGCCGAGGACCGACTACCCCAATGGCGTACTGATAGTGAGGGGTTCGGCATTCCCCCCTCCTCGGGACTTTATAAACTTGACTTCCCATTGACTCGACAATTTGAGGATTCGAATAACTTCGCGGTATATAGCTATTTGATCTATCTCATCATGGCGACTCAGTACGAACTACCGTTCACGGTATGTCTTTCGCATTTCCAGCTCGGCAGGGTGTTCGGCGAGATGTCCGAGCTGAATCCACATACATCACCTAGACATGTTTACAGTGCTAATTCGATTATTGTCAGCTATCCGATCCCACACTGCTGCATTTCGACTCCTTCATCGGCGATAAATGGATCGGTGCAAAGAGCGGGAAGCGATTTGAAGTACTTGGTAAGTGAAAGGCGCATGCTGCGAACTACGTTTTCGAGCTTTGGTCTAAAGGAGAGATCGGCGCTGACATAGTACACTCTCTCTAGACCCCGGTAGCGACAAGGCGTGGGCCAGCTGCCCCGCCAACGCAGCAGAAGATGTATCGACTGCAGTAGAATCTGCGCACGCGGCATTCGAGCAATTCCGCAAAGTCAACCCACGCCAGCGCGCGAAGTGGCTGCTCGAGTGGCACAGTTTGACAACGGCGGCGCGCGATGACCTCGCCCAGATCGTAACCCATGAGACTGGAAAGCCATTGGCAGAAGCATATGGAGAGATCGACTATTCACTAGGCTTCTTGTGGTGGTTCGCTGGAGAAGCAGAGCGCATTCAGGGCACTGTGTCAACAGCCGCTGCACCAAACCGACGTCTGTTCACTATCAAGCAGCCGATCGGCGTGGCTGCCGCGCTGGTTCCATGGAACTTCCCCGTTGCTATGGTTCTTCGGAAAGTGAGCGCTGCAATGGCAGCTGGCTGTACAATGGTGGTGAAACCCAGCCCAGAGACACCTATCTCTGCACTTGTACTGGCGGAACTGGCTCGTCGGGCCGGTATCCCAGCTGGAGTGTTCAATGTGTTGACTACAGATCTTGAAAATACCCCGCCGCTGAGCGAGGCGCTGTGCAAGCACCCACTTGTCAAGAAGGTGACATTCACTGGATCAACCCGGGTTGGCAAGCTGGTAGCATCGCACTGTGCACACGGTCTCAAGAAGCTGACCCTCGAGCTGGGCGGTAACTGTCCCTTCATTGTCTTCAACGATGCCAACCTTGACCAAGCGATTGAGCAGTTGATGGCCCTGAAGTGGCGTCATGCTGGCCAGGCTTGTATTACTGCCAACCGAATCTACGTCCAGGAGGGAATTTACGATCGCTTTGCTACTCTTCTCAAGGAACGGACCGCTGCTCTGGTTGTTGGTCATGGCGCTGCTGCTGGAACCACAATGGGCCCATTGACGACGCCTCAAAGTCTCAAAAAGGCATCTTCCCAGGTCGAGGACGCTCGTCGTCTCGGTGCCGACGTTATCTTGGGTGGTAACCCGCTAACATCAAAGCCCGGGTACTTCTTTGAGCCCACTATTCTCTCGGGAATGACCGAAGAGATGCTCATCTCGCAGGAGGAGTCTTTCGCTCCCATTGCTGCACTATACAAGTTTGAGACTGAGGATCAAGCTGTTAAATTGGCCAATGATACCAGCATGGGTCTGGCTAGCTATGCATTCACCAAAAATATCGATCGCATGTGGCGTTTATTGGAGAACTTGGAGGCCGGAATGATCGGAATGAACACTGGTAAGTTTTTCTTTACAGAGGAAGCCTCGACGAGCTAACCAATCCGCACAGGTAATCAATCTGCTGCCGAATCGCCCTTCGGCGGTATTAAGGAGTCTGGATATGGCAAAGAAAGCGGAAAGGACGTGGCCGTCAACGAGTACTTGGTCACCAAAACGGGAACCTTCACCATTGAGGGACAGTATTAAACGAATACTGAGAGTTGAACGATCCTGCGTCGACCTTGACAATCTACCATCCTTTTTTAGCCAAAATAAATTGAATGAAGTTGATGAGTTGTTTCTAAGTGGGCATTCTCCACTCGATTCCACCGCGCGAATATTGAAGCCGAGGCGAGCCGAGGATGCAGATCAAAAGACACGAGAGACCAGTGTGCATAAGCCCATCGAATAATGTAACATTATGTACGGAGTAGATCAAGAGAATGTAGAAATAACCTCATCAAAGTCGATGCACGGGCGCCCAACGGTTTCTGCTGGCCCACCGACGCGATATCCCGTTCTCGACTTCGAAATTTGCCCTTCAGACCCCAGCAAACTCTGCATCCTAGTTTTTAGAGAACCACAACGTTAAACCACGTCATCCGGGCTCATTGAGGATAATAGATTCGATTATACACCCGTGGACCTCATCTAATCATGGCGAATCTTGATCCACTGCGCCAACTGATTCAGTCGCACCCACTCATCGACAACCATGCCCACAACCTGCTGAAACGCGAGTCGGCCACTGACTACGACACATACCCACTGGAGGCCATCGTCTCCAAAGCCCACGGTCGGGCACTAGAAAATTCCCGCACCACTCTACCCTTGCTGCGAGCCACAAACCAGCTTGCCGAGCTATATGGCAGTCCCTGCGCAGACTGGGACGAGGTCCAATCCGCCCATGATCGATGCGTGCGGGAGGACTATGATGGCTTGATCCGCAAATCGCTCGAAGGCACACACACATTGCTACTCGATGACCTTCTCGGCGATGACGAAGACATCGAATCTTCCAGCTGGCACGATAGCTTCACAGTTTCGCCAACCAAGCGAATCGTGCGGATCGAATCCGTAGCAGAGTCCCAGATCCTGCAAATAGCCAGCAGCGAGCGGAAGCCCGGCGAGACAGTCTGGAATAACTTCCGCCAGCGATTCCAGGATGCTATCTCCGAGGCCTTGGACGATCCCAACGTCGTGGCCTTCAAATCCGTCGTGTGCTATCGCACCGGATTAGACGTGGACCCGTATTCCTCTGATGATCTCACACTGGGCGGCTCATTGCTGCGCACCCTCGATTCCGGCACCACAAGATCCGGGTTCCGAGTCGAGGATAAGCCGCTGTGTGACTGGCTTGTCCAGCAGACATTGAAAGCGATCTCGTTTAAGAAGAAGGCGGGGGTCTCAAAACCGCTTCAGTTCCACACCGGCTTGGGAGACAACGATATGAATCTTCTGCGAGCCAATCCCGCCTACTTGCAACCTTTGATCGCGCAGTATAATGATGCTGATGTTGTGCTGCTGCACTCTGCGTACCCGTATACACGTGAAGCGGGCTATCTTGCCTCCGTCTATCCTAATGTCTATCTTGATCTTGGTGAGGTTTTCCCCATGGTCAGCCGAGAGGGACAGGAGAAGATCCTCCGGGAAAGCCTGGAGCTCGCGCCTACAAATCGTCTGCTCTGGAGCACTGATGGTCATTTCCATCCTGAGTCTTTGTGGTTGGCGAATCGCCAATTCCGCCAGGCTCTTGAAAAGGTTGGTTTCAAGGGCATCCTCTCATTATTTAATTTCCAGTGCTAATTGTGCTTATCTCGCAGGTCCTTGTAGACTATGTCCAGCATGGCGACTATACAAGCCCCCAAGCCATGAAGGTTGCTGCCGATATTCTTTTCTACAATGCCAACCGCCTTTACAAACTCAACTTGACTCCATGGTATGTCTATTTCGAGGCTATCTCTTTGCATTTGAAGTATGTGTACTAACAATCAATCCATCAGCTGATGCGTACAGTCCGCTGCCCAAGCCAAGTTAGTTATTTTAGCGCGCTTGCTGAGTATGAAAGAGACATACTAGGCTTCCGGGGCAGTACCGAAAACAAAACTACGGAATTTCAGTGAGAGAAAAGTGTATTTGATTCCCATATTAGAAATGTAAATGTGACCATGACTTTTTTTTTCCATGCCGTGTTGCCCTCATCCCAAATCGTATACAAATCGCCGGAACCAACAAAACGACAGCGCCACCTGAAGTATGTGCGTGTGAAATTCCATCAAAGCAAAAGTCCGAGAAAGAAATACATGCCTATACCACCGGGCGGCGGGATCATTGCGTGCCGAACAATATTGGGGTATCATGCAAGAAGCGAAACGAGAGAAGAGAGAAAGGGAAACAAGAATGCGAGCCAACTCCGGCCGTCGCTTTTCGTGTATCAAGCGTTGGCCTGACGCAATGCAATGTGAATGATCAGTAGGTCAAACAATGGAGGGGGTTGTGACGTATGCGAATCAGAAGATGGGGGAGAAGGAGAAGAGAGACCTAAATGTCATCGCGTTCATTGTCTGATATGATAGTATTGATAATGTTATAATAACAGCATCAACCGCAATCACTGGATCATCTCAATAACGGACTGAAATGATAGGGTATAATGGGTTAAAAAGCCAAAGAAAAGAAAAGGTAGTATATCTCAGGTCAGTTTGGTAGACTTTGAGGAGATAAGAGGGGGAGAGGGTAGGGGAGTGTGGCCAAGAGACGGTAGGCTAAAAGACGAGACGAGGCGATATATGCATCATGAGCGAGCGACAAAATAAGCGGTAGAAGGCTAAACATGTCGAAGCAAAGGAGGATACCAGAAACGAGCGTGCACGCCAATTCAAAAATAGACGCCATCTGCTGTATCAAGCCGCCATCTTCCGTTCACTCTCCATTCCATCCTTTTCCCACTCACCTAGTAAGCGAGAAACTTCTCTGAAAGACACCGGTTTGGTGAGGAACAAGTCCACACCAGAAGCCATGGCATCGTACTCGTCGCGTGAACTGCTGAGTCCGGTCAAGGCGATAATGATGGCCGGCTTACGGTCATCTGTGTCTTTCTCCAGCGAGCGGATGGCACGAGTAGCTTCAAAGCCATTCATGACAGGCATCGACATATCCATGAATATGATATCATAGCCGCTCTGCAATCGTTCAACTGCCTCAACTGCCAATTTGCCATTCTCGGCTGCATGTAGCGAGGTTAGGTGGCGCTTCTTGAGAAATGTCATCATCAGATTGAGATTGATTTGATTGTCATCGACCACCAGAACCCGTGCTAGACGTGAAGAGTTGGCTCCTCCATCTAGTAGTGGCGATGGGAAGGGATTTTCTGAAACTTCCTCGGGCAATATTTCAATTGGCGGTGGCGATTGCAGTTGTGGCATTGTCATAGGGTAGGACTCCGGGAACTGCAACTCAGGAGCACTTCGAACATCCGCGGAGGATGTGAGGGGTGACCCGATTGCAGATGGCAACGAGGTAGTCCGAAGGGGTAAACTCTTGGGTTGCATGGCGGAGACAGGCGTTGCAGATCTCGACTGATCATGTGTTAAGCATTTCATCACGCTTCGGGCCAACTTGTGCGGCCCACAGGGACGTCGAATGATGTTCACGGAGGTAGCCAGTGGTAGCCATTCGTTTCTTGCGCCGCTATAGTCCACCGATTTGCGGCAAAGGACAAGAAGAGCGGGCAACGTGGCTGACGGTGCGATGGTGCGGAACTTTGGTAGATCGGCTTCATCCATAAGTACAATGTCGATATCGGCTTCAGGCGTCCACGAGACAATCTCCATGTCATACCAATCTGAAATATAGCGAGCGATTTCAGACCAGTCGGAGTTAGCAGTCACACCTGCTGGGTCAACCCCCCAAATGGCAGCTCGTCTGCCAGGGTATCCCTCTCGCAATAGAAGAGTTTGGGTTAGAGTTTCAGTCTGTTGAACCAGCTGTCCGGAAGGCTCAAAGTTCGGACTTTCCTTGCCAACAGGCCGTGCCAAGGGGAGAGATACATGTACAATGGTGCCTTCCCCAGGACGGCTACGAATACGAATGCTGCCATTCAAAGCCTTGACCAAACTTCGAACAATAGACAATCCCAGCCCAGTGCCCACAGCCAGCGAGTCTTCTTGGGCAAATGGGGTGTAAAGCTTGCTGCGCAAAAACTCTTCCGATATGCCTTTGCCCGTATCTGTCACAGTCAAGGTGACCAAGTCTTCAAGACCTTGTCGCCGAGAGCGTCCTTCGGAGTGACTGGATGCTGACAAGGATAAGGTGACACGGCCAGAGTCTGTGTATTTCATTGCATTTCCAAAAAGGTTCATGATGATACGCCGCAGAGCGCCTGGCTGAGTTCGATAGACCCAATCACGGAATGATACGTCAATAACAACCTCCACGCTGGACCGTTGATTCTGCATTTTTGGATGATGTGGCATCAATACAGGCAGATCAGCTGAAGCGGTAGAGCTCTGGCCGTACACATGGCCCAGACAAATGCCTTCAATGACTTCTTCGGCGAGGATAGCCACGTCTGTGGCCACGTAAGTATCTAGGTGGTATGCCAGCTTGTCTGATCCTTTAAATTCAAGGAGCGACTCTTTCTTGCGTTTCAATGACCGCCATGTTCGCTCCAAAGATACCACTTTACTGAAGTCAAGTACCTGGTTCATTGTGTCCAGTAAAGTCCGACCACAGGAGTTAACAGTCTCGAGCAATGAGTCCTGGAACTCGTTGAGATGGGTGCTGTTCAAGAATTCTGCAGCAGCCAAGATTCCGTGCAAAGGGCTACGAAGTTCATGCCTAACAAGCAATATTAATTAGTAGCTGCATGTTTAATGAATACATTCAATATAACTCAGGGCACTCACGAGATGCTGCCAATGAAATCACCCTTCTGGCGATCGGCAATGAGAGACTCAACACGGCTATATTCAGCCATGATGGAAGATGAAAATCCAAGCACTGAACTAAGCTCAACGGAGGTAGTGAACACTTGTGTCTCCACGGTGCTCCAGCAGAAACATCCTGCGAACCACTGCGAAGAAACAGCATTCCATAAAGGCACGAACATTATTTGCGTGGCATTTGGGAAATACTGGTTGAGAACCAAGTTTTCCTCGGCTTTTCGCCGTTTTCGCAAGGGCTTTGAAGGCTGTGGGGCACTAGGCGGGGACCGGCTTGAGGAACTGCTGCTAAGAGGGGGTTTATCCTGAGGTTGTTGATCGTCATCATCGGATGTCGAAATGAGCCCATCGCGGTGGAAAGACCAGAGCTTTCCTCTAGGATAGCGTCGAAGCAACGTTTGCAGGAAAGCCCGATCTAGATTGGCCGCAGCGCATGTCGCCATCGACCCAGCCTGGGGGGCGAACGGTTCATCATTTGTTGACGCTGACAGAACAGGGGCAGGACCACCTGTATCAGAACAGTCACTCCCCGTATCAACATCCATGAGTGGGCTATTGTTGGCCTCCAGGAAAATAACGCCGCTTTCGCCATTTAAATCAAGACTCTCGCGAAGCAAGTTGGCCGCCCTGCGGAAGCACCAGGAGTTACCTTGCGAGTCATCGGGTGGGAGGCGGTTGCGGCTGCTGCCTGTTAACCATTCTGGTAGAGAGCTCTCCACCGTGCCCGACTCTAATTTTGATCCACTGTCCAATTTTGAATCGCTACTGTCCAATTTCAAATCAGAGGCCACAGATCCGAATGACCGAGTGTCATTACTGAGTGATCGGTCATTCGGTGGACTATTGGATGTCGATTGCGATGCATGTTCTGCGCTGTTTCCGCGAGATCCGCGAGAACCACCAGAAGCACTCATTCGATTGTAGGAAGACGTCGGGGCCGTTGATGAAGGGCCAATACTGCCGGTCCGCGATGGATCGATGTTGTCCACAAAACTGGAACTTCCCTCCACGAAACAACTCAACCCGCGGGAAAGGCGCGCAGCTCGACGTCCCTCGGAAGCCTGTCTGCAAATCTTCAAGTAGTCCATCACAAGCGTCGATAGAGACCCCATTGTATCCTTCTCCAACTGTGTCAACCCATCTCGGGGTTTTGTGTCCAATACAAAAAAGCATCCCAAGTTGATTTTGTTCTCGGTGGTTAAGGGAGTTCCTGCGTAAAAGCGAAATTTGGGGTCATCTTCGACAAACGAAAGGTGTTTATAGCGCTCGTTTGTGGCCATGTCGTCCACAACTAGGAATTGATAGTCTGTGTTTTCGCGGTCGTTGGGCGGAAGTGCAACAGTATCCTGTCGAATGGCGTCAAAACCAAGAATCACGTATTTGAATAATGTGGCCGGGTCCGACACTTGTCACGAATCATACAGCTCGTCGAATGAGCAAAACTTACCTTGCATATACTCCATGTCTTGCGGGTGTCGGACGGCCCCACCCAAACATCATCGTTGTCGTCGTGAATTGACGGATCGCTTAAATTGAGAGACCTTGTTGCTTCGGCAATAATATGTTGTATATCACGATCCAATACGGATATGAGCACCCGCTCGACATTGAGACGCAAAGCCGCTAGCTGGGCAAAGGAGGTCAACGTGCCATTCGAGGTGCCTAGGACTAGAGCATCTGAGCCGATCGTGGTAGCTGGTCGTGGGATTGCGCTGCTGTTCGAAGGCAATGAGCCTTCGGAGATCGGTGGGGTGACTGTGGTTCCCGAGGCTGCAGAGAAATGGAAACCGTCGGTGGCCGCAGAAAACCAGGATGGAACCACCTCAGGCTGAGAAGCAGGCCGGTAGTAGCGATAAAGTTCTCTGGCCCTGCGATCTGCGTTGTGTAGTTTTTCCTGGTGTGTCCTAGGAATCTCCATAGTTTGCCGCTAGCGATGGAGATGTAAGGATGCAATACTGCATCCTCAGACTCCGAATTTCGAGATTGCCGTAGGAGTCAGACCGGCGACGACGGAGGCAGCGGGATAAAAAAAAATGTTGGAAAGATGTTGAGGCGGCGAGCGTAACTTGATCATTCGTTCAAAGGATGGTATGAAGAGGAGAAAGAGTGTGATTCACACACCCAGAGTGCGATCTCCACAGCAGAACACCAGGTCAGGTGAAACGTCCGAAGGTGTTCCAGAGAATGCGCAAGAGAGTTGGCCGCAAGGACAGCCAGGGATCCTATCTGTCGAGGTGGGGACGGGTACTAGCGAGGGGACCGCATCTGAGGGGATAAATGCTCCATAGAACATGATTAGTGAGAATCAACGCTCGGTGCACATTGAGAATCGTGTACTCCATGCCCCCTGCTCCACCGCTTCATCAGCCTTTCTCGTGCGATTTCCCGGCATCGTAGGATCGGCACACAAATGGTGCCAACGTTCTTGGACCAGCATATTGACTGGAGCACAATGGAGTAGGAGGCTCCAGGTGGCGTCCACTGGGAGCGATGTTTGTGGACGTATGTGGAGGGGGAACGGTTTCAGTGGCTGTGTAGTGGTCCGGTGGCGGCCTCAGGTTGCAGATCATTGGGTTTGCAGCCTCAGGCCACATTAGTGGCCATGAAGATCAGGCACCGTGGCAAGCCAAGTGCACCAATAAAATCTCAGGATCATCCTACCAGTCAACGGTGCCAATCATAAACGATTGTTTTTTTCCCTTGCTTCATGCTCTGTTTTATGATGGAATGTTACCATCCTGTCATTCCAACAGCTTCACTATTGCGCTCTTTGCACAAATAAAGCCCGTATCGTCATTGAAGAACTAATTGTACGTCATTTCTGACAGGGGCTAATGTTAGCGCCGCAAGCCCACAAAGCCCATGACGCCAGTGGCGACATTGGGCCTGGGGGTACAGGAAAGGTACCCATACACTCAAGGCATCAAAATAAGCACCGAGCTATCGGCCATCAACCCCACTGCCGGTGGTAGCTATACATAATGATCATCTCTTCCTACTTGACCTCGAATTGTCACGACGATTGGGCTGCGAAGTGGCATGTTGTATTCGAAGGGTTCTCTACCGATATGACCGGTCACCGCACCCCAGATGTATGCCACCCATGACCCAAGTGTCAACAAAGCCAGTGCAGCAAAACAACTATGGAGATGTGTCGGGTACGCCGGCACTGAATAATCAAGCTGCGCTTTCGAATCCGCTCAATGATAGCCACGCCCAATGTTAACCATTCATGCCGAGTCCATTGCAGCGGCAAGCGCTAGACAGGCTTGTACCACTCGACGATATGATTTATTATCTTTCCGGATAATGATGCCCATACCATCGCCGTTTTAGATGTCAACTTCCATGTCGAGAAATCATATCCATGTGGAAAAGGCGGGACCTATCTTACCCATTATCCATGGTAAGTTTCAACGTCTATGCAGATTCCAATACCGATTGATGCCATGCAGTGGTTTGAATGCTATCGATGACCGAAGTTGGCCCGAGGGGGACAGCGATGGCGTGAGATGCCATCTCTAGGTTATTGTGGGTCTTGTGGATCAGACTCACAAACAGATGCTCGGTTTCCAGGGACATCGATAAACACGCCCGGCAGGCAACGAGAAAGAAGCCTGGTGATTATCAGCTTGGGCCCAACTACCATGGCCGTACCTGTTAATCCATTCTCTCCTTGGTTGTCCAGAGAAAGAGCGTTTCTTCGAAACGAGATCAGCTCCCAGTGGGGAAAAAAACCAAAGGTATTCACACAAGGCAGTCACCGCCGCGACATTGACAGCACACTTCCCACCGAGTACATCGGATGGCTTTACGGTTTCCTGTCCAGGAGCCGGGCTTACTTTCTCACGTAAATGCGAACAGGACACTGCCGGTTATCCACATATGCAAAGGCCCACCATGTCGGGGATAGAAATCGGTGCGTTTTTGGATTTATCGTAGGTACTGACCACAGCATCGTTTTGGAGCTGGAAGAAATCATGGCACTAAGGAAGTTCAAGGCTGTTGGAGCTACGGGTGTGTTTACAAGTGCCCATGAGCCCGCTGCCAACCTCGCTTCAAAGTCCGGCAGAATTGCGGCTGATTTTGCCTTAATACAAGCACCGGGAACAGAATTAGCCATAATAAGACACAGTAGATACAGTGTGGATTATGTATTCACTTCTAAGCCCCGAAATCATATAATGAACGTATTTAGCAAAGGCTCAACCCATGGTCTCCAGGAGCTATAGGCTTCAATATTCATATTCAAGAGCAACTCTTTTCATCAGCCATTCACCGGCAGTCTTTTCTCCATGCCACTCCAAAGAGCTCCATTTTCCTTTTTTGTCGCATCCTGGAAGGGGATCCATGGCAGTCTCATAGTCGGGGTGGACGAAGAAACCAATTGAATACCGGTCAGTCACTGTATCCTCGCTTGCTGCACTTCCGTATTTTAGGTGACGCGGAGCAGTTACGTGGTGTAGCGCACTCCTCCACCTTCCGTTAGACTGCTTTTCCAACATATCCCCGACTTGTACAATCATCGTACCAGGCTTTGGAAGTACCGGTCTAAATATCCCTGCGTCATGATCGTGACTCTCAAGGCCTCCAACCATGTCCTGAAAGAGCAGAGTTAGTTGGCCAAAGTCGGTATGGGTGTTGAGACGATTTGAACCTGTTTGCAATGATAAGAGAGGTGTAGACAGGTAGTGATTCCAGCCAAACTGGCTGCAATTGATCTCTGGCGTTTGCTGTTTGCCAAGGTAATCAAGATCAGGAATACCAAGGATTTCACATAGAAATCGGAGGATCTGAAGTTCTTGATCGATACAAACATCCCACCACTTCTGGTGAAATGATTGAAATCCAGGAAAGATTTCTTCAGGCAGCAGGCGATTTCTTGCGACGCGAGTATCATTTGGGTCGGTGCTGAGGTACGGATTTCCGGTTTCCAGATTTTCCATCTGCTCAATCGGAGCAGTTTCTCGCAGTTTCTCGATCTCTGTAGGGTCCCAGATGCCTTGAGTGACAATTCCAGTACCGGCAGATACATAGCCTCGATGGTCAGATGCTTTCCGAGGGTGCGCGATCATCTTCTTGACATTGATTGGGAGACTAAAGAAGCGACGAGACTTCCGAGGATCAGCAGGTATCTCAACAAATATAAAGGATAAGTGTCATACCCATGACATAGCCTCATCAACCATAGCCTGACCAACACTATGATTGGAAAGATATACAAATCCATAGGACTTTAATGCGTCATCTAGCTGTTCGAGGGCATCTTTGCGCTCTTGCGGGGTGCCAGCCGAGAGAATTCGGAAATCGATCACTGGGATATTTGCAGGCTCGACGTCTTTGATTCCGACCATTTCCAGAGATTTTGGTAAAGACAGAAAAGAATTGTGAATACCGTGATAATGTCGATATCGTAAAAATAGTGGTCCTGAATAGGCAGAGAGATGTAAAGGGTCATACGTGGTCAATTACAGAGCTATCACTTATATCTCCCGGCTTCAATAAAACGCCACGGCAAGGACCAAACAAAGAATAAGAATACTAGGAATGGAAAAAGATCAGCATGTACGGAGTAAGTACTCCGTAAAGAGGTATGAGTTTAAGTGCAGGTGAGCTCATTAGATATTTCTCCTGCAGGATACGTGCGTCGCACAGCAGACTGCAGAATTCAGCTCGAACGTACTCCGTATGTACAGCACGGAGCAGACGCCCGAGTGATACATGCATATGTATGGAGATAATTCACCGCTATTCAACCATGAATGGCAACAATCAGCAGGATTCTCTACCCATGTCGGTTGATGGCTTTCGAACATCTGCGAACTTAGACGACCTGACCTCCGGTTCGCGCCCTCCACTCTACTTGCCTGAATAATTATCATTACTGTCAACTGGCTAACGCTATGTACGGAAATTTTACTTGGGTTATTTACTGCATCGGGAATTCAAAACGAATAGAACTGCAAGATGCAGGCGAACGGAGAGTGCAAGTCATCAGGATGTAGCCGATTTGACATATACGTCTCTTCTTCATATTCAGATATTCTCATGGTCCCCTAAGGGTATACACCAGTAGGCAGCGTAGTATACACCCCAATAGATACCTTGGACATAACTAGCGTACGGGAATATATGGAGATAGTTCAGATCTAGTGCTCGATTCTAAGTTAGTAATTCCTAACGTGTATCTATTCTCTACGATCAAGAAATTCGATTGAGAAGCATTATCACGACGGCGGTTATAAACTGTCGGATAAGGGGAATACACCATCGCACCTTAAAAAATCCGTAATGTGTCACTTAGGCGAAATGCAGTTCCCATATGGGGAAGTTCATATCGAGGGCCTCTCTAACAATTGTTGAGACAGTGGTGGGTGCCTTGGTGCCTTGGTGCCTCGGACATCACAATCGTAGCTAGAGTCGGGAGCTCCGTCTCGACTCTCTCTTCCCAAGACAGCTCTCTTCCCCCTCCACACTCCTCCTACTACGTAGTGCTCAACAACATTGATTAGTATCTCCTCAGCAATTGATGAAGTAGCTGTAATTCAGATGATAGTGCTAAGAGTACCGATCTAAAGCATGAGGCCGATTCAACTATGTCTCCCTATGCCAATATTGTAGACCTAGGTATGTAACTAGTCATTGTATGAGTGGAAATTGGTGCTTAAGGTTGTTTTATCGGCTGAACACTTGATACTTGCATCCGTTTTCTATATTTCCAATTGGAAAGGTCGCCAGGACAGTCCAACACGGCTCTAGAAGACTCTAGCCAATGCGTAGTGAATTCCCAGAGCGCGTCGCAATTTCATTCAGATCCCAGACCCGCGTTCTCTAGCATTCCAATACTTCCTCCCAATACCTCCCCTGTTGTCATTCTATCCGACCGTATCCCTGCCATGATGTTAAATCTCATTATCTCCTTCTGCCCTTTGACGCTTTTAATTCTGACCGTCAGCCTTAAATCATGGTCGAAAATGGATTGAAGAGCGAACAGTCCGTCACTGGCGGCCAGTCTATCTGGGAAAGTGACGATGCCCATATTAAACGAATGGGAAAGAAGCCGGTTCTCAAGGTACGCCCTATCGCAGTCTAATCTATTCAAACAACAGCCCAGACGACTAATTTCTGCAGCGAAACTTTGGCACCTTCTCTATCTTCGGCCTCAGTTGTACAATTCTGGGTACTTGGGAGTGCTTGCTTGGGTCAGTGAAGTTCACAAAATCAACGACTGCGCGCTGACAGTTGTCTAGTGCCTTTATACGGCCTCTGCAGAAGTATGTTTAAGCCGTCTGCTGTTTTCTGTGATTCTAACAGTTGTCAGTGGTGGCTCCGGTGGTACGGTCTATGCTTTCATCTTCTGTTGGCTCGGCACCATAGCCATATTTGTGGTGTTAGCCGAACTAGTTTCAATGTTTGTCTCATATTGATTGGAATTAGCTCTCAAGCTAATCACCGAACAGGGCTCCCACGGCCGGGGGACAATATCACTGGGCGGCCATGCTTGCTCCACAACGGTACCAAAAGTTTCTTAGCTATATCACAGGTATGTGCTACACTTCGCGGAATACTCAGAGCTCGCTCGCTAACAGTTTGTTATCGAAGGTTGGATGACAGTAATTGGCTGGCAAACTGGCCTCGCATCCCTTGCCTTCTTGACTGGGACGACAATCCAAGGCGCTGCTATCCTAGGAAACGTTGACTTTGAATCACCACCTTGGCAGGGTACATTGCTTGTCTGGGCCTCCCTAACCTGTGCCTTGATCGCGAATCTAACCGGGGGCAGAATGCTGCCTCGCATCGAGACAGTCGTTTTGTTTATACATATCCTGGGATTCCTTGGCATAATGATTCCTTTGACGTATATGTCAGATCACAAGTCACACGAAATGTTTTTACAGTTCCTGAACTACGGGGAGTTTAGCTCGCAGGGGCTAGCCTGGTGCATAGGGATGAGTAGCTGCGCGTTTGTTTTTGCCGGAGGCGATGCAGCGGTGCATGTGAGTCCTCAACAAATTTTCGGCCTTTTGTTCGTTTTAACTAACAGCTTCCAATAGATGTCCGAAGAGGTTGTGAATGCGTCCCGTGTCATCCCTCGGGTTCTTATACTTGGGGTTATAACAAACGGTTGCCTCGGCTTTGGGATGCTGCTAGCTGTCCTTTTCTGCGCTGGTGATCTCCAAGACGCATTAGACTCACCAACTGGATATCCGTTTATGGAGATCTTCTACCAAGCTACTAGGTCCCGGGCAGGTTCACTCGCTATGTGTTCTATCATCATTATAAACTTCTCCTGCTCGCTTATAGGTATGCTGGCTGCGACTTCTCGCCAGCTGTGGTCGTTTTCCCGGGATAGGGGACTTCCGGGGTGGCGTTGGTGGAGCCAAGTAAGTCAACATAAGCCCTTGAATAGGGGATTTTTGTCTTTCGTGTTCCTAACGGTTGTCATTCAAGGTTTCTCCATCCTTCAAGCTGCCTATCCACTCTATCATACTTACAGTACTGGTCAGTATGTTGCTGGCACTTATCAACATCGGTTCTCCCGTTGCCCTTGATGACATTCTTTCAATGGCTGTGTCTTCGATCTATCTATCATATCTTGTGATTTCGATCCTCCTTCTCTATCGCCGAATCAAAGGCGACATTTCTGAATACAATGATAGCGAAGACGCCATTGTTAACGTCCCCGGTGCGCAGCTAGTCTGGGGACCATTTCATTGCAGCGGAATCTGGGGTACTCTCATCAACGCATTTGCGACTTTTTATATCCTTCTCGTTGTGTTTTTTAGCTTCTGGCCCTCGAAAATGAACCCAGGCGTGGAAGGAATGAACTGGAGCATCCTGGGTGTCGGTGGGAGCAGCATCATCGGTGTTATCTACTACTTTGTACGGGCCCGCAGAATATACACTGGACCTATTAGAGAGGTCTCAGTGGAAACAACAGCTAGTGTGGACTAATATGACGATGGAAATGCCTGGCACCTGCTTCTAATAGCGGCAGGGACTACCCAAAGGAGCAAGCCAAGAGGAAATTATGCGGTAGCTACAGGGCAGCGGGTGATTTGACTGTCAATTATTCCATGAGATAGTCAGTACCTGCCCTTTCAACAATGCCTTCCCATCGAATATTTCTCATATAGGATAATTCGATTACTGTAACCAGCATTAAGCCAACTCCCACTCCTAATGTCAATCCAGGGAGATCCCAATGCAAACCAAATGCACAGGCGAAGGATATGGGAAGGCCGACCTGTGGTGAATGGCACGAAATGATTGCAGTTAGAATTTGCGACCCGAACAAGGCAGGAAAATGTAGAGAGCATCTAAACCGGACTCACCACGTAATAGGAAACCAAAGCGGTCCATCCTCCAATTTTCTGTTTTCCAAGACCTCTTAGCATACCATTGCTTGAAGCGGCCAGGGCGTCGAAAATTTGCATGAGCCCAGAAAACGGAAGCGCTGCACTCGCTAAATCGATAACATCGGTGTTATTCGCCAATAACCGAGGTATCACATTTCGAAGGCTCGCCAGGGAAACGAAAATTGAAATTCCAACAGCCAGTGCCACACATCCAGATACTTTGGCCGCTATTTTTGCTGCATCCGCTTGGCCCGCACCGATCAATGTCGATATACGGGTGGCTGCGGCAATGGAGATTGGAAAGTGTATCATGAAGGTCGTGGCAGTCGTAGTTGAGAGAATTGTCTGAGCAGCTAGATGTTCGAGGGAAATAGAGCCCGAGGCCAAGGTGATTATCTCAAACGCCATGTACTCTGCAACCACCATGCAAGAGCTTGGAATGGCAAGTGTGATCATGGGCCACCAGCCTGTGAATGCCGCCTTCGTGAAGCCATTCCAACATTTGGCTCCGTCAATCCGAATAGTGTAGAGGGCAAGCAGGACCGGTAACAAAGTCTCAACGATCACGACAGACACTGGCGCTCCAATGAAGCCCCATTCCAATTTCTTTAAATAGGAGCAAGAGTAACTATGATTAGCAAAATTTTCAAGGATACTATAGTAGGTTTATTCGGATCAACGTACCCAAACAAATAACCAATTGAGAAAGCAATTCAAAGGAGCGCAGATTACCATAATCCACACCGTCGGACTGAACAGCCCTTGGGCCATCATGAATCTCTTTCCACACTCGAACGCTGCATATCCTGGTATACCGAGGACAAGGACTTGAAGGTACAAAGCAGCCTTTTTGACGACCTCTTCTTGTGGGATAAAATATACCAGAATCGCAGCCGAGTTGAGCCACGCAACAGCAATTGGGATACATATCAACCAAAGAAAAATAACCATGCGCTGAAAATGTAAGCCAACCAGCTGCATGTTACCGGATCCATACGCTGCTGGACACAGTGTATCTAAACAAGATGCGAGGCCCTGAAATATCGCATAGCCGGTTATGTTGGCTGTGAGGCTCGCGATCGATGTCGCGGCCAATTCCACCTTTCCAATGTGTCCGACCGACAGGATAGTGACTGCAGTGAAAGAGTGCTCTAACAAAAATGTGCAGATTAGCGGACAAGATGTGGTGAGAAGAAGTCTGAGTTCTGCCGAGCTAGTTGTCGTCTGAGGCCAAGTCTCTTCGGAAGTTTGTCCTGGCTCCTCATCATTTTGCTGGATAGGAAGGAAAGGCAAAGCTTCTGACGGTAGGGCCGACCCCGAGTAATCTATTCTTTCCATGATATCTTCCTTTGTTCTTGCTTTAGAACTCGGCGAGCCTCTTGGGCTTGACGTTTCCTTTTTTTAGCACAGCAGAACTTGCAGAAAGCGATATCAAGACGTCCCCTCCCTCTTTTCCACAAGAACTAAGGTTTAGGATGTGGAAGAGTTAATAACGTAGGTGTTCTTACTGCATTTATGGAGTACATCTTTCTTGTTAAATCGTGAACCAAGCAGCGCCCTTGCATCGGGTGGTCTACATTTAAGGTGATTTTGTCATTCTGTACGGAGTAATCCGTACGGACTACGGAGTATATGCCAGGTGATTTATTGCCATATGTAAGATTTGTTGACCACCTGAAGGACGCGTAATCGCCATTGTATATATGCGGTAAAATAAGGAGTGGCTACTGGCAGGTAACAACTTGAGGTAGAGCTGAGAGCCTGCGGGATTTACAGTGCCTTCAGTGGCTTAACCTGCATTTTATTATCCAATCAACTATGAGGACGGGGGCATTGGATATGTAATATACAACACTTCATGTTGATCCCGGATTCGCCTTCGTTTGAAAAGGCAAAAAGAAACGAGGTAAGTACGGCTGCGAAAGTGTATAGTCCTCAGGGGTCGGTTCCAATTCAAATCAAATTTGCTGCCAGAATATGCCTGTGTTGAGACTGCTATTGACACTGTCCAGGTGCCCATCACTGTAATGCAGATTATAGTCCGTGATTAAAGCTATTCTTACAATATGAATTTTGAGAAGAAAGAATATATCTAGGAAAATGATTACTCCGTACTGAAAAGACCACTAAAAAGAAATTTCAAGGCAAACGCGACCGAATAGAATAAAAGCTTCGTTTTATCTATGTACATACGTTCCAAGGACCAGGGCACCTCAATTAGGTCCCTGTTAAGATCTCCGCCATGGAAATTCAGGTATTCTCGTGTTCTGCTAGTCTAAAACCAGGCATATTCAGGCAGCAAATCCAGTTCAAATCGAAACCGATCCCTAATGCAATATATGTATGCAGATTAATCAAATTCGGAATGGCAAGCTGGGAATAAGCAAATAATGCGTATGTGTTCCATCTCGTCCGGGCGCCGACCATAGCAAACAATGTACCGTAATCCTCCCTAAAAATATCATAGGCGATTTATGGGTGTAGCTAATGCTAAAACCATGGGCTGGGGGCTCTTACACTCAGCTTTATGACCATACTACTACATAAGTCGAAGGTGCATGCATGGATATATGAAGAAGCAGAGAATTCTAAGAGCAGAATACCTACTTCGTAAAAGTCTATTTACACCTGGGAACATCTCTCACAGATGTATATAAAAGAAAGAACGTTGGAAGAGCCAGTGTGTTATGGAGTACAGAGTACACAAGCATACGATTATCCCGAGTTGTTGGACGGAAGCAAGGTTCCTTTATAATGTACTCCGTAGTAAGTCTAAGGTATGTACTCCGAAGATACATTCCTCGGGGCCGAGGAGGTTTGAGGTACAAATACAATACGGAATACTTGAATACGATGACGGAGCCTTGAGCGCTGTAGCTGTGGCAAGAAGTCAAATTGGTAGTCGGAAGTTTGTGCAACCATAATTCTGGTAGGTCGATGAAATTCAATACTTTCGGGTGGGTGTGTGGCAGTGCCAGTAGATTAGGTACCTCGGATATTCATGAATTCAAAGGAAGCTAAGCCGCAATCCTCCTAAATGAGGCGAATAATTTCTCAGGATCTCAAGAAAAAGGGATATGATTCATGACATTTTGCTTTTTCCTTTTTGTTGGCATGGTGGGGGCTTTGAGAAAAGGATCTATCATGACCCCAGCAGCGGTGACCAAGCACACCGACTGGCCCCATCCCATATTGATCTATCATGTACGGAGTACTCCGTACGGAGGAGAGGATAAAATCTGTAGCCAGTCAGTGGAGACTTCCCTCAATGTGGAGGGCGGGTCACATGGGAAAATTTTGGATCTGGTGGTGTAGGCTGTGTTATGTATGACCAAAAAGAAAACCTCAGATGTCGATCTAAGCTCCTAGTGCTGTCGGCCCGAACCGAGCCCGGGTCCCGTGATTTTTTTGACTTTCGGCCTAGATACATCCTCGCAATGATCGGCAATAGTTCCGCTCATTTGAGATATGTAGTGGAAATATCTGCATTGTTTTATGGCTGGCTGAGAACCTGAATTTGGGCTCTCTAGACAGGGGCTTCTATGTACAGAGTACGGAGTACACTTTCGCCGAGTTCGATTTCTTTTACTCCGTACGATGTCAATCTCGAGCAATTCGGCTCGGTTGATGGAACAGGCACAGCTCACAGCGACTATATTTCATTATTGCATCAGTCATGCTGCAGGTGATCGAAAATCTCAACCATGTACGGAGTACGGAGTAGTATGGCATGTATGGGTATCAAGGCTCCGGCAGCAGCATGCCAGTATGTGCCATACGGGCAACCATCGTGTCACTCAGGTAGTTGAGAATATCTTTGCATGTATTTCTGGTATGAACATGTAATTTACTTGGAAACACAGTTCTGTTGTTTGCTTGCGTTTCAAGCTTTCTCTAGATGTCAACATATGTAAATGTACATGCGTGCTTCAGCCTGCAACAAAATTCCGATCTAGTCGACCAATTCTTCATTTGTGTCTATACCAAGCAGAATCGACCAAATATCTCGCAGTCATGGATATTCCAACAACCTTTGCCAATTTGCGAGTGCAGAAGGGTCGAAGACCATGGGTTGAGTTTGAAGATATCCGTATGTACTCGACCAAAGATGTCAACGAGCTTCCAAACAACCATATTGGAGCTTTTATGCTTCCTCTGGACTCTGTATTGGCGGACCAGAGTAACGTCGAAAAACGACTCCGAGCCATGTCGAAAGGAAGACATGCTGCTGCAAAATCAGCCCAATTGCTTAATTTCGGCTATCGTGAAAAGGAAACGCCGAGTCGTTTGAACGAGTCCCGCTCGTATCTGCGAATCGGCAGCACAGTACTCGTTGTGGACGAAACGTTCAACTCCGAGGCCATCCATACCCATAGCTGGAATTTGTTCATCGCAACCGAATTTCACTTCCCAAGTACCGCTCTCAAATCCACCCAGTACCTGCAAATATCATCACCAACACTAAAGTACGGAGAATCCCTATTTAACAAGACCGGCGAGCCTTCCTTTGAGCACATCCAGATTATCTCTGGAGTTTGCATCTTCAACGGAGGTCTTTTGATTACGAGTGTATCGGATCCAAGAAGCGGGAACATTGACGTCGACCAACTCAGTCATGCGGAACCTACCTTTCACGAGATGGACTATATTTCTCGTTCATCTACTGCCATCGCAGATATAGTTGCAATGACTATCTCAAGGATCCAAGAACAGCGTTCGTCGCGACGGTTGGCTATCAAGCTAGACATTCCGAGCTGGCATTACTATCACTCAGCCGTTGCAGTTTTCGCACAAGGAAAATGCTCTGCTATCGAGGCTCTAAAATGGATGGATGCTGTTGATCGACGACATGACCAAATTGGGCAGGTTTTCACGGAATCAGTCGAACATGAGCTGCGAAAGCGAGGCATCAATGACCGCTCCAGCTATGAGATTCACACTTCTTCAAGAACTGAATTGGCCGCCCTCTTGATTAAAAGATCCATGAGTGAAGGGAAAGAACCTTGTGTGGAGACTATTCTTGAACACATGGATGCCGAGCAGGATGGTTGTTGGAGAGAATTCTATCAACGTATCTCAGTCACAGAGAGACCAAAAGACCTTAGACAGCTGGGCTATCTTTACTATGTTTTTGAGGTGGTCCGTCCTGCTCTCATGGAGTTACACACCCCAACGACCACCCTCCTGGCTGAGAGTAAAAGCAACAGGATTTTGACATTGAAAAAGTCGAAGGCGACACCAAGGCCCCGTCGACTGATTATCAACATTGATGATCCCGCAGAGCGCCGCATCTACTCCAGAGCGCAGGAAACACTGAGAAGAATCCGACAGTCGGCAGATAAAGCCGACTCGATGTTGGTGGAAGCGTACATTTGCAGGAAGGTATTGGTCAACGGGAATCTAAATAGAGCACGTTTGTACCATGAAGACCCAATGCCCGAGGCTGTAATGCTCTCTGGTTCTGACTGCGAGACTATCCGGCCGTTGGATATTGTGCGTCGACTCCATGGAACGAAATATGCCCATGATCTACAACGACGGTTCAACAAGGTGGGATTCTCAGTATAGATGCACATTATATCCATATTTCGGATCATTGGGATACCACAGTCGGGGGTATCCTTCAGTTTCATCTTGAGTTATATACGCTTAGCGTCATTTCATCATGCTCAAAAAAGCCCTATAGAAATAGCCACCTACGACTGAATTAAATTGCAAACTACCTCGAAGTAACGACTTCTCATCCATTCGGTGAATTACAAGGAAATTTTCAGACTTGTGTTCGAAAATTTCGCGGATTGAAATTATTTCGTAACAGGCCATTCTCGGGTACAATGGATACCTAAGATCCTCTGGTCGCTGACCAAGGTTGCTACCCTTTTTTTATTTACGGTAATTCATTTCCTCTTACTTGTATTTTTAGTTCACATGTATTCAGTTCACCGCTCAATGATACCTAGATTAACCAGCATTCAAGTCTTGGAACCTTTCTATTTTGATCGTATCTAGGTAAAATAACCTTTTATTCCGTACTCAACCTTGAGTAGTAAAGTGTTTCAAAGAGAACTATCAGAGTAGTACTGAGTACCGAGTACAATCTGGTCAAATTGCCTTGACAGCCTTCATGCGGGCATTTTCATTCAAGTGACTTGGGAGTACGGAGTATAGATTGCAGTACTCCGTACGGAGTATAGCTCGTTTAGCTACATTATTTTGGATGTTATACAACTTTGAGAATTGCATAGGACGGGCGTACCCCAGGCACACGCCTGGTTGCCTGTATATTTAGATCCGATATCTACATGTAGGTTGCAAAAAAAGTCCAGACCACCGGGCAGTCCACCATTGAGATGACCAATACGGAGTACTCCGTATTGCCTTCACCAAAAGGCATTTAGGAACCTGCATACTTCAATATTCACGAAATTGGCCGTCTTTTTGTTGAGAAACAAAAATCCCTATTGGTCAGAGGCCACATAGTTGGATGTATCATGCTGTTTGCTGTACAAACATGTACTCCGTATACCTACATGTAGCTTTACGCCACCGTTGCCGCTACCCGCTCCAGCGAAATCTGACTCCGTTCCAGCCAGCGTGTTACTCTGCATACTGACCAAATGATCAGTAGAGCTATTGAGGTATTTTCTAGGTTATTTTCGAGATTATTTAGGTTCGATTTATTTTTTAGGAATACAATCATACGAGCTTGGAGATCTTTCTCGGTTGGAAAACTCGACTCCATGGCAGGACGTACGTGCATCTCAAGCACGTAGCGGGATAAAGGATGGTAAACCCCCGCTATTTTTGCTCATGATATACCTAGGTACTTTTCTACTTTGAAGTCTTTTCGTCTTCTTATATCAATTACACACAAAGATGTCGGAAATCAAAGTTGTTGAACCTGCAAACATCCCTACTGTCGACTTCAAGTTGCTTTCTAGTGGCGATGCCGAAAATCACAGACTCGCTCTCAAACAGTTGGATGATGCATTTCAGACATACGGTTTCATTTACCTGTCTAACCATAGCATTGGTCAGGATATGGTTGACGAGGCACTCTCTTGGGTAAGTGTTACTATTCCTAGCCATTGTGTTTCGACAAACCGCTTAATTCTCCATGTAGTCCAGGCGTTTTTTCAACCTCCCAACGGAGTTGAAACAATTGATTTCGCACCCTGGAAGCGCAACTGATCATCGAGGCTGGGCGGCCGTCGGAACCGGTTTCGTGAGCCAAGGTGTCTGGGATCACTCGGAGGTCGATCAGATGCGTGAGTCGGCCCCGCCAGAGCAAAAGGAGATCCTTGAGATGGGCAATCCGCATTCGAGCGATGATCCTCTGACCAACCCATATCCCAACCGCCTACTGCCAGAGGACCACTTCCCTGGATTCCGATCCTTCATTGAGAAATGGTGGGATGCCTGCGTGAACCAAGAGCAGCAGTTGATGCGCCATCTCTGCGAGATCTTGCAAATCCCCGACCTGGACTATCTAGCTAAGCAACAATCGCCCACCGGTAACCGGAGCCATATGAGCTGGCTCTACTATCTGTCGATGCCGGCGTCACCATTGAGACAGCGCCGGGCTAATAGGCTCAATACTCACACGGATTTTGGTCAGTTGACCCTCCTATTCCAAGATATGGTGGGTGGTCTTGAGATCCACGACCACGAAGCAAATATATTCCGGCCAGTTCTGCCCAAGCCCGGGACTATGATCGTCCATATCGGAGATATGCTGGAGAAACAATCGAATGGACGCTGGAAGAGTGCTCTGCATCATGTTACTGGACCGAGTCACTCAATGTACGGACAGGAGCCCACCAGTGCGGACACCGTGGTAGACCGGTTTGCCATTGCCTTCTATGCCCATCCGGATTACGAAATGATGATTGAGCCTCTTCCTGGGTGTGAAGAGAAAGGAAAATGGAGAACTTTGGAATGGCAAGACAGGATGACCGCAGGAGATTGGATGAACAAGAGGGTTGCCTTGGAGTATGAACGCCCGGAGTCAATTGTGGCTGCCGCATAGTGTCTAGCAGTCAGAATTTTGGTTACCCACAATATCATCTGCTAAATTTGTTGATTCATTCATTCTCAATTTATTAAGGGAAATATCTTCGACTGAAGCCTGTATGATCTCATTAAGTGTTCAAAAGGCTATTGCCACATCCAATTAACAGAATTGTATGTCGGTGCTCACACCACTGATCAAAGCCGTACAGTTGCCATACAATTCTCGCTAGCTTCCAACGGCTGAGATTGAATATTATCAGATTGCATTTGCTGCCAGGGTCAAAAGGGATGAGTCAATTTTGCAGATCATGATGTCCCGATCATTCGATGCCTTTTCGATCGTCACTCGGGAAGCTCATGCCAGACAGCTTCGGCAATTTCCTTCATATCAGCGTCTGACAGAACGAAATCTGTCTCACTGCCCCTCTTTGGGCGAAGGAAACAATCTTCGAATTGGATATGCATTGAGCCTGAGATATAGTGTTGGTTTGAAGAGGCGTCTGAGTTTCGAGTGATGCGCATGGCTTGGTTAGGCTCGACATACATCTCGCCAGCGCGTTCGTTTAACTTCCAACGCTCGACTGTGATCTTTCCCTCTGGAGTAACTTTTATTGTAAGGACGACCTTGACCTGTTGCTCTGATTCACGGAGCCAGAGCAAAACATCTTGTTGTAGCTTGCGGCTTGAGTCGGACCATCCTGCTTCAACAAGGATCGTCGGCCACTTCGCGTCTCTTCCAAATACATGAACTGGGGTCTTCCAGGATGAATCTGGGCATTTCTTTCTCGTAGGCCCCTCGACAGTGGTATTCCTCATGGCCAAAAGACGACTTTGCTGGCCACGATGCCAAGTTGCAAAAATGTCACCGAAGGCACCATGGGCGACCGAATGCATAGCAGTAGGCATTTTAAGAATGGCTGTATGTGAAGCGAGGATGTAGGTGACCAACGAATGCATAAGGTGTCTTTCTGGTGACTCATCCTCGAAACACCTCTGGAAGGAACGCTCATCCACGTTATCAAATATGATATATGAGTAGTCACCAGGTTGGCCTTTCCTGTTATAGTGGTCCAATTCAAGTTCAAAGCATCTCAGACATTGCTCTACACCTTGATATTGGTATCTCGGTGTTGTAGCAGGAAGCCCTTCTTCTCTCAAGATACCTTCAGCCATGATGGTAAATCGTAGTTCTCTAATATATTGGAATTGATAGAATCTCCTGATTGGGGACTGATAAATGTGCATCTACCTACATGGCATCTGCGTAAGGATGACGAATAATTACGTAGAAAGCGAAACTGATTTACATAGACGAACAGAACGATTAGAATGATTCACCTTACCATTACGACTTTTGAATTCGACTGAACAGCAGCTTCCACAGGGAGTGATACATACATGTATTTATAACATCTTATTTAACGTAAATGTATTTCTCAGGAATTGGTATCACAGCAGCCCTTTGAAGGCTCCAACATCCGAAAATTCCGACTATCAACCACCTCCAGATATAGTGCCCAAGAGAAGGAAATGTCTAAGACAGAACCAACAACGAGGATGCCCCACCCTATGTATATGCAATGAAAGAAAAAGACATATAAATGTAACGCAAACAACCCTATCGCTAATTCAAACTGTCTAAATTAGAGGCGTTCCATCAGCCGCTTGCGCACCGTCCACATGCGCGCTCGTTTGCCGTAAATGTACATAGGAATCGACATGAGCATAAAGAAAAGCTGGATACCACCAATGGCTAGGAACACAGTGCGTGAGCCATCGGAATTGAGCCAATCAACGATGAACAGTGAGAACACCAGTCCGTGAAGGATATCTAGAAGAGAAGATGCGTTAGTCTGGACCAAACTGATCTGATAGATAGTTCAACATACTCTTGCTGAAATTCAGTGTCACAAGCGCCTCGCCGGCATACTGGCGATAGCTATCGACACAAAAGGTGATGGCTGTAGTGCTGCCCAAGCAGCAACCGAATGAGATCAACCCAAAGAAGATGGTTGGCACAATCCAAGAATCGCCGATTTCGGCACTCCAACCAAAAGCCATCAAACCAATGACAGTCGACAGTGCGATGGGAATTGCCATCACAAGACGGAATTCAGGCTCGTAGATGCCACCATTGCGTCTGGTCATGAAGCGTGTAATGATATCAGATACTTTGCCTGCTACGGCAGTGCCCAAAAGACCGCCAACAAATGGCGATATATAGACCAGTCCAATCTGTAATGCGGTGAAATTATAGTGCTCTTTGTTTTCAAAGATGTGCGCAACCGACTCGGAGAGCACGATCAGCCAGCCAACTGATAATGCGTATACAACTGTTGACCAAAGGACAGCGGGATAGGCGAATAGAACGAATGGTCGCGCGGCGACGCGTAGCCAGCTGTCTTGAGCGATCCGCCCATTCCAGACCTTCAGTAGTTGAGAGTATGGAATCTTCGGACGCTCACGGAGTCTGTTTGTATATTGAAGGGTTCCAGTCACTGGTGTTCCAGCAGGCTCTAGGGACTCGGTTCTCGCAGGTGAGACCGCCGCTGATCTAGCTGCCTCCAGATCATCTGGATGCGCACCAGGCACAAGAGCGTGAGAGGTTGGCTGGAGCAAATCACTGCCTTTCTCATTGGAAGTAGCAACAGGTTGGATGATCATTTGATCGCCATTGGTGACATTATCCGCTGGAGAATGCAGATTTGACTTTTCAGTATCGCCTACTTGATGGCCGTCTTCTGGCTCATCATCGGCAAATCCAACATGAGCTTGTTTGGATTTTTTCGGTGCTGGGGTGGGATCTGGCTGGGTCTGCTCGACAGACTCGCTTGGTAGCTGGGCATGTAAGCGCCGCCCGCGGAAACCGTGGGAAACGAGGTCCGAAACACTGCGACCTGGGGCGCGCGGGCGTTTTGGCTTATGGACACGAGGACGGGGGGTGCGATCCCAGAATGTTTCTGGCACGAAGAAAAAGAGCAAGACTAGACATGCACCAACAATGATAGCGACGATCCAGAACACCCACCGCCAGCTCAGACCTTCGATGATGGCGGCGCTCACTAGAGGGATGAGATTCTTTCCGCCGAGTAGCAGGAGTGTATAAATTCCCACCCGGTATGCTCGTTCATGCAAAAAATAGATTTCTGCAATAGTGGCAGATGGAAGACATTCGACGGGACTCACAGCGAATCCTTGAAAAATGCGAGCAACAACGAGACTTGGGTAATTCGGCGACAGAGCGCACCAAACTGCTGAGATTGCGAACAGGGTAGCTCCCAGGAGATAAATGGGTCGTTTCCCGTATAAAATGGCTGTGGGTGAAACTACGACAGACCCTAGGCCCAGGCCAAGCATATAGAATCCGGTCGTGAACGCCACCTGCTGTGTGCTGACATTGTATGCAGCGGCAACATTGTTAAACCCAGCCGCCAGAATGGGGGTCATACCGCCTCCCATCAGACAGTAGAACCCTAGTGAGAACAATGCGGTGTCACGCTGCCATACAGGCCAATTCAATGGATCATTCACTGAGTCATCGGGTTGGGGATCAAGCACAAATTGTCCATCCGCAGTTCTCTTCTGCGTTGGAATCCTGGTCCGAGAGTTAGATCGCGAGGGACGATAAGATGAAGTGATAGATGATGTCGATGTCCGATGCGGTTGATGTCTCATTCCCAAAGGCTCATTGCGATTAGATGATAGAAGAAGTACCGTTCCTGAACCATGCCGGCAACTGATCAGTCCCGTTCGATAACATTACTTCTCTGATGAGATTGACACTTCCTACTCACCAGGAACTTCGTCTGTTTCTTTATCACTCAAGATTCCCAATGTGGATTTGGACCGATATGTCTGCTCCTCGCCCAACTGAGGCTCTTCGTTGGACTTTGCTCCAAAGAGTCGTCTCCAGCGCGAGGCAGCTGGTTGCTGTGGAATGGGGGTCCCCCGGTATTTTGCTCCATGACAGCAGAATGGCCCTCTGGCTTGAGAAGATTGAGGTATTCAATTTATACTGTTTGCAAGCCAAAACTGCTAAAAATTCTAAGATTAGTCAGATCTTTTTCCATCTGATAAGCGCGGAGAAGAAATCCTCGAAGATCACCTGGGTACAGCAGTGGAACTCCTTACATATATATCGGGTTCCCGATAGGAAATACCGATGTCTGAATGTTGAATGCCCTGGATTCGGTACAAAGTTCAAAAATGCCGTTCGTCACAACTGGTCCCCGTGGATGTTGTACTACCAGCAGTCGATAGAAACCCCACACAGGGAAAAAGATAAGGTGATGTGTCGCTGGGTCTTGGTAAAGCGATCAACGCTTCTGAATTAACCCAAGCGGCAGCAAATCAGCACCACTCAAAGGCATAGCTTGATGAAGGAAGATCGATCAGTGAAATAGTACGTAGACGGCAGGCGAGAAATATATAGTGCCTCAATGTCTCACATGGGCCCATGCGATAAGCCCCAAAAGGTCTGTCACGCGGTCAAAGGTGAACACGCCGAGCAACCACTGATTAGTTGAAAAGAGAAAGATGTGCTCAACGGTTCCATGTGTCCTGTGGGGGGGCGGTGAGCCGTCTGGAGGTACCCGCCAAGTACCACGCGGGACACAGACTCCCACAGTTAATCTAAGTAGCTCCGAGGTACTATCGGTCTACGTTTATTAACTCCTTATATATGTTTTGTGTTATTGACATTGTTAATGGCCCGCGTGCTTAATTGCCCATATGACGCGGGGTCTGATAAGCACCCCGATTCTGGGCAATGCTATGCTCCCCACAGTGTTGATCTCTTGGGTCAACTGGATCAACCGCGACAGGTGGATCCTTGAGACACTCGTTTACAACGTGCATGCAAGATCACGTCAAGGACCGTTGATATGTACTCCATACTCCGTACATCCAGGCATGTGAGAACGACACATCTATCTGACATATACCGTGCAGCTTAAAAACTCAAATCCTCCGCATTGCCAAACGCACACGGCCATTCCGGGGAACATGCCAAGCCAGCCAATCCCCGCGCTTGTCGCGAGGGTTCCATTTCGCTTGCTCTAGCTGTCCATAGACATGTCGTCCAAGGAGGCTTAGTGCTGGTCACTACTTAAGCGAACTTTCAAGTGTCCCAACACTGTCTCAGCTGACCACTCGGTAGTGTTGGCAGCCGTCATTGTGCAGATGTCCAATTGCGGGGGAGAGCCGCCCCGGTTTTAATGCTTCTATCGTTGGATGCTAATGTTTTCCACTGATGGTATTTAAGCTATCTATATCGTCATACATCAAGATAGGATTTGATCGGCGACTTCATATGACTAGGATATTTGGAAGGAAAGGGTCTTTTAAGCTGGTGGCGTCGTCCGCAAAGACATTTGTGGACGCCACTTTATGCTCGGCCAGGAATACTCACCTGAGATCGACAGTCCGAATTTGGGGTCACACTACTTACTTAGCCCGTGCTTAACTGAGTGGTCGTTTCATTGTGAGCAGATTCAAAACAAGGCACTACTGGGAGAGAAGGCTGCTCTTGCACCCAGGGGTGGTATTGGTTGCCACTCTCCCGACCGCTGAAACTCACTGTGATCCACTACGGAGTACTCCGTACTTCGTATGGAGTATATACAGCGGCCAGTTCTTTCTCAGGGGGCCCGAGTTTGATATTCGGCACCTCTTCATGACCGGACCCCTGGACCCCCTGCAGCTGTTCTATCTTTCCCAATCATTCTCTGTTCATCGCAGTTGGAATTTGATCTTGCAATGAGGATGCACTTTTATTTGGGATCATTGACTATGATGTTTTGATCCAATAATCAGAGTTCCAAGGTTGATAGTTACGGGACAATGGTGCTCTCTGGCCTTCAAGTTGTCATTTTTTTGAAGATAGTCTGAGAGGATAGAGATTTGCACCCTTGCACGGTATACTCCGTATCTAGGGACTCCATCTATGATGTTGCCATATGGCGGCTGAATAGATTCAGGGTATCCCATGCATCTCCCAAAAGCAAGGATTATGATGTCCCAACGATGAGTTGGACAAGGCCCCGTTGTTTCTTGCACAACATATCCAACATCAGTCTTTCACGGGCGTCAATCTCAATCCAGATGATGGAGACGAGCATAAACCAAGATCCAATTTTAGATTTGCCAGTTGCATCCAGGGGGATCAGATCGAGACGATTATTCCCAGCCGTTCGCAGGAGGTCACGTGTGAAACCCCTTGGGCAATTCAAGATGCAATGGCTCTTTCTTTGCCTTGGATTCTCCTGTTCTTTGCTTGACATACTTCATCTTAATATCGTTTCTTCGCCGTGTCACGTTCATTCTATCGTCGTGTTTTTAACATTGTCTTGGCGTCGATCAAAGATTCAATCTAGCGTCGTGTCATCTATCGAAGAATTCTCCCACCTTCGATAACAGTCCCACCTCCTTTAATTCTTGCTTTTGAAACATCATCGATCATCCTCTCAGAACACCGAACCTGACCCTGATTCACTCTTTCTGCGGAACAAACCGCCAGTGATAATGAAGATCAACACACCGTCGTTCCTTCTCTTCCTTCTTCCCGCCATCTCGGCCGCACTCGCCGATACGACCTACAATGACAATATAAATTCTCAAGTCTCGCGGGAGACCGTTGGCAGCAACGCTCGTCTCGTTGATTCCGACACAGTCGCATCTAATGTCGCCAAAGGGCCGCCGGACGTTCCCGTGGATGGCAAGGATGGCAAACCACACGCTGGTCCGTGGGTGGAAACCAATGCAGAGCGCGACCGCAAAAACATCAAGGGAAGCGATGATATTGATATTGTCTCGACTAAATACGATACCAAGATTCCTTCATCCGGACACCTCAGCACCGAAGAGGGCAAGATGATTCCACATTCAAACAGCGGCGTCATGGACGATCCAAATCGGGCGGGCCCGAAAGAAGGCACACGGGGAACTGAGGGAGGTGTGTCTGAGAAAGGAAAGGAGAACCAATGGGCATCGGAAAAGGTGCCCGGGCCTCCAAGGGAGGCGCCTCCATTGCCCAATAGTGAGGCCAAGAAGCTGCCCTCGGGCAGTGAAGACGCAACAATTAGAAGCGGCAGTCAGTCTGCGGAGGGTTCGGGAAGCCTGGGAATGCTCGAGGTAAGTCTTCCTATTTCGTTATTGTGAGTCGGGTGTCCTGGTCGAACAAGAGGAATTAATTTGCTTCTAGAAACCTGCCGATCTGCCTCAGAAGCCATACGATATTCCACACCCGAAGCCCCCGGCCATGGTCAATGATAATCCTTTGGGTCTTGGACGCGAGTCTGTTAACTCGGGTTCTCCCTCCGGCTCATCTTCATCCTCCTCGAGCTACGACCACAACAGTGATTTGGGCATCCCCGACGCCAGCAGCACTATGCATTCCCTTGTCTTTTCGTTCACCATGATCATCGTCTCTGAAATTGGCGACAAAACATTCCTCGTCGCCGCGCTGATGGCCATGAGACACCCCCGATTGGTAGTGTTCACTGCCGCATTTAGCGCTTTGATTGGCATGACTGTTCTTTCAGCCATTCTGGGCCATGCCGTCCCTACCCTCATCCCAAAGACTTTTACCAAGTTCATGGCCGCCATTCTGTTCTTGATTTTTGGTGTAAAGATGCTCAAGGAAGGCCGGGAGATGTCTCCAGATGAGGGTGTGGGCGAAGAGATGCGAGAGGTCGAGGCAGAGCTCGAAGAGAAGGAACACGAGCAGCTGCGCCTGAACCGCCGTCGCTCTTCGGTTACTCCTCACAACCTCGAAGCTGGCCGTGCCGGTCGTCCCAAGACCCGCGGATCCGGAAACCGCCTGCCCTCGCCTCCAGAGAGTTTGTCCTCGTCCTCGTCCCGTGGTTCTTCCCCTCAACCCCGGCAACGGCTGAACAACATGTTCTCGGGGTTGAACAACCTGCTTTCGCTGTTGCTCAGTCCCGCATGGGTCCAAACCTTCGTCATGACCTTCCTCGGTGAATGGGGTGACCGCAGCCAGATCGCCACTATTGCCATGGCAGCCGGCCAGGATTACTGGTGGGTGACCATTGGAGCTACCGCTGGGCACGGTATTTGCACTGCGGCGGCCGTCATTGGTGGAAGGGCCATTGCTGGCCGAGTCAGCATGCGTGTTGGTACGTGTCTTCTATTTGCTTTGCCCATTTCGAATCAATGCTAATCATGTCTGCTATAGTGACCCTGGGTGGTGCCGCAGCCTTCCTTGTCTTTGGCGTAATCTACTTCATTGAAGCCATCTCTTAAAGCACTGCATTCCCGCGGTTGTATGTGTTCACGGAACCCTATCGTTGACAGTTTTTGGCGGTTGATTTGTTGTAAAAGTCGAATGCATCTTGGGACATAGCTATCTGTTTTAATGATTTAATCTTGTGTTTGGCCCATGCAATGGCCAAGTTCACAATTATTATATTTTTCACCAATCTCGAATTCCATGGACTCATCTACGGAGTACTTATAAGACTTATTGCGTACATGTAGGTAGCTACCTAGGTAGGTTGTCGAAAATTGGAGTTTTTGTGGGAATTCCGAATGAGAACCTTGTTGCATAGACTTATGAAGTAATGATGCTTCTTAATATGTTAAAAATGACCCACGTATGTAGTCTTTTACAAGTTTTATGGGATCATTTACTCCGTACGGGCTACAGATGATAATTGCAAACCAAAAATATTGTTGACCAATCAAGATCAAGATAAGATTAAAAGTGGATAGGGCATAGGGCTTAAGGCTTCAGGCATAGGGCGTAGGGCCTGGGGCTTAGGGTTTGGCCTGAGGCATTTACTCAAGGCAGAAACGAGGCATCAACCTTACTGAAAATGGACTAGCAGTTCCGTATTACCATTGTTCCGTTGTCCCGACCAGCACATTCCGCCCCGCATTATTGTTTCTCCGCATCATACCGTCGCAGCCCCTAAAACCCTCACTCCTTCCTTCTCTCACTCCTGACGGCTCCAACTCTCCATCAATTACCATTTCTCGATCACGCGGCCATCAAGTATCATTTTGCTTTGTCAAATCTTTTTTTGATGGCCTCGATCTACATTACAGAGAGACCAGTCTGAACCCATAACAACGCGTGGAGAGGCACGTGTCCTCGGTCTCACCGCCCCCTGTCCTTCTCTTACACCACTCTGCACCTTGTGTTTTGCCACCGCCCTTCATGGCTCGTATCTTGGGATCGCGCATGACACGAAGTCAAAGCCGAGAAGCGAGTATCGTCGCAAACAAGGCATCCAATGTTGGATCATTTGGCAAAAGTTGTAAGTCGTTTTCTGTGATTATTTCTAGGTTGCCATGGCAGCTTAGATACCCTGTGTCGCACAGTGAGACAAGTAACTGCAAATAATTGCAGTGAGAACTATACATGTACTGGCAGTTTATAGCCCCCACATGCGCTTGGCCTGATACTTCACTTTTTGTCATTCTGCATCTCTCTTGGGCCCTTTATCTCAATTTCTTGTTCCAATTGAGTTTAGTCTAATATCATTCAGGGCTGAGCGGCCTGACGGAGGAGCCTTCGACTCCTGCTTCAGGGTTCATCGTACCCAGGCAAGTGATACCAGAGTCACCTGAAAACCATGAAGGTCATACCAATGTCTCTGGTACAACCTTGGGTCACAATGATGTGGAGCCCAGTGATTCTCAAGCTGCCGATAAAATAGAGGCCCATCTCCCGTTCATCCAACAACAAGCGACCTTTGTCATGACTCTTTTGGTTCCCCCAGGATTGAACCCGGACACTCTGGCAGTTGAAGCAAGAAAGCTCAGCGACTCCAAACACCCACATCGTAAACGTTTGAGGCGATCCATCGAAGGGTTGACAGATGAACTGGAAGACTCGCCGCTCTCTCGGGATGGCAAGTCCTTCTTGGACATCTCTCAAGCTCGTCGTTTGCTTTCATCCACTCAGTTAGATGCAGCCATTCCACATCTGCACATGACAAATTGTGCTTTGTTGACCCTCAATGTCTTTCTTCCCAGCATGGGTACCAAGTCCCACTCGGAATTCATTCAGGAACTAGATGCCCAATTTCCCGCGTGTACTATGGATAGCTTTGCAGATGACTCCAGCTCCAGAGATATTGGCGCTAGCATTACCAGTGAAGCTACCTTCACTTTGGCCTTGAACATTCGCACGCAGTTCTTCATCATGGAATTGGACAGGCGTCAGCAGGAGCATGACTTCAGTCCCTTCTCCATTCTGAGACAGGTTTTTGCTATGGACCTCACGCCCAATGAGAATGACTCTCAAGATTCCCCTAGCTCCTTCCGTGGGTTCAACTTGCCAGGTATCCTGCAGGATGATGATGGGCATCTCCCCGAGCATCTCCCTGAAAAGTTCCTTATTGCCGTGGGCGACCGGTATAACGATCTCCAGGAAGAACTCTCCGAGTGGGATTCTGTCGATATTGATGGATTGAGAAAGGCATATCGGTGGCGTTCATTCGAACGAGATCTTGCACGCTGGGTTTGCACTCGTGAGAAAGAGATCAAGGATGACATCAGACGCCTATCAGAAAAGCAGGTGCATAACTCACCTGGAAGCCGTCGCCTTACTTCCGTGCCAGCGGGCACTCCTAATCGGCGCCAATTATCGACAGTACCTCCCAGCACTGAGGTCCGTCGCCAGACACCCTCGGTCCAAAAGACTCTTTCCCCTCGGAAAGAAAGATTGGTGAACACAGCACCTGTGGTAGATGAAACACCTGAACACGATGTTCCTCCGCCAGAAACCGCGCCTAAAAATGTTACTGAGCAAGGTAGTCCCAAGAAAGTCAAACAGCCGGTCACAAACGATCCCAGTCGGCGCAAATCCTTAAGGTATGCTCATTCTACTGACCCATGTGTCTTCGGCTCCTAAATTTCATCCATAGCAATTACCGAAACGCGGCTTCACTCGCGGCGCTCAAGAGGCGCCAGGATACTAGTATTCAACAATCTTTTCCTGACGCCGAGTCGCAAGGCTCAATTATCTCCGCGAGCACCAGTATTGTGGACCAGGCGGGTGTCCCTGGTTCCTCCGCTGATAACAGGCCAATCGCGGCTCAAGAGATTCAACAATCCCCTGACCTGAGATATCCAGACATCGGGGATGAGACTACATATGTAAACAATGATGAGGACCTGGACCTCGGCCAAGACGGAGAAAGCGACATGGTGACATCAACGAGCCCACCAGCTTCTGCTCGTATTGAACGAGTTAGCCACAACCCCCGATTCTTCGATTCCCCGAGAAACGCAGATTCGCAGCGATCAAACAAGGAGCGCTCTGCGGCAAATAAAACCGTCCCGGCCGCTCGGCGCTTCCTCGATAAGCAGAAAAATGCTAGAGTTGTGTCGCCGATTAGCCAGTTTGATTCTCAAGGCGCAACAAAGCACCACACTGTGCTTGGGAAGCGAGCTCGAGTTGATGCAAGCCCCAGCGACGAGTCAGATGATGAGTTTGAAGAAGATACTCACGAGATTGATCCCAGGCGTAGGGTCGAAAAGCCCACGCAGAGTTTACCTGTCGCGAAGCGACAGCGTCTACAGGACGATGCGGAGTCTGGCTTAGGACGGTGGTTGCAATCGAGCCGCAATGGATCAGGCAACGAATCAAGTCAACATCAGAATTCTACACAAGTGGGCCGCAGGGCCCCAACAGTTGAAAGTACCGATGTCACTGATGAAGACGTCGCCCCTGAGCCGCTCGCTGCACCACCCAGTTCTCAAAGTCGCTGGGCACAGGCCAATACCCATGCTGCGAGCCACAACCATTTAACTCAGAAGGCACACCATCGATGGACTGATGAAGAAGATGAACGTCTGATCTACCTCATGGGAATCTGGGGCACTTCTTTTGCCACCATCAAAAAGCAAGACGGCAGTTGTCCTGCAACTGATGGTGGACCCTTGCTTGAGCGTCGCTCACAAATCAATTGCAAAGACCGTGCTCGCAATCTGAAGAGGAAATATCTCAGGTAAGTCATGATAGTGTTTTGTTCATACTAGGTGAAACAATGCTGATGCTGTTTATCAATTTACACAGAGAGGGCCGGCCACTTCCTCCTGGCCTCGATAAATCGACTGGTTGATGTTTCAATTCGAGAAATTACTAACAGTCCAGTGTTGTCATCTTATTTGTTGTCCTTCTTGTGATACCCAGGCAGCATAGGGGATGGCGCTTTGAATTTACTTTGCAGGCCTTGCCTATAGTCATTTCTTTTATTGTATACCATTCTACTGCTTTGCCCAGGTCGATTCTATGGGCATCGTTGTAAATAACGGCATGGCTTTATTTTGATTTTTGTTTCGTTTTCTCCTAGTTGCAAAATCAAGCAAATTGCCTTTATACAGCTCCAGGATGTTAATCCCATGTGCACAAAGGTATCAGAATGGAAATTCGCGAGTGACATGAAGAGACGGGAAATGCATCATGAGCAGTGTGTCTCATTGGAATGAGACAACATCTGGGATAGTCTCGGAATGAAAGCATGAGGCTTACCCGAAAGCTTTAAGGGTATCAATTGCTCTAGGGGCAATACAAAAAAGATAAGGATGAAGCCCAGAGACAGCATATGGACCCATGATCCCATTATATTACCAGCAAAGCTTTTTTCAAAAGCCGTCCCCAAAATTTCGTTGTTGTCTTTCGCATCTGACTCCGAAGCGCTGCATATAGGTAGACATCACAAAAGGTCATTGTCAATCGACGAGTTTGAAAAGTGTCTCAACTACTCAAACAGACAATGATATTGTACAGGTCTTCACAATCTTTTGTTCGATCAACCGGAGATTACCAAATGGGAAATAGCGGGCAGAGAGGTATAAGAATCCCTGTATTCCCTGATATTTGCTCTGAAAATCAACTTCACATTCTCAATATTGATCACCTACACTGATCAAACCACCAACGGTACCAAGAAAACATTTACTGCTGATTCAGACTTCAATTCCAATCATGGCGAAAGGTAAGAGGGGGAAAGGTAGGAAGGGTAAGAAGCCAAACAACAAGGGCAACGACAAGGCCAAGAACGATGGAAACGAAAGCCAGAACGAGAGCCAGCCCGAGATCCAGCACAGGAAGCCAACCACGCGCCACTGTCCTTGTAGGAAAGAGAAGAAGCACACTCTATCTCCTCGATGCATTACGGTACGCCATATCGTTCTATGCTCAACCCATAGCCCCGACTACTCAAAACGGCCGGGCGGCTGTATTAAATGTAATGAGGCTGACAAACGGAAAGTGCGACAAGAAACCAAGGAAAGGGATCAGAAGCGCTGCTCATCTGCTTAGTCTCTTTAGATAGGACATATAAACTGCTTCGTGTTTTGCATCTTCAACACCATATACCATTTCTTGAATGCCACTGGCAAAATGTTGAATTCACCGAAAAGGATATCGAAGTCCATTCGGAAATAGTAATGAATGCTAGTCTAAGATAATTTTTTCACGCAAGTCCAAAAGCTAAAACAAAACGAGTGTAGAGAATGTCTATCCCAAGACAGACAGTAAATGCATCCCAAATCCGACCAGCGGACCAGCACAAGAAACAGAGACAGGAATAGGATAGTATCCCTGAGATCACGACCGCTCGGTTGACGAACCAGCGAGGGGTATATCTGTACATGCAATTTAGAGCACACGAGACCAAAATGATAGTATATATGCGGCCTCAATGACGAGGCATGAATGCTAGTCACTTCACAGAAGCAAGCCCATACCGGCAAGAACAGCACCGATCAACGCGGACCCAGCGCGGACTGTTACGGCAGCGTTGTTAGCGGGTGTAGGCGAGGCAGATGAAGCCGCAAGAGTAGAGCCAGAGGCGCCAGACTGGGGCAAGCCCGTGTTGGCACTCTTGGAGTTGGTAGATGATGCTGCGGTCACGATGCCTGTTGGTGCGACCGCTGTTGAGGGCGCGACAATGATTCCGCCAGCGGCGGTGGCTGCAGTGGGCGCAATGGTAGTGGATGCGTTCTCGGCAACACGGGGGGGCCGAATGTTCTCAATCGCCTGGATGAGGGTGAAGCTCTCCTTGCCACCACCTATACACGACGGAAATGTCTCGTCAGTCTTGTTCATGTGGCTACTGATATATTCCTCATGCTATAGCAAGAGGGGCAACTTACATGTTGCTTCGGGCCATCCAGGGCATGTCATATCGCATTGATCGTCGTCAACTTTGGCGGAATCCGAAGGCATGTCGTCGCCGCAATAGCACATGTCGCCGCGGCTTAGAGCAGCAACCTTGAACTCTTTTTTGGCACATAGGTTCTGGCAATATCCTAAAGATTGATAGGTGTAGGGACCCTGGCTTTTGAAGGACTCGACTTCGGAGTAGCAGCCCATTTTGGCGGTAGCGCTAAGCGAGTATACGGGCAATGCGAGAGCAATAGCCGTGAGAATGGGGTTGATATGCATGATTGCTGGTAGGGGAATATTCGATCAACGAAAGAGAAGAAAGTGGTGATGAGAGAGTGGATCTGAGAAATTCAATGAAAGAATGTGCAAAAAGAGCGAGAAGTGTTTGACAGGCGTGATGACAGGAAGGAAAAAAAAGGGTCCATCAAGCTTCTTTAAGACCGTTTGTCCAGTGTCAGGAACACCCGTCAGGCTCCATTTTTTTTTTTGGATTGTTTTTCTGTGGAGTCATACTGGGGCTGATGACATCGAAGTCCAATTGATGGAACCAGTGCAGCAAGTGATCATCCTGAAACACTAACCAACATGCTCTATTGAACTCGAACTGGCGGCCTATTAGCCTCATTGGCCTGCCATCTTGCGATCGCCCGATCGGCATCCCCAGGTGTGGCGCCTTGCTCCTTGTTTGGGAAGCCACTGATGGCGAATGGAGTCTTACGAGTCAAATGGGGAGAACTCGAGGAACAGTTCGTGTGTTTCTGGTTCGCCACTTAACTCGTTTAAGTATAGATTGGTTTTAGGGTGTTGCATTTGTGAGGAATCTGACATTGCTCGTCATTGTTTGACTTGGCGCTCATCGCCAGTCACCCTCCCTTGTTCCCTCCTTTTGTGGGCTGAATTTTACAAAGGCTATGCACTAGATAAACTGCCTCGTAAGGAGTATACACCGTTGTAGAGTACTCAATCCAACAGTTAGACAGCCATACAGAAGCGTTTGACATTGGAATTGGGTATCGACTCTATTTTGGACCCATGGTTGGAACCGAAGTTTCCGTGTTGTGGGAATGGTTGCCTTGTTTGTCAGGTTGAACTACGGAGTACGGAGTACAATGTTTGCTCGTCAACCACCTGTGGCGTTTTTTTTTTCTTGCCCTAGATAGGAAACTTCAATAGAACCCCGAAACACAAATTTAGCCACCCTCACTTTGGCTTAAATTTACTGAAATAAAGGAAATTTGGAGCGAGATATGACGTGATGGGATTGCCCTAATGGCATAGAATTGCGATGTTCATTGTACCCTTGCCGCGGGTTGGGATCTTCAACTCCAAGACCGTTCATCTTCCTGGGTCTCCTCAAGGTGCTTTACGGAGTACTTCCTCGGTACTCCGTACTCCGTGCTTCCTCGAGACAAGTCAAAGGCCTAATGAAATTGCCTTCATTGGCAGGTCAAGTACGGAGTCCTCCGTATTCATATTGGGATACGAAGTGCAACGTAGGAGCCGGCGGGTCTCTAAATTCCAAATAGTATCAGGGGCAGGACTGTATCGATATCCTTTTTTGTCTTCTAAAAAAGAAGCTGAGATCCTAATTGGTAAGACCTATCAATTGTGAGGGGATTCAGCCGTACCGCGTGCCGTATGTTTCACCCGGATCGCTTCGAATAGCACATGGTCACAATGATCATTTATTTACCTAACCTCGGTGGGCTCAGATAGTTTCGCTCCGACAAAAAGCTCCGCATATCTTCCTGTCGGGACCACGCGGATGGGACGGAGTACATAGCGGTGTCAGACTACCCACCGCTCAAACAAGCTCCACAATTTAAGAATTTGATCCCTGTCTGGGTTAATTTATCTGGCGAATTCAACTAGCGTGGATGGGCACAAAGTCCAATGACGTCCACTACAAGTGTACTCCGTGGTGAACTGAACCCTTCTGGATTGAAGTTGTACTTTCCCGGGCGATTCAACCAGAGATACAAAGTACGGAGTATTTGTATGGCCGTCGAGTCAGTGTGCATACAGATCCCAGTGGGGATCAGCCCTTGCCCCTGAGATTTGTCCTTGAGCATCATGGGGACTTCTCATTGGAGCTTTGGCAGGACAAAAACGATGTAGGGGGTCTGTTTCCTTCCGCGAGGTGACTTTGTGAGAATAAGATCTATTCGATTTGTTTTTCCTGGCTATCATACTCCATGCAAGCCATTTCAATACCCGACGGGAAAAACGCCGAAGGGTGAACTATTTTTAAATTCCATGGCTTATTGGGCCGAAGCTTGCTTTTTCTTGGCTATGCTTGCGTCTGATCATGGCAAAGCTGTGTTGCCAATCCCAGCATGGTCGATAATGCTCCGTACATACGACCTCAACCCCAAATCACCCCACGTCTCGGCAATGGGATTGCTCAAATAGGGCAATTCGTCGGCAATGGCCGCCGGCCGAGAGGGGAAGATAAGATACCTCATGACGTGCTCGCTATGAGCTGGGGTGAATCCTTTCGCGTTAATTCAGCTAGATTCTTGCTTAATTTGATTTAGAGTCTTCGTTGATCTCAATTTCAGTATGAGAACCCTCGCCCTCCTCGGCCTGGTCGCTGTACCATCGCTGGCCCTTAATATTCCCGCACAACAGCTTCTCTTCCCCGACACCGATTTGTCGGGCAATCATTATAACCTTCTATCTGAACCCTCTCCAAAGGAAACCTGCCCCCAGGCTCCAAAGGCTAGCATCCCTGAGGATGGCTTCCACTCGTCGCAGACCTTCCTTTCCGACGATGCCTTCCGCGCCCGGCAGGCAAACCGGCTTTCGCGCGCCGTGCAAGTACCAACCACCATAGGAGATTATATGGAAGACCCATACGATGAGGTCTTCGAGCCTTTGGTCAAATTCCAATCGCTATTGCAGGAGATGTTCCCTCTGGTGTAAGAAATGGCCCAAATATTGAACACGGCCCGCGAGCCGAGACTTCAATGGAGAAGTACTGAATAAACAAAACAGGCATGACCGTGCTAAGGTTGAGCATATCAATCGTCTGGGACTAGTCTTTACTTTCGAGGGTATCGACAAGACACGCAAGCCGCTGCTCTTCATGGCCCACCAAGACGTCGTCCCGATCGATGACCCATCAGACTGGACTCACCCACCATTCGCAGGTGTCTTTGACGGCGAATGGGTCTGGGGTCGCGGCGCAAGCGACTGCAAAAATGTCCTCATCGGACTAATGTCCGTAGCTGAAGACCTTCTCTCGCAGAACTGGCAGCCACAGCGCACAGTCTTATTTGCCTTCGGGTTCGACGAAGAATCACACGGCTTCCTAGGCGCCGGAGCAATTTCAGCAGCCCTCGAGGAAAAGTACGGCAAGGGCTCATTCGAGTTCATTCTCGATGAGGGTGGCATGGGACTTCAGAGTCTGGGCGACGAATCCGATCCCAGCGGCGAGGTCGTGTATGCGCTCCCCGCGGTCGGCGAGAAGGGTAGTCTCGATCTGATCATCGATATCGCCGTGCCTGGTGGCCATAGCTCTGTCCCGCCCGCACACACAGGTATTGGTGTTATGGCGGAGATCATATACGAACTCGAGCGGAAGGAGCTATTCCCCGCTTGGTTGGATACCAACCACCCCGCCCACGGAATGCTCGAGTGCCAGGCACGGTACTCGCCCGACCACGTCGAGCCCTGGCTATCCGAAAAGCTGGCAGCTAACGATCCCGCTGCGCTCGGGGAGGCGGTTGCCAGTTCCCGTGGCCCAGCGGTACGCTATACAATGCAGACATCACAGGCCGCTGACCTGATTCACGGCGGTGTCAAGACAAATGCTCTACCGGAGAAGATCTCCGCAGTCGTGAACTACCGCGTCGGACTACACCAGACACCTGATGAGCTGCTCGAGCGCGCTGTTCGGATTATCACCCCTATCGCCGAAACTCACGATCTCGCTCTGCGGATTGATTTCCCCGGTGTGGCTGAGTCCAAAGAAGGTGATGCAAACGACCGTACCCTCACTCTATCCCCTCTAAGTGTTCCTCTCGCCCCGGCTCCGATCTCGCCAACGGATCCGCTTACGTCGAAGGTGTGGGCGCAGTTTGCTGGTGTAGCCCGCACTGTCTTCGAGTCGCATTCGAATCCACTTTCCAAGTCTGCCTCGAAAACTGGATCCAAGCCGACTGTTGTGGTCGCGGGAGATGTGATGACTGGCAACACAGATACCCGCTTCTACTGGACTTTGTCGGAGAATATCTACCGTTGGAGTCCCTCGAGGGCTGGCGGATCGTTCAACATCCATACAGTGGACGAGCGCATTCACTTGGATGTGCATTTGGAAGGGATGATGCTTTACTATGGTATGCTTTCCTTCAACTTCTTTTCCCTTTCGACCGCTGTGTTTGTTGAGAAACTGAACTAACATTTCCTAGATCTGATTCTATCTTTCGATGCTTGGGATGATAATTCTGAGTAAAGGTGATCTTTGTTGTGAGATACTCTGAGGCACATATGAGAATCAAGCACGTATAGATATGTGGTATCAAAATTACTCGTATTTTGAATATATGAAAAAGAGATTATAACATAGGTCTGTTATAATATCAACAAATTCCCCGTTGGGATGGGATACTCCCAGATAGTGTGAACCGAAGCGACAGGCTCATGTAGATCCGGACATCGCCACATGTATAATCAAACATCTCACCAGAATCCATAAAGCATAGCCCAGGGAGCAAGACAATAGATGGGTATAAGAAAAAGACATCACCGACTGTGGAAACAACGAAGCGCACGGAAGAAACTGGGCATATTTCCCACCATCCCCGATGAGGAAGATGGTAGGCCATAAATTCTTAACAAGAGTCTTTCGAGAAAGAGAATGTAACCAGTATGGGTAAAAGTTCATGGGCTATATAACGGGAAACAAATGAACAAGAAGCGAAAGAGTCCGCTAGCGGACGAGGAGGGGAGCGAAGGAACCACCCATGACGGGACGAGCGACGAAAGTATTTTGAGGATAACTGTATTTTATGAGCAGGGATTTACGGCAGTTGTGAATATTGATTGACTTACTCTCCTGAAATAGTGTCGTACAAGTCAGTCAGCGCTCGGTTGGTTGGTGTCTCGTTGATCCAGGTTGCCAGATCCTTGATGAACATAGCCCGAGTTTCGACCGAGCTCACTGCCGCTGCGAAGCACTCCCAGTCACCTACAAATTTGTCAGTATTTTTTATTACGCAAGCATGGGGATTGTCATTTACCTTTGGTATATGTATGGCGAGTGTCGAGAGGTACGCCGTATTTGTTTTCAACGGTTGGGTAGAAGTCGCTCTGCATCTGATAAACAGAATTTGGAACGAGACCTAGGCCCAACTGGACATCGGCAAAGAGATTGTAGAGCAAGCCTACAAAATCAGTAAGCAAGACTTCATAGACTAGAAATAAAGGGTTGATCTTACCATGGCTGGCGGTATCGCCGTATGACAAGGTCGTTCGGGGAGGGTTGGCGTCCTTGGCAATGGCTAGGTCCTCCCACTTGCTGATGTAGCGATTGGCAATGCGCGAGTATTTAGAAGCATCATCGTCGTGGCCAGTCAGGTTAGCAATGACTGACATGGCCTGAATACCGATCATGCCCTTGAGTGCGAGGTTGGTTTGGTTGCTAATTTTGCCGGTTAGATTTGAGAAATCAGACAAAAGGAAGTTTACTCACGCCAGGGAGCCAGCAAAATCATCAGTAGAGATCTGGTTTGCAGGGTACAGGGAGTCCTCAACCAAATAACTGGTCCATTGCTTGAGCAGAGTGTAGTGGTCGGTCAGGAAATGAGTGTCACCGGATTTCTGCACGTAAGCCAAAGTCATGATGAGCATGTTTCCACACTCTTCCAAGGGCATCTTCTCGTCGGTGCCATCGGAGTGACCGGTAGCATTGGGGTAAGATGAGCCGAGATCGTGCATAGAATAGTCGTTGGGGTATTTTCCAGCCTCCTGGTTCTCAAAAAGAGGGTCAAGGACGAGCTTCAGGAATTCGGGATTGGTGTATAGGAAAATAGGGTACGCTGGGAAGACAACGTCGACGGTATTCATGTTGCCATCAGAAGAGATTTCCTTCAGGAACAGATACATTTTCTCCTTTGTACCACAAAGCTGGGTACCGCCGAAAGCCTGTCGAACTGACAGCGAAGTAATAGTGAGATAGTCCTGACCAGCTGTGGCAATCGAGTCTTCGGCCACCCTGCTATCAAAGCTGCTTGCAAGCTTGCTGGACTCTTCGTAATCTTGGTGGAAGAAAGAAAGTGCAGCCAACTCGGTATCGAAGTAGCTCTTCCATAAGGACGGAACTGGGCCATAATCCGAAGCACCTTCATACTGAATAGCTTCATCCTGCGTGAGTCCAAGTGAGAAGAGGGTGCTGACAGGCGAAGAGCTGACTGGGCCCAGATCTGATGAGAACGCAAACACGGGCCAACTAGAAGAAATAGCGCGGAAATTCGTGTCGCGTCCATTGGTGAGTTTTCCATCTGTCGAGAACTTTCCACGGACGTCGGTATCTGGCCCAGACTGATATGTCATGCTCTTCGAGTCATCGGTGGCCCAGTACCAATTGCCCCATTCGCTTTGCTCGTTGACTTGGGAAAATGCCAGTGGAGTCTGTCTGTGTACCTTGTGGTAGGCAACACCGTCAGTAGTTCCATACTCCCATTCTGCGATAGCATTTCGGTCGCCCGATACCCATTCTATCATTCCATCAGCCATTGCACGTAATAGGAAAGACTAGATCACGAACCTGCTGAGATATCCGCGTAGACCTGTACATCGTGGTTTTGTCCGTCAAGGGAAGAAACCTCGACATTGAGATAAGAGAAAACGAGTGACTGGCGCTTGAAGTCGTTGGGTGTAACAGGCGACAAGAAAGTAATGTTCATCTCAAGCTTGTTTTCCACGTTCATAGTGAAAATGCTCTTCGTTGAAGTATACTCAAATGCAGTCTGATTGACAGTCTTGGTCCCGGGCAGCCCCATCCAAGTATAGGTATTGCCATCGACACGGATCATACCTGTCCACGCAGTCACTTGGTTTCTGTCCAAGGTTAATATCATGGGTCGCGTCGAGTTACAACTGAAGCGAATAATCAACATACTGCCAGAAGACAGGCCATTGGCCAGCCAAATAACCGCCATTACCACCGTCCTTTCCTGCATCGAGCCAAGTGCTAAGATACGGGGACCTAACTGCCAGAGGTATAGCTGGGGGCGGGCAGGCGAGAAGGTTGACTCTGCTCCAATAGAGGTCACCAAGGAGGCGACCAGCAGCCCGAGGCGATACAGCTGCATTATGACAGATTCGCACAGAGAATAGGGGTAGGAAGTACACGAAACCAATGCAGGAGCAAGCCTGCTCTATTATTTATTTGCAGGAAAGGGAAAGGAGTTCTCGGAACCTTCGCTGCTTGGCACTATGACGGAGCGAATGGAAAAGAGGATCGTCGGTATGTTTACAGGAGAGGAATGTCAGCGACATTTTTATAGTCGACCTCAATCTAACAAGAGAGGGGGAGGAAGCCAGAGGTCCCTCCGAGATCCGCATGCCAGAATGTACTCTCAACAGGATGTTTATCGAAGTGGCTTAGCGTAATAAAAAAAAGCAAAAAAACACATAGGTAGCAGCAGACCTGTGTGTATCTATGATCTCCATAAACGCTGATCGGCTGGTCTCCGTCGGTGTTGGAGAACGATTCATGCTAAGAGAGGGACGGAGGGAGGTTTTTTGGGGGGAAGGGGGGCGTGTCCAGACAGGGATCTCAGTGAAAAGGTCATAGAAATGACGGAGAGGGGGATCTAGCTAAGAAGGCTCGAATTTAAAAGTCAAGCATGCGGTCAAACAGGTCACGGATGAAACGGCATACTTGCAGGTCGCATGGAAGACAAGCAGTGGTCTATGCAGATCCACGGAATGGGTGGCGTTAGTGGACAAGAGCGCCGGGGTAATCCGAGACTGGTTCGGTGCGTGCCTTGCGCATGACGAACCATACAGCAGCATGGTGCAAATAAAGGTGTGGGGAGAAATGGTGCGATGTGAGCACCAAGGGGCTGCAGAAATAAGAGCGGCGGTTTGAGATCATCGCCGATAGGTCTGGGGCAAATAGGGCTATACCCATGATCAAGAAGAAGTGCCAAGTGCATGTCCTTCGTGATTCCATCAGGCGGACATCTGAGGAGTCGGCTGTGGGGGATCTTATGCGTCTAATCGATGGAGTAATATCGGACCTTGATGTTGAGTGTCCGACACATCTGCGGGGAAATGGCCATCGGCATCGCATTCATTTTAAGGAGTGTCGGATTTAGATGGCCATGCTGTCTTGCATAAAGAGGACTTTGGGGCCTTCAAGAACCGAAGGAAGGAGAGTATCCATTATTCTCTCGCAAATCAGAGGGGTTCCCCTTGCAGAGAAGCTCGGCTCCACAGGTCAGCTTCAGCCTCGAAAGTCCGATCGGAGACAAGAGATGGATGACTTCACTGAGAGTTTCATGCCTGTGATGCCTGTGCTTGGCTTTTGAGTGTTCCATACTCCGTACTCCGTACATAAGCCGGGGTCGCGTGCGCCCACGTAGTAAATGCAGAGGTTGATGATTCAATATCCACTCCTTATTGATTCCTCCTTGCTGCGTGATATGCCTTGTCTGCTTCACAATATGCTGGGACAACATGAATTGCAAATTACACTTTTGATTGAACAGAAGTCCAAAATGAACATGACTTGCGCTTTCGGTCTCCGTTCTCCAAAGTATAATGTCTGTTCCCTCAGTGAGGTGCATTAAGCATTCGCCGACCAGCAGCCTGACTATTAACCTCGTGCGGATTTCTGGCTTAGTTCTGCTTTCTGAGCAGTTGATCATGAAATGCTTTAGTTCGTTCAGCCAAGGTGGGATCGCGTGCCAGTGGAAATTGATGCCCCGCGTTATGGAGAAGGGCTTTTTTAGGCAAAATATGATCCCCTTTTACCCCATTCAAAACTCATCAAGCTGTTATGTATATAAGCAACAGTAAGTCTTCGGCATTGTTCGACCATTTGAAGTTACCCTTATACAACACAAGCTTTTAATAATACATAGGACGGAGTACCAGCGGGAAAAGTCTCATTTCTGACCGATCTACCCGGTCGATAGGATTTTGAGTGAAGCGAGGATGTCTAATATCTCCTGCTAGGACAGTGACTGTTCCTCATTCCTAGTTGAATGACTACATATGCATAAAAGTGGCATCGTGGCCCCGACAAAGTGAGAGATGAAAGGTTTAGAGCTTTAGTCAAACGTAACATCTACTGTGATATCACAGATATAATATTACTTACTCGAAGCAAGCCTTTTACTGACTTCTACCCTTTTTGCTTCATCTTTCATCAAGAGCCAAGCATCCCTTCTGGCTTGCTGTGTCGATGTAACCCCCGCTCGCTTGTAAAAGTTCATTGATCTAGGTATCTTCACTCACTTAAGCACTCATCGTCTCTCACACAACTTTTGGAGAGGATAAATGTAGTTTCATCATCAGGTGGATTTATCCTTTGTGCCGTCGAGTTATAACTCTTTTCAGGGCAAGGTTGTTCTCTGGGCTTCACCCGTAAATGATAGCATGCTTCTCTTTTTTTCAATGTTCAAGCGAGTATAGGAGCTTTTGCTCGCAACACTAGGGTAGTGCAATAGATGATTCAACCATTAAAGGGTTGTGAAATTGAGGAACCTAATGCCCTTGTGAAATAGTCGTGGTGTGTCGGGCACATGGCTCATGAGGGTATGACTGATTATTCTGTTGGCGATGATACCAGCAGAGCCGATAATTAGGCATTCCCAAGTAAGAAACAACCAGAAACACCACTTGAGAAGTGCCGAAAGAAGACGTTTCGCAATGGCCGGCATTGGTTCTGGGCTTAAGCCTCAACAACCTACCTCGAATCATAATGGCGGGGATATCAAAATGGCCCCCTTTTTGCCAATTTAGTACACTACGCCAACCACCACCGATTCATTTCCCTCTCAACAACCTCACGACGCCCAGAGAATGTCCAAAATCAAAGAGATATTCAGCCCGACCACAACCTCAAATGAATCCCACCACTTCAACGACCTCCTCCCAGCATCCTTCCGAGATGACGACCTATCACTACGCGCCCCACTCGACAACATCTCCAAATTCCTGCATCTAGACCTCTCAGTCCAACGCCTAAATGACATCCAAGAATATCTCTGGCTCGCAGGCCGGCCCATGCCCCCGCGACCCCTAAACTACCAAATATCCGTCTCGCGCCAAATAATCCTCGACGAAAAGATCGACATGCACCTAGTCTGGGGTCCCGCACGACGCATCTACATAAAGCCCCTCCCCCAATACCTCCTAGACGCCCACTTCTGGTCCACAAATCTCACCTGCGGGGAATATCCGGGGATCTGCTACTGTATGAACAGCTTCAAAGACGCGACCCCGCCTCCCCAAGCGCAAAAGACACCCTGCCCCCGCAGCACCCTCTCCAAATCCGCACTGGGGTTCTTGACATCCTACATTGCCCTAATCCAACACCCCAGCGACTTCCGCATCGCCCAAGACCACAGCCTACTCCCGGCATCCCTAACCTGGCCGCAATGGCGCGCCCTCGTCCAAAACCTCCTAGCAACGGACGTCACCCACCCAACCCGCATAAACAGCCGCTACAAATACGGCGAGCTGCGTCTCTCCCGTCTAAACAAGATCTACGCTCTCCAGCGGGGTAGTTTCTTCCGTGGCTATCGTGCAAAGTACCAGACTTACCAGGAGCTCTTCCGCTCGTACCTGGCGCCTATCACGGCGATGACGGTGTACTTTGCGCTCGTGCTGACGGCGATGCAGGTCGGGCTTGGGACGGAGCAGCTGGCGGAGAATCGGGCGTTTCATAGGGCTTCGTATGGGTTTACGGTGCTGTCGATATTGGGGCCGTTGGTGCTGGTGGTTTTGATTATAGGGGTTGTGGTGGCGCATTTTGTGGTGAACTTTTTGGCAACGGTTGTTTTTCGGAGGGAGAGGTTTTCGGCGTTTAGGAGGAGGGCCGGGAAGGTGTAGATTGGGGGTTTCTATTCACATATAAGAATCATTAGTATAGCCGGAAGTATGGCGCGAAGGTATGGTAATTGGGAGCGGCCTCGATTGGGCCCAAGTGGGATTCAGATTGAGATGAGAATCAAATGTAGATATACTCGAGTGGTGGATCCTACATGAGCTATGAGGAACTTTAGACTAAGCATGTCCTTGGTATTGGTATACAAGCGTCTAGAAGGAAATGTAGGTGAGTGGAAGGTACCTAGGTAGGTAGTGTGTTATTTACCTCTAAAATAGACCAGACAGACATTCTTTTCCCTTTCTTGATCATACTATCAATCCAATTCTGTGCGGTCTCCTTTTATACTTGACTTTTATCCTGGACAGGCATCTAACCAAGTTGCATGAACTTATAAGAGATTGAGTCGTATAATGATAGTTGAGCATCCGCAGACTACCACATCCATCTATAGTATTTCAAACTCAATCTTTCACACGCTGCGTGGCTGCCTCGTCTAGAAGCCTTGTAATTGCTTCATGGCCACTCCATTCTGCAAAATTCCGTGGTGTATCATTCTCTCCAACCGCAACAGCAGAGACATCCACCCCCCCTTTCAAGAAGCATTATTACAACCGCTTCATTCCCAGACTCAGCCGCCATATGCAGTGTCGTATGTCCCAAATAATCACAGTCCATCACATCCGCCCCATGCGCCAAGAGTGACCTAACAGCCCATTCATTGCCATCCTGTACAGCAAAGTGTAGTGGTGTCAAGGAGCGAAAAGGTTCAGATACAGCCACATTTGCACCCTTCGCCAGAAGCAGGTCAAGAACGGACTCGCTGCTAGCACTCTTCACACCAAATACACAAAACAACGCTGTTTGCCCAATATCCGAAGTTGCCTCTAGATCTACTCCCTTCTCCAGGAGCAGCTTCACAACCGCTTCATTCCTACCCAAAACCGCATAATGCAGTGCTGTCTCCCGACTGGTCGTTAACGCCGCCACATCAGCTCCCCTCTCCAGAAGCAGTCTCGTAACACTTTCCCGTCCCCCGCGGGCCGCATAGTGGAGAGCGGTCTCTCGGGTTGAATTAGTCGCAGCGATATCCGCCCCCATTCCCAAGAGTGCCTGGACGGCTGTCTCATGGCCATTCTCGGCGGCGAGTTGAAGCGCGCTACATGTCGAGCTCCGTCCCATATCTATCGCAGACGACGGATTCGCACCGGCGTCCACCAAAAGCTCGATGATGCGATGCATTCCGGCCTCTGCGGCGAGACATAGTGCTTTGGTTTTCACTCCGAGCGGAATTGGCGCATCGCTGGTTTTCCTTAGGAGCTTATGGATTACAGGTGCTTGGTTCCTTTTCGCGGCCCATCCAAGGACGGAGTTTCCGTCGGCGCAGATATGGCTGCGCGCTCGTTGATACATATGCGAATCGAGGATGCTGGCGTATCTCCGTGCCGTGCGGAGAAATGAGCCGACGTCTCGCGTGTCCAGAAGGTTCGCTATCAGGAGGAGGATCTCGATTGGAAGGTTGAGGAGTGCACTTGGCTGTATCTGTTTGATGGGCATGTTGGATTCGAGGATTCCTCTGAGTAGCTTCTTTTTTTCAGGGGTTTTAAGTCAGGTACTGTAAAAGACAGAGACGAAGGCTACCGAAGACGAGAAGGGGCAGGGATCTTGGCAGATGTTCGTTGCATCTTCGTTATGTTTGGACGGTTTGTCAAGCACCTTGCGAGTAGACCATTGATACTTCACAAGCACAAGTTATACGGAAATCCTTGAATTCCAAGGTTGTTCTAACAATGGCAGCCTGTTTGTGGCCCCAGGAAGCAAGATCTCGATCTGCATTCCATATAGAGATCCACAGAGCCACACAGAAAGGAACTACAAGCAAACCCCCAACAGCAGAATAAAAGCCCAACTCAAAGAGTCGAGTAAACATAACTTCATCCATGCCATAAGCATACAACAGCTGAAAAACAATACAAGTTCAATGCGAGGTCCATCGCACACAGAGAGGTGAAAGGGAAGTACCTCAAACGTTACGAGCCAATTCAATACAGAACTCTCCCCATTCCTGGCCTCCATTCAACGACAGAATCTCCTCCGCAATAGCCTCCTCCAGCCGCTCATGGTATCTCCGCCGATACTCCGTCTTCACCAGATCAAGGTGTCTAGGCTCCCAATGCAGACGCACAAGACGGGAGATAAGCAATTCAGAGCGCTCACGACCACTACGGGATTCGCGCAGGGCCTGGTGGAGGAGGAGGGCATCGCGCATGGGACGGTTGATAGCGCCATTAAGGATATGAGCGAGCGTTTCACCCTGGAGGGGACTGATTAGCGATAGATTCAGAAAGGAAAAAAAGGATGTACATACCACCAGATTCCGCGATTTGGCAATCATAGCCTTGGCGAAATTGTGTCCATACTTATCCTCATAAGTGCGCAGCACTTCGCGTAGATGATTATCGCTGCGTAGTACGATGATGTGGATCATGGAGGTCTCGCCGCCCTCGCGGACAATCACACGATGCAAGTCTTGCACATCCTCGAGTACGAGACGTCTATCCAGCGGCTCGCGGTCGTCCTGGCGCTGGCCCTCGAGGGCGAGTAGGATGGCGACGCGGAATTTATCGGCGCGCAGCTCGGCGCGCATACAGCGCTCCAGACTGTTTTCGTAGCGAGAGTCGCGGAAGGAGTTTTTGATTTCGCGGATGGCAGCGTTAGATCGGCCCATGAGTGACTCGATGAGGAGTTCGCGGCGCGAGGTGCCGGCTTGGTAGTAGCAGTTGGCCCAGTAGGCTTCAGACTCCCAGCGGCCTAGAGCTGTTGCATAGCAGACTTTGCCGAAGGAGGAACTGCCGAGTTTCAGGCGGAGGTGTTTGGCGATGTTTATGCCCTTTCCTTGGAGGCGGACGCGGTCCTTGTACTCCTGGCGGAGAAGAAGGATCTCGTCGCTTGTTAGGTGTGGCAGGATTTTGATGATGGGTTTGCTGTCTATATTGCGCGTGTGGTTGAGTGCAGCTTGCAGGGCCTCGGCGTCGGCGCCGGCGTCGTAGAAAGAGACTCGTTTGCGACCGGTTGTTGGGGAGATTATGACTTTTCCGTCCGGGCCGTTGTGAGAGGAGGTTGAGTCGTGGCGCCCGTGGCCAGATATTGGGCGGCTGAGACGTTTATCTTCCTTGCGGTCGTCACGATCTTTCTCTCTCTTGTCTTTGATGCGGTAGCGGGCGTCTTTCTCGTTAACAGACGAGTGGGAGCGGTGCCTGCTGCGGGGGCCTGAGTCTGAAGCCGAATTTCCACCATCAAGCGGCTCGACATCCGAGATGTCTTCGTCGCGAATGGAGGGGATGACGATCGGAGATGGCATGGGCGAGATGGACTGATAAGTGCCGTGATATGGTTCTAGCAGCGGACTCGCCGGAGGATGAGCCGAGTGACCTGCACTAGCTCCCCCGACTGCGAGAGTACTCGACGTAGAGAGACTGTGAGGACGAGTGCCTGAACGACCTCCACCAGGTGTGATTTCCACAAACTGAGGCTCGTTTCGAGGCGGCTGCTCAGGCGGCTTCTGCTGCTGGGACTGTGCCTGCGAGTGATACTGAGTTTGCACTTGCTGCGGTGGCGGCCTAGTATACTGGTCATGCACAGGAGGAGTGTACGGCGCCGGCTTAGCAGCGGGGGCGGGAGCAGGGGCAGGAGCAGGGGCAGGAGCAATCTTGGAAGAGTACATCACACTAGGATCGATCTGCGCGTACTGGTATATGCCGGGATTCGCATACCCAGCTGCCACCGGGTAACCAGGATTACTTGCAGAGGCCGTGCGATAATGCGAGGGCATGTAGCCAGCACTAGTCGCCGCATACGGAGCCAAAGGCTGCTGCTGACCGGCATATTGCATCGGGGAAATCATAGGTGCCGGCACGGCTCCAGAGCCATTCCCGTAGGTTGAAACCGAAGGGAACGCGCCGGGCATACTGGACGGGTTCGCGGGCTGCGAAGAAGGAGGCACGAATCCAGGCCGTTCACACTCGGGTATAGCAGCCCAGTCAGTTACCGCGCCAGGGTATCCCGGTTGAGTAGGCGGCCTGGGAGCGCTCGGCATGAACTGCGTCGGTTGCGCATAGCTATATCGGTTCGGGCGCGCATAGCTGGGATGGCTTCCCGGTGCCTCGCCGTAAGCTAGATCGTCAACAGAGTCATCAGAGTCACGATTCACGCGACTGCCGCGGTCTGGCGATGAGGGCCGGCGGCGATGCGACCGCGAAGAAGTATACTGCGACGCAGAACCCCGCTCGTCACCCGAGTGTTCATAGCGGTCATCACGACGACGTCTCGAGCTATCTGCATCACGATCACCCCGACGCTTCGAATCTTCGTCTGAGCCAGTGCGATCCACGTCGTAGCGGGTGGAGCTTCTTGGGGCGCGTGAGACAACGCTGCGTGGCTCATCAGAGCCGGAAGATTCGCGCTGGCGCCGCTCGCTGAGCAACTTATATTGGCGCTCGATTTCGGCTTGTTCGTCTGGGCTGTAGCGTTTTGTTGCCTCAACGGCAGGGGAGCGGGAACGGTGGGATGGCGAAGCGGAGGGAGCTCGGCTGTCGCGCGACCGTGAGCGCTCGCGACCGGGGGATTTGGATCGGGTGCGCGACCGTGGGTCGTTCACTTGGAGCGACATTTTGGTTCAAGAGGGGCCAATGAGTGGGGTTCTCCTCCGGATTCTGTTTGGTATTCCGAGACAGATAGATTGACTGGTTTTTGTCTCACAGGGCTGAGGAATTCCAAGATTCGGATTTGAGAGTCTCGGTCGCACAAAGAGAGTGGATGAGGGTCCTCAAGCTCTGTGGCCTCCGCTCTATACCCTACCACACTAACGGCGATAGCGAGGTAGCTCTGTAACCAAGTAGAAGGGGAAGAACGGAACAAGGAAACAGTTGGTGTATATAGCACCTCGTATTCGACTTTGGCGCCAGTTTGGAGCTAGTTCGCGATTCTTCATGCCCCCCATGTAGCCAAGGATTAGCGGCTCTTATTGGCTTACAACTGTATTCAGGATCATCGTTGGCAGCGCTTCAGCCGCAGGCACTGGACCTTTGTGGCCAATGCGAATGCAGATTGCAAATGAAGCCGAGGGGTCAAGTGCACGGTCTACACGGTCTATACGGAGAACTCCGTATGGGGATGGCATTCGCCAGAGATAAAACTGTGATCAAATAATCAAATTACCGTGCAACAGCACTAGTACAAGTTCCGGTTCTCGAAACATTTTGAAGAGAAATGACACTCAAAAAAAAAAAAAACAATAGGTGTGACATAAAAAGAAGCCTTGCGAGGGGGCCAGGCCGCGAAGAATGGGGGTATGAGCGGGAAGAGAAAGCTACGCGAACAGAAGGGCTAAGGGGCAAAGAACCCGTTTATCGTGTACGATGGCCATCACGAGGTCCCATGCGACCACCATAGACTTGCTTCTGGGCTGGAGCCGGCTGCCCATTGCGGTTGAGGCGATCGGTTCGCCAGCGTTCGTACCAGATCACGCGGCTGGCCTCCCGCAGCTCGGAGCGCCAGTCGGAGAAGACAGAGTCCTTCAGGCGTACAAAGTCACAGTGCTCGGGATCATATGGGTCTGCAAACCCCCAGGGGAATCGGCGTCCCACTGGTTGGTCACCAGCGGCCAGCGAGTGAGGATCCGGGGATAGGATAGAGAACGGAACGTGTTGGTTAGCGGCCTGCGAGGCGCTAGACCTACGAGTTGCCTGGCTGAGCTGGGACGGCGAGCCAGGGACCTGTTGAGTTCCAGTCTCGGCGTCTGCAGGCCCAGATTCGGGCTTATTCTCGAGCTCCAAGGGCTCCTCTTCGTCACTTTCCGAGCTGTATTCCTCCTGGTCCTCCAATGTCAAGATCTCGAGGGGGTCGATATTGGCCTGCTTTAAGCTGTTCCACACAGCCTTGCGAAGATAGGTCATGTGAGCAGAGGTGATTGTGTCCGCTTTGCTGATGACGGGGACAACAGTGGTCTTGCCCAACACGGTGCGTAACACTTGCAGATCGAGACTCTGATCTAGAACACCAACCACAGGCGCATCACTAGCCTTAGGTGTGCCATTGGCAGCCCGTTCGGCCATGGCAATATTCTCGTCAAGGCGCACAGGGTCCAGAAGCAGGAAAGTGCAGTGAATATGGGTATCGCGGGTGCCGGGGGAACGAATGACTTTCATCTCCTCGGCCAAAGTCTCCTCGAACTTGCTCTCCAGGAAGCCTGTTACGCCACGCATCTGCAGATCGGCAATGTTCCGCTCAAGACCCACTGAGTCCCATAGTGTAAGTCCGACACGTTCTCCATCGAACTCCGTTTCCAGGTATTGCGACGTGAATCCTTCCCAAGCTGATGTTTGACGTTGAAGCTCCTCGACCTCCTCAGGGGTGCGCGAGGGATGCTTATGAGACGGCATTGCTAGAGCACTGCGGAGGAAGTTGATGAACGAAGTTTTGCCCGAGTTGCGTGCACCAATGACAAGCACACTGCATAGGATCATTAGTTCGTCTGCGTGGTCTGGATGTCTCCCATCTGACTTACTTGTACGAGGTGGGGTCCTTGCGACGGCGGACACGGCGGGGGCTGTTCACGGTGCTGACGGCACTACTGGCGTAGCTATAACGGCCGCGATGGGTCATGCTCTCAGTGCGCGCATAGGGATCAATCACAGGTGAGGCAGCCATTGTGGGCGAGGCAGCAACACCAGACTGTGGGCGAGGCGTTGGAGCAACCTTGCCACGTTCCTCGCCTCCAAAGGTTTCCAGTTGAGGGGTGGGGGGAGAGATCAGGCAAGCGGGGAGGCACTTTAGGAGCGTAAGAGTCACGCTGACGACGCATTTCGTCTTCCATGGCTTGCGACTTCTTTTTGCGGGACCCAGAGGGATTGCGCTCGCTCAGAGGCTCGGTGGATTTAGAACGACGAAGGAAACCGAGGGAAGTGCGACGGTCTGTCTCAGGTCCCAAGCGCGTAGTTGAGGGGGCTGCCATGTTCGGATGTTTGTCTGTTCTTTCCTGATTAGGTTATGTTTTTGACTTTGCTTTTGTCCTTTTCCCTTTCTTGTCTTCCTTTTTTCCTTCTTTTCTCTTGCTTCTTCTCCAATCTTTTGCTCCCCCCGTTCTAGGGTGTCCAACCCCGTCGACCATCTCGATATTGTATGATGCCCCCCTCAGAACCCCTCACGGACACACGTCGGGGGATATGGAAATAACCACTCACCAATGAAATGGTCCAATATATATCGGAGCTCGCGGCGCTAACACCCTTGGAAAGTCCCAGGATTTCAATATTGAATTCGAAACTGAGTGGCCCGAAACTGGATCAGCCCAACCAATGCCGTCTGCGCTGGCAATTTTCCGAACTCTGGTCTGCAACGGCAGAAAGTGAGAAACAAACAAGGAAAAAACACAAAGAGATAAAAAGCGAGTGTGGAATCAAAATACAAGCTCCCAACCAGTGGGTGAAAGGTCCTGGATGACAGGGGATGGAATTGAAATTGAGATTTGAACAGAGGTCAAATCTCAGAGATGCCTTTCTTTTTTTTTTGGGGAGTTTTTATTGCAAATAGGCCTGCTCACAGCGTCCAGCAACAGCGGCGCTTGGAGAAAAGTGAAAGGGTTGAAAGAAGGAAGAAATTAATTTGGCTACGGAGTACGGAGTATAGATTACGGTGCTAACTCACGGGGTTCGGACATTGGGCGATCAAAAGATGGAGGACACAGAAACTCAGGGGTAAAACTGCCTCTCTGGTCCAGCGCTGTTTCTCCACTTGGAGCTTGGTCGTTTGGATACTAGGCCCCGGTTCGTCCGTCAATGGAGCTAACAGACGGGATGGCTTTAGGGTCCAAGTACAACTTGCCTGGTCTGGATATGACCTCCCCGAATGCTGTATTATACACATGGCTTCCTGCACGTTGATCGCCAACTCGTGGCCTCCGGGAGTCTGGCACGTGCGCCAGGGGCCGTTGAAAGGTCTCCACTGGCTGTCCAAGACAATCTTGGAGGCAGGCAGACGAAACATCCGAAATTGCCAGGGAACAGCAGTCCAATGAGGTTGCTATAAGAGGTTCATGAGTATAGGTGCCTCACTATGTTGGAGAATGAACAGATGGCCTACATAGTACGGAGTATATGCAGGTACCTTATGTACATGTACATACGGAGTAGGTACATGTACATAAGACACGGAGTATCATATACGAGACCAAAACATGTGTGTTTGTCTTGTTTGCACCTATACATAAGACGAGAACAGGTGCCTGTCCCTGACCCGTGTTGGAATCAGGCAATTATGGGGATTCCTCACTTCAATAATCAATGTCAGGAAAAAACCCCCCACACTCGGTGACCGACCCTTTCTCAAATATGTTGTATCTCAAACCTACCCAAGGGGCGACAACATACTCCGTACTCCGTACACCTTTGACAGATGAACCAAACCCCGAGGTGCGGCCAACCCCAAAGTCGGACCCCCGACCCGCCCAGTGCCCAGAGGCCATTCGGCTCCAGGCAATGGCACACGAAGCCGCAACCTAATGCATCTAATCAAACTAAATGCGCCGTTTAATAACCATATCGAAAACAGCCCCAGGCCAGCTAGCATGAAACCTGAAACACCACAATTTACGATCGCAGCACCAACACGAGACCCTGGACACATCGTGTTTGTGCGAGTCGCGTCCGGAGCCAGAATTGTGCGTTTTTTTCGAACACCACGCAGTATTGGCTTCTCGTCGGATTTCTTCGTGGCTTTTCACATTGTGCAAAACAATGGCTGGTCACCTTCAGGCGTGAATACGAGATAAAACTGTGTCTTGTCGCGCACGTCCCTGAAAGGACAGAGTGGAGCTCGAGTGGGGCGGATTTGCCTCGCGTGCAGGTTCAAACTACTTTCGGTAGAGCTCTGAGAGGATAGTGCTTGGGAAGAATTCAAGGGGTTCGTACCTTTGATTCAGAATTGCTAATTGATTTGCCTTTTCTAAGGCTAGCTTTGGTTTTTCGGTGCGAGGGGGAAATTTCAAGGATATCTCGGACGAGCTTGGACCAGGCTCGGGCCTTGGTATTTTGTCTACTCCGTACGGAGTACGGAGTAGATGGTTCTTGATGGGAGAACCTTGCAATTTAGATACACTTCTATCACGTATATAACAGTGCTCTCTATTGCTATATCGTTCTAGTGTACTATTCCGCAAATCCAAATCTATCCCCCTCTCGCCCTCACGAAGTTCTATTCGCAACGAACGTCTTGAATGGAAGTACCAAGCACGGTGCGGATGGACACACCAGCTCTCGATCCAAGCCCTTGAACTTCGGGCCATTGGGGCCGCCAACTTTCTTGGCCTGGCCGAAGATCAAAGGCTCATTGGGCGGCTGGTCATCGCCCCATTTCCCGTTGAAGTTCAGCCACCCCACCGGGTCTTGGGAACTGGCAGACTGAAAAGCACCGGTTGTGATGCTGTATGTGTACATGTAGGCATTTAGCACGGGGTCCCATAGTATACCACGGTCTGTGTAGTCCATTAAAAACCCGGCGAGGAGGTTGATTCCCGGGATAGTATGGTCGTGTTTTCTGTGGGGTCGGTAAGTATATCACACAGGTCTTATAAAGATGTCTGGTTTACCCTGAAATTGCATAGTTGGCATGCGTCCCTTGCGCGGAGTACGCATAGGGCCGCTTATCTTTCTTCTCAACCGCGCCGTAGGTGAATGCCTGGCCTCGAGCATGCTGGCTATACCATATTGCGTTGGGGGTACCGTTGACGAAGCGGATCATATTGTGTTCCCTTGTTTTCATTTTAGAATAAATTTCAAGCAAGGCAGTTCTCACATTTACCAGTCTCCGATATGGTCACCGAATTCCAAGCCTAGGACTCTGCCACCCTTGTTGTATCTGATATGGAGTCAGGAATAATGCCGACTGGAGAATATCGCTGTGCTTACGCATAGAAGTAAAAGTAGAAAGCATCAACAGTTTGGTCGTCGCGATCTATGACAATAATAGCACTCGCGGTACCACCAACCGTTCGTCCTTGTGAGTCTGGTCTGATACCTCGGAACCAGGCTGGTTCTGGACTGGCTTCGATTCCTTCTGAGGAGGTTAGATAGACGCTGGCATTGCTCAAACTATTTAATGTGTCAAGATTGTTGAGGTTCAAGGGCTGCTGGACTCCCTCGAGCGTTGTCCAGTTGACATTGGGTTTGGTATGGTCGAGCTGTTGCTGGATATCGCTCGGCATGTATGTGTCCTGGCTATGGAGCCAGACCAGGGGTGCTATCGAGATTGGTTTCTAAACTAAAATCAGAGCTGGATCTATTGGAGGGCTCACCATATTCCAAAACATATAGTGGGATATTAGATGTAGCTCTGTCGCTTAGGGATGCCCAGACTGGTTGGTTTGGAGATAGAGCAAGCAGTGCTAACAATATAAAACGACGCATCTTATGTGACGGCCTTTCAGGCACTAGAGACTAAGGGATTCTCTTTAAATAAATATAGCATTAATCAGATTCTACCAAAGATTCGACTTTTGCATGGTTTCCTCTAGATACTTATCAGCATGACCTCGTCACGGGGATGAGAATACAAAACTAGTGGATGGAGACATACCGTGAGCTGAGGGGCAGTTAAACAATTAGTTTAAGCAATATAAGGCCATAGGCAGATTATTCTTCGTCGAGTCTTTTTGCTATTTGCTCGAAGCCTTGTATCCCTGGAGGTGAGTGATCTCCTTGACGGGGATCATGCCAGTGTTCCGGACCAGCAGATCACAGCAACTCAGCTCGATTCTTCACAATTTGGACGGGATAGCCATGCCTCATAGAGTGCATCGAGGGAAAGATTTTCCCTGAAATAGGGTGGGATTGTTGAGAAGTGACCTGTTTACCTCTCTTATCCTCCGGAATATAGTATGCAACCCCGAGCAATGTGATCTCCATGGGCCCATGAAGGTGCTGGCGTGGTAGTGATAACTATAATTTAATACCTCGCTGTTTATTAGAAAGGGTACAATCTCCATATCACACTTCATAACTGGGACATCATTGCTCTGGGTCTCTGTTAGGATGATGTCACCTGTCGATGCACTGGAGCCCTAGCCCCTCATGACGAAACGTCGGGATGGTTTCGAATCAATTTAACTTGCCTGCAGACTGCAGGTAGCTCTGTGAATATGTAATTTCAAATATCTCGGAACCGTTTATGTGTCCACCTATAGAGGGCGCTCTTAGGTTCATCTGTATAGAATCACGAGATCCACTACTGACCATACATATCTGCATCAGTCGTTGTCAGCAAAACAACACGTTTTCTAGATTGCATGCAAGCTCGTTTACAATGTGCTTTTTGAGTTGTCTTTCTCTTCAATGTATGGAAAAGCACAAAATTGCCCTGTTCCCATACTTTCAACCTATCGGAAGGTACACATAATCTTTCACCTGTGGAACTCTTTGGACCTTCTGTGATGGCTATATGTAGTGAATTCGCTATGATTTTGTTTCGCTCGTCATGATGAGGTAAAATGTAAGGCTAGTCAGGTTCGTGAATAGTGGTTACCTATGAAGCATCCATCCCGGCTTATCCGAAGCGCAAGCCATGGATAAGGTATGGCCTCGAAGAGCAACATGCCAGCATCAACAGCTTGTATCCAGAAGCCAGACAAAAAAATGGGATTAAACCAAAGGTCATATACAATGGTAAGGTCGTTACTATCAGATATTGTGGGGCACGCTTTGTGACACCTAAGGCCACCCACGTTATTGGGGCTTCAGAAGAAACCGTGATGAGGCAGAGCCAGAAAGATCGAAATGATATTTATGTCAACCGAGAATGCCTATATATAACTCTTGACTAATTAAACCAGTAAATATCACAGTTGCCGCTGCCTCTCAGCCTCTTCTTCCTTTTTCTTCATCAACTTGAAAAGTGACAAATCCAACGGAATACGTTCTCCAAGCCAAGTCGCACGCTGAGTATGATTTCGCTCTTCCTCCGAGTCCACCGTGTTGGGATGAATGAGAACACTAAGCGGGCCCCGGTTGATAATCAACCAGGGAATGAACGCTCCAAACTGCGCCGGCGTAAACAAATTCACTTCGAACATGGCGATTGGGTGAGGGCCGACTGGCCGGTCGAAGAATGTGTAAATTCGTAACTCGGGAACTGTTGGATGTGAGTAAGTTATCAGATTGGAACGGCCAATTGGACCCCGCAGTTAGACGGCCGGGCGATACAGTCTCCGGAAAAAAGAACTGCGCTACTTACATTCTCGTCGGACTCGTTCCCAGAGGGCTTTAGCATATGTAGCTTGTTCCTCGTTGGCCTAGTTGATGCGTTAGTTGGTTGCAATCTTGGCTTTATCCAGGATAAATGATGGCCTACCTGGAAATGATAGATGTGGATATCGAAGCCTCCGCGCCGATCTTTGGCTAGAGGATCCGGGAACTCCTCATAGGCTTTGCTCAGTACGCCATGCTGAGGGTTCTTCAATGACTTTCCGTCTTCGGTTCTCTCGCTGCGATAGAGTTAGTGTCTTGACTTCATTGTGGTAGCATCGGAGACTTACTTTGACAGCGGCTCGAGGTTTTCGTACCCCTCCAATGGAGATGGGTATGAGAAAGCAAATTGATCAGTCATGCTGGGTATATTGTAGTATCGGGATCTTGAAAATGAACAGAGGAATGTAGTGGTGGGTCAGGTAAAGGTGCACGACGGCAGATATATGTGGAGCAACGGGTTGGGTTGATCAGCAGGGGCGCTGGGTTATCAATCAGCAAAGAATGGGGTGAAAAATGCATAATCTCGGATCTATGAGCTCCAATCACTCACAATGTTGTCAACGAACCCTGCAGTAACATCATCTGTCAAGTCCACTGTGACGGGGAAATTTCCGCACTCTAACCAAGCCGCGGAACAGCGCGAGGGGCTTACTCCGTCAACTGCATTGAATAGTACCCTTTTTGATCGAAACGTTGGGATTGATTCGAATATCGCTTTGTTTTTGGACAGAATATGTATTTCGACATTTAAAACAGCATTGAGAATGAGCAGGCAGAACTTGATTAATGACATCCTTGAAGATTGTTTTGCGTTTCTCTGTCATCCCTCTCCACATTTATATATCAACCCAAGTAACATTTCCAGACGCATTCATTCAACATTATATGATTTTGATATTATACGGATACTACGAATGGATATATCCACGAAAAACACGAGGAAAGCTTCCTCAATAAATGGATCATGAAAAGTAACCAATATACACCTTGGTATCACCGCTAACTGTAGGTCCCGAACGCCAATTATCAAAAACACCTAATAAGAGATGCTACCAAGCAGCCCGAATGTCAATATGACCATCGTCATTCACGTATTTGCCGCGATCCCATTCCCGTCCCTCGCCCTTCTTTGACCATTGTACATCCTCCGGTTTGCTTTCGCCGTCCACGCCCGTGAAGGCGGTGTTATTTTTCCATTGGCTGATGGTCGCCTCGTTGATTCCAGCTTTGCGTAGTCTCTCCTCGCCCTTTTGCCTCCAACGCTCACGATCGCGTAGCGCCTCCATGGCCATGTCCCAATCATCGTCAGCGGTCATGAGCCCTGCAACCGCACGTCGGGAGGACTGCTGGCCCATGGAGTTAGAATTGTCATCGTCTAGATGTACGTCGGTAGTCGGGTCGTAGCCGGGGGCAAAATGTGCATCAATATTGCTCAAGTTGGGTTTGTAAGCACCTCGCCCGCGTGAGCGAATGGGCGCTTCGTTCTGTCGGGGAGGAAGTGGTCCGACAAGGTCTTCTAAGGGGTCGGATTCGTTATCCGTTTCATTCTGACGTGCGGCTGTAGTGTGCGGGGGCGACAAGCGGTTATGCTGTGAGCTGGGTTTGAGGCGAGAACGGCGGGAATCATGTGGCGATGCATCTTCCTCCTTGGATCGTCGAGATTTGTACAATTCCGGTGAACGGGAACGGGAACGGGAACGGGAACGAGTAGAAGGCGCAGACCGATGGTCTTGCCTTCGATGGCGATGGCGATCGGTGCTCCGGTCCCTGCGCGGAGAACGGCTGGGAGACCTAGAGTATGATCGATCACGTCGCCTCCTACCGTGTTCCTTGTCTTTGTCCCGTCGATCTCTCCGAATTGACTCGTGATCCCGACGTACATGACGATGTTCGCTGCGGTGCTTGTCTCTCTTTCCAGTGATGTCGTGGTCATCAGGTCTTCGTCGGTGCCTGCGCGATCGGTCTCGTTCCGTAGAACGGGAACGGCTTCGACTTCTTTTTCGATGTGAACGATCGCGATCTTCTCGATCATTCCCCCGATGTTCTCTTGACGCTCTTGCTTCACTTCGATATTCAGACCGTCTCGATGAACGGTCTGTTGAGGTTGGCGCTGAAACACCTGAATTTTTCGAGACTGGATCTCTCAGCTGACGCATGCGCTCCCGTGATTCTTTTTCTTCCTTCAGCCGGAGGGCTGTGTTATGACTGTCTGTGACTTTGATGAGATTTCGGAGGAAGCGAGTATTGGGCTTGGGGGCATTGCTAGCTGGCCTGCATTGACTGTCAGTCTTGTACTTATACAAACCCCAATTCCGGAGAGAAAACCAACTTTGAAGGCATAAATGCACTTAGTCCTTGAGTCGAGTATTTAATAGAATTCTCTTTAGCCTCCTTGGCAAGAATCTGCGCAACATAATCGTCGTCCATGATCCAACTGAGCTGTAGATCGCGGGGGTTCAATTCGAAGGGGGTCGAAGAGTTTCAACGAGGGCAACGAGTGAAGAATACTAGTGAAAATATGTGCTATGCCATATCAAACAAGAACAAAAGCAGAATAATTTCGAGTATCTTCAAAGAAGATTCCGGGAGCTGAGAGAGGCGAAGACCATCGCGCCTTCCAAAAGCCGATCTCACCGCCTTTGGTATCGGTTATCGCGATAATTGTTTACCTTCAAATGTTATGGACCCCTCCAAGCTCCGCGGTAATCTTCATTGATCGTCACATTCCACAAGCAGAGTTCTGATCTGCAAATTTCCTTAATATGACGAACTCGTCATCCGAAGCGCTTGCAGCGCTCCAGCAGCTTGAGGAGCAGGGGGATTTGAAGAAGCGCCTTACGATTGTTCGCATCAGCGAGTCAATCTCCGCGGAAGTGGGGGGATCATACCCTTCTCCTTCAAAAAGAACCTCCGACGTTTCATTCTCAAATTTCGATGACCCAACTCCTGCCTCGTTAGAAGCTGATCTTTCACATTACAAGGTATGCACGACTTGCCTGAACACTGCGAATGCCGCTGCCGAAATCAGCAAAAACTTATACTTTTGCACAGGAACTATTTGCTAAACTGCGATTCTCCTATCTCGAGCAAGTCACGAAAGAGAAATTCTTGCGCTCGATTGTTGGCGATCCGCCGGTGATTGTCGGACACAATGAGAACATGGAATTGGAGACGCAACTGGCGGACGTGAAAGCCGAGCTCAAGGCGCGAAAGGAAGATGCCCGGATCATGATCGAGGAGATGGAGCAAATGGGCCGTGATTTGGCAAGCCGTAAGTGAGCCGTGACCCTGAAAGACGAACATATTAGCTGAAGCTTTGACCGCGCCATGACAGGTTACAAGAATGTCGAGCTTCAAACAACGCAGCTTTCGACATTGCCAGCTTCGATCGAAAACCTCGAATCTACAATCGCCACTCTCCGCGCCAAGCAGGTCGCCAATATGGATCCTTCCGATCCTAACAACATGTTATCGTCGCGAAACCTTCCTCTTCCTGCGACCTTGGCGCTATTGGCGGAACGCGAGGCGGAATTGGCATCATTGAACCGTCAGCTTGCTGCTGTCAAAAACACATTGCCCCGAAAGAGCCGAGAGGCTGAGGCGATAGAAAGAGAGTGCAGTGTGCTTGAGCGACGGAAGTCAGATGCCATCATGCAAGCGCGTGAAGCACAGCGCAAGAAGCAACAGGGCGAGAGTGATGGACTAGAAGAAATGGGACGTTGGTACAGGGGAGCGGAAGAAACCCTGAAGGATTTGGTGGGGACCAAAGCCTGAGCCTACAGGTCAAGCCAAGGCTTTAGACATACGACGACACGAGGTATGAACGATTGAGCTTATCTTAGGTAGGTGGGGATCGGGGAGCGGCGTTAGGGATCTAGGTAGGAGGTATCTACCTACTGTACATATATATGGGTCCACAGATACTATTACATTTTTGAGTTACGAAAACATAGGATTTGAAATCATAAAATCGGGTTCCAAATTGAAGCCTTTCGGCTGTATTTGATTCATTGTATTGCATGATCGTAGAACATGAGACGCTATGATGCAGTCATTTTGAACCTCCAGGGTATGAAGGTGCCCCAAGCGAAACCCGACCGTACTCCGTTTTTTAAGGAATAATGGGAGTGATTTACTCCTCATCCTCCTCCTCCTCGGCATCCTCACCACCGGCAGCGGCGGCGGCCTTCTTGCGGCGAACGCGACCGGGGCGGCCACCACCGAAGGGAGAGGTGAGAGAGAAGTCGATGTGCTTCTGGGAGTCGAGGCGGACCATGAACGAGGGAACGTTGACGATCTGCTTGCCGACGCGGATGTGACGCTGCTTGATGAGGACACGGGCGTGGTGGATGGACTTGGCGAGGCCAAGCTTGTAGACGCAAGTCTGGAGACGGCGCTCAAGGAAATCCTCGACCTTGAGGGCAAGGACGTAATCGAGCTTCATGCGGGACTCATCGAGCACACCGATGCGGACGAGACGGCGAATGAGGGCATTTCCTTCGAAGAGACGCTTGGGGTCCTTCTCGTCGAGAGTGAGGAGCTCACTGTGGAGATGAAAAAAATTAGCGCAATGTCCACAATATTTGCCTAGGCCCGATCGCTCGGATCCTTCGCATGTCTGTAAATTTTTCGTTCACATACCGAGCAGCACGACGGATCTTGGACAGGGTGAGCTGGACGCGCCACACCTCACGCTTGTTGCGGAGACCGAACTCGCCAACAACCTTGAGCTCAGAGTCACTAGTAAAAAGAAAAAAGGTTAGACGGATGAACGCGACATAACCAGAAGCACGCTTCTGATTAGTGGCCGGAGAATACTAACAGACGAGCCGACTCGAAGGCTGTGATGGAGTTAGCGCCTAAATCTTGAAATTGAGGGTTTCGATTGAAATTGACTTACGACGACGGGGGACCTTGTAGGTCTTGGAGGAGACGCGACTGCACAGAAATCGATTAGAACAATGCGATGCCTTCAATTATCGATATACTCACGGGGCCATTGCTGCGGTTAGATGGGCGGTGGTTGTCGAGGAGGTCGAACAGTCAAAGACAGGTTGAGAATTTGAGTGTGCGTGGATGCGAGCCCTATTTGCCTAGTCCCAATAAGGAAACTCACGTAATCCGATTGTTTCATTGCGCTGATTGGCGGAACCTGGAAGTAGACCCACTCTACTCCGTACATCAAGCATTCATCTGAAGCTATCAAGGTTTGTAGATCTGTGTCAGTGTTGCAAAATTAGAACATGGAATCCGTCCGAGTAAGGTATTGAATACTGTGTGAAGATGGTGGTCATTATCAGGCGCCGTACTGATGCAGTTTCTCTTGGAGAGAAACGTACCCAAGAATCTCCTTGCAATTTGCATCCACAGTCGAACGCTGTTTGGATGCGAAGAATATTTGGCTTCCCATAGCAATTGAAATATCATCCGGCAGGAAAATGGCAGCTATGTGTAGTATACTCGACTTGGTGCCTATGCTTCCCGAGTCTTGCAACAGCCCAATCGTTAACTGAGTTCGCTCCGTAGTTCCCTATCCTCCAATAAACTGGCCAAGATATAAGTCGATGAGGCCCATGTTCTTCAAATCCTCTGCTTTATACAATGTTACTCCTAAAGTTTCCTTGTGTGAATTACCAAGTACTCATTTCCTCCATATGCTAACTAAAGTCTGCCGTCGATACAAATACCTTGTTGATTTAGTTAAGGATAACATCTATTATGACCAATCACTTGTGCTGGGTGAAAAAGAATTGCATTAGAAAGTGATATCTTGACATAGAGCTGTTGAAAAATCATCGATATGAGTCTGCTGGCTTGAGATGATCATCTATTGCTCTGTCAAGGGTATACCTAATTGCTGTCTGACAGCCGTAGACTTAATACATCATTGAGAATCTACTTGATATTGGGAACTCAAGTATCTGAACTACTTCCAGTACACGGAACAAAAAAAGTTCATTCTACTTTCTGCTCGTCTCGAAATAATGATTGGCTCAGGTCCATCAATCTATCTTTGACATCCATTGTCGGTCGTCCATGTCTACTGAGTCGGGCACTATACAAAACACTATACAAGGTGAAGAAAATCAGATTAATACGGAAGACGTAAACAATTTGGGGTAAAACTATCTGTGGAGATAATTTGTGCATAGCAAAGGAGACGGAGAGGTGAGGAAAGACTATCTACTGTATACAGTCGGCCTTGGAACCTTTGAAACATTTACGATGAAGGACGACTCACGTTATGATTGGGTGGAGATCAATGTATTACGCTAACCCACATCGAGAAGCCTTGGAAAATTAATTAATAAGTCCCAAATAGGCTAGTGCGATTCCAGGGCTTTAGCGAGTTAGCTGATTACCTAAGGTCATCGATCCCACAAATTCCTATCCGACACTCTAGTTTTCTAAGGTGAAGGCCCGTCGACAATCAACCACCCAGCACCAACCACAAAACCGCCGTCATGCCTCACTCGTACGGTCTGCGCGCCGGCACTCGGGTACGTTTGAGCTTCCTTTGCGACACGCGTCTTTTTTTCTACTGGGAGGACGACTGGAACAACCGAATACGCCTTTGTGACTTGGGGAGGATGAATGCTAACGACACCACGAACAGTATGCCTTCAGCCGTGGCTTCAAGGAGAGCGGTATGATCCGCCTCTCTACCTACATGAAGACCTACCGGTACGCTCCAAAACCTCGAATCTCGAACGAACGACAAGAATTGAATTCTGACAGATGTTTCTTATAGTGTTGGTGATATTGTTGATCTTAAGGTCAACGGTGCCGTCCAGAAGGGGTCAGTACAATCCTGAAATTCCCTCTCAGCGCTCTCGCTCGACCGCCCACTGCGATCACACACCATGGGCAATGCGAATCCCGACAGAGAGACGTGAATCTAACATGTGAACAGTATGCCCCACAAGGTCTACCACGGTAAGACCGGTGTCGTCTACAACGTCACCAAGTCCTCCGTCGGTGTCATCCTCTACAAGAAGGTCAACAACCGCTACCTCGAGAAGCGCATCAGCGTCCGCATCGAGCACGTCCAGCACTCCCGCTCCCGCGAGGACTTCATCAAGCGTGTCAAGGAGAACGCCATCAAGAAGCGTGAGGCCAAGGAGAACGGTGTCCACGTTCACCTTAAGCGCCAGGCCGTTGGTCCCCGTGAGGGCCACTTCGTCAAGCAGGCTGGCAACAAGCCCGAGACCGTCGTCCCCATCGCCTACGATACCCACATTTAAAGGATTCGTCATCGAATTGGGTCGGTGTGTGCGGTTGTTAGGTGTTTACTGGGTTTTCAATCCATTTTTGCCTAGACTGAAATGGATTTTGATACATGAGACGAAGCGCAAAGGGTTTCGGATGCCCTGGCACATCTCTCGCCTGTGCATAGATTCCCCTGAATGAAACAAAATCAAAAAATTTCCGAGTTCATGTCTACATCTTTCCTGGTCCAGTTTCGAGGATTTCATCTATTGCTCTAGACTTGTTTGTAGTGCTGTTCGTGCCCGTTGGTTGATCGACAGCTCCACATCGGTCATTTGTACGATGTACGGAGTGCCACCATTGAAGAGGCTTCTAACTAGCATTTTCAATGCCTGGCCTTGCCAATTGCACCCGGGTATTTCAATTCCGATGCTCCCGAATAGCCATGAATCGGTTCGTTGGAGGGTTTGCCCATCTAGTACACTCCACGATCGGATACCTTGGTGTCTACGGATCTGACCGGTTTCCCTTGATTGATTACATTGATGAGCCCGGAATAAACCAATATGACACGTCCTCGGTCCAAATGTGAAATATCGGCAGTAGATTTTCCCCTTAGAAATGCGGCCTCCACAGGGGGAGCGGAGAAAAAAGTCAGACCCGCCCAGGAAAAGAAATATTGCTCCGGACAAAACCATTCCATCACCTTTCCTTGTACTCCGTACACCATTTGACCATACTTCTTTTTGAATTGTCATGATTTAATTTGCCTCGCATTTAACGTTATTCTAATTCTTTTCGACGACATCTTAGCCTTTCTGGCGGCTTCTACTTCCGTCCTCGATGACCTTCTCAACCACCGCAGCCCCCAGCTCTGCGCCGGCGCAACTGGGGGACACGTCTCCATCATTGAATAAAGATCTTATGCCACAATCGCGCGAAATGGGGGATGTCATTCCGAGCCGGACACCCCCGGCGAGCCAGGAAAAGTCTGACGCGAAGCCATTTGCACATTTCGTTGCTGGTGGGTAAGTTTTCCCTGGAAGACGAATGCCATCAAGGCTTCATTGAAGGCCCCATGGACATCGATTCTGATTGGAAATTCTAGATTGGGCGGCATGACTGCTGCAACGCTCACTTCGCCGCTTGATGTCCTGAAGACGCGCCTGCAGTCTGACTTCTACCAGGCACAGCTTCAGGCTCTGCGCGCCTCGAAACCTGCACCGCTACCAACGTCCAACACCCTCGTCAATCTCACCCGGACTGCTGGCATGCACTTTAGCGAGACCTTCCAGATCCTTCGCTCAATACACGTCCACGAAGGATGGCGCGCGCTATTCAAGGGCCTGGGACCGAACCTGATCGGCGTGGTGCCCGCACGTGCTATCAACTTTTATGTCTATGGAAACGGAAAACGCATACTGAGCGATTACTTTGACTACCGGAGCGCCGAGCAAACTCCCATGGGGATCCACCTGACCGCTGCTGCCATCGCCGGTATCGCCACAGGCACGGCAACCAACCCGATCTGGCTGGTCAAGACACGTTTGCAATTGGATAAGTCGAATGCCGAACATGGCAAGAGTCGCCAATACCGCAACAGCTTTGACTGCATCAAACAGACTGTGCGCCACGAAGGCATTCGCGGTCTCTACCGCGGTCTGTCCGCTTCCTATCTGGGTGTGACTGAGTCGTCTCTCCAGTGGGTGATGTACGAGCAGATGAAAATGTATCTTGCTCGCCGTGATGCCCTCAAGCACGCCGACCCTGCGTACGACTACACTTCGTGGGATTCTGCAGAGCTGTGGGGTGGACGAATCACTGCGGCTGGTTTGGCGAAGCTGATCGCTGCTGCCATTACCTACCCTCACGAGGTCGTCCGCACGCGTCTGCGTCAGGCACCGACCGTCTCATTAGGCAATGGCAAGGTTGAAATGAAATACACCGGCTTGGTGCAGTGCTTCAAGACCGTCTGGAAGGAAGAGGGAATGGTGGCCATGTACGGCGGTCTGACGCCACACTTGCTTCGTGTCGTTCCCTCTGCTGCGATTATGTTCGGAATGTGAGTTGCTCCCAGCTTTCTCGAGATCCATGCCATGGGCATTGTGACACGATATACTGACTTCCTTTAATAGGTACGAGTTCATCCTGCGGATGTTCGGCACTACCTCATAAACTGACCTCGATACTCTCGGGGCATTGCTACTCAACTCACTTGTTACCATTGTACAATATTTCGCTTCTATCACAGTTTCCGCTCCGTTTCTGTGTGACTGGGGAGCGGGTTTCTTCTGTTTGTTTGTTTTATTGTGTATAGAAGAGAAAACGGCCCTCCTGCATGTGTACGGCGCACGCGATCTGGGGTTACATTTTAATTTGAATAGGCGTCTCTACTCTGATTTTATCGACAAAAGGCAAAAAGATTTCTGCGTTAGTTGGCTCTTCTGCTGGGACCTACGATTCCGGGGCGAAGCTCTCCAAGCATTGCTCACGCTAGCCCGTTTGTGTATTATAGGACTTATTTGAGACTCTCCCAAATGTGGCAGGGCAAAAGAAGAAAGAAAATGGACCGAACTATGTCTTAGATACGCCCCAACCCCATGAGTACTTGTTCACTGCCAAGGCCAAAGCCACACATATGATGCATGCATGCACATAGTATATTGGTCATTGCATTGCAGAACCGGATGATCCTAAATGAGCGGAGTCAGGTTTAATTGCACTGCACTGCACTGCCACTCGACGACAGCTCGCTTTGCTTCCCCTCAAGTACCCTTCCTGGCCCCAATGACCTTTGCACTCCGAGATGTCACCATGGAAATCCAGTCAGGCACCATCCCGCTGCACAAATTCCTCGGGCATTAGGCTGCTCTACCCAGGCAACGAACACACCCGCGCCCACTCGTCCATGTTTTATCCGAATCCTGTTTTCACTTGCTGTGGCTCCCAAGTGTCCATAAACCCGGTCATGGTGCGAAGCCTGAGGTACCCGATCTAAAGCACTAAGCGACCACCAGCATTGAGCAGGCAGGGATTCGGGATGGAGAGATCCAATCCCTGCTCCTGACAGTGGCTCGGTTTCCTTTAACCGGATCTAGACAATGGGCTATATACTTCTTGTCTGGTTTTGGCCAGGTGCTATGCTCGACTTGGACTGTTCCAGGTTGCTCGCCCGAGATCCGCTGTAAGCGTTCTTCGCCCTCACTACCTTTGTTTCCTGATCCCAGCGCCCTGTGGTGTACCCCACACGGAGTACTCCGTACATGCCACTGCTCGTTGATTCCTAAACGGGTGAATTGGTTTGTGTATTGGTCATGCGTTCCGGAGTACTAGGTTCCGGCCATGACGTTGCAGGGCGAGCACCTGGGGCAAGTGGGTATTGAGGTATGAGATACGTTGAGGGCTTCGTGCCCGACTGCCAGATCCGTGCAGTTTTTCTGGCCGGGACGGGTTCTAGAACAGGAGCTAGTCGCTCGTAGAGCAAAGGGTAGATGGGCTGCCGCTCATGTTCTAGACTCTACAGAGTATTTGGTAGACTTTGGCCGTATGTGGAGAGGATGGGGTTGTTTGTGGATCGGTCTAGATTATCATCTCTGTCGTCTTTGGGGCTTCAGATGATTTGCCATGATGCACATCTGCAGGCTAGACATTGTCGCCGCGCTCCGTACAATACTTTACGATCTCCCCGAGACCAGGTGGATTCTCCAGGTGGGTTCAAGTGCGTCCCGGGTGCCAATGCCAAGAGCGAAAAAAAAAACACCGACTCTTTACGGAGTACTGCGCCACAAAACCCTTTCGATGTGATATGTCTATCATATTAGATGCCATGTAGGATTAGTTAAAACGTTGCTTCAGAACGTTCTCTCGCTGGTGATAAAGTTTCCCGGCTTACAGGGTACATTCCGAATACAAGGCTGTCTCGCATGGCTTAGACTCCATCGATATGGATTTGCGATGGGATTTATTCTCTCAGACTATGATTCACGATGTGGCTGATGGTTATCATATTATTCATGTTATTACTCCGCATGGAGTTCCCAGTCGGTGCGAATCTTATGCAAGGTACATACCTCGAGCTGCTGCCTGGTCAGCCAGGTTGTCAATATAGCTCGATCCCACATCTCCCCTAAAGTGACCTCATTAATACCTCAAACATTGAAATCCTGGGAACTATCTCCATAGGACTGTTAGATTAACAAATCATACGGTTCCCATCCTAGTCGGATGGGTGCTATTGTCTAGATCCCCGAACTATGCCTTTCTCTCTGCAACTGCACCAAAGAGGGTGTGATGGGACTGACAGGGTTGGGTTCGTTCCTACACCGCACTTTGTGTGCCACCTATCAGATACCTAGGAGAGAGACTTGTGACCATGGTTCGAAGGGTCAAGTTATAGGGTCAATGTGCGACTTGGACAGCCAGGCGAGCCCGGCTATGGTTTGTACACTGGCACGATTCACGAAGCAAGTTGCATGGACTGAAGCTTCTTGGATCATGAGGATGAAGGTCTAGACTATCTAGATCCTGGGTAATCTCAGCCACAGCTGTAGATCAGGGCGTATGATGACACACGCAAAGTACCTAGAGAGGGTGGATACATGAGTAAACCATATTTGGAGTGGACACCCAGGCGTCCCCAAGGCTGAGTGAGAAATTCCAGGACAATGAATTAATTCTGCATCTCTTTTTGGTCATATTTCACACCTGAATAAGATTGTTGTCCAGGAGCCACTCTGCAGATTCTCGTTTATTTTGACAGGTGTAGAGCGGAGATCGGATCGGCAGGGGGCACCGTCGGCTGGAGTGAACCTGGCTGCTGTTCGTTTACCTTGGGCCGCCAATCCACCGCGGTCGGATTGATACCACAAAACAGGTGACCTTTGCCCGATGTATGCTTCGTACGATGTACTGCGTAGAAGCACGGCTACTGGTGACTTCACTTGACACCACTTGACACCACTTATGAATGATCCATCCTGAAATCACATTATTCCCGTTTAGGATAACAAGCAAACGCCCGCGTTAGCTTCCAGGCTCGAGTCAGGTAATCTCCATATTGACGTTTTTCAAAAAAAGAAATATATGTAACTGTACCTCGTTCTCACAGGAAAAGCTCGGTCGTCGGACCTGTCTCCATATATTTTCTTCACCCACATCTCCACCGCTATGTCCACTGCTGCTGTGCCTCTCCATTCCAGAACCCTAAGAAACCCTGACCCGGGCTCAATAGCTAGCTCCCGGGTTGACCTTTCATCACCACCGAGATGCCGAGGAACCAGTCCATCTTAGGTATATAACACGCCTTTCCCCTTGTCTCAAATGCTCATACCCACAACTTCCAATCCTACAGCGAGTACCTTAAGTACTCCGGCGCGCTCTACATTGGCAATTCTTCATCTTCTGTGTCCTGCATTATCTTCGAAAGCTTCCCCAGCTATCAACCTCATCGAGCATCACACTCACAGCGCACTGCTTCTTTTGATTCTAATTATCCCGACCAAACCTCAACATGGAGAATAGGTAAGTGTTGCAGTCCCATAGCATCTACCATCGATACCCGGATATCCGCAAAGTCCAAATAGCCCCAGCTCCCAATTCATTTGTCAATGACGTTACTCAATCACAACTCTGCTTTCCTGTCTTTCTTCTTCCCTGCTGACCTTGTCCTTTTCCTTTTCTCTCAGCGACTCAGCATCTGGCTACTCTGCGGGGCAAACCCTCGATAGCACTACCGATAACACGAGCGCACTCAGCAACGACGCCCCTCAGACCTCTTTGTTTGACCCCGAAGCTCAGTCGGAGCAAGGAGGCTCATACATGCTGGGTCAATGGAAAAATGAAGACTCATCGCTGGCCCCGTGGTCATCAGCCAACAAGAGATATTCTTCGGAAACTTAGGCCGTTCTGGGACACCGGTATCTATCCCCAGTGTCCGTCAAAATTGGGGTTTCAATTGGGGTATTACACAGGTTCATGGGGGAGTTTGGTGGTGGCGAATGGAGATCAGAGCTTGGTTTTATCTTCTAGTCTGGGATCAAGCTATAGGGCAGAGTTGAGTTAACCGTTTGGGAGTGTGGGGCCTGTTTCACCGACCGTTTGCCACTCTTTTACTATGTACTGTGTCTTGTTGTTTTTGATCTATTTTCTTTGCTCTTCTTTGCTCTTCTTTCCTATTTTCTGCTATTTTCTGCTCTGTTCGGTTCTTGATCATATTTCCCTAGACCTTTGGAGAGGTTAAGGAGTTCGACAGGATATAGACGAAAAAAGACTTGGACTTGTGTCCATTTTGTCCGGTTTGTCCAGTTTGTCTCTTTGTTTAGCTCACAGATCTAGATAATGCGATTATATTTGGGCAATACACCACACTGGATGATATACTAGGTTTATGCTGTCGTACACCCGTAGTCCATCGGTTTTATTTTCCGGACAAGAACAAACCAAATCGCAGTGTCAACAGACTTGCGTCCAATATTTTCTCGAGCCACGGTACTAATTAAACTCCTTCGGTCTGTTCCGTTGTTCCCCACTCGATCCGAACAGCCCCATCATCTTATTGTCACTCCCCCGAAAATAAAATTCCCCGAAATCTATGAGATTTAGTACCCTTTTTCTTTTTCTTTTTCATTTTTTTCTTCTTGATTTTATCTTTCCCACTCGGCTTTATATGTAAGTTTTCGTATCCAAAGGACAACTCTCTACCACATATTTCCCCTTTCATCATCTAAGCCCCCGTGTTGTGTATGACCAAACTTGGGCCAAATGCCGCCACCAAGCGACTGGGGACGAATGTCAATGTCGTCCAGTGAACGCAAGGAGCGATGAAGCTGGGTAGCGGCTATCATCACCGATTACGAGATTATCATGGGACTCTCCGGGCAATTGGCAAAAGTACGGTTGCGTATCCATGCCTGACAAGCTCCGAGCACAGGACAAATTGATTAACGCAGGAACGGAGGCGATCTGGGTCCCTTCGTTGCAAGATAGTAGAAGAGGAGGCAACCTTATGCCAAAAGCCCGTTTGGCGTCCGAACATCCATGTTTGCCGCGGAGAAGTGGCCCACTCTTGAAGGCACTGGCAATCCCTATTCCTGGCCTTGCAGAATGATTTGCAATCGCCTGATCATCGATTTCCCACTGTTTCGCCTTGACAGGGCTCTTGATTCCCATTTGCTGCCTCACTTCTCATATCCTTTGTGTTGGGAATCGTTCAGTGATGAGTTGTTATAGCCCGCCTGCCCCAGCCTCATACCATCTTCCCCGCACTTGTACCGTACTCCGCGGACTAAGATATTCCTCTCAATGGACAACCAGCCTCGAAGGGTCTGTTGAGGATGACACCTTTCTTGTGCGACTGGATTTTTCTTTTGCGGCTCCGCCGATGTTTTCGACCCAACATCGACGCGGTGCATCGTAGGACCCATGGGAATGCAATAACAGGACAGTCTGCATGTACGCCATAATCATTCCGATCCGTGCATGGGCAATCAGTCGATTCTCCACCCCGATTTTCGCTCCTCTCGATTATGATTTTTGGCCATTCTATTAGGATCGAAAGTATTTGGGTGTAGTTGGGATTATTTTACAAGCTCCTTTTCTTGTGCATGACCCGAGCATCATGCCTTCTCAAGACCGAATCAATGCCTTCAGAGACTGGAACCGTTTGGCTCGAGAAGCCTCCAATTTTGGACTCCTCCCTCGTATTCCAAGCCCTTGAGCCCCAGCAGGTATTAGTGCGAAGATGATCATCTCGAGGATTTCATAGTCTGGATGGACTACTTCGTACTTGGTTCACATTTCGAATGGTTAACCAACAACGGCCATTGGGAAAATAGGCCCAATTATATCCGTCTGCATGGCGAAGGTGCCGTTCAAACGATGGACTTATTTGGTCTTGTTTTCCATGTCCACTCCTCCAAGCACAGCAAGGGGAATGATGGACTCAATCCCATTGGATTGATTCTTCTTGGCACCTCTTAAGTCCGGTCTCTCCTCACTTGGGCACTCTCCCCTCGGAAGGGAACTGTGCCCGGGAAAAAGAAGCCTTCGGAGTTCACCGATAGACCTAAACCTACCCCTGGCTCTCCGAAACTCGATCTCTCGAGCGGCGGGGATCTGCATCAAACCCACACGTAGGTGTTCTAAGATGACGTCTTCAAGTGTCCTCCCCGGCCGGAACACCGCCCCAACATGGGTGCTCCACCCCGCAGATACATCCATATGCCAAGCGTTAGATTCGGATGGCGTACACTGCCAGCTTCGATATTTCTTCACCGATATAAAAGAACCAAAAGATTACAATGCATGCTCCAGCATCTGCTGGTAAGTAAGAAGTACCATATAATCCGATAGGTTCAATGAAATAAGGGTCATACACAAAACGGCTCTGTGAGTATGGGTACCGTCACTGGTTGCCTTCGTATAATGCACGCAAAGCCCGGGTTTCTAGTCTGCAAAAAGGCAACTGGGTCTGCGTACGAAATACAGAGTTTCCGCTTGGTTAGTTGGACTCTCCATGCCCTTGGGATTCACTCTTCCGTTGTAATAAGATTCTCATGCCGTCTGTATCTCTCCAGCTCACCGGTATTTACGGGAACAGATCTTGAGTTGAGCAAAAGGCGAACCGAACCCTCGTCGTTTTCCTCAACCCTATTTATTTCCCAATCAAGAGATTGGGCCCAAATTCACACCCGGGTGCGAGGAAGAGGCGCAGGCTTCCAAGGCCCGGACACGTTTCCATGTCAATCTGTGGTATAAATCTCCGGCTGACGGCCGTTTATCCTTTTCTTTTCTTCACAACTTTAGGCCGCCCATTCTGGCCCCATCACCCCCTCAAGGAAGCCTTATCGCCATGGATTTCCCTTCCAACAATGCAGAGGCTAGTGAGGAAGGCAATGGGTTGAACGATCTTGAGTCATGGATTTCTTTTCCATCCTCCCAACCATCAATTGGTGAATATAATCCTCTTGTGAGTGGTCATCCAGATATTCAAGCATCAAGGTACTAAGCTGTTTGACAGAGCTGCTTTTCCCTCCCTTCCGCCTACGCATCGAGCTACACAACAAGTCATGGTGTTGTGCAAGATTCCGGGATGTTCAGTACCGAATCTAGTAGTCAATTGACCGAGCGTCCAGAACGACACGAGGATGAATTTGATTATATGATCCCAGAACCTGTACCGTTCAATGAGCTCCCCCAGCACATAAACATCAGTCGGAATGAAGAAGAGCGGACTTATGCTCCACAACCTGTCCCGGGGCCTTCCTCACGTTTGAATCGCACCATGATGGGGATATTGGAGGAAGTGCCCTCCTTTCCACAGCCTCCACCTGAAGATGCCATAGCGCGGACTGCCACAACCTACAGGATGTTGATGTCCGAACAGATAGACCCTTTGCATCATGTCTCTCAATGCATCCAGGAGCTTGAGACCATGGCCAGCTGCTTAAGATCAAAATTCTTAGCATCTTCAAATCCAGTGGCCGGCTCTAGAAACCAGACCAAAGAGCAGTTTCGGTGTTGGTGTTCTCCTGATCGAACGATAGATCAATGGGGGTCATTCAAAAGGCATCTGACTTTACATGGTATATTCGACAGCATGTGGAAATGCACCGAACCACGCTGCCGCAAAAGCACCTTCCGGCGAGATCGGATACGTGAGCATTTCACCGTTAAACATGGAATACTTGATCCATCTCCAGCGATGATAGCTGCAACGAAACGCACTTATACTCCGCGAATCAGTTGCCCCGTGTGTCATCTTCCGACCTCTTCTTGGAATGAAGTTTACAGACACATCAGAGATCACTGTCTAGTTCCTGGTTCTGGAAATGCATCGACCGACGGAGATCGGTCACATCACGGCAGCAACGGCGGGGGGAACGGCGGAGGCAATGGCGGAGGCAGTGGCGGAAATGGCCATGGTTCTTTCCCTAGTGGATCAAAAGATCCGAACAGTCAAACTCCGTATTATTCCCAAAATCCACCAGGAGATCAGGCAGGACACTCCCGTTATTCTGATCCGGGTATCGGAAGCTCCAGGAACAGGAGCAATGCAGGACCAGGGTCCATATCGCACTCTGCCTCGGACGATCGGCTCAATCTTGGCTCCAGTCACAACTTCCCAGATGGAGCTAAGGGGCAGTCTAAGAAACCTGAGCCTCGACAGAACCACAGAGTTTCCAAAGCTGATAAGTCAGTCCAAAAGCGCAAGCGCCTGGGGAAACAAGCGCAACCACCAGAACAAGGGCCGTCCACTTTCGGGATATGCAGAGGGTGTGGCCATGATTTGACTCGATGTCGAACGTGTAGTCGTTTGACAGAAACTGTCTGGAGATGCCACGCTTGCATTGACCCGTCCAGGAGTGCTATCCCAGCCGCGGCTTCCTCAATGAATCTGCCTATCCGCACAAGCTCTACTGTCGCCAATCTGAGCCCAGAATATCCCCACGCCTCGGAAGGCTTCGGCATACCCCAAAATATGTACCACCACCCTTCTTATCCAATTACCGGCGCAGGTATGCCAGGCTTCGGCGCCCAAACACCCCAGTCACTCAACAATGAGACAACCCCTTTCTTTGACGAACCATCAACGGGTGATCAGTACATTGGCGTGGCAAGGGTTGTCGAAAGTCACGGGTTCTTGAATGGTATCGACCACAAGGTTCAAAGATCGCTTGTTTCCCAGGATGATACCAAATTACTATGCAGCGTTGGACTCGACAAATTCATCGGCCCACTCCCTGCTAAAAGTCGAGTCAAGCAACAGAAAACAATGACTCCATGTCGTCCGACTCCAGAACCATGTGCAGACCTGGTCCTGCAAAACAAAGCATCTTCCACCATTCCCATTCCCATCCCACAGGGATCTCCATGCCAATTTCCATGTGCCCGTTCCCGTCTTCAACTATCGACGAACGAACACCTCGAGTTGTCTTTTAAAATGTCGCCGGCGCGAGGATCCAGCCATTTCCTTCGCACCAGAGTCCAGGTAGTTGTCAAACTATTCAGACTTCATTCATCGGTGGCAAAACAAAGCACGAAAGACAGACAGACAGACAAGCAGAAAGCTTGCCGTACTACGTCTGCAGTCGACCTCGAAGAACATGCTGAGTCTGACATAGAGTCAGAATGCGCTCTTTCCCCTCCATCATCCTCCAATTCCGAACTCACACCAACACATTTCTGGGAAGTGCAAGACTGGTCCTTCAGCATTGGGGTACCAACCTTGATAAAACTTCTCCAGTGGGCCACCGGCTTCGATGCCGATACGTGCAAGGACCTAATGATTTTGGACCCTGACAACATGCTGAAGTTGATATGCGAGTATTGTATGCACAATTTCAGAAGACCTTTGTCGCTCATGGGGCGCAGCGGACTGAATCCATTTTGGATTCTCTAGAGGGGCCCTCTTGCCTTTGCAAATCCTTTTTTCTGGTTTTTGTTTTTTTCATCCTACTTTCTAGCATTACTCCTTGATCCTTTTCCTCTTCCTCCCCCATCCCATCTCTCTAGCTGTTATATACCTGATCGGTGCTACATTTCCATCTTTTCCGCCATTATTTGACTACGATGTTTTACACAAACCTATTTCTGTACAAGTCTGTATATCGCACGATTGGGCATCTGACTTTCAGAAAACGATTTATGTCTTTATGCGTGCATGGGGTTATCTTTTACATTATACTTCAAGAATCGCGAGATTTTACACAGAATGCCGACACAATTGAATGCGTTATGATTCTTTTTTTTTCTCGGTTTCTAATTCACTTGCACATAATGACGGGACTAGAACGCCATGACCTCTGCCAGGTGTATTTCCCGGGTTCGGCCTACGCCTTGCTCAAGGCAGACTAGGCTAGTATCAGTTGCACTGCCTTGCGATCTGATGTCTGCACAGCCTGATGTCTGCACAGCCTGTTGCTGTAGTCCGTACACCGCTTCTATGTATTGCATTTGGTGTGGTACTATGTCCTGACGTGGTTGATGTGATGGGCTTGCATCGCATAGCCTTGCATGGGGCTTAGGCGCGATCCAAGTCACTCGCAGAACTAATAATTTCTTACATATTGTTTCTAGAACCATGTTCGATTGGCATGGAAGCGGATATAGAGAAAATACTGGATTTTATCTCGTATTTCGTCCATATTCGCTTCCCTTGTCTACTACATACAGCGAAGTGTTCCCAAATGACACATGCAAAAGTGAACGAATGGTGAATTTCCAATGTTTAAGATTGGTTTTTATTCCCTCTGATGAATACAGATCACTGCCATGCTTGTTCTTGGGCAGATGTCCTTTATTTTACTACCTCTCTAGGTAATTCTATCTCGAGTTATGCAAATGGATCTATAAAACATACGAACTAGAAGGGGAGGTTCCATTGCATTATCCGAAAACACCACATACATAAAAACAAAGAGACCGCCAGACTAGTGACATCCATGGAGAAGATATGAACCTCCGCCAGCCTAGTATGCCTCCAACCCATTGAAGCAATATCGTAACACTATGAAAAAAAAAGATACCCCCTCCCCGCTTCCGAAAAAGACATTATTATTCACCAAAGACCACTGAATTCCGCAGCAAGACTTTTCCACACTGCACGCGCACGTAGTGTACTGAGATGCCTGAGCCAGCTATAATTTTTGAAAAGCACGCAAACACGGGTGGTCTCTTGGATCTCATTCAGTCAAACTTAGTCCTGGCGGCTTCGTTTCGCGCCGTGAGGATTCCAGGAACCTTGATCGGAGCCAGCCCCAGCTTGGTTGGGTCCACCCTGGTTGTTAGGATTGTTGTAAAAGCCAGTTTGGTTGAATCCCGGAGCACCGCCGCTCTGGAAGTTTTGTGCTAAATATGGTCAGTATCGTGAATCGAAAATAAGGGAATCATGCCGTGTATCTGGGACACTTACATTGCGCTCCCATGCCAGGTCCCATGCCACCGCCCATCATCGGATTCATACCGGGCATTTGATTCATACCGGGCATCTGATTCATGCCAGCCATCGGGTTCATGCCCATGTTGCCCATCGGGGTGCCCATAGGAGTCATGCCCATCATGTTCGGGCCACCAGTCATCGCATTGCCACCACGGCCGCGTCCGCCGCCGCCACGACCGAAACCACCGCCCATGTTACCGCGGTTGTTGTTGAAGCCATAATTTTGCATTTGCATAGCACCGCCCATAGGACCACCTTGGAAGCCACCCATCATAGGGTTGGGTGCTCCACCCTGGAAACCGCCTCCGAAACCACCCTGGAATCCACCTTGGAATCCACCTGCGGAGTTGAAGTTGCCGCGGTTGTTGAAGTTGCCTCCAGTACCACGGGTGTTATAACCACCTCGGCCACCGCCGCGGAATCCACCGCCAGCGTTGTTGTTGTAGTTGGAACCACCACCAGTGTGGTGGGTAGTGCCAGAGCGACCGCCAGGTCCACGTGCGGGGTTTTCTTTGGGAAGAGTTTTGAAGGGATTTTGTTGAGGGCTAGTGTAGTGCACGGTGTGAGCCTGTCCACTGATACCGCCATGTCCAATGCTACGACGAGCTGCTGTAGCCGCCTGTGCAGTAGTGAACTCGACAAAGGCTTGACTGTTGAATCCCGAGATATTAGTATAGACGGCCGAGATCGTTGTTATTCGTAACCGAGGAAAGGATGCTCTTACCCCTTGCTTTTACCATTCACTTTGTGCTCGCTGAAGGTCACATCCTTCAACTGCTGTTCGACTCCGGCATGGTTGATCCAGCCTCGGACGTCGTCTTCGGTTGTCCACCAGGTAAGATCCGAGATTAGCAAAGCAGTCGTAGCATTGACATCGCGATCGGCGGATTGATCTTCGTATTCTTTTCTCTTGGTTCCCTGAGGTGCTGCAGGTAGGCCGTTGGGGGTTGTCTGTTGCTGAGTGGCCGACTGAGCAGCTATATTTCCAGCGGGCTGGTTCTGAGGTGGACCGGTATCCTCGTGCTTGATGGGGGCTCCTTGGGCGTTTGCATTGGTTTGAGCGTTGTTGGATGGGCCAGCATTCGACTGGGGCAAATTCTCGGGCGCATCTAGAACGAGCTCCGAATCCTCCTGCGCACCGGGCTCATTGGCGTTGTATGTGCCATCGCCGTAGATGTCGATATCGAAGTTGTCGTCGTCAGTCGCCATTGCGAACTAGATTAGTATCCTCTTCAGGGGATTGGATGTCAAAGAAAGTATTGAATTTGCCTGAATATCTGATGTCCGATAATACAGGCCCTTTTTTGCTTTCTTGGTCCTCTCCGCTCCCGAGAAGATCAAGTCAAGTGCATGTCTGCAGATACAGGCCACCAATTAGCATTGAGAAAACATTATGGAAAATTGACAACTGGTGTAGGGGTAGCGAGAGTCCCGTATCAGCTCCCAAAAGCCCGTTGGACCTAGTCCGCACAGGTAAAGCGGACGGAAAATTGGCCAAAAACCCCGAAGGGTAACATAGGAAGGACAGACATGAGAAGCAATGAGGCCAGACAATACGTACAATCCGAAGCGGTTGAATCGCTTCTGGTAGAAACAAGACTTGCGCGAGTTGCAGACGCGACGTACAGAGTGGGAATCAAGGTTGCTCCGCGAAGGTTCGGATACAGATTGGAGTAGGAAAGAGAAGTGACAGCTGCCACAGACAGGCAGAGAGATAGTCACAGACGCGGGATATGATGATTAGAACAGAAACAAAAGCAATGAAAAGCAAGGGAAGCGAAGGGGATAAGATGTTGATAGGGAAGGGAAGTCGGGCTTGGTTCCGGGAGCCTTGTTCAACGCTCTTGTGCTCAATTGACCGTCCACAAACTTTGGGGAAGATCGCAAGGTGTTGAAGAGGGTGATATAGAGCTTGCTAGAAGGATAATTGATGGTGACGGCGACGCGAGGGCGAAACCGAAGCCTATGGAGAAGGCATCGATGGGGGCCCGGAGCTTGGATCTGGAACAATTAAATTCCGGACCTTCTCCAAGTTGATTGGTCAGCGCGCGATTGGTCCGTTTGGGGGGAAACCACCTGTTCTTTGGACTCCGGACTCCTTATTCACGTCTTCCTCTTTTCAATTCTCCATTCTCCAATTCTCTTCACAATTCTCATTCTTCGCAACCATGTCTGAGACCTTCCAGGAGCTTGCTGATATTCCCAAGGACTTCGTCCGGGAGGGTTCTCAATTCGTTCGCCGCTGCACAAAGCGTATGTTTATCAGTCATCGCGCAAATGCACAACATGCTGACTTCATTCATAGCCGATAAGCGTGAATTCATCAAAATCAGCCAGGCCGTTGGAATGGGTTTCCTCGTTATGGTATGTGCTGCTACTGTGGTTCCTGCAGCGCAGTTGGTGGCGGAATAACTGACATCGCCATTAGGGTGCCATTGGCTACTTTGTTAAGCTGAGTATGTGCTTCAATCAAAGTCCACCCGTACTTCCCGGGGGTTTTCGGTGCTAACATACTCGTTGCAGTCCATATCCCTGTCAACCAAGTGCTGGTTGGTGGCGCATAAATGGAGACACATCTCAGCGATGTCCCAAATTCCCAGGGCAAGTGGGGAGAGATGGGGAGAGAAGATAGCATCTTGGAAAAGTTGGCGCACAAAATGAGAGCGGGGAAATGGCCCAATGTGAGGCAAACATCCAACCCAGGCAACTACGGAATCACCCTGCGCAGTCGGTGACGATACGCCTCTGCCCGCCTCGAAACAACAGCATGACCTCCCCGCCGGATCTTCGAATAACACTAAACTCGCGAGCCCTTTCCGTTTTACGTTCTGAATTCTGTGGCGCCTGTCCGTCACTCGGCGCTTTTTTTTTTGGCGATGCAATAGGAGACAGAGCATTTTTGCTATCCATAAGATACCACCATTTTTCGCATCCTGTATCAACAAGAGGTCTTTGTTTAATTTAATTTACACCGTTTGGGCCTTAATATTCTACCGAAAATCTCTCAAAGCTGGGCTTCCAAGTGGCCTGGGATCGCGTATGTTGTTGGAGAGCAAAGCCTAAAACAAGGAATATTCGTATCATTCGTCAAACTTATGCCTGACCCTAAGTATTATCAAATCTACAATATGTATCAGCCCCCTCGAATTTGCACAATCAAAAGCCAACAACGGATGCTTTTGTTGAACAGAAAAGACGTATTTGCCACCACGATTGCCCATATCTACCAGAGAATGTCCTCTGCCTCATCAACAACCAAACGACGCACAGGCCTACTGCGTATTGGTAGTTGAGGGCGCCTATGGAGTGCATTTTCACGGTATTCGTTGAACTCCGCGATATCTCGAAGCTTGTCATCATAACTCTTGCCCGCCGGAGGGTCACCCTCGTCTTTGGCGGCACCGGCATTCCATGAATGTACCGTGCAAGTGCCGGTTGATAATCCCCAGCCATTCCAAGAAGTTGCTAAACATAGTATCAGCTAGTTGTACCCGAAAAAAAAAACAAAGGGCAAGAACATCCATGGGAGGTGCTTACCTGCTAGAACCGGCGTGCTTGGGTGCCAACTCGCATCCCGAACGCAAGTCTTCCACAACATCTCCCCACTCATTTCATATGCCGTAGCATAAGCATCTGGATCGCGAGGTCGTGAGTTAAGAGTTGCTTCACCGACGTCGATTGTCCCAGCCAATGTGGCATCCAAGTTGTACACATAAACCTTGCCATCTTCACTACCACTGTACACATAACGCGAATCTGTGCTAGCAGGTGGCGAGAAATGGCAGCGGATTAGAGTCTTGAGGACGCGATGGCCCTGATATGTAACAACAGAGCAATCCTCCTGGGCATTTCTGCGGTACTGGGCTGGATACTGCTCGAAGCGGTAGTCAAAGCCGGTTGTGTAGTTGGCGATATCAATCTTTTCGATATCGGCGGTTGTCATCATTTTTCGGAGATCCCAAAGCTTCATCGTTTGGTCTTTGCTATTGGACAAGACGTATCGGCCGTCGCCTTTGCTGTCAACGTACGTCAGTCCCTCCGTGTGTCCCATAAATGCACCAGCTTCGCGCCCATCGCCCATCGACCGTCGATCCCAAACGCGTAGTGTCGTGTCGTCTGAACCAGAGTATAGGATATGTGGTGACGAGGTATCGCCATAGCACACAGCATTGACATGATGTTGGTGCCTGTCTCGCAGATTGAGAACTGGCTGATTTGTTTCCAGATCATAAACGATGACTGAATCTTCTGATGTTCCTGCAACAATCTCACGTCCATCTCCTGAAAATCTTAGAGACCAGATCTGTGATTGAAATCACCAGTTAGCCACTGTGGTTTCGATGAATAAGAATCAGTTTACATACCCCAAAATGCGAACTTCCCCAGCTCCGTCTTAGTCTTTGACCGGGTGGAGTAGATAAATCTAGGATAGTAGGTTCCGAATTGTCTTCTGGGTCTGTGGAAGTCATGTAGGCTTGGCTTCGTATTGAACTATAGACAAGGAAGCGGTTGTCTGGGCTCAATGTCGCATCTGTGATGGTCCATTGACCAAATGGATAATCGACAGTCTTGTAATATTTCCAGTCATAAGGATTAGATGTATCATACATCCGAACCTTGAAGTCCTGTGCGCAGCAGAAGAAGAAGTTCCCATCGTCTGAGAATTGGCCTGAATAACTTCGTGTCTCGAAATGAATAATTCTGTCCGCAACTGAACTTGGAATCAACCCCTAGGTTGGATCAATGCATGCGTTAGTCTTGGTCGTGATTTTAACCTTATTGAAAGACTATGTGCTTGCGTACCTGGAAGATTGCTTGGCTGGCTCTTTTGTGTACTCCATAAGGGTCAATACCAAGCTCTCGCCACATCAGGCCTGTCGCAAAGTGCCTTTTTCGCTGTTTAAGTCGGTCAACGTAATTTTGATTAGTGCCAAAATGCCCCTCGCGCATCAACTTCTGGCCCTCTGGATTAGGAACCGGCGGAAGTTTAGCGGCGCCCCGGGGTCTCCTGGCTCGAAGGCGATTTCGAAACATAGGCATAAATTCTTCGTCGCTGAGGTCGTCTTCTTCGGCTCCTAGCTGTTCGTGTTCTTCTTCAAAGGTAGTCGGCCAGCCAGCGGAGTGAAGAATATCTTGTAAACCACTGGACGCAAGCAATTCAAACCATCGAGTAGCTGGGACTGCAGTTAGTGAGCAATTGTTGTGAGGTCTCTCATGGGTTTCAGTATAACATACTTTGTCTCTGACCCCCATTCAAACCATTCAGATCCTCGCTGTCATCCGTTGTCAGCTCGATCTGGATGCTTCCAATATTGATGCGGGGATTTTCTATAGACAGAGAAAAATAAAAAGAGGTTATTAGTCCATCTGCACACTATTCTGTTGGATTGTCAATGCTCTAGAATTCAATCCTACCGTATGTCATCTCCGCCCCCATATGCTCATCTGCATTGGATATGTCATCCTCCCATGCACCATCATCCTCGGATGGTTCTCGCGCGGGGTGATAATCGGTTTCAGGCTCATCTTCTTCTAGCCATTCACGAGCAGGGTGCCAAAATATCTCTGACTCCTCGGTGGATTCTCTTCCATTGTCCGACATCGTTGGACTCATGGTGTATTGAGGTAGATTGAAGAGATACGCTTATCGATAATTGATAAGTCCCGAGGTCACCGCTGATTTTGGGTTATTATGTCACCGCTTTCCGGGGATTCCAACCTTCCAGACCTGGGAACTTAACTCCGCCCCTTAACCCCGACAGCTGTTGCGGTATCACCCTCAGGGAAGCTGCTAAGGTCTTCAACTAACTGGATATAACAGACTTCTCGGATTATTGGACTCTGGGCCAATCTTTGCTCCCAAATGTCCCAAGTGACTTCGCCGAGGAGGCCTTCGGGTTTCTGATAGACCGTTCCTGTTGACAGGTCTGCGACAAGCCTCTCTGAACGCAAAGCTAATGCATGGACACTAGTTCGAAAATTGTCCACGACCGAACGGCTTTACCAGAGACTACATTGTTACTAGCTCATCTCACCCGTCTAGTGTCACCCACTCCAGCCCCCCGCAAATGCAGCATTGGGTCATGCCTGTCATTTTCACAACACTCAATTCTAAATCCACAGCCACGCTAGGATCAGTATATGCAGGGAATTAGAACTCTGCGGGGGGTGCATCTTTGGCTTTGCATATGCATGTTATGCAGAACTTTTGCCTCTCGTGTTCAGTGACGATAGACCTTATGGCGGAGAAGAGCAACGCCATGTCAGCTCTTTTCAGTTAATTGATGAGGGTCATTTGATATAAAATGCGAGGGAAATACAGTGTATTAGTCTCTTTGCATTTTGCAATAAAGAGAGAAAGACTGGAATGTTATGAATTTGCACTATTCTCTTCATAGCGGCTCATACTATCATAGTTCTCTTTATTTCTACCTATAAACATCATTTTCAGATGACTTATGCCCTGGTTACATTTTCAACAGTAGGCTCCAGTCTTATGCTTGAAGTTGAAAGGAAATTTCTCTGTTTTGAGACAATTGCAGACAATGTTTCAGGAGACCGATGAAGTACGTCAAAACGGCCGTCAGGAAGATAAGCCATGAGGGCGGATCAATTATTTCCCCGGCCCCCACAGATACAGATGCTTCTCCAACTTCCGGGCTCGGGCTTCGTAGATACTCCTTTGTGGTGTTTAGTTTTTGGGATTAGAGTGAAACAAGATTGTCTAAATAAACACACACTCTACAGTCGCCAGTTGGAGATCCACCAAATATAACTCCAACCAACTTTTCCCCTCAATTTCCCCTCCGCATCACCCAACCCCACCACAATGCAGTCCGTCCCAGAATCGCGACAGCAATCTTTCGAGGAGATCTACGGACCCCCTGAGAATTTTCTGGAGATCGAAGTGAGTCATCCGGTTCAGAAAGCTGACTATCTGTCCTCAAATCGAGCACCCAGCTCGGCATCGAGTCTCGTGCCCATATCTCTCCCCTAATCAACCCCCATACATCCCCACTCCAAACCCGCGCCACCATCCCCATGAAGAACCAAAAGGAGATACCCCAGACTAACAACGACGGCTGCAGGTTCGCAACCCCCAGACTCATGGGACCTCTCGCAACATGTACACGTCGTACGAGATTGTGTGCCGAACCAACATCCCCGCCTTCAAATTGAAACACTCCGTCGTGCGCCGCCGATACTCTGATTTTGAGTATTTCCGCGATATCCTGGAGCGCGAAAGCACCCGCGTCACGATACCCCCACTCCCTGGCAAGGTCTTCACCAACCGGTTCAGCGACGATGTCATCGAGCACCGTCGCGAGGGTCTGCAACGGTTCCTGCAGATCGTCGCCGGGCACCCTCTCCTGCAGACGGGGAGTAAGGTTCTAGCTAGCTACATACAAGGTAGGCCGATTCTCTATTTCCATATCGATTGGCTGTTGTCGACCGCATGCTGATCTCGTCTAGATCCCAACTGGGACCGCAATGCGTGGTAGATGGCTATCGCAACTATTAATTCATTAACGAGAAGCGTGTCTCATTTTCCGGATTGGCTGGGCATTGTATCTTGGCCATACTGAACCTTTCTTCCCTGTCATGTCCAGTTTCCTCTCCCCCATGTTCTCCTGCTCCCTTCACTCTCATATCCTTTCCACGGAACTATCTCGCGATTGAAAATGGGTTTCCCGCAGTGTATGCTATGTGATGATCATTGCCTGGTTTTGTTTAATGCTCGTTTGATATCCGAATTCACTGTTTCTTTCTTTCGAATCAATTGCAGATATTAGTTATCTATTATTGTTTTGGGAGGGTGCTTTCCCTTGATTTTTCCCTCTACAGCCTGCGAGTACTATCTTTGATTTTTGCTCTTACCGTTTAGGGTGCGTACATATTGAGAAATCCGGATTCATTGCATTTAGGTTCTCCTTCAATCTCAATCCGATCACCAATGACAGTTGTTGAAAAACGAGAAACGAAAACTTTTATTTGATAGAAAATATAACAAAAACCATCGTGTACTGCGGGATATAGATCAATGACAAAAGCGAACCAGAGGAGTCTGTAGAATTAATCCTCTGAGAGGCACCGGAAAATGGAGAAAAAGGAAAAGAAAAAGTAGCAACTCAACAAGCACATTAAAAAGTTACCAAAAGTAGTTCGAAAAGGGCTGAGAGCCTTGATAGACATGAACATCCGAAGCTTTCCGTTGATTAGTTCAATTCGTCCCAGATCATAGGAGCGAGGGTGTTATCTTCCCACGGTGTCTCAACCGCAGAAGAGGGACCCGTCCCGGCAGCATCGTCCAAGGAGAAAGAAAGCATACCCGCCGCCGCGGGAGGAAGATACATTGAGTGTTCCATGACCCCTTGAGCAGGCGGGGGCAAAAAGGCAGGGTCAGCCTGGGCGATATTAGACTGAGAAGGAGTAGCAGCGTGACGACTCCTAGACCCCGAGGTGCGAGGGGTAGTAGCTGGAGTTTGGGTTGGAGTTATCACAAAAGGCCTGTTTGGGGATTGTTCGCTGGTACTGGCAGCATGAGGACGAGGAGTTGACGTCCCTGCTACTGGTTCCTGGCCCTGGTGTTGGAATAGGGTTTTGCCGCTCACAGAACCACCGTCGCGATAGGCGTGGGGAAACTTCGTTCTGAAGCGGTCGCGGAGGTCTGTTGCTTTGCGATGGCTTAATTGTAGTCGTTGGTCTTGCTGGATCAATGTCCACTGGAAACCATGGACAGCGTAGCCTTTGAGGAGAGCTTCATCTTCGGCGGCTGTGAAAGGTCGTCGGGAGCGACGTTTGGATATTATGACGTGCGCTTCTGGGATCCCAAGAGATGCAAGGGTTGAATGGGACTGGCTTGAGAGAGCTAACGGGTTATTTCCTGACGACGGTGACTGAGACTTGGCGTTGCTAATACTCCCTGGATCTGGGTCCGGAATGGATAAGAGGGTACTCGAGATAGACTGTTTGTGTGATTTGCAAACCGGGGTTCCCGATCCAGGATCTGGCTCAGAGGCTTGGCTAGAAGGCACTAGATTCGAAAGGTGAAATTTGCCAGATGTATCATCAGAGCCTTCAGCTTTGGCTTTGAGCAGAGCGTTAGTCAGGGTGTCGCGTAGTTGTTTCGCAGCTTCATTGGGATCGGACGCCCTGTGGGATGATGAGTGATTCTGTTTGCGCGACATCCCAAAATTTGGGTTTGCGCTGCTTACCGGTATCCCCACGGGCATAGAACTCGAAATCTTGAACATAGCGAGGTTTTAGTATGATACCAAAAGTTGCGTAGAAGAGCAAGCCTTACCTGTCTTTCAAATTGGAAGCAGTACGCTGATTAAATTCAAACTCCGGTTGCGCAAGAATAGCCGTCCAGTTACCGATCCCACACTTCACCACGCCCCGAAGTAAAGTGATTGTCTCTTCTTCGGTCCACCTTCTCAGATTTTTACGAGACCGGCCACGAGTCTTAGGGGACAAGGGCATATCTTGTGCTGGAGTAGGAGGCAATGTCTTGCTGCTCTTGGAAAGGTCCGCTTCGTGGACAACCAGAGCAATCTCATCTGGATCCACTGGATTAGTACTTTCAATATTGTTATCATTGTCATTATGGTCATCATCCTCTTCCACATCCCTCAATGTGGCTAGGCCCTCTTCGAGCTTAGCATCACATCTCTCCGCGGGCTGGCCGTCTGCTATCACCCCATGAGCCGAACCCAAGACTCCAGAGTCAACTGCAGCATCGCCTCTGGAGGGCTTGATCAAAAACTGGGAGATGTTAGACCCAGCCTCGATGGGTGGGAGAAGGGCAGCATTGGGCGGGGGCTCATTAAGTCCGTTTAAGATAGCAAATGGTCCAAATGGAGGAGGTCGATGTTCCTTCTGGGCTTGAGGGATCGGCAGCTGTAGATGCTCGCTGAAGGTATCAACTTGGAGATCTCGGCGTCGGCGCTTGCGGGGCCCTTGAAGGGCATCATCATCAAATGATGACGAAAATGGGAATTTCTCCAGAGCACGAAGGTTCACAAACGCAGGGAGTATCGGCCTTGGAGGGCGTTCCACATTTGACTGTGAGTCTGCTGAGAGTTCGGTTTTCTTGATCCGCGCGGCGTTCAAAAACTCCGTTACTGTCGGCAGGCCTGCTTTTCCACTCGACGGAACATTTGCATTATTGCTGCTTGAATTGGAGATGTTATTCGATTCCCGTGTCCCGATGGCATTGGGTTCGAGTGGCGATGGGATGCTTAGGGTTCTTGAGGATACTGGTTCGCGTAGAGGGGCGATACGGAGAGATAGTTGAGGGAGTTCGCGGAGTAATGATTCATCAAGAGGCCGTAAGGCACTCCCAGATTCCATTGCTATCAGCTATCACAGATAGAATATCATCCTGGATGTCCCAGACATATTGCGTCCATGACCCTGGGGATTTGCAGAAGATGAAGCTTCGATAAGAAACGCGATAACGCTATGGGCGGTGACAGCTGCCAATAAAGCGGTTGGCCGGGGGCTCTACGTCAGTTAACATTCTTGAGATCGTCGAGATCCCCTGACAATCCCTTTAAAAGCGTTGGACTTTTTGCTCATTGACTTGATCGAATTCCTTCGCACACCTCACAGCCTGTCGATTCTTGGTCTTTGTTGCGAAAACGTGAGTTACCGCCATCTCCACGGAGCTCGCCCAGGTACATGGAGCTACTCCAAGCTCCATCCGTACAGACCGCGCAGACCGCTCTGGACGAATTGCAGTCAAAACAAAGCGCAAAAAGCGAGGTACAAACAAAGAATAACGTTGAAAGCCGCAGATTTTCACAATGCCTACTATCTTCCCAACATGGCCTCACATCCTTTTCGGTGTCCTTGAGCCCATCTCATTGTATGACCCCAAGCCCTACATTGCCCCCCTATGCAAGAGAATCTCACTGATGATATATTCTTTCTGTAGAGCCCTAGGCAGTGCCTTTCCACTATACGATATTCAAGGCTTTATTGCCGGCCAAACACCCACAGTTGCAGCCCCAGCCACGCTACACCCAAGCAGCGTTGCCCTCGCCTATCAACTCGGCAATATCTATTCACTCCTCTTCCTAGTCGGCGTAGGCGTGTGCCACTCAACAACAGAGCCAAGAGTTCTACGCAACTACCTAATCGGACTGGCCATCGCCGATATAGGCCATGTCTATGCCACATACTTGGCGATGGGTTGGGATGCGTTTGCGGATGTTGCGGCATGGAATGCTCTGACATGGGGCAACATCGGCATCACAACTTTCCTATTTGTCAATAGGATTGCCTACTTCATGGGTATTTTCGGTTATGCGAAAGCGCCTAAGGCGGTTGCAAAACAGGAGTGAGATGGGACTTGCTTTTTTCCTCGCTGGCCTGGCTTGATAATCATGGATGTATCTCCTCTTGGAGGCAAAAAAAGCAAATAGATTGGGGGCGGGGCTTGCTCCCCCTCCTTCCCTTATGTGTGAGACTGTGTAGGTATCTGCGTGGTCTAATCCAGGCCTTGCCATCGCCTGGAGCGGCTCTTCGGATGCAATGGGCCGCATCTGATTCGTATATTTTCGTTTCTTGACGCATACTGAAGTAACAACTTGCATGAGATGTGGCTGGAAGGATATGTCGATATGCTGGATTTAGTTGACCGCGTGGTATATTACGGACCAGATGGGCTGGGCTAGTTGCATTTTGCGAGCCCAATGAGCGTGGTTTGTTATGCAAGTATGAAAAGAAACGTTAAATGTCACCAGCGAGAAAGAGGATTATTAATTCATATTAGCATAACGCAACGCCAAACGCCACGGTGATGCCCGGTGCCAGTATTGGTATAAGAGTAGAAGTACAGATCATGAAACGGAGCATTTCAAGTCATCATTTGGTGTAGATCGCCTACCCCCTCATAAAACTGCCAAGGAAACCACACCACCAATGCATGTGTTGCTGACCAGGGAGACAAACAAAGATGTTGACACAGATCCTCGACCCAAGGCCTGCGCGAGCGGTCTCAGCACCTGCAGCCACATCAAGCCAAGCACACACTGAAGTTGCTTTTATTCTCTCGCCCAAGCTGACCAAGTGCCTAAGAATCTCCGCTGATCCGGCGATCGGGTGACTAGTTCTCGCGTGTATATTGCGTACTTTGCAGGTACTGGAAAACCGGCTGAAGCACAGCGTCGCCGTTTTGTTTGTGGTCTCGAATATGTGGGATTAGGAATGGAATGCCGGGGAATTTCTCGTAGTGCTGGCGATAGGCGGCATAGTTCTGAGTCGGGCTCATGAGGAAGGCAATTTCCTGTGGAATCAGAGCCTTGAGATTAATCGTATTTCCCTGGGCTGTATCTGTGTTGCCGGCACGCATCGCCGCAATGGTGTAGCTGTGAAGGCCGGCGATAATCCCCGTGAGAGAATGATAATTACGTCCTGTGAAAAGAACCTATTCATTCGGTTAGAGTACTTTGACATTCTGGGACCCCGGTGAGTTCCGAGATCAAGCTCCGCTCACCTGTGCACACTCTTGTAGATATGGAATCAGCTCTGGAAGTGCGGCACAGCACTCCCACACGGAGATACTCAGCGAACGCCAGTTCTCCAGAAGTTGTCCCACGATATCATCCCCTTCGACGAGGGCTTGCTGGGTCATTTCGGCGAAATGGAGCTCGTCTTGGCCACTCATACTGCGGGCTAAATCCGTTGCCGATGTCGAGGTGAGACAGTCCTCCAGGAAGGGGATCGATGTATCAAATGGAGTTTTCCAATCCATGGTAGAAGCGTGAATGTACTGTCTGCGAAATCGGATTGCCAACACGCTTAGCACCTTCAACATGGCAGTAAGTCTCCCTTGCTGATCTTTGAACAGGGCTTGAATGGGACCTGCGATGAATCCAAACCCAGGAGTATTGGGTTGAGGCATGTCAGAGTTCCCACCAGGTCGCACAGCTCGAAGACACTGAACCAGTGCTCGGTGTGCAAAGGGGCTCCGCGACCGAAGATGCTGGATCAATCAGTGGGGGCTCTATGTAGTGACCAGTGATTTATACATAAAATATGTTGGAAACAAGCGTACCTTTTCCACTTCTATATAGAGTGGGATATCCTCCGGAAAGGCGGCCAGATGATCGGAAAGAATGATATAAAGAGCTGTATGTTGTTGCAGGAACCACTCGACAAAGAGAGCATTGTATCCAAGAGCAGCGCGTACGAGCTCCTCGAAGGCAATTTGTCTAAAGTGAAAATGGCTCTCGGCCTCGATGGCGGTAGCGATTGCTCGTGCATCTAAAGTATGGCTTGATTGTGGCGGGAGCCAACTCCAGGAAATCGCCTTGAAAGGGGGGATACTCGACCGGCGTATGATTTCCTCCACTCTCTGCATATGAGAGAGGGCCCCAAGCATCTGGTGCTCACGGGGCTCAGAGAGAGCGACCAGAAACGTGTCAATAGTGTCGACATTTCGAGCGCGGAGTGAGGTCCTTGGAAAGTTTTCGTCACGAAAGAGGCCGAACTGAATTACCCGGCTGATCTTTTGGATCTCGAAGGCCCAAAATACGGTTGTTGCCTCATCTTCCCACCAGCGGTACGACGTGAAAAAGGCAGGAATCTCCATGTTGGAATGGAAGATTTGCTGGTAAGAATGCCCCGGGTGTGAGGCCGTGTTGCTAGATTGAGGAGGCATTTTCGCTCTCTTGGAATCTTGCCTACCTCCAGGGGAGAGAAGCGTATCGGGAGATGGTTCAAAGGCGGATTGATTTGGGGTGGTCGATTGCATTTATGCGGTCATTACACACACACACACACACACACACACCATGGGGAAGATCAAGGCCAACACATTGGGCTAAGTATACGCTCACGTTCATGTAACACGGCGCTTGAACAGAGTAATTATAGGACAGGGATGAAGAGCGTATGGTAAAGGCGAGAGAAGGACTGCTCAGAATCCAAATAGGGGAGCTAACAAGTATGTACGAGACAGAGACGGGAAAATAACCACACAACGCACAGATAATCAACAAGTGGGTTGCTCGGCAAGAGGAGGATGATTGGTTTTAAACATAGAACGAGGGCCGATGATTTCCTTTATCCCTGTTACCTGTTCCGCCACGTTCGACACATCACGAGGGCCGCAATGGGCAAGGAAATCGACCAGGCACATTACCAACGGGGCGCCTATCCCCGTTGCCAGGCTGCTGGAACTGCCGACGGGAGGAACCTTCGGGAAAAAGGGGTTAGTGACATTGCTTGGGACTCCATTCCGGCCCCAGATCGGGGAGAAGCTGGTGAACTCCACCAGGATTGAGATCTGCAAGTTGGGCTTCTCTGCTGGTTACCGAGATTTGTGTTATGCCGGACACCCGTTGCCCGTTGGGCTGCAGAATGGAAAGACTAGTCTAGTTGTCAATATGACATGTTGTGGAGTTTCTTTTTAGTTGCTGAATGAATCGGTTGAGGAAGCGGTCAGCTTGCAGGTTCTGGAAGACTCACAAACCGGGAATCATCAGTCGGTCAGGGGATAGTCTATATTAATGAGGTCTAGGTATTGGAGGTTGTACCGCGAGTACTCCGTACGGAGTATACGAGAAAACCATTAAATCCGAAATAACAAACACTCCACTCCACTCCAACTGCGCGGATTGGCCTAGACAACGTCGATGATTTCATAGTTGCACACCAAAGGGCGCTAACATAGTGGCCGTAAAGGCCTCTAAACGGGTGACGATCTGAAATCAATTCAGAATCCCTTCGGAGTTCCCCAGCCTTGGAACACCGTGGAACATTTTAGAACGTCTGGAATACTTGTTTTTTTCTTTCTTGTTCCTCCTTTGTCTCTTGGTTTCTTTGATCGTTGATCGTTGATCGACGGATTCCATTCAACTCCGCGATTGGTGTGCTGTTTCGCCATATTGATCGGAGAGAGTCATATTTGCGGTCTGATGAATCTATCAACCCCTGGGACACACCGCTGGACTTTCTCATAGTCTAAACTTTGGAGGCAAGGTGAAGTAGATCAGGCGTAATGAATTTTCAACTGACAGGGAACAAGAGGATCAAGATCCGTTCTCCGTCGATTGTGACATGGTTATATCATTATTACATGCCAGAAGGAACATCATTAATATAATTCCAGATTCTGAATAAAACAAGAATTCAATTCCAAACAATTATTACATGTATACTCCGTATGGACTCTGTACTGCCGGACTTGGTCTTTTCCCATACTTACACCGCTATGTACGGAGCCCTAGGGAACCCTTCCAGCCTTGGAAGGTTGATGTCAAGACACCCGAAGCTCCCAATGGATCGGGCTATTTCAGGAAATTGGCCATATATCTCTAAACGGAATCATTCCCGTCAAATACCGGTGGCGTGGGTTGAAATCTCCACCAAATGGCAAAAGGGGTGTTTTCAAAGCAAGACACCTGTGAGCATTGCAACAGTGAACCTGGGAGGTTGGATACTTTCTCCAGCCCAATCATCTCCAACCGATGATTCAAATCAGTCAAGCCACCTGAAACTCCAGCATTCCAAGGTTCCTGTACACAATCCCAGGTCCCTGGGACTGGGACGGCTCTCGGTAGATCCGCGTATTCGGTAGAGAGGCCATTTCGAAGGCGATATCTTGCATCCTTATGTATCAAGATGTGCTTTCGATCTGGAAGATACAGTCTCAATTAGGCATTGCTTCAGATTCACTAGTGCCAACATTCCAAATGCGGGAAGAAATACAGAGTATATGATCTGCAGTTGAAAGACGCCATCTCCGTCCCTGGTGAGGTTTCGACCTACTCCGTGCACCGAGCTCCATTCCCGTCGCTTTAAATCGCCAGCGCTTTATACGGGAAGATAGACTAAAGGATTCATCGTGCGTTTGCAATCAAAAGCGCGTCAATGTACGGAGTACGGAGTACAGAGTACCGAATCCCAGGGATCATGACTCATGGGCAATGCACAATGCATTTATTCTGCAACCCCCAGATAGCCTGCCTCGGTGTGCGTCTTGTGTAGCTCGAGTTCCCAAATTCCCATGGCACATACCAGGATGCTGTCAAGCCCAGAGAAAGCTGCACGAGCTGCACCGCATCGAAGCAAAAGTTCTTCCCTATCACAGAAGTCCCATACATCCCTTGTCCCTAAGTTAGGTACTTTTCACCCTCTCTTGGTTCTTCCCCAAACCCCTACCACCCCCTGCAAGAACAGTCCATTCGCTTAGCTCCGCATTGCATAAAATGACAGGTCAGCAATCCCATCGTACCATACTCCGTACTCCGTGCTGTCGTGCAGATTCCCAAGAGTATGGTGCTTAGATGCGGAGAACTTCTCCCGGTGGATATCTAAACGTGGGACGGCTGAGTACTCGATTTGAGTTTGGATGTATCAGATTTATCCTGTCAGTCAGCCCCCTCCCCTCGTCCCCTTTCACCATCGTCCCATGATAGGCCATCGGAGAAATTGAACAAAGACATTTAACTTCAACCGCTTGAACCTGCAAGAGGCTTCATATCTTGCAAGCTCTCTTGTCCCCGTGATCCGTCAGAAAGGGGATGTGAGTCTGGCTGGAAAGTCTCCACCCCTTTCCCGGGAAGTTTTTACTCTATCTAGAGTTATGGGCATCGCCATCCCCATCATGAACATGTGGACAATGCTCATACGCTGATCGAATGCAATTAGATCCACCGCTCAACACTTAGGGCCCTGTTTTGAGGTAGACAGTACTCCGTACGGAGTAACCTCAACAGGATGACATGTGAATCACTCGTCCCTCCGCAATGCGATGTCGGAGATGAACAAGTTATTCTTAGACTCTTAGCCATTTTTTGGTTTGCATTTGCTCGCGTATACGGAGTACACCCAGTAAGCACCGAGTACTCCGTACGGAGTATGATTATCGCTGGTACTCCGTATATGTACCCCGTTCTCCACCCCTTACTTGTTTTCTCCATGCCCCATACTCCGTACATTGCCCCTGACCCCGTCAAGCAGCCTCACAATCCACATACAGTAAATCTCTGCTCCGTATGGAGTACAACGTTCGGAGTCCTCCGTGGGTAGACAAGAGACGGAACTCCCCGTCACCGAAATCCGGGATCCATCATACCCACAACGGGCACGGATACTCCGTACTACCTGCTAGTATATCGCAATGAACTAGTCTCATGCACGCCTATGCCGCATATACGGAGGACCTACCGGTGCCTTTGCGTTTTATCTCCACGGAATCTGGATATCTAATATCCTCCCATCTTTCCGGATTGAAACCAAGCTCAGCAAGTCCATCAACAGGGCCGAGGACTTTGCCACCGTGGTCCTCGAACGAAAGCGGATCGCCTCTGCAGATTGACTACTCGGTTGCAGTGAATGATAATGATGGGCCAAGCAAATCAAGAAAGCGCAGCAGCCGAGCGTATATTATTGTGAATCAAGATGTTCAGATTAGCGGGCCTGGACGCCTTGTAATCTCCGCCTTCCACGTACACCGACACGGACTTGTTGCCAGCGTGGGAAACGGCCCGCTTGGATGGAGAACGGAGTGAGGAGTACTGTTGCATTGGCTGAGTCGTAACGTCTGGGATATGTTGCTTGGATTGATTGCTTGGAGCTAGTGGGATTTGTCGGAGATGAGAGGGGAGATTCGCAGATGAGGGCTGTGGAGTATGGGATGCAGGAGCAATATATTTTCAATAGGCTGTTGTTAGTCGTGGGCCTTGATTCTCAGCTGCCAAGATAGAGCGCCTCATCTTCATGTCGGAGATGCATTTGTTGAGTCCCGGTTTAGTACGCAGTAGCCCCTGGTCTAGGGGCAGGCTAGAGTGATGCTAACGTAGTAGCCGCATCCGGGGTTGCGGGTCAGGCGCATGGGGGCCAGGGAACGACCTCGGGAGCTACGATATCCGCGGGATCTTCATACAAGGGTACGGGATATGGATGTCTTGGATTTGCAGAACAATCACGGCCAAGAATAAGTCGAATTGAACCGGACATGACAGCTAACCGTCCAGGGAGAGGAAGAGTTGAGGATCCAGCGGGATAAAGTAAATACGGTCATTAAATATTTGAAAAAAAGAGGTAACGTCAAATGGTATCATATCACTCGGAAACGAAGCGGTTAACCCGTCCCTGTTTTGTTTGCTATGGTTCGAACCTACGAGAACAATGCATTATCCAAGCCCGGTAAGCAAGACATAACGTCGTTTCCCAGCTACAGTTTTTTAGTGTTTGGGTTTGTCAGCCAGTTACTCCACGAATATCATAAGATATTGTGAATTTAGTTGGCGAGCTCGTGAGCACGGCGGCGGTCACGCTCCTCAGCAATGGAGAGCTAGCAGACAATGTTAGTGTAATTCGTAGAGATCGATTTCCGAGTGTATAACATACCTTGACACCCTTACCCTTGGGGAGGGAAACCCAGGGCTTGTCCTGTCCAATGACGAAGACGTTGGACTCACGGGTAGCGAACTGGTTGTCAAGAGCATCGCGAACGTGGACGATGTTGAAACCACCGTCGTGACGCTCACGGTGAGTGATGACACCAACGCGACCCATGTTGCGACCACCAGTGGCCATAATGACAACACCGGAGTCGAACTTGACGAAGTCAACGATCTTGCCAGTGGCAATCTCGACCTTGACGGTGTCGTTGACCTTGATGGCGGGGTCGGGGTAACGGATGCTGTAGACGCGAGCGCAAGTTAGCAAAACCTTGTCCTTATAAATGGGATCTTACTGTTTCCAGAAAGATGGAACAGATGTTCCAAGTTCTCTTGTCCTCCGCCGATCAACCAAAGCTTGGTCCAACGACTGAATGACACGGAACTTGTGGAGTGTGGAACTCACGTTCGCGCATCGTGCGTAACCAAGAATGGGATCCCGCCCTTGCCGAGCTGAACACGCTTGACCTTGCAGAGCTTGAACTCAGCCTCCTCAGCCTGGATGCGGTGGACGGTGAAACGGCCCTTGGTATCGTAGATGAGGCGGAAGTGCTCGCCGGTCTTCTCGAGGGAGATGACATCCATGAATCCAGCGGGGAAGGTGCTGTCGGTGCGGACCTTGCCGTCAACCTTGACCAGACGCTGCATCATGATGGCCTTGACCTCGCGACCGTTCAGGGCGTACTTGAGACTATCAACGAAGGAAATGTCAGTTGCGTGTTCGTCGTGTTTTGTGGAGCCATAGTGTCGCGTGCGTACCGGTTACGGATGAAGACAATCAGGGGAAGGCAGTCCCGGAGCTTGTGGGGACCGGGGGAGGCCTTGGGCGCGTAGGTTCCGGACATTTTGTCCAAGAGCCAGTGCGAGGGCGCACTGAGGCGCTTCTGGTGCTTTCCGCTGTGAAGAGATTCTTGTTAGTGATGATGCTCGAAGTCGAAAAAATTTGATCACTTTCGCAGCGACTGGCCGGATTCGCATTCCACCAGGGAAACGAAGCCAGTGGCCTGGATAGTGATATAGAGGGCGATCTCATGACACTTACGGGCCGCGCATTTTGTCTGATTTGTCGACTGAAGGTTGGGTGGTCGGAGTGTCGAAGGAGAAGGCTCTGGCCGAGAAGTGATGATCCAAATCGGAGCGGAATTCGCTTGTGCGGTGGTTGTGAGCCCTATTCCCCACCCAGACCAATCAGACTCCACTAGTGGATTTTCCAACGTTGCTTATGTCATCCCTAATTGGGGCCTGATGGACCCACCCGTGGACTTCCCCTTTGGGAACGGAGACCAGTGATATTGAAATGACTTGTACGGAGTACAATGTATGAAATTTGTATCTATTTGACATCTGTTGATGGTATCAATTTTAGTAAGCTTTCTAAATGTATCCCTTGATCACGGCAACCTCAGCATTGAGGATAGACGATCCCGCAGCTCCAATGACGGTGTTGTGAGAGAGGGCAGCGAATCGGATATCGAAGTGACCGCCAGCGGCACCCTCACGGACTCGGCCAACGCTCACTGTATAGCCACCGCAGATGTTACGATCCAGGCGGGGCTGGGGGCGGTCAGGCTCATCGAACACCTTGATGGCGGGCTCTGGTGCGGAAGGAGCACCCAGCTTCTGTGCCTCGGACTTGTATTCCCGCAGCGCCTCCTTGACCTGCTCGGCGGTAGGAGTCTGACGGTTCTTGAAACGCAGGGAAACGAATGCCATGTGGCCGTCAGTGACACCAACACGGGTGCAAGTGGCACCAACGCGGAGACCACTCTGCTCATCGAAGCCAGTAGCGTTAGCATTCAATGAACCCAGGATCTTTTGGGCCTCGTTCTCGAGCTTATCCTCCTCGCCGCTAATGTATGGGATGACATTGTCCAAAATATCCATGGTAGGCACACCGGGGTAACCAGCTCCGGAGACGGCCTGTTCGGTGAACACCTCGACTTCCTCGACAGGGCCGAACTTGGCCTGGAGAGCAGCGAAGGGAATGACGATGCCAATGACGGCACAGTTGGAGTTGCAGACCAGGAAGCCCTTCTTGAGGCCATACTGCTCACGCTGATGAGGAATCAGATCCATGTGTTGGGGGTTCACGGTGGGAACCACCAAAGGCACCAATGGGTCTTTGCGGAAGTTCTTTGCGTTTGAGAAGACAGGGATCTCTGCCTTGATGAATGCCATTTCTGCACATCCCGTCAGCATATAATGCATGTCAGTGAGAGATGTTGTTACATACCAGTCTCGCCAGCAATATCGCTGTTCAGTCCGGAGAAGACAAGATCACAGTCCGAAAACAGTTCAGCCTTGCACTCACGCACAACTAGGTTGCTGAGCTTCTCGGACATGGGAGAGGCCTGCTTCCATTTCACAGCATTCTTGTACTTCTTGTTGGCTGAGCGCTCGGAAGCACCAACAGCGTGAAGCTCAAGGAAGGGGTGGTCTGCCAGCAACAGAATGAAACGCTGGCCCACAGAGCCAGTGGCACCGAGAACACCTGTACCATGTTAGACTTATATCAATTATTAGATGGCTTATGAATCTTGAGAACATACCGCACTTCTTCTTAGGGTATACGGGAGCCATGTTGCTTTTGGATCTGGAAACAATCTTGCGTAAGTTAGCCAACCAGATGTTCCAAGAAGTAAATAATCACAATCAACCAAAAGATATACAGAATCACAACAGGTACAAGTCGAATTGGGCAACATATCACCGGAGGCCTATATGAGTCAAGCGTCTCTTGAGCCCCGCATGCGGTTTGTTGGAGGCTTCACTAGCTCCAATACCTCGTAAACCTCATAGATAAGAGCACCAAGACTCCTTCAACGATAGAACAACATTATGAAACATCGATTGTACTTACCAATTCGCTGGTGATAGGGTTGAAAGCTTGTGGCAATTCACTGCGGCAGCGATATCGCTCTCGGCCAATTCCAGCGTTGCCCCGCGGTGATGAGTCAGCATCATGATCGGACAAAACGACATCTCCCCGATTGGTCAATAGATGCGGGTCCCAAATCGAAGTTTAAATCACAAGGTTTGGCTAGTTTGCATGTCATATCTTCTGTTCGATGGATGGCGAGGTCAATATACATGCGTACTCTTCTTGGTCATATTTCCTGCCTAGAATCTGTCAGCAGAAGACAAAAATTGTGTATAGCTCTGATAAATTTCCCGGCAGCTTACCACAAGTTGATACTGCTCTGGGCTTCAAGCTAGGTTCACGGTTGACCAAACCCGCGAAAGCCTCGACTTGGAGCCCAGATACATGGTTTGCCAATTTTTGCTGATCGATATAGCTTGCCTAGATGGCTTGGATGTTGGGTAGAGTCAGAGGAAGGGTAAAAGTACCACTGAAGTTTCCAGCGTGGCAAGCGACTATCAAGACATATGATTGTTTGAAGATGGATAGTAATTGAAGTCATGAGCCTCGTTACGAGCACATCGAGCGAGCAAAGATCTGTTTGCTCGGCATGTGATAAAGATCAATTCATCCCAATAGAAGCATATCAAGCTCGGACAAATGTTCGTCAGTGGAGTGCTAGAGTGCTACTCTGAGAGATATTTTCAATCCTTCGGATCGAAGCACGCACCACCCATATAATATCAAGATCTAACGGTTTGCTGTTATTCATTGAAAAGCCCAAATGTCCATTATTAAGTCATACACAACGTTACGTAAAATTAATGTCCCGGCCCAGGTGTGTCCTCGTCGTAGTCGAAGATCTTGCCAGGATTCAGTAGCCAGTTCGGATCCAACGAACGCTTGATACTGCGCATGACGTTGATGGTTTCCGGTCCAACTTCCTTCTTGAGCGATCCCTTCTTGCCCAGTCCAATGCCGTGCTCGCCCTGTAATACTATATTAGTAGATATCCTAGCGTTTCTTTCACGGTCGACTTACTGTGCATGAGCCCTCCATTTCCAGTCCACGGTCCACCATGTCGTAGACCACCTTTTCGACGCGCTCCCGCTCAGCAGGATCATTTCGGTCATACATGATACTTGCGTGGAAGTTTCCGTCGCCGATATGGCCAAGGATACTGGCGAAAAGACCCAAGTCGACCAATTCCTTCTTGGAGGTTTCTGTTGCATTGCGTCAGTATGTGCGGGAAAACAATAGCCAAAAGGAACATACCGATAATATCAGGCAGTCGAGAAATGGGCACTGCCACATCAGTCGACCACACCTCTGATCCCTCCTTACGCAGAGCCATCATGCTCCACAAAGACTGCTTACGTGCTGACCACAAGTCATGAGCCTCACGGTCATCCCGAGCAAATTCGAAGGATTCCGCATTGTTGCCCTTCGCGAGCTGCGTGGTTAGATTGATACTATCAGCGACACCGGCAGTAGTTCCCGAGAACTTGAAGAAAAGAGTCGGCGAGACCTTCCATGCGCGACCAGTTCCACCCGCCCGGTTGATGACATCCATCTGAACATCATCCATAATCTCCATGCACTGCACGGGGACACCCTTGCGGATAAGCTGCATAGCCGTCGACGCGGCGTCACGAATAGTTGGGAACGCGACGACGCCAACGCGTGTCAACTCAGGGATGGGTGCGAGCTTCAAGGTAGCCTCAGTGACAATACCGAGGGTACCTTCTGAACCCACGAACATGCCTGTGAGGTTGTATCCAGCAGAGGTCTTGCGGGGACGTCTGCGGGTTTTGATAACCCGGCCATCAGCCAGAACGACTGTGAGGTTGATAACCCAGTCCTTCATGGTACCGTAGCGAACAGCATTGGTACCACTGCAGTTTGTACCCACCATACCGCCGATCATGGCGGATGGGCCGGGATCAACGGGGAAGAACATGCCAGTGTCCTTGATCTGCTCATTGAGGTCCATCCACTGGATGGAGGGCTGGACGACGATGTCCATGTCATCGGGGTGGATTTCCAAAATTTTGTTCATGGATGCGAAGTCAATCGTCATGCCGCCGTGTGGTGCGGAGAAGTTGGCTTCCAGACTCGATCCGCCTGAGTAAGGGATCATTGGCATGCGGTACTTGTTGCACACCTTGGCGATCTCGGAGACTTCTTCTGTAGACTTGGGGTATGCGATTGCGACCGGGAGGCGCTCAGCGTTGAGGCTGGACCATTCTGAGAAACCGTGCTGGTGGAGCTCTTCTTCGTCGGTGCCAATTGTGTCTTCACCTAGTTTGGCTCTCAGCTCACTGATGGCCTAGAGGGCGGGTTGGTTGTTAGCTTGGGTAGCTCTAGTTTTCAGGCAATAGTGATTTTGCGACAATTGGGAACTACTAACCTTTGCAAAATCCTTCGCCGTGCCATATTGGGGCTTGGTGACAGTCTGTGTGGATGTCTGGTTAATTGAAGCGCAGCCGTAACCCAACCCCGCAGCAAATGCGGAGACAAGCAGAGCCTTAGTCGGGGTCCAAAAGGGCGAGGTAGAGTTTGTAGATCCAGAAGAATTGTTCTCTTTTGAGCTCTCTGTCTTTCCTGAAGCATTGGAACTGTTCAATCTAGCACCGTTGCCCAAAATGATGCGTGAGACTCGAGGCCGACAAGCGGGAGCGGGTAGCGCTCGTGAGACCCTGAGCACCGAACGCATAGCGAAGAAAGATGACGACTCCGAATTTATGAGATACAAGTCTAATAAAAGAGAAAAATTCTATTCTCTCAACAACAAAAGAGAAAACGGTGCCTTTAAAAGAGAAATCCCCTTCATTGCGGCCCCGCATGAGGTGACCTGTCCGTGTACTCCGTCTTCGGGCCTATGATGTCGGAGTTCGGCCGAGAAAGGCTCGGGTCTCTCTGCTCAACAGCCTAGGCAATGTCGTCAGATCCGCTAAGCACGACGGGCTCTGGATCTTCGTCGCTTAAAACCAATTGCGGAGAAACTAAACGTGGGGGCGAAGAGGCGTGGGACCGCTGAATATGCTGTACAGCCGTGGGATGCCTATGTTTTGGGTATATTTTGACGTAAAAGAATCGATCTAAATTATGCACACATCATTGAGACTAATCAAACGAAGCCATGCTCATATTCCGCTCAGGTCGAAGAGGAGCAGAAGAAGTAGGGCAAGTAGAGGAAGTAGAGATGTCTCTGGATCCAAATGGTTGAGGGGGCAACGGGCCGCAGAGAAACCTCGTTCACATCGCCAATACCACAGAGTTGATGCTGATCGCGCAACAACTCCTCGACTAAAGAACCATTCACTTATGCAAGTCTGAAATAATGGCCGAGCAACTTGCTCAGCTGGTGCGCGAGGTGGAACGCTTAGTCACCGCGCCCTATGTGCCCTCGTTACAGGTAGATTAGTTGCGACTGGCATGGGAGTATACATGCTAATACTCTCAGGACCTCCATGATCTGGTTCAGCGAAGTGAATCGCCCAAAATTGGCTCCTGGGCGTTCTGCAAACCCTGTCAAGTTGGGTTATTGGCCGATGTTTTGGTTGAAGCCTTATCGCGGTCGCGCGTCGCGCTGCCTTTAATTACTGCATTTGGTTCGTGTTCAATCGGAATATTGTGATATTGTGAGCACTCGAATTTTAACGTATTCCAGCATCTACGCCAATATTTAGAGACGCTTTGCTAGAGCGTCATCCGGTGGCTTTGGACGCCTTCCTAGAAAAGGCCGTGAATGATAATGGCGAGGTGAGCTTCCTTCCCTCGAGCCAATATATGCCAGTCGAACTATGTCAGCTAACGATACTAGTATTCCTCGGCATGCATTGCATTGTTCTCATCGCCACTGCCAGCAGGCATCGTGCCGCCCGCTAGGATTGCCTCCTTAGTCGCGAACCTGGTGGGCAGAATGGCACAGAACCCTTGCGTGAAGACAGTAGCACCTCTTCACGCACTCATTTCTGGACTCAAGGGCTCTCCAAAGGTCTTGGAAGATATTCCTACCGAGGTCATGTCCAATCTTCAGCTGGAATTCACCAAAACATTGCGCAACCTGGACGATCACATGGGTAACCTTTTGTGCCTGGCCATCTTCGCGCAGATTACGACGGCACTAGACACAAAATCTCACAATCAACACGGATCAGAAAGCCCATCATGGCTTCTCAGCATCAATCATTTCTTTGGCCAGAAACGGGGCCTTAAGACACTCGACTTGGTCGTCTTGCGTGTCATACTGGCTTGTTCGTCCAGTTGTAATCTTTCACCTTCCGAAGCTGCTGAGAGTATTCGACTGGCGATTTGTATTGCTGATGCGATTAAACCTGACCAGAAACAGGCTTGGATAGCGGGTAATTCTTCTAAGATTGCCAAGCTGTGCGAGAAGGCTGCGAGGGACGGTCTCCATGGTGAGACGCAAACTATGGTTAGTGCTGGCTGCTCTCCCCAGATTAGACTGAACAAAATGCTAATTATTCGCCGATAGGTAATCGTTTTCTTGCACACCCTTCTACCAGCACATTCCTTGTCCTCCCAGCTACGGGAGCTTGGCACCAGAGTTCTTTTGTCCAAGGATAGCCAGGGGACTATTGAAATGATACCCCAGCGCTTAATCTCACGCCTCGCAAAAAGCTTAGCTGTAAGTATAAAGGCTCTCGTTAACGGTCATTTCCTGACATACGAAATCAACAGGAATCGGGAGAATCTACCACCCGACAGCTTTTGACATTTACTTTTGATACCCTAAAAGCTAGTAGATGGTCAGGGATGGCTACAATGGCAACATTGCACTTGTCACACTTGATATTGGATGGTCTGCAGGAGTCACATCCCCAGACAATACTCACTAGTGCCAACAACACAATAGCCACTCTAAGAGAAGTTCTTGGAGAAGTGGTTGGACATTTCCCCCGGCAGGCAAGCGAAAGCCAATGCAATGACCAGGTATTATGTTCATCTCAGCTGTACACAATGCAAAACAAGCTGTTTCTATCCTTGCTTGGGCTTTACAACAGGGTTTCTTCAGCGCAAAATGGCGATGATCTGATTATGAGATCCTTTATGGAGCGAGTTGAGCAATCGATGCTAAAGATGGACTGTGCCTTTTCGACGACAACCCCCAAAGATTTTCGTGGTTCTTTTGTTCTGCGTGACAGACCTGACCCTCAATCCACTCAGATCAACCGCAACTGGCGTTCCGGGGTTACCGACCTTTTCATGCAGAATGCACAGACCTCTCATGACAGTATGATGAGGAAGATTGAGGACACATGCTTTGACCTAGAGCGTCGGTGTGATGATGTCGAAGGACCATTGAGGGCTGCCGAGGAAGAGCGGGACAGATTAGCTTACGAAAACGAGCAACTGAAAAGGTGCAATGAAGAATTGAACGAGCAATCGAAAGAACAAACTAAGGAGCTTGAAACCAAGTTGTGGAACTCATCTGAACGTGTCAAAGAACTTGGCGTTGAGAATACACGTCTTGGGCAACTCCTCCAAGGTCAGCATACACAGATGGAAGAGTTAACAACGTCTCTCGACTCCGCACGAGAGGAAATCCAGGAGCAGCGACGGAACTCTGAACAAGCAATTTCTGCCGAGAAAGAGCGAGCCCGTTCTAAGGAGTTGGAGTTAATGGCCACTTTGACTGATAAAGAAGATCAACTGGAAGAGCTTGAGGAGGAGATGTCTATCTTGCGAATGGCGAATGAACAGGCACACAAAAAGTCTCCATCAAGCCTCAGGTGAAATGGCTACTTTAACAGACCATGCTAAGACTTTGGAGAAAGAACTTGACAATATCTCAGAGCATTTCAAGCAGACTAGCCTCCTTGCCGATCAACAAACAAACGAACTCAATCGTCTCTTGGCCCTGAGGGAAGACTTACGAACCGAGCTGAAGTCTGCCAAATCAACGGTATGTTTCTCAGCGACAACTATATTGGACTGATCGACTAACTGTGTTCAGGTGACGCAACAAAATACTGAAGTTGAGAGACTTCATTCCGCATTGCAAGAATCCGAAGAGCGATCGCGCAGTGAGCTTGAAAGGCTGAAAAGGGATCATGAAGCCGAGATTTCACATACTACATCCAAGGTACGTGTTTCACACATCAATTTCTTGCCGAGCGAAATTGATTAATGAAATTTTCAGATGGCGAAACAAGAGGCAGAAAAACGGGGGTTGCAAGCTGCTATGCAAGCTGCCGCACTTGATGCATCCAAGGATGCACAATCAAAAGACAAACGCATCCAACACCTGGAAAGAAAGGTAGATTTCGTTCTCCCCCCAATTATCTACACCTTCTAACCTCCTGAGTTTAGGTGCAAACTTTACGAGATGAACGCGCTGCAAAGGCACGTGAATTTTCCGAAGCCCAACAGCACATTGGCCGACTGATGGGGGTGATGGGGTTCTCTGCGAATGCCCCTGAGTCAAACGCCTCTGTCAAACACCAGCGCACCAGGTCCTCTATGAACCCTACCACCCCAGCTACAAGGATTCCGGAGCCAATCAGTGATGAGGAAGATGGGTCACAGTTCTCGCAATCCTTTGGGTCTGTGACTTCTCATGACAACGGGCCCACCCCAAAGCGACCAAGAGCAAACCCTAAACCCCATGTCCCATCCGATTCCTCTGCTATAGCATACAAGAAAAAGAGCCCGCCGCTTACTGGCAGGATCACTCGCTCTGCTAGGAAGCCACTAGCCGAGGCTGATCACAACAGTCCGACCAAGTCACAGTCAAGCAGTGCATCGAAACGCAGTCAGGTAGATGATTCTTTCCAAGGGTCACAAGTTCGGGATAACTTGGAGGAAAATCGACTACAAGATCTGGATTTGGATATGGATCTTGAGTTCTCAAGGGATTTCATCTTTACAAATACTGATTTTACAAGATCAGAGGATCAGACATCCTGATAGTGCCATAATCTTTTTCTTGTTTTCCTGTGTTATTTTACCTGGCATTTTGCTTAGGTTTCTGTGTTAATCCGTTGTATAGAGCCTTCTATATGCTTCTGTCATAGGTAACCATCCTGTCATGCTGTCCCATGTCGTTTGGTCTGGGTTGGTTTGTTTTCTTTCCTTTTTCTATCTCACTTGATATACCATTGAACCAAAGTCAGATTCTCATTTCGAATATCGGTTTTCTACACACAAATTTTTTTCTACTTGCTGCTTGAATCCATCGAATCTTTATTCTCGTATCTTATAACATAGCGTATTATATTCTCAATATATCTTTCTCCCTATATCGTAACCCCTCTTTCTAGCCCGCCGGACGTGGCCATTCTTATCGAAATCGGCTGGATGCTGTAGCTCTTTCCCCAGCGTTGAGGGTTTTGCGTGCCACGTAGACGCCTTGGTCGCTCAGCTTTGTGCCGTTTGAAGGTGGAAGCTATCTTTTCAACTATCCTTCCAACTCATTTCTTAATTATTTGTTTTACCGGTGTACTGATCCAACTACATACATGATGATCAGTCAGTATATACCCGTTCTTTTCTTAGTATGACGACAGTTGATACTAATCACTAAGATCTCCTGTAGGTAAGGGAAGGTGAGATTAAATTTTAGGCAAATAATTCCCCCACCATGACAGAAGTATCATCATGTTTCTTGGATCATAGGGCTTTTACATCCAAGCGACATATATAGATTATGCTAGGCATAACCTGAAGTGTGTACAATCACCTTCTAGCCTAGTAAAAGATTCTGAATGGCGGTCTATACCATATGGGTAGGTTGTTGCTATGCGAGGGTTCATGATTCTCTACAAAATTACAAGGGGATGGCTATGTAAATTGGAGTGTCTTCAACATGGAAGACTATCCAGTAACCAGGGATTTCTCTATATACACATATTGTATCTTTAATTATATAATGTCGTTTCTTGTAACTTGCACTTCCACATTGTATGCATCCAGATATCTGAGGGCTATGTATAAACCTAATTGCCAGCTTAAGCATGTTGTCTCACCGGTATAATCCCATAGCTCCGCCCCGATATTCAAGTGGCACTTTATGTCATATAATGCGGATTTTGATGCTATATCAATTGAGATATCTAAGCTAACGCCTAGTTCATAAGGCTGTAGCTTTGCTTCTTTACATAACTCGCACTTTCGCGTCACTTAGCTTGCACTTTCGCATTGAATGAATCAAGATATATGATTGCGTGGTATGTATATTGTTTGCTGTTTAGATGTAGCCAAACATGTTCAATATCCTATACGATTGCTCCTTCCTTATTTAAAAGCCTGCTCGTAATCCTTCTCATCCATTGATATCTCTACTCTTCCTTATCCTGTCTTTGTTTCTCTTAACTACGTCGTGGATCATACCTAAAGTAACAGTCTTCACATACTGACAGAACTCTTCTCCAGCTCCGAAGCCCTAATGTCAACAAACATGATACGACCTCGCGCCCCTCACACGTCACCAGACCGACCTTGGCTAGCCTGGAAATCATGGGAGACCACTGCAATCGATCTGTCCGGTCTTCCAAAGGAGGTCAACACTCATGATATTTTCGATGCTTTCAGCAGCTATGGAAATATCGTTTCTATTGACCTTCGGAATGGTCCTGGTGGGGAGCCTGGTTCGAAAGGGCGTATTCGGTTCCGGTAAACATCTTCTCAAGTCTCCAGGTGTAGGAAACGTTACTAACTATCTAAAGGCCTGCCCCAGAGAATGATTTCTGGACTGCCGGTTCCTGTGATATGAAACTCCGGAGTGGCCGCGTTGCTCATGTTTCGCTCCGTCTTGTCTGTGGCGACTCAAACGAGTTCATCCCCAGCCCGGTCCGGGCCAATATTAAGCTTCCTGGAGAACTGGTGAGAGCAAACTGAGTTCAGGGTCATTTTCGTATTACTGGAAATTAATTGGTATATAGGAACTCAAAACCACTCAAGTCGACATCGGTATCCTTCTGAGCCCGTCCACTGTTCATTTCATGCAGAGCTTTCACGACTTGGCATACCCGAGATATGTTGTGGACGTCAAACGGAAATGCCTGTTGATTTATTTCAAAGTGGGCATCCGGGGGTCAGAGACTGCTGAGGTGACCCAACATGACTATCGTGTCAAAATCCCCTTCCTCCAGCTGACCCAAGTGTACGACCAATTTGACGAGACATCGAGGCAGAAATCCCTCCTATTTATTCTAACCTCTGCCGCTATTTGCCATCGGAAGACCAACGACATCCGGTCTACGTTGACTGAGGAGAGAAATTGGAACGAGGAGGACAGCTGGTATCGCCAGACCTCTGTGACGCACAACCCAAATTCGTTGAAGTCTCTTTCGACCAACTTGAAGAAGGCCGGACATATTATTGACCTGGGTAAGTCTATGTGTTTCTCAAAATCAATAGGCTCACAAGTCTCTTTTGATAGGCCGATGGAACGTCTTCAAGATCACATTTTCCCCCGATGAGAATCATCCGCCCGATCCCGATACAATCAACCCCAGCTTCTTACTCATGAATGAGATTTTCGCCGACTACAATATCTCTGTCAATGATGGAAGCGCCTTTGTCGAGAGTCTAGACCGACCAGTACCGGTGTGGAATTGGATTGACTTTTCTGAGTCCAAGTCCAACAAAGCTTCCACGTTGCTGCAAGACCTGGGAGATAAGAACTATGTACATCTTCCCTTTACCATCCGGTACCAACTGGAGGTTTGCCTATCGCAAGGATTTCTCTCTGAATTCACCATGGATCGCGAGTTTGTGGAAATACTGAAGGGCCTCGGAGATGACCAGGCCAGAAGGTTGCTGGAGTTTGTTGCAACCGAGAAGAAACAATACCTTGATCCCAAGAAGATCTTTGATCTCAAATGTGTCAACGGAGTGAGTGACTTGAAGATCAAGAGCTATTGTTGCTTCATGCACACCGCACGGGTTACTCCGACCACAATCTATTTCAACACCCCTTGTGTCGACGTATCGAATCGAGTTGTGCGTGAATTTACTCACGCAGGCACAACTGGACGTTTTCTTCGAGTTCGGTTCACGGACGAGAAAACTGAAGGACGTATCAATTCTTCCTTCACGAGTTCCAACGATGAAATATACACTCGTGTCAAAAGAACCCTGTCAAACGGCATCACCATCGGAGACCGTCACTATGAGTTCCTCGCATTTGGCAATTCCCAATTCCGCGAGCATGGCGCGTATTTTGTTGCACCCGATGCTGGTGTGTCAGCAGCAAGTATTCGAGCTTGGATGGGACAGTTCAACCATATCCGAAACGTGGCTAAATATGCTGCAAGACTGGGACAATGCTTTTCGACCACCCGCGCGTACACATCGACCTCCGTCCAACTTGTCCCATGTGAAGATATAGTTCGGAATGACTTCACATTTTCGGATGGCGTTGGGAAGATCTCCGAGTTCCTTGCCAAGATGGTGAGAGAAGAACATGATATAAAAACTCTGAGTGGAGAGCTTCCTTCAGCTTTCCAGTTTCGCCTCGGCGGTGCCAAGGGCATGCTGGCTGTATCTCCAGATCCTCAGCCTCATGAAGTACACATTCGCCCAAGCCAACAGAAATTTGAAGCCAACAAAAATGGGTTGGAGATCATCCGTTGGTCCCAATACTCTATTGCGACGTTGAATCGTCAATTGATCCTTGTACTCTCTGCTCTAGGCATCCCGGACGAAGTGTTTCATGTCAAGCTCAAAAGCATGTTGGATAGCCTCTATCGAGCCATGTGCAATGATTTGAAAGCAGTTGAGTTACTGCAGCGATACATTGATCCAAACCAAATCACTATCAAGCTGTCTAATATGGTTGCTGATGGCTTTCGACGGAGTGAGGAGCCGTTTGTTAATACCATGCTCGAGCTTTGGAAATCTTGGCATCTAAAACATCTCAAAGAGAAAGCCAAAATTGTCATAGATCAAGGAGCCAACCTCCTTGGCGTCATAGACGAGACAGGTGTTCTGAAAGGCTACTTCAAAGATTCATTATCTCACGACGATATCTCATCTGAGGATAAATTGGCTGCTCTTCCTGAAATATTTGTGCAGATATGCCGCCCACAGGACAATGGGGTGTGCAAAATCATCGAAGGTCTCTGTATTCTTGCTCGAAACCCTTCCCTCCACCCCGGTGACATCCGAGTAGTTCGAGCAGTAAACCGACCGGAGCTGCGAGATCTCCGGGATGTGATCGTGTTTCCTCAAACTGGAGACCAGGACATTTCAAGCATGTGCTCCGGGGGTGATCTCGACGGCGATGATTACCTTGTTATTTGGGACCCTGATCTGATTCCCCAGCACTGGTTCATCAAGTCCATGGACTACAAAGGCTCCAAGGCTCCAGACCTTAACCACGATGTGACAGTTGATGAAGTCACTTCCTTTTTCGTAACTTATATGAAGAACGACTGCCTTCCTCGAATCGCGCATGCCCATCTAGCTTGGGCTGATCAACTACCGAAGGGAGTATGGGAAAAGAAGTGTATTCGCCTTGCGCAGCTTCATTCAGATGCTGTCGATTATAATAAAAGCGGTGCGCATGCCAGGATGGAACGCTCCTTGAATCCTAGAGATTGGCCACATTTCATGGAAAAGAGGTACAAAAAGCCATCCAGCATTTACAAATCTTCCAAAATACTCGGACAATTGTATGATGCCGTGGTAACTACTGAATTCGCGCCCAACCTGGAGAAGCCTTTTGATTCTCGCATTTTGGAATCCCCACTGGCCGCAGGAAGTGATCAATTCATGGAGTTCGCCCGAAATCTCAAGGCCGAATACGACACAAGCATGCGACAAATCATGGCTCAATATGAGATAAACACCGAGTTCGAGGTCTGGTCGACCTTTGTACTCCGACATGGCTTTGTTCTCAAGGATTACAAAATGCAGGAAGACCTGGGCGGAATTGTGGGCACGCTGCGCCGTGCATTTCAGCGCCAATGCTATGACAAGGTCGGACGCCATGATGGACCCATCTGTGCCTTGGTCATAGCTATGTACAGGGTCACCCAGGAGCAGGTTAATGCAGCACTGGAGGCTCAACGCGAAGAGAAAAGGCAAAGAGAGGATCTTTCGATTGTGGAAGTGAAATCTACTGCATTTCCGCTCATCAGCTTCCCGTGGTTGTTCCCAGATGTCCTCGGTCAGATTGCGAAGGGCAAAGCGCGACAGCCTCGAGAGCCGGAGGAAGTAGGCAGTGCTGATTCCACCAAACCTGTCAACGGCGGCCGGGTCTACACCCACGAGGAGATTCTCGACATTATCGGAGACATGGATGATAATATGCCGAAGCCAAAGACTGATCCACAATCTGATTCTGTACCTCGGGGCTCCGAACTCCTTGCTCACCGGCGCGTCATGAAGCCTAAAGACGGGGGCTCGGGCGTATGCCTCGACGAGGACGATGAGAAGGAAGGGGGAGTTCAATTAACCATTGATGAAGTCAAGAATAAGAATACAACGAAGAAGATGGGGGGTGAAAATACCCAAAATGGACAAGCTAAAGCACAGGAAATAGTGGTCGAGGTCGAGGATATTGTGGAAGGGGAAGGTGATTTGAAGCCATCGGCGCTTGACGCTTTGCTTAACATGATGAATATCAATTAATTGGTTGCTCTTTTGGGCAACTGGAAAGGAAGAAAACACCAAAAAGAAAACCCCCAGCTAACCAACTGATGGACGGGGATGAGACTCCGATGGGCGATGGTTGATTCGACCCCGAGGTTAAGCGTTTATGAGCTTTGGTCTCTAGGTATCTAGTTTGCCAAAATGGAGATAAACTGAAGCCCAAAATCTCTCCATGAACTAGACCGACCATCTGGGCAGTCTCGAAAAGCTAATCGTTGCGTCTGTAGATGTTGCGGTGCAAAGGGTATATCCAACTCCGCAAACTACCTCGAAGACTTCAAGATACCGTCTGCCCAGAAAAGAGAAACAATAACTACCAATCTAAGCCCTCATCTCCCTTCCGCTCCAACAAATCGACAACAGGCTCCAACACAGCCTTCGAATGACTCCAGTGTGCAGCATCTCTTGTTCTGGAGTAAAAAACAGGGCAATCCATGCTATCACAACTCACCTCGTCCCCAGGAGAAACACCCATACAAGAGCGACAAATAGCTTCCAAATCAACAACTCTCTTCTCCGCCCGCTGCAGCCGCGATACAACATCAAGCATAGCAAGATGCGGCTGCTGCAGACAAGTGCCACACACAGGCACAGCCGTATCCGACAATTTAGACCGACAGATAACACACGACGAGGAGCGCATATATGATTCAAGAGTTTTCCTAGCAGGCGCCGCAAATGCAGAGCGAGAATTCGGCCGCGCCAGCGCCGAACCATCAACCCGCCGGATACGCTGCACCTTCGGCATCTCGTCGTACCACTGGCGGACATTCGCACCAACCAGATTGAAGATCCGCTCTAGCGGGGGTATGATATTCTTCGTGATATAGTACTCAGCATCGAGTTCGAGCTGTGCGTCATGAAGGAGCGTTTGTGGCGCGACGCAGCGGTCGATGAGTCGCGAACCTGGCGCGCCGGTCACAACGACGTAAGGCACGCGCTCCCCGGTTTGTGGCTCAGAGCGTGGATCCTCGACCATGCGCTTTGTGCTGATCATTGCTCCAGCGGGTAGTTGGCCGCGCTCGGAGTATGTACCTAGACGGACTTCGCGCGCGAAACAGAAGTCTTGGATGGAGACGCGGCCTTGCATGATTTTTGCACATTGGCGCTGGAAATAGGACTTGACTTGGCTTAGGTCGGCGGTGCGGAAGAGGGTTTTTAGGGCTTTTTCTTCGATTTTTTGTTCGGCGGGTGTACCGTCGCGTCGCACGGTTTCGATGCCCTTTGCGTCGAATTCGGGCTCTTTTTGGGTCCGGTGCTCGTATTTGAAGCCCACATAGCGTTTCTTTGCGAGTAGGATGCAGGGATGGTAAACCTTTTCGAACTTTAGTTTGATCGGCCGCGGGTTCATGTCTGTTACCGCTTGGGCGATTTCTTCGCCGATGTCAAAGGCTTGGTCTCGGGTTCTGCCTTTTAGATAGACGAAGAGGCTGTCGGTGTCGCCGTAGACAACTTCGGCGCCCCAGCGTTCGATTGAATGGATAAAGGCAATGGCCTTTTCGAGTGTTTCTCGCCCCGTTTGAACGATGCTGTCGGCGATCTCTGAGCAGGGCATTCGGCCAGAAAATGAGGCAGAAGTGTAGCCATATGTGACGTTTGCAATCAGCTTGAGAGCGAGTTGTCTGTTATTCAGAAGCCGTTGCAAAACCTTGTCATCTTTATCGGCCTTCATGCCATTTTTGACCATTACACGGGTTTCCAGAATCTCAGAAAGCATTTTGGCCAGCAACGATTGCCGCGCCTCCTGCTTCACATACATCATACCGTTTGGCGCAATATTTATTTTGTCCTTTAGTAACTCGAGTAGCCTGGGCTGTCGTTTGTAATCCAAGAATCCCATCTTGTCTCGTCCGCGCCAGTGCATCGCTCTGCCCAGGAATGTCGAGTAACAATAGTTGTACGCGATCATGACACTCGGGTACAGTGACTGGAAATCAAGCACCAAAAGTGGGCTAGTATAGAAGTCACTTTGCGGTTCCATCACTAGGGGCAAGCACTCCAGCGCATTTTGCTGCCCAACCTGCTTTCTACTCGGTGACACGAGCAGAAAGTTCTCAGGTTTGGCGATTCGGAACATCAAGGACTCAACTTTGAACTGGGATCCTCGGGAGATTACTGAGGCAAAATCAATGCCCAGCAATCTCGCCTGCTCGCTTGTTCTTGATGTCAATTCATTGGCCTCGAGAATCTCCAGGTTTAATTGCACACGGGAGGTGAAATATTCCACGACTTTGTGTATATTTCGAGGCTTGCCACTTTGGTGCCACTGCGTCAAGACGCGGGGAGGATAGTGAGGGATTCGACGATGCAAAACATGGAATACGACATTCTCAATGGTGTATTGCAGAAGGTTCAGCTCGCCTTTCATAGCGCGCCAGATATTGAACATGTGTCGCCCGGTTATGCGGATAGAGGATGAGTGGTCAAATCCCCACCGGTCTGCATCTTTTCCAAATCGTCCGTGGGACTGAGATTTGGTCCTCGAAAGTTCCTCGCAGATGTCAAAATCGTACTTCTTGCGGGCTCGCTCGATCACATATCCCCAGGAAGCATTGTGAACCTCGTAGCCTGTGATGATATCCGGATCATGATACCTGACAAGATCGACTAGTCGATTAATCAGGTCTAGCTCGGTAGGCTCCCACTCAACGTCAATTGTCAATGCTTTGGTGATTTTGGCCTCCGGCCTCTCGCCTTCACCATGGTAAACCATCCCAACATGAACCCCAGGAAGATGACTATTGACCTCCAACTCCTCATCTTCAGATTGAACGCACCAGAACATGGTAGTGATCTCGTCTTCTTCCGGGTTGGCTGTGAGATTCCCACGCGTGTTCACGTGGATTTCTAAGCTCATCGTGCTCATGTACTGAGCTTGGTGTTCCACGCTAGTAGACACTCCCTTCTGTGAGTATTTGAACCCATGTTCGTTCTTCTGTGTTGGGCCCTCGATCTGTGAGAGCAAGGCCGATTCCATTTGAGCACGCGTAGTTTGGACTTTTTCTTTTTGATCAGAACTTGGCGAAGCCTCCAGGTTTTCGAACCACTGTATAACTTCTGAGCGGCTTGGCGGGACAGGTGCATATTCCCAGATTCTAGCGGTACACTTTTCTCGGAGTTGCTGGTCAGTTTTCTCTTGCTGATCTCTGTCATATGTTATAGGCATCTGCTCGCCAAAAATTGCAGGGGCCTCTCCTGTTGGGTCAAAATCGGGTAGAAAGTGGATGGTATTGCTTTCTAGTCGGAACTCTCTGCCGCCATATTCTCGTGGTCGTTCAGGTGCATCTGCTTCGTCACTGTAGAACGCTTTCTGATACACAACCGAAGGGCGTCCAAGGCCATTTAATGATGATTGGACTTCGTTAGAAGTCGGGCTGGCAAATCTCAAGCAATACAATGACTTGTTGGGTGTAAAATCGAATGCCTGGTGGATATTTTTCATAGTCTCGGCGAGATGTGGATCGAGGGAGATAGCTCCCACCATAGTTGCTGAAGAACGGAGCTCTGACAAACTCTGTATTTCACTGGCCTTGTCGGCAGATCCAGATCCAGAAGGGAAAGAACTTGGAAAGGATTGAGAAAACTCGGATTCTTTTGCCGTGGAAGGGTTTTCATCTTGGCTAAATCGCATGATGGTCAGAGGATCATTGGGGTCTTTGACGACGGGAAATTTCAGTCCGCTGGTGTAACTATGCGCCTTTGGACGGACGGTCCTCTGCGAGGAAGATGACATTGGTTCTGATGACAGGAGTTCCGCATTCGAATCCAATTTGCTCTCAAACGAGACACCTTTTCGTTTATCATCTTGCTTCTTCTTCTGCATGCTGAGTGAGTCAAATCGCTTGTTAGACAAGCTCTCATTGCCCAAATGGCGAGCTCTTTTTGTAGGTGGATGCTGGTACTCCAAAGTATCAAAATGTTGTCGTTTAGAGACCATGCTTCTGCTTTCACTATGATCTCCAGGCCTTTTGTCTTGAGCGGCATTTTCTTGGCCTGGATGAGGCCCTTGGTTGCAAATACCATCGATGGTTGCTTTTGCACTGTTGGTCTGAGTAGGCGCAACTATATCTGAAAGGGGCAGTTCGTCGAATATCTCATCGTAGAAGCTATCGCTTACCGGATCATTGATCCTTTCGGGTTTCTGTTCGATTCTCTCGCCCAAAGCTCCCTCTCCTTGGTCGGAATCAGAGTAGTAATGTCCATCAAGTTGAGATGACAAAGCAAGACCCTCATCAACTGAGATTTCTGGTGCTTTTTGTTGGGCAGGGCCCTGAGAAGGACTATCGAATTTCAGAGAACCGATCTTGTTAGGAAAGAAGTCCTCGACACTGTCCAATGCAGTCTTGATATTTTTGGCTTGATCGTCTGTACCCAAGAACGTTCCAAGCGTCGCATCTTTGTCGTTGTCCTCTTGTCTCTCATTTGCGGCAAGCTGAGAAGCCATCTCACGGAATTCTTCCTCGTGTATCCAACCGCCTCTCGAGTGGTTTCTTTGATCGACCGACATCGAAACTAACTCATCAGGCCCAAACGGAGTGCTTCCGGGATCATTTATACCCATTCTCTTCTTACGTCTGCGAGTTTCATCCTGCCACAATCCAGCCATGCTAGGAACGAGCCGCTCGTTAACCGCGACTGGTTTTAAAAGCTCGGTGAAATCATGGTGCAAAGGCCGTTCCTTGACATCGAGACGGTTCAAAATATCTTGAACACAGATATCAACCTCCAGTGCGCAGTTGCTTTGCTTCTGTAGCGCTGGGTGTTCCATGATGCTCGTTGATTGAATTGAACGGTCGTGCCAACGATGGGCTAGATTGCCGAGTTCGAGATACTCAGGTACTGGTGCCCGAAATCTGACTTTACTACAGCTCATAATAGCACATCCGTACAAATTGTAATCGCACATCCATTGCGGGATGTATTGCACGTGTGCCTCGTACGGCTGAAGAGGACGTTTCATCACAGCTCCCTGGTGCAAGAGATCGACCAGACGACTCGTATGGAAAGGGTTCAGGAGATAAATTTTGAAAAAGAACCGCCATCCTACATGGTATCCGTAGAATGGAACTCCTTTCACCAAGGTGATATGTGCCACAAAGGCAGTCCTCCTGTCATATGCATTTCGGCGAAAGCTAACTGCAAGGGCATGGTCGATCGAAATATGAAGGGTCTTGATTGCCGAGTTCACTAGATCTTTTGTCAGTCAACAAGTCCAATCACCGGTATGACTATAACTAACCTTCTTCTGGCTCCAAGGACCCATTGTATTCGATATAAAGGTAAGGAAATGCCCCATGAACATGTACACAGACTCTCTGACCAGTCTCGGTGGCCCCAAATATTCGAATAACAGGCACTCTGGGCTTGAAATCTTTCTCCGAGACTCCGTCACGAAAAGGCAGTGGGGGATCCAACTCCGACGCGGTCGCCTGATAATGATCGATACAGTTGAGGCGCACCCGAAATGGCTCCATCGCTGTGATGTGTGGCGACCGAAAGCCACAGCGACATTGCGAGAAACAGATGGTTTCAAGCACCAATTATCGCATGAGTGTCTTTTTAGGCATCTAAGTAAAGAAAGGTGAGAAACGCGACCGAAGTATGCCTAGAACAACGCGAGATAACGCCTGCTCACGTGATCTATATCAATTCTCCACTTGTCGTCGGCCCTATCGCAACCTCACTCATCTTTTATCTCACAACAAGAGTGAGCTACAGGTGGCTCGATCTGCTTCCCAATTTATTCTCTTTATTTATCTCTACTACGCCATCGATTTCTCTCAATATGTCACGAAAACCCGCGGATGTGGCGTCAAAAACGCCAAACGAGTACATTCCGTCCTTCATCTCGAAGAAGCCATTCTACGTCGATGACGATACAAACAATGATTATCTAGAGCATCAACGTCTACAGAAGGCCACTCCCGATCAGTCAAAATGGTATGATCGGGGAAAGCGTGCGGGCCCAGCAGCAACCAAATACCGCAAAGGCGCATGCGAAAACTGTGGCGCGATGACACACAAAACCAAAGAGTGTTTGAGTCGACCTCGAAAGCATGGTGCCAAATGGACTGGCAAAGATATCCAAGCGGATGAACTTGTTCAGAAGGTCGATATGGGGTGGGATGCGAAAAGAGATCGTTGGAACGGCTACGATGCAAGCGAATATCGCCAGGTTGTGGATGAATATGAAGAAATGGAGGCCCTCAAACGACAGGCAAAAGAGAATTCAAATCTCAAGAAACTTCAAGCTGATGAAGATGGAGACGAGGCTCCCGATTCGGATATCCGCTACGCCGAAGAATCTGATATGGGACGACAACAGAGCACAGCAACCCGCAATTTACGTATTCGAGAAGACACCGCGAAATATCTCCTCAATTTGGACCTTGATTCGGCCAAATATGACCCCAAAACACGACGAATGGTTGATATGGGCGCGCAGGATGATCAGGCCGCTGCACTCGTCGCCGAGGAAAACTTCGTCCGTGCTTCTGGTGACGCTGCGGAGTTCGAGAAAGCCCAGCAATATGCATGGGAATCTCAAGAGAAGGGTCTCCCCCAACTTCATATCCAAGCCAATCCCACATCTGGAGAAGTTCTCAGAAAGAAGGAGAAGGAGGATACTGAGGCCAAGCGCCAAGCGCATCGCAAGGCTCTTCTAGAAAAGTACGGCGGTGGAGAACATTCGCAACCTAGTGCGCTACGAGAAACTATGGTTGTTGAAAACGAGCGGTTCGTCGAATATGACGAGAGCGGTGCCATCAAGGGCGCGCCCAAGAAGGCGACCAAATCTAAGTACCCCGAAGACGTGATGGTCAACAATCACTCTTCGGTCTTTGGCAGCTGGTGGTATGAATTCAAGTGGGGATATTCATGCTGTTATTCCACGGTGAAGAACAGCTACTGCACAGGAGAAGACGGGAAGAAGTCTTTCGAAGAAGCAGGCAATATGTTGTTGTTGACTGGGTTTGGTGACAGCAATGTGGATGTCTCCGAAAATTCTGAAAGTGCGCCCCACGAATCTGCGCAAGCCAGCAGCAAGGACCAGGAGCAAGATCCAAGTACCAGTGGAAAAAAGCGCACATTGGAGGAACTGAAGTCTGGCGTCACGGAGGAAGAACTTGACTCATACAAGCGAAGCCGGCTGGCTGCTGAAGATCCTATGGCGAACTTCATAGGGAAAGATTGATTCTCATAATATCCTCTAAATACTCTTGCATGGGCGTTCGGATGTACTAAAATACCCTTTTGATATACTGTTTAAACAGTGGACAAATGCATAACGCTGTAATATGTACTTGACTTCTTTGTATAGATAGAAGATACCGCCTCGTAGGATTTACCTCAACAATGAAGCCAACCTCTTGACTAAAAATGATGCCGACGACGTACATACTCCATACAATTTCAAACAAGTAACTGATTGGCTCACCCCATCTGAAGACCTCGGGGTAAAATAGCATCACGTGATATATGGCATGCACGGACCGGTCCCGAAGTCTTTCCATTTAGGGTTAGCTCAATCACGGGATCGAGTAAGCCCTCCTGAGAGTTCACGTGATTGACTAACGCACTCGCTTAGAGCACAATCGCCAGATCTTGGGCAAGTTTCGAGACGCTTAGCGACGACGACCCGACAACCAGCCCCTTCAACGGAATTGCCAGGTACGTTCGCATGCCGGCTCCTTCACAAGTGCTCACTTCACCCGTTCACCCGTCAATTTACTAACATCTCTCCTCACCCACAGTTCCATAATTCAAGATGAGTACGTCCGATGCCGAAACATCGCACCGCGAACCTCCGCAACATCGAATGACTTGAAACTAACAACGACCACAGCTAAGGGTACCTCGAGCTTCGGAAAGCGCCACAACAAGACGCACACTCTCTGCCGTCGTTGTGGTTAGTATTACACCTATTTTTCACGATCCCACCCATCCGACCCGCAGTCGCAAATTTCTATATCGAAAGACGGAATTGGCGATTACGGCGAAGACAGTCACACAACATAGCAAGGATCAGGGCTAACCGGTGATATTTGCGACTATACAGGCAAGCGGTCTTTCCACATCCAGAAGTCGACTTGTGCCAACTGTGGCTACCCTGCTGCCAAGACCCGCAAGTGTACGCAATTACCCCTCCCGACAGCGTTGGTGGCATGAAATATGGCCATTCAATTGGAATATTGGATTATGGGCACTGGGTTGAAGACTCTGGCTTACATGGATTTTTTCTACGAACAGACAACTGGTCCGAGAAGGCTAAGCGCCGCAAGACCACCGGTTCCGGCCGCATGCGCTCCCTGCGTGATGTCCACCGCCGCTTCCTGAACGGCTTCCAGACCGGTACCCCCAAGGGTGCCCGCGGCCCCCAGACCAACTAGATTCCCTTTTTCGTCCGCTCGGCGTCGCGTTTTCGTTATCGGAGAGGCTGGAATAGGAATGAAGGGAGGGATCCTGGCATGACATGAATTAGCATTAACTCAAAATGCAATGGCAGTTCCGGAATCTAACCGCTTTCCCATGGAGTTGGTGTGTGCAACTGTCGATTACGTTGGTTCTCTTTGCCACGCCAAGGATGACAGAGTAGAACTTGCGAGACGACTGGAAAAGTTTCGTTGAGGGGGCTCTTTTCTGCTGAAAAGAGCTGGATAAAAAAAACATGGGAAAGCGTGCATGAATTTCCTTTTTTCTACGTTTATGACTGGCGATTATCCCCATGTCGTGACAGATACAATGTGAAGTCTCTTCCTACCATTTCATGATCTCTTCTACTCAGCACGAGGCTTTCGATACAAAGACGGAGATACATGAATTGGGCATCCTCTGAATGGCTTTTCTAAAGTTCCTAATAAGCTCGTGGCTCCCGCAACATCTAACCCACTAGTATACAGCCCTTTCTATGATTCCCCGCGGCCAAATACAGTGACTCCACCATCCCGTTGAATGAAGTACAAAGCCTCTCGCTCCTCCAGGCTCTCTTCTTCACTCGAGCTCATTCCACCACCTCGGCTGATTCTCAGCACGCCACTCACATCCTTTGCGGCTCCCGTGTCCAAAGTACGGAGCTGCATGACCGATCGAGCCCGATGCGCCAACCCAATAGCAAGTGCCGCATGTTCCGTTTCTATTGGCGTAGCCAACAGCCCTGCCGATATAGATGCATTGTGTATTAAGGGTGCATCCGTAGCCAGCGTCAAAACCGTAGCATGTGCAAGCTGTTGATGAACAAGTCAGCCTAAACCTTAAATTTGCCTATCAGAATGTGATAACACCTTACCTGTTGTAGCCCTGTGATCCACTCCGCCATCTCTGTGGCTCCAATTCCCATGCTTGGGCCTGTTGCAGCAAGCAGCAGGTCAGGCTGGTCTATGATAAGGAGAAGCTCCTCGCCATCTTCCATTGATCTCCTTTGCTGTTCGATCACTGAAGAGATATCTTTCTCCAGAGCATCGAGGGAGGCGAGGCCACGACCAGAGAAATGGAGCTTCTTTGCAATCCCCGCTTCGGTCTGCTTCGGTGCCACATTTCCTCTTACTGCTGGAGCTGTTGGTCTCATCGGCTGTGGTGATCTTCCCGGCACAGCGCCAGGTGGAGAACGCATTGGAAGCGTTGTGCGTGGGCTACTTCCCAAACCAGCTGGTGAGATAGTGGGAGTAGCTGTGGCTTGTGGTGCGTAGAACAGCTCAGACAGGCCATCTATGAATGCAAAGTGCTGTTTGTCTGCCAACCGCGTAAGATCAAGGCCCTAAATGAGTCGTTAACGACGTTGTTCAAGTTATGTGTCAAACAAGCAATATAGAGAGGGATTGGAATAAACGCATATTCAAATTAGGGAATTTCAATCAGCAGAACCTACCAATCGCTTTGCCTCAGTTCTCCAGAACTCATAACTCCGCATGAAGCTCACCAAGACCACCTTCTTCTTGGTGCCATTTTGCAACCCATCTAGGCCAAATGCCGAGTTGGGGCTTGATGAGCTCAACGCAGCATGAAGAAATCTCAGAATCAACCAGTTTGAAGTTGCACCAAGGATAGAAGAGACTAGTGTCAAAGATGAATCGGGCAGAGTTGATACATATGGAGCGAGGAGGGGTGGTAGTGGGGGTTGAGAAGGCATGATTGCGCCTTAATTTGACTATCGATGCTCCCTTTTAGTCCCAGATTTTTGGAAACAGTGTTCAAGCAATGTCCACCCCTTTTTTTTCAATGTTTGAGACCTGGTTTGGATGTGTGGCTGCTGATCGAAGTCGTGGAAATGATGTCGAGAAAAAATGTCTCCGGCTTGTGATTGGCCCCTCATGTATCCGGCTATGCCAAGACAAAGCATATGGAGGTGATATTGCCTGGGATTCGCTTTCTCTTGCTGTTCGTCGATTTGTTATTTGTTATTTGTTATTTGTTACAAATAGATACAATGCCGTCGGTAGTTCAGACTTTGACCATCTCAGTGCTTATAATCAGAACCACTCTTTCGGAAAGTTTCAAGGGCAATATTCGACACCAATATATATAGTTCATCTACATACTTAACTGTCCATGTCTACATAATCCACGTGAACACCGATCATTTTAGTGAATACAAACTGAAACACAGATGCGGATTATGCTAGCATCTTCGAATTTAAATAAAGACCAGCCCAAAAATAATGTAGTCCAAGATGCCCAAATGTCTGCCTGAGGCACCGACACGCGTTTTTTGCACGCATCACCTGACCTTTCCCCACCATCAGAGGGGAGCGATGGATGCTTCTTATCCATCGCATTGCAAGAGGCTGTGCTTTAGCGCCGATCGTGAGTACATTCTCCATTCTAGATATTACTTCCACACCCTTATGTGTATACACATCTCAACCCGATAGTGTTTATGTGCTATACATCGATACTCGATGCGGTCTTCTCGCAAAGCATCTTTCGTTCAATATATCACATGCATTATCCGGCTAACTGTCTGTTCAGATGACTGCCGTTGTATGGCATGAGATCAGCGCATTGGATATACGATACGAGACATCCAACTTGCCTCGATAAAGATGGCTAGCACCCGTGATTCCCACTCATTTGCTGTATGTATTGGGTTGTGTGAGAATTGAGAAATAAAATACCAGAGTTGAAATCTGACTGTGCGATTAGTGCGATGAATGCCGCTTGCGCAAGTCGAGAGTAAGTGGCCTTTCATATCAACCCCTTGCAGGCCAAGTCCCGTTTAACGCAGGGTACTATAGTGCTCCAAAGAGCGACCAGTCTGTCTGCAATGCAGACAGCTGAACAAGGAATGTATATACAGCCCGAAAGTCAGCAGGAGTCCTCTGACTCGGCAGTAAGTGACTAAAAGCGACAAGAATGGCTATATGTAAACACGAAACCGACTGACCACTTCAGACACTTGACTTATGTTGAGGATCGCCTACACTCATTTGAAACAGCCTTAGGAAGGTTGTTCCCAGGTGGCGATTTGGATGCTACTCTTCGCTCTCTCTTGCAAAACCCAGAGATCCCAAGGGCTCCTTCATCTAAGTCTTCTTCAAGGCACTCAACACCGGCCAAACATGACCAGGAACGGGCCGAGCCAGCCCCAGAAGCCCTCCCGCAGCAAGCCGATGGCTTTGACTGGGCCGAGAAAGAAATCACGCTTGGTGATTTGACAGATGGCATGGCTGCACTATCTATCAAGCCTGAAGGAGCTGGCTACTTTGGTTGGTCCATGCAGAACACATTTTTCTCGTTCAAAGCTGATATGACTTTTAGGAGCCTCTTCGAGTGTCGTGCCACTACGAGCCCTCTTCGATCATGGCTTTGACCTCAATATCCCTGTTCGCTCGGCAAGATCAGGAGGCGTGCCTCTCAAGGCACAGCTTTTAGAAAGTGCTCCATCTGGACTGATTGAACAAGCATTCATCGACGCTTTCTTCCTCAATTATCATACCAGCTATCCATTCATTCACGAACCTACCTTCCGGATGCAGTTTAATGACCCATCTTTACGTCCGCATGGCACAGCCTGGCATATTCTTCTTAACACGATTCTAGCTCTTGGAGCATGGAGTATCGGCGATGACAGCTCAGACCTCGATATCACGTTCTATCAAGAAGCCAGAGGATATTTGCAGCAAGCTTCCGTGTTTGAAACTGGCAACCTGACACTAGTCCAAGGATTATTGTTATTAAGTAACTACGCACAGAAGCGTAATAAGCCTAATACCGGATGGAATTATCTTGGTCTGGCAGTTCGAATGGCTATGAGCTTAGGCCTTCATAAGGAGTTCCCTGGCTGGAAGATCAGTCTGCTACAAAGAGAAATTCGCAGAAGATTGTGGTGGGGAGTTTTTATCTTCGACAGTGGCGCAGCCAAAACTTTCGGAAGGCCAATTCTCCTCCCAGAGGATAATGTGATGGATGCGAAGCAGGTTCGCAATATTCCCGAAGAGGTATCTATGCCCAGTGTGGAACATCAGAAACACCTATAACTGATATATCCCCACAGGCATTGACTCCCACAACAACAACTCTCCCAGCAGAATCGAATGGTCCAACAATCTACTCCGGCTTAATTGCCCAAGCCCGCTTCCACCTTCTTACCAACAGCGTTTACCAACGCCTCATCTCGAGTCCCAGTCTCACCCCAGAAGACACGTTGAACCTGCAAAAGCCCATCGAAGAATGGTATAATGGTCTTCCATCCTATCTCCAACACCCGCAGCTGCCTCTCTCCATGCAGCCAGCCAAGCCGGATCCAGATTCCCTCGCACTCGTGCGCAACCGCCTGCTATGGCGAAAATGGAACCTCACCATTCTGATCTACAGACCAATCCTACTCCGCTGGGCCGCTAGACGCTGGGCCCCACTTAGCGGCAGTGGACCAGGCACCCCAGATGCGGGCTGTGAAGATCCCTGCGAGACAGAATGTCGACTACGCTGTCTCCAGAATGCTCGTTTGACCATCTCTTCGATATCAGAGTACATGGAGAACTATATGTGCACCCGACTGGGTGCATGGTATATGCTGTACGCACCTCTTCCCCACATCGAAATCAACGTACTAATCCCCAAACCAGCTACTTCCTCTTCCAAGCCGGCCTCATCCCCATAGTCTTTCTAATGACTGATCCATCGAACCCGGAAGCCACATCCTGGCTTCAGGACATTGAAACCACCAAGGCCCTCCTCTCCCACCCGTCCCTCGGCACAAACCGTTTCGCGACCCGCTGCCTCGAAGTCATCAACCGACTCCTCGGCCCGCCGACGCACGCAGCGCCAAATGGTCTCCCAGCCGTGCCCAACCAAAAGTACGAACCGCAGCAACACACACTCCAGCACATAGCGCCACAAGCGCCGCCTACCATGATGCCATTCCCCGAGCAGCTATTCGGCGACCCCGGGTTCGGCGGTAGTCTGTTTCCAGTCGAACAGCATATGCAAATGCATAACACAGGAGGTATGGATTTCTCAGAATGGGTGAATTTCGCGCCTGCGGAGTGAACAAGCGATTGATTTTCGTCCTTTTATTGATTTTGCAATCATTTTTTCCTCATGTGCATCTTGTTGAAAAGGTCACGGCGATCTTTCTTGACTGTACGCCTATTCCAATCGCCTTGTCCTAGTTGTAGACGGCCGGGAGAATTGCCGCGTGCCACGTCCCGCGCCCAGTCTAATTCTCCCATCAACACAATGTAAATGATGTCTGTAATTAAGAATTAGCTCGTTCTTGGCAGATCCACATTGATAGAAAAGTTGAGAACGGGTGCCAGAAATCATTACGCACAAGACCAGCACAGTCTACCCTCTCAGCGTCTCGATGCGCGGCCGATGCGAACTACGGGCACTCCAACGGTGGTATAAGCCTTTCTGCGGCGAGCCAAGGTCTAAGGAAGCAATCACATGGCGAGTTGTAAGCCTGCGCGACTGCCCAATGTGACAATCCCGTCTCTTCTTGCTCATGACATTAGGGCTTTACCTGCAGAACACAGGCAACATCCACTGCATATTCCGCACTTCGTATGGAGTACTCCGTACACATCGGATGCAATTAGAGGTGCTTCGCCCCAAGGCGCAGCCCCAGCTGAACGCCGACCAATCACCGCGAGCGGCTCTAAGGGGGCCGCAAGTGCTCACTGGAAGGCGACTAGTGTGGGGTAAGACACTGTCAACAATGATTAACCGTCTTGTTTTGAGCATCCGTACACTTGATATTCCACCAGGTGAGGGCTCTGTTCTGCTGCAGCCGACGTCCAACTTCACCTCACTTGCTCGAATGAGGAAAGCCAACTCGATTTGAACATTACATCGTCAATTAACACAGAATGTTGGACCCTCTCACGGCTCTCAGTACGGCATCTGCGGTAGTTCAGCTTGTTGACTTTGGCATGAGGATTCTGGACGACAGTCAACAGCTGTACACCGAAGGCAACTTGGTAACGCTCAAGGAGCTGAAGACGATCACGCAGGATCTCGTCCATGTCAACCATCTGTTGATCCATCGAGCGCAGCCAAAGGATACTTCAGAGGACCCCGTATCCGATGTAGAGAAGGTATGTCTAATCAGTGCTGCACTATGAGCCAAAAGGAAGAGAACTCATCAACTACTCTAGTCCCTGGACAAGCTAGCCGCCGAATGCAGTGATGTAGCGGCTGAGCTGATCGCCTGCCTTGAATCCTTAGACACGACGGCAGGAATCGGGCGCTGGAAGAGCTTCTGCCAGGCAGTCCGAAGTCGATGGAATCTCCCTAAGATTAGAGAAATGGAGACGCGAATAAAATCCTTTCGAGAACAGCTCACTATTCGCGTTCTGGCTGTGCTCAACCACAGAACAATCCTCCAGGCGGCGCGTCAAGAGCAACGATTCGATCGACTGGACCAGTCGCACGCCGACGTGATCGACATCGTGGCCATTAACCGGCAGCTGCTGCAGTCGAGTCTACACACCGATGTGTCCGCTCTCTCTCAGGCTATTTCGCAGAGCGAGGCCAATGCACAGACTCGCCATAACGAGATCAGCGCAGCCATCCTCAAGCTCCGGGATGGGAGCTCGATGGTCATCACGGGGGAACAAGACAATGAGAGATCTGACTTCATTGCACGCGAAACGATAATGACGCTAAAAAAGCCGGTCTTGAACCACGTGGATTTTCATGTGCAGGATTTTGGAGTAGTTCAGTCAAAGGTCCTCGACTGTCTCCATTTTCGGGAGATCGATCACCGCTACAATACTGTGCTCGATGCCCATCGGAATACGTATGAATGGATCTACCAAAACCCGGAGACCAACGACAAACCATGGAGTAACTTTGTCCAATTCCTTGAACAAGGCCACGGCTGCTACTGGGTGAATGGTAAGGCAGGATCAGGCAAGTCAACACTCATGAAGTTCATTCACAGCCATCCGCAGACGGCACGATCTCTCTCAGTCTGGGCCGAGAATCAAGAGTTAGTCGTGGCATCCTTTTTCCTCAGCAACCTGGGCAATTCGCTGCAGAAATCACCCAATGGGCTCATACGTTCTCTGCTGTTCGAAGCACTTGCAAAACACCGCCATCTGATCCCGCTAGTGGTGCCTGACCTGTGCCGGGCGGCCGCGAACCTAGACCACAAAGATAAGCTCTCGGAGCCAACATTTAATGAGCTTGCTCAAGCTTTCCAGAACCTCATCCGCGACTGCAGCGCGAATCTACGGCTCTGTTTCTTTATCGACGGCGTGGACGAATGCGAAGGGGATTATTGGGAGATCTTGGAACTACTAGCCTCTGCGTCCAAATCCAAACAAGTCAAGATAATTGTGTCGAGTCGTCCCATAACGCCCTGTGTTGCGGCCTTCTCTGGCTTCCCAAACCTGCGGTTGCAGGATATCACCCATGACGATATGATGTTGTATGTCAATGATAAACTAAAGGTGCAGCTGGAACGACGTGTTGGAGCGCATGCGCATGCACTTATTCTGGAAATTGTTGAGAGGGCATCCGGCGTGTTTCTGTGGATCATAGTCGTGGTGAAGTCCCTACTTCTCGGGGTTCATAGTATGGACCGCATCGATGATTTGCAGCGACGGGTCGACGAGCTACCGGCTGATCTCATGGAACTTTACTCGCACATGCTGCGTAATATCACACCCCTCTACAAACAACAAGCCTTGCAGATATTTCAACTAGTTCTGAACAGCGTCGGTGTGGAGAGTGGCGAGGAAATCACAACCCTCCAGCTGTCCTTCGCGGATCAAAGTCCCCTCGAAGCAAAGAAAGCTCCGATCCGGGAGATCTCTTCTGCGGAAGAGTCTAGACGGGTAGAGGAAATGGATGGTCGGATTCGAAGTCGGTGCTGCGGACTCCTGGAGATCAGGGACCGGAGATACTCCGGAGGTATACTAACGACTATCCATCGACCTACTGTCGCGTTTCTGCACCGGACCGTCTATGAGTTTCTGACCGAACAGATGAACTCAAAAGATTGGCTGGATTTGACGGCAGGAAATCCCGACTTTGATGCCCAGTTATCCTTAGCATCATCATGTGTTTTACTCGCCAAATCTTTGCCTCAACAGCGGGCGATAGACCGCGATTCTCTGCCATGGCAGAGTATACGATGCTGCTTGCACCACTGTTCTATGGTTGAACAGCAACATGCCATCACCACGGAGCTTTTATACGAGCTGAACCGCACCGTGTCTCACCAATTTGCCAAAGTATGGAGTCCAGGACACGAGACAAGCGAACAAAAATTCTGGGCCGTTGCGCCTCCCTTCAGGGGAGCATTACCCTCTAAACACAGCCCCGATTGCTTCTTATCGCTCTCAGTGACATGGGGTCTATCCTTTTTTCTGCAAGATGAGCTCGATCGTAACGAGCACGACATCAAACAACTTGAAAAACTTCTTCACATCGCCGTCTCCAGTTTCATTCTCACATGGTCCGATATCTTAACCCACTCCACCTCCTTCTTACTCTCGCAGCCCGTGCGAATAATAGGATACGCAAGAATCATTTCAACTCTCCTATCAAGCGGCGTAAGCCCAAACAACCACACAAAAGATCCAAAAAGCAGAAGTCCATGGGAAGATCTCCTACATCACTTGCACGATCTACTAGTATCCGACCGCACCGCATTCCTCCGGAATTTCAACCAAGACGGAGGGTATTCACAGACCCTGCTCGATCTGATAGTGGTCATGGTAGTATCAGCAGCCGATCCCAACGCTGCGTTCATTTGGAAAACAAAACATTACCGCGATGTTGAGCATCCGACTGAATTCCGATTGTCGGCATTGCGCGTCATTGAGCTTCTACCATTTGACGAGATGGATGATATCTCCCATGACCGGTCCTGGCATGTAGTCCCTGAAGACCAGCGACCGATTGTGCAGTACCGAACACGACTGATTGCCATGCTCAAGGAGCGAGGTGCTCAGTCTAAGGAATGGACATGTGCTGCTGGGTCAGAAGTGGCTGGGAATAAATCAGCCAGCGATTTGAAAATCGGAGTCGTTGGCGCGAAGAGTAAACGAACGAGTCGTTCGTCGTGGAAACGAATATCGCGAGTATTTCGAAGCTCGAAGGTGGGATAGAATAGCCTCGTATATGTGGAAAATCAATCCTTAGGAGGAGAGGCTTCCTATACAGAAAGAATCCTCATGAAGGACCCGTAAACCAAAGAGAATCATCTGTGAGAAATAGCTATGGAAAAGAGATGGGAAGCTTGGTATTGGATTTAAGTTCGTAGGGTATATAGGCATCAGCGAATTTCTTCAAATTCACGAATTCTTTGTACAGGCTTTGACATTGTATGTCGGGGTATTATAGACAGTATGTGCTGAGTTTCTCTTGCATGAAGCCATTAATCTTACACCGTCATTTACGCTTCTTCAGCGTGTGAATCGACGGGCTTCATGATATCGTCCTCGTCGATAGGTGTTCCGCGCAACTCGGCTTCGATGTGCTTGATGCGCTTCTTCTCTTCGTGAGCGGCTGTATCGCCGAAGATGAGATCCATATCTTCGAGTGTCTGTTGGAGACAGGTTAGCATGATAATTTGAAAGGTAGTGGCATTGGTGCGTAGAAGAGGGGGCATAGAACGTACCTTTCCACGCGTTTCGGGAATACAGAAGAAGGTGAATGCCAGAGCAAGAAGACAGAATGCAGCGAAGAAGATGTATGTGCCCCAGGTGATGGACTCGAGCATGTCAGGAGTGACCAGGCCGATGATGCTGCAAGACAGAGATTCTTAGAATTGAATGATTCGACTGGGGATGCTAGGACTTACAAGTTACACATCCATGTTGCAGAAGTCGTAATAGAGATGGCCTTGGATCTAATCGACAGATTGAAAATCTCCGAAGGAAGAACCCAACCAATGGGGGCTGTAAAGAAAGATTATTAGTTGATGCCAGAGAATAAAGCCAGCAAGGATTGTAAGACTCAATCTTACCAAATGAATAGGAGAAGTTGACATCATAAATGTAGATGAAAGCAATACCGGCCCACCCAGCGGATTTGTTGTCGACGAGGCCGGATCCAAAGCCGCCCAAAATGCCGCCCACAATCACTAGTGAAATGCAAGTGCCTGTGGCTCCAGCCATAAGCAGAGGTCGGCGACCGACTTTGTCGATGAAGAAGAGAGCTGGAAGTGTGCTGAGGGTGTTGACGATACCGTAAACACCAGTAGCAAGGAGGGAGGTCGTGTTGCCATCCAGGCCTAGTTGGGCGAAGATTGTAGGTGCGTAGTAGATCATGGCTATAGGAATCAGATATTGCTATAGATAAATGGACAGCCAGGGAATTGACGTACCGTTACAACCCATGAACTGCTGGAAGAACATCACGATGCAGCCAATAGCCAGCCGCTTGAAGCGAGGCCATGATGTAAGAAGGGACATGTACTTTGAAATAGTGTCAATGAGATTCGATCAAACCAGAGAAAATTGGCACAAACCTGAGCATAGTGCAATCTCCATCCAGATAGGTTAGGGAAATTGTCCTTCGCAAAGGAGTTTTCCAACATGATAGAGGCCTTGATTTCAAGGTACTCGTTGAGCAGAACAGGGCTATCACGGGATTGTCGGCGGAGTCTTGAAAGCGCATTGAGTGATTCGTCATCACGCTCCTTCATCATCAACCAACGCGGCGAGTCAGGGAAGAACAGCATTCCAATACCCAGGATAACGGCTGGCAGGATTTGCAGGGCGAGAGGAAGACGCCATGAAACCTCAGATTGGCCGGTGCAGCCTCCAGCAGGAACATCGTTGTACGGATCGAAGGCAGGCTTCAGAAGCGTGCCTCCGGTGTATGGTGTATCAGGAGCACAACGAGTGCCACCAATGTAGTTCGTTCCATAGTCAATCCAGTAACTGAAGAGAATTCCCAAAGTGACAGATACTAAACTTGAATCAGCCGACGTACTACATCCGGACCTCGAAGCAAAAACTTACATTGCTGTAGAACGACCAATCCTCCACGAATTTCCGGAATAGAAACCTCAGAGATGTACAGAGGCACAACCATTGTCAATTGACCAACGGCCAAACCAGCAATAGCACGACCGGCAAAAAGCATGGACACGTTCATAGCCGCACATTGGATGATAGAACCAATAGTAAAAACAATAACAGCCAAATTAATCGACAGCTTTCGACCAATTCTATCGGCAATAGGACCATTGATCAAAGAACCAAACCAGGCTGCCAACAACAGCGTCGACACAAACCAACCCTTGAACCCGCTTTCCGTGAAGACACGAGGGTATCGAGCCGCGAAGGACTCCATAGTGACAACACCGCTAATGACACCTTGATCATATCCAAACAACAGACCACCCAGACTCGAGAACTGAACACGACGTTAGAAACAGTTTATAGAGCAAGAAGATACCAAATGCAAACACAGAGTACATACCGCTGCTACACCACAGAGATAGGGATTCTGCATGACAAGCGCAAAGCCGCCCTTCGGGGCGCTCTCCGTAACAGTAGCCATGATACCCAGAATTTTTCTTAGGTCTCAGCTGATCTCTTCGAAGCGGTAAGCCCTGTCGCTTTATATATGCTTCCCCTCTGTGCCAACCTATATGGCGAGCATCGATGGTTACCTCCGGTTCGCTCTGCCAGGAACACAGTACTCCGTCTGGTATACAAGAAGCAAGCAGGAACACAGTACTCCGGGAAGCCGAAGGAGCACATAGTCTGATATAGGCAAGTCGAAACGGAGTGGTCTCCTCCGATCCAATGGAAACGGCAGGCAGAGAAAAGGACGGGGCCGAAGCTGGGGGGGTGGACTTCCCCGATATTTCTGGTGGACCGACTGTCCCGAGGTCGGGGGAGGTGATAATGCGGGGAACACCCCTGTCCTGGGAGGTCTCTGCGCACCCTGGGTGTCTTCGGGGAATACAGAGGCAACAGAAGCTGATTTATAGATCAGCATACACCATATATTCCATATCGAATATAGATTCCAACAAAATAGAATGAATCTCGGTGTCGCCCTGCGTAGATTCGGGCGGATGTATCCCGAAGCCCGGTGGGGAATGGCGTCAAGTGGAACTCTGAAACGTGGAGAGTCGGGGTAATTCCGATCGCAAGAATATCTGCAATTCGGATGTGGAGGGTGAAAAGTCACAAGATGAACGGCTCATCATGAGCGAATGCTCGAATGAACTCTCCTCATTCGGGCGTTTCTGCCCATGTGACCTTCCCCATCCCGTGCATGTCGCGCGATTATGCGCGCATTAGCAAAGGGCATTTGTAGGTTGATTTTGGTTCATTGCCGTGACATGCAGGTATTGCAGAGCAGAATCTGCGCAACCTAGACATGTGAAGCTCGCGCTTTCCTCAGCAACTGAGTGCTGCATTTACCCAGCACATAACCCTCTATACCTACATGTAGGTTAGGTATATCTACGCACTAACCTCTCGCCTTCTAGGCAGACTTCCACACGATATTCAAGATGTCACAGCCTTTCCACATCGGAGTCCTTCTCGCAGGAACCGTCCAACTCCTCGATCTAGCAGCCATCGATCTCCTCTACATGACAACCCCAGAATACCTCCAGGAATGCTCTCTCCCACAGCCACTTGTTGACATGGGCCGGCCCTGCGAGATCCACTACATCGCCCACCAGGGAAGAGACGCAATGGTCGGTACAACCGCTCAAATGAGCCTGCGACTAACCGACTCGCTTGCGGACGATGCCGTCGCCCCAGGGAAACTAGACGTAGTGGTTATCCCCGGCCCATCACCCAAAGATATGCCCCCGGCAGAAGAATACCTTGACTTTGTGCGCAAGCACCACGCAGCAGGCACGTCCATTCTGAGTATCTGCACGGGAGCATATGTGATCGGATACTCGGGAATCGCAAATGGTAGGGAAGTCACCGCGCCACGACTGTTGATACCCGAGATGAAGAGAAAGTTCCCAGAAGCGAAGTGGGATGACTCGGTGAGGGTAGCAAGAGATGGCAATTTATGGACCAGTGGTATGTGCATGGATTCTCCTTTTCTATTTATACTGTTTATACTGCACCTAGATACTGAGAATCATAGGTGGTATTACAAATGGACACGATCTCGTTGTCGGGTTTCTGCGAGAACATTACCCTGCAGCACTCGTGAACACCATCCTTGTCGCAGCAGACATTCCCTCCCGACCAGTGGCGTACAGTGGTTCCGCGACTAGCGAGACAGTCTATGTAGTATGGCAGGTTATCAGAGCCATCCCACACGCAGTGATTCGGCTGTTTAGGAAATGAGTTTCTGCACCTAGGCACCGAACTTCTAGAAGCGACCCCCGACGTCATCCCGAGGCTCCTCTGTCAAATCAACGATCAAGTTTTTGTTTTTAATTAAAAAAAAGGAAGATATAATGAAACGAATTTCCTAATGATAATCAAAAAAGTACATTCAAATAAAAAACAGCCAAGTACTACAAAAATGCCCATCAAACTCTTCATCCTCGTCTTCGTTGCCTCACCCCTCGACTACGCCCGCTACCGACACACAGCATTATACCTTGAATTTAGCGACCCACAACCAACACAGACAGAGCTACCGATCAAATCATCTTTCGCAGAGGTAGTCGGGTCAACCGGCTACTACAGTTTCTCAGAACGAGTGAATTGGGAGATCCCTAGTTCCTCCACAGGTAGGATCCACATCCTTGCTATACTTGATATCGCGAGAACATGCAACACCCGATACTCTGTTACTATGAAATCCCCAAGATGGATAACAGCTAATTTATTCAGACTTGGCACGTACAATCCCCGTGGCCACACTCTCATCCTCAACACCTATCTCACATCTACGAGAGACGATATCCAGGACTCCAATCCCGGAAGTCCCAGCAGGGGAAGAAGACTGGAACAGCCAGAACTGGGTGTGGGATACGCTAGAGCGACTTGTCGTTGCGGGGTATATAGACGCTGAGACGAAGGATCGCGGGTTAGAGGAGATGGTTGAAGTTGTTTTAGAGGCTGGGGATGAGGAGATTCCAGTGTGAAGTATCATGTGCATATAATGTATTTTTAGATCTTATATTTGGATATAAGAAAGTAAGATAGTCTAGAGCCTCTGGCTTTGAATGCTAATAGAATACCACGAAATAAGAGAGCCCACGGTCAAAAGATATGGTATTCTCTTCGGAATGCATGGAACAAAGTCTATAGAACTATTCAAGCACCAGGCTTTATGATAGAAGAAGAGAATAGAAAACCCCTGTATTCATCTAAGGAGAAGGAAGGGAAGGAGGCTATTTGTAGCATAGCAAGGAACAGAAGTCATATGACTTCAACCAAGAACAAAATCAGTCATTCCATCGCGTCAGGAGTATCATTTCCAACCATCAACCGAAAGACTCAAACCAAGACACTGTGTATCTCCCACAGTCCCAATCTAAGCATCCTCATCAGTACCGCCCACAATTCCACAAATCGCCGATCCACACCCCATGCCCTGCTACAACCTGAGTTTCCACCAGATCAGACATCCACGCGAAGAGATAACGAGTGGGCAGAAATGAAACGCCCGCATTCAAACTCGCCAAGAAGTATATCCTTGAAACAGCCATCAAAAGAGAAAAAAAGACATCATCATGCCGATGAACACTCAAAGATCTCTTTCCTCGGAATATAGAAGGGATCGCATGCAATATGGCGCAGAGTCACCGCAACCCAACTCATAGCCGGGGTCCCGCAGCGACAGAAACGCAGGGTCATGACTTGTCCCTAACAGCAGGGACAGATTGGTGTCGAGCTCTGGATAGGTGGGGTGCGTATCGAGCGAGATATCTCGTCTAGCGGAGAAGTATTCAGACTTCCGTATTTAAAGCGATGGAGGCCTTCGACCGGGGTTTCATTTGCGCATTGAGCGCTTTTGTGTATATAGAGCATCGAGCAAAGCCGGGCTGGTTTCATAGACGCGGACATGAAAAGCTCTAATCCATCTTGCGTGGCTTTTTTGTTGCATGAACTTGGCGAGTAGTAGGGCTTTCCGCTCTTCAGGATCTGATTGATTGAGGATTCATTTCAGGGAGACGGTTTCAAATATAGACATTATTCGATAACCGTGTCCGGATTTGCAATGGCGGCGCTTCTTGGGGGGCAGATTTCAAACGAATGCAGAAATGTTGAAGTAAACGGAGGTTTCACGGTAGGAAGCACCCTGAGATAAACGATGAGGCGTCGTTTAGCAGATAACGACGACGAAGTCTGGATAGTTTCGTGTCTTTCGGTATCAACGAAACAAGAGTTGTTTGTGTTGAGTGGTGTTGGCCTCAGGAGTGACGCTTGTAGAACAGATATCTAGATATTTTTGGAGTTCATCTTTTTTTTCCATTATCGACCCTCTCCCTCCTGCGTTCGGGCTCACATATAACAGTCGCAGAATATCTATAAGCTCGGGCTCTCGGAATCTCTGCCCTATAGGTATAGATGAAGTATGCAGCACAGTTGACCTAAGTGACGAATGCTGGATGGTGGTCTGGGTAGTAGATGCCAGCTAGATCCTAGAGAAGGAATCAGTGATATAATTAGAAAGGTTCCAAGAATTTGGAGGTGACAAAGGAAGGGCTGGCCAAGCTGCAGCTCCGTAAGAACCACATGGTGATATAATAAGGTTAGAAGGTCGGTGCGATTGCTTTTTAACCCTCGCAGATACTCATGGGTCGGGCTAGACCACGTTCCACTATTTAGGCTTTTATATGAAGTTTGATCAAACTGTCAGCAATCAAAATAACCCCCGGAGCGGCCCTGGGCTAATACTTCTTCTCCCCTTACGTTCTACCCCTGCATCTACAGACACATACATATAGTTCAATAAGAATGCATTTCTTGTAGTTCCAAATCTGTAAAAAAAAAGATAGACTCGGAGAAGAAGAGAAGAGAAAATCAAAGGCCCCGAGGCTTAAAATGGGAAAAAAAAACAATCTGGGCAAGAACGCTCGTACCATGCAACGCGCTGGACCACGCTAAAAAGGACAATCATAGGGAGGAGAGAAAGAATGGGATGGAGAAAAGAGGGGCGATTGTAACTCAGGCCTATCACAAACCCTAGATAAACAAGAGAAAGAGACGTGCTGACCCAGTCCCCCGAACAATCCATGATACGAGGCGATTAACCCAGGATGATCGGTATGAGGGGAAGAACTGCATGACAAAAGTCCATAGATCACCCGGTCACAGCCTTATCTTCGATCATGTCGATCGTGTCGATCATGTCGATCATGGGGTTCCCAATGAATCGGTTCGAAATCTGAATTCTGGAAATGTGCCTGATTGTATGGGGAACTAGGAAACACTGATCAGGAACTGAGGCTATGATTGCATTGACAGAACTCACTTTTTGAAAGGGGTAGTGACGGGCAGCGAGCGGCTCAGATTCGGTTTCATCACCAGCGGGTTCAGACGAATTTGTGGACCGTCTGATGATCGACTGGGCAGCGAAGTCATCGGGGGTGGGGCGGCGGAGGGTGGCGCAATTTGTGTTGGAGGAGATGAGACAGGAACTGGCGGAATGGGTGCATGGCTCTGCATGGGCGATTGGTACATGTCCTGTTGTGGAGACATGCGGAATGGACTACCGGGGGATGGCGAGACAGAAGGCATGGGGGACATAGGAGCGCCCATCCCAAAGGATGTATCCTGCATCAGATTGGGGATGGCCATTAAGCTTGAATTGACATCGAAGCCGAGAGCAGCTTGATCCCAAGGGGAGTAGTCGGTCGTCATTCCATATTGGAGGTTAACTATGGGTGCCATGTTCAAGGCAGTGTGCACCGGATAGAGGAGATCATAGTGACCGCTGCATGGGATGTTAGGCTTAACACAAAACACACGTGAGCGGCTGGAATAACTCACGGTCGGTACAGAAGACGGATTGTTGCATCTTCACGGCGGAGAGAGGAGAGTTGGTGAGGTGTCACCACGTCACCTTCACTTCGATCAAGGTACAGAATTTCGACGCCAAAGCCAGATCCATCAATCACGCCATCGATCAACGCCTGGAGACCAACTTCGTCGATTTCGCTCTTCACCGGCTCTATTCGCGAACTGCAATATTGATCCACCGATGTCGGGAGGAAAGCCTGATAGCGGTCTGAGTTGAGTTTGATCCACGCACTAGTCAAGATCTTCATGCCGAAACAATCAGTCTATATCCAAACAGTAATCCAACATGCTATTCGGCAGGACTTACTCGGAAGTGAGTAATGATGCTATTGTTGTAAAAGCCGTCATTGAAAAGATTGACGAGGAAAGACTCGTCTTGAGCGCCATTGTGAATAGCAGCACGCGTTTGGTCAAGGACATCTAGCGTGGCATCCACAAACATCTCATAGATGGAATCCGATATCCCAACCTGATCCAAAAGCTTGCTGAGATCCTTCATCCGCTGAATCTCAGCATTTATGCGGAGCGTGTCTCTGAGGTTGAAGAGGGATTCGAAGTAACCAAACGCCACGGCTGCATATGATTAGCATGGAGTCCGCCGATTATAGGCTGTACACAACAATACCTCTCCAACCACAATCCCCATCGCCTTTCATGATGCGGCATTCGGGGTGGGTGACAGCCAGCGCCTGGGTACAGTGAGTCAGATGCGAAACACAATGTAGTCACACAGAAGGCTCAAGCCACGAAAGCTTACATTTGTCTTTGTGACTAGAGTCGGATCTGCATTGGAGTAATCCAAGGCAATGCTGTGACTCGACTGCTTGGCTGAGACAAGGGGACCCTGTCGATACGCTGTCAGCCATTGCCTGCCGATCAGGGCAGATAGAAGCTTATTTACCGGGATATCTGGCTGATAACTATTGGACAGCTTCTGGAAGCGTTCCATCTCGTCGGGCGAGAGAGCATTCATATTGGCGGAGGTGCAAGAGATCGGATGGGAGAATGCAGCTGATAATGAAAGGGCCACCGGAGAGAAAAAAGACGAAGAAAGGGCGTGCCGGTAGAAATGGGCGGAATACTGCTTTTCCGGGAACGGCTGGTGAGGACCGAAATGATTCCAAGTAGGTTTTGATAAGGACATCGCATACGGCAAGAATGGGGATTATTGGAAGGAGTCGAAGAGTCCACGTGGGTTTATGTCAAAAGTGTCTGGAGATGTCAGAACGAAATGAAATGGACCTGGGGAATGCCAATAAATAATCGAAAAAAGAAAAGAAAGAAAAAGAAAAGCAGAAAAAACGAGGTGACATACAGCTCCCGTTGACATTTCCTGGGGACTTCGGGGTGAAATACGGACACCGTCACACTGTAGTGTATCCCGGCACAATGGATCGACTTCTACTATCATAGTCTCAGCATGATGATCGAGACGCAACACATGGCAGTCATGGTAAGGTTAACATCAGGCCGAACACCCGGGGCCAAGGGGATACAAGAAACATGGGGCAGAGGGGAGGTGTGTACTACAAGCCTCTCGGACGGGCAACTCTCCCCGTGATGTTAAAAGGGGGAAGAAGGGTCAAGCAATATCACAATCACATTGTGGACGAAAAAGGAAAACGTGAATGACGTTATGAGGGCAAGCCTCCACGTCAAAAGGCTAGAAGCCGGTTGTCAGGGTCTTCAGGGGTCTCCTTTCGAAGCACGAGCCACCTCATCTGGGGGGAAGAAAGAAAAAGGACCCCGAAATCCCGGAAATATCTCTCTGATTTTGCTTCTCACGGATATAGATTCCGGGGGGAATTCTGGAGTGCCAGAGAAGTGGGCTGTAAGGGGACCAAGAGCAGAGACATATGACACGCAATGACAAAATCAAACGATACGATCGGGGAGAAGATGTGCCCACCTGGTAGTTTTTTTGCCTATGATCTTGCCGATGAGATAATCATGGAGGGGGAAGCAGAGAGAAGCCGAGTGAGACCGAGGGTGTGTGGTTAAACCCGGAGAGAGAGCAAGGATGAAGAGAGAGTTCACGAGTCCAAGAGCCCAGAGCGATGATCGATCTCACGAAAAACTTGCAAACCTGCAAACTTGGAGGCTTGGAGGATTTAGGAGGATTGCGGATTAGGGAGTTTAGGGGAATTCGAGGGGGAAGTTTGGCGGGGGGAGATTTCCAGATGTGCGAAAAGGAAAAAGATGCAACACCGTCTTCTTTTTTTTCTCGTGCTCTCCTATATGGAACGTGGAATATGAAAATAAAACAAAAGAGAAAGGCGAAAAGAAAAGATAAAATAAAATAATATATGAACGATGCACCGTGCCCCATCTCGGCCATACAGCTGTCTGAAGATGCTGATCGAACAACACAAACATCTCGCGTAAACGCCCAGTCTTCTTTCCTTTTTTTTTTTTGTATTGTCGTATCTGTTGGGAGTACAGCCTGTATACCCCACAAATCCCCTCGGTCGATATTTCAATTGACAGGAGAGGCGTCGGGGTCTCCCTATATCGGAGCTATTATACAATGGACTCTCCCCCCCACACACCCCATACCCACCGAGGCTCCAATTGCACAGGACTAATCGGGGAGCTATATAGGCTCCACGGAGTTACCTAACTGGGGATATAACATGACAGGGGAAAGGAGAAAAAAAAAAAAAGAAACAGATCTGCTGGTAAAAAGGCCCCCAAAGCGGGGTTTGAAAGCGTCCAGGGCTAAGGACTGGGTTATTTGATTCCCTGCGCCCCGTCGTGATTGGTGCAGCCCTCCGGTCAATGCAGATACGCGGTTTCCCCGTCTCTTTCTTTTTGCTTTTCTTTTGGCTTTTGGTGTGGCGGTGGCCTTACTGGCTGGTCTTGCGGTATAAGTTATCGCCATCACCCGACCTGGTGCTCGGTCCTAGAGTTGGTTTATCGTGACTGCAAAGGTAGATCCCCTTTGAGGCAATTCAAGGAAATCCCACGATCGCCAGCCGGAACCCAGATGCTGTCAATGCGGATTGCCCAGAACTTAGAAAAAATCAGGTTACAGGAAAGCCAGAACGGCGTACCTGATGCGCCGCGATCCATGTAAACCTATGAGAAAGATAAGGTCCCATGTCGGCGCAAATGGGTCTTCGCATTGACGTTCTTTTTTTATCTTTTGGTTGCCTTTTCTTTGTTGGAATATCCTCTAAATCCCGGTTCACTGATCGGGCCCAGGTGTTATACTTCGAGTCCCAAGCACCTTACGTGAGACCGGACTGGTGAACCTTCCAAGGCAGGAAGGACATGGATCTCCCGAGCTATCGACGTAGGAACCTTCAAAGCTTCACAAATTGGCTTCCCCAGCTACAAGACTACAGACCCGTGCTCTGTACACGATATACACTATTCCGTACAGGCGTTGTAAATGATTCATCTGATCGTGATTTTAGCGTCTGTCAGACCAACTCTAAATAGCGGGTCAAAACAACAGTCCTTTCGCGCAATGTTCGCCCATTGCTGCGACAAAGAATCGGTGTGAGATCTCGTCCTTTTTTTAGTCTGTTTCAACGCGGCTCAGCCGAATACACGTCATTTGACACGGTTCCCGGGATATCGGGAACAGATCCAGGCGCTTAAAAAGTCCTGGAATGCACTTTCAAAGGACAAAACGACCGCCTAGACTTCTAGATTAACCATCTCGACGGTTGTTTGCCTCGGGGATCTTTTCGAGCCCGGAGACCCGATCGCAGTCCCTCTCCAACACTCGACTCGAATGCAAATCGAGGAGGGTCATTGGCACGCAGCCCCTCACCGTTCAGGGTTGTTTGCCAAAGAGTCCGCAGCGCTGAGCTCCACTCTCCCACAGCGCGCAGTCGCTCCACGTCACTCGCGCTTTCCACCAATACAGTCCCGTTATCCTGGTCAATCTTGGCATGGAGCTTTTTGTCGAGGATGAGGAAGCTGAGGATATCCAGGACCTCGGGCACAGAGATCTTGAGATGCTTGGAGATAAATTGCAAAGAGAACCGCGTATAGGGTGCGATCAATTTAAGAACGGCCTTAGTGCGCATGTTGCGGCTAACCTCGTCGATGTTCTCCGCAATGAAAGGGTCGGCCAAGACATCGGGATGTTTGCTCAGGACAGCCTCATATGCATGGTAATCATCGCGCTGGAAGGCATCCACCAAATCGGTCATCGCTGAAATGCGGGGATCATTCTTGTAAGGCTTGGTTTCTTGGGAATCGAAGGGGTTGATGTCGGATTTCATAAGCATGGTCGTTAGGACAAGGTACTTGAGCACTTGGATTCGTTGCATGGAGCCCGCTTCGTCGTAATTTCGGAATGACTCAAAGAAATCGCTTTGTGCCTCCTTCCAGTTCTCTTCGCTCATGTGCATCTTGCCTCCGCATTCTCGGATGATACCCATAATCTTGGGATGGGGCACTGCCGACCGCACTCGGAGGGCGCGCTGGTACAAGACCTTCAGCCGTTTGTTATTCTTCGTCTCGGCGAACATCTGAATTTCGAGGGCGTAAAGCTCGAGTAAATATGTTCCCTTGCTGGTATCGTCCGTCCCGTCCTCTCGCTGGCATGCCCGGTGCAACTCCCGCATCTTCTTGCCCAGTTGACTATATTGCTTGCGCTCCAGCCAGAGTCGAGCTAGCTTAATGTTGGTCTTCAACCAAAGACGCTCGTTGTTTGTGTTTTGGAATGATTCGAGGGTCAGAGAGTAGAACTGCTCCATGCATTGGTATGCCTTTGCATTATCCGACCCTTTCTCAATAAAGTCCAGCATATTGTTGATTGATTTCTCTGAGTAATTTCGCGTGACGGCGGATTTGACATATGTGAGTAGTTCCCGATAGTGTTCAACGGTCTAATCAAGAAAACGAAAGTCAGTACATAGACAGCTAGGTGAGCTTGGGATATGAACTCACATCGCTATATCGCCCAAGCTTAAATTCCAACTTGATAGCCTGTTTGAGGCCCTTGAATCCCCTGTCCTCTGCGATTAGTGCCATTCGCCGTGATCAGTTCAGAAGCGAACGATTACCATTCACTTTTGTCTTGTTCCATTGGCGCTATGCCTAGGAACTCATCGACCGCCTCCTCCGGATTGTCCACCTTGATCTGCTTGGCATTGTAGTATTTGTTCTCGATTCCAATGTCCCCGGAATCATCGTCATCGGCATCCTCATATTCAAAGTCGTAACTGCGTTGAGCCGGTCAGCTCGGTCTGGAAGGCGAAGTGGGGAAGGGCCAATACTCCTCATCTCCGGAGTCTTGCATAAAGTCATCATCGTCAGACATCTTGGGCGCGTGATACGTTGAAAATGAGAACAAGGATAGGGTGGAGAGCGTGTCGCAAAGTGGTGGGGTCGAGGTGTTGGAGTTGGAAGCTTGGTGAGATAACAGCGAGCTTTCCGCCTTGACTATCGCGAAAGCACTGACTTCAAGTCGCTACACTCACCGTATTGCACCTACAACTACATGTATATTCTAGCAAGACTGGCTCAGCTACGAGCGTAGATTATATTACCATGCACTGATTGACTAGATTGAATACTTCAAATCGTGGTTGTCAATCGTGGATGATCGGCCTACTTGGGCAAAATAGCAAAATACCTCCAGGCCCTGGGCCGATATGTATCTACATACAGGGACAGGGAAGACAACCCGAACGCCACGCTTCACCGATGAATCCCAGGAAAGAGACATTGGGCTGTTAGCCCAGGTCACCTGCAGTAGAAAGGAAATTAAGAGGTCCACCCTCAGGGCTCAATCTTCGAATCCTGTCGGTTTTGTTGCCAGCTATCAGGGGCTTGGTATGTTGATTGTCACAGCTTTGAACTCTCTGGACATTCAAGTCTCGGGAATTTAGGATCGTAAATTAGAGGGGGAAGTCAATTAAGGCCCAATACGAAGATAGTAAAAGGCACGTACGGAGTAGAGGCTGCAGAAGATGAATAGAACGGGGGCACTTTCTACCTATTCATTGGTAGCCCCTTGCCGGGAGTATAGCGCCCTAAAACATAGAACAATCAGGAACACATGCCAACAAACATACTCCATGCAAATTACACTAAGACAACTCTGAAATTCAGCCCAAATACCTGGGTAAGCAGCCAACTCATCAAAGAAAGAAAAAAAAAAGACCTTCGGTGGACCAGAAGGGGGCTTGGTACGCTATTCGCCGATCCCTTCAGGCCGCGATGTCATCGACTCAACTGGAGTCTTGGAATCTTCCCCCGACAACAACCCCAATCTGCTCCCACTCTCTAAATACCCCCGATTTTTAGACGATCTACCACTCTACAACATAACGCACAGAACGTGAATATCCTGTCCCGACTTACTCCTTACATCCTTCCTTCGAGTCTCCTGAATCAGATCACTTTGCGCAATGGGGCTATGCGGTCGAGAGAAGATGGTCCAGCGCAAGATGGTGCTGCTGTCAGTTTTGATCAGAATTTCCCCGCTGATGATTGGTGAATGGGCTGACATTCTTACAGAGGTGATGGTGCCTGCGGCAAGACATCGGCGTTGAATGTGTTTACTCGTGGGTGCGCAATCCCCCCTCGCATTCGTTACCCCCTCACCGGTTGATGACAGCATAGCTAACGGGCCTTTGACTAGATTTTTCCCGACTGTCTAGTAAGAAATTCCGATACTTTCGAAGCAAGCTTTCAATTGCAGGTTATTGATGCTGGTTACTGGCACTTAGCGAGCCCACGGTTTTTGGTATGCGCATCTCTCGGAGCTGAAGTTATTGGATTGGTTGCTAATGGAGAAATACAGAAAACTACGTTCACGGTATTACCCCATTCCCCCCCTGAGATGTGACCCTCGAAACTCATATGCGGCTTAGATATCTTCGTTGATGGCATACATGTGGAGCTCTCGCTTTGGGATACAGCTGGGCAAGAAGAATTCGATCGATTGCGCGCATTGTCCTACGAGGATACACATGTGCTCATGCTCTGCTTCAGCGTAAGAAAATTGTTCTTCTATTACCGCAGCATACAAGCTAATGAAGCTTGTGCACAGGTCGACAGCCCGGATTCCTTCGAGAACGTCTCGTCAAAATGGATCGCAGAGATTAACGAGAACTGTCCTGGCGTGCGGGTGGTCTTGACGGCACTCAAGTGCGACTTGCGCAAGGATGAAGAAATGAACGATAACCCCGACACCATCAGCTTTGATCAGGGCCTGGCGAAAGCAAAGGAGATTGGTGCAGTGAAGTACCTCGGTGAGTCGATCTCGAAGCTATCTATCCTATCGCACTGCTGATCTCCCCTCCAGAATGCTCTGCAGTCCAAAACCGCGGCATCAGAGAAAGCTTCTACGAAGCTGCCAAGGTCGCCCTTGAGGTCAACGCCGGTGGGAGCTCATCCTCCGGTGGGTCGTGCATCATCCAGTGAGGTGGTGTCTTCGTGCTCCGATGCTTGGAATCAATGACCGCATTGTGTGCTAGTAATTTGGTTTTACATGCCAACGGGATAGTCATCCTTCTGATGATATCCACCACCGCTTCCCCTTTCTTTCGCCCTGTCTTCTTTTGCTTTACATTTTCCCCTCAGCAAAGTCTGTTGATTCCCCCATGCATATTCTAATTTGCTTTCTCTCTCTCTCTCTTTCTCTCTTTCTTTCTTTCTCTTCTTTCTCTTCTTTTTTTTCCCACTGGAGCAGATACAATCTCTACTCCACTCACACCCAACATACCACGGCACAGATATTGGTCTATGTTGGTTGCATGATGCATAGCTCGGGACCTCTGTGTTCCGAGCATTTCAGCGAGGTTGGTTTTTTGACGCCTTTATTACGATACACAAATATAATTCTTATCGGCTCCTCTTTCGGGCTTCATTGGATTTGCGACGAGCTCTAATATCTCCTTCCAGTGACTCAAATGTTCTCAACTATATACCCACCGCTTTTATTCCACCGTCCCCAAGCATCTTGACACCATACCATGGTTGATGTTGGGCTGCTTATCTGCCGGCAGTTTCTCTCTTTCTTGCTGGCCGAGGACCTCCAAGGTCCTGGGGCCTTATGTTTCTCCATATTTCGGCTTTTGATCACCCGATGTGGGCTGATTTGCAATATGACTATGCTTTGATTACTCCGTACAGTCTTCCAAATGCAGGTCCACACTGGGCTTTTTACAATGCATCCATCCAGTCAAATCACTAGAGACATAATCCTGTATCTGCACTCCCGCCCTAGGTAAATGTAAATACATCTAGTTTCCTACAAGCTCGACGACTCTCAAACAAGAGCAAGAATACGCCAACAATAAAACAATCAACACCCAAAGCACCAACACAGACATCTTAGAAAGAATTGAGTAAATCTTCCTCCTTCACCTGATAAACCTCATCAATCCTCTCCCCCAGCGGCGTATCCCCACAAGCAAAGTCCGTATTAATCCGACTAACAAACCTCTCGACAAACCCAACAGCAACATCCCCAATCTCCAGTCCCGGAACACCAACACCCTGCAAACTAGTAGCCTCCTTACCCTCCAACCCACAAGCCACAATCTGCTTGAAGAACCACATCGGCTCGTCCGTAACATTCAACCCAATCCCAAAACTGCTAATATTGCGCCGCAGATGCACTCCAACGGCAGTGATCTTCTTTGCCTGCGATGCGCCCTTCGATACCCACACGCCCGGGTCTTCGGTCGTGAAACCCTCCACGCCGTAGCTTTTCAGAAGGTCGATGACGCTGTTCTCTAGCACGCGGATGTGGCAGCGCGGGGTCAGCCCCAGTCTCTTGAGATCGAGGATTGTGTATGCGACCATCTGGCCCGGTCCGTGGTAGGTTGTCTGTCCGCCGCGGAGGGTCGGGTGGTACTCTGCCTTTGGGGGGTTGGCGCCATTCGGAATGAGGAGGGAGCGGATGGGTTCGAGAGCGTCGGGCAGGGAGAGGTTGGGGTTTGTGATGTCTGGTGGGCTTGTGTTTGAAGGTGGGAGGTCGCGACGGCCGGTGGTGTAGACCGGGTTTGGGGTGAAGGTGATGATTGTTGGGTCTGGGGGTGGAGGTGGGGTGTTGGCTAGTGTGGCGCTTGATTTGCCCGAGGTTTGGGAGAGGAGGGAGCCCGGGGAGGAGAGCTTTTTGTGCGTGAGGAGGCGGGATGTGAGGGCTTGCTGGATGTGCGAGACGCGGCTGAAGGGCGTTGTGTGGGGGAGGTGGAGGTGGGCGAGTCTCATTTTGGGTGGTTTGGTATGTGATGGGGTATTTGGGGGGTTGAGGATGTGGAATTGTATCTTTTAGCGCATTGTTTGGTGGTCCGAGAGGGCGTTATGTTTTCCACGGAGGTTGAGGTCGGTTGTTGCGGAGAAGCTGGGAGCTCGCTCCGATAAGGTTTGATAAGTGGCGGTATTCGATCTTGTTCAGTGGCTGCTTTCATACTTGGGAGTATTTAACATTATGACTTTGGATTTGATATCTAGATGTCCAATTATTTGGATTGCCTTCTATCTCGTTAATTGTACTTGGTTGTGCATGTTTTCTCGGACTAATCTCATGTGCAGGAAAAACAACGTTACATGTAGGCAATCACAATCGAGTGGATTCAAGGGAATCGAGAAGCATTCATTGTCATAAAAATATTTAAACTGAACGAACAAATCATACTTTTCGAACTGCCCAGGGACATGTTGGTGGTGTCATAAAGACCAGAGCATATCAACACCCAAACTATGAGGAGGGCACCCCATTGACCAGCCCGGAATCCTGCTGCTCAGCGGGAAGCAGAACCCAGTCGCGCACACCACCCTTCCAATCAGCAATACGGCCCTCAGTAACTCTTACAGTCACAACCCGCACATCACCATCAATGGAGAGGCTAGGCCGTCTTTGGCTAGGATCCTGTTGCTGCTGACCGAAGAGGTTGATCTCTTCCTCCTCGAAGGTATTATTTTCCAAATGGCGGGCCTTGCACCACGACTCCTCTTCCGAGCCGGACTCCAAAAACTTCGCCTCACCGGTAATGGTAGTGGAGATGCTGGAGAGGGCGCTAGTGTTTAGGTTGAGGAGCAGGCTAGCAAGAGACGAGCGGGTAGCAGCGGGTGGTGGGGAGCCATCGCGGTCACCGTGCGTCGGAGCTCGGGTTGGTGGGCGATGCGATACCCAGTCATGGACCAGCAGCGAGACTCGCGGGTTGGACAACAGGTGGTTGGTTTTCCGCGATGCGGGGTTCGTTGTCATGATGATGGTGGGGTACGGGTCAAAGGGGGTCGAAGGAAGATAGGTGTAAGACATCAGGGAGATGTGAGGTGTCTTGTCATCGCATGTTGCTAGATGCAACTTGATTGAGAAGTAAAAGGTCAGTTATGAATTGATTTATCTAGGCGATGGTTGGCACTATGTACTTACGAAGCGGGAGTTCTTAAGACATGAGATGACCTCGGATGGCAACGAAGTAGCGACATGAGGGTGAGTAGTGGTCGCAGATGCCTCGTAAGACAGTGGAGGGTTGAGTGATTCAGTCATTTTCAGAACATTCGAGGACCAAAACGATCGTAATGAAACTCCGGAGCGAGATGGGGTTGAGATCTGCCATCCGGGGCGGTGTCCTGTTGCCCAATGGCTTCTAGGCGATCTTCGTCTGGCAGCGACGTCATCACTCCATATTCGCCTGCTTCCAACCGTGACCGACAGGGGTTATCCCGATGCGTTTGACATGGCCATCTACTGTTTTTGACTCATTTTTGAATCAATTCAAGTATAACGCTTTTCAACTAGTTCCCATGTACGGACTATTCTGTACGGAGTACGGAGTTGTTTGAGGTGCGGTGGAAGAGCGTGGAGATAAGCCAGACAGGTTTCATCATAATGGCCGTAGACATGTCCGATCGGGTGCACATGTGGTACATCACTTATGATTTCGCGCCGTAGGACTACAGAGTAGTGTTCTTATTATGGAGTACTGAAAGGTATTCCAACCTTCACATGTTTATCCCAAGACGCTATCTAAAACTACGGTAGCCTGCATAAGTGGCACAGATGCTCGTATGGTGTAGGCGTATGGAGTACTTTGTATCGAATACATCTCCGCCATGTCATCATTACCCACCTTGTAGTGGCAGATTGGCTGTGATCCGGGGCAAAGGAGACCAGCACCGCCCGTCGCCTGGACCGAGTCGGGGAAAGTCCCTTCCCCGCACATGAGCTACATCCAATCCCAAGAACATCTCTCCTTGACCAACCCAGACAATCGTCGGATTAATACTACCTGGGTACTTCAGATCTTCAGTTTACCTACCTCTGTGGTTACCGGTGGTAAAACATTCTCATACTGTCCGATCCAATCGGTACACACATCCCCGGATCATCGTGTCCCCCTTCTTCAACTCCCCTTGTAACGTCCTAATCCCTGCTCTCCCCTCCCCATTCCTACACCTCTCTCCTCCCTCTGTTTTCCCCACTCCCACAGCCTCTCTCCCTAGCTTCGTGTCAACTTTACACCCATCTTTGTGAGGCGTGTTGTCTGTTGCTCTTTGGTTCCTTCCCTGAGTCATGATGTTGGGTCCACGCGCAGCTCGCTCGACTCGGTCAGTGACCTCACTATTGCGACCTTTCAGCTCATCAGCTGTGGCCTGCCGTGCTCCCTCCATCCGAGATGTTACAGCCGAGTCGACCGAGGAATTCCTTAGGCGACAGAAGGAGTTCCGCGAAAACTTGGACCAAGCTCGTTTGAGAAGAGAACAGCAAGAGAGTCAGTCTGTCAATGCTTCTGCTTCTTCATCTACCCCTTCCCGTGAGTACGCTCCCACTGCTCCGCGAGTGAGCAATGCGAGCCAAGGTCATTTCCGCCCTGCTTTCGATGCCGCCGCGGCACTTGACCATAAGGCAATGGGCTCACTTTCAATGCACCGCTATATAGGGGATGAACAGCACCAAGAAGCCGGAGCCAAACGTGGCCCTTTATCCTCGCTCATCTACGGCACCAAGGAGGGCCAGCATTTTGACAAAGACATGGAGCGCTCCTTCTCCCAGGTCCTAGCCCGCGGCAAATATGTCCATTCCATTGTCATGCACGACGTCAAACCCGACAAGGTTGATGAATATGTAGAACTGGTCGGCCAGTGGTACCCGCGCATGGCGGGTGCCGAGGAGAACCGTGTCAACTTGGTAGGAAGCTGGCGGACGCAAGTGGGCGACAATGATACCTTTGGTAAGTTCCAATCGAATGAACCTACCCATGTTATCTGTTAGCTGACTGTTGGTTTCAACCGAACAGTCCACATCTGGGAATACCAACGCTATGAAGGCTATCACGCTTCCCTTCATAACATCTCGGAACATCCAGAGTTCCGCGAATTCGATCGCAAGCTCAAGAGCTTGATCAAGAGCAAGAAGACTTCGCTGATGCAGGAGTTCTCATTTTGGCCCACAACCCCGCCGCGCCGTCTCGGTGGACTGTTTGAGCTTCGGTCATATACACTGCACCCAGGTAACCTTTTGGAATGGGAGACACACTGGCGCCGTGGCCTCTCAGCTCGTCGTGAGGTGATGGAGGGTGTGGGCGCATGGTTCGTGCAGATCGGCGAGTTGAACACAGTGCATCACCTGTGGCAGTTTGCCAACTTAGAGGAGCGCAAGATCCGCCGCGAGCAGTCGTGGAACGTCGAGGGCTGGGCCGAGACGGTTCACAAAACCGTTCCACTTATTCAGACCATGCAGAGCCGGATTCTCGTTCCAATGCCTTGGAGCCCTGTCGGCTAGACTGTAAAATACAGCTGAATCATTATTTGTGAGCCTTTCGTGTGGATATCGAAATCCAAGAAATCTGCGGTGTGTGATTGAGGATGCGGCGAGGTGGAGCGGGATGGAGCGAAATGGACCTCGCCCTACTATTTTCTTTTTCGTTGGGATGCATGAGATGGAATATGCGAAGACCCCTCGTGTACCCCAATTTGTATTGTGTACCTAGGCATCAAGCATGTGTCGAATCCAGTCTAACATGATATTGGTAGAAATCCCCGTTCTATAATGCCCATACTCCGTAGAGCCAGTGCCGAGCAACGGCGCTCGGATAACCCCACTTCTAGTCTCGACGATCTCAACGTTTTTGAGGCATTTCATTGGCAATAGAACGCATGGGCACGAATACAATACTGTCATTGACACGTTGTATCGATCTGCACTTGGGTGGTCATCCTTTAAGAAGAACTCTTTTGGAATCCCGTCCTTACCCCCATGTTCCTCCGTAGATGCAGGTAAACATCATAGATCTAATCTCAAACCTCCTCCGCCGGCAGAAAAAAAAAAGTCAACGAAAACAAAACAGATCCAGACCAAGTGGCCTCTTCTGTCTATTCAACGCCGATCTTTAACATCGAGCCCCATAGACCCGCGTCTACGGCTGTTCCTCCCCAACGAGGACCCGGTTTTCCTTTTCCTTTTCCTTTTTTCCTTTCCGTTCTTCGTTTCCCTTTCTCGGCGATACTCCTTCCGTCGTCCTTCACTGTCAACACTCGACTTTGATCGTGCGTCTACGTCTGACAGAAGAGCAATCGCGCGCATTTGGAGGGGAGCACCGCAACTCGACAGCTTGATCGAGTATATGCCTCGTATTCGGGACGGAATATCCAGACAATAGACACCCGCGCGTTAACAGACGCGCAAAACAAACCCACAAAATGGTTTACATCCGGCAACATGAGTTGGCAAATCTCAAGAACTACAAATATGCTGGAGTCGATCATTCGCCCGTGAGCCGGTTTATCCTCAAGCCCTTCTACAACAAATTTGTGATTCACTGCTTTCCCATGAGCATGGCGTAAGTATACTCCCCATCCTTGGGTTTTGTTCTTGGGTTTTATGTGCATGGTTATACAGTCAGTTTCAAACTGAGGTCCTTTCGGCCCGAGACGGATATCTTCCTTGTCTCTCGTGTCCCTCCAAAAGATCTATACACAGCACAATGTGACTAACTTCTCATTTCTCTGCTCTTTGCGCGCCTAAAGACCCAATGCCGTAAGTCTTCCTTATGCGACACTCTTCATTACTTGAGATATAAAGAACAGAACCTAATGGCTCGCTTTGGTAGATTACGCTCACCGGATTTATGTTCGTGGTAACTAATTTCCTCACGGTTATGTGGTACAACCCGAACTTGGACACGGACTGCCCGCCTTGGGTCTATGCCAGTTGCGCCATTGGCTTGTTCCTGTACCAGACTTTTGATGCCGTAGATGGCATGCAGGCGTATGTTTACACATGAATTCCGTTGAGATTGTTGGAGAGCGCTTCGCTGATACAGGCTGCGCCGTAGACGGAGAACTAGGCAAAGTGGTCCGCTGGGCGAGCTCTTTGATCACAGTGAGTTTCAGGATATCAGGACGCAAAACGAGCAGAAGAGGATGGTTGGCTAATTATGTGCTTCTACACTAGGTGTCGACGCATGCAACACTGGTCTCGGCGTATTGATCTTCGCGGCCGCAATGAACATGGGACAGTCCTGGATGACCTTCCTCGCTCTATTCGGCTGTAAGCCTAGCCCTTCCTAAGCACCCCCGCAGCTAGATCGTCTCTAACAAGCGCAGCCACCATGACGTTCTACGTGTCAACATGGGATGAATACTACACCCAGGTCCTCACATTGGGCGTGATCTCTGGTCCTGTTGAGGGCATCTTGACCCTTTGCACTGTCTACGCGATCACCGCCTACATGGGTGGCGGCAGCTTCTGGCACCAGCCCATGCTGGAGACCATCGGTGTTTCAAAGCCAAGCTTCCTCTCGAGCCAAGTGTACAACATGCCGTTTACACAGTGGTACCTGGTATATGGCGCGATTATGCTCTGCTTCGCGATTGGCTCGAGCATCATGCACGTCGTCCAAGTGCGTCGCGCGCGAGGCCAGGACCCAATCGCGCCGCTCTATGGTCTCCTGCCCCTGGTTGCGATTTGGACTCTCACCCCCGCCTACCTGTATCTGCAGCCGGCGATTTTGGAGAACTATACCATTCCCTTCGGGCTGTTTGTCAGTCTTGTCAATGCTTACTCCGTCGGGCGCATCATCATCGGCCACCTCACTCAAACGAGCTTCCCCTACCAGAACGTCCTGCTATATCCGCTCGCTCTAGCTGTCTTGGACAGCGCAGGAGCCCTTCTCGATTTGTGGTCTGCCCCCGTGCTTGGATATGGTGTTGGCCAAGTCGCATTTGTGTTCGTGTGCCTCGGTCTGGGTGTTGGAGTATACGGTAGCTTCGTGGTATGTTTTCGTTTTCCCTCCCATTGCGCGTGCGATCATTCTTGCTGATATGGATTGTCCTCCAGTATGACATTATCACCACGATCTGTGACTACATCGACATCTGGTGTCTCACAATCAAGTACCCGTTCGTCGAGGAGACCGAGCGCAAGAACGGCGTGTTGAAGAAGACCATATGAGAAGATTATAGACGCTATCCGAGGCGTTTGATGGGCTTGTGGGTGATCAGCAGTTCAACCTTGATCACCACAGGCGAGACGGCTCAATTGAGCCCGGTGGAAGATGCGAGTATCAATAGATGGATACTTGGAAAAGAGCGTTGGACAAAATGATGCCTGGCTAATGACGTTCGTAGTACATATTTTGGGTTCCGGCGCACATGGAGCAGGTAGCTCTTAGTGGCAATTTAGCGATAGAATATGAGAGTTGTAATGTGCATGTGCATGATTCTTGATTGTTGTAGAAGAAACAGGAGGCACCTGACTGCCTGCCCGCAGCGGAATCCACGTCTCCACATGGAACCAGCGATTGAGCTCGTGCTTACCTCATTCACTTACCTCATCAGGGTTTGATTGGTGGAAAGTCCGCCGCCTTCCCGAATAAGGACAAGCGAGGGCACAAACCGGCACAAAGCCCTACCTCCACCCAAACCGGTCCAAATCCCTTCAGACTTCTCTTGGAAGACCACCTCATCCGCATCACACAAGGCCATCGCCATCAGCGCCATTAATCAACTATCTCGCTGATCGACTTTCACTCGTCAAGATGGTGAGCCCATTTTCGCCCTGATTTTCCGCTCGGTCCCTGTTCGATGCGATCCCCACGGACACGGAAGACCTATTCGGATTATCGATTTCAAATTTTCAACGACCACCGACGCTAACATGTTGTCCTTGATAGGTTCTCGCGGTCGATCTCCTCAACCCCACCCCCCAGGCCGAGGGCCGTAAGCACAAGCTTAAGGTATGAAACAACCGGACTCCGAAAGAATGCACCAAACCATGTGAAAATATCGACCCGATGGGGGCAAATGCAAAACCTGGACAACTCGACCCGGACCCGGATCTCCGATGCTTCGACATGGAGCAAACGGGAAAGGAAATCGAACGTCAGGAAGAACATGGAGGAACAATTCAATATTGGAACTATGATGGCTGATTCTCGATTTTCCCCGCCTACAGACCCTTGTGCCCCAGCCCCGCTCCTTCTTCATGGACGTCAAGTGCCCCGGCTGCTTCACCATCACCACCGTCTTCTCGCACGCCCAGACCGTCGTCATCTGCGCCGGTTGCTCCACCGTCCTTTGCCAGCCCACCGGTGGCAAGGCCCGTCTGACTGAGGGCTGCTCTTTCCGCCGCAAGTAAACGAGAAACGAATGAAAAACTTTTTCTTGTTATGTTCCGGTTGAAACGTCAAAGAGAGAATTAGCATGGAGAAATTAGGATGAAAATACCAAAACCTGGGGTTGACCTCTTCTTACCTTTTTTTTGGATCATCTCGGCTTCGGTTTTCGGTGTTTAGGGGAGAGAGTTGCTATCCTGGCCCAGTTCCATATACTGGACCTCTCTCTTTTCTCTCTTCCTACCGGGCTTCAAAATGTCACATACCAAACAACCCTTTTTTTCAATACCACCCTTCCCCTACCGAGCCACACATGGACGGACAATTTTCTCTTAAACTGTTTTCTTCGACTGGTGTTGGGGTTTGAAGGGGGATGCGATTTGCAGATGATCTGATATGGTTCTTATAACCATATTGTATCAGTCCGCATGTCCCCTCTTGAAAAAAAGACAAATTTGAATGTGGCCTTCTGGACCCATTTCTCATCCTACTTCCTCCACTGCGTGTTCTTTCTTTTGCATTTCACGGTGATGATTAATATCTCAGCGTTGAATTCTTGTTTTCCTTGCGCGTGATGACAGATAGAAGATGGAATGCCCCCCACTGTCAACGACCCCCCCAAAAAGCATACAAAAAAAAAGCAACCAGCATTCTCCTAGGGAGTTCCGGATATCTGGCACAAAAACGGCACCTTGCTTGACTTTGTGCTCTGCTTTCTGTTTTGATTTTCTGGCTTCTTGTGTTCAATGTCTATAAATGTATCTGCGACTACTGTATATTGGTTTCATGCTCAATCCTATGAGTTGCGCCTTGTACGTGTCTGCTTGTAGATATACATGTATATGTTGTAACTGTAGATCGTCTGTTGTTAGACACTATTGGTAGCTAGGTATGTTGCAAGTCAATATATCATATCAAGCTCGACGTCGACTGTCAGGTGTAATAATAGGGTTAGAAGAGACGCGAGATTCATCCCACTTTCTCCCTGCCATTGGTCCCTGCCCTGAGACTGCGGGGGCAGCCCCGAATATTCCCCACCTTGCGCATATGCGCTTGTCTACTTTGGTGTGGGAGGTCTAGGGCAGGTGGAAATGGTAAAAACGAGGCGTTTGTCCTTTTGCTGGCATAAGCTTTGAGTACAAATACCGTGGTGTATCCTGACACTTTACAACCTCGGAGTATATATCCCAGCCTAATTTTCGCCCTTCTCCCTTCAGACTAGAACAACCTGCAAAACCAGAATCTCAAAGGTCAAAAACGAACTCGAATCCCAAGTCCATCGCATTTAGATACAGGTATGTCATAAAATATGTTCGCGTGTGTACACAAACCGCAGAACCAGTCATTGGACAAGAGATGCCAGTAACCGAGTGGGGGATAAAAAGGCGAACACAATATCCAGCCGAGTCACACCAGCCCAAGCTGATCATTACTTTCCCATTCCTTTCAAAGAGATATATCAATGGAGCCCCTTACTCAGTCAAAGCCCGAGCCTTGGCCTTGATCTCCGCGCCGAGGTCAGCGGGGATGGTGGGGTTAGCACCAGTCATCATCGCGAGCTTGCCGGAGGTGTCATTGATGAGCATAGCGGCAAATTTATTACGGCCTTCGATCTCTCCCACAGCATTCTTGGTAGCGATGTCGTTAGCAGCGTATTTGTCTGCATCGATGACCTTCAGCTGGTTGTTGGAGGTACGGACGAAGTCGTAAAGGAAGAAGACAGTAGGGTGGGCGTTAGGAGGCTGGCACTGGGGGTGAGCCTCAAAGGCACTGTTTTTGATTTTGTTAGAACCCTACTCTAAGTTTCCGGGGTGGATTGAGGGGGGTTCAAAAAGATATTTAGTAGTGGAATCGCGAGGTGGGGGGGGGCATACTCAATGAGGGCCTGCATCTTGGCTTTGAGATCTTGGAAATGAGTAGCAGACATGGCGATTAATAGGTAGGATGAAAGAGTGAAAAGTAATGACTGGGAGCTGAATTCAAGATGTTTGTTGAGACAGAGCTGTTCAGGGCCCGAGTTCTAGGGACTCTGACAACGGAAAATCTGGCCAATCCGATCCACTTCGGATTCTCTGGCCTTTTCCACTGGAAATTGGGCCCTGGGGACTCTCGCCGGTAACTGGCTCTTCCATACAGAAAGAATTTCGATGGAACTTAAAATAAGATGGTATTTCCCATATAATTCTTGCCTGATGATTGTAATTCGACTTCCGCAGAACCCAGAAAAAACCCAACCTAACTTACCTAGGTAGGTTGGGGTTTTAGGGCCATACCTTCGCACTGGGGTTAGGTCTAGGTTATGACCTTCGACCTAGCTAGGTTATTAGGGCCTTAAGTTAGGTTATAAATAATATAAATACCTTCAAGTATAGGATTTATGTTAAGGAAGTGGGCCTGACACCGGTCGCAAAACTAGGAAGTAATGGTAGAGCATCTAGCAAAAGAGCCACTATGACGACGTCGTCATGGCAGGTTGCCAGCCCACACCCACATAATGGGTGGTACAAGATATCCTAACCCTTTAGGTTGTAACACCTTACATGCATCATTTGAGCTCTGTAACACAATCCCTCTATAGGAGTTTCTATGGGATTCCACATAGTAAACTCGGTAACCTCGTTATGTATTTAAGTCACCTCATTCCCGACCTTAAAACATCAGACAATTACAACTTCTTCTACAATACTATTCACTTCATGCTTCTCTTACTAGACTCTCATTTCTAGTTTAACAGCCCATAATATCAACATATCATCACGTTCTATTTCATCTCCATCAGGAAGACACTACTAGTTATCAGATTTCAATTTGAGTGTTTCTACGAGACAAAAACAGTCTTGGCGTGATCCCAATCCGCGGCTCAAGCCTGTCGTCTGGACAGCGCACGTCTGGTTGGACGGGAGACGGGCGCCAAGGAGGCCCAAGATTTCCGCCGACAAACTCCCTCTATCAGACTCTCTGCCTCTTATCTTATCGCGCCTACATCGGAGAGGGGAAGAAAAGAGTCAGCTTCCAGTCTCCTTTTTCTTCTACAAGACAGTCCGCTCCTCCAATCCATTGAAAACGCTCTGATTCTCTACACAGCTCTGAATCCGCCCATTAAGAACAATGGCGCCCAATCCCACAACCTCGGTGCGACAACCCCTCAAATTGTTGATGCTCCACGGATACACCCAGTCCGGCACCTTTTTCCATGCCAAAAGTCGCGCCTTGATAAAACACATCCAAAAGGCCTTCCCTCTCTATGATGTCTCAGCCATCTACCTAACAGCTCCTATCCGCCTCCGGCCTGTCGATATCCCCGGCCAGGAGGCCTCCTTAGAAGGCACCCCGATCGATGAAATTGAATCCTTCGGCTGGTGGCGGCGGCCTGCTACCGTGGAACAGCCGCTGTACACGGGCATTGAAGAGGGATTTGCGGCTGTAGCGCGCACACTGAAAGAAGAAGGCCCCTTCGATGGCGTAATTGGGTTCTCCCAAGGCGCCGCATTGGCCGCAATGGTCACAGCGCTGCTGGAGCCCGCGCGGAAACGGTCCTTCGAGCACTTTTCTAAAATGAGCGTTGATGGGGCGGCGGGAATAGCGATTCCTGCGCCGTTCGGCGACGAATTCCTGCACCCCCAGCTGAAGTTTGCAGTTTGCTACTCTGGGTTCAGGGCACCGGGGGCTCGGTACCGGGGTTTCTACGAGGAGCCGGCTATCCAGACACCTGTGTTGCATGTGCTTGGGTCCTTGGATGCTGTTGTTGAAGAGGCGCAGAGTCGAGCTTTGATCGAGGCTTGTGCTGGTGAGCCTGAGCAAGATGGGTTGGTTGTTTGGCACCCTGGTGGTCACTTTTTGCCGAGTCAGCGGCCTTATCTTGATGCTGCTGTGCGGTTCATTAGGGAAAACATGGAGAAAAGTGATGGATCAAATGGTAAAGGGGAGGAGATGGAAGAGGATGTGAATGATATGGATATGCCGTTTTAGAGGGATAGGACTTTATACAGACAGAGCTGGATCTGGGGATCTTATATGTACTGGATTAGATTAGATTCTTCTGAACCATGACTATATGTAGCGCATCTACTTTTTTTTCGGGTTACGATGATGGCTGCAACGGCCAATAGACTGAGTATGTGCTGTATATGGGTGTGATATAAAGGTCATAGCTGCGATTTCACTCTTCGTGGGTCTACCGGCGAATTATTTTACACGCATGGCAGAAATCCCCGCGCCCAAGTCCCGTTCACAAACCAACTTAATGCGCCTTGCCCATGTCACTGCGGGTGGGCTGGATACGGGCCATCATCTCCTCCTTCGTGATCAGATGATCGATCCGCTCGAGCAGACCCAGCAGATTCTTCATGTCGCTGCTCCATTCATTCAAGACATCATCAGCATCTCTGGGCTTGGCGAAGTTGACCAACCGCGCGGGCCGGTCAATCTTAGCGTAGATGGTCTTTGAAGTGACCAGATCGCTAATGTACTTCTCTGTCTCTTCCTCGGTCAGATCCAAAAGTTGGGTCAGGCGACCCATCTGGATGCGAGTATAGTACTTGGCTACCACACGAACATTGTGCTCGATGACTCGCTTGCGCAGATCTTGCCACCTCTGGTTTGCTTTGTTGTCAACGGCCTGCTTCGCCTCAGCGTCGAACACGTCTGTGCTGCACAAGTGGGGGCCGAATTGCTCGGAGACCATAGGCCAGCGCATCAATTCGGGGATGGTAAACAGCTTCAGCAAGCGCGATTCCTCAGGAACCTGGGACAACCGTGAATCTTGCTTGATGCGGTGTAGGAGATCAGATTGTTCATTATCGTAGGGAGCCAGAACGACGTAGTACACAATGCGGGCAAGTGACTGGAGTTAGGTTAGTGGTGGCCTGAATGGTAGGATTGGAAAGGGCACATACTGCACGCAGTTGCTCTGGGTTGTTCTCAACTGCTTCCGTGTCCAAGACTTCTCGGTAGTTCTTGCAAACCTCAAGATATTTGTTGTCATGGTTGGCCAATGCGATCTGCTGTTCGAAGTAACGGAGCTTGAGATCTGTAACATCGTCATCCACCTCCATAGGTGCCTCGTCTGGCCCACGAGTCTTCTCCCGCTCCTCTGCCTCCTTCTTGAGCTTCTCGATCTGCTCGGGCGACTTCTTCGGCTTGCGATTGAAGTATCGCTTGTTGATCTTGCGGCTTAGAATCTGAGCCTGGGTCCAGTCTTTGCGCTCAATGCACAAAGAGACCTGCTCCAAGATAAATTCTGTCTTTTCCCGTCTCGTCATTGACCCAAACGTCTCCACCTGCAGCTCACAGAGGATATCTGCTGCTGAATTGATATCGCCTTGGGTCTTCTTGATATTCGAAAGGATGCGTGTGACGCGGGCTCGCTCTACTTCAACAAAAATCTTTGTGGGTCATTAGCATCACTCCGATCAAGATCAAATGGTGTTCGGCCTACCTTTCCCTCGGTCACTGTGCGCAGAGTTTCGATCACAGACATCTTGACTTCCAAGTTGGGAGTCTCATCCAGGAATGTCATAACTGTTTGCACCATTTTCGTTGTGGCCTGCTTGAGTTGGGCATGTTTCTTGGAGAGGAGAAGCACTTGATCGTTAAGAAGGTTCCAGTCACCGGCGTTCTTGATGATGGTGACAATGGCAATTAGAAGGCGCGATGTAGTGGCAAGATCAGAGGCCTGAATAGGAAGAGTCTGATTAATTCGGGTGAACCAATAATGGGGATGGCAGTCAGCGTCATACCTGTCTCGATTGCTTCTCCAGACCCAACAGCTTATCGACCGCACCTTGGACATCGGTCTAGAAGCAGGTAAGTTAATATCGGATTTGATATCAAATCAGCGTCGGTATGTACCTTGGCGAGGCTTTCAGCCTCCGGGATGAGCTTGTCGGCATCCTTTGTGAAGTCCTTCTCGGGCTTCAATAGGCCGCCGGACATGATGACGAATAGGGCTGGGGAAGCCGACGGGTCAAATTAGGGGAAAATGAACGGGTGGTTTGTTAGTGATTTTCTTTGCACACTTCCGTTGGACTTGACAACGTGAGGTTCGTGGAATGGTGTAGGATGAGATGGAGATGATGCTGTAGCTCCGGTGTTGCGCCCTTGAGCTGGAAGCTCCGGTTCACGTGACCGAAACATCACCTTGTCCTTCTGAACTCCGGACTTCAGCATGCCCACTTGATGCGCTGATCACTCTTTTGTCGGATGATAAATCTGGTTCTTTCGAACATCTATACATTTGCAAGTTCCAAGGAGCATTTTATATATATGGTCTGTTTTTTCATGTTCCGTCCACAGAGTCCACAGACGCTCTAACGACCAATCCATATATGTATGTACCTAGTAGCTCGAAGCCTGGATATACACCCGACTATTCGGCCAGAAGGCACCCCAGTTTCACTAATATCAACACCTGGGTTGAGTCCGATATAGGCCAATTAACCTTCCCCGATATTCCTCATGTATACCACGTGACCTTATAGCCACATGCAATCACGCAATCTGCCTTAACCTCTTTAGGCGAGGATTTTATGTATAGAAATTTTTGGAAAAAGAGATGTGTTTCTATAACATACACTGTGTATGAGTCAATGGGAGAAAATCGATCTCAAGCACCTCCGTCTGATGCTTGATCATTCTAAACTTGAATCTTAAGACCTCCTGTCAACTGTGCCAGGACCATCCCCCACTTCGATATCCTTATCGCCCGTTATCACCAATCGCGACAGGCCTGTTACTCACTCTTGATATTCGCCTCTGACTCCGCGGAAGTCTAGAAAGTCAAATCAGTGAGCATCTGCCTTATAAAGTACAGGCTGTCTTTGCCTTGAAGTGTGGCCATTGAGGAGCCTTCCGCAGTTTGATCTCTCCTGCCTCTCCGAAAGCGGCGTATTTCCATACTTATAGTCTTTGGCGGGGCTTGGACACTTCGTCCCACCATACTTCACCATGAAGGATGCCTCATGTGACCCTAGCTCACCCGCGCCATTGATGGCTGCGTGGAATACCGAATCACAGGTTCACTTGATTATCGGTTCGAATCCAATTGCCGCTGCTCGATGTGCAAGAAGCATCGAGGTCGGCGCAAAGCCAATCATTATTGCGCCGGAGACCGATAGCATGCACTTCACTCTGTCCGAACATATTGCCAGTGGCTCTGCCCAGTGGATCTCTCGTGAGTTCCAAGATAAGGACTTGACCACCCTGGGCAGAGAAGAGGTTGATCACGTTGTGGACTTGGTCTTCGTCACCTTGGGCGGCAACAATTCTCTGAGTATGTCCTGCTGATACAATACCTTAGGCCATATGACTGACATTCCTCACCAGGCCCACACATCTCAAAGCTTTGCCGGCGTCTCAGAATTCCAGTGAATGTATCAGATGCACCTGAACTGTGTTCCTTCACACTACTGTCTACGTACTCAGATGGCCCTCTTCACATTGGTATCACGACATCAGGCAGGGGTTGCAAACTTGCATCCCGTCTCCGGAGGGAGATCGCCGCCTTCCTACCCCAAAACCTTGGAACGGCCATTGACAGACTTGGTGCCGTGCGGCGGCGGCTGTGGGAGGAGGATAATGCCGCTGGGTTAGGAGAGGCCGTATTTGACAGGGAGGATGATGATTCCACAGGCCAAAAACACACATTCAACAATTTGGTCACGGAAGGTGATGTTGCCGCCGCGAAGACGAGAAGAGTGCGTTGGCTCTCTCAGATCTGTGAATACTGGCCTCTCCGAAAGCTCGTGTCTATCACCGATGCCGATATGGATTCCATCTTGAAGGCGTATTCAGCTAGCAGTGGTACTCTGGCTGGCACAAACGGCCTCGATGCCCCCTCAAAGAAGGGGAAAATTGTGCTCGCAGGTTCTGGACCTGGTCACCCAGATCTACTCACTCGCGCGACTTACCACGCAATTCACAATGCCGACCTTATCCTCGCAGACAAGCTCGTTCCCGCCCCAGTTCTGGACCTGATTCCTCGCCGAACGGAAGTCCACATTGCACGAAAGTTCCCCGGCAACGCAGACCAGGCGCAGGAAGAATTCCTCCAGATGGGTCTGGCAGCTTTAAAGCAGGGACGTCAAGTTCTTCGCTTGAAACAGGGAGACCCATATCTTTATGGACGTGGAGCAGAGGAGTTCGAGTTCTTCAGAAACGAAGGCTACATCCCTGTGGTGTTGCCGGGTATCACCAGCGCCATGAGTGCATCTCTGTTTGCTGATATCCCGGCGACCCACCGCGGTGTTTCGGATCAGGTCCTCGTGTGTACAGGTACTGGCAGAAAGGGCGCTGCTCCCAACCCTCCCACCTATGTACCTACCCAGACTGTGGTCTTCCTCATGGCTCTCCACCGACTTTCTGCTCTTGTCGAATCCCTTACTACCTTTCCCACGGAAGACACTGATTCACAGTCGCGCGCGCTCTGGCCTAAGGAAACACCATGTGCGATCATTGAACGGGCATCATGCCCTGATCAGCGTGTCATTCGCTCGACCTTGGAACATGTCTGTCTGGCCTTTGAAGAGGCAGGGTCGCGACCACCAGGATTGCTGGTTGTTGGCGCTAGTTGCCACGTTCTGCACAACCCTCAAGATCAGCGATGGGTGATTGAGGAGGGGTTCCATGGATTGGATGAGCTGCGTAATGAAGTGGATGCAATCGTGTCGGTGGACGAGAAGCAGTGATTTGACTGATCCACATATATATCTAGAGCGATGGTTGCAAATTGTGGTGGATATTTATTGTACATAGACAGCATTCAGATACCCCTAGAAACGAGACATGCATGATCATTAAGAACCTCATCTTCATTATTTTATCTAGATTTTGTTTTAATTAAAAATGAGATATTCTCGGGATACACCTATGCGTGGAAAAGTACGGAGTACTGACACGAGGAATTGGCGCGGCTCGATTTAGTGGATCCCCCGGCTTTGTTTAAATTGCTGATCGCTCCACCTCATCCGCATCTTCAATTCTGACAACAACCTCTGCCACAGCCATGTCTGCCAGACCTCAGAGACCGGTTTATTTCTCCAACGGGGAGGCCCTCCAGACGTGAGTTTTGCGGTAATTTATCGCAACACAGATCCAAGTCCGCTAACCAGCGCGCCTGCAGCCCCCCGATGACTGTGCGGGTCAGACGCTTTGTCGAGAGTGTATACTACTTCCTGGGCTTGTACTTTACTTCACTTTTATCAGTATGTATCTCTCATGTCAATCCTCATACATGGTCTCTTCTTTTATTATCTTCCCTGTGATGCTCTATCACTTTCTCTGCCGCAATTGGACCAAATCTGACCTATTTTTAGATCGATGCCTACACTGCCGCTGAGAACTCTTCTTTCAACGTCAACAACCCGAATTATAGATATCAGAATCGTTCTCGTTGGGGAAATAATATTTCCCCACAGGGGGGAGGTGGTCGTGGTGGAGGAGGTGGCGGCGATGGTCCTGGATTTGGTCCGCGGCGCGTGGGCCGTGTGGACGATGTTCGTGGGCCGGAGTGCAAGAGTTGTCAATAGGCAAACCGGCAGACTGCAAATACATCGTCACTCAGACGTAGCATCAGGGAGAATACAGGGTAAGATGCCGAAACAAAGGGGGGGGGTTGGTTCCTTCGCTCGATCTTTTCTTTGATGGGGAAGCTTATCATACCCGATGCACATCGCATCCTGCAATGCACTTCTAATATCAAACCGAAACCTTATACCTTGATACAACAACACTCAGGATTTAGATATACCTCATGTGCACAATGGCCCATTGGACCTCATATCTCGCCAGGAATGACCAAAAAGTATCACCCTAGGAGCGACACTAGCCTTTAGCGCCACAACACCGCCCCCGCGAGGTAACATCGTGTCATCTTGAATTCCCCGAGGACGGGTCGTCATGATGATACTAAAACCCCCACGTGACAACCCCTCTTCCCCTCTATGCCAAGTGTAGTAGGACGACCTGCCCACGTTTCCAGAAAGCAATCCACAACACTACTTCCGACAGCGTGCCCTCCAACCCAAGGCACAGACTGGACAACCTACCCATCATGAGTGCCATCCCAGCAACAGACGCCGAATGGGCGGAAAAGATAGCCAAGATGAAGGAGCACCTGCCAGAGCACACACTGTCTCAGCCGCCAATTCCAATTCCAACAAGGGTCAATCGCACAATAGACCACACCCTCTTAACCACCCCAATCGATGCCTCCCAGATTGACACTCTGTGCAAAGAAGCCCTCGAGCACGACTTCGCCGCCGTATGCGTGCGACTCGAGCACGTCCCACGTGCAGTAGCCCACGTCAAGGGCTCCAACACGGCCGTTGCCTGCGTGGTAGCCTTCCCGGAGGGAACACACGAGACAGCGGAGAAGGTGCGCGAGGCGAAAGAGGCCGTTGCGCAAGGCGCCCAGGAGCTCGACATGGTTATCCGGTACGGGCTGTTGAAAGAAGGTCGATACACGGAAGTGTACGAAGACGTGCTTGCGGTGCGCAAAGCAGCTCCAGCACCGATTATCCTCAAGACGATTCTGGAGGCATCCATGCTCACAAAAGACGAGCTCCTTGATGCGACGATTGTGTCATGCATGGCTGGTGCGGATTATATCAAGACCAGCACGGGATGGAATGGTGGTGCTAGTCTTCAGCATATTGCGCTAATGCGTATTGCGGCTGAAATTTCCGGAAGCACTTGCAAGATCAAGGCTAGTGGCGGTTTGCGCAATGCTGATGATGTAGTGCGCATGCTGAAGGCTGGGGCGCATCGCATTGGAACTAGTTCTGGGATAAAGATTATGCGTGAGGTGGATGAGGGAGAGGTTCTTGAACAAGGGGTTGGTCATGCGGCGTATTGATTCAGTGATTCCTCGCAAGACATGGTTTTATCTTGTGGGGGAGGAATGTGTCATTGAAAGTTAAGAAGTAGAGCATTGAGGTTAGCGGAGATCGAAAGATATCCAGATTCCTTTTTTTTTGGCTGTTCGGGCAGCCTTGCCACCGTGAATATAATGGCCACTACTTCCATGGTCCATTTCTGACTCATAGTTTGCCCTTGCGGGTTTAAATCCAATATCTCTCGGTACATTACAGTTGTAGATATCAGATATCAGATACCAACCCCTGTGTGTAGGCCCAATGGGAGGGGGACACGATGGGCGGGATCCATATGAACCTGGATGGCATGGTTTCAAGGATTGTGACCTGGTTGAATCTCATAGTTCGTGCAGTTATGCCTTTTGTGGGCCGGAATAACGGAGATGCACGATGTAGGTAGTTTTGTGAGACAATTGAACCCATCCTTGCGCATGGTAGATGTGAGCCCTGCTTTATCCCTTTAGGGTTGCCTCGTGAACACCCCCACTTGTTCTACATCAAGATCATTATTATCCCTTCAAGGTATACATATATGTATTTCAACCGGTTTTGTCGATGCAGGACCCCCCTTTTAATGGAATCAAATGATTATTGCAACGGCGCGGATCAAATGATGACGACTTCCGAGATTGGTTTGGTCCTGGACTTGAGTGTCCAATAAATGCAAGATGTTACAGACTGTAGTTTGCCAGACCAAGGATTTGTATTAATACCATTTCAAACCCATGCCAGGGGATTTATGTGGGAAGTTGAACAGCACCGATATCCATAGTCATGAACGTGGCGGACATCTTGATTATTTGACCTAAAAGCCCCAAAATGATATAGTATATACTAATCCAAAACCCTGCGCCGATCCATTGATATGCCAACCAAAATAATCCAAGGCTTTTGTTTATTCATCGCTCTGATCATCTGAGTCACTGGTCAAAGCACCGTCGATATCCATTTTTTGAATCACTGTGTCACCGTTGCGACCCTTCTTCTCCGCGGCGAGCCAAGCTTCCCGCTTTTTCGCCTCACGCTCCTGCTTCCTTGCTTGCCGAAGGACCTTCTCCTGCTGTGCGGCCTCCTGCTTCTCATGGAGCTCGTTGATGTAATCCTGCAGATTGGCGAGTTCCGAACGCAACTGGACAACCTCGTCATCGGCAGTATGGCGAGCAGTCTCATTGACTGCGACCTTCTTCTTGAGCACAGCCACCTCGTTTTCTAATCCAGCGACCTGCGAATCACGAGCGGCGGTGTCTTCAAGGGCTTGTCTGGAAGGGGTAGTGTTCGCAGTAACGCGAGTGACCTCCGCACCACCGGGCTGACGGAATGCTGCCAGCTCTGCAAGACCATCCTCGATCATGAAGTCAGGGAAAGACGAATGAGTAAGCGCCTGGGAGAATTGGGTTGGTTTGCGGCACTGGGAGTCGGATGGGGCAATAAGGTGCGTGTGGAACATATATTCTGCGGGGACGGCGCTAGGGGCGTGCGATGGAGCAGAAAGTCCACTATCATGGCGGGGCTTGACGATAGTGTGGGCCTTTCTCTTCAAATCCGAGGAAGGGTGCGGGATGCCACCTGGGGGTAGCATGATCAAATTGGTGATCGGATGCGTGTAGTCCGCGACCGATGATGTGAACTTTCGCCGGGCAACATTCCATGACAGCACCTTCCCATTCGCATGGGCTGAGAGTAACGTGGTACCATCGTATGTAAGGGAAATGGTCTTCACTGAGCCTGATTCAGCTGAGGGAGGGAGCCACCGGTCCTCCATAGAGACCTGTGCTGGGGTTGATTGCACCGAGGGATCGTGAAGAGGATGCTGCGCAGAATTACCCCGGTAGAAGTCCACTGATTGTACGCTGCCATCTTCATAGCCAACATAGAAAGCCCGGTCGACGGGATCTAAAGCCACAGATGTTGCGGACAAGGGAAGGAGGAAGGTTCTCAGCACCCGGCCAGTATGATAGTCCCATGCGATTGCAGTGTTGTCTTTGGCAGTTGATACCACAATGTTATGGCGGCCATTGCTATGTCCGACAGCAAGAGAGGTGATTGCCGCGCGGTGATTGGAGAATGTTCGGATAGGTGAGTTTGTGGGTTGGCGAGTCGCGCTGAGAGCGGGTTTCGAAAATGAGAGAATGCTAGGCAAGGACCAGACATGCACGCTGGCATCAGATGAGCCGGACAGAATGAAGTTAGACGTGGGGTCGATAACGAGTGAGGTCACCGGTTGCAAGTGGGAGGCCGTCGTGGCTACCTGGCGTCCTGTGCATGTCTTAAGAAGGCTGTCAGAGGCATGCTCACGTGAGACACATATCAATGGGATTCAACATACCTCCCAGATAATCAATCGACCACCTTCAGTGCCCAAAACCAAGACATCGCCGTACTTGCCCCCCGCGACCGCAATACTGCGTATCCGCTCCGGAAATGGGACAATGCCCTCTTGATTACCTTTTTCCCGACTATAAACGTGCACAACAGCTTTGTCTGCTTGAGCCGCAAATATATGCGAGGGGCTCACAGCCAAAGAATTGGTTGAGGTTGAGCTCTTCTTGAAAGTCGATCGCAGTATCGACGAAGGCTGCAATTCATGGACGCAGATTCCTACATCTCTAAGCGAGGCTGTCGGAGATTTAGCGGATGACAGCGTCGACGCCACAAATGATTCGGAAAGCATCAGGAATGGGAGAATGAGGTATCATACGAAGTATGGGAGGTTGGTTTCGACTCGCCCATCCCTTCCGAGCTTTTTTTTTCTTAATCGATTGATAACGAGGTGTTTGCACTGTTTGGCTGGTCCATACCCGCCAATGCGGCTAACCTCCCCCCACGGGCTGTGTGTGATCTATCTATCTTGCGATGGTGGCTTTTTATCTGACGCAGCCTTCTAGAGATTTCTCCGATCTTTTTTTGATCATTAGACAGAATCTTTGTTTCAAGAACATCTATCAATAAATCGTGCCGCGTTTGATATTAGACCCGCTGAAACTTTGACCTGTCACTTTTAGTCAGCGCCACCGGGGCCAGCCTCGGGAGATCAGCCTGGTCCAAGTACGGAGTATGAGGTATCAGCTTGCAATCTAGGTATCAATGAAGATCGCTGCGACTTCCTCAGCTCATTCCGAGCTCGACTCAGTGTCCAAGGAAACCGGCGCAAACCGTCACCAAGCATTTATATCCGGAGCCCGACGAATTACGCTAATATGTACTCCGTACAAGAACTCCGGTATGATCCAGATTCATGCAAGGGATGGCAACAGTTGACAAGAAGGGGTGGATTGCTGTTGCGACGAGACACGACATCCAATGAAGACCCGCTTTACTACACCCTCTGGGTGATCCTGTTGTCCTTCTCCAGGGCCTGATTCGTCGCGGCTCCCTTCTCCCCCCTCTCTTGCATCCCAATTGTCTCATTCCCAGTGCCCACCCGGGAGTTGACTATGTATGACGAGAGGAAGCGACGGATAAGGGTCTCTCCACGTTTACGGGCTCCTGCAGAACCAGAGATTGAGATCGGGAGCCAATTGTCGCTCCTCGCTGTCCGAGTTTCTCCTCTTCTTTGGAATGTAAGGGCGTCGTGACTTCATTCTCACTATTATTACTATGTCCCGTGCCGGGAAGGCTGACTCTCGGTGTTCGTGCCAGATGATGGACCCTCTTTCCAAGCCTGAAGGGGGAATTGTCCCGTTGAACATTTTCGGGGTTCTTCATGGCAGGGTTTTAGTCCTGTCAAGGGATGTGCACCTAGGCCCGATGACCCTACCCACCTTAAATTAGCTGACTAGCGCCACAGTCGCTGTATAAGGACATATCGAGCCCCTGCATCCATGAAACTTCATTTGTTTTGACGGCTACAATAAACAATCTGAATTGCAATCCCAGCTGGGTCATTCTGGTGCAACACACTTTGCTTTTTTTCTTCCCGATCTTTCGGACTAGAATTAATACTTTTAGTCGCGAGCCCATTGTCCAACATGGACTCTGGTGTGACACAGATGCCTGCCCCGTCATGCCTTCCGGTCCAGGTTCAAACTCACATAAAAAATCAGGGCTCGAACTCGTCGGCAATGAGCCACGATGGCATATCAATCGCCGAGGCCGTCCCATCACCCCGGAGATGGTCTCCCACCTACATACCTCGCAGGCGAAGCAGACAAGTGCCCTCACTATCATTTATACCGTCACCAGTGATGCCGCGTGTAGAGTCGCAGGATTTTTCGACTTCGTCAACCCGGCGGGCTGCAGACCGGGGTACAGCTTGCATGTCGCCATTTCGCTCTGTTCGAAAGATGAAAGAACCTTTCCAGTTGATGCTGCCATCATCCCCAGCATCACTTGATGGTCCTCCTCCCGCCTTCCCTGAGAAACCCAGCAAACTATCTACAGCGCCGGCCGAACACACACTGCGAACATGGCGTTCAGACCAAAATCTGACCTCTAGTAGCATGGATGCATTTGGCCTTTTACCCAGCCCACCCATGTCAGAGTCGAGGCCCGCGAGTACTGGTCCAGAAATATCTTACTTTGATTCTTTCTCCTCGCAAGCATCAGAGCGATCTAAGGACGAGACGGAGGAGCAAGAGGCGAACGATTTCACTCAATCGGACGGTCCTGTCCCCAAAATGACATTGAACGTTGCAGAAAGAGCAACGTACACGGCGTACCGTCCTCCAAATTGGGAGAATCAATCGCGTCCAGATGTTATGAATGTCCACCAAGCACACTCAGAGTTTGTACGGCTATGCGAATCCGGCAACGAGCAAGGTGCACCTGCCTCAAAAACTGACACTCCGACTCCTACTGCAGCATCCCCCAAATCAGCACATAGCGAGAGATCTCTTGTTCCTGGAAGCTCACCAAGACCTCAACGCCTCAGGGCTGGGACAGTCTCGAGTGAAGCTAGCTGGGTGCCTAGCAATTTTTCATACTGTGAGCGATGGCTGCAGGGTGTGCCAGTTGACAAAGCGAGCGATCAAGGCACGCCTGCAAAGGAGTTCAACAATCGGCGTAAATGTCAAATTGTCGAGAATGACCCTCCTATGCCCAAGCTGGACATAATCCCGGGAGCTAAAGCTCTGAAAGTAAGTATTCACTCATTCATACTTGGAGAACAACATTGAGCTGACTGTTATGCAGAAATATGTAGTCCATCCCAAAACAAAGCCCAAGCTTGTGGATATTGCGCGCCAATCATCACCGTCGGTGCCGCTAGTCCCTCCAGCAGTGCTCCTACCACAGACAGTACCGACGACTCCAGATCAGCGTCAAGAGGAAGTATCTGTATTCAGTCCGGACACTCCGCTTTATATTTCTGACAGTGGATATGAAACTCGTGATTCTGGCTGCTCGTTTAATGGTCTTGATGATACAAAATCCGACGAGCACGATGACGACGGTGATGCCTACACTGATCCAGGGTCATTGACCTCTTCAGACAGCGTTGGATCAACTGTGATATGTGAGAGGCCTGACTCCGTGCAGGGAGAACGTGAAGTTTGTCCGCAGCCTGAAATACGGTCGGGCAGTGTAAGCCCGAAGGCATCATCACCAACAACCCAAGCACCAGATAGGACCTCCACCATACCCGAGAAGCAAGAAGAAAAACCACGGCTATGGCACCATGAATGGACGCTGGACGATCATGAATGGACTCTTGATGAGCTGGACCACTCCGTGAAGGATTTTCCTCGCCATATGCTTCGTCTCACATCCCCTGTGATGGTATTCCTCCGCAAAAACGACGAGAAGGCCTTGCTCAGGCCTTTCCGTACTATTTTTCCTGATGTGACCGAGAACCTGCTCGACTGCCTGTGTGCCGCCCTTCTGGCCCGCAACTATCTGCTTTCTCTGTCAACCATCCACCGAACCAAACCATCTCCTTCCACACGCAACGAGTCATACCCTCTCGAAGCGATCCCAACAAAAGCATACAGCACACTCGGAATACAGCTTCCCTCTGGGTCATCTAGCAAGACAAAAGATCGCATTTTTGGACCTCGCAACGCGGAGCTCCGAGCACGCCTTGAGCGCATCGTGGACAATCTTCTCTTCGCCATCTGCGGCCGATCTGATCCTACGTTGAAATCGGCCGTCGAAGTACTCGCTCAAGTTCTTGAGACCAATGCTTAGCATACTCACTCCCTATACTCGATATTTCCTTGTCTGTTATTCCCTTCAACATCTCACTACCACACTCTCGACATTTCCTTATCTGTCATTACTTTCAACGTCTCATTGCCACTCTCATTGTAACTCTCCTTTCGTTCTGTTCGTTCATTCTCCACCATTTTGATTTCCACACTATCCCTTCCTGACTGTCCTTGCCATCTCATTCATTCTGCGGTAATACCGCTAGCTACCGCTCTACTCGATGAGCTCTCTTTTCTTTCATTTGTCCTCATTCATCCTTTCACTTCAGTACTTTCATACCCTTGCATTGCGCGGCCCTTGGAACTTTGTTTAGTAACCCGCGCGTTCGGAATCAAATCATGTATAATTAGTACTCTCAAAATATAGCAACCATAATCATAATTGGATCAGCAACCAGCCCTTCCATCAGACCAAGTTCAGTGTAATGCATTCAATTCACTCAATAATCCAGATCATCCTGGTCTTGCCGGAACCACCTCCCAACTGGAGGCCGTACTTTCCCGCCGACCTGTCGGGATGGCGAAAATGCTTAGTCATACTTTTCCGCGGGATTGGACAAACTCCAGCTCAGGTCTCTTCCTGCGATTTCACAAAGCATACACTCACACATCATGTCTGCTCCAACAAGAAGCCTACGACGCCTGTCATCTTTCAGAAACGCCATATCTCCAGCATCGACCATAATTGCCCCCGTCGGCCGCCGAAGCTATGCTACAACGGACTCCTCATCCGCTACCAACACACCGGGAACCACACGGCGGAAAGCAACAACATTCAAGGACAAGCTGAATGCAGGACCCTCATTCTCAGACTTCGTCTCGGGAGGACAAGAGCCACCCCTTGACCCTTCAGAGGCCTATGCTCTTAAGACCGCGCTCGTCGGCCCCGCCGGTCGCAAGAAGGAAATGACTCGACTGCCCGAATGGCTGAAGACCCCCATTCCGGACTCAAAGAACTACCAGCGCCTTAAGAAGGATTTGCGAGGATTGAACCTACACACTGTCTGCGAGGAGGCCCGGTGCCCCAACATCTCCGACTGCTGGGGTGGTAGCGATAAGTCCTCCGCCACGGCAACAATTATGCTGATGGGCGATACCTGCACCCGCGGATGCCGTTTCTGCAGTGTCAAGACATCCCGCACTCCCCCACCCCTCGATCCGCACGAACCCGAGAACACCGCTGAGGCCATCTCCCGCTGGAGCTTGGGATATGTGGTGCTGACCAGCGTGGACCGTGACGATCTGGTAGACGGCGGCGCGCGCCACTTCGCCGAGACGGTTATCAAAATCAAGCAGAAGAAGCCGAGTATGCTGGTCGAGTGTTTGACCGGTGATTTCCGCGGCGACACAGAGATGGCGGCGTTGGTCGCGCGGTCCGGCCTGGATGTCTACGCGCACAATGTCGAGACTGTCGAGGAGCTCACACCCTTTGTCCGCGATCGCCGCGCCACCTTCCAGCAGTCCATTCGCGTGCTGGATGCTGCCAAGAAAGCTGTTCCGGATCTTGTCACCAAGACTTCGCTCATGCTCGGTCTTGGTGAGACGGATGAGCAGCTCTGGGACGCTCTGCGTCAGCTCCGCGCTGTCAATGTTGACGTCGTGACCTTTGGTCAGTACATGCGTCCTACGAAGCGCCACATGGCTGTCCATGAATACGTGACGCCTGACCGCTTCGAGCTCTGGCGCCAGCGTGCCCTCGATATGGGATTCTTGTACTGTGCCTCCGGTCCCTTGGTACGAAGCAGTTACAAGGCTGGTGAGGCGTTCATCGAGAACGTTCTCAAGAAGCGCCGTTCTGGCTCTGGTGCCGCTGAGGGCACTGTCGACCAGAGCGCTGCTACCACAGGCGAGGTTACCCAGTGAGGTAGCTTGGCTATGAACAAAAAATTCCATTTCACTACCTACACCATCTACTCATTCCTACCCATGTCTTCTTGTCACCTGGCTTCATACGCATGTCGTTTAATCCCTTGGCGCTTTATTTCTTGCATCTTCCTGGGTTGTTGCTGGAGTTCTTCATAAAAAGGGATTTTTTTGTCGCTGGTGTCGTTATTGCAACACTTCAACATTTCAACACAGGGATTGTGCTTTGTATCACCATTGAAGAAACTCGTGACCTATTCTTGTCTCTAATTCCAAGCACTAGAAATCAACTCAGTGCTGCTGTTCACATATCAAATCTCAACAAACGTCATAGATCATGGTCCGAACCTGCTCCGTTCTACTCGTCACATACTACATCTCGCCATCAAGGCGAAAGGAACCCGCCACACGCAGAAATAAGGATAAACCTCCCACGCTCTCTAGCACGTACCTTGCAGTTCCTACCTCCCATAGCCCCAGGCTCTCCGCTAAAGGTAAGAACCGACAGAAAACTCCACAACTCTCCAACTCACAAGGAAATCTTCAAATCGGGCCCTGAGACCGGTTACATGTGCTCGCTCGGGCTCGACTTGATGAGGGGGTATAAGTTCATCCAAAAAATGGATCATGAGGGGGAGATGCGCAAGCACTCAGTAAGTATACGTTCTACTGAACACAGCGCAACGCCCGTTTAGCTACACAAGGGTTTATTTAGTCTCAGAGGTCAGCTCCGCGATGTCATCGTTGTCCATGCCGAGCAGGTAGAGGATATCGACCAAGCTCTCGCCGTTGATGCGGGTGGGAGCCTCCAGCTGGACCTTGGACTTGGCGCGCCAGGCGACACCGAGGCCTGCAGCGTGGAGCATCAGGAGATCGTTGGCGCCATCGCCGACGGCCATGGTTTGTGAGAGGGGGATGCCGTGCTCGGCGGCGATGGACTTGAGGAGAGTGCGCTTCTGGGCGGCATCGACAATGGGGTAGGACGGCACCAACTTGCCAGTCAGGGTCTGGGTGGTCTCGTCGATTTCGAGCTGAATGGAGGGTTAGAACCGAGGAAATGATTAACACAGGAAACAGGAGAGGCTTACGTGGTTGGCGACGGCAATATCGATACCGAGCTGCTCGGCAAGCCACTCGGCGAGGGGCTGGAAACCGCCACTCAGCACTGCAATCTTATAGCCCAGAGTCTTCAATGCACGGCAGAGCTCACGGGCACCCTTGGCGATCTTGATGACGGACTTGAGCTTGTCGAAGACATCTGCTGTGACGCCGTTGAGAAGGCCGACGCGCTCCTTCAGTGATGCGGTGAAGTCCAGCTCGCCGTTCATAGCGCGTTCAGTGATTTCCTGTTCACATGTTAGTTACTAGCATAGAGAATCAAGCTCTGGCAAGAAAACACATACCGAGACCTGTTTCTCGACACCAATGAACTTCGCGATCTCGTCAATACATTCATTATCGATCAAGGTGCTATCCATGTCGAATACAGCTAAGCGCTTGTGGCGACGGAAAACGCTCTCCTTTTGCAGGACGACCTCGACATTCCACTCGCGCTCAAAGCGCCAGATGCTCTCATGCTTGCGCAGGTCGGGGAAGGAGAGATAGTCTGGGTTTGGCGGGGGAGAGAAGGTGACCTCCACGACGCGGGGGTGTTCGTCACGATCAAGACAGCGGTGCGAGGTGTTCATGCGCTGGTAGGGGGTGGGGAGGGTTTCCAAAATCTGCAGGAAATTGGTCAAGCATAGTTGAGAGACATAGGGCCCATAGAGGTGGTCCAAAGGTTCCGGCTCTGGCGCAGGTGGCTCTCGCGGGAACTTGTCCATATCTTCTGTCGGGGCAGAGCCACTAGGCACGGTTGGCGCTGGGAGCTTATCGCCTGGGGCATGTTGGGGTCCGGAGTCGGGGTGGAAGTGGGGGTGAACGGGATTGTTGGATTTGTAGTAGATAGTGGCGACGATTTGCGACGTGCCGCTTGGAAGAGGGTTTGCTTGGTGGTTGAAGATGCTGTGGATGATACCGCTGTCGGTGACTCTCTCAGGGTCCGGATTGATAGGGTTTGCGTTAAGAACCAAGTGATCATCCACCTGGTTGGCCAGAACTTCGCCGATAGTCTGGTTGATTTGGTTGATTGGAGCCATCGGCTTGTACTGTTGGTGGTCTTGCAGGAATGAGCTGCTGCGCATTTGGCCGAGGGATGGCCTTGTAAGACGGGTTGTGGAGTCAGCCATCATGGAATAAGTAAGAAGGGAACGGGTAAGAAGCTGTGCGCAAGTTGAGACTATCGTGACACATCCCACACTCCCGAAGATCAAAAACGACTTGCGCCGATCGGCACGTGGATTTGGTCCCACTATAGACCACGTGATTAATCTGCACGTGATATCCGATAGCGGCGGTATTGGATCACCGCCTACCAGAATGGTCATTGGAGACGAGCACCTTCTTTGCATCCAGTCTAGAGACCTCGACAGGCGAGAGGATAGTCATGGCAGCTGGCATCTCGGCCTATGTATCTAACGCGATCTTAGCCGTAGAGAAGGGATGTTAATAGTACACCCGAATGATGATTTTCTGATGCGATTCTGAATGTTTCTAACAGTCGACACACATGCAAAAATCATCGTCTAATCATAATCAATCTTGACTACATGTATGTTGTCAACATATCCCAGTCGACTTCGGAACGATGGATCAAAAAAGAGACAGTTCCATCACCTATGATTGATTGATTGTGATGCTTGCTAGGAGACAAGATACCCAGCCAAACCAGAACAAGTCTACCAGATGAACCTGAACAGGTAGATAATAATGTAGTCAATGATGTTTATGCTCAGTCAATGTCTAGACTTGCTTGCTCATTGCATCACCCGTAGTCTATATTCTCAGAAGTTTTTCTCGTCCATCGCACCTACTCATTCTCTCAAATTCTCAACTTCGTCATCTTCCATCTCGATCTCCCACAGTCTATATTCACCTTCTTCAGCCCTAGTTGACGGCTCCTTCTCGGACCCATTATCCGTAGCGCAAAGCGAATACGAGGCCTATGGTACCCGTTGGCTGATGCTCATTTGTTCTTGAATTATTGCGTACCTCATAGGCTTAAACTCTCCAATCTGAAAACGCCCCCGTTTAACGTGCACCTTATAGTGAGCCAAGGCGCAAACTTGCGATAATTCCTTTGCTATATGTAGGCAATATGGGTCGTCTTGGCATAGCCCCCTGTACTTGGGAAGAGTGGCATTCTGTGCGGAGGATCCCAGGACTTTTAGTAACTTCCTGTCGAAGGCATTTGTTCTGGTGAGCCAACGAGATATGTAGAAATGATTCCGAATATACGCACATAGATATATATACATATAAAGCTCAAAAAACATCATATGGCATCGTTGGAGGCTAGGAGAGCATGATGGCCAATGACAAGTCCGGCAATAGGGCTGGGGTTTGCTGATTCAATCAAAGCAAACGCGGGAAGCAAGAAGTGAGAAGTAATATACTGTAAGGGAGGAAGACTAGGACATCATATACTCTTTCAATATATAAAAGAATAAGTGTAAGCTGCTAGGTTGCGCCTGAGATGTTGTCTGTCTCTAAACACCAATCATAAGGGAAAGATTAAAAAGTATGATAACTTGGAGGAAGAGTATTGATAGAAAAGGAAGAATAGCCTGGGAAACTAGCTTCTATATATAATCCTCCCTGCCGTTTGGTCTTTGTAAAGTTGGCAAACTAAACGCGCAGTTAGACCGACGTCTGTGTAGCCTTTGCCGATTGTACCGTGATGCTTCGTAGTATGCCAGGCTCTCAACATGCGACACTGCTTGGCAGTAACTTTCATGCGGCGCATGTTCCTGACAATGCTTGCAGTATAGATACACCTACTGCATATGTAGACGAAAATGGCGCATAGATTTCGACAAATACCATCCGCCCATAGGCACTTGGCATCTGAAACTTAAAGAACCAGATTATGGCAGCTCGCTGGCCACATAGGCCTGTAACAACAGTCCGTATTGACTGTCTTTTGTTATCCATGTAGTCCTATTGATACTACCCGTCGCCTACATGTACAGCATATACTCAGTGTGGTATGTGCATGTGTTAGGGCTAACGCCTCTCACCGGGCATTATCTCTTGTTGAGAGAGCCCTAGGGCTTGAGCTATCACCCAGGCTGTGTAGATTTGATATTCTAGAGGTATATCCCCATATCACAGGCTTTCCTGTTGAGCCACTCTCTTTCATGTTCTTTGTAAATGCATTTTCAAGCTGTCTTAATCTTAGGATCTCTTTTTTTGTTATCCGGCCAAAAGAAATAGGGCAATAGAGCAAAGTACATGAAATTGCATTAAAATTTCTCAAGCAATAAAGCGACCCGAAAGCGTTTCGTGGTGATGGAGTGGTCTTATCGTGATGGGCTCAAAATACTCAAAATACTGCCGGGGGACTTGCTATTTGTGGCAGCCGCCCGTAACCGAAGTTCTGCGGGCAAACAGGACCTTCGAGTCTTGACCCGCATCTACAACATAGTTTTGTTAACATACATATTTTATACCGAATATTGTTCCAAATTTGTCAAGATGGCCGAGTCAGTCCTCTCTCGCCGGGCTCAAAATCTCGTCGATGCAGGATCGGATAACCCAATGTGGGACGTGATGAGAGATATGTGGTGCCCAACAACGAACCCAAATGGGTATGTCAATGTGGGCGTCGCCGAAAACACAATGATGCATGACGAGCTATTGAAGTTCATCAATAAAAAGCTTGAGCTACCGTCTAAGTATCTCACATACAATGACGGTGGAGCCGGCTCTTCCAGATTGAAGGCGGCGATCGCTGCATTTCTGAACCGCCATCTGAACCCCGTCACGCCTCTTGAACCCAGCCATGTCATGGCAACAAATGGAGTTTCTTCTGCAGTTGAGCATGTTGCATGGTCATTCGCGGATCCTGGCGAAGGAATCCTCCTGGGAAGACCGTACTACGGCATGTTCATACCTGATATCTCACTGCGGTCAGGGAGTCCCGTGGTTCCCGTCAGTTTTGATGAACACGACCCACTGGGCCTGGAGGCCGTGGATAAATACGAAGAAGCATTGCTGGCATTCCAGCAAACCACTGGAAAGAAAGTCAAGGCTCTGATGCTTGCCCATCCTCACAATCCACTCGGACGCTGTTATCCCAGAGAGGTACTCATCAAACTGATGAAGTTCTGCCAGAAGTACCAAGTCCATTTCATCAGTGACGAAATCTATGCTCTCTCTACCTTTGAGAATACTGTTGATAAACACCCACCGCCAGCCAAATTCGAATCTGCATTGTCTATCGACCCGACTGGCATTATTGACCCCCGTCTGGTTCATGTCCTGTGGGGTATGAGTAAAGACTTTGGCGCAAATGGAATCCGACTCGGAGTCATTATTTCCCAGGCCAATCCTGCCGTTCATCAAGCGTTGACGAGCGTTGCACTTTATTCCTATGCTTCAGGACTCACTGATTACATCACATCTCTGCTACTTGAGGACTTCGAGTTCACAGACTGGTACATTCAGGAAAATCGGAAGAAGCTGTCAGACGCCTACACATACACGGTGAACCGTCTTAACGATCACGGGATTGAATATGCAACAGGATGCAATGCTGCATTCTTTGTCTGGATGAATCTGGGAAAGAAATACAGCGAATTGCACCCCGAGGATAAATGTGAAGATGTTGGGGACGCAGTCATGAAGCGCCTCTTGCAAAAGAAAGTGTTTTTGGCGAGTGGCCTTCTTTTCGGATCAGAAAAGAATGGATGGTTCCGAATTGTTTTCACGCAGGGTCATGACTATTTGAGCGTGGCTTTGGAGAGGATAATTGCAGCACTAGAGGAATAGACTTGTGCTCTAGAAATCAAGTGACTATACATCAATTGGAGTGCGTAGGTGAGCTTGTTGGTTTATGTTATTCTAATATAGTGATCCGTTTCTGGTTGTTTATGCCTTAGTCTTGAGGACTGGAACACTTTATTGTTGATATTCGAGTAGCCGAAGACTTGAGCGTTATCAGATATCTTGTTCATTGTCATATGGGATCAAATTGCTGTGGGCCTTAGACGAATCTTCTATCACGCTCGTCTTGCGAGCAGCTTTTGAAATTGCAAACTCGAGATACGTATTGTAGAAAATCCGAAAGAGTCCAGTGCGGTGCTGAGGATCAGTTCAAGCGCCCAGACTTCCAAGCTTGAGATGAGATCTCACTTGTCTGCTCAGGAATCGAGTCCATGATCGTTTTGCTTTCTCGCCTGCTCTTTTGCGCATTTTCCGTCCTTCGCATATCCCATTCTCTGGTAATACCTACCATATCCACGGCCCTTCCAACTGTGGACCATCAAGATTTAGATAGCGCCACAGAGCTCAGAAACATTATCATCGCCATCATCAGATTCCTACTTCAAACGCGGCGACAATACGGCCAGGAACTACCCTGCTCTTGGGTATTTTTAACAGCCTGCAATGCCCAGAACATATCGCCCTCGGGAACCGCAACTACTATCCCTTCATAATGCTCCCTACCAACGCACGCCCCGGCGAATTCTGAGTGTTTCTGACAAACCCATACAACCTGCACCACTTTCGCTCTCCATGGTTCCTGAGATTCAACAGGCCACACGAAGATCTGCCCTGCGCAGTTGCCACTATGATATTGGCAAATTTGTCAACGGACTGGATGATATGGGCCTCCGTGATAATCGGGATGGCATGAAATCCATCACTGCATAGGATACTGATTCCCTTGTCATCGATGCTTATTGACGCCATGTTGCTCGACTCTGAGGCTCACAGTAGGAGCTGTGCCCATGACCTTGATAGAATCATTTCTTGCTGGTACTATCTGTGGGCTCGGATATCAATGTTTTGCTTATTACTCTTGACATACTGGGAGGAGAAGCCGTGTCTTTGCTCTTGCTGGGGTCCATTTTTTGAGAAGAATAAGTTGAATGGAACATTGGCTTAAATGATGAACAATCTTCCTCGTAAATCCCGATACAGGCGAATCCTAAGGTTATGCATATTTATCCTTTTCTCCGCTGCCCTTAAGCAATCACTAACAAACGGTGCTTTTCTGTCTAGAGCTTGGCGTTGCATTTGCGCGCTTTGACGCTGATCGAACGCAAACTAGGGCTGATGTCGCACGTGACCAACACCACTGAACACAATACTAGCAAAAAGGCCTTCAGCTTAGAAAGACCGAGGGGGTTGGAAGGTTTCTAAAGGTTTACGTGTATGGAAATTAAATGTGTAGTTGTAAATTTATGAAAGAATCATCAGTATACTTTCATTTATCATATGAATTTCATTATCATGTCTCGCAAGTCCCCAGTGGGCACGAGAATCAAATCCACTCCCTGCGCAGAGAGTTGGGATGCCAAAGGTACGTTTTGTACCATATTAGAAAGACTAAAAGATCGCTTTTGTAAAGATGAAGGGCAGAGAGGTATCACGCAAGGAACGCCGACGGTATGCAGTGGAAGGAGGGGAAGGCGAGAAAGTTCAGACGACAGGGGTCAATTGGGGGTTGGACATCGCCTCCTCCTGTCGCTTGCGCTCCATCTCCATCAAGTACTGAGCGTACTTGGATCGGGGGTTGTGGATGCCACACTCAGTCTTCTGCTGTCCCTTCCAGCGACCAGAGCGCTCGTCTTCGTTGTCGGCAACGGGCTGTGTGGAGTGCCAGTCACCAATGCTCTTGTAGCCACGGTCGAGAAGCTCATTGTAGGGGACCTCGTTGTCCTTGGCGTATTGCTTGACTTGGTTGAAGGACCAGTTGGCCATGGGGTTGATCTTGATGAGGCCAGCCTCGTCAACCTCGATGATGTCAAGGTCACCACGCTTGCCACCTTGGCTGCGGCGACGACCAGTGAGAACAGCGTGGACATTCATCTCACGATAGGCACGTTGAGCGGGCTCAACTTTAGCGACCCAATCATAGAGTTGGTCGTCGACTTCCCAGAGCTTGGCGCCATACTTGGCTTCAAATTCGGCTGTGGTGTTGACGCCAGCAGGCTTATAGATGTGCACATTGTTGTTGGGGTACTTGCGACGCACACGGTCGACCAGGGACAAGGTTTCATCAAAGTGGTAGAGGGTGTCGAGGAAGACGAGGTCAACCATCTGAGGACGAGGCACCTGCAGCTTGGACAGCATGTCCAAGGTAACAAGACCCGTGAGACCGAAAGCAGTGGTCTGGAAAAGATGGGGAAGTGAAGTAATGCACCATCTCAAGATCTCTATAGAAAGGGAGTCAGATTAAAGAGTCGAGGAAAAGAGGGGTCACAATGGATATCTCTACGAACCTTGAGGCTCAAGGAACTGCAACTGGCGGTTGAGGAACTGAAGATGAGGCTTGGTGAAGACAATCTCGGGAACATAGTCATCGCTGGATCCAGAGGCAGCACTGGCATAGCCCGACTCAGTCATGGCATCATGGTTGTCGATGCCCTCCATCTCTGAGGGGTAGTTGTTGGGCATTTTGGCTGGCATACTGGAGGCAGTGTGGACAATCACAGATACCAGTGGGGCAAAGACGTGATAGAAGAAGAGATTGTATGTGTGGGAATGATCGAAGAGTGCGGAGGTGTGAAGACAAAGCCACAGATGACACTGAGGCAAGAATATAAGAGCAGCAAAGGCAATCACATCATCCGGAGATCCGTCCCTGCCATCGTCTTCATCCGATACTCCCCAATTGTCTTCAATTCAAGCAAACAGTCCACTGTGATTGGCTGGAGGGCCGATTGCGCCATCGATAGAAAATTACTTCCCAAAATGGATTCATAATGAAGCTTAGGTAAGCTAAAATTGGGCCTTTCGCCTGAGCATCAAGGCAGCAAAATGTCGCGATCGATGGCGTGATTCCGAAGTCGGGCCGGAGAAACAAGAATATCCGGGTCGATTCAGCATTCTGGAGGCAACCAGGCTTTGGAATCCTCGGTCGTTCGGAAGGGATCCGCGAGCAAATGCCGTGGAATCATCATGGAGCTAAGCACCACAATTAGGTAGGCATAGCTTGTGGATTACCCCGGGCATATTGGTCATCGGCGCTGACCAACCCTGTAATCAGGTCTCCACCCATGGACGTGGGCACTGATCATGACCCTGCGTGCTGATCATGACCCTGCGATCTTCCTAGGCAATGATATCACCTTAGCAGATCTCTTGGTGGGCAAGCTGGGCATACCGGATCCAGGCATGTTGATTATCACATCCACATATGTAGCCATATGCGCAATAGAATAATCACCGAAAGTTGTATCACGGTGGATTGGGATGAGGTATCCCATCCATTCTGCCAGGCGGTAACGCATGTGAGGCTCAATGACGCCAAAGCAGAACACATCGGGCAATCCCTTAGATAGAATGGACGTCACAGAGGATATGTGGTTTGTTTTCCCCCTCCATGTGCGTCCTCATACGACCAGCGAGTATGAGATTTCTGTCAATCTATGGGCTATTTTTGCTACCTACACTGTATGATCACACAGATCATACTTATACTCCACTATTCTATAATAGGGTCGTTGCATGCTCTTAATAGAGTCTATAACATATTCTTTCCTCGTTCGGCCATGCAGTTAGTAGAGTAGATATGGAGCATGATGAGAGTGGATTTCAATCAAAATCGGTACGTGGGTAAGGTTGGACACATTACTCCGTAGAGAGCACAGTGATCTTAGTAGGTGGGTCATATTAACCTCAGGTCTTAGTCTTGCAAAAATACCCACTTTTTTCTGGAGCACTACCCTTCTTTTATCCTCCTGGGCATATTCATCTAGACCTTATTCCAGTTGAAGATACGATTCTCATCGAGGAAACCGATCGGCTCGATGTTACGTCTAAAGAAATCCGCGACATCTATCGCTTTGTTAGTTAGACGAGTATTTTATTGAGAGACCATATAGAAACAAAAGATGCATTGGGAACTCCAGGAACTCCGCGGGGCATCTTCAGCTTCAGGGCTCAGATATGCTCAATTAGCAGTGATGGTGACAGGAATCCTTCATCGTACATAAGTTGACTGATAAAGCTACCAAGAAAGATTGATATCTAAAAGATGAAATAAAATATCAGTTGATATTCGAACCCGAAACCATCAGTATATGGTGTGTTATCTATACGTACCACTGTAGCTGTACCAGCCCATTACTGGCTAGCTCTTTCTGTCGTTAGTTCTCCATTTCTAGCCCGGGTTATTGTCCGAGCTCGTATCAACGGGAATTGACGTGGGTGATGAGTGGAAGACAACCAACGCCAGATTTTCATTTGCCATGAATCTGCGATGTGCAAGCCAACCTCGCTTTCCATAATCCGGATTCCGGGTATCACGTTTTCGCATTCTTCTGCTAGACCGGGGAGGGCTTCATCCACAGCTTCAACAGAAATGTCGGCACCATCATGGTCTTCTCCGCTATTAACAATCACACCTGGTCGAGTCAATCCACCGCCAACGTGAAAAGATCTTCTCAATGTGATCCATGCCTATGGCATTCAAATCTCCTATCAAGCTTCTGCCCCGCAAGCTCAACACAACAAAAGTCTTTACAGTATGGCCGCCCGTTGCAGCATGTAATGACCAATGCGTGGCAAGACACACAAGTCACCCAGCTGTATTCCCCCTTTCTGATCATCATCCGCTTTCTTTTCGGGGTTAAGCAACTGATCTGAAATACCATGCTTCGATGATATCGCGCGATAACATCGTCGGTCGTTATGGACTTGTCGGATCGTCAGGTCGGAGATTGAGAATGAGATGTCTCCTGGCCTGCCAAGTGCTTGAAGGTTAAGATTGACTGTGTATTTCGCCTGGATTGATGGTCTGTCCATCCCTCCCAGGCTCAAAGGTGTTATGAATCTATTAGGGGGACGCTTGATTCGAGAACGGCTCTTGACTCAGTCATTTGAGTAATCGCTAGGTTGTTGTAGATGAAGATGTAAATCGTAGTAGGCGATGGGGGACCCATGAGAGAGAATTAATGGGAATGAATTATGAATTAGAAGCGTCAGTGTGATAGCGCTCATACTGAAAGAGAGGGAGGGAAGGATGTCATCCTTGGAAAGATTTAGGTCCGACTCATTTATCCTCTTATAAACAGATTGCAAATGATAGTTATTAACAAATGTAAGAGGCAATAGTCTTATCAATCAACTATATCTAATATATAGTGAGAGTCAAGTGACAGGAGGATGAGGAAATAGTGAAAGAACAGTGGATGAAGTACAACCAGGCTAAATAAGCCCATAAAGTAACGAAGGACATGAACTTGATTTCCGAGCTACCTTCCAATGTAGCTAGGTTCCAAGGCTAGTTCCTTAGATATCTAAATGGATTTTGAAAGGAGTTTACCTCATAGTGAAACAAAGATCAGAGTCTTCCACACTAGAACTTCAAGACTCGACTGAATCGCAAGAATCGCACTCATTTCCTAGGTCATATATCTTGAGTACCTTTTTTTCCTCTCAAATAGACATATACAAAGTCCCCTTTTGACATCCCCACCAAAACCCCCAACCCCACTCAACCAAACATCTGCTCCTGCTTAGCGCCCTTCACAGCAGCAAGATAACTAGGCCGATCCTTAACATAGAACTCGACATCAACCCTACCCCCAAGATTCGCCTCCCCGCCATCGAGTGTCCCGGCCTTAATACATGTCATCTCAGGCATAACCTCCAACTCCGTATAGATGCTTGAGCCACAAGTAGGGCAGAAGAAGTGCTTATTAATCTTTCCACTGTTGCCGATGGCATCGTAGGCATCAAGGGTCCCTATATCGGATAGCAAAGTCAGAAACTCATTGTAGTACGAGTAAATATGGAGAACTCACCCTTGGTCACCCTGACGCTGCTGCGGGGAACAACTGCATTAGAGGTAAATGCGCCACCGGACCACTGTCCATAGTTAGAAGATCCTGTTTCGAGCTGGAGAGGGAGTTTGCACCTTTTGGCAATCGGTGCAGTGGCACAGAGCGGCCGTGTACGAGTCAGCTGGTGTGTTGTTAGCGGGGTTTAGAAGCAGCTAGGTGATCCATACCGTCGATGGTGTAAGTCACACCACCGCACATGCAGCTTCCAGTGAAAGGCATAGTAGAGAATGCGATCGAATAAGAAATGGAGATACGGGGGGATCATAGAAAAAGCGGGGTTGGACGGTCTTATAGTGTCGGAGTCGGTGTTTGGTTGCCAATCACCGAACGCCGAGACTCTGTGTATAGCATGCGGGCGTTCTAGTTTCTTCTTTGGGGTAGCTTCGTGATGGTCCTGAGTATTTGCCGTGGTACAGAGTTGTACAGCTGGGAAATCCACAGTTGCAATGGGAAATAGACAAGAAAAAAGAACAATATCATTCCTAGAAACAAGAGCCTGCTTTATGTACATCGTCCAAGAGTCAAAGCAGTAGCACGACAGATCCGGATTCAACGCCAGGTTTCTAGAATGAACCAAAACGCAACATTAAGGGGATCAGAGAATAAGAAAGTGAAAAAGAAAGTAAAAGTTGACACAAGACAGCACTGGTATATATCACTTCAAAATCCGCATGAGACATGTCATTGGAAAAAGACAAGACAGAAGAAAATGGCGAAAGAAAGGAATGACAAGAACCGGGGTATAGAGAGGATACATGACTGGAAGCTTGATCGAACTAGGGAGACATTCAAATGCCCCCGGGGCAAAAAGGAGTTATGGGGTATTGACAAGAAAGTGAGATTTGTATGTCCACGGGGACCACCTCGGAATCAAAATGCCAGCACTTTACAATGATTTCTCCACAGGAGAGAATCAATCCAAGCATCAAGTTTTCGGCTTTTTATTTGCACCATCCCCTGCGGTTCCCCCCTCGGGACTTTTTCTCTTCTTGTCTTGTTCGTCTTCTCGAGCAAAGCTAGGACCGCTTTGCACTGCCGGAGTCGGGAAGGTGAGTGGACTGGGCAGCATGTTGGAGTCTGGGCCTGAGCGGCCAAAGCCCCATTCGGGGAAGAAGCTAGAGGGTGACGGGAGGAGTGCATCGGAGACAAAGCGGCTGGGCAAGGCTGATATGGGCGTCTCGATGTTATTCGAGTTATTCCCATTGTTCGGGTTTCCACTGTTGCTGCCGTAAGAGTCATTTCGAGTCGTGGCAACGGGGGGAGGCGGTCGCGCGAATGGATTTGGAGGGCCTTGGGCTCCTGCGCTCAGTATTGCGCCGGCTGAGGGCGATGGAGGGGGCAAGACCACGCCCGAGGGACCATTTTCGGCACTTCCTTTCGCGGGCGTGGAGGTTTTATTCCCAGCGGAATCTCGGGACGAGTCGGCTGTGGCGCTGCCAGCATCAGAGGTTTCACTAGGAATCTGCACCTTTAATTGCGGTCTTTTAGATGGCAACGGTCCACTGTTAGTTCGAGATGGTGCTTTGATTTCCGACGCCGACGCCGACGCCATTGATGCTCCACGAGGAGCTTCTGTTGCAGCTCTGACGGCCATTGCTTTGGGACCAGATGAGGACTGTGGTAAAGCTTCTAGTTTGAGAGAATGGTTATTGTGAGGTTCATAGGATGGTGCCCCGGCTCCGAAATGACGGGCGAGCACAGATCCTCGATCATCGATCGGCGTGAAAATACTACGTGATTTAGACAGCGACTTCATTTGAGGCGGCGATTGGCTGTGCTCTGCTTTCATCGCTCCCGATGAATCCTCCTGGGTGTGATCTGGACCAGGTCGTTCTTGGTGACCATCAGGTGCGAACCCCGGCGGTATTGAGTTTCTTCCATGTTCCTGCATGTACGCTTGCTGCACCTGTTGATGGGGCCCGGGAGGCATACCTATTGCATGGCCGTGCTGTTGGTAATGCTGTGGGCCCTGATGCTGCGGTGGCATCTGTTGCGGTATACCGTGCGGGTGCATAGGAGGCGTCCCTTGATGCGGTCCTGGTGGGTGTCCATAATGTGCAAACTGTCCCGGTCGAGGTTGCTGATTCATTGCATGGATATTCGGGTTGTACATCGACGGATTGGGCATATAGGTAAACCCACCATTCTGGGGGACGGGTGGCGGCGGAGGTGTACCATGTTGCTGTGGGCCTAGGTTCGAGCTGACTCTGCGGATGTGATTCCTTGAAGAGGGACGCGAGGTGCCTTGTGATTGCGGGGTGCCATGGCGTGTCATGGCATGATGGATCGGGGGTGACGCGGAAGGTGCATGGTTTGCATGGTTCATGTGCTGGAAAGCGGGCTGGTTTTGGAGGTGAGGGGGGATGGCGGGGTGGTTCTGCTGAATTGCTTGAATCTCATCGGGAGCTGGTGACGCTTCATCTTCCTCCTCCTCGTCATCTCGCTTGCCCGCAAAATCATCTGGTCCTTTGTGCTCGTGAGGAGGGCCGAACTAGAAAGTTGCTCGTTAGAACATTTCAAGATGGTCATCGGACACCTATCACTCACATATTGATAGCGGCCGAGAGCCTCATGCATGTCGCATGACGAGTACTCGTATAGCTTCTTGTTATGACCAAAGATAATGACAGCTACGTCAACGGAGCACAGAACAGCCAGCTCATGCGCTTTCTTGAACAGACCCCCTTTTCTTTTCAAAAACGTGCTAAAGCCAAAACCCCCTATCAGTCATGACCAGAATACTCGACTGAGAGGATCAACTTACACTGAGCGATTGCGGTCATCTTTGATGGCCTTGATCTCAATCTTTCTCCGACCCATGGCGGAAGGCTACGGGCGCACCAATTGCGCACCGACAGCAAGATTGAGATAAAATGGGGAATGATACAGCAAGCCGCAGAGCGACTTGCGAGATGCCTCGCGCGATTAAAATGATTTACTCAAGGTGCAGAATCGACGCGATCGCGATCCTAGTTCGGCGGTGGTACACGGGTGCTGTATGGAAGGACCTTCGCCTCTCTTCACTAGAAGATCTGAGGGTGGCGTAACTAGTCAACAAAGAGGCCTGGAACCAAGAACCGTGATCTTTGGATGTCGCAGGAACCCTGTAGATATTCAGGGCGGGGAGGGGGGGGGCTGGACGCGACTCCCAAAAAACAATAAGATCCCTCGAAGATCAAACAGGAACAGTGAACCCGAGGAAATGGGAATCAACAAAGGAACCAGACAAAGCCAAACCCAAGTAAAGGATGGACCTGCGGAGAAAGGATGATTGACGATGCAGGAAAGGTTGATTCTAAAGATAGATCTTCGAGGGAGAGAAAGAAGATTTACTCGGCTGACTCAGCACGGCCTTAGGCGCCGTTCTATATTTATCTCGTCTCACCATCTCTGAGCACCCTATGTTGTACTTACCACATACACCTACTAAGGATGCTCAGGGTCTTGTCCCTGCAGTGGCTGATCACAGTGGAGTCTCCCCCTCCACCTCCTATTGGCAAGTTCATGGACGCTCCCTGATATTCTTACTCTCTTCAGCCGATGGGGGTCTATGATGTCAACCCGTCAACCCGGGGAAGCTCAAAGCACGGATTAAGGTAAATTAAAGCTCCACAAGGATATCGGGGTTCTGATTTCAAGACTATATATACACCTGCACTCCGTCAGGTTTGCCATCCTCCGCCTAACTCCCATGAATAATGAACTCTGAAAGAGCCCGTGATGTCGCCAGCCCTATTTAGTTTGAAAGAGTAAGGCGCCAGATCTAAATCGTCGATTCCGATCTGGCATCATAGCGATATATTATACCTTGTTTGAGATCAATGAGCTACAATATAAACCGTTTTCAGAAAGGGCTAGTAGAGATGATATTGTCCAGCTACGAGAGTCTCCATACAGGCACTATCGGTGCTCAAGGACCCTATATTGCAGTCCCTCAATATTGTGACTGATTGGCTCCAGTGCGGCACGACCGTTTGACCAGTCGTCGCGATCGTCGCTCGGAGATTGGGCTGATAGGTGTACGGAGTACGGAGTACGGAGTAGGCAAATAATACCGGACACTTGTTCGACACGTTCGATTCGTTCGACACGTCTGAATGACAGTTTCTCCCTGAGTGTCAACGGTCAGGCAGCGAAACCACATGCCACATAACCCTGGATCCCCCAAACCCAGATCGAAAGAGATGATCAGCCTCAGGATCATTCACTTCCAACGATTGTCCCACTCCGAGTAGGGGCGATCGAAACGTGAATCATTTCTTTGTGTGGGCGCATCTAACGGAGTCGAGACTCGCGGGTACGTTAGTTTCATTTACCCCTGAGCTTCGTGAATCGCTTCGTCTCTTTATTTTCCCTCTCCGATCGTTCGCTTGTCCCCTTTTTCTTTTCGTTTCTCTCCTTTTTCTCTGCGCGTTCTCGGTGGTTTCGACCCATTCTAGAAGCACAGACAATCTGATTTCAGGCCGTTTATTGACTTTGTCCTGGGCTGCAGGACATCCCGGACACGCCTAGACAGTGTATCCATTCACTCAGTCTAATTACGTGTCGGTTGTCTGCATCCTCAGCCTTGAGACCTTCATCTCTTATTTGTTGACGGCCAACAGAAGCTAGAAAAAAAGGAAGAAAAAAAAGCGGACCCCCGAATTTCTCCCCACAGTCCGATTTTTGACGCGCAAGGTCAATCCTCAGCGGTCGCATTTCCGGCCAAAAATGTCTTTCTTTTCTCGAGTCTTTCGGGGCAAAGATGCCCCTGCGACAAAGAAACAGACAAAGCCTACCGCGGCCTTAGACCCGACCCCTGCGAAGCCCAAATGGTCCGACGCGTGGCAGCGAACAGAGATTGCGCCGGAGGAAGTCCAAGACCTTGTACGAGGGTGTGTGCATGAGCTCAAAGCCCGAGGTAGGTAATGGATTTATAACTTGACTGTGGAATATTGGCCACGAATTGTTCGGATTGCTGATCATTCGTTGCGACAGCTCTTGACACCCCATTTCTCCTCCTGCCATTCCGACCCAGCTCCGATCCGAGTGCTGCTCGCACGTTCATTCGCAATTACTTCAATCAGTCCTTTGAGAAGGGTTCACCTGTGAATGGAGAGCTCTTGGCGCAAGAGCTCCGGCTCACGGAGCCGATGGTGAGAAAGATTGCCTCTGCAGTATAACAGCGACTAATGCCATTTTTGGGGGCATAGGTTCTTTGTGGTGTGATGAAATGGTGCTGGAGCAGACTTCCTGGTGGTGTTGTTACCTGGGAGGCATACGAAACCTTCAAGATGGGCGAAAATGGTATGCCAGGCTGAGATGGAATGCGGGGGAACATCGCTGATGAAACCTTAGATTCGGATATGGCCCGCGATGCTTTTTCCACTTTCATTCCAATCGGCGGCGATTCCGAAGCGCGCACCAGTATCATTTTTGACTTCTTCGACCTTTTGGCTGCCATTGCGGCCCATGGAAAATCCAACGGCTTGGGAGGCCGCAAGCTTTCCCGATATGCCGGATGGTGGGCATTCGAGCATGTGGATACAGGCAATGGCTTTGAGGCCGCTTATAAAAACTGGGCTGCGTATGGGATTCCGTTGCTCTCGTGATTCTGGATGGGATCCTAACATAATCTCTAGTGCTGCCGATGCTACAAGCCACTTGTTCTTCGCCTACCTTCGCTCACTGTCCCCCGATGTCCCCCGCGGCGTGAGTGGCATCTCCTCGCTACCCATATCTCTCCAGTCCCTCGTCGAAGCGACCGAATATCCCCCCGAGACTCCCACTTTGCTGCAAGTTACAACTACGAAGGTTGTCATGATTGTGGAGAATGTTTCTCCGACACCATTTGCTTTATTGCGACGCGCCAAAAACTTCGAATACCGCGACGATGATTGGCACTTGCAAGAGTTTGCCAACTACGAGGACCCCGTCAGCGCATTGACTGACGAGTGTCACCGCGTTCTCAAGTGTATCTCATCAGCGAACCAATCCAGTGTTTCGAGTACCAAGCAGTCAACCAGTTTGCGAGATGCATCCTGGTCTCGTTTCGAGGATGTTGGCTTCGGTGGCTCTATCGACTCTGATCCAGAGGATGAAAAGGAGTCTGCCCCACCGGCGACGGCAAAGAGCGCTGCTCCTAGCGGATTGAACACTGTTCCTCAATCTGGAGGAGGTGACCTTGGCCGTCCTACCACTCCCTCGTGGGCAGACTTTATGTCATCTGGTTTCGCGGATGAAAATGGGTTGAAGCCCAACGTGGGTCCTTTGCTCTTGCCTCCTGACAAGATTCTGCCCCCCATTGCTGCTGTACGTGGTCAGAGCTCTCAGTCCCATAAGCGTTCCTTGGATATCGAGCCGTGCCTTGAGCCAGCAGAGTTGGCCAGTATTAATACCCTAGACATGGACGACTCTTTCTGGTGGGTTTGGATCAGCAGTTTGTCAGGCGACGAGCCTTCTTCTCGCAAGGCTGTATTTGGTCGATGTGCACTTCTAGAGACCGTCATTCGGGATACCAAATGGCTGGTTCTTGAGGAACAGGTGAAGGGCGCTGCCCCAGAGCCTGAAGCCGGTGCTCAGATTGTCGAGAAGAAGCGATTCTTCACTTTCGGTAGCCGTAGAGGTAAGCTCAATCGTCGCAAGTCCACGGCCAAGAAGGTGTCTTCGATTGAAGAATCGTACAAGCGGCCCAATAATCTGGGAACGCAGAGCAAGACTAGCATTGGACCTGATCAGCACAAGCGGATCCAGGCAGCTGCGGCCGCTCTTCAAAAGAAGCACCGCGAGCAAGAAGCGGAAGCCAAGGAAAACCGAGTCAACCCCGATCCTAGCCGTTCCTCCAAGACCAACTCCGTCCTGACCCTCCAGCCTGCCATTCTAGACGAGGCTTCACAGGCTATGAAGTGGACTAAGAACTATGACAAGAGTGCCTTCCGGGCAGCATACCTCAATGACAACCGCGCTGGCACTGGTCTTGTTGAAGAACTCACAGGCACCCCCGAGTCTACCTCTAAGGTGCCTGAGCAGAAGCCTTCCACGCCCTCGGCACCTCTTCCAGTCAGCACTGCAAAGACCGGTCCTCCTCCACTTCCTAAAGATGCAGCAGCAGCCGTCGCCACCCCTCTTCCGCCTTCGCCTAAGCAAGAGCCAAAGAAAATAGTGAAGGTCCCCACTCCTGGATCAGAGAAGATCACCTCAAAGCCTGCCGTTGTCGAGCAGCCCGCGGAACGACGGGACTCAGTAGACGATGCCAGTAAGAAGTTGAAGAAGAAGGCCGGAAACACTGGCTTCAAGAGCATGTTCGGGACCAAAAAGAAGCCCGAAGAGCCGCAGCCTCCTATGAAGAACACTGGTTCCAAGGAAACCTCTACTGTGGCAGCTGCTCGTGCAGCGCTTGAGGCAAAGACCAAGGCAGCCCAGGAGTCCAGCCCCGTGAAGAAGAAGCCTCTTCCCAAGGAGACCGCTGTCGTGGCTGAAAAGCCCTCGACGCCTCGAGTTGTTGAAACGCGTTCGGAGCAACGCGTGACAGAGTCCCCGACTCCAGCACAGCCCTCCGCCTCTCTGGGAGCGAATGGTGCGCCGCCCAAAACCAGACGCGCCGCCGAGTATGATGCTCTCTCGCGCGTCGCTACCCCGGAACGTGACGCCGCCGATCACGAGTTCTCCAAATTCGACCAGGGCCCGTTATCTGACCAACCTGCTTTCGTCCCCGATGATTCGCCCGTCAGCCCTGTGCCTGTAGCCCGGAAGATTGAACTTCCTCAGACTCCGATCAACGGCAATGGTATCCGCCCTGACGCCGCTACCTCTCCTGCGTCCACCGACACCACCCAGGATCGGTGGAAGGCGATCCGCGAGGCTGCTGCCCAGCGGACTACTGTCAACCATGAACATGTTCATGAGCCGGAAATCGAAAATCCCCGCACTAGCCAGTCAGAGCGCACCGACGAGGGAGAAACCAGCGGAGAAGAGAGTAAGTCACTATTTGATATCCGACAACACAAACCCAATGCTAACATTTCTCCCCAGCCATCGAAGCCCGCGTCGCCCGTATCAAGGCCCGAGTGGCCGAGCTGACCGGCAACACGGATGATGGACAAAGACACTAGTCTGCTACGTCCCCACCCGTTTCCCCTTTGTTCATTATTCCTGATCATCCCCTCCCTGGCTCTCTATTCGCTACCCGTGATGATCCAGGATGTACTTGTTTGTTAATCGTATACCCTTCTCCCGATCCGATATCGGTTGTGTTTGCTTATTGAGCGCGGTCTGATAGACCGAACCCAGGTCCCCCATCTCCATGGGCAGACCGACGAATACTGCGACATTTGTTCTTTCTCCCTCTCCTTCAAATGTCTTTTGGCTTTTCGCCGGTCCGATAAATATCCTGTCTTGGTCTAATTTTCCTTTTTCCTACCGAGTCTGGGCCATCTGCTGTTTCTTCCTTTTTGTATGTGTGACTTGCTCTATTCCCCTTTTGCTATTCCTGATTGTGGTTGTCGCTACCCATACGAATCGCTTTGTGTCTAGATTATTGTAATGCAAAATCTATGTAATATGGAACCTTTTATCTCAATAGAATCCAGCCCCAGAATAATACATATACTGAAGTAAACAATCCATAAATCATAAACCCGTCATATCACATTCAGTTCACTTATATAAAACTATCACAGTTTACAACTTTACAACCCCAAAGCCTTCAAAATCTCCTTCCCAACCCCACTCGCCGACGCAGGATTCTGTCCCGTAATAATCGTCGACCCCGTCCCAGCCGCCTTCCCAACAACAACCATCTCCCCCCAAGGCTCCGCAGCCTTAACATACTTCCCCAGCGAAACCCGCCCCAGCTCCGTCTCCAGCATAAACGGCATCACCGACGACAGTTTCACCGAATCCTCCTCATCATTCGAGAACCCAGTCACCGTCACACCAGCGATAAGCGGCTCGCCGGACGGCGCCTTCGCATTCAGCAAAACGCATGGTCCGTGGCAGACCGCAGCAACGGGCTTGTTGGCGGCCGCAAAGGCCTGGATTAGAGAGAGGGAGGTGGGGTCTTCGGTGAGATCGAACATGGCTGTTTTTATGTTAGAGTGAGGACTTGGTTGGGATCAGGGAAAGGAAGACGTACGGCCGTGTCCGCCGACGTAGAAGAGGGCGTCGAACTCGTTCGCGCGGGGCAGAACATCTGCCAGCTTGTGCGTGTTTGTCCACAGGGCTTTCTGTTCTTTGAGGAAGGTTTGGGATACGGCGTCGGATTCGAACATCTTCACGGAGCTTGGGTCGAGGGGGGCTTCGCCGCCTTTGGGGGAGGCGACGGTTAGGGAGACTTTGCCTTGGAGGACTTCATGGGGGTGTGCGAATTCTGGCTTGGGGGTTGTTAGCAGGTGTACGGTTGGATTTGCTTAAGAGTGGGATAACACGGATTGAGGCTGTAGGAGCAACATACCAGATACCAGCCAGTTGGACCACCTGTAGCGGCAATCTTGTTGTGGGAGGTGAGAACGACGAGAACTTTGGGAGTCATGTTTGCTACTTTTTGGAATGGAAGTGTATATTGAAGAAAGAATTACAAGAGGACGACTGAGGGAAGTACGAGGTTATATTCTTAATAGAACTGGCTATGCCCCGCTTGTGGTTGTTGAGGGCAATCGGAGTGAGGTATATCACAATCCCGTCACTGGTTCCACCTGGATCCTTGTCGATTATCAATTCTGCAGGATTGAGCCAATGAGGTTGGCTGCTGGAGCTGAAACCTGTGTGCAGAAGTCAGGATTGTGCAGCTCAGCTCTTCCTCGGGACCCGCTTCGTTGATGATGTCATACCGTTCCTCCCGAGGTCCGATATACCGATTGTTCCTGTTAGTTACCCATATTGTACGGAGAAAAGGGTAGAGTTGAAGGGTTTTGTACTTGCTTGTGTGTTGGACAATGATCACGTAGTACATTGGGGCAATGGCTAGTGGTTTGAGGGGCATCTTCAGTGGGTCAAAGCTGTTGTTGTAGGTATTAGAAGGAAGATATAGTAGTTGGGCAGCTGGATTGGCAGCTGCAAACACAGTTGAAAAGACATTATGATTTTGAAAACAGTCCAGGCTATAGAGTTATGTCCAATTATAAAGTGGGATGTAACCCCTTCATCCTTCTCATGAAGGGTGAGCTCAACCCATATGGACAGATGTAAAGAATGAACATTAATAAGATAGTATATCATCGCAGATACTAAGCACGATGTACATGCAAATACCAGAACCAAAGAGGAAAAAAGAAATAACAAAATAACAAAATAACACAGCTCCTTTTGGGGTAACATAGGGTCTTGCACTGTACATGGTATACATAGTAATCTAAGTCAGTTTGTGTACAGGAACATGAAATGTCAAGTCAGGACACGCTCGTATGAAATAGATCGGGTATCGAGCAAAAATCAATGGCTATTCATTGCAACGGATCGTAATTTCGCAGCTTCCGCTCTGGGGCTGCTTGCTCATAGTATATACCGGAGTCGGCGGGTAGCCTCGGCCGCCACGAGGGCGCTTATCGCTCCAATGAAGAGACAAATGGCGATAGCGTTGGGTCGGTCCTTATCCAGGTTCATCCATTGCGTGTCTGAGTCGTCGGCAGCGTCGTCTGGTCCGGGTGTTGCGCCCGGTTCCAGGATGCTGAAGACAATCCAGCTGATGAATGTGCCGACAAATTGCGGTAGGGTCGTGTACACATTTAGCACGCCTAGGTAGATGCCGGCTAGTTCACCTGTTGACGGGATGTTGGATGATTGATCCTCTTCGTCGCTGTCGCTGTCGAAGGAATCGCGATGGTTCAGCCGGAGGACATCCAGCTCGGTGTCGGCGGCTGAGTTGCGTAGGCTGGCTGAGGTGATCATCGTCACGCCGGATCGTGAGGATGGAATGGCGGGGGAATACCCGGCCATTGTTAATTTGTTGATTTCCACGCCCATGAAGGCAAATGGAGCCCAGCTACTGATCGCCCAGGGAATACCGCATGCCGCTACTAGGAAAGTTGCGAAGGCTCGGGAGTGTGCTAGGGGTGCGAAGATCATTGTGACGGCAAACATGATATGGGAGATCAACCAGGCGGTTTGGAGATCGGGACGGATTGAGGTGATGGCTTTGAGGACTGCTGCAACTCCCGGTGGAGGTCGGGGAGTGAATCGGGTCCGCTTGCTATCTGGCGGCTGGATACAGAAGGGTAAAAGTACAGAGCTGAGGAATGTAATAGACGAGAAGACTGTTAATGAAAGACTGCCTACACGGCCGACTTCACCAAGCATATCTGTCGCTTTGGCCATATCGTCTTTGGGTACTTCATAGCGGAAGTAGGTCTCACCAACCCAAGTCGTGCTGTAGAAGAGGAAGGGGAACCAACCTAGTGGATGTCAGCTCGGTTTCTTCAATCGCATATAGTTTCACATACCAATCCAAGCCCAGAACTGGGCCCAGCAAATAGCTTGGATGCGAGGCGGCAGCTCGAAAGTTGTTTTGAACAGCTGTGAGAGAACTTGAACAGCACCAGCACTTCCGTCGTCTCTATTATCAAAGCAAGTTTAGTTGGCGATAATAATATGGACACGAAATCAACCCACCTTGCCGTGATAAGCACTCGCTCTTTAACCGAGTATGAAGTGACTGCCACTGCCATAACCAACGAGAAAGCAGCGATCACTGTCATCTGCTTGAACTGTGTATCTCCAAGAACGGTACCGAAGATGCTGACAGTATCGATAGCACCGACCACATAAGCAAAAAGCTGGCCAATGGCACACATTCTCCCGGCTAGTAAAAGAATATCAGACTTGTTTCAGGCTAAGATATATCGGGAAAGGTCCTACCCCATGCAGATCCAGCTTGCTGGGATGGAATCGGTAGTGTATCCACAATCAAACTGCGACAACACGCTTGGACTAAGATGCTGTCAGCCATTTGCAATTAGAATAAGAGTTAGTCAGCCACTTACCAACATTGATGGAGAAATCCACAGCATAGATACTCAATACAGCAAGGGCAATTGTGCCATTCTTAGCCTGTGGGAGAAAAAGCGATATTAGCTTCCATATAGCCATGGACCTAGGATTAGTCCTTCAACAAGCAGGATATGTACCTTTTCCGGATCCTTCACGAATAGCCCAACAATCTCCGACGTCCACCCTAGGACAATCAGACAGAGAGCAACAACAAACGACCCAAAGACCATGAAAGGCCTCCGTCGACCCCATTTTGACCGTGATCGATCAGCAATGACACCAATCAGAGGCTGGATAATCAACCCCGACAAAGGGCCAGCAATCCACACCAACGAAGTCTTAGACTTCGTCAAACCGAGTTGCAAAAGATACGGCGTACAATCTAACCCGAGTCAGTAAAAACAAGGAATCGTCAATGCCAAAGAGGGCCCCAAAAGTGGATTGCTCTCACAGGTCATCTCAGTGCCCCACGTAAACCTAAAAAAGGCAGAATATCCAAGTCAGTCGCCTATACTCCATACTTCAAGATGCAATTGATGCAACTGATGCAATTGAAACAATTGACAATGTCCCACGTTCTCTAATCCTCCCACACCTGCAATAAACACAGAAAATGGGAACGAAATACGCACTGCAATCCCACCAAACTAAACGTCAACAGAGCCATCCTTGTGGACTCATTCCGGCCCTTAATGGAGGGCGTCCCTGCCCACCTCGCAGCCTGCGGCATTCTAATTATCCACGTGCTAGCATGCGCTTAGCGTCGCTCATATACTCCGTACCCAGACCAAAACAACAAATATGGCAGGGGCTGGCAGCGTAGCCAGTCGGAACCACAAGATCGGGTGTTCTCGTCGGAAGCGATGCGCAGGTTCGGAATCGGACGATGCAGGTGGTAATTGAGCTATTCCGGAATGGCTTCGGATTATCGCGTAAGGCCGATAGGTGCCTGGTCGCTTCGGAGGATTGAGTCGCGTGTCGTTCGGGGAAGCTCGCGGGGGGGGCCGAAATGGCGCACGGTGTCTTCGGGCTTATGGTGGCGCGACCCTCTGCGTCGTATAGTTTGCGACGACGTCAATGGGGGGATCCTATGGAGCCGTGAAATGTCTATCACAAGTTCAGAGAGAGAAAGAGGCCCAAGTCGAAAGAGAAAGAAAAACCGCCTTGGCATGACCGTCTCCATGCGGGCCCCCGGGCTTATCGATTTAATTTACGAGACCCGCCACTCCCATTGCCGATCCGGCATTGCCCAACTTGACGGGGCCATGCTAAGGCTTGTATTTGCTACCTGCTCACGGATCCTTTTTCCTCTTCTACGCGTGTCAATTGGCGATTTAGGACTGCAGGTCTGCTTGCGGTTCTGGGAGCTTATCCTTATGTCAGCCTCAAGCGTCGAAGGCTTTGATGCTGATTGGCTGGGATGACGTAAGGTTGGGCCCTGAAAGCCAAATATAGAACTCAACAGGGGCGATGGACACGGGATAATGGACGTGCACTCGGCCAAAGAGCTCTATAGGGGCTTATATGTCATACAATCATAGCTGCGGTTCCCAAGGAGAATCCCTTTACGCCGTACCTATTTTCAATTAGGGAATAAAATAAGAATCATAGTGCATGACAGGTGATTTGAAGCAACTCCCAATACTCCGTATAAAAGGACAGAATCCACCACAGAGCCGACAAATAAGAGCGTAAGTTTCTTTCATTGCGTGTGTCGCATCCAATTCTTAAATTCGAATTGGGTTGGAAATTTTAAAAGTATCACAGTATGACGCGACTCCTGCTAGCCTGCCGACCAACCAGCCCGAGTCGGAAAATAGAGATTTTAGTTCCTTCGTACCCCGAATCCGCTTCCCATAATCATCGTAAACAGCTATATTCCATAGACCTAAAGCCGATTGGGGGCTGAGGTAGTGACGGGCCACTGGTAACCAGCGGCGTCACTGAACTTGTAGCCGTATGAGGCAGTGAAGTCATCAAGGACGGCCGGTCCACGGGAACCTACACAAAGGAAAATTAGTTTTGTGTCAACATGGAACGATCTCAAGCGCTTGAACTAACCGTAGGGGTATTCCATGGGGATGATTTCCTTGTTGTCATCCAAGTAGTGCAGGAGGGGAGTGAAGATGCGCCAGCTGGCGTCGAGCTCGTCATCACGGACGAAGTTGGAGTGGTCGCCCTTGAAGGCGTCCAGAATCAGGGACTCGTAGGCCTCGGGGATCTTGAGGTCGGAGAAGCGGCGGCGGTAAGTCAAGTCCAGCTCGGTGACCACCGTCTGCATGGACAGACCGGGCAGCTTAGAGTTCATCTTGATGTAGACGGACTCGTTGGGCTGGACACGGATGACGAGCTCGTTACGGGGAATATCCTTAAAGATACCGGAGGTGACATCCTTGAACTGGATGCGGACCTCGGTCTTCTGCTCGTTCAGGGCCTTTCCAGCCTTAAGAATGAAGGGCACACCGTCCCAACGCTCATTCTTGATGTATGCGACAAGTGCGCAGAAAGTCGGGCAACGCGACCCCTTGGGCACAGTATCATCCTCCAAGTAACCGGGCTTGCTGCCATCGAGGGAGCGACCATACTGGCCAATGATAACGTTCTTGGGCTCAATGGCATCCATAGCACGGAGGACACGAACCTTCTCGTCACGGATATCCTCGGAGGAGAAGGAGATGGGGCGCTCCATGGCGAGCAATGTAAGAACCTGCAGAAGGTCTGTGAAATTATCAGCATCTTCTGCCACGCAACAGTGTGATTCGTATGTACTTACGGTTTTGCATGACATCACGAATAATACCGAACTCATCGAAGTAGCCGCCACGGCCCTCGGTGCCGAAAGGCTCCTTGAATGTGATCTATAGCCCGAGGTTAGGATCCAAATCCGGTGGAAAGATCATTTTATCACATACCTGAATGTTATCAATGTGGCGGCGGTTCCATGTAGCGTTGAAGAACTCGTTGCCGAATCGCAGAATCAAAATGTTCTTTACCATCTCCTTACCAAGGTAGTGGTCGATACGGAAGATCTCCTCCTCCTTCCAGTTAGGCTCCAGAGCCTTCTGAAGTTCGCGCGAGCTCTTGAGATCCTTGCCGAAGGGCTTCTCGACCTATGAAGTGAAGACAATCGTATCAACATGAGCTCCTTCTGAGCCAGAATATCCCGGTACAAACTCACGATAATACGAGCAAGACCCTTCTCAGGGTAGCAGTTGCGCTTCAGCTGCTCAGACACGGTAATGAAAACACTGGGTGGCAGTGCCATGTAGAAGACGCGGTTCTGTTCCTTCCCTTGGCGGCTCTTCTCGATCTGTTCAAGGTGGTTGTTCAGGTTGATGAATGAGTCATCTTGATCGTATTGGCCGGAAACATAGGTGCACATCTTGCAGAATTGATCTAATTGCTCCTCAATCTCCTTTGTGGGGACCTTGATGTAAGAGCGAACGCGCTTGAGAAATTCGTCGTGGTCCATCTTCGTCCGTGCATATCCGACGATCTGAATGTCCTTGGGGAGGAACTTGTTGCGGAACTATGGCATTGCGTTAGTGGATAAATATCTAGAATGATTAGTAGAAATGGGACATACAAGGCCGAAAAGCGCAGGGAACTAAAAAATTTAGTTAGTATAGGAAGAGTCATCGCATTCGAGTGGGAGAGGGTACGAACGGTCTTCTTCTTTGCCAAATCGCCTGATGCGCCTAGTACCACAATAACGGTATCATCTTTGAGTTCGATTGTGCTGAATGCGATCTCCATTGTTAGCGTTGTGGCTAATTGACCGAGCAAGACTTCGTATTCGACGCGGCAATTGGGGGACGGAGTAGGGAAGCTATTTGCGCCAAGGAAATTTTGCGAAAGCGTGCAAGAAAAGGAAAGGCAAATTTCCAGATGTCGAAAAAAGCTGTGTCCGACTGAAATGACAATGGTGGGACAGATTGAAGCAGAGACGAAGTGGTGGGCTACCGCGGAGGGGAAAGTGATGTCAGAGTCACAGGAGGGGGAAAACTCACCCAGCATTCTGGTGCTCATCGCCGTGGTTGATCACACTAGACATCTTGTACCAACCGCTTAATGCACCCAAGGAAGAAAAGGAAAATGGACTCGGGGGTTGAGAAAGAGAAAAAGGAAGATTGTTGAGGACTGCAACAGGATCCGGCGGAGTACTTTTTTAACGGCAGTCGCTCTCTCACAGCTTCGGCTGGTGGGGCTTTGAGGGTTGTCTGGGTATTGTATGTGTTTTATGACTTCAAGAGGTATTAATCAATTTTAGGCTTATGACGATACTCTCTTTTGCTTTTTCCGTTGCTTTCTACGAATTTTCGGCCCTGGATCGACTCCTAGCCTCGTGGCAAATACCGGTCTGTCGGCTGTCTGAGACCAGCCTTTTTGTAATTTCGATCTTCACTGTCATGGACCTCGGATCCTGGGGTGACTTTGAGATCCCACAGATCATACCCGTTTAAACTAGGGATCCATGACCCCGCGCAGGCTAGCAGCACTCCTTATTTTGTACGGAATACTCCGTACGGAGGACTGGGGCTTGGGCTGATGACTTCGGAGCTATTGTCACGAGTGTATGGAGTACGATCTAGTACATATATCGTCTATTTGGGTCCAATCAAAGCTCTACTAACCCCGTAGAAAGAGGGTCAGAGGTCATCTGATAAGAGACACAGCTCACTTATAGGTGCGGTTCGTAGTGCCCCAACGGGCTGACTTCAACGGTGGAGATGTATGTGTGGTAGTCAGGTTATGGACAGCTTTGCGGTCAGCGTATACATCATACATCGATGTCCGCCGGGCGCCATCCATGCATATGTGCTGGGGGCGGAGCTACTACTCCGTACTCCGTCTCTGTACATACACCGCAGTTGGCATCGCAAGCCACCGCGCCGAGGGTACGGGAAGGTTGCAGATGTTACATCTCCACCGGGTTATTGCTAAAATCCCACCAAAATGTATCAAACTCCAGAACGGAGTACGGAGTATAGGATACCAGAACGGGCTCGATACCACATGCAACGTATCTGGAAAAGACAGAGCACGCAACTCGATAAGAACCTCTACCGGTGACCGAAATCGTGGGGATGGATCAGCACATTTGTCATACCAGAGCGGATTCTATTTTCCCGCGAGTCACTGGGTACTTTTCTTAAGTCCGTTTTGTGGCTGGTATTGAACCGATCTGCCTGGACTTTGGGGGGGGGCCACCCCCCAATCCGGAGCCAATTCACCGTCGTTACTGAAGATCTTACCACAATGCGAGAACCGATGTATACGACCCTTCCGACACTAGCGTGGTTCCTCGCTCTCGTACGAGTCCGCTTGGAGATTGCCCCGATTTTGCAGATTACATCCATACCCGGTCTCAAGTGTAATAATCAGTGATCCGGACAGCCAGGGTAGTGGGGCGGGATACAAAAACCTCCTGATTTCCCAATGAGTGCTTTCGGTCTGAAGTATACCGGAATGCTACCCGGGTCATATTATGGTTAACTCTTAACTCTACCTACATAGTCAGTTATATCAGTTATACTTAGAAGGTAAGTATGTCTGCTTCTACCATAGTATCACTCGAGGATGGTGTGAATGGTTATGACTGAAAAAGGAAAAAAAAAAAAGGACATTCAAAGGCCGACAATGACCTGTGCATGTAGCTCTTTTCTTGAATGGAACCCCTGTCGTCATCTTGATGCTTGCTGTTTGTCAGCTGGAACGCTCCAGGGCTGCACGCTGTGCCGGTCGGGCTACTGTAGTCCGACCGGCAGAACGAGGAAAATAACCAGGCGGTCCCGCGGTTCGGACAAATAAAGGTCCAGACCGAGCTTATCTCGGAGATTCTGCCTATCAGGATGCTGACATAAAGTACAAAGCGGTGAGCATATCACGAGACCTCGCTTAGCCCTGAGTATCACGTGGACTGTGGCTCGCTAAGATTCCCGTTTGGGCTAGGGCGAAAGCCAACACACCGGCTGCAAATTGATTGTGCGCCTGACTCTATCGAAGCGACGACAAACCACGACAACCGGGAACGACTTTTGATCTTGCGGGTCATTCCTTCGACTTTCTTTCCTTGCCCGCTCCCCAGAGAAACGCCGACACAATGCCTTCGGAACAAGGACACCGCCGTGAGTGAATCCCTCGAACTTCTTATCGATCGTCGGTTTGGCGGTCTCGAAATCGCAAACCCGCACGCATCTCGAGCTGGCACTTTGTGTGCAGCGACCTTGAAACTAAGACACGATATGCTGACTATTTTCTTCCTCTAGTTTACGTCAAGTAAGTTACCACCGCACTTTCATCGTCGCATTTCAAGTACATATTCAGTTCGACATGGAGCACCGATTTTGGGAGGGACACGAATGAATCATCGCTACTCAAAGTCGACACAACATACGATATGAACAGAGGATTAATACGAATTTCTTTTTACAGGGGTCGCCACCTGAGCTTCCAGCGTGGCAAGCACACCCTCACCCCCAACACCAGGTATCTACACCCTGCGCCCACAAATTGAAATCGAAGAATGGAAATCTGATATATGGTTATACAGCTTGGTCAAGATTGAGGGTGTTGATGACACCAAGTCCGCCAAGTTCTACCTTGGCAAGAAGGTCGCTTTCGTTTACCGTGCTAAGCGTGAGGTCCGCGGCTCCAACATTCGGGTGATCTGGGGCAAGGTCACCCGGCCGCACGGTACGTGAATGCAACAATCCGTCTCGGGCAGCTATCATCAAATAGCACCGAGCAATCTTTCGATCCAGAATGTGGTTAATCTGACTCGATTTCGATCCAGGCAACTCCGGTGTTGTGCGCGCCAAGTTCCGCAACAACCTCCCCCCCAAGTCTCTCGGCGCTACCGTCCGCGTTATGCTCTACCCCTCCAACATCTAAACGGCTTCTCTGTGTTGTTTTTAGTGGGCGATTCCCTTCTTCGCGCAGACGGTCGGTCAGGCAAGGAAAAGTCGACGGAACGAGCCGATGTTGATTTGAGGTGATGGAGTTGGCGGGTTGATAACGTTTTGTTCGTGGGAGAAGGCAGGGCCAACAAAGCCCTACGAATCAAAAAATTTTACACTTTCATAGCTGTGTCGGCCACAAGGCACTGGGAACGAGTTTTATCTCGATATTTCTCCTTGTTACAATTCGCGAGCATGATGTGTCTGGTCGCGCAGCGTCACTTCTCCCATTGTGTATCTGACGCTTATACGCACCAAATTCCATACCATTTCAAATTTCAACAACTCCGGTCAATCGATCCGCTTCTTCGTGCGTCCGTCTACCGTTGATCTAGAAGAAATCGCATTTCCTTGCTCTGGCTCCAATCTACCATGACAAGCTTGTTTTGCAATCCCGAATCATGTCCGGCAACGTAGGCCAGGATCAAGCCCCTGGGCAGACCTAGACCGTAGTATTTTAAAATTAGCTACGGAGTACGGAGTATAGCTTGAACACCCTTGTGCGGCGTGGTTCCCCGGGTTGGGATCTGGTGTGGACCCGCTCATGCCGTCATCTCAACAAAAAAGCTATGCTCTCGAGGCTTCATTCAGGGCTTGCTTTCAATGCTAGTTTGATCTGACCTACCATGTGTGCTACGTTCATATTCTACGTGCTATGCTCTCATTTGCAACGTTCTCAAGCTCTCAAGCTCTCAAGGTGTTGAATTATATATATCCATCCCATGAACCCAGCCCTGAACTCCACTCTAACCGAAGTATATATTCCCCAGTATACAGAAAGCAAACCCGGTATCCCAAACTCCAAATCCCAACACAATCCCATCATGAATCTTACAGACTTTCCTTGTGAATTGCTTGCCTATGCGCTTTCAAATTCTCCCGTCGACTCGAAGCGTGATCGCACCAGGGACATTTGAACGCGCCTGGGTTGAGATGTTGAGTCTCGATGTGCCGCCTAAGCACCCCTTTGCGCGAGAACAGACGATCATACGTACATCCCTTCCATTCGCACTTGAAGGTTCCGTAATTATCGTTGCGCCTGGAATTGAGTTTATTTAGTACAAATGATAAAGCCAAGGAAAGAGGAAAAAGACAAGACCCACTTTTTTTTGGATGCCCGGCCTCGAGAACGACAGGGTAGCTTCTCGGGCTGAGGCATTTCTTTCGCGACAGGGGGCGAGACCGCCATTTCAGTCCAGGGACTGGGATAGCCAGGGTCGTAGAGGCTTGCTGGGGAGTGTATGGCGGCGATTGGCTGGTGTGGAACAGATCGCGGGCTTTGAGGGTTGATCGACCTCTTGGCGGTGCTTGGATCTAGATAGGACGAGGAGGGAGTCGGGGAGAGCATGGTGCTGAGAGCAACAGGAGTCGAGGGAAGTGGGAATTGATAGTTGTATGGATGAGGTTGAGCTGTGAGTGTTCGCGCGGCGTTCAATGGGTCTGGCGAGGGAGTCATGGAGATATTCTCAGGCTGTTTGAGATACTCGGTTCTCAAATTCTCCAAGTCGGCGTATGACCACGCAGCTGCGACCTCTGGGATACCTCGAGTATTGTTGCGCGCTGGCCACGCCATGATGATGATAGTCGCAGAGCTGTTGCGAGCAAGCTTTAGGAAGGACGAGACAAATGACACGAGTGTCAAGTGAGGAAGTCAGGTAGATTTAGCAGGATTATCATCTCAGTCAATCAAAGGGCTAGCCGGTATTTATAGTCGACTCGAGATGGTCCAGGAAAGTCGGTAGGTCAACTTCATCAAAACACGCACCAAACAGTGCACCCCCAATAGGAAAGTGGACACCACCAAAACAAGAAATGTCGCCCGGATTTCCCCCAGATTTGTTCTAGAAGATGTGTGGAAAGGTTGGTCTTACGCCCCCAAGAGCAGGGGTGCACTTTCTCTACACATCCATGTTCAACATTGCTGAATCGAGATAGCCGCGATTTTAATTCCAACGAGGGGTGTCTAGTGGCTTTGCTAGCAGGGCTAAGTATAACCCTGGACATTTTTGGCCCCGAGGTATTTGGCCTCGGCAAACACGCTATTTCCGGCTCTGATCTTCCACTCACAGGGCCCCAGGGAAGGCAAGAAAAGAAAACAAAAGAAAACTAGGATATTTAGAATAGTTTGATGCAGATACCGCAGAAAGCGAGCCAACCGAATGCACGGGTTTGGCGCCAAAAGCAAATCATCAGCACGAGCCGAAGATGATTGATATGTACAGAGGATACAGGTATAATAGAACGGAGCCTCTAATCCTGAGCCCCTGCTCACTACTATACAGTATATCGCGCGTTATTTTACGAGATTTTCGAGAATATCAATGCGGCTGAAAACTAATGCATGTGCTATTCCGTTTCCATGGCCCCGGGGCGCAGTATCATCGATTCCCCATCCAATCTCAGGAGTTATTCTGGCTGCCACGTCACGTCCGGACGGGATATGCAGATCATGAGCCACGCGAATACATAACTCCCACGTTGGACTGGGGAGAATACGAGAGATCGGCGCAAGGTCCTCCTTTACTTCCCATTCCTGCGTCCCATTCTTATGTGAGATTCTTAAAGCCTGTTCCTTTTTTTGTCCCCCACGTGAATTTCACATGCCGTGAGACTCTAATAATGGCTATAGAAGAATGATCCAAAAGAAAGCCTCGCGAAGTGGTATATCTACGGACCACGTGGTATTGGACGGGGGACAGGGATCTGAGGTTACATTGCGCCGAACTGCATATATCTAGGGCCTTAGCTTCTTGATGAAATTATAGTTACATCATATCTTTTCCATCCTATGGTAGCCATGGCGTAGTCGACGTCGAAGTTTTCCATAACCTTGAAGACTCCGGGCGTTGTGGTTAAATGTTTTAAGTTAGGGTTTCGGAGACCTTTTTGACAGGATGCAAGGGCTGTAAGACTTATGAGAATCCCATGTACCCCGGAAAAGGTGAGATATGATGTGAAGCTCAACAGTGAACCATTGGGGCACGTCGATCATGACTGGATATGCGAGGCCTGGCGCGCCCAAGGCGCGTATCCCGTATTTGCTCGCGTGGGCGAAATGCGGGCTTGCATGAAAGCTGACCCTCCTATTATTATCATTTAGCTCCTTGGCCAATCTCTGAAATTGATTCTAACAGAAAATAAGAGAAGGCCTAAAGAGACACTTCAAGAACTGTGTATCGTCAAATTGGGATATCAAACACCAGTGGACCCGACTCCAAACAAGCCAGAAAAAAACGATTAAATACAATAAAATAATAATAATAATAATAACAAGAAGAAACAAAGTAGAAACAGGAGAGATAGAGAGAGCACATACTCCTCCAACGAATCCTAGAAAACCGCCAACTGAAGAATCTTGTTCAGACTCGCTCCAAGTGAACCCTTCCCAAGTGTTCGACCATATTATCCTTTCGACTGAAACGCCTATCACAGATATGGCAGTTGAAGGAGCGCGGTGAAACATGCTGCGTCTCTATGTGGCGCATTAAAACGCCCTTGCGAGAGAAAGAGCCGCGGTATGTGCAGTCTTTCCATTCACATTGATAGGAGCCATGGAGATTCCTAAAATAACGAATGGCTTGTAAGCATGAGGAGGAGACGTTGCTTTGGTGACTGAAGGGTGGCGTACTCGACTTTGGGCCTGTGTGTTCGACCACCTTCACCAGGGGTGTGGACCTCGTAGTCGCTAGCGCGTGGCCGAGGGGCCTCTTGCATAGACGGTGTGGATGCAGAAGGCGTGTTGCATGTAGTACTATATTCGGAACTGACATGACCGCCCACTGTGGTGGGCTCATTAAGTCCGTTGATCTCGAACGAAGGATACTGTGTGGGTATCTGATCGAAAGGATTGCGCTCTAGATGATGCGGTGCAAGCGTCATGGGGTAGCTGGGGTGAATCGGCGCGGCGCTATGCTGGAGAGGGTTATATGAAAGATGATTGTCCAACGACAAGGATGGTCGTGTGAGCATGGAAGGAGGATGCGGATAAAAGACAGGTCTGTAAGGGCGTTGAGGATCACTGGAACTTCTTTGCCTGTCGCCGAAAGCATTCAAGGGAACGTTGTATGGCGCCCAGACCATCGTGTATGAGGAATGAGAACAGTTGGTAAATATTAAGGGAATAGAGCAGATAGTATTGTATCGGAAGAGTAAACAGGGCTCAGCTCAAGTCTCGGATCTCTTATAAGGGGATCGATTCTATATGTACATGTGCTCAGTGCTGTAACGTGCATCTCCCATCCAGAGTGCATGTATATGCGACCTTGCATATTTCATGTGCGCCAAGGGGATCGGTGGATTTTAGGGCAAACCAATGGGTTGCTTCCAACAATAACATTCCAACAGACAAAGGAGGGCTGGACATTGTAGTTGGTGGCCTCGGGAGGCCCAAGAGTAGTTAATCACGAACCCTCCCAAAGAAGCAATATCGGGCCGATGATAGAGATCTAGTGACGTGGGCAGCACCCCGTTTTTCTATAAGAGATGCCTCAAAATGGATCAAACCCAATCGATCTCGGCGTGCCTTTTCGAGTATAGTCTGGACGTTCATGGGGGTTGAGGCTCTGGCCAAACCTAGGGCGCTTCCAGACGGGTATAGCCTCAGCTCGCAAAAAATAGAATAACGATAATAATCCGGCGCGTACTATTTCCGATAGTATCCCTCCAATAATATAGCCTTTATACGCATTAGCTTGTTTCATGCCGTGGTCTATCCAGCATCTGTACCCAACGGAGGGAGTTGGCGGCGTTGTCGATCTCCGGAATCCCCGGGCTATTGAGTCAACATAGTGAGATTGTTCGAGATATATTAGCATGTCTACAGATCCCAGTGCAGCATGAGAATGCAGGGTATAATTCCTCACAAATCATCCGCCGAGGGTTCGTTGTTTGACGCTGCAACCTTAGATGCTTGCGTTGACAACCGCAGGGGCCACCTGCTCGTAACCAAGCCACCTTTTGACTGGGACTATTTTCGATAATCCGTTCCCTTTCTATCCCACACTGGCTATCCGAGTGAGCCAGTCCGAAATGACTTCAAGATATTTCGGAGTCAAACAACCGCTGCAGGTAAGACGCCAGAAACGGCACCCACATGTGACCGTACCCTTTTCCAGGCCAATCGAATGAATTAATTGCTTTTACTAAATATATACCTATCACCTCTCAAGCTGAGAGTCCGATCGACAAATCAACTTCATCCATCGATGACCATTGCACATCGACCCCTCTACCACTACAACTTGCCCTGGATCCCTCCTATTGCGGATTTGAGCCTCATAGTAACCCCCGCAGCAAACTTGTGTCAAAAATATGACACAAGGGACATGATCGCGAATTAGTCTTGCCTAATGACTTCATATACCTTTCAAGATCGATTTGGAGCAGGGGAGCAGGGACACTGTTTGGGTCTATATCGTCAAAAATCCGTGCTTCGATGTAAGATCAATTGGATATCAAGCAGGTTTCTCAAAGATTCTTATATCTAGACAGCCCTAGAGTAATACGCCGCATTTCGAATCTGTAACCAAAGTATTAGGCTGCCGCAACCGACAAATCAAGACCAGACTTGACCGATATGCCCTTGGGCCTGTCCCCGCATCGCATATCCTCACCAATATGCACCTTCACGATGTCTATCAAAGCCATAGTATTAGTTTTCCCCTCGCGTTCGCTCCAGCTGAGACCCAGCGCATCAAGAAGACTTACTTGGTCGTATTCCGAGGCCAAACTTCATATCCTTGCACCCGAAGTCGACCATCATAATTTCTCGGCCCTGTCCACACGGCAGCGAAAGAAAATTTATGCAGACTAGTATGGCAAGTCACACAAGGCACAGTTGTTTATACCAGTAGTCCTCCCTGCAGATCTGTAGATGGCATTTGCCTCTGATATCAGCCATAGTGCACACCAAACAACATGCTGTAAAAAGATGATCAAAGGAGAGGAATCAAGTAGTAGATCCCTCGTCGTTATGTAGCTGGGGTTACGGGTTACCCCACAGTGCCAACCACCCGAACAGCCCAAATAGTCATAGTACTAACAGAAATCAAACAAAGCAAAGTTAGTAGGTCGTAGGTCGTGATATAAAAGGGATGTTTACTCGATTCAAGACACGGACACTCAATTTGATGTATCGGTTGCTTTACAATTTCATTTGACGTGGTCCCTACACTCCAGCGTGAGCAATTATAGATGGCAGGGTTCAATATGCCCTATGGATCTCATACCACTCTTCACATCCTTTGCTTTTGTAATCACACCGTATCCATGAATCCCACAATATACAGCCTCCGGGTTATCGAACACATCTCGCGGCAAGATCCCATGGTTGATTGGTGTTTATCTAACCATTCGGCTCACTCCTTTCACTATAAAGCATATATAGCTTCAAACAAGGATTCATTATAGATATACACCTGCAATGATTTTGTGTCATCGCGTACCTATGATAGTATCCCCTAGCGTGTCACTCAGTAAGGTTTAATGCAGTATATGTGGCAGCGGATCAGTATACCCTCAACAAAATGTGATGAAAGTACCTAGTGACTTGGCTACCATGACGGAAAGAATTATAGGTTGTGTTGGATTTCCGAAGTGTTGATATTATCGAGGGAGGGAGTGAGAAGAAGAAAAGTGATCTCTATCTCTAGAGAAACGAGAACAATTATATGCCTATATATTAGCAAATAATCCAGCAAGCAGCCCAGTCTGTACAAACAGAGAGGCCTAAATAATCTGGCATTGTAATGCTTCAGTAGTAGTCTTTTGCAGACGGTAACTCCAAGTCTATAACATTGAAATATTGTTACCTTCGAAGTCACAGAAAGGCTCATGACGAAGATGTAGATGTATGGACCAAACTGTTCATAGAGTTCTCTGCATGTCCGCGCGATCAAATCTATGGATATCAGATCAGGTGTATGCGATTGGTTACTCACGGGTGCTTGTGAAGCTGTATAGCGCTCCACGCTCGGTTTAGATTAAAATTAGATTTTCCGCTTAGGTTCAAGCTGACAGAAAATTAAAATACCTAAGATTGGGATGGTAGGAATAGCGTCAAGGGTGATGTATAGCCGGTGGCATCGGAGCACTAATACGCTAAGGGAAGCAAAGAATCGTTAAAGGAACTCTGGTATAGGTTAAGTATGTTCTAGGTAAGTATTAACAAAGGCATGACATGCATCAAAAATCATATGCAAATAGTGGTAAGAAATGAGTTTAGAGGTAGGGAATTTTGAGGCAGCAATGGTGAAAAGAGCTTATTAGATACAATATGTGTTAATTTTCTTTCAAAGGGGATATATGCAGATCGAAGCGGAGGAAGGAAATATACGAAGAGAAGGGGGAAAATTGATATGAGAGGCTATAGGATGTTAAACATCACCCTCGGACTTCAAGTTAGCATTGTTCTGAGATTCAATCAGCTCCTGACGGAGACGCTCTTGCTCAGCAAGACCCGTTGTCCGGACAGTGTGCTCGCGAGTCAGTTCACGACGGCGGATGAAACAGGCAAGAATAATACCGAGACCAGCCATGGCAGTGTAGAAGATCCACATGCGGGTAAGAGCATGCGTGTAGGCACCCAGAATGACTTGGCGCTGGGAGAGATTAAGGGTGTTTAGGACACTGGCAGATCCACCAAAGGAACCGGTAACGACTGAAGCGGTCTCAGGGCCGACAGCGGCGATAATCTTGGCTGACTGTTGACTCATGATGTTCTGGTAAATGACCGTTCCTAGAACGACGGACGTGGAAGTGGCAAGCTGACGAACGAAGCCGAAAGTGGCTGTTGCTGTAGCCATGTCGGCGGGTCGGATGTTGGCCTGGAAGGCAACCAAAGGGGCTTGGAAGTTGGGGCCGATACCAAATCCAGCAATCAACTGGAAGATAATGATACGGGGCCATGAAGCGTAGGGCTTGAGGTCGATACACAGACCATATCCGAGGGTCAAGAAGAGCATTCCACCAATGATCAGCTCGCGATAGCGACCAGTCTTCTTCATGAAGATACCCGTCCCTGCAGAGGCGACTGCAAGTGACAAAACCAGAGGCAAGACATATACACCACTCATGATAGGGGATGCCTGGAGGACTGTTTGGAAGTAGAGTGGAAGATAGTAGCTAGAAGCGATGAAGGTGAAGCCGTGGCAGAAACAAACAAGCAGGATGAGAACGTTATACCACTCGTTGAACAGCCGAGGGGGGATAATGGGGAACTTAGCAATCTTCCATTCCACAAACATTGCCACGGCCCAAGTAAAGACACCAAAGACAATCAAGCAGATCACGGTAGGCGAGGACCAGGGATAGTTGACACCGCCGAACTCTAGCCCGAAGAGAAACATCAGAGTTCCACCGACGATCAGGAATGTTCCCGCCCAATCGATACTGCGCACGCCAGCCCACAACGGGGTCTTCGGCGACTCAATATGAAGGAAGAGAATGAGAATGGCAAGTGAAACACCTCCAACTGGAAGGTTAAGCCAGAAACACCAGCGCCAAGTTACACTCGTAGTGAATGCTCCACCTATAATGGGACCCAGAGCTCCTGCAATGGCCCAAGTTCCACCAAACAGTCCATAGTACATTGGGCGGTCTCTGTATGAAAGTTAGTCTTGCCCAATCTCCAGACCATGGAGACATCCTACCTTAAACTGAAAAGATCGGAGACACTGATGTTTGCGAGGATAAGAATACCACCGCCGCCAACGCCTTGAACGGCCCGACCTGCAATAATGGAGGCCATATTCTTCGCCAAGGCACAGATAAGACTCCCAACCAAGAAGAGAACATTAGCCATCACAATGATGAGCTTTCTCCCCCAGATGTCACTGATCTTTCCCCACAGGGGAATACAAGCGGCGTTTGCCAGAAGATACGACGAGGCGATCCATGAGAAACCACTCTCAGAAGCACCAAACTGGGCGGCAATAGTGGGAAGGGCAGTGGAAATAATAGTCTACCAGGGCCACGTTAATGCCACCTCGAAAGCAAGGAGGAGGGAGGTGCGTACCATATCCAGCGCGGCCAAAAACACAGCCAACTATAAAGAGTCGCATATTAGCTTCTGCAGTCTTCCAACTTCCCCGCGCATTCGCATAAGCCTATCAGAGATTTTCTCTTACACATAGAGCCGTCATGACCACTATGATCTTTTTCTTCCCCATTTTGGCCGCTTGTGAAGGTGTGCGATCCAAAGCATCACCGGTCTTTTCCGTCACGTTCTCCGTATCAGTATTGGGTTCCACATTGTTAGATCGAGCAACTGCCGGGGCTTCCGTCTGCTCATCGGATACACCTGAGTTGGTTAAAGGTTTTTCTTGAGTCTGATCAAATATAGTATCACCGCTCGAAGCGTCTGGATGTTGGCGCTCGTTTGTCATGTTGAGTGAGGGAAAGAGAAAAGGGAAAATTTTTCTTTAAAGAAAAACGCGGATAAGGTCCGCCCGGTCGTCAACCGATGGAAAATATCTTAGATTAAGCGGAGAATAGTATTGTCTCTAGATATTTAAAGGGGCCCTCGGATTTCGCATTTTCGGAGTTAAGAGCTCTAGATTGATCCCCAGGGCTACAGTGACTCAAATGAGAGGTCAGCCTGAGTGGACCGCGCGGGTGGGTTATTGCCGCTGCCGACGTCAGCACCAGAACACTTCACTCGATCTACCTACATAAGATAGATCGCAGGGTGAATGAAACAAGGAAATTGAAGTCTGGATTATCTTCTCATTGGCAGACACCTGATAGAAGCACTGATCGAAATCTAGACCAAGACTACTAAGCTCCATGGATCCTCCAGCCTTGAACTGGTCAAGTGCTTATTCGCATGGTTCTTCCAAGGGGGTTACATAGTGGATTACATAGCTGTTACTGTCTTCTCTCTTTGATTCGGCCATCTCCAGATACGTCGCGTCCAGTCTGTGGCCGAGAAGGGGAATTATGTTCATTCGGGATTAAGGACATGAGGCACGTGCCAGACGGTCCCCCCTGAGAACGTGCGCATCGCGTCGACAACCATAATCGAATCACAACCCAACAGAGGAAATATGTGTGAGAGCACAGTCAGTACCAAATTTGGGAAATCAAATAGCAGTTGGCACATTGATCATATTGCAATGTCGCAAGGGAGAGTCGACACCAGGGCAATCATGCTGCGCGTCTATTCGTTTAAATTAAAATCTCATCCCCAGGGGTCACTGGTGGAGATTAGAGCTTCTCGATTTGGATTGCGATTCCAGAGCTGATCTTTACCAACTGGATGAGAACGAATATCGCAACTGGCGCTAGCGGTCTGAGTCGCTGGGGTGACTTGGGCTTTAAAAGTGATCCCTGGCGGTAGCTTGCGGGGCAAAGAGGAACTTGGAAGTTTGAAGTCCTTCATCCATCATTCAACATCGGCGGTATATGATTCCTTTCGCCTGAGGAGACGGGGTGGTCTTGTGCCAAACACAGATACACAGATACAATCCGCCACTGGGCATCCGTATGTTCTCAACTCGCTTAAAGGAAACGAGCAATTGATCGGCTTCAAACAAGAATTGTTCCTCTGACGGATGTCCTCTAACACATATAGGGGCTGGAGAGCTTGAACTAAAGTAAGATGGCAGTGAGCACTGTAATTTGCAACGTTTGGCCAACGGTCTGCCTCGCTCTTTCCAGAATCAAGAGGGCTCTTTCTGTTTTAGAAGGTACGTATCTTCCCGAGTACATATATTATGTATAGTGGCCTGGGCATCCTTGTAGGTCCTAAAAGAATCCGAGAAAGAGCAAGGATGGCCGAGCTCTGTATAAGCTCAGAGCTAGGGGTCGTTCCATAATAATTTCCCCATTCGTCAACAGTTCATGTTACCTTCACTGGCGCGATAGACTCTGTTCTGGTAAGCTGAACTAGTCCACAGTGCCGTTCTCTCAACTAGTGGAAATGAGAGTCGCAGTCAAAGCGGTCGGGATGGTGGTATGAGGGGCAGCCGGCATGAATTTTGTTGTCTCGGCCCCTTCTCTTTGATCACGATGACAGTACGTTCTTCCCTTGTTCTTCAAACAAAGGATAGCAGTTCTGTTTCTCCCCTCTTGTTCCCTGTCTGATAGTGGGTCACGTGCTTGCCTTTGCTTGCACGTTCAATAAGAAGGCTATAAGACGCGTGAAGCCTGGGCAATACCTTCATCACTCTCCAGCCGGCGCCTCAGTTTCCATCATGGCTCGCATTCATGACCTCCCACTTGAGCTACTGCAACATATCTTGTCATTCATTGCCAACCCTGGAAATTACTTCCGTCCAGATGGCGCTGAAACAAATAAGACTGCCGAAAGTGGTGATATCCAACCATTGGACTTGGAGGAGGATGATTTTGATTACAATGGAGTTCTACACAAGCTCTGCCTAGTTTCACGAGGTTTCCGTGAGATAGCCCAGCCTCTTCTCTTCCGACATCTATATGATGTGGGTTTCGGCGGGGAGCCAAGCGCGACCAGTTCCTTTACCAAAGCCATCTATCGTCATCCACATCTCGGAAGACATGTGCAGGATATCACCATTACGACTCTGCCATTTAGCCTACATGGGCATAAAAGTTTCACGGGCGAAGACATCAAGTTCTTCAAGAGCGTACTCAAGGACCTTGAATTAGGCGATCGAGAAAAGGCCTGGCTTGCAGCCTTAGAAAGATACGATGCTAACGTCTTTACGGCCTTATTGACCAACAAAACACCCAATCTACGTGGACTGCATCTGTGTGTAGGTCATGGTTGCGCCACCGGCATGAGGAAGCATCTCTTCATTCAAAATCCATCGTATCTTTCCAATCTTGAGTATCTTTTCATCGAAGCCACCAAAGGTTGGGCCGGTCACGTAATTTCAGCCTTTGAGAATTTCCTCTTACTCCCCAAACTCAAATCTTTCACCGTTCAGCACGGTGCTCTTCTCGATAAATTCTTTCCAATTACCTGGACTCCCGGGACATTGGCGATAGAGCGACTGGCCTTCCGGTACTGTCATATCGAGGCTGGAGCCCTGGAAAGCCTCTTCCAAGCATGCAAGAAACTAAAATCGTTCACCTACAATAACTACACCCTGAATCCACACGAACAACCATTTACACCTGATGATATACCGCCCGAGTTTACCGCTGCGGAGTTCACCAAAGCCGCGCTCTTACAAAAGGACACGCTCGAATCCTTCCGCCTCGAATTTGCTCTGGATCAATGGGAGATGTTTTACGCCGGCGAAGAAGATCTCAGTCTCATCAAGATCGGCTCATTCCGCAACTTCACCGTACTCAAGTCCATTGTCCTTCAACACGCATACCTCCCAGCACACCCCCAATTCCCTGCTTCGCTGAAAACGCTGCATATCACCGATTGCAACGCGTCCATCCGGGAGCTCTGCCAGAACCTCGCGACAGACTGCCAAAATGGCCTGTATCCGAACTTAACCGAGTTCAAGGTATTCGCATTTAATATCACGCTGCCGATCAGGCTTCACGACCAGACCATTCCGCAAGGGAAAACTCCCGCACAGTGTTTCATGGAACTCCGAGATATGTTCAAAGGCACTAAAGTGGACTTCCATATCATACCGTACCAGCTCCCTGATTTTGATGATGAGGACGAAGATGACGAGTATTATGAACATGACGACTTTGATGATGATGATTATGGGGATGCTTTCCTGCAAATGACCCCCGCAGAGGCTGCACGGTTCCTAGTACCAGGTGGTCCGGCGGTGCCCGTGCCATCACAGCTGTTAGATTTGCTTATGGAGGAGGCTTTGCAGGATCCTGACTTTGCACATCTTGCCCCGCGAGCTGGACGTGGAGATGTGAGTGATGATTCGTGGGAAACTGATGATGATAGCGATTAATCTACGTCTTTACCATGGCGTAAGTACGTGTATTCAATTTGATCTTTGATATTTCTTGAGGTTTTACTGGAGCATAGCAATATTCCGAGAATACTACACAAGTGTAGGTATGTAATTCGTAGGATACCTAGGTAGTCCTTCAGGATCCACGAGAATACGACCACCACTTCAACGATATATTCAAATCCAAGGCATAGTCATAACTCAAGAACTCCTCGGTGAACATGCAATGATCAGTGTTATTCCCTGGCGACTCTGTGACAAATTCATAAGGGAGTTTTGGGGGGTATATTGTAGACGGGGTCATAGAGCGTAAAACCACATCCAGGAAGTGCATTAGCAGAATAATACGTATTGTAATATACCAGAATGCATTACTCCTGTAATAGTAGGATCTCTGCAAAGAACCAAGCCTAGTTAGCCACTGATCCCCAACAATCGCCTTAGAAAAGAAAAAGGACCTACCAGTCAAAGCCTCCTCAAAACTCAAAGTAATATACCCATCCCGATCCTCATCATACCGCTTAAAGACATCCGTCATGCGCTTGAGACTGATACAAGCCTGAACGAACAGATCAAAGCTCATGCCCGTAGGCCTAGGTTCCTTCGAATTCATCTGTCTCCCTTTACCCGCAAAAACTGCAAACATAACAGAGATGAACTTGGGACTGAGCCGGTACCCGAACGCAACAAGTGCCTTCTCAAACTCCGGCTGGCTGATGCGGCCGCTGCGGTCTTCGTCGAAGCGGTCGAATAGCTCCCGCCACGCAGCCAGATACCGCCACAAAGAGACGAACTCGTCGAAGTTGATTGTCCCCGTGCCGTCGCGGTCGAACATTCGGATCATGAGTCGCACTGTGCGCGGGTGGAAGGACGTGAAGTCGCCGTTCACGAGGGCGCTGCCGAGTTCGCCTTCGGTGAGGGTGCCGGAGTGCGAGGCGTTTGCGGCGCGGAAGAGGGGGAAGAGTTGCTGCGGGTCATCGCTGGGGGCTGTCAATGGTGGTGGGACGGGGGATTGGGGTGGTCGGGAAGAGACCGGGGGTCTGTTGCGTTGGGGTTGGACGGGTGGGGGCCCGAAGCCGTAGTTCGGGGGTGGTGGGGAGGGGTGTAGTGGGTGTGGACGAGTGTGATTCTGGATGGGGGTTTGGGTGGGTGGAGATAGGTTTGTGGTTGAGGGTCGACTGCTGTAGGAGTGGTGAGACTGCGAGTCGACGCGCGGGGGTGCGGCGATGTATGCATGCTGCGGGGGAGCGCTGGAGACGGGCAAACGTGCAGGGACTCCACTGTGGGAATTGCTATGGCCGGAGCTGTGGCCCGACTGCGCTGGTGGACGGGATGGGAGTGGTTTATGGTTGAGGCTTTGGCTGTGGCTTAGGATATTGCTTTGGCCTGATAGATGCATGTTGCCTAGCATCTGCGCTGCCTGGTTGATCGTTAGGATAGGGGAGATGAGGCACATGGTGGCTGATTTACCTGTTCCGGCTCAGCGTGACTGTAGCATTCTTTGAATCAGTAACTGTATAGACTCTCATGACTTGACTATATACTTACGCTGGCAGCGCATCCGGGTTGTAGGATTTGTTGTACGCCATAGTCGGAGCTGACGCGGGGAGGGGGAAAAGGATGCGACCAGCAGACAGAGGTTAGATAAAGAGAAAAGAGAAACCAGATCAAAAAGAAAAGGAGGCGCAGATTCAAGGCGGAGCCGTGGGGCAACGATATTTAGCGCGCCAAGTGATAATGGCGGAGGGGATGTTGGCGTAGCTCTCCGGATGAGGAAAACAGGGTCTTCCCCCGTTGCTCCATTTCCGGCCAGTATACGGAGTAGGTCTCTTGGTACTTCACGTCAGGGCAATGGAAGTGACCTCATTCCTTTCTCTGATGTCCCTTTCAAACCATCAGCCTTACATGCGCCAATTCTGAAAATACTAGCTAGAGATTCAAGACCCACTCTAGTTCGCACCTCGTATTCGTACTAAATTCTTGGAGATGCTTCTTTTTTCTTGGGCTGTGCGAATCAACCCGACTTCCATGGGCTATTAATATGCTCGATACAGGTCCAGACTGCGATCTAGCAACCGCCACAGACACTCATACAATTATTCAGGCTTCCTCCCCAGGTGACGGCTATGGCGGGCCAAGACTGGACCGCAAGCGGGTCTGGGTGGACTCAAGGCGATGGCACTAGACATACAGGACGGGCTTGGGATTGCGATGAGTGATATGTGCAAAAAGAAGCCTGTTGTATCGCGCAAACTCGTTGTACTCGGTTTGGAATAATAGGATAAGGTAGTCCTTCTTCAATCCCTGATATTTCTGTCCATAGCTACAAAAACATAGCTAAAACTACATTGAATGCAAGTTACCTAGGCACAACAGTGATAAGCCCAGTTCGTCTCCTTCGCCAAATTTAAATAGCGCAAAAGTCATGATTGGTCATGTTGGCGTAATAAAACAAAAAGACAGGTGAAAATATCATAAGTTGGAATAAACATGGCCCTGCTGACTGCATGGGCGCTTAAGGAGAGCAAATCCGGAAGGAGGTATCCAAGAGAAACGTGATCATTTGGCAACAATCCAAATAAGTAAGATATCGCCCGATGTTGCGCGAGCTAAGTTTTGACTACTTTGATAGCATGTAAAATGTCTTCGAGAGACCATCCCGGCCCGCCGGGAACAATCTCTGCCCAGACCTCCTCGGGAACAGCATCGTTGGGATCAAGCAAACTCCAATTTGGACTAGGCTCCGGCTTGATCCATTTGAAGTCTTCGATCTGGCTCCAGCGGTCTTGGTTGTCAGGGCGGTCATGATCCAAGGCCTAAAGAGAGGTGTATCAGTATGAACGTCGACAGAAAAGCAAATGACGAGGGATATACGAACGTAGGCCTTTGGTATCCGACCAAATCGAATGTTAGAACAGTCCTCAATGATTGGGTTGCTGGAGCAGCTGAGATAAACATCCACATTGCTGCAGTGATGCATGCGGAATTGGCGACAAGAGACTACCATCACGCTGCGCTCAACACCGGTGATATGTGCAGGGCCATTGACTTGACCACAGACCAATAAGCTTTCCTTAATATCTTTGACAGTCAAAGTAGCATATGGTTTTCCGTTGGCAGTGGGAATGGACATATCAACGATACAGTGACGCAGAGAGGTGATCGATGCTGGGACCGTAGAAGTTGATCCAGAGGCTGGGAGCATGATGTGAAGTCCATAATGATCGTCAACTGACACTGAGGATATACCGGTAGCTGCAAATGACGGGACTGATTTCTCCGGGCTGGATTTTACGCCAAATTCTCCAACCGAGATACCCGGGAATGATGTCGGTGCAAGCTCAGGCCGCTCTTGCTGCTGCTTATCCGGCTCGTTCAATGGAGTGGAAGGATAATTGGGTGTCTGGTTTGCGGACGAGTCAACAGACGAGGCACCCGGAGAATGGTATCCAGGGATGCTAAGCCGTCCCTGAGATGCCAGCGTAGCAGCATCAGATAAAGAGACCGCAGAGGCATTCTTTTTGGTCTTGAAGCTGAATTTTGATCGGGGCGCGAACGCCGCACGAGTTTCGCTCAATCGATCCTGCAGCGCTTTGATTGCCTGAGACTATGTCAATCCTGCTCTGTTCAAGGAGAGTGTGGCTATCATATACCTCTGCATAGACCCTCTGGTCATAGGTAGGAATATAGCTTGCCGCATCCTTGACTTCATTCGATAACCGCACGATCCCGGCAAGACAATGATCTGTTGCGTCAACACGTTCGCCACCCGCGAGAGACGTATCCGCAAGACGATCCATCTGTTGTTGTAAAGCTACAATTGTGATAATCAGCAAGAGTTGCTTTTAGTGTGATTGCCTGCTACTGCTTTTGAAGTAATATATCGGGTCCATACCGGTGATTTCATGCTGGAAGTAACGGAAGAAGCGCTCCTTCAAAGGTATATCAGCCTTTGAGACTGTCTGATTATCCGCCGACAGCCGACGTGCATGTTGTATTTCTGCCTCAGCCATGATGCATACAAAAGGGGAGTTTAGAAGTGGAGGTGAAATTATGGATTGATGATCGAGGCGGCTAACGGAAAAGGTGGGATGTAGCAATGACGTCGATTCGCTGTCCAGCTAATCATACCACCCCGCACGGGATTGAGGCCAAATCAACCAGAACAATCAGAACAATCAGAGGGGTTTCTTGGAAATGATTGGCAAGCTGATCCAAAACTCGGTGCATTCCACTGTGTCCCCGCACGATTTTCCTTTTTGCGATCCAAATCAAGGAAGGTCGGATTCAGAGAAATAAGAATTAACGTCGACTCCACAGTCCCCAGTAACGTCCAGAGTGATTGGTCTCCGATCTCAGATTGACGCGATTATCACTGCAGCTTCACCGTGACGTCGATCAGTCCGCATCGGAGCTCGGGCCCACGATGATCCGGGCTGGCTTCAAAGTGGATTTCTGCAGGACCTCGGACTACATACATCATACATGTATACGTGGGATTTATAATTTGTGTACTGACTTGCTACATGCGCTTACACGTAAATATGCACATTCTTTGCCTATATGTATGCCGGTGTTGAAATAGAGTCATATGTAGCTGAAATTTGTCATATGACAAGTGACTCCGACAACATCCTCCATCCAACTTCTACTGCCTACAGCCGACATTCCCTCAAGTCCCATCCTGACCCCTCCTTTCCGACAGTCAAGGTCGAAGGAAATGTAGGTTCAGAAAGCACAATGCTAGAATCGACAGGAACTCCCGATATTCCTTTTAGATGGGAACCACTGAAGAACTTGTTCCATCGCCCATGACAGCCTCCTTACCTCCAGCCTCTCCCTCCAGTGAAGCACCTCGTCACTGAACCTCATATCTCTGAATAATTCTCCTAACTCCAAGTTGGAGACTTGACTTACAATTCAGTCGCCACTTACGACCTCCAAATGAGCCTGGTCAACGTGAGTCAGAATCCCTCACAACTCTGACACCCCCAACCGAGGAGTCAAGTCATCAGAGTCAAACGCATACACCTAAGACGCACGCCATCTACCAAAATTATGAAAATCATCGTTTTGGCAGTACCTCCAATGTTCAAAATAACTCCCGAGGGTTGCCGCCTAGTGCTTTCCAATCTAGACGTGTCACGCCGCGGTTCCTGGTCAAGGTCAGGTGTCCGCGTAAATTCTGACGACTTCTACCTTCGCCATATTACTTCCGATTATGCCAGGATTCCAACAGGAGACCCTGGTTGACAACCTTGCTGCAACGCGTGTTTGTGGCAATTCCCGGCAGATATTCCGGGCAAGCATGATGGCGTGGAGCTCCGTTAATCCCACACTCCACCAGGGCAGCCGTTTCTCCAAATCACAGAGACATAGATCCCTACAAGCTGCATACATGTGCCCACATCAGCCGCTCACTTTGGGTCATTTTTCATAATCCAGATTGGCTTTCCCAAGTTATCTCTGTCCTCGCCTCACTATAACGCCCCTCGGCGGTGAAATGCATCCACGCACGGAACAAAGCTCATTCTATTCTTCAAGCTAAAGGGAGACTCATATGCCATTGGATGCCAGTCCTGGACAGGAACTTGGGGTTCCTGCTCCCTCGTGGATCTTGAGAAGTTCTGCTGCTCGATCCCGGAGCGTCTCGAAGACTACTCCTTGTGCAAGAGAGGGTCCCGACACTCATTATCATTCAATCAATAAGTTTCAGACTGGAATTACCAGTGGGCAAATTCAAAATGTGTATCTTCACATGATGCGAAAGAACCATCAGCCCTGTTGACAGCACATGTAACGCCAAGGCGGAGTTGCCGACAATTCGCAAAATGGTGGCATGACGTTGCCTTGCGTTATCCGTTTATTGTTTTGCTGTAGGGGTTTCAAATCTATCAGGTTCTTGATCTGGTTCAAAAAGAGTGGCTTGCACTATCAATAACATGCCCCTCGTGCTTTTCGGCTTTTTCAACCTTTTCACAGAGAACCACATTGACGGAAGTTGCCCAAAGCTACAATGGCATTCCCAGTCTCATCTCGAGAAAACAAGGTCCCAAATTTGGGACTATGCAAACTGGCCCACCAAGTTCGCAGGAGGCAGAGCCCAGCTGACCTAATTGCAGGGGTTAACGATCCTCGAGACCTTGTTAACCTGATAATAAAGAAACGAGGGACTATGTGGAGGTGAATAGGATGGTTAGTTAGCTCAACTCTCATATGCCATATTCCTACAAGGATGGCACTGCATCGGGATCTGTTTGTTTCATCTTTCTGAAAATGGCATGAGATAATTGTCTGGTGACTTCTGGGCCACTGTCACTCTGTAGATGTAATTGAACTGTAAGGACCAACAATGTACACCTCCACTATCACATGGGGTAATACAGCAAAAGAAGCGAACTAAACCATTGCAACGCAATATTTCGTCAGGTTGTACAAGCACATGCTGGCTGAAATGAGGTCGTTCACAACAGTACTCTGATCGAGGGAGCGCCATATCACGAGTGCAAACATTAAATTCTTGAATGAGATGCCAGATTTTATTCTGGGGTTCGAAAAGGAGATTGCTTCTAGCGCATATCCTATATCTACTGCTGGATTGGATTGGTGGTTCTGTTATGTAAAGTTGTGTTTGGAATCAATTATAAATCGTAGATTAGGTAGGTATGTTGTAACTCCATGATCTCACTAGCAATCTTATCCGAAAAAGGTCTGTTCAGGTGCATGGAGTTGACGGGTAAAGACATTAGCTGGTTTTCCATTGGAATCATAGGATAGATAGACGAAGCAGGAACTGAAGCCCTGATGAATGATCAAATGTACATGCTAGATTCATTTGTGTATGTCAGAAACTCCCGTCATTCCAGTTGATCACCTTACTATGTCATGATCGATGAGAATAATGGTTTGTATACACAGTTGGAGCCCTATTTACGGTCAAGAGAAGATACCTAGGTATCGGTGACTATCAAGTTGATGTGCAACGTTGTACTGTTGTATGCCGGCCTGGTATCAACCACATGTCTACCTACCTCATTACATGGAGCTGGCTCGGGTGATTCTAATCATCTCAGGGCCTACATGTTATCCTGTGAATATTAATGTGATCCCACTTAATTGGAAAGAGATATATGAAGTACAATAAGCCCAGCGGACTATTGGCCTGTAAAGTTATTTTCATATTACCTATAGCTAATGACACATTGGAAAATGCAAACTCCAATCATCCTTTTTCAGGTCTTGGCCTTCCTCCTATCGATCTATGTTAAGGCAGCATTTGCTATTAGTTCAACCGACCAGCGCGTTGAACAACTAGCGAGGGTGCCAGATGGCTGGTCAAAGGGAGGCAGACCGCCGGCATCGAAGCTCATCACATTTCGACTGGCAATTACTCAGAATAACGCCGCTGAGTTCGAGCAAAAGGTCATTGACCTCTCAACACCGGAACACCCGAGCTATGGTAGACACATGACACGAGACGAAGTGAATGACTTCTTGCGTCCATCACCTGCCATTTCAGACCAGATTATCGCATGGCTGAGATCGGAAAATGTGCCCGCAAGTTCCATCAATTCAAATATTTATTGGATCACGTTCACAGTCCCCGTTTCTCAAGCCGAGCAGATGTTGAAAACACAATTTTTCTACTTCCAGCACCAAGCCCAGAACAGCCTCGCAATTCGGACTCTTGGTTACTCTGTGCCTAGGGTCTTGCATCCTCACATTCAGCTAATTCAACCCACAACTCGATTCGGTGACTTCAGCTCCCAAAGAAGCTTCCATTTGCAGCCCAGTCCGGTGACTTCTGAGCAGCTCGCCGCTCAATGTGACAGGATTATCACACCAGATTGCCTCCGAGAGCTGTATGAGATCGATAACACGACCAGCAGACCCGATTGGCGGAATCGATTGGGAATATCTGGTTTTCTGGAACAATACGCTCGCCATGATGATTTCGAGGAGTTTTTGCGTCATTACGCACAGAGCCACACGGACGCCAACTACAGTGTCGTCTCCATCAACGGGGGCCAGGACGATCAAGACTCTATTTTTGACAGTGTCGAAGCAAATCTAGATGTACAGTACTCCATTCCACTGGCAGATGAAGTACTAGCAACCTTCTATACGACCGGGGGGCGTGGTCCTATGGTTCCTGAGATAAACAATCCAAATCCTGCTAATTCGACAAACGAACCTTACCTTGAACAACTTCATTACTTGTTAGGCCTCCCAGACGGGGAGCTGCCCGCCGTGCTTTCCTCCTCATATGGAGAAGATGAACAGAGCCTTCCACTGTCCTATTTGAATGCCACTTGCAGTCTGTTCGCCCAACTGGCCGCTCGAGGTGTTTCCATCATTTTCAGTAGCGGAGACTCTGGGCCAGGAGGATCTTGTGTGAGAAATGACGGGACAAATCAAACCAGGTTCCTCCCGGCATATCCAGCTTCCTGTCCATTTGTTACGTCCGTGGGCGGAACATACGGCATGAACCCCGAAAAAGCGGTTACCTTCTCCGGTGGTGGATTTTCAGAGGTGTTCTCTCGTCCCGAATATCAAGACCAGTCTGTGACAAACTACTTGGATCATCTTGGAAATCAATGGCATGGGCTATACAATCGGAATGGGAGAGGTATTCCGGATGTATCAGCCCAAGCATCCGATTTCGTTGTTCGAGACCATGGCGACTGGTTCTTGGTCGGAGGTACAAGGTTTGTGTTTTCCTATGCTTCCACAAAGAAAGAAATGAGCTGACGTTGTACAGTGCTTCAGCGCCAGTGATGGCAGGAGTAGTGTCTCGGCTCAATGCTGCGCGTCTTGCTCAGAATAAACCTCGAATGGGCTTTCTAAACCCATGGCTTTATAGCCACGGGCAGCCAGGGCTCACGGATATTACCCAGGGTGCCTCCCAGGGTTGTAAATGGACCGACGATAATGCTACTCTCCGGGTACGGAATGCTAGGTGGGATGCCACCAAAGGGTGGGACCCGGTGACAGGGCTAGGCACGCCTTTGTTCCGCACGCTTGTGAAATTGGCATTGTTAGATGACTATGTGTAGACATATGAATTTGAGCTTATAGCACAGCTAATTTAGGAAATGAGTTAAGTATTGGGACTGGGTATTCTAAAGTCAACAAATAGGTATGAGCAATTGTTGTAGAAAGGCCCATCTCCAGCCCAACTCTGGCCAAATGTTCCCACACGTGACCTCGAGCTGACCGCCCACCACAGCTCCGTCATGAGCATCGGAATGTCGCCAACAACCATCAATCAAAAACCCGAATCCTTTATCTCTTTTCGCCGAATAATTTCCTGCCTGCTTTAGATTCTTGCTAGGCCAATTTATACCCTTTTGAGCACTGTCTTGAATCCACAGAATCCACGCCATGTCCGATCTACAGTCCCTTGTGTCAGAGCTCCACGGTGCTCTTGAGCGCAAACAGCTCGATGCCGCCAACGAGCTTCTCATCCGTGCCAAGCGCGCCCTACTTATGCAGAATGCATTGATTCCCACACCCTCCACACCTCCTCAGCTCGTCGTTCTTGCCCGCCAAGTCCTTGAACTCGGAGCGCTCGCCTCCATCCGCCAGACCGATGCGCAGCTATTCACACGGTACTACCAGCAACTGCAGCCCTTCTACGATATTGAGAGACACGCCGGTCTGCCCGGACAAGGTTCATCGGAAGTGGACTTCAGCACCAGCCAGCGCAGCAAGATCACAGGATTGTATCTGCTTCTTCTTTTGAGCATGGGCGACAGTGCCAACTTCCACACAGTGCTAGAGGGCTTGGTGGAAGAGGCGAGCTTGAAGGGTGGTCGTGTTGAGGATGATGCGTGCATCAAGTACCCCGTTGAGCTGGAGCGTAACTTGATGGAGGGAAGCTACGACAAGGTGTGGAGGGAGACCAAGTCCGAGCGTGTTCCTTCGGAAGACTTTGGACTTTTCTCGAATGTAAGTGGCAGGCGTGCTTTGCGAAACATTTCCGCATAATGAGTATACTGACCATCCAACTTTTAGGTTCTTATCGGTACTATCCGCAGTGAAATCGCAGACTGCTCAGAGAAGGCATACCCATCGCTCCCCATTTCCAACGCCAAGAACCTTTTGTTCCTTGAGTCCGAGGGCGCAGTTATCGAATTCGCCAAGCAGCGCGGCTGGATCCTCCGAGACGGCCGGATATACTTCCCCGTTGAGCCTGAGGCAACTGCCAGGTCTGAGAAGGATATTCTGATGGCTAGCGGCACTGTTATTGAGAATGCATTGGGTTATGCTCGCGAGCTGGAGACTATTGTCTAATCACATGCTCAATGGAAACGATATACTTTCTTCGGATATGAATGACTTTTTTTTCTCTTGTCTTCGGGCGCGGTTGTACTTGTATACCTGTCGCTTATGCATTGTGCTTTGTCTAGCGTGTTCATGATCACAATCATGTTAGAATAATTCGGTTTACTGTTTCCCCGTAAATCGGAGTCGGAATAAACGACTCTTAATCCTAGCGAATAATGTTGCAACAAGAAGCAGCATACGCTAGATTTTCCAATAGTTTCAAGGCGGATGTCCAGACAGACATGGCTTCTCCATTTTGACTATAGATCAACAGTCCAGACACAGAGTCTGCGATCATAGAAACTACTTGAAACACACAAAAGCTCATTAGACTGAGCCGTTTCCTGGCCAATTCTCCCACCCTTCCAGACACCGCTGGCATAATTCATACTTTCATGCTCCGTAAACTTCGCCAGCACCTCAATCCCCCATTCCGAAGTCCCATCTTGGCTCTTGCAGGCAACCCGCACAAGCCTTGTACCCGCATGCATGCAGCTCGCCAGGACCAAAAAGCTCCATTCAGACACATCCGACGCATCCTCCGAGTCCGGCTTCTTCGTCGTATCCAACAATTGCAGCCGCCACACGCCTCCATCCAGACCCTCCTCGGCGAGAACCTCCCCCCTCCGCGTAGCATGGTAAACCCGCAGACTCTCATCATAGCTTCCTGTCAGGATAACCGGAGCATCGTCTACCATGGGAACAGAAAGGGGCAGGATAGCCGTGACACCAGCCGTGTGGTGTCGAGCTCGATCATCGTGCTCCAGCAGCATCGGCGAGACATGCTCATCTGGATCATCCAACTCGGCGGTATTATCGAATCGACGCGTGTGCAGCGAACCAAAGTCATTACCCGTGAACATAAACGGTATCCCAGATGGATTCTGGGGCTCTGCCCCAGAACTAGTTGACAATGCAACGAACCACACTTCGATCATCTGTTTTGCTTCATATGTGCCCCATTCTACAACATTTTCTTCCTCGTGGATATCGCCGTCAGTCCCGAAAACGGCTGTGCGGCTATCAGAGAATGTGACGGCGAAGCCATCTGCCGGCTGCGGGAACCAGTTTTGCGGGGCCCAGGCGAGGAAGAGCGCTGGGATGGATGGGTCTTCGTGTACTTGCTTCGTCCATAGCTGGACGATGCTTGGTGTATCTCCTGACTCGGTTGATACTTGGAATAAAGACACTGAACCTACGCTGCTCGCAATTGCGACTAGGTTCTTTTGTCTTGGATGGAAATGCAGGTCAAACACTGCGTATGGAAGAGAAATTCTTTGGATTTGAGATCTAAGGGCTGTTAGTGGTTCCGTTATCGGTGGTTGGTATACCGGCACTAGGGCTGGGTGGGATGTAACATGGGTTGCAGTCTGCTTACAGGGCTTTGCTAACCGGGTCTAATTTCCAGAGTTGTAGACTCCCCGTTTTGGACTGTTCGATTTCTCCATCTTCGGTCTTGGTCTCTGAGAGAAGGTAGGTGCCCACGATGAAATAATCCGGGGCTTCGGGGCAGAACTCCAGGCAACTGGGTGGCTGATCTAGGAAGACCGTGGTTGCCGACTGGGGATGTTGGATGCTTGCCATTTTGGTGCAGGCTGAACTGAAAGGATTCTAGACCTTGCAAGGCTCGGGCTTAAGTTGTTGAGTCCGGAGGGGCGCCGGAATGTGGCGTCTTGGAAACGCCCGAAAGTCCAACAGCAAATGGGGTCTCTCGAATAGCCAAGTCGTGTGACGGTCTCTTTCCACTGTGCTATTGTGGGAAATGAATCACGCGAGCTTTTGATCTGATTGCTCTTCGTCAATTATGCCGATGGCGTTCGGAGTAAAAAAAAATCATATAGTGGGGGCGGTGAGAATTCACGTTGAAGTCGAAGACATTGACTGCATACGATGTATTCGGAGTATTCGGAGTATTCGACTATGACTCTCCTTGGCGTGTGATATATGGCGGTATAAAGTGGTGTCCTCTCGGGAGCATCGCCTAAATAAAGCTAGAGGTAACGCATGTGTTCATTGTCCGGGGTTGACACTACGCAACAGTCGTTGTACGATGTAGTTTATAGTTCCTGAATCCATGAAGATGTGCACAGATTGATGCTGTTGAATTGGGATTTCTCACGCCAACATATGGAGTATGGAGTCAATCTGAGAAGAACGATCAAACCAATACGTTTAGATCCCCGCTTTGAATGTGAGCTGTTTATGCCCTGGGAGTCGCCGGAATGAGATCGATCCCACGCTGTCTCCGATCCTTCGAACTATTGTTTCACTGCATTGCATGGCATGCCCCACCGTTATTTTGTCTTTGGCCGGTGAGACGTGAATATGAAGGCATTGGATTCAAGAAGTCCAGAGACCCGAGTCATAGTGCGGATGCTACTCCGGACTGAGTCACTGCCTAGCTACGGAGTCATCCTAATACATAAGAGCTTGCCGACATCCGACGGTCGCCGACGGGCTAAGTGGGATATCTGCCTACAGCATTGACATCGGAGAGCTCGGAGCTTCTGACATGGGTCCTAGCTTCGGATAGAACCAATTGACAAACGGGGGAAATATAACCTCAGGTTCATATTTACGGAGTAATCACGGCACTCGTATAGTTATGCCGGGAATCTGCGGGCTCTCAAGGGCGTGAACTCTAAGTGTGACACATCAGTGATGAGAAGCGACTTTCATTTGCAGCCCTTGGACGTCGATGCATTGGGAGTGCATGGGGGGTGTCGATCACGATGTTCGGCTCAGACGCGAGGGCGATCTGGACTGGACGGTTGCCAATAGGAGACCCCAAAGGACACCAGAAGGCAGAACGTGGAGGGCTCGGAAAAGAGTATGCGGGTGTAAGCAATTGTTATCTCAGTGTGTTAGCTTAATTTCCAAGGCGAATTTCTCATTTGACGGTGTGCTACTAGCCCCAGAAAAGTACTTAACTCGTTTCGCTGCCCCCACTTTGTTCTTTCTTCTTGACAATTACCATTCGACACTGCAATTCACATGGAAGGCGATACAAAGCCTTGGGGCTATACATGGCGCTCATCTCGGTTTCTGGTGGTTTCCTCCATCACAGTCGCCTTGTTCGCGGGTGGGTTTCACTGTCTGGACATCGGAGTCATGGTAAAAATATTAACAATCCACTAGAGACATTCCTTTACGGATTTCTAACTCCGATTTTGGGTTATATGCTTGAAGAACGACTGCATCTTGATCCTTCTCGGACTCAAACATATACAACCTCATTGCTCACCACTCACGGGTTCATTGGTCTCATCTCGGCTCCGATTGTCGCTCACATTGCCGAGAAGACTCCAAGCCAAAAGACACCGCTATTGATTGCTCTAGCAGGATGTTTTGCGGGTACTCTTATGATTGCCCTCGCCCCATATGGTATGAGACCTTCCTGAATCCGAACGAAGATCACCTCAGGCTAACCATCACACAGTCTGGGTTCTCTTCCTGGGTCGCATTCTGCAATCTGCGGCGGGATCCGCTACTTGGGTTGTTGGATTTGCTCTATTGGCCAACAATGTGGATAAGAAGCATCTCGGAAAGTCTATGGGTATGGCAATGTCGTTTGTAACTGCGGGAATGGTCGCAGGGCCAACAGTGAGTGGCACATTGCTGCAGTTGTTTGGCTATTGGGCTGCCTGGTCCCTTCCCTTGGTCGTGCTTCTCCTGGATATCATTGCTCGCTTGATTATGATTGAACCCGCAAAAGGATTGCGGAAGACCAAACCTTCGAGCAAGCCTGCTGGCACGTCGATTCTCAACAGTGATGGAGCCCCCGAGGAATCGACTGCTTTGCTTTCTGATTCATCTGCGGCAATCAAACCAGATGATGCTGAAATGGAAAACAAGCCTGATCTCAAGCACGAATACTACACGATCATGCTTACCAATCCACGCGTCTTGACTTCGCTATCCAACATTGTTGTTGTCTCCTCTCTCATGTCGGGCATTAACAACACTCTCCCGGTCCATTTGAGACAAGCATTTGGGTGGAAGAGCTTACTCATCAGCATGATGTTCTTCTGTTTGCAAGTACCGAATATTGCCCTCAGCGGCCCGGCTGGATGGCTTCGTGATCATATCGGACTACGTGGACCCACCGTTTTTGGCTGGGTTGCGTCTATCCCTCCACTTCTACTCATGGGTCTTCCGGGAGACCGTCACTTCCCATGGGCCGGGTCCGATGCAGCTGGGAAGTCTATATTTACTACCAGTTTGATTGGTTTAGGCGCTGTTCTACCTCTAGTGCGCGGTGCAGGAGCTGTGCAATTGGCTTGTGAGTGATCCTGCTATACTTTCCCCTCCCTTCCTCGCTAACAAGGTGATCTTTAATATCCATAGATGTGGCCAAGGACATGGAAGCTAAAGACCCCCATGTCTTCGAGGCCAACAGAAGCAACTTGCGTGTCTTCTCCATGACCGAAGTGGCATATGGTCTCGGAATGATGTTTGGGCCCTTGTTGACGGGCTCTATGTTTGAACTAGTGGGCTTCTTCTGGATGACCATCGCACTGGGTGAGTATACCTTGGTCCTGATACCGTTCAATTTACTGATTCGATGCAGCTATCATTTGCCTCATCCAGGCCGTGGTTTCATGGCTTTGGCTGGATCCCTTACCCTCACCCGAGACCCCCGAAGTCTCGGTTTAACCATCGAGATTGACCATTTGGGTTGATTGAAATATCTCACGTTGAAACGACACATGAAAAAGTTTGTGATGATTCTGAGTAGTTTAGCAAATATATTAGGATAGAATAGAAAATGTATACAATGTCTTTTGACAACAACGTGTACCTATAGATATCTAGCTAGGCAACCTCAGGTATATTCCCTTTCTCGAAAGAAGAGAATAGTTGTACGGCAATTAGCAACTGGTGGTTGGCGAAGACAACGGCGGGGGGTTACCCCGCAAGGTATAAAGCCTGAGCTGCAGACCAAGTGCTGGTCTGGCATGCTTTCTCTTCAATCGCACGAAGCAAAATGATTGAACCGGAGAATCAGAATTCGCAGCTTGCAGATTGTGATCTGATTCCGATTATTGATCTCTCGAATTTGGAGAGTCCACATCTCCACGAGCGACAGAATCTCGCTCAATCAATCTATGATGCCTGTACACAGGTTGGTTTCTTTTATATCAAGGTATGAAAATAACTCATTCTCTCAAACTATATAAATAAGTATTAAAAATACCTGCCAAGAACCATGGGATCCCAGAGGATATGATCAAAAGCATACATAGTGCCGCAAAGCGACTGTTTGATCTCCCCGCGGAGCAAAAGATGAGGTTTTATATTGCAAACTCCCAAGTATATCTAATCCATACTTCTGAGCATCATAAAAGACATACTAAAGTCATCCCAGAAATTCCGTGGCTACAGCCCTCTAGGCGGCGAAAAATCAACAGGCACAGAAGATGATCCCGTCGATGAAGAAGATGCAGTCAGCGCTCTGTCAGAGGCATTTGATATCGGATATGAAACTGCAATGGATCTCCACAAGTCAAAGAATGATCCTCTTCCTCGTGATACTTATGGATTATACGGAGATAACCAATGGCCTAGCCATGACCTGCTTCCCAATTTCTCAGATATCTATATCCGATATTGCGCCATGATGCTGAGCCTTTGCAGAAAGTTGATGAGAATATTTGCACTTGCATTGGATCTACCCGAAGGATATTTCGATTCGATGGTTCAGAATCCAGGAGTCACCTCTAGGATGATGCATTATCCGCCTCAACCAGTGAAGCAAGAGATCCGGGAAGGGCTTGGGGCTCATACGGTAACTACATGGCAGAATTTGCAAATGAAGGTCTCCAAAACTGATTCCCCTCTGCTGCAGGATTTTGAATGCTTCACCATCCTTTCCCAGGATAGTGTCCCGGGCCTGCAAGTCTTGAACCACAGCGGGGAGTGGATGCTGGCACCGCCATTGCCAGGAACGTTGGTGGTTAACATTGCGGATTGTCTGTCAATTTGGTAAGATGAGGCCGATGATTTACAAGAATGTGAACTTATATCTTTAGGACGAATAAGAAGTTCAAGTCGACCATTCATCGAGTCACGAATCTGACCGGCCACGAACGTTACTCTATCCCCTTCTTCTTTGGGGTCGATTATGATACCACGGTGTCGGTTTTGCCAAATTTTATCTCTGATGATAATCCGGCGTGCAAAGAGCCTTTCAAAGCGGGCGAGGTGGGTAGTTGAAAGCTTGGATGTACTGATATCATAACTGACGAGGTAATAGTGGGTTCGTGAAAAGCTTTCAAAGGCATACGTTGGTTATCAGGGTTGAAAAGGTCAAGGATGCGCTTCTGAAAACCGAGATTGGTATCTGATTTAGCTAAAAAATGGATCTGAACCATATAGCGTTGCAATTGCTTGTGGCTTGGGGATGAAAATACGATGATGTACGTACGTGGCTAGCTCTTATGAAAACGGCAAGGCTAATTCTTTTCTCGCGGGAGCTGTATTCGATAACGCCTGCGATGTGAATCTCTTTTCTTGCTCTTCTGGAATATTGTATCTCATGTGCAATCCTGTAATGGTGTTATGTCCGAGTCTCCCAGTGCAAGTGTGACACTCCCTTCATATCGGTCTCAGTTGGAGGGGTCTCATCATAGCCAAGTCTTGCTATCTGCCCTCGAGCTCATTCCTTTTCTTCAGTGACTGCTAGGTGCTTCTCAGGAATGTTCTGTTCAACATCGGTCGGTACGACATCTGTCCATAGAGAATAAAGATCATCTGGGAGCATTCTCCTCCCCGTAACCTTCTTGGCCACCAGCTTATCCTTCGAATCATCGTACTGAATGGTTGAGGTCCCACCCCATTCTCTTGTAACTTGAAGAATGCGGGTGATAAGGGCAACGAGCTTCCTGATGTCTTCTTGGTGGGCCTGTTCCCAATCCTGTAGCGCTGTGGAAATGTCGTCCACTTCAGGCGTCGAGAACAGCCCACCCTTATGATAAGCACGGACGAGGTTGGGCGTCTGAGAAATCCAAAGCTGCGCTGCAAACTCCGATAGTTCAAGAGGCTTGTGGAATGCCCGAGTTTTGACCTCCAGGGTTAATTCCCTTGGGACTACCCAGCCTTCCTTCTTGATGGTCAATCGAGGTTGACTAACGGCCTCATCGACGGAAGCAGTTTCCAGCAAGGGGGATAGGGAATCTAGATTGGTTGGAATGCTTTCCTCTGCAACCAGATCCTTCGATTCGGCGGGTTTCTCATCGAGATATCCATCTGTCTCGTGGCGTACGAGGAATCTCAGACCACCCAGTCGATATTGCAGAATGCGATAATGTCCAGTACTCTCTTCGATCTGATAGGTGGTGTATGCCTTCTCGAATTCACGGCCAAACCCCTTAAACTCGTTGACCGCGATGTATTGGTAGATAGGGGTCTCATCGCGGCAGAATATCGCAGTCTGAGCGGCCATCTCCACCTGGATGGTAAAGGAATCGAGATCACGTCTGGCCAAGCTAGGCTGGATGAACAAGAGCAGTCTACGGATGTTGTTTCTGTCGGTCACGACGTCGATTGGGTTGATATCGAACGATGGTTGCTCAATGTAGAGGGAGCGGAAGAGCGGCTCGAGAGGGCTAGCAGGATGACGGGCCGCATTCTGAGCGATGAACACAAGACCGCTGTCCTTTTGCAACTTTTGGGGCTTTTCTGGGGGAGACCATCGTGCTGGAATGCCTGGAACTGCGATCGTTGGTTGGGTTGCTTCGATCCAGTTGTAAGAAGCTAGGTGCTGAACATCGGTAATGGTCGCTTCTGCTGGGGCAGAGGCCTCTAAATCGAGGCGGGAGATCTCTACGTCTTTCTCAGAGGTCATTCTGGAGTCTGACACTGATGGATCTGGTGATCTTGGAATGTGCGATGTTGAGGCTTGGAAGGGAGAGGGAGTTGAAAACAAGAAGATGATCGAGACGAAGGAACCGAGTCTCTATCTCTGGGAAGACAAGGGCATTCATGTGTCGAGCAAGTAGCAAGCAATCTATCATGCTGCCCAGTTTGCCATGGTCAATAAGTCTGAACAATCAGGAATTGAGATGCATCTTTGTGAAGACACATAGTATGGTTGACTTGCTGCAGCCTTGTAATAAGCCGGCACAATGACAATGGCCTAAGCCAATTGACTATCTGCCTTCTTTGCAGTAATAGCAGCACCCACTATCATTCACACGCGTTAGGAACAGGGTATCAACTTGTATTGCCTATTGCTATCTGCCTGTGGAGATCCGAAAGCCCAGGCGAGGTTGACTTTCCTGGCAAGTTTGCACTCGTCTGTAAGCTCAACAGGCCAACGACTTTATCGACCCTCCGGATATAACCAATGACTACCTCTATAACGCTCCGCAGGAATGTCCGGCACTGCTTTTGAGGACAACGATGATCTCAACAAACACGCTACAATGTTTTAGCACGTACACAGGGAACATCTCGAGGGCATTGAAGGAGGTCCGGATAGAATGAGACAATATCCAAATCTCCAACGAATGAATCCCAGAGACCGCATATTCCATTCATGGGCTTCACGGAGTGTACGTTTGTAAGCATGAAGCCGATCTCGGGATCCGTCAGAACCCCGCACATGACGCAGCTGCCTGACAGCGGAGCCCTGAGTATGGCGTATGGAGTATAAAAAGGGTGGGATCCCTCGAAGTTCAAGGGGCTAACCACTCAATCTGTAATGCCTTTACCATTCAGCACTCCACCTGCCACGGCAAAGGCCGCGCTGATACCATTCAAGGCCGCCATCCCCAAGGCCAAGCTCACCGAGCTCGAGACATTGGTCAAGATAGCGAGATTTGCACCACACACTTACGAAAATTCCCAGACAGACCGTCGCTATGGTGTCTCCACAGATTGGCTTGTCGCTATGCGAGATTTATGGCTGAGGTCCTACCGTTGGTAAGGATCTCATATCATTCCATGCATACGCGCAAGTATGCCTGAATGTTGTGCATAGGACTGAACAGTCATACCAGGGAATCCTCCGAAGATCGGATCAATAGCTTCCCTCAGTTCTTGACAGAGATTGAAGGTCTCACGATTCACTTCGTAGGACTCTTTTCGGAAAAAAAGGATGCTGTTCCTCTCTTGTTGCTGCATGGTTGGCCTGGTAGGTGTAGATCCTGGACTTGGGTTTACTTTCAGTAATGCATGGCTGATTTACTAATAGGGAGCTTCCTCGAGTTCTTACCTATACTGCAAAAGTTCCGAGATGAGTATACACCGGAAACCTTACCTTATCACTTGATTGTACCGTCGTTGCCAGGATTCGCATTCTCATCAGGACCCCCACTGGACAGGGACTTTGGAACGGGTGACATTGCTCGTGTAGTGGATCATCTGATGAAAGATCTCGGCTTCGAGAGTGGCTATATTGCCCAAGGGGGAGACATTGGAAGTCGAGTTGTCAGGCACTTGGGTGTGGACCATGAGAGCTGCAAAGGTATGATACCTTGTGTGTCTTCCAAGACGATAGAACTTGATCTAACATAGTAGTATAGCCGTACATGGTAAGTATTCCTCTTTATACAACTCACTCCGTGACTACAATGCCAACCTACCCCAGCCAACGTGGTTTTCATGAGAAAGCCGGACGGCATGACAGACGAACACCTCAACGCGTTTGAGATCCAAGGCATTGAAAAGATGATGAACTTTTTATCCACGGGCGCCGGTTATGCAACTGAGCATGGCACCCGACCTAGTACCATCGGTCACGTTGTGTCATCGAGTCCTATCGCTCTTCTGGCGTGGTAAGTCTCGAGATTCAAGGCCTGCCCAGGTGCTCTACAGGACTGACAAAGCCCACACGCGTAGGATTGGAGAGAAGTTCTTGGAATGGGTCGATGATCCACTTCCCCCGGATGATATCTTGGAATCTGTCACACTTTACTGGCTCACGGAGACATTCCCCCGGTCGATTTATACTTATCGACAGGTGAGTCTCTTCCCCTAACGGTTGTTGATCGATGTCTGCAATGAGGGATCTGATGGGAATACACAGAATTACCCCTCACCACCAATTCCAGCTAGCAATGATCCCCGCTGGTATATTCACAAACCATTCGGATTTTCCTCGTTCCCTATGGAGATTGCTCGACTACCACGCTCGTGGGTGGAGACGACAGGAAACTTGGTGTTCTGGGAGCAGCATCAAAAGGTGAGCTTTCTGACCGGTGGCTGAGAATTGAGGACTAACACTGGCCTCTGTCTATCACAGGGCGGACACTTTGCAGCACTGGAGAGACCCGATGAGTTGAAAGCGGATCTGGTCAAGTTTGTTGACCAGGTATGGCCAGGTATTGTTGGCGCACAGTAAGGAGAGACCAACATATGATAATGAAGAAAGGGCACAGAGATGCACAGTACAATGTAAACAAACTTGAACTGGAATTACACGTCTACAGAGTGAAAGATGAACTGTTTATGTGGTGTCATGTATACAGATAGGAAAATACGTGACTACAACTACCTGAGTCTATAGGAAAGCACATTCTTCTAATGTATTCAGTGGGACCGTCGAAAGCTATTGGACTCCTCGAGGTGACCCTCAAGAATGCCCAGCTATGACTTGGCCGTTACTCGCACCAGAACTGGCAGTTTGATCTGAGTGTTGGCGCATGGCCCTCAACAATAGATGTTGACAGCGCTGTACGCACGAACCCTGTACCCAACACCGGAGAGCGGCCTACGGCGGGTGACAAGAAGGTGGATGGCGAGGAAGTGATGGGTAAGGGAGAGGGGTTGAGGAAGAAGAAAAGAAAAAGAAGATCTGGGGGGAGGAGACCCTTTTTATACCCACCTGCAGCCCACGTTCCTTCCCGATTTGAACGCTTGTCCATCGCACCTTCCCAAATGGAATGGTTCCCTGCGAGCAAACAATTACCGCATCTGGCTATTTGGCTATTTACTTAGAAGCAACATGGACTCATTGCTATTGCTCACTGCCTGTGTTCAGGTGTATCTAGCCAACTCATACAGCTCGTCCGGACGGTGAAGATTTTATAGTTCGATCTTCTGATATCTGTATTTCTTACATCACTATCGCAAACCCCTAGGCCGTTTTCTACAGTCAACATCGTAAGAAAGCACCTTGGATATTCGCTAATAATTTAAGAAGACAATTATTCCGTCATCTCTTGGATTGGCATACTGATGAAGTACTAAAAGGTTGGAGCCGGCAAAAAGAAATGCGGGCCGTTTCTCAGACCACCCGGACACGCCCACCTACTTACCATCTCCAACTATTCCCGAACAGCCTTGGAAGAAGTCATCAAGCAAATAACCATCCAGCAAGACCCAAAACCATGGCCTCAGCCTCAGCAGCCGATGAATTATTCTCCGACGACTCAAGTTTCTACGGTAAACGCTAGCTACATACTCCACTCAACCATACCCCAACTGACCTCTACCCAGGCGACGAGACCGTAAAAAAGCAACTCGAAGCCCAAGCTGCGGCATATGACCCAGAGCCATTCTGGGTACAAACCCATGAAATCATGCTAGCAACAATCCAGAACAACCTGCGCAATCCCCGCGGGCCTTGCAGGGACGATTCATCGGACGTCTCGATGAGAGATGCATCCCCAGAACCGGCTACTGGACATTGCAATCAGCGCGGGAAGACCGAGCCCGTGGAGCGATTCTTATTGCGGCTTCCGCCATCCACGACCAAGGTTGCTGACGTAGGTCCCTGGATTTGGATGTTTAATCCGCATGGCTCGTCGCGGCGAAGCGGGGATATACCCACTCTTCTCAGGAAAGGCAGAGAGCTTCTGCTGCAGTATGAGCATGAGAGTGTGGTATTGCGCAAGGCGCATGATGAGTCGGGGGCGAAGACGACGGCGCCTTTGACGCGCAAGTTGAATCCCATGCGGAAAGAACTGGAGAGGAATATTCTTGATCTAGGGAGGGAGACTGGTGTTACGGATGGGAAGTGGATGCTGTTTCCTACGGTTGATCATGTGGACGAGGTTTGGAGTACGGTGGTCAAGGCTATGGAGAAGGGGGAGCTTGGGGAGGCGGCGAAAGTTGCTACTGCTGATGGATCTGGGAATGGGCAGTCGCGGTTGATTTGCATTTATACGTCTGACTTCGGGGATACTGGGGATGTTAAGCGGGTGTTGTGTAAGTTGGTTGATCTTGGGCTCGTTGGGAGGGGTTCTCGGGGGATTTACTACAAGTGTGATGCTTTCACTTGTCTTGAGATCAACTCCAAGAATGAGTATGGGCTGAAAGCGAGCATGTTTTCTAGTCAAGAGGTGCTTGGTTGGAAGTGAGAGAGGACGGCATTGTGGTTTGTTCATGATTGATGAGAATATGCTGAACGATTGATATTATGGCCGTAATGGGTATCTCTGAGCAACGCGTTTATCTATGATACTTTATGAGTTCTCAAGCATTGGTAGCAGGAAGGCTCTGTCATGGGAGGGTGTAGACCGAGAGCTTTTCAGGAGCTCCGGGAGGGTGAGTTGTTGGAGCCAAAGCTCGAAGCAGGGACGCTTGATCATGGGTCGCATAGATCAAAAAGGTGGCCGCCTGACGCTCTCCATGAATGAGCCGGCTCAGTCATGGCCGCGGCTGTCGGCCCCGTCAGGAGGGATAGTCCGCCCTGACAAAAACGCAGGAGCTCCAAACACATGTGTTATGGCCTGGAGAAGGCGAGTGTATAAGAAGGTAATCATTCATCGTGGTCTGCCTGATTCATGATTTTCTCACATGCCTCCCTAATCTCAGCAACACCTTTAACTGCGCCCCAGGTATCGAGCAAATGCTGGATCTCTTTCCAGTCCTTGTCCGCATCCTCCTGTTTATCCTCCGCCAAAAGTTTCTCCAACCTCTGAGGCGCAGCAAGGACCCATCGAACAGTGTCCTTCTCATTCTTCTGGCTTGAAGCCTCGTCTGCAAGCTTCGCATCTTTCATTCGCCGGCGTTGCTCCTCGCCTTCCTTGATGAGCCCACCAGCAGTCTCGGCAACAAAGGCAATGGCCGGACCTAGCGTTTTCGTCATAGTCAACGGAGCTTCGCGCTCATCCATACTACGTCGCATTTTGCCAATTGTCTCCACAGCTCGAATCAACTTCGAGTAGTTATCGTAAACAAGCGCCTTCCGCTCTCCATCTAGAGTTCGGATATCTCCAACCAACGTGTTCTCCGCCTTGAGCACCGTAGCTAGCGATGATGTTGATAATAGATGATCGACATATCGCTGCGGGTTGAAGTCTGCACTGTCGAGCTCCGTTCCCGACCCCAGAGCTGATGGGTCGGAGATGTCTCCTGCATCTGTAGTTCGTGGCGCGCTGCGGGAGCGGGATGCATCCCGGGGAGCAGATGTTTCTGCGCTTGGGGGCTTGAGGTTGTAATAGTCTCGGAGGGCGTTGCGATTGCGTCGGGGAGGGAGTGAGGGGGAGAGCGCTCGTGCAGTGGATGGAGTGGATGCGGCGCTGAGACCCCCGCTGACGCTGGTGTTCAAGGCATCGAGCGAGGCGCGAGATGAAGCTGGCCCTGGGGAATGGGCTCTGGAGGAAGCGATGGACGGACGAGGAGACGATAGTGTCGACATTGCAGGTGTGGTTGTCGGAGTTGTCGGAGGTGAGAGCGTCGGGCCAGATCAATTGCTTTAAGCAGTGGTCTGTGCTCGTGTTTTTTCCGCGTTGAGAGCTTCCCCGACTTCGCGTTTCCTTTAACTTAACCGCAAGAATATAGTTGATTTGAGAAAGCATGGCTAGTCCGGACCAGATTGCAGCCCAAATTTTGAGCACAAAATCACTATCAGTGTCTCAAATATGGCTCAACGCCTTTCTATCATCCTCCAGCACATCACAACGCAACATCCCCCCCTCTGCGCTCGCAAAGACCGCTATATTCCGCCTCCTCACCTCTGATATCCAAGAATCGCTCTCTAAGCATAGGTCATGCGTGTTACCAGTCGATACCCACGATCCAAACATCCAAGAACGACATGTGCAGGGCTCAATCCCCGTCCAAGTGCTAGACATTGAAGATATAGGCACGAGTCTGTGGAGCCAGATCGAGGCCATTGAACGTGTCGAGCGTGGTGAGGCCATCCGTGGCCGTGAGATTGTGCGCACAATAGCTGTAGGCGAGGATCCCGAAGCGACGGAGAACAATCGTGCGAATAACAACCCGGCGAACGGCGCGGCAAGTGCGTCTGGTAACAGTGGATATGGACCGCATCGTTTGATTCTTCAGGATGCAGCAGGGAATATGGCTGTGGCAATTGAAATGCAGCGTATCAACGGGATATCATTGGAGAAACTTGCTATTGGGGCGAAGCTCTTGCTCCGAAATCCGACGATTGCACGAGGTATGATCTTGCTTTCTCCTACGTCTGTTACGGTGCTCGGAGGCAAGATTGAGGTCTTGGACAAACCGTGGAAGGAGGGTAGGAAGGCTAGGTTACTAGAGAAGACTGCGGGAATCGAGGGAGCATGATAGGGCACGGATCATCGCGCGCACACGCAGCTTTCTAGATGGCCGGGCTTTGCTTATACTTGCACTTGTTATTAAGGTATGGAATTTGCATTTCTTTCTCTTTGTATAAGAGACCGATGTTGTCTCATGTCTGTGCGCTAAAAACTGACTGCGCGGTCAAATAGATACACTATATCTTAGAATCGTGCAGTTGTCGTGGTTGTACGGCGCTTCCATGTGACTAAAGCTTCACCGTCGTCCGATTGGTCCTGTCCAGAGTTTGTAGGACGCTCCCGGGGTTGCCCACTACCATCAATGTGGCCCAATTCCTCCCATCCACTGCGCTTCCACGGAGCAACCATGATCGCCCGGAGGGCGTCGCTGGCCTTGCCAGTCTGCGCATAGGCCAGGCTGAGATCCTCGGCCCCAAGGTTGCTGTAGGGAGGTACGCTCCGCAGCGCGCGTTCAACAGACATGGCGGCTGAGTATGGCTCTTGTGATGCTGCTGATAGCTCCATCCATCCGGCGGGCTGTCCGGGGCAAAGCATCACGGCAGCAGTGGCCTCGCCAATGCGCCTGATATCCTCGGGGACAGATGCATTACCGTTGAGTCCGGTTGCTGAAATGGCGCTTAGAAGTTTGATGATCTTTGCACGGTCGTGAAGATCAATATCATCACGCGCGATCATGCCATTGAGGTCGGATTCAACTGCCTCAATGGCATCATGGTCCGCATCGAGGAGTGCAATGGCACCCAAAAGGGTGACTGCTCCAATATGGCCAGGGTGGTTCATAACACAGTCGAGCAGTTGCTCGCGAGCGACGGACCGGTTCTCCTCGCCACCCTTGGCCCATAGGACCTGGGCAAGAAGACATACCACATCTGGAGCATTGTCTGCTTCTTCAAGGGCGTCGCGGAACATATCAATCGCTTGATCCATCGACTTCAGATTGTAATGTGCCAGACCAGCGGTCAAATGCGCGGACAGACGAAGCTTCTTACAGGCCTGCGGATCGAATTTCTCCGCGTCCTCCTCTCCAGAAAGCGTGAGCGCGAGTTCAGCCTTCTCTGCGGCCTCCTCGTAAGAGTGGCTTGCAAGTAGGATGCGGGCCATATCTGCGTTCGCCTGGGCATACTTTGAAAGCGAAGCTGGCGATTCAGTCTTTTCGAACTCTTCTTCCATGCCTGAACAGACAATATGCAAGCTAGACTCGGCATCTCTGGTCTCGCCCATTCTCTCTGCCAACAGAGCGGAAAGGTGCACGAATGGCAGGTCTGACGGATTTTGGATGCAAAGTTGATGAAGTGCAAAGAATGGCTGGATAAGTTGAGACACCTCGTTTGAGGCCGAAGGCTCATAGAGATGATCAAAGTGAGTTAGACTGAAGTGGCGCTTAGGAAGAATATCAGATGAATTCGAAATATCAAAAGCGTGTTCGAAATGACCTCTCGCCTCTTTGACATCGCCCATACCGAGTGAAATAAAGCCCTGGCCAACCCAGGCCTGTGAGTAGTCTGGGTCGGTCGCCTGCGCTCGCAAGAAGATATCGTAGGCTTTCCGATCTTCTCCGTGGAGGAGATACAGTGCGCCGAGATTGGTCCAGACTTGTGCGTTACGTTCATTCAAATGTAAACTTCGCACAAAGGCATGCTGGGAAACCTTAGGACTCATAGTTGCAGTGACGACACCCAGTGAGTTCCAAAAGTCGGAGTTACCGGCTTCCAATTCGATCGCTCTCTTGAAGCACCGCATAGCTGCTTTCAGAAACTTGCGGGGCTTCTTGCCTTTCTTAGTAGAGTCCGGCTGCGAACTGCGGTATGCTGAGTATTCAGCCCAACCCAGATTGTACCAGGCAACTGCTTGAGAATGAGTATCATGTAAGGAAACATGGAGTGCACGCTTATAGGCGATGATGGAGATGTGATTGTAGAAGTCGGATGGCATTGACTCTTCACTGTCATTGGCTTCGAGCCAGCCATTCCCGACACCATCGACATCGGCCATGACATCAAGGGCCATGGGATCGAGATCGACCGCCAGTAGAGCCCTACAACGGGAAGCGGACAGCCTTCCAGCCTTGGATTTCATATATGAGAAATTGGCGCAGGCATCACCTACGGCCTTCCACAAGTTGAAAATGTCACTTTTGGCATGTGCAAGTGAGCCCGCGACCACAATAGCTTCGCAGGCGAGTTCTGCTGCATCGTTGAAGAGACCCAAACCAAGGCTCTTCGTCGAACTTTCTGTCAAAGTCTGAAGGAGTGCGAGAGTCACACCAATGTCATCAGGTCGTGATTTCAAAATATCTTCATAGGCATCAATTGCGTCATCGTATTGGCCAAGCTCTCGTCTTACGTTTGCCAGCATATACCGCGCAAACCATACGTGCTCTTTGTCTTTTTCTGAAAGGCCTGACTCCAATGTCTTGACGTGTTCGAATGCCTTGGTGGCGGCGACATATCTACCAGAATGGTGATAGCTTTCGGCAAGGCCAACCCATGAGTGGTAGTCATTTGGCGCAAGTCGAAGCGCCGCTTGGAATGACACAATACTTTTGCTATATTGCTGTTTGTTGACCTGGACTGACCCTAGTGCCGCATATGGCCAGCTGAATCCCCGGCGCTTGGACCCAGGAGAGGGTCTAGCTTTGCCGGAGTCAACGACCCGCTGGGCAACGGCTTCGACAAGGTCCCATTCCTTCGAATCAGCAAAGCCTCGGGCAAGACGCTCAGCGGCTTCAATCTCCGAGGTCGATAATTCAAATGCCTTGTGGAAGCACCTGCGAGCTCTCGTCTTGTCCTTCTTGTAATCTGCGAAGTAAAACCCAAGGAGGCTGTATGCCGGAGCAAAATTCATATTCGCCTGAATAGATGCAAAAAGGCTAGCGTAAGCACCGTTGCGGTCTTTCCGGGCAGCTGGGGACGGATTAAGCTCCCACTGGCAATAGCCAATGCGGTAGAAAAGCTCCGAAATGAAGTCCCTGTTTTCTGGCTGGGCTTCTTTCAAGTCCTCAAGGGTGTCCTGAAGACTAGACAAGCCAGATTCAAGACTGCCATTTAATGCCTCACACCAAGCAAGCTCTGCACGAATCTTGAGGTTAGAAGGATCACGTTCAAGCGATCGCCGCAGGAAGTTGACGGCTTCTGCATAGTCCTGATCTTCTTTCAAAACCATACCAATGCCAAGAAGGCAATTGGAAGAAGTTGGGTTCCGTTTGAGGATGTCCTCAAAGAGTGCCTTCGCCTCTGGGTGGTGGCGGGGGGATTGATAATGGACCAGCGCATTGGCAAGTGCATTATTTAGCGCATCGGTGGTGTTGGGAATATTGATCCCACTGTACTTTATCAAGTCCTTGATGTAAAGTAATCCCTTTCGAGCAACAGTGACCACACTCGCATACTCTTCCAAAGAGAGATAGAAATCTGCCATGATGCGATGGGCTAGAATCGAATTCCGAGCGGACTCCAAGCCTTCAACCATAATGATGAGACGATCTTGAGCAGCTATCGCATTTCCATCAGTCTCAAGATCAGTTTCAGCGACCGTCGTCTCATCACTATCCTTGACATCTCTGCTTTCTGATTCATCGGAAGGATCATTGGGAAACGGCGACAGTTCGCTCGACAAGAACCCTCTGAGAACATGTGAAAGTCCAGACTCTGGGAAAAATTCAATGTATTCACGCAGGTGCCCCACGTCATACTGAGAATAATCCTGAACATCCTGCCAACCTAGGAAAACCTTCCATGCGGGCTCGAACGGATGTTTGATAATCACCATGTCGTATGCTGCCTTGTACACAACTTCTCTCTTCGCCTTCTTCTCACTCTCGGGCAGAAAGCCGAGCTCATCATACGCACGTTGGAACAATTTCTCCTCATATTGACGGCGCACGGTATCATCGTTGGTCCAATCAATTATTCCGTGGTAAAATTGGTCCAATCGGCTCTTATTCGCAGCCTCCCGCCGGACTTCCTGAGTAACTTGTTCAATGCGAGCACCTAGACGTGTTCTGCGCTCTCCAATTTCACGATTGATGAATTCCTTTTCTTGGCTCTCGGTTATATCAATCAATCGCTGGTATGTCTGCGCTGGATGAGGCAATCGGCCCTCAAGGAAGTCATAAAGGGGCGAACCCGGTAACTGCAGCTCCAATGCATGTTTCTGTTGAGTTTTGGTCCCATTGTTCTTCATCGACTTTGTGTATTTGTTAACCAGATCGTTGCAGCGGTCCTTCTCGTCGCTAGATATGGTCAGCACTGTATCTTTTGAGTTATCGCAATAAAACAGAAGCCAAAACATACTTATTGGCGAATATCTTTCCAAGCGCAATGACTGCCTGGCGATAACCATCATGCTCACAGCCGCGCTGTCTCTCGTATAGGGAGACCAATCCTTGCCAGGCAGTTTTGTCGTCGGGGTTGATTTGGGTCGCTGCAGAATACGCGCTCTCTGCTTCTTCGACGTTTTTCATGCGGTCGTACGCAAGGCCGAGAAAGACATGTCTGAAAGAGAAAACAAACCCCGTTAGTCATGTTTTCATGCATGAGCAGGAATTATCATACGCGTGGTAGTTCTTGGAATCGCCCTTGATGAGCTCCTTTGCCTTTGCAGCAGCATCTTGGTAGTCTTTAGATTCCAAGGCTGTTCGCACAGCTTTCAATGCCGCTTTGCTCGACATGTTTCCGTTGTGCAGAAGCAGCGGGGAGAAACTGTCGTAGTGGAGCAAAGCGGTCGGCTAGCTTTCGATACGTCACTCCTTATCGTTATCAGGCCAAGGTGGACACCGATCTTCGAGTTGGCAATGAGCTCACCGTTGGCTTGAAGCTTGCAATTGACTTGATGAAAGAAAACTTGCGCTGAATCTGACGGCGAACTTATCGAAGCAACTTGAAGGAAGCAAGCGTTTCGAAGAGGTCTCTCGAGGTTGATTCAGAATCACGTGCTCTAGCAGTTGGTACGGAGCAGTCGGGCAGCTCGTCAACCAGCCCTCGTGACCCTTCCTAAAGGCTGCCAAGGCAGTTTAACAAGCTATCCCACTTCTTACTGTCAAGTACAGAAGATCCAGGGGGCATTGATCTACGTTGATGATACCCTTTCTACGAGCTGAGAGCCTTGTATACTTCGTTTCTTGACTTGTTCGCGCTCAAACACTCCGCTTGACACCGCAACCTCATTTGACTTAAGATTCGATTCAGTCCGAGCCACAATGGCCCCATTGCGCCTCAAGGTTGAGGGGCAGTCCTTTCGAGATCCTCACAATCGGGAGATCACACTGAGGGGAATCAACGTCGCGGCTGATGCCAAATACCCAAAGACACCTGATATCCCTACATACATCGCCGACAACTTCTTCGATGCGGATAATGTCTCATTTGTTGGACGACCATTTCCACTGGAAGAAGCGCATACTCATTTCAGGCGACTTAGAAAATGGGGTTATAACACTATCAGATATATCTTTACCTGGGAAGCTATTGAGCACGCGGGACCGGGGGTTTACGACCATGACTGGGTTGCATTTACCATAGAAGTGCTCCGGATAGCCAAACAATACGACTTTTGGGTCTTTATGGATCCACATCAGGATGTGGTAAGTTTAGACAAAGAACATATCAATCTGCGCTAAGACTCTCCTAGTGGTCTAGGTTCTCTGGGGGATCTGGGGCACCTATGTGGACACTCTATGCAGCTGGACTTAATCCCAAAGCTTTCAAGACCACGGAAGCCGCCTTGGTACAAAACACATATGATGTCCCCGCGGAATTCCCCAAAATGATCTGGAGCACAAATTACACTAGGCTTGTTTGCCAAACCATGTTTACCTTGTTTTGGGCTGGACGGGACTTTGCTCCCAAGGCAGTCATTGATGGGGTGAATATTCAAGAGTATCTCCAAAGCCACTTCATCAATGCGTGTGCATACTTGGCTCAGAAAATCCACGAAGCCGGTGACCTCGATGGCGAGGTGATTATTGGCTGGGAAAGCATGAACGAGCCTCATCGTGGTATCATTGGCGTGCAAGACATCTCGGTAATTCCACCAGAACAGCAGCTCCAACTTGGTACCTCGCCAACAGCATTTCAAGCAATGCTCACCGGGTCTGGAAAAGCTTGTGAGCAGACAACATGGGCTTTCGGAAACTTTGGTCCTTACAAAACAGGCACAAATCTTGTGGATCCTGCGGGTGACATAGCCTGGTTGCCAGCTGATCACGATGATAGCAAGTATGGCTGGCACCGTGACCCTGGGTGGAAACTTGGGGAGTGCATCTGGGCTCAGCATGGTGTTTGGGATCCGTCTACCGACACCCTCCTGCAAAAGGATTATTTCTCCAAGAGCCCTCAAACCGGCAAGCCACTCGATTACGAGAAGTTTACAAACTCATATTTCTTGGACCATTATCGAGCATATAAAGACGCTATTCGGGGAATCTGGCCCGATGCAATAATGTTTTGCCAGCCACCTGTGATGGAGGTGCCACCAGATGTCAAGGGCACTGCTGATGATGATCCAAATATGGTCCATGCAGTCCACTACTATGATGGGTTGACTCTTTTGACAAAGCACTGGTGAGAACTGGTCAAATTTTAGTATCCCTGTATCATTTCTAACTACCACAGGAACCGACTCTACAATGTGGATGTCATTGGTGTTCTCCGCGGTAAATACCTTACACCTGCCTTTGCGGTCAAGATTGGCGAGTCAGCTATTCGAAATTGTTTGCGTGACCAGCTTAAATTCCTTCGTGATGAAAGCCGAAACTACATGGGCAGTCATCCCGTGGTATTCACAGAAATCGGAATCCCCTATGACATGGACGAGAAAAACGCCTACAAGACCGGTGATTATAGCAGTCAAACCAGCGCCATGGACGCAAACCATTTCGCATTGGAAGGCAGTACTTCTAATGGCTTTACCCTCTGGGTATATGTCACTCAGGTAATCTTTTTCTTTTTCGTTGTGGTGCTACGAATTTCGCTAAGACCGTGTAGAATGACCATGAATGGGGTGACCAATGGAATGGGGAGGACTTGTCTATATTCTCCCTCGATGATCTCGAATTGCCGGCGGGAAGTTCCGCCAGGTCCCTCAATCCTCAATCCCCAGCCTACTCGGAAAGTCGCAGTAGCAGAGAAGAAACAGCGGTTGAACCTCGGAATCTCAAAGGTGCTTTGGTAACGCCTTCAATTTCCAGCGACCAATCCCAGCCATCTGTGCGACAGACGCAAGGATATCGCGCAGCAGAGGCATACCTCCGCCCGAGTCCAACTTTTGTGAGCGGCAAATTGGAGAGCCATGTTTTCGATCTCAAGAACTGTGCCTTCACTCTATCATTGACAGCCAAAGGGCCTACCACCGCAACTGCCCCAACTGAGATATATCTTCCAGAGTTCCATTTCCCAGAGACCAACCTTGTCGTCGCAGTCAGTGGCGGCAAATGGGATATTAATATCCATGACATCCAGGGAATTAAGCTGCAGCATCTGCGATGGTGGCATGGCGAGGGAGAACAGGACATCAAGATCGAAGGACTCAAGCGCAAGCCTGGAGAATTTTCTAACCCGGGAGGGGAGGATGTGAGTTATCTGGAACAATGCCAGAGGGGCCAATGTGCCATGATGTGAACTTCTAGTTATATTTTCGGTGATGCTGATCTTCCTTTACCAATTTGAACGAGTTGCTTATTCTTCGCACATCTCCTCTTGTAATGTTTATTCAGATACTGCCTTATAACAAGATGATCTCATCATACATCTTGATTACATAGTATATAGTCATGTACTAAATTCTGCATCCTCTAATCTTTCCATCCATACGGTGATCCACTCTATGTAAGGAGTGTTTATATACCTTGTCGCTAAAATATAGATAGAGACCAAACCCACCATTAGAACAAAAACCCCCCATAAATGCCCAAGAACGATTATGGTATACAATTCATGGTCTCTATTATACATATCGACCTAAGATAGACAAGGATGTGATAAGTCTATAGTTAGCTCCAGTATGTATACACCCATGCCGTGAGCACCAACAGCCGCCAGATAAGATAAACAATGATGAGGGGCATAGCTCGGGCTGGACATGGGCAACTATGATGACACCAGAATAAAGCCGCCCGTTTATATAGAACAAAGGGAAAAATATATGGGAGGGCAAATTGATCTGATTTTCTTTCACATATGGACCCTTGAACATCGAGTCCTCCATATATGCACCCCCTAGAGTGAAAGGAGACAATAGAGCGGAGCATCAACGGTGAGCGGTGTGCCCTTGTTGATCTCCAGGGAAAATTCTCAGCCCGACAAGTCTCTTGTATTCAGCAAGACTTCCCTTCCGTGATATTAGTCGTCGCCAACCCTGCTTGTTTGCAAAAGTACCTCCTCCCTTCAGATCAATCCTCAACCCCGAACCCAATCTCCCCGGAAAGAGCGAGTGGCGCGTACGGATGGCCGTTGCGGTGTCCGACTGCTAAGCCAACACAGGACAGGTTCAACGGCCATCGATTCTCACCCGATTTTTTTTCCACTTGACTATGAGACGCGGTCTTCCTCTGTGACACGAGCCCGATATCTTTTTTTCGATCATTAAACACCGCTGCAACGCGTCGACAGGATGGCTGCGGAGGAGCTGTCGGAGGGTGGCATGGCCGACATTGTCCGTGCCCTGCAACTCATTCACAACCCTGCATCTTCAAACGATCTCCGGAAAGAGGCCTCGCAGTTCGTGGAGAATCTGAAAGATTCAGATTCGGCAGCACGAAATGGCTTCCTTTTGGCGTCTCGCATGGAGCATGAGCCCGTGGTACGATACTTTGGCCTAACTCTCCTTGATCACGTTCTCCGCCGATACAACTTTACGAACCCAGACGAGGCCGAGACATTGCGTGTGATGATTTTGCAACTCGCTGAGAACATCCGGCCCGAAGACCCTGCCTATTTCCGAAACAAGATTGCCCAGCTGTGGACTGAGGCCGCGAAGAAGACATGGGGATTGGATTGGATGGATATGGATGCCAAGCTGGTTCAGTTCTGGGGCGCATCTCTCGTCCATAAAGAATTGGTCCTTGTTGTTCTTGAAACCCTTTCTGAGGATGTGTTTTTCCGTGAGGATACTGCTTCATCACTACGGGGAGGTGAGCTCAACCGGTCTCTCATCGAGATCTTCACTCCTGCAGGCATCGTTGAGCAAATTACCGGGGACAAGCACAATGCTACCATTCCACGTTGTGGGACGGAGGGCTGGCTGGTTCGAATTTGCGAGTTCCTGGACAATTGCGTCCAAAATATCTCTAGCTCGGAACAGGCCCGGGATGCAGCCGTAAAGGCTTTGGCAACTTTACGATCTGCCTTATCATGGTCGCTCTACAACGCGGTCATTGCCTCCCAGGTTGTTCCCAGCATCTTCCGAGCTTTGCCTTGCCAAGATGACCAAGTGCTCCTCTCTGCAGTTGAAGCGCTTCATGCACTCTACGGAAGGAACACTATTGGTGGCGAAGAATCCAATGGGCTGATCTGCCTAATATTTGAGTCGGACTATCTTCTCCTTCTTCAACAAATCTTTGAGTGGTCGATTGTAGGCCCAGACGATGTTGATGAATCTAAATACCTTATCTCTAAAAAGCTCTCCGAGATGATTTCATACATCGCTGGGTGTCTGGAGGATGATAAGTTCTTGCGAGACAACACGAACCGTTTGAATCTCCCGCCGTTCCTGCAATTTATGGTCAACATCATGCAACACCAGAGCTTAGTAGTGTCCATACCTTGTTTGCATTTATGGTCCAGGTTGTTACAGCACGCGAAAATCAGCAACTTGGAGTTTGTGGTCGGGCAAACACCGCAATTTTTGAACATTTGCACCCAGAGACTCCTTCGTTGGGAGTCTCTGCCCACTGAGTCCGATGATCCCACAGTGCAATTCTTGATCGAAGATATTGATACCATTCCTGAGCGACATGCCTTTGTTGGAAATTACCGCCGTTACTGTTCCTCAATCATCGAAACTATCACCTTGAAGCGGCCCCAGGAAGCGGTACGCGAAATTCTTGCGCGGGTTGATACCAACCTTGATAATTTGTACAGCGGTGTTCAACCTTTCAGCAGTAAGTGTCATCAGTTCAATGAATCTAAACCCCAATACTTATTCAATCTGCAGTGGAAACGTTCAACAAATCCTCGATCCCTCTCATGCGGGCGGATGCTCAATTCGCAGTGGTAGAGGCCGTCATCAAGGGATACAACAAGTGGGTTTCGGCCCATGGGAAAGCACCACAACGTGATGTAAGCGGCTGGGACGGAGATCGGATAGTCAGTTGCTAACATGTCACAGGAATCCAAGCGGATTGAACTCGAGCACGCTGTGGAAAACTGGGCTTCAAGTTTGATGCAAAGATCCTTTGAGGTATGTCACTGCAGAAATCCAAGGAATATCGTCCACTCATCTCCCCGCTACAGGACCCTGTCTTGAAACAACGAGTCATCAAGCTGGCTGTCGACATCTCTTCTAAAGCCTTGGACAACCATCCAGGCTTTGCACTGAAAGTTTTGGAACACATTCTCATGACACGCCTACCAGATCAGTCCCAATACCCATTGTATTCGGAGGCTGTCAAAGAGCTTCATAGCTTGGCGAGTTCTGAACTCCGTCGGCTGGCCATGCGCTATGCGGACTACTTCTATGTATGCATATCGTCACACGCGTGTTGTCTACATGTGATAACCTCTAACCATGTCCTCTATAGACTTTCTATGACCTTCTTGAGCCCAAGATTAAAGAAGTCACGATGACTAACCGGATAGATGACAAGTTGCAAATGGAGCTAACTTCTATCTTGGTAATCATCATGTAAGATCCCTTCTCGTTCTTGTTCTGATTTCCAAACTGTGCCAGACTGACTCAACGCAGGCAACGCGCAATCAATGTTGATCCTTATCTGCGTCAAAGTAGGCTCGCGGCCTTCCTCCAGCCCATCCGTGAATCATGGCAAGATGATCAATTCCGTCAAAACAGCTCTACTTTTGCCGGCTTTTGTAGTATGCTTGGATTGGAAAATGTCGGTCCATATATGCAATCCAAACAAGCCCAGAAACTGGTTGAATGGACAGAGGTTCCCTTGGACAACGAAGGAAAGTTAGTCCAAGAAGAGATGACCAGGAAGTTCCAGGTAGGAATCACAAACCTCATCTCTTTTGCTAATGTCAATCTGACACACTATATTCTAGCTATTGCCATTGCGTGGTACCAAAACAATGTTGGCTGTTTCCACGGATCGAGTCAAAAAGTCCATGCCAGCCTACGGAACTGCCTGTGAGATGTGGCACGAATTGATCCCTCTGATCCTTCCCACTTTGTTGCAGCTTGTTAGGTAATTATTCATCCTGACAATTTTCACATCACTAAGCTAATTGTCTATATTTAGACACGCTCATGCCTTCCACAATCCTACCAATTGGAACATGGTTGAAGGCATGCAGCCAGTGGTCGAGCGAATCCTGACAGATCGGTTTTGGCAGGCTGGTATCTCCGTCGGAAGCCGTGAGGAGTTCTATGCCAGAATCACAACCTCGAAGTCCACTCTTGAAGGGTTTGCATCATCGGTTCGAGGAAAGGTCCGGGCTGTTCGCGAAGCATGTTACTCCATGCTGTTTAGCATGAGTCGCATGCGGGAACACTTTTATGGATTCGCCGAACTTCCGGGTCCCCTAGCTGAAGCATTGTTCGTTGATTCACCGCATCTCTCTTCCCACCAGTTCTCAGTTTTGCTCAACATCTCACGTTGTCTGATTGATGACTGTCCCGTGCAATTCCGCGGCCAATTCCTACCTCCCATGCTATCGACCTTGTTTACCAACATTGATCGAAAAGTCACCACAGAATGGGAAATTATCGAACAACGCAAGAATGGGATTTCAGACGGAGATCTCACTACTGAGATGAAGTCCGAAAGTGTTCTTCGTCAGTTGACTTACTCTGCTGTGATCATGGTAGCCAGCCTATTCGATCCCCAGAGAGGTGGTAACGACCCCCTGTCCTGTCGCCCATCTTTGAAACGCCCGACACTGACAACATACGAATCCCCAGATCCAGATGGAGTTGAATCGGATCCTAGCGCACCTCAGCCAACCCCGAATCTCCCTGATTCTATTCGCCATTTCGTGCTCTCCTCTCCGGAGATATTTGAGCCCGTCATGCTCTTCTGTACACATGCTCTTCGCATGCGCGATACGCGTAGCGGTAGCATTATCACCCGCGTCATCCGGTCAATTCTGCAAGACTTTGCGCCTCCGAGCGACACCCCGGACAGTCCGACCATCGCGACCATTCGCGAATTCATTTGCACTGATGTTCTCAAAGCATGCATTGCATCTGTACATGAATCATACTTTGTCGATATGCAAAAAGACCTCGCACAGCTGATTGCATCGATCTGGTGCCTCTATGGCTTCTACAGCGAGACACCCCGTGCTGTTTTCCTGAGCTTGCCAGGAATTAGCGCAGACAAAGTGGCCCACACTGAGGCAGCAATTCACAGAACTACATCCCCAAGACAGCAGCGCGCATTGGTTTTGGAACTTCTTGAGCCTTTGCGTGGCATCAGTATTGCTGAACAAGGAAAAATCCTGGGCTCGCGCGAGGAACGTCGTAAGGCCCGTTCAGCGCTCCAGGAGAGGTATATGACCAATGAGATGGAAAGTCAGCAGCAGAACCATCGTGTCGATATTAATGATGGTCCTGATCTTGGTGGTGTTGCTGATCTCTTCGGTTAGCCTAAGCATTATGTGCTTCTCACATCGTGAACAGTTTCGATACGCCATGGTGCTACCGAGCTTGTTGATTCTTACTTTTACATATCATGGGTCCTCTGTCTCCGTTTTGTACACAATCCGCGGCCTTTCGCCCATTATCCCGGCGTCTATCTTCCCTTTCTGCATGGACATGCGCTGCAGCTTATCAACTCCCTTTGTCGTTAGCGAGCGGCGGCGCATTGCAAAAGATATTGTCATAGAGAAACCAAATTTCACCATGTTTAAGAATTTGCATTGGACTACTGTTAATCTACTCGAGTAATGCAGCGAGATGTAAAGTTGAACGAGCAAAGAAATAAGACATATTGCAAAAGACTGAACTAAACCCTTCACTAGGCAAGTAATATCTACAATGTTTTTCTCAAATTGGCTTCGAGACGGTCCACCCCAACTGCCACCACAATGCTTTTAGCTCTCCCCACAACGATCAGAAAAGCCCAGTTCAGTCCGTATACCATGGAGGCAAGGGGTCGCCCAATCAAGCATTCCAAAACACCAGCATCATACAGAGTCAAATCGAGAGAGGGAAAGGCGGTACAATTCGCTCAAAATAGGTATGACATTGTCAAACCATCTATTGAGTGAGGTTGGAGGGGGTATAGGCGAAAGTAGGGCGGATAAAGCTGTGAAGGCAAGCAATTAGCATCGTTGGTCGAGAATGATAGTGAAGATAGCGTCGTATTACGCCTCAATGGAACATACCGGTCGGAGTTGTAGACCTTGGCATCAGTGCCGAGAAGCTCCTTCTCGCGTGCCTTGTCGGCGTAGTACCGACGGACCTGATCGCGGTCCTCCTCGGCCTGGAGGAGAGGAGTGAGGTGCAGACGTGACCACATCTTCTCACGGGCGAGCTCACTATCGTTCGATTGTCAGCTCCTGAGTTCTTTTGTTTCTTTCCACTACAAATCTTATATCGGGTCCCAAATGCGGTTCGCTCGGGTCGATCGGAGGAAGGAGAGGAGCCTGGTGCTGGGCGAAACGTACCGTTGCTCGCGGACACCGTGGAAGTACTTGTAGAATCCGTAGGCCATGATCAAGTGCATGCCAATCATGTAGTAACCGGGCTTGAAGCCGCGGGCAGGGACGTTGCGCTATAGAGGGTGAGCATGAGATCCTTGATGCTTTCGTGCTGGGTGCGCGGGGCCATTGGGACCCCAGGAGCTGCATAGTACCGCTTACCTTGTACTGGACTTGAGCGTAGCCCCCCGTTGGGGGCATATCCTGAGGCATTGTGGCGGTATTAAGCGGGTGGAGGGCTTGGAGGGATAACGAGGAGCCGCTGTGACGATTGGAGAAGTTGGGTCTGGAGGGTCACGTGAGAAAGTGCACAGTAATGAGGGCTACGGCACATCTCATTGGCTGGCATGGTTTCGGAGCGGGTGCTTTTTCAACTCCCGATCTACACTCGACAGCCCACTTTTTTGTTTTGCTTGCCAATTCGACTACACAACAATGGAGGATCAAGAGCGACCTCGGAAATTAGCTAAGCTAGATCACCCCGAAGAAGCCACGTCCGAGGTGCCAGAGCCTGCCATGGCCGGATCTGTTGTTGCCGCCAACGAACCGGAGGCTGCGGGCACTCAGATTGGAAACGAACCCCACGACCTCTCCGGATCTACGGTTCAAAAGACCGAACCTGCTGCCAATGAATCTACACCCCAGGATGTCGCTGAGGGAGCTGCGCCCCCAATGTCAAAAAACCAAATGAAGAAGATCCGCCGTGCAGAAGCTCACCAGCAAAAGCGCATGCTCCAGAAGGCCCAGAAGAAGGAAAAGAACATAGTAAAGAAAGAACGTCGGCGCGCTATGTTTGACGAGGCAAGGGAAAAGGGTGGCCAAGAAGCTGTCGACAAGCTGCGAGAGACATTGCGTGGCACGAAAGCTAAGCACGCTAAGGCAACACTCATACCTCTGACCTTGGTGATGGACTGCGGCTACGATGATCTGATGTCAGAGCGAGAGCGCATCTCTTTGGCAGGTCAGCTCACTCGATCATACTCGGACAACAGCCGCGCAAAGTATAATGCGCACATGATGTTCTCGTCATTTGATAAACTATTGAAAGTGCGCTTCCATACTGTTTTGGCAACCCACAAAAACTGGAAGCGCGTCCGCATTATGCAAGAAGACTTTGTGCATGCTGGCAAACTGGCCCTAAAACAGATGACAGGTCCTCGTGGAGGCCAGCTTGTTGGACCGTTCGCTGACCAAACTGATGCGAAGCCCGAGGATGGGGAAATTATCTATCTCAGCAGTGATAGTGAGAATACCTTGACCGAGTTGAAGCCTTACAGCACTTATATTGTTGGGGCGTTGGTGGATAAGAACAGACATAAGGCGGTCTGCTACAACCAGGCAGTTGCGAAGGGTATCAAAACTGCCAAATTGCCGATTGGGCAGTACATTCAAATGGCACATCGCCCGGTGCTAGCCACAAACCATGTCATTGAGATCATGCTCCAATGGTTGGAGCTTCGGGACTGGGGCAAGGCATTCATGAAAGTTATCCCGACCCGGAAAGGTGGAGCATTGAGAGATGTGCAGGGTGAGGGTACGGAGGATGCTGAAGACGCTGAAGATGCTGCTGAGGATGCTGCTGAGGATGCTACTGAGGAAGAACTTCAACAAGAACAGCTCAAGCAGCTGGAAGAGATTGAGGACTTGGAGGAAGGAACTGAGGATGGAAAGGAAGAGAAGCAATAGCTTGACTTATCTTCAACAAACAACATGTACACATATTCAAACAATGGAAAAGCGAAAGCCACCCTGATACCACAGCGCCTATGCTTTGGTGCTGATTGCTGTCTGCATAGAGATTTTGACCTGTTTGTGCTTTGACATTTCTTTGATCAGTGCTTCGGTGACTTTCATTGGTTCTGTACGTGTCCTGTGCATCTTTGGATTCCTTTGTATGTCTATGTCCTTCCATTCAGGCCAGCAGAGAAGTACAGAAGTAAAGCATGCCCAATTTGGCATAGGGCAAGCCGTCCACTGGAACTCACGATGCTTACTCAGCAGGTAGCCACGGCAGCCACAGTCTATGACGGAGGCGATTTTCTTTGTGATTATTATTGCAAGAAGCACTTCCAAGGTTGCTTTTGCTCTCTATCCTTTTAAGCAGAAGAGCCTCTGCTACGGTTTCTGCTCCCTCCATTCTTTTTCAGATCACCTTTCCTTCCCTTATTTCTCTCTTCTCCAAGTGCCTGCCACATTTTTGTTTGGCAGCTGCCCCTCGCAACCATGTTTATGCTCCGCAACGGTAAGCAACACGCTTTTCATGCCCCGCCAAACCCCTCCATATCCAGTCGCTTTTTGCTCTCAAATAGCTTGGAGTTAGTAAACTAATCTCTCGTATCTTTTACATTCATTAGTGAGCAAATTCCTGTTCGGTGACGCTTCAAAAGAAGCCATCATCGCAATTCCCCAGGGAGAGCTGTATCTGGTCCGCCCACAATCGCCCAAGGGTTACTCGGAGCTTATCTTCAAGGACGCTGCTGCCACAATCCGACGTACCGGCCAGGACTTCCAATACCAGCTTGTCATTCAGAGAGCCTACGAAGAGGGCGAGGAAGAGCTTGCCGACGACGACGGTGAGCAAGGCGCAGGTGACGGTTTAGATAAGGACGAGAAGGTTTTCCTCCTGGATCAAACCCTTCACTTCCGGTCGGAACTTCGTGACGGAGGAGCCAAAATCTTGGCTTGGGATGACCTAAGCGGTGACGCTGGTGATCTTTTTGAGTTCATCTGCGACTCCTCAGTCCCATCAGACAAAGTTGCCACGTTTGAAGTTGCTGCTCTTCAGTGTCAGTACGAACGTAAACACCGCCGCAGCGCCCAGAAGGCCACGGAGGCAGAATTGCAAGAATTCTCATACAACGAAGAGGAGCCTCTTCCCTCTGCTAGTCCGGTCGCTTCTCCGACTACAAAGCCACACAGAAATTCCTTCACAGCAGAGGAATCCACTGCAGCTATGACAAGAGATGTGGAATATGCCCAGTCTAAGGGGCAGATCAAGACTGCCACTCTCGAAGAGGAGCCGACTATTGCCCCACCTTCTGCAGCCCATCCCGAAGCCAAGGAGATTCTTAGCAAGGAAAACGCTGAGCTGCATCTGTTTGACTTCTCGACTGGAACATTTGTTCTGCAGGAGTCCGAAATCGTTGCCTCTGTTTCAGAGGTAGGTACTTGGCAGTACTGGCTCCAGATTTCTGGCAAGGAGAAGGAGTGGCTGGGACAGGCTGTCGTGGCCGATATCAACCCTGTCTTCAACTTTGAATATCTGTCATTCATCTTCAATCACTACGGTGAAGATGGCGCGGCCTACTCATGGCTCCTGCGTTTCAAAGATCAAGCCTCGGAAGAGCGGTTCCAGGAGGGTCTGATGCAAGCCCTGTGGGAACAGCTCAATGAAATGAAGTGGACTAAGGTCAAGGAGAACGACCGCGACTATGTGCTCGATGCCTTCCAGGATCTCACCATGGAAGATGCCGATGACAAACTGGAGGAAGAACTTGAGGAGGAAGAGGAGGAGGCCGAAGAAGAGTATGACGGCGATCAGGACGATGCCCAGCGCAGTGAGCATTACGACAGCGACGAAGAGGAAGAAGATATCGTGACGCGCGATGCGGATGGAAACGTCAACTCTCAACTGGCAGTCGGCTACAAGCACGATCGATCATTCGTTGTGCGCGGGTCCAAAATCGGTGTCTTCAAGCATACCCCTCACAACAACCTTGAGTTCTCCACGACTATTTCGAAGGTTCAGACTCCCAAGGGTGCCCTGTTCAGCCCTAAGAAAGTTATGCTTCATGCTGAGGATCAGAACATGATTCTCCAGAATGGGAATGATCCCAATTCCCTGTACAAGATGGACTTGGAGTACGGCAAAATCGTCGACGAATGGAAGGTCCATGATGATATCGCCGTGGAGACTTTCGCTCCCGAAAATGTGAGTTATCTTTCGGCTTCCGAGCTTCCTTACCCCGTCAAACTAACCAATTTTCTACAGAAATTCGCACAAATGACTGCGGCACAGTCGTTCGTTGGTATCTCCAAGAATGCCCTCTTCAGAATTGATCCTCGTCTTGCTGGAAACAAGCTTGTCGATTCCGATCTGAAGCAGTACGCCAGCAAGAACGATTTCTCAGCCATGGCTACTACCGAAAAGGGATACCTTGCTGTTGCCTCCAACAAGGGTGACATTCGCATGTTCGACCGCCTGGGCATCAACGCCAAGACTCACATTCCGGCCCTTGGTGAGCCGATCATTGGTCTGGATGTCTCTGCAGACGGACGCTGGGTCCTGGCCACTTGCCGTACCTACCTTCTCCTCATCGATTCACTGCAGAAAGAGGGCAAGAATGAGGGCAAGCTCGGATTCGAGCGAGCTTTCGCGAAGGACTCCAAGCCACAGCCTCGCCGCCTTGGCTTGCAACCCGCACACGTTGCCCAGTTCCAGCACGAGACGAAACAGCCTATCGCATTCACACCAGCTCGCTTCAACACCGGTGTCGACTCCACTGAAACCAGTATCGTCACTGCCACTGGTCCCTTCATCATCACCTGGAGTATGAAGAAGGTTGTTGCGAATCGCAAGGACCCATACACCATCAAGCGATATGGTGAGAATGTCATGGCTGATAACTTCCGATTTGGTTCCGACAAGAATGTTATCGTCGCTCTGCCAAACGAGGTCAACATGGTCGCCAAGCGCACCTTCCAGAAGCCCACACGCGAGAGCATCGCTGGTCCAGCCACACCTCAACGTGCGCGCAGCGGATGGGGCAGTCGCCTCGGCAGAGATAGCATTGTCAACTCGCCTTATTAGTCTCCCCGTTCTCCCCCTTACGTTTCTCATCGGCTCCCGGATTTTGCTCTATTTCTGTACCATTACCCATACCCCTTGACGTTCTGCTTTCCCGTTTCTTTCAATGTTGTGATTTCTTCTGAGGGTTGCCCTTCTGACATCGCTGAATTCCCTCTATATCTGGGGGGCTCACGACGTTCACTACTATCTTTCTCGCTGACCTGACTTGCTTCTTTTTGGCGATATTGAGTTAGAGCCTAACAGATAGTATTCAGACCAAACGCTGGGATTCCTTTTTGATGAGGTAGTTCGCAAGTAGTTCAGACAAATCACAAATGAATAATTGACCAATCAATCAGTTGTTCCAAAGGATATCAAGAGTGTTGTCCATTGAAACAGGAACTCATCCCCGTCCTCGTCATCCGAATAGTAGTCCCCCATGACCGTCCACTTTCACATCCCGAATTTCTCCCCCAGACATCCCCCCATGAGATGAGCCTCATTCATATACTTATAGATTAAATTCTCACTAAACGCCTCCCCACTAAAGTAGCACCAATGAGGACCACAGTCTTCAACCGAACACTCGATATGCCCACATCCAGACGTTTTCATCGTCATAGTATCGCACTTAGAGCAAGGCTTGATGATCCTGACACTTCGTTCCTCATCTTCCTCCACACGCCTTACGCTCAGCATCTTGAATTCCCATCCCAGCCAGCCTAGCCTCCTCCACCTCCTGCTCCGCCAACACACTCTCCCTTTCCACCCTCTGCTTCTCCCGCTCCTCGCCACAATCATCACAGACCCAATGCGTCAGTTCAGAAGGCCCAGCCCGCGCACAGTTCCGCTCCATCGACTCCTTCGCAGTATGGCACTTCTGGCACCTCGCCTAGATCAACGTTCCCTGATCACGAACTGTATCCCCTAGATCTTTGACGGCGTGATACCCATTCCGTACTTTGCCAGTGTCCTAGATGCAGGATATCGTCGGCAGAATGGACACCCCAGTGCTGCTGTATTGATTATACAGCCTGTCGTGTTGATCTCTGCCAGGCCAATAGGAAAGGTACCCTCAGATACACACATAAGGCATGTCATCTGCCTATCTTCATGGCTCATGGCTCCAAAATGAAATGGTCGCGTCTAATAAGCGAGATTCTGTTTGGAGTCAGCCGAAAGGAGTTTTGAATTACCGCATATACACTTTGCAAATTGGACTTCATCGCCACTTCTTGACACGGCTTGGATTAAAGACCATTCTGGTGGCCATCTCCGACTTCATATGCCTGTTTAAGGAAGACAGTAGAGCAACGACGGGCCTTGGTACCTCGAGACATCTGTGGGTGGAGTATATACCGCATAGGACCAACATTCTACCTCCTTCAAATCCTATAAAGGCTGTACCTAGTTATTGTGGTCGATGGTGAATCTTTGTGTCGATAGACATCCAAGTATATATGGGCCAAGGAGAGACCAGAGCGTGCTAGCCATGAGATATAAACCGGGGGATTACCAGCGTTGCAATAGGCCTTCGACTTTCTATATACCTATGTAGGATCAGTCTAGAAATCATAGCAATGTCATGTGTCGGAGAGGAGATGATATTGAGAACTTATGTCTTATGCCTTGATTAGGGCTGACCGTTGGGTATGTGGAAAACCTGAGCGTAGTGTTTGCTTCATGAGAGATGGTTGCTTTTCCACCTCTTCATCCCCTGTTCTCTTCTTTCTTCCCTTCATCCCCTCTTCGTCTTCTTTTCTTCTCCTTCGTTTTTCGTCGTCCTGTCCTTTATTTCTATCTTTCAGTAGCCTTGATCCATGTCTCCTGTGCCATCAGCCAATACTTTCAATCTACATTTTTCTCACCCTGTTCCGAATCCCTTCATGACTGATCCGGACAAGGTATATGAGGCCTCGCCTCGTACGCCGAGAGATCAAGTTCCCTTTCTTGATGCCATCGATGAGTTTCACAGTCTTGGTGTCGGCCAGATTGTCTGTCTGCCACAGCTTGTTGTTTGTGGTTCCAGATGCAACGCCACTCACTCGATTCTTGAGGGCCTCGCACGTGTGCGCCTTCCAGTGAGGAATGAACCTGGCGTCTTGATTGTTACAATGATCATATTACGCTATCACGAAGTCCCTCGTTTCAGGGTGACCATCGAGCCCGGCCCTTGGAAAGAAAACAAAGACGATTTTCAGCGACTCGAGACATTCGAACCTATTGTTAGCGACATTGCTGAACAGCTACCGTTATGTGTTGAACAAGCTACCAAGTTTATCGAATCCATTACCGAGTTTGGATTTAGTGACAACATCATCCGAGTCGAAATCTTCGGTCCCGATAAACCCGACCTGACACTTATTAATCTGCCGCGATTGGTCTTCCCAGAGCGCTCAGCCTCTGGAGAGCGAGGGAAGGAGTTTGTCCAACGAATCAAAGCGACATACATGAAGAATCCACGCAGTATTCTCGTAACTGTGATCTCAGCAGAGGCTGACACTGGTATTGAGAAGGCATGCAGTCTCGGAGGGAAATATGCTCAGGGACAAAAGCGTGTCTTTGGCATTGTCACCCAGCTCGATAATCTTGAAGCGAACTCGAAGACGGCAACATCTTGGACGAAGATAATGAAACAACCGATTCCCGCATCGCTATTGGGATTGCACTTCCTATGCGGCCAATCATTTGGGTCACGATATGTATCAGACACTGAGAAAGACAAACAGGAGAACGCGTTCTTCAACCGAGAAGAGTGGGATGTTGTGACAAAGCTACTAACAGGAATGGAAAGACTACGACCTCGACTCGATGGTCTTCTTGCGACACACGTCCGAAACAGCTTCCCTGGCCTGGTTTCTGATATCGAAGACAAGCTCAAAGCCCACCAATCGAGACTGGCAAAGCTCAACATTCCTCGAGAGACTATTCAGCAACAGAAAGCCTTACTGTTTCATCTGAGTAGTGCTTTCGAACGTATTACTGAACAGGCATTGAGTGGCATGTACACCTCCGATTTCTTTACCACGTCCGTGGATAGTGAAAACCGCACTGTTCGTGATCCCCGACGCCTTCGTGCTAGGATCCGCGGACTGAACGAGGATTTTGCGGACATCATGGTAACTGCTGGATGTCGCCGATTCATTTATGATGTCAACCACCAGATAATCTCGTCACCCAACCCTGCCAACGCCTATGCAAACATAAGAATTCCAGAACACACGTATCGCGTAGCTTTTGAATGCGAGATCAACGAGCAAATTCAACAGCATCGAGGCATCGAATTTCCGGGAAATTTCAATCAGACACTGATAGGGAGTCTGTTTCGGGACCAATCAAAGCCATGGGAAGAAATTGCTCGAGTCCATCTGCTGAACTCATGGGAAGGCACCCGGGAGTTTACAAAGCTTTTGCTAGATCATCTTGTGGACCAAGATACATCTGCGGTGATAATGCATGATATCATTGACCCTCAGCTTGATTCCATGAAAGACACTTTACTGGCAAAACTCGAGGAATTGACTGCTCACAATAAGCGAGGCTATCCATTGCCTCTTCATCGGACCTATCTTCGTGGTCAATCATTGTCTCTTGATCAGAGCTGTCTTGTCAAAATGCCAATGTGCAAAAGCGATCGCCTCTTGACCAAGCTTGAACAAACGCTTAGGTCTAATCCGCAATATGCTTTCACTAAAAGTTTTTCAATCGAAGAACTCAAGATGGCTGCATTAAGCTTGGAATTCTCAGACAACCAGTTCGCAGTCTCGGAAATTGTTGACCAGATGCAATCGTATTACAACGTGAGTTACGATATCCAAGTTGATATAGATATCAGCAACCAAAAAGCACAATAATTTAGAAATACTAATGTGAAATAGCATGCACTTGCGGTCTTCATTGACAATGTTTCCACCCTCGGAATTGAAAACTGTCTTCTCGCTCCTCTGGGTAGCATATTGACAACCCAAAAGATCAGCAACATGGACGACAGCGAGATTGCAAAACTATTCATTGGCACGCAAGGTCTGCAAGGTAGGTTGACTAGCAGATCAGAGAAGTTACAAACCGCATCACAAAAATTGCAGAGATTCAGACCCCTCAACTGGCCAGCTGCACGACCTGCACAACCTGCACCAAACTCGCAACCTGTACCTCAACCTTCTACCCTGACAAATGTTGCACCCCGAGGCATGTTGTTCACCGGTAAGCCCCCGAACCCGTTCGCGATATCGAACGGGGAATCTCCATTTGCAGGCATGAACACCAGACCTAGTTTCCATCCCCCGTTGTCGACCAACCCGGGACTATTCATGAACGGCCGTTCTCCCTATCACAGTAATATGTTCAACTACAAGCGCGATTTGAAAAATGCAATCTTTTCCGCTAGTCATTGCGCGGATCTTTTCACTGCAAAGCCTTCCTCAATTCCTACCGGTTTTGGGCCATCTCAATTCGCATCTACTGGGCCTTGGGCGACAGCTACATCGGCAGCAAACACGATTTGGCCCCCTTATGCTGCATTCTCTCCTGCGAAACGCAGCCTTGATCTTGATCGGTAAGTACATGATGTTTTGCACTGCTACATACGTTTTCGTCCAGTTTGCTGTTCTGATTATCCTCACTTTCTAACGCACTGCGTTCTTGTCTATTGTGCTATAATAGCAGTGGGCTAACATGGTTTGATTATCTCTTAGGAATGTGTTTTACTTATCAGAGATGGACGCTAGCAATAAGGTAACCAATCGATACCAGTCGATCTCTTTGGCCGAGTCGTGCAAGAGATTCTCATTCGAGGTAGGAATGCTGTATTGATTGTTGTGAGCCCTCGCTGATTTGGATATAGGAGCTGCGATGGGCATACTATGAGCTCGGGCAAGATAAGGGTAAGGGTGCTGCGCAGAAAACTACCTAGGCGTCGAGGGAGAGAGCTTTGAGAAAGGACGGTCGTTGAAAAGAACTACAGCGATCATCGACTTGATTTTGAGAATTACAGGAAGCCCGCAAACCAATTGAAAAGAACAGGAAGTGGGAAACAGAAAAAAAATTGAAAAAGCAGGCAATATCACAAAAAAAAAAAAAGAACACCAGGTGCTGGGAGATGAAGGATGAGATGGATGGGTGACTGGGATATGGGGGCAATGTTTCGCAAAATACTCAAAAAAAAGCAAACGTAGCTGTCAGATAGCAAGAACCAATTGCATGTAAGATGTACTGTTATTTGGCTCCCACAAGTACGTTTATTAGAGAGATAGATGCATGGAGCAGTGGATCAAGGCAAAGCACACGAAAGCACCAGAGGAGATTCGACATCACATAGCCATCTGGATATCTGCAAAACGGTAAAGACTAACTATTAAATAAGACCCAAAGGCCAATTTCCTGCATGGAACATTCGGGTATTCTATGTAACTTGATGAATGCCAAAGTCCGCTCCTGTCGGCCCCTTTTATGACGCACAGTATCATTATCTGAGATTGGAGCTCTCAATGCTTATATCCTCCCTGATACAAGCAGACCCTTTATATACAGCCAGTGCAAGGGATCAGGGTGTTGCATATGGTCATTCAAGAGCCCACATACCACACCTCGACTCCAAGTACATCGAACTTGACGCCCTCATCAGAGAGGGGCTCGTTGCCGAATGTCTGACACGGTGCACTCACGCCCTTTTCGAGACTGCTGTCAACCCACAATCCATAGTGACCATCACTATTGCCAAATATTAGTCAAGAAATCGAAAGGGCACTGGGAAAATAAGCCACTTACCCGCCTCCTAGACTGAGAAATCCAGTTTCACAGAAGATCATATAATCATTAACCCCGCTGTAGGGGAAAGCCTTGAAACGAATACGTTCAGGCGTGCTCGCCCCACTGCGCGAAGGGGTATGGATAGAAGAAGGCGACGGAGGTGCAAGCACACCGCCACTCGCAGCGGCGATATTAGTTTTAATATTCATGTTAAGATTGTGAGAGGGCGATTCCGCCCTCGCAGGCTTTGATTTGCCGTCGTTGCGCAGGGTGCTCCAGCGGCCGGCGGTTATGGTATCAGCGGAGGGTGGGGGAGGAAGACCAGCCCGCTCGAGCGCCTCCTCGGATTGGGGTCCTTCTTCGCCTTGGAGGGTGAGGGGGAAGTTTGCCGGGGGTGGGAGCACGCTAGAGCGCCAGAGGAAGCACTCGCCGGTGCCGAAGAACTGCGAGTCTGGGTGCGGGGCATCGGTCATGTAGGCGCCGAAGACGGTGCCGGAGGGGGAGGAGTCACGTATGACGAGGACGTAGCCCGCCCGCGGGCTACGGTGCGAGAACTCGGCGCAGTTCTCGTAGAGGGTGGAGAGGGAGGCGCCATCGCGATCGAGGCTGTAGGCGAGACGCCAGGTCTCGGCAAGTTGGAGGCGGGGGGGTACTAGCAGGCGGATTTCTTCTGCTAGTGCGCGCGTGAGGAGTTGTTGTTGCAGTAAGTCTGCGGATTTGGGGATTTCGAGGGTGAGGGGTGTGAGTGGTGGTGGTTGGAAGGGTGAGGCTGTTCGGCGCGGTGCGAAGACTTCGGAGGAAGTGGAAGACCTCGACCATGGCATGATTGACGGCATTTCTTTGCCTATATCGGGGTCGGTTATACGACGGTAAAGCCCAGAGACGACGTGGCTGACGGGGTAGGAGAAGTAGGAGGCGGCGGAGTGGTAGGGTGGTCTTTGGGGGGTGGGCGATGCTGGAGTGGAGGAGGAGGTAGTGTGGGAGGCGGTTTTTCCTTGTGACGCGGACGACATGCGGACAATTCGAGTCAATTGCTGGCTGAGGGTGGTTTCTGGAGAGAAGAAGAAGTATGAGTTGGAAGGTGGAAGCGCTATCGCTTATCATGTGGGGAAGCAAACGTCAAGCTCCCAAGTATCGTGCACCTGGGCAGCCCTACAGGGTTACCTAACAACCTTGGCGTGGCATGATTATGTACAGGAATTGATATTTGCCAGTGTCTGCAGTTCAATTACGTATTGCCATGGCCAGAAATATGTACGGACACCAGCTGACCTGAGATCTACTTGGCTTTTAAGGTCAAAATAAGGCTGAACTCTGTTATAGATCCAGGCAACATTTGCCGAGCATATCTCAAGGTCAGAAATGTTGTTCCAATTGAACTAAGATGCAAGGGACATTCCATGCTATTGGCATAATCAAAAACGCCATGATCCTTCTAGATAATAGACTTGCTGATATGTAATATCATCAGAAAGGTCAAATCAATGCAGACGATGGTATCTTAGTGTGTATCAAACGATTCAAAGGGCAATTAGTTCTTTCAGGCATCTGGACGAAGATCCACTGTGTCGAATTCTAACCCACTGACTTCGACAACGTGCCCTGGCCGCAATGCCCCAGTGTAAATATTCTCTTCGGCATGTGGGTGGAACAGACCGGTCTGGCTGCAGTTTAGAACCGTCTTGAGACCCGGAGGATCAGTCAGTCGGAACACACCCCAGTCGGGGGTTTTACTCGGAGCGCACACAATTGCAATGCTCTCGGGCAGCATCACTTGATAACCGCAGTGCGTGTGGAGGTCGCGCGAGCTCATGAAGCAGGTCTGCGAGGGATGTGTATGGATCCAGCCAAGCGTCATCAAATCCTCGGAGTCGCAGTAGTCGAAAAGAGCCGACTCATTCACCGTCTCACATGTGTCTGATGTCGATGTCTGCTCAGGGATGACCAGTTTTGATATAAAGAGCGCGTTGGAGACCAGAGTTCCGCATAAGATACCACAAGTCTCAAGATTGGCACGAGTGTTCGGGGAAGCTAGAGATAAAAAGCGGGATCGGAGGTTCGCGGGCAAGAAGACCGAACGCAAAGGAGTCCCATTTTCGAGATATGCCGATGGTTTGAATGTGTAACTCGAGGGATCTAGATCCGAACGTGTGGGGGTAGTTTCTTTAGGGACTTGCATCTTCTCAGGCACTGCCGGAGTCGGCGATATCTTAGCAGGCAGTGAGGGTGCCATGGCTATTGCAGAACTATCGATAATGGATGCTCGGCTAGGCATAAGGTGCTCTTTAGGAGGTAATATCGGGGGTGCATGGCGTTCGGCATTCTTATCAAGGATAGCAATGTGGCCCGGAGACACAGTAGGCTCTAGGGCCCTTTGGCGCGGTACGGTTGGATACTTATATGCGGACATATCGGACAAAGGAAGCTCAGACACTTTGGTACCTTGGCCATAAGCTTGCCTCGTGTGGTCGATGTTGGACCTGATGTTTTGAATCCGTTGGCTGAGATCTTGATCCCCCATGCGACTGTCTGGTTTGGTGTGTTCCCCGTCTCCCCAAACACCCGCTGCGCGACGACTTTCCAGTCCTTCGATGGATGGCCCTGAAAGACCCTTTGAACCTCGGACGGTGGCTCGGCGGTTGAGCTCCGATTGGGCTAGCTGCACAGCGAGATCTCGATTCTCTCCTGCTTCTAAAGGCTCTGCCACACCAGCGAGAGCAGGATCTGGGACTTGGTCTCGCGGTTCGGCGATGATTTTGGCTTGTGAGGGGTGTTTTCGAGATTCACGCTCCCGCATCAACTGAGTATATCGCTCATATCGCTTATTGATCCGCGGCCTTAGAACTTCCAGCTTGCTAAGGTTTTTCTCAACCTCTTTCTCAGCTGCCACCAGGGCCTTGCGATCTTCGTCATTCTTTTTCGTATCAGGGTGCTTGGAAAGATGGACCAAGATTAACTGGGCATGACGGAAGAGAATGAGATAGGCTTGTTCATCGTGTCCTTCACGTTCGTAAATACGAGCCTATCATTTCAAAACAAAGTTAGCAATCGTGAAATGGTCGCAATCCCAGTGCAGGTAGTAGGTATGACTAACCTCTCGCAAAAGCGTGGCGGCAGTCCTCAGCCAATATTTTAGAGGAACAGAAGCGTTATACTCATAGTTCTGAGCTATGCGTGTGATATTCTCAACACTTTGAGGAGCAGTGCCTCCGCTTGCGCCTCTCATCGCATTGGAAGCCATGGTGGAGTATGTTAAGGTAGGGGTGATGATGAGGTGGCCAATGTGATGTTGAGCAGTAGATCAAACCCAAAAGAGCATGGCGATACAGGAATTTCCGAGACCTGGAAAGACCAGAGAAGATTGTGGGAGCCGCATCTAGGCGACGTACAAGGGCAGCCTGATGAGGGGAGAGTGAGTGGGATGAGAGCGGGAAGCTTGGTCTCTCCGCTCTCCGCTCTCCGTCAAAAAAAGATGGAACTGTTTCTACACAATGTTCCCTTCTATTGATAGATCCTATCTACTTTCTTGTCTTCACATTTGATCATGAGTATTTCATTATAGCCATTGGCATTTGCCGCATCTTAAACAATGCATGAAATCACGAGGTTGCGCCAACCGTTGGCGCGCTTCCCTATAACAAAGCAGCTTCATGAAGTTATCAAACAACGCAGAACCAAAGCTCGACCCGAATTTGTGAGCGATAGTCTAATAGGTGAGCTCTTAGTCTTACATCTGCTCTGAAATTGTTATATACATCGTGATGCTCATGCGCGCTGGAATTCGCAGATGATATCGTCCAGCGAGTATCACCCTACCTTCTCCAGAACCCACCGTTGGACATTGTGGACTTTTGGCCTGGGGCTGGTCTTTTGTCTACTAAACTGAATGATCTGCTTAAACCTCGCCGCCATTTGCTTGTCGAGCCAAATGTCCTTGTCGCCGACAAATTCCTCAAGCCTCTCACCCAGAGCAACCCGTGTTACAAGCTCATCAATGAAAGCATGTATGACAAAACGGATTGGGCCGATTTCCTCGTAACCCATTTCCCAGAGCAAGTTCCTCATAACCGACAAGTCTCCGAGGCTTTACCGAAGAATGACACACTCCTCGTGCTGGCTAATTTGCCTGCCGCCAGTTCTCGTCTGGATCATTTCAGACCTGGCCGCTGGTGGCTCGGGATGTTGAATAACTGTTTACATCAAACCGGGTTGAATGCATATGGATCTATTCGAGTTCTTGCCACATCACCCTTCAGCGACATCGCGGCTGTGTTGCCAAGGTCTGCCAACGAACGCACACGAACTGGGTTGCTGGCAGAGACCTTGGGCTTACACACCATAGAGATTGCAAGCCCGGCTGGACCCGAACCAAGCCATCAATGGCGCGGTTGGGACATCATCCACGACAACCGAAAGCGAGTGGCTCAAAGAACTGCAGCAACTGGCATTGTCACTCCACCCAACCGAGAGTTTCCCCCTTTAGAGCCGGTGCCACCAGTTACTGGCCGTGGCAAAAAGGAGGCACCCTATGAACCCCGAGTATATCTCGATGTTCATAAGGAGATGTTCAAGGCCATCGCAGCAGGGGATGAGTTGGGCCTTAGCACGATTCGTGAAACCACAGACCCCAAAGCCCAGGCAATTATTAAAGAACGGCAATTGGCTATTACAAAACTCGCCAGGGATAATAAAGCGGCCTATACCCGTCAAAGATTTGCCAACATGAGACTCAAGATTGACGAAGTCACGCGGGCGTTCTCACGTGCGGCTACGGATCCCAAGGAGACTCCTGAGAGCCTGAAGGCGTTGGATGATGAGATAATATCCCTCAAGTCTACTTTTGACCAGGAGCTGTCAAGTACGCACTTTATTTTGACCCGGCTGCATGGACAGACCGTCGATGACGCTCGCTTGGTCTTCGTATCCAACAACTTTGATGATTCCATCCTGGCACATGACCGACGGCCTTTCGAGCCCTTATACGTCGAATATGAGGAGATTTATCCCCGTGCGATCCCGCGTGGACTGATATATTTCGAAGCGGATCCCAACCCGCCCGCTTTGAAGAAAATACATGATCTGCCAAGCGCACTGCGGCCAGAGGTACTTGAGCGACTCTTCATATTGATGTCGATTGTCGGCAACCGCGGTACCATGTCGCTCACCGAACTGTTCGAAATTCTTTTCCCGAAACGAGCCATTAATGATCTTGTGCGCGCTATCCCACCGCTTGCGACGTTTGCCGAAAAACGACTCAAACCTGGCTGTGGCCCGATGCCCCTACCCGACGGATCAACGTCGGACCCGGTTTCTAGCTACCAGGATAATGTGGACTATGATCTCCGTGAAGTTCGACTCCGCATTCTGTCGGTGTCAACGCTGGTGGATATTTTGATGGAGTACGAGAAGCTGCCGGATAAGCTCTCTCTCATGCATTTCAGCCGGGTACTTGGTGGGACGATGACCATGTCGCAAATAGGGGAAGAGGCGAACAACATGCGCATTCGATAGGGCTGTGTATTTCCGTATATTATGCTGTACTCCGTACAGAGTACATTAGAGTGGAGACTCCAGTGTCCATCTGACTTCCAAGGTTCGGACCTGTCCAGGGTTGCACTTGCACGAGGCCAAAGGATTGGCTGTGCGGAGTACGGAGTAGGTGAGTCACAATCATGACTACATTATGTAGACTCTATCCATCACATATGTAGGTGTTCCGGAAATTGCGAAATAATCCCCTCCGTATACTCCGTACTCCGTACAAACAGAACAGAAATGGCCGTTGAGACGCCTCCAGTGGAGTCATCGGGCCGCATTAGGCCATTTGACTCCAGGTCTTATAGAAATACTAAACAGTGAACATGCAAGACATATGTTGCATGGCTAATAGGAAGCAAGTAAAGCATCACTCTGCAGGGAAATGAACTGGTGGAGCCCGATCAGCGCCCCAGTTGAGTCCCCAGATTAATTTCCTTTGGACTGCTCACTGACACCGTAGTATCCTACTGTCACGGTTAATCTTATTAGTTCTTCTCGGACTCATTTCCTTGTTACGTTCGAGACCGGAGTGGGCCGGTTCGGTTTTTTTTTTTTCTTTGCTCTTTGCTTTTTATTCGCTTTACGGTCTGCTCCGAGGATGACGACGCCCCAATATGAGTCTTTGTGTGCGTGTTTAGAAAACTCCTCGCATATACCGAAGAACAGTATCGAGCTGGCATGAACCGTGTGGCTAATCTCCGATTGCCACCCCCATCATCGTCATAGATCCCAACCGTGGGCGAGGCTAAATTGCCTATCGCGAGCTTTGCCGGTGGCGCTACTGATATCAGAGCGATTCCACTGGACCCTGTTCGCCCCCATATAGCCCTGGCCTGCTCACCAAATTCCCAACCACCACACAAGTCATGGCCAATCCCCCATTGCAATTGTCGCTGCAGACAGCCCGGGAGGACAAAAGTCCCCCGCTGTCTGCTCAAGTCCAGTCGAGGCTCACGCCTCCGGTGTCCCCCACGGCCAAAGAAAGCGGCCCCCAAACACCAATTTCAGGCTCCCAAGATTCAAAGATAGAGCAATACTTGTCCTCCAAGGACAACACCAGCACCCTTCAATTCACCGACGACCTCGAAATCTGTTGCGATAAGAACAATCACTCTTTCGAGTTCGGCCGAGGCGTCTGGAGCATAGTGTATAAAGCGCGCTCCTCACCACACACTTCAAATACCATCCCCGGCACACCCCCCAGCTCCCCAATCTCAACATCCCGAGTGCTAGCCGTAAAAGCGCCATTGCGCCGCGATGCGCGCCCAGTCCTCAAAGCCGAGGCACTCACGCTCACCCGCCTCACGCGCATCCCAGGCCACTCCCAATACATCGTGCCCTTCCTCGGCTACCACGCCGAGCTGAGCGCACTAGTCATGGTCGCCGTGCCCACCTCCCTATCAACCTTCATAGAAAGCCAAGCCGAGCTAGCACGCGCCCGCAAACCCGCAACAGCAACCATGTTCGACCCCGTCCAGGGCCCAGCCTCGTACCAGCAGCTCGCGCGCAAGCTGATCAGCGGCCTGAACTGGCTGCACCAAGTCGCCGGCGTCGTGCACGGCGATATCAAACCCCACAACATCCTGCTCCGGGATACCACCGACGCCGTGTTCCCCTACGAGCCTCTCTTCGCGGATTTCTCTGCGACAGTGGATATCCCGACTGACGCGGATGCGCCACTCGATACAACGCGCGCGTCGATGTCATCTTTCACGCCGCCCTTCACGGCGCCGGAGATGCTGGCTTCGTTGACGCATAGTGAGATAGCGCCGACACCTGCGTCGGATGTGTTCTCGCTGGCTGCTACGCTGCTTGCAGCGGCCACGGGTGATTTGCTGCTGTATTCGAATATGAATCACCGGCTCAGGTTGGAGATGGCAAGGGCGGGGCATCAGATTATTGATTTTGCGCGGTCTGGGATGAATGGGAGTCGGGTGCCGAGGAACGGCTTTGTTGAGCGGATTGTGAAGCCGGCTGTTGTCAAGGATCCGGTGATGCGGATCTCGACGACGAAGTGGGTGGAGCTTGCGTCCGCTTGATTGCATTTCATTTTTTTCCTTGCGTTTTGCATTGTCTATATACCCTGTTAGATGGAGTTGAACGGAATTTGTACCATATCGGTGATGTAATTATTCGGATGTTTGAGGAAATAGCATAATAAATTTCAAATATCTGGGAATTGAGGATATCAGTCATTCATTGCAGTTTCTCGTGAAGCAGCGAGTATCAAGTTTCGAGAATAGAGTAGCAAGTTTCGCAAAGTTCTCCCAACGCCAAAACTCCCCACGTGTAATCATCTGTTTTTACTCTTGCTCAACGAATCGCTTCAAATCAGCAACCCATAACTCGAAATTCGCTTGCAATTTCACCCCGTACATCCATCGTACCACATAAACCAGCCACCCAACCTGTGCTTCCCAATTGCGCACCTCTGTACCACCCTCCACGTCCGTAAGCTCATGTACCCGCTCCGCAGTCAATAGTGACGGCGCCATCGCGCCTGGTGCATCGGTATCAGAAGCCCACACGATGCGACCGGCCTCGCCTGTCTCTGCATTCGGGGGGCGGCACTCAGTCACAAGGAGTTGAACATCTGTTGCAGCCTGTGGTTTTGTGGAGGTTGAGGTTGGGTCCATACGGACGTGGAAGGTGAGCCTCGTTCCTTTTTGGAGGATTGGGGATAGGGTTGTAGTCTGGTTTGTATTAGGGGGTTGTGTTGATGTTGATGCCGGTGTTGGGTCTGGTGCGGACGTCGGGGTTGGGGATGGAGTTGGCTGGGAGCGAATTGTTACGCGTGGTACGAAGGAGTTCCAGCTTGGCCAGGTTGAGGTATCTGTTAGGACGGCCCAGACTTTTGTGGAGGGGGCTTTGATGAGGCTTGAGCTGCCGATGTGGAGGTTTGCTTTCTCTGGGGTTATGTTTGGGGTTGCACGAGTGGCGTTAGTTGGGTCTGTGAGGGTCGCCATGGCGAGTTATGAGGTTGATGTTGGAGGATTGGGATTGAGGTAAGAGGAAGATGGGTTGGGGGAGGGAGAGGTAGATGGTAGGTAGCTTTGAGGTTGTTTGCATCCGGGGCGCCGATAATTCGAACGCTGATAAGGAACGATAAGATAAGATAAAAGCTTCCCGGGTATCAAAACTGACGACAGTTGGAGTTTACGGGGTTATAGCTTCTTGCTAAAGGCATGGTGTTTATTTAGATCAAGTTCATAGAGCAAGTCTCAATTTGTATTTCTCTATATTACTTCAATCCATGAGTCACCATGAAACATATATATGCTAAGACAGCTGTTAGGCCACAATCCACAACCAGATGTAGACGCTTTAACCAGGTAGGTTCAAATAGCAATGAACCCCGGTGAAATTAATATCTTGCTTTTCATTTGTTATATGTAGCATAATATTACGTTTTTATATCATGGCAACCTTGAAAAAACATCGCTATTATCAGATCCAAGGACCAGTGTTACTGAAGAGGACCAACTAGCAAGACCAGCTGCTCAACTACGTCTGTGATCAAGTATATTAATCAATCAGCTTCAAGTTGAAATTGGTTGAGTGAGACAAAGCTCCAACTCTTGTTTCAAATCCCCGTAGTTCATGCTTTGTTGGCATTTGATTCATCTCTGCCCCTTCCTACACTGTCGTTCCTTCCCGAAGTATATCTGCTATAGACGAAACATCATATCCTCTCCTCTTCTCCGTCTTTTCTTCTTCCTCTTCTCCATCCCATCCATTCTTTCATTCAACATTCTTTCGTTTCTTCAACACTCATTTCTACATACTTCACTTATTTCCATTTTGTTGTTCTCTTCACGATGCAGAATACTTGCCAGTTCCCGCTTCTTGTCCAGACTCCTCATCAACTACCTTCTACCCTTATTGTCCGACCACGTCCGAGGTTTTGTGTTCTACGTCCTGGGGGATTCTGGACGCCTCTGATTCCACTTGACGAATTGCCTCACTGGTTGGAGATTCGCAACTGGGCCCCTGACATACACATGGGAATGTACCCAGCCTCGATGAGCTATATGCCACGGGAGGGCTCATACGATGTTGTTTGTCACCACTGCGGCCACGGTCTAGATTCGCTACAACAGAGCGTTTCAGAACGAGAAGCTTGGTCCGTTGAAGCCAGCAATGCTGCGTCGAGCAAAAACTCTTCTGAACCAGCGTTGGCGCCAAAGCCCCAGCATACCGAGGCAGTTGGCGTTCCTACGGTCTATAAGAGTTCTCCCAATCAGGTCTTGCAGCAACCTCCTTTCGGAAACATCTTGCAGACCCCTTTTGTTGGAATGTGTGTAGTTGATATGCATGCTCAATATCCCAATATTCCTGCAGATACCTCTGGACCGAGAAGACGGATGAGTATTGAGAATTCGGCTCCACCTCCGATATTTGGGATCAATGTTGGCAGCCCTTCACTTTCCATGGCCTCGTCAGGAAACGCTCGCAGACCTGATTCTCCGTGGCCGGGTACTCCTAGTCCACCGCATGCACATTCTGGATCGTTTGGCAAGCCCCAGCACGGTGGGTCTTTCAAAACTGAAAGTATCGCATCGATGCAGAGTGCCAGCGTTGCATCCACTCGATCCCTCACAGCTGCTGCTCTACAGCAAATGAGGAGGATGCGAAGCAGAAGACTCTCGCGCGGAAGCAGTTTACATACAAACATCAGTGCTACGGGTACAAAAAGTCTGTCTCAAGTCTCGGTCTCAAAGCTTTCCAGGGGTTCCAAAGCTTCCATGATTTCAAAGGCTTCCAAGGTCACCTCTGTCGTTTCCTCCGTCCGTGTTATCTCAAAGCATCGTCGAAAGGTTCTCTTGCGTCGCCAGCGTGCAGAAGCAAGGAGGGCCATTCAGCCACCACTTTCAGCGGTCTCGGTGGAGGCGCCTGAGCCAAAGCCAGAGCAAGTGAATTCAGCTACCAAGAGACGTGATCGACGTGAGCGCATGATGCAAAAGAGAAAGCAATCTGATCGGGGCAAGCAGCCATATCGGAACATGATGCGGATTCCCAATTGGAGCCCGGGTATGTCTAAGCACTAAGTTACAATCGAGGATGGTTTATACAAGATCTTGTCAAGGCATATCACTGCCTTGATTGTCGGTTGTGTTGCGAACATGTTCATTTGACTGAGTCATGGTTCGTAGGTAGATGTCCTTCTTTTATTTCGCGGTTCTGCTGTGTCTGGCAATGTCGTTCCTTCTTTTCTCTTTGCTTTCAGTGACGCTGCCTTCTCGCTCACTGGACAGTTTGTGATTTCCGGTTGTGTTCTGTTCCGTCAATGAAGCTTTCTTTCGCTAGTTTCGGGTTTGGCGGTGACTTTCTTCCCCTAATTCTTGCTGTTTGTGGGATCGAATCGAATCTGCTTTCCCTGGGCATTCTTTCGTTCTTGTTTGGCGTTTGATGACGTTCTATTTGTTCCTTGGCCTGCCCACGGCGTTCTTTCTTCTGTGAAATGTTTTGCTATCCCTTTCTCTCGCGTACGAAGGATTCGCTTCTCGTTTGTATTTCCAATGTGGGTACTTGACTCGTCACTCCTTTATGAAACGTATCAGACTCAAATCCAGGTCCGTCCCGTTCGTTAGCCCATTCCAGAATCCCTTGATAAAATGTATAAGACATTGATATCAGGATGCGATGCTCTCTTAAGCTTTGGTGAGAGACCCAGATACACAATTAGAAAAGAAAATGGCCCCCAGGATGCACCATACAGCCGTTTTGATCGGCATACGACCAATCGGGGAGCCGCCCCCGCACTTTCGCTCCGGTATAGTTGATAGCCTTCCCAGCCAGGTAACTCCTTGCAAAGCCCACCATGACCCGAGTCAAGAAGCCTCGCGGCATTCGACACGACCGAGATTGCTATCGCTGCAAAGTCCGAGGGGTCAAATGTGACTTGAACCGGCCCCGATGTCAAGCCTGCGTCCAGAGTGGGGAAGCATGCAGCTATCCACAGCGAGTTGTATGGATGGAAGATAAAAAGCCCAAGACAAAAGCATCTCCCGAAGCACAACAGGTCTCTCAACACGTCTCAAGTGACGAAATATCAACAAATACGGGAAGCACTGTCAAGTCAACGTCCGTCAATCTATATGGCTTCATTGACCTCCTCGGCACTTTCTACCAACAAATCCACTCTAATAACCACGACATCCCAGAAGAAGGCGTTCAGCTCATTTCACGCACACTCAGCTTTGCCCGCTCACGCATCGAAGATGGCAACAACAGGGAATCTATCCAGTCGCATCTCGTGGCCCTGGCCAACCTGAATCAAGTCATCGAGTCCGCACACCCAATCGCACTCTTTGGCATCGCTACGTTCGCAATGTTCGAAGTCTGTTGTGGGTCCTTCGGCAATTGGCATTGTCATCTCCAAGGTGCACGCTCTCTTCTAGATCTCCACTGCCACCACAAAGCCAACCTCGACGATCTCTGCAACGAGATATTCGGCCTGGCCGATGTCCTCGCCTATCTAGTGTGGTTCGACGTGACGGGTGCTCTTGTCCGATCAGACCCATTAATATTTGACGACTGGCATCGCGAGATCTTGTCTGCCAGTTTCCTAGATTCGGTCGGATGTCCCGCCGACACATTCGATCTGTTTGTTCATCTTGGCAAGCACAGTGATATCAATGGTATTGATCTCAGTGCTAGAGCTATGGCCCAGATGCTGAAGATCGGCACCGGTAGTACAGATCGCAGTCTTGCTGCGACCGTGTTTAGAGGAACCGCGGCGATTATGGCATTCAGTCGGGCCGGGGCGGTGGGGGACCCGGCTACATCGCTATATCATTCTAATGTGCTCTCTGCTATGGTGGATCGGACTTGCGAAGCTATCGCGGAGGTCTCTTCTACATCGAGGTTCTATGTGCATCTTGCTACGCCGGCGTATCTGACGGGGATGTGTGCATCAACAGCCCGACAATGCGAGATCATCCGGACTTACTGGCGAAACTGCCAGTCGTGTGAGTTTCCTCGTTATCCGGACGCGGAGGCGCAATGCGAGAGGAGATGGAGGAGTTGCGGAGTGGGGTTTAGCAATTAGATTGCCTTCCTAATCGGGCAAGGCATCACATTTCCTATCTTGGGACGGAGCATATATAAAGCGGTGCCTCCAGCCCTTTCTTTCCATTACTTTTGTCCTAGCTATAATTGATCATGGCTACCTCGTACCAAGACCGTTGCGCCCAAAAGCGCGCCGATCAGCACTCCCTCATCCTCCCAGAATGGCGCTTAGATCCCATTCCATCCATAGAATCCGCCCCAAACGCACTGGCTTATCTGCGCCAGATCCTAAGCCCCGAAGAGCTGGCACTCACAGAAGAGACAGATATCGCAGTCCTTCTGCGCAAACTCGCATCCGGAGCACTCTCCTCCCTCCATCTAACACGAGTCTTCGCCAAACGCGCCGCCCTCGCCCACCAACTCACAACATGCTGCACGGAGATTTTCTTCGAAGAGGCCTTCGCCGTAGCCCAGGAACTGGATGACCACCTCGCCAAAACAGGACAGCCAATCGGTCCCCTCCACGGATTACCAGTATCCATCAAAGACCTATTCTCCGTTCAAGGAGTAGACACTTCGATCGGTAACTTCGCTCTCCTTCCAATATCCCATGGATCACCCTATATCGTCTCCAAAGACTAATACAATTGAAATCCAGGCTGGGTCGGACTAACCAACAACCCCGCAACGGCGGACAAATCCGTCGCGCGAACCCTGCGCCGTCTCGGCGCCGTGCTGTACGTAAAGACCAACCTGCCTCAATCAATGATGATGTCAGACTCGTACAACCACGTCTTTGGCCAATGCGTGAACCCGCTCAACCGCGCCCTGATCTCTGGTGGGAGCTCTGGCGGCGAGGGCTCGATCGTCGCGGCTCGCGGCAGCGTGCTGGGTATCGGTACGGATCTGGGTGGCTCGATTCGCATTCCCGCGGCGCTTTGTGGGATTTATGGATTGTCGCCTACTCCTGGGAGACATCCGTATGAGCGGGGGAAGTAAGTTGTTCTCTTTTTATTTTGGGGGATCTTAGATTCCTATGTGAAAAGTGCAAGTGCTGATAAGGATCATATATAGTCCTGGACAGGATATAGTTCGCTCGGTTGCTGGGCCTATGGCCTGTAGTCTTGCGACTATTGAGAGGTATATGGAGGTTTTGCCGGAGGCGAGGCCGTGGGAGGTGGATCAGCACGTTGCGCCGGTTCCGTGGAGGACGCAGTTGGCGGCTCCTGGGGGAAGCGATTGAAGATTGGGTTTTTGGTTGATGACGGGGTTGTGAAGGTTCAGCCACCGATTGCGAGGGCTATGAGGGAGGTTATTGAGGCGCTTGAAGCGGCGGGTCATGAGGGTATGCAATTTGCGAACCCTGTTCCAAATAATCTTGGGTATTTACTGATAGTTCTTCCAGTCTTCGAATGGGATGGCTCCTCGCATAGCTATGCGTATGCTCTCTGGGCAAAAGCTATCTTCTCGGATGGCGGCGAGGGCTGTCGCAAGAAGATCGAATTAACAGGCGAGCCGCTTGTTGAGGGTATGCTCGTTGGAAAGCCGGAGGATACTTTGACGACTAGTGAAACGCACCAGGTGGGTTATTTTTGATTTTGTTTCGTATTCTCTGCTAACGTATCTTGCAGCTCAATGCAGATAAGTACAACTATGAATCGGAATACCTCGATAAATGGATGGACTCGGGAATGGATGCGTTGATCATGCCCAATACTGCGTGGGTGGGATATAGGCCGTGGACGTGGGTCAAGTCCAGTGCATATGTGGGATATACGAGTATTTGGAACTTGCTTGGCTATGCTGCATTGGCAGTGCCTATTACTACTGTCTCGAGAGAGAAGGATGTTCCCGGTCAAGAGTGGCTGGCTCATGTTCCCAGGAATGACAGTGATAAGTTCAATCAGCAGCAATGTGAGTCTCTTCTCGCTTCGTGGATTCCATTTAAATTGCTGATTTGTGCTTTAGATGATATCAACCTGGTGGAGGGCATGCCTGTCGGGATACAGGTTGTCGGTGGCCGGTTTGGTGAAGAGAAATGCGTTGCTGTGGCCAAGGCAATCGAACTGGCGATGCAGACGCCGATGGTGGCTCGGGCTAGTCTTTGAATCGATCGTATAGGGAAGCTATAACAACACGCAGAGCCTTTCCCGGCCTAGCATTGAGTCTCCAGACATTATGCATCCTCTCATGATATAGAGTGATCATTCCATCGACATCGTCGTGAGTTATCGTGGACCGTTCAAATCCCCCAACACTATGTTTACCACTCTACTACATCCAACCCCAACCCAAGTTATGTTATATTATTCATTGTATTCATCACTATATACAAATCCCCAATAATCCAATATATACAAATCTCCAACTCCAAATCTCAAATCGGAGCATTCATCGTCTGTTTATAATCCGGAAACTCGAAATCCGCCAAATCCCACTCAATACTCGGCTTCGAGGGCGCATTCTCATGTCCAGCACTACTCTTCGACGCCCCCTCACCCTTCTCCGCGCCTAAACCATGTTCATTCGCCGAATACGGTCGTAGAATTGGAGTATGACAGACAGAATCAGACTGCATCCTCAGCTCTCTTACAACACGGATACCCTCCTCGTTCCTGTGCTCTGCTTCGTTCGTATTGACCTTGGATATACTGGCCGAATAATAAGCCGGCCCGGGACTGAAGAGCTCGCTGTACCAGATCATGCCGTCGGTGTTATGGAGCTCGGTTAGCTGAGTTGTGTGGGATTGCTCTTTCGAGGCGTTTGAGTGTAGCGGTTGAGGGAGGAAGCAGAATGAGAAGATACGGGAGATGAGTGGATGTAGTGGTGCTAGGCAGATGCAAATGATGGAGACGTTCGCTTCGATAGAGGACCAGAGGGCTGCTGCGGCGTTTGCCTCTGAAGAAGGGGGTTTGTGTTAGTTTTGATGATCTCCTTTTTCGGAGATGTATCTGCTTACTGGTGAAATCTTGAAAGCGAACGATTTTGCTCAATTCATACATGCGAGCGGCACTGGTTGCGATGATACTGTGGAATAGTAAGGTCAGTTGCATCCCAGAATCACCTATTGTCTGTGCGAGTTGGACTTACAATATCCCAATGCTGAAAACCAGGAAAGCCCCGCACTTCTGTCTGTTCGGCATCCGTAAATGCCACAACAGTGGCATGGGCAAGGCTAGGATTAGTAGATCCGTGGCAAGCTGAATCCCAGCATTGGTGAACCACACGGCGCCGTCAGACAGACAATGGGCGCTGCGTATCTCTGCATCTGGGTTCCAAAAGTCCCTGATCGGGATGCAATAGACAAAGCCACTCATAGTCATCCATAGTCCTGCGATGACGAGGCAGCCCATCAAGATGTAGGTGGTGATCAGGAAGGAGCGTCGACGAAAGAGGCGCGCATACAGCGTTAGAGCGGATAGTTTGGCAAAGACCAAGGTAAGGTTGTAGAAGGGAATCGAGAGCCATAGATACTATAGTTGGTTTTGATTAGCGAGCTATTCCTCTTCGTATTGTGGGGAAGGGCTATGAGTATTTGTACAAATAGTTGCCTCTCGACGACATGTAGGGGAAGTTCTTCCTTCGGCACACCGAGGCCATAATGGCGTTCTGTAGACTACATTAGATCGAATAGCACGCCATATTAGGGAAAGGCTACTCCTACCGACAAGTATAAAAGCAGTGAGTGCACAGTCAACGACCTAGTGCAGAGCATCAGTATGGGACTTTTACACCTCAGTGTTGGCATCAGATTAGAAGAATATACCAATGCGCACGATATCAACACATCATCCCATCCAGGAGTCTTCACAATGAAAAGCCGAGTGTATAACCTGAGAGCCACAAACACAGCTGCCAGAGCTGTAAATATCACGGTGATGGCCAGAACATCCATTCGATCGGCAAGGGAAGCGATTGAGAATGTTCGTGGATATCATGAGACGAGGTCAAATTGCGTCACCACTGAACAGACTGTAGGATCACCATCACTCTGCGATCAATCATGGGGATCGCAATATGGCAGGTGATTCAAGTGCAGTCTTGAATATGGCAAGTGTAAAAGAACACAGTGAAAATGGTCTAGGCTAATCCCATCGAGAATCGATACTCCGCATTTGACGCTGTCTGTGAGTACCAATTGTCACAATCGTCACAATCGTCATAAACCTGCCGAAAGAAACTCTGCAAGAATCGAGGTGAAACCTTTTTCTTCGGGGTTCTGGTTGGTGCAGCCGAGTCAAGATGACCGCATTGGGAAATGGAGATGACCCGATTGCGTCAAAGACATCGGTCTGGGCCAGTAGAATGCGCATCACAAACCCCACCGGCGAACACCGTCGATTTGATGCCGATGATTGGCTGTCTGCCAATAAAGTTGCGGATCCTGCATTTCTCGCCGAGTCGCGGCCGAAGGTGATGTCGACCTGCGTGACATTGGAGACGGCCGGAGGGAGTCGACGGAGTCTTCCGACGTTGTTCATTTGGCCGATGCTTCTAGGTTTAGGGTTTCAGATTGGCCTTCGACCTTCTGGCGTTCGAGGTGGAGGGTGGCGTCGGTGACGTTTGTGGATCTCTCATATTCATGGGGTCTGGGGTGTGTCTAGTATCAGCCATCGAACATTCTCGCCTCCATGAAACAAAAATACATGATCACGATGAATGCAATGGTCGGGGCTAGACAAGGTTGGAAATGGAATACTTTGGAAGCCCCCAAAGAACACAGAATGAGCCTGGTTGCCGAGAAGATCTGTTGGGGATGTGATCTTCAACACATTCCTGTATGTACTTGTGTTAGGTACTTGTGAAACTTACGCGTTCTGTCGCTTAATAGTCGTCTATGTTGTTTTACAATCTACTGTAGAAGGTCAAGTGTACAGAATAACAATTCAATTGCGGACTATACAAAAAAGACCAATCAAGGCCAGGCCAAGGCCATTCCGCTGGGGATTCTAAAACGGGAGTATCTCATCAAATTTTGCAGCAAATGGGAAAAAAAATCTACAGGCGGGACTTGAGGTTGGACTTCAGTCTGCGCTCAACAGCAGCCATGTACTCTCCAGTAGTAACCCAAGCCTCGCGGTCCTTGCGGCCACAGGCGAGAGCAAGATCCTTGGTCATGATAGACTCCTCGTTGACAACGTCAATACAGGCGCGCTCGAGCTCCTCGGCGAAGGAGACAACCTCAGGGGTCTCGTCGATCTTGCCACGCTGGATCAGACCGCGGGTCCAGGCGAAGATGGAGGCGATGGGGTTGGTGGAGGTCTCGCGGCCCTTCTGGTGCTCGCGGTAGTGACGGGTCACGGTGCCGTGGGCGGCCTCGGACTCGAAGGCCTCACCGGTGGGGGTGGCCAGGGTGGAGGTCATGAGACCGAGGGAGCCGAAGCCCTGGGCGACGATATCAGACTGGACATCACCGTCGTAGTCTGAGAATACGGGTTAGATAAGTGAACGACGGAAGAAAACGAACAAGATGATATCGGTGAAACTCACTCTTAAGGGCCATGACGAAGCCACCCTCGGACTTGATCATCTGAGCGACCATGTCGTCAATGAGACGGTGCTCGTACCAGATGTTCTTGGCATCGAAGTCCTTCTTGTAATCCTTCTGGAAGATCTCCTCGAAGATATCCTTGAAGCGGCCATCGTACTTCTTGAGGATGGTGTTCTTGGTGCTCATGTAGAGGGGAAGACCCTTCATGAGAGCCATCTGGAAGGAAGAGTGGGCGAAGCCAGCAATGGACTCATCAGTGTTGTACTGGCACTGAGCGACACCACCAGCCTGGAAGTCGTAGACCTGGACGCGCTCGGGCTCACCACCGGCAGGGGTGTAGACCAGCTCGAGCTTACCGGGACCGGGGATGACACGGTCCTGGGCACGGTACTGATCACCGAAAGCGTGACGGCCAATGACAATGGGCTTGGTCCAGCCAGGAACCAGACGGGGAATGCGGGGGATGACAATGGGCTCACGGAACACGGTACCGCCACTGGATAGATCGTCAGTGATCGACCTTCAAAGCCTAATCGGATCAAAGCCACTCACAGGATGTTACGGATAGTGCCGTTGGGGGAGAGCCACACTAAGGATGGTTAGCATCTTTTCCGACTCGAAAAAAAAAATCTCTCGCCAAGGAACTCACTCTTCTTCAGCTTGAACTCCTCAACGCGGGCCTCATCGGGGGTGATGGTGGCGCACTTGACACCGACACCGTACTTCTTGATGGCCTCAGCGGCATCGATGGTGACCTGATCATCGGTCTGGTCACGGTACTCAATGCCAAGATCGTAGTACTTGAGATCGATATCGAGGTAGGGCAAGATCAACTGTAGACAGCCAGTTAGTATCGAGTCTGGATTTCGACCGGGATGATTTATGATGCATCGACCGCATGCAGTCTCTAACGGCAATGATCATGCACGTCCGGCCCGGATGAGGGGTCAATTGACATACCTTTTCTCTGATTTCTTGCCAGATAATACGGGTCATCTAGATTCAAGGAAGATGATTCGGTTAGCACATGCGGAGAATTGAGTCTTAGTGCAGAATGCAGCGTCATCGATGGGCGATTAACACATGAAGGCCGAAACACGCCCGTGTTTCCCCGCGTTTTAGACGAAAATGCGACAGCCGAGCACGAGGAAATGCAGGCTTGTGAAACAGCCCGAGAAGAAAGTTTGCACTATAAAAGGAGGGGGGTTGCCCATACCTCATCACCATCCAACTCCACCACCGGGTTCTTGACCTTGATCTTGGTTTCAGACGCCATTGTGCGGGTTTGAGAGAGATACAACGAGGGGATCGATCCGGACCAGCGGGAAGACGAATTAACTCGATTAGTGCGCTGAGAGAGAGAAGCAGAGGAAATGGTTCTCTTAGAAGGAAGTGAGGAAGTGAAAGAGGAAGAAGAGAGAAGACGAGAGGAAGAAGAAAGAGGGGCGGAAGGAGGGGTCGCGAGGGACCGACGAGCGAATGCGGAACTGGACCGGAGTGCGTTCATCGTGGGATACTGCTCTAAGAACGTCAGTGCTAGTTTCGCACACTCTGTTTGGCTGGGCGGATGTAAGTCGGCCACTTCAGTCGCCGCTGGTTACAACCGAGGGAATCAACTTCGGCAGAAAGGAAGTGTGGAGTCGGGAAACTCGCGCTCCGTCACGGATAAAGTGAGCAACGGAGGTGCGTCCTCCGGGTTTTTGATTAGGATGGAGCAATACGGAATAGCCGGAACAAGTGAATCAGGCAGATAGGAGAGGGATAATTACCGAATGCAAGAGAACTGGGTAGAGAGAAGGAGGAAAAAGCCTTGTCCGGTGCAATGGAAATTGCTGGGTTTCCTTATTAACTCCGCAAAAAGAAGCGCCGAAGCCGGACGTCACGAGATATGGAAAGGAACAGTGTTGAGAAAGCACTGGATTTCGCTTTTTCTTTAAATCTCTCCTGCGAGGTCTCCTGACTCATCAATCTAATCCGTTCTCAGGTTAAATTTACCAATGCTCCATCTGGCGACCCGCTGAGTGAAGCCTATACGTCCTATACTCAGGTACGCGGTCCACGGGTGGGCAAAAGGGCGTTTTCCGGAGAACGGAGCACAACTCCGTAAGCCTCACCGGGCCTCGAGAGATCTCCGGAAGCTCTCTAGCCGACTTGTACGATCTATCTCGAGAGATGGATTAGATTGATTATGATGAAATATCATCTCAAAATGAATTTCACGTGTGTCCAATTGCCCCGGATTGCGCGGTGTTGAAAATCTCCGTCTAAAGACCCGCTCCGATCAGACGCCAATTAATGTGTTGAAGAATCGAGCTCATTCCATTATTTAAAAGATCCCCAACATGTCCTTGTCTGTGCTTTAGAACAATCCATCGATGTCACCAGTCTCGGTGTCAATATCCACATTGAGGTAGCCGGGGGCAGTGGGTAGTCCGGGGATAGTTTGGATATCGGCGGCCAAGGCGTAGCTAAAGCTATATTAGCATAACAATTCGCAGAAAGAAAAATGGGGCCACTCGAACCCCAAGTGGGATGGTAAAAAAAAATGGGAAAAAAAGAAAAGAATAGAAAAAACTTACAGATATCCAGCGCCAACCGCCAACCTGACATCCCGAATCGGGACAGTGAAGCCAGTGGGGGCACCCTTGAGGGCTGGGTCGTGACTGAGCGAGTACTGAGTCTTGGCGATACAGATCGGCAGGTTGGAGAATCCTTGCTTGGTGTAGGTGTCGACCTTCTTCTGAGCCAATTCGCTAAATTCGACCTTCTCGGCTCCGTACATGGCTTGGCCAATGCGCTCGATCCGCTCCTGGATAGTACCATCCAGGTTGTAGAGAAGCTGGAAGTTCTTCTCCTTAGAGCTGGCGGTCATAACAGCCTTAGCCAAGTCAACGGCGCCGGCTCCACCCTCAGCCCAGTGGTTGGCAGGGACGGCATCCTCCGCACCAGCAGCGATCGCCTCCTCCTTGATGACAGCAATTTCAGCCTCGGTATCGGTCTCGAACTTGTTGATCGCGACCACGACAGGAATGCCGTACTGCTTGGCATTGGCAATGTGCTTTCGGAGGTTAATGCATCCCTTGCGGAGAACATCCACATTCTCAGTGCGGTAGACTTCAGGCAGAGCGGCACCGGGCTTGATCTCGGGGCCCCCACCGTGAACCTTCAGCGCACGGACAGTGGCCACAATAACAACGGTGTCCGGGGACAGACCAGAGGAGCGGCACTTGATGTTAAAGAAGCGCTCACCACCCATTGTAAAGTCGAAGCCAGCCTCGGTAACTACGAAACCAGTCTTGGCTTCATGGTCCTCCTCAGGCTCAGTACCAGCAAGCTTCAAGGCAAGCTTATCGGCGATAGCGGAGCTGGCACCGATACTAATGTTGGCGAAAGGACCGGCGTGCACCATGACAGGGGTACCTTCCAAACTCTGCATTAGGTTAGGCTTAATGGCATCTTTCATCAAGGCCGCGAGGGCACCACCGGCGCCAATGTCGTCGCAAGTCACGGGGTCACCATTTCTAGACGTAGCCACCACCATACGACCCAAACGCTCACGCATATCTTCCAAGTCGTTGCTCAGGGCAAGAATAGCCATACACTCACTAGCGACGGAAATGTCGAAGCCAGTCTCACGGGACAGACCCTTCTCGGTAGGAGCCTGACCAACAGTAATACCGCGGAGGTGGCGGTCATTGACATCGAGAACGCGACGCCAAGTGATGGTCTCCGGGTCGATATCTAGACGAGCAAAGCGGGTAATTTCCTCCTCCGTGAGATCATCTGGGTTGGTCTTCTCGATGCCCAGCTTCTTCAGGCGGCGGAACATGATAGGCTTGAACTCGCGCTTGCCCTTGCTTGCGGGAACAAGACGCTTGTAAAGAGGTCCATCCTTCTGAGTGGACTCGTGGAACATTCGAGTCTCGATGGCCGCGGCGAGAAGGTTGTTCGCGGCTGTGATAGCGTGGATATCTCCGGTAAGGTGGAGATTGAACTCGTCCATGGGAATGACTTGACTGTAGCCACCACCAGCAGCACCACCCTTAATTCCGAAAGTAGGACCCTGACTGGGCTGTCGGACATTGGCAAAGGAAATGCGGTTCAGGTGGGCACCGAGGGCCTGAGTCAGACCCAACGTGGTGGTGGACTTGCCCTCGCCGAGAGGGGTGGGGGTGATACCGCAGACCAAAATGTATTTTCCGTTGCGACGGTGGGAGAGACGATCCAGCACATCGAGGCTAATCTTGGCCTTGGTGTGGCCATAGGGCTCCAACTCATGAGGGGCAATACCAATCTCGGAGGCAACCTGGGTGATGGGCTTGGGGTACTGCGCCCGTGAGATAGCAATATCGGAAGGCACGGGGCTTTGCAGGCGAATGGGGAGAGGAGTGACACGGCGGTCCTTCTGCTTCTCAAAGTAGGCCTTGGAGGCAGCAACCACGTTCTTTAACAGCATAGCCACGGTCATGGGACCAACACCACCGGGGACAGGAGTGATCTGCGAGGCCACCTGGGAAGCAGACTCGAACTCCACATCACCAACAAGTCGCTCGCCGGACTTCTTTGTAGCATCGGGCTTGTAATTGATACCAACATCAATGACTACGGCACCGGGCTTTAGCCATTCACCCTTCACGAACTCGGTCTGGCCGATAGCCGCCACAACAATGTCAGCGGTTTTCACAATGCGAGCGATATCAGGTGTCTTCGAGTGGCAGACGGTAACGGTAGCATCGGCGTTCTTAAGCAGATAGCTGACCGGGCTGCCGACGATATCACTACGTCCCAGGACCACTGCCTCCTTGCCAGCGGGGTTCACGCCGCTTGCCTTGAGCAGTTCCATAACCGCGAGGGGGGTGCAGGGAGTGAACAATGGACGACCTCCTCGCTTAGCCAGCTCGCCGATATTGATTGCACCGAAACCATCAACGTCCTTCTCATCAGCAACAGCCGAGGTGATGGCATGTTCAGACATATGACTCGGCAGGGGCAATTGGACCAGAATGCCGTGGATCGCGGGGTCATTATTGGCTTTGGTGATTTCTTGGTTGAGCTCCAGCTCTGTGCTCGACTCGGGGACGTTAATCAAAGTGCAGATGATATTGGCCTAGTCAGTAGGTTAGACATTGCTCTAGATATGTCCAACGGTTGAGGGAAGTCATACCTCCTGGGCAGCCTTCAGCTTCATGCGCACATATGTGCCTAAAAACCATTAGTCTAAACTACCTTTCAACACTGGTTTTAGATGACCAACTGGAATCCGAGCGATTGCCGACTGCATAGAACCATCCATGTTAGCGTTCTGTACTTCCGTTATCATATGCAACAAAGGGAATTACTTGCCCTGGAAGATAACCAGGTTGGGCTTGAATCTGGGGTTTGTCGCTTGAATTTGCTCAATCTCATCCTTCAAACCCTGGCGAATACTCTTCGCGATGGCAGTGCCATCGATTTTGGCGGCAGCCATGGCTGATCCGGAAAACTTTCGGAAAGAGGAGATAGCGGGGCTGATAGGGGGGAAACTGATGTTCACTGGAGACTCAATTGACCACGATGAACGAAGTCCTCTGGGTCCTTGGACAGAGGAGTAGTTATGTATCAAACGACGGGACAAGCAAGGAAGATTTCGGAGATGAGGAGTGCCCGCATGCACTTGGAGATAAAAAGTGCAGCGGGGTAAGGCAGCGGGGACGAATGGCATGAATTATTGCTTGTTTGGGGCGAGCCCTCGGAGTTGGGACCGGTTTCGCAACAGAAATCCAAACTTGGGCTGTGATTTCACATGCACCGCTCCTAGGATATGCTGAGATCAAAGCCAATGCTTTCAGCTTCAAAACAAATCCCTCACATGAACCTTTCCCTTCTATTTTTCTGTAATTAAGCTCAAGCGGAGAGTCGGGGAGTTTCCCGGGGAGTATCTCCTATATCTGCCTGAGGCAGCAATATAGGAGCCGCATGAGTCATCTGAATTAACCTTTTTAGGGAGCCACTTAGGGCTTAGGGTAACAGGTACCAGTCACGTGTAGATATCGGAATGCGGAATATTTCGCGCTCCGATCAAGGCTTGGCGTTGAGGGCCGAGTGTGCGATGAAATTCACTAGTCAAAGAAAGTGAGGTTGAAGAGGTTGACCCCCCCAAAAGCCACTCCGCCTTACCCCTTCTGAGCCGAGAACGTCTCAGATTTTCCCCTCCGACACTCAATCTCGAATTTCTTGCCGGAACACTATTCAAAATGCGGCCTATTTTGCTTTCGGGCCATGTGCGTGGGCTTCCTCGAAATCTTGCTGGATCCACAGAGACTGACCGCAGCCATCTATAACAACAGGAGCGGTCCCTGACCCAGATTAAGTTCAACAGCGATGGCGATCTCCTCTTCTCCGTCTCGAAGGATAAGATTGTGTGCGCGTGGTGGTCCGCCAACGGCGAGCGTCTCGGTACATACAGCGGCCACCAGGGTGCTGTCTGGACAGTCGACGTCAGCCCTAACACCATTCTTCTTGCGACCGGTTCGGCAGACAACACCGTGCGTCTATGGAACATCAAGACCGGCGAATGTGTGAAGGTGTGGGAGTTCCCGACAGCCGTCAAGCGTGTGGCATTCTCCCCCGATGGAAGCAGACTTTTGGCAGTGACGGAAAAGCGCATGGGTTTCAACGGTACCATCGCCATTCTCGATATCACCTACGGCGAAAACTTGAGCTCCCAGGCTGCTGAGCCCAGCTTGACCATCACTTGTGAGGAGAGCAAGGCAACCGTCGCGGGGTGGAGTTTCCTGTCCAAGTACATTATTGCGGGGCACGAGGACGGCAGCGTCAGCCAGTACGATCCTAAGGTATCTTGTTCTCTCAAGGTGGTGTGAGATGCATGCAAAACTAACACTGTGTTCAGTCCGGAGAGCAACTCGAGAATGTGCAGATCCACGAATTTGATAGCCAAATAACCGACATTCAATTCGCCCCCGATCGTCTTTCTTTCATCACCGCATCCAAAGACAAGTCCGCTAAGGTATGTTGGTGTTTTGAAAGTCCTTCTAAAACACATCGGAAGCACGCCCCGCTAACAACACGCAGCTCCTGTCCTCTCGCAACCTCGCCATTCTCAAAACCTATATCTCCGATACTCCTCTCAACACTGCTAGCGTGACACCTCAGAAGGACTTTGTCATTCTGGGTGGTGGTCAAGCCGCCATGGATGTCACCACCACCTCCGCCCGCCAGGGTAAATTCGAAGCACGATTCTACCACAAGGTGAGTGGATATATTCTTTCAACTGAGCTCAATCGCCAGATACTAATCATCTTAATCTACAGGTGTTCGAAGACGAATGCGGCCGTGTTCGTGGCCACTTCGGTCCCCTTAACACCATTGATGTTCACCCCGCAGGTACCGCATACGCCTCCGGTGGTGAGGACGGTTACGTCCGTGTTCACCACTTTGACAAGTCATACTTCGACTTCATGTACGAGGTCGAGCGGGAGCAGATGCGGAAGTAAAGAGCGGATGGGGGTGAAGAATGCCGGGATGCGTCGTGTGTATGTGTTTACGAGGCGAAAAGACTTGGGACAAATTTCCCGAGTCCCGCATACGGAATGGGAGGATGACCTTCCGGTCCACGATTTTCTCATTTCATTGATTCCATGATCAATCGGAGTTGGTACCTTGTGTTTGTGTCTTTGTTTAATAAAAAGATGACATGGTTCATTTTTTGAGCTCTTATGTCTGTCCTATGTGTGTCCTCCGCAGGAGAGATGAAAATCGGGTAAATAGACAAAATCAAAGCTTTGCAAATCTTCAACCTGCGCTCAAGATAGCTTAATTGCCATTTCAGTTGCATAGGCGTATCTATGCAGCTGAGGATGGTATCTCATCCCTACACATAAAAAAGAAGCCTACATCATTCACCCTCGCACATACGCATTAAAACACGTATGTTGTCGATCTTGGCATACATGTACTTATAATGATAACTAGAAGTATACAAAAGCATACTGATAATATCAAAAATTGAGGTATCTCATTTATACAAATTTTTTTTCATGATATCTTCTCTAAACCCGTTTCCCATGCAAGGCCAGCGCTAATCCGACCAGCAGAAAAGAAACCCGAAGAAAAAAAAAAAGTGACATCTCATGAAAATGGGTAAGGAACATGACAGTCATAGAGCGCAATAAAAAGCAAATGCAGAAAACGTAGTTTTTTTCCCGATCTCATTCCTTGCGGAATGAGAGTCGTGAGTTCAAACCGCGATCATCTATTTCTTCTTGGGGAACTTTTCAGCGCCGATGTCTGTACCACGGAGCTTAATGTTCAGAACACGCTCCATGGAACCGAGAACCTTCTGGTCGGGAGCGGCGGTTCCACGCTCGAAGTCCTGCACAATGGTCATGGTGGTGTTGCACTTGGTGGCGAGTTCCTTCTGGGTCATCTTGTAGCCCTCCTCGGTACGGCGTCTCTTGATAGCGTCGGCGACGGCGTGGCCGACAGTCTTAGGCTTGACAATGTCGTCGCTGCGGTCGACCTTGGTCAAGTGCTGGCCTTCGGGAGCGCCTGCCTTGGCACCCTGGAAAGTGTGTTAGTCCAAGTCCTCATGGTTTATTTTCTCGGGTTTGACGGAGATTGCACGTACAATGTTACCGGTGGTGTACTTCTTCTCGGTGTAAACGCCGCCAGAGCGCTGGGCAGCGTTCAGAGCGCTCTTGCCCTTGATGACGGTCTCGCGGGGGGCGGCGCCAGCTCCGCGGAACTTGCTGCCAATCTTGGTGGTGGATTCCCAGTCAGACATTTTGAAAGGTTTTGGTGGTGTATGTGGAGGTTGGTTTAGAGGGGAGTGGAAGAGATGACGTTGGCAGTGTGAGGGTTGAAAGAGAATGCAATTTATATCGATGACACCAGAAGCTTCCAATCGAGGGAGGGGCTAACCCGCTTTGGTAATCAACACAGATCGGGTTCCCTGGTCCCTACTGTGACTCAGTTCGCTTTTACTGCCCTTCGTACTGTAGTTGCTCGGAATTAATTGCGATTACTCTCTGATCGTTATGACTCTTTCTACATTGCTGTCAGACTTTTCCCTTCTGAGTGTCTTGATGGATTTGGATTCGCCATCCCAACCGCATTCCTCCCCCCACCATCGATTGCCACAGCCACCTGCAATGATAGCCACATTCTTATTCCTGCGACGCTGACGTAGCGACAAAGGGAGAATCTCTCAAAGAATACATATAATAATCAACTATTTCCATTCTCTTCCTCGCTTGAATACTTCATATATAATGTAGAGATACAGTGTTCTTCAAAGTATCAGACAATGGTGTTACTTGACCCACAATTTGATGTCATAAGAAGGTGCACATCTCCAGCCCTAATGATATCACATAAGAAAATGTGTTTCCGAAACATCACAACCCACTATCAACTGGCATACTAGGCTCTATGTGATAGGGTAAAGAGTCATAATGAGTCTTCCCCAGCCATAGTCCCCACGACCCCACGCCGAGGCTGCATGATCGGGCACCAGGATAGGCTTAGTCGCTCTGGTCCATACAAATAGCCCTAGGATTGCGCCCATAGACCCTCTCTGCCCAGCGATTGATGTTAATTTAAAGTTCCTTGACTTTATGCCAAATTGCCGTTTCTCTACATCAATGTGCTGGAACACATGGGGGAGTGCGAAGTTGAGGTCTCATATATATCCATTGTTATCAGCTTAACTTCACGCATATGAGACCCTTGGTCGTCTGTAATAGCCTAGGATCTTCCAGATACGGGATCTCATGAATAACCAGGCCTCTTCTACAGAGTATATAATCTGAGTATCATAAAATATAGTACTCCGTACATCCATTTTATGGAGCTGGTTTCATCCCTATAATTGCATCGTGCATGCTGCATGCTGCAATGCTGTACAGTAATTTGAAGCGTTATATATTGAAATTCTATGATCATTGAGAAGCAGACAATCAGTGTTCTAGTCCTCCGTATACTACTCCAGATTCCTTTTCCGGAGGCTGGAAGGTTTCCTCCTAGGCGTACACTGTTATAGATCCATCCAAAGCCCTTTCGGAGGCCCTTCCTAGAGCTCTTCATCTTGTATTTTGAACTTTGACTTTTCATAGTAACCTATCTTCACTACAAAACCTACTAGGAATCTCTGAACCAAGAAAAAGACCGTGTCAAGGTCTATCAACTTAGGAATGAGCAAAATAATAACTGAGCGAGAAGTTGTGGGCCTGTCCATGATTATTGATTAAAAATAGTAACAGTCGTCTATTCCGTGTTGAAAACATGCTCAGTTCTCGCTCGTTCTTTGTTTTCCCTTTCTTTACATGGCTGAATGATGGAGTGCAGCATAGATCCGCAGTAATGCGATTGAAACATGTCTGTTCCCGGTCATTTGGGCTTCATATACTCTGTATAGTCGAGCTAACCAAGGATTTTACTTAAATAGTCCACATATCTGTGGATGCTTGCATAATTCTTGCTTTGTTAATGTAAATTTTATGAAGAGGCATTAGGAAATATATCTCGATAAGTGACGTCTAAATGGTGATTTGACCGAGTCTGACCTATGTTTTGGATATTAATCCATCTGGAATCCACGAGTCTATGTGGAATGTAGTGTTCAAGTTGATTGAGAGTCTCAAAGATGTTCTTGAAGTGTGGTTGTTGCTGTCCTTGAATGTTGGTGATATCGGGGCGCCGGATACTCTAAGATCTTGGCTCTCCTAGGCTACATCATAACATCCGCAAACCCCTGACTCTCCCTACTCTTGTGTTTTCACTACTCTCATTCTCCTGCAATCCTCGCTACCCTTAATCCCAACTATCCTTGTCTATCCGCCATGGCGGCCTCCAGCGAGTTCGCGTCTGCCATGACCACCCGGTCGCTCCGCATGGTCCGGACGGTATGGCAGCTTCCTGTTCCTGAGAGACGAGCCAGGTACTAACTCAATATCACATACAGGAACTAGAATTTCTTGCCGACGCATCCGTGATCACTCCCCATCAGCTCTCCTCCATTCTATCACAGCTGCCCGCCGATTCCAACGTGCATGCCCCTCGGGCGGCGCAGGCATCAGCATCGCCGCCCCGACAACTGGCGCAACCTGTGCCTACGCAACATGTTCCAGTGCAGTCGCAGCCCTCTCCAGCGCCTTATACGCCCTCATACTCGCCTCCTACCTCGCAAATGGCCAATGTGTTGGTGCACGAGAAGGCCGCGATGCATAACCAATACGCCAGCCCGCCTCCTGTAGCCCTGCCAGCTTATCCCCAAGTCCCGCCGGTTCTCGGTGTTGCGGCGGCCATGTACGCATACGCACCCACCGATCCAGGTGATTTGGCCCTGCAGCCACAGGATCGTATCCAGATTACTGAGCACATGAATGACGACTGTATGATAATCCCCTCCCACCTAGCATGGAATACCGGCTAACTAGTGATGAACAGGGTGGCGTGGTCGCAACGAGCGGACTGGCCAGGAAGGTATCTTCCCTCGAAGCTATGTGAATGTCTTGGATGAGAAGGCTGCTGCCTCTGCGCCCCCGCCTACAAACTATGGAAACATGCCTCTTGCAGTCAGCCAGAGTGGACAGCCTTCAAACCCGGATGAGCCGAAGCAGCCCAACAAGTTCGAGGAAGGAGGCAAGAAGTTCGGAAAGAAACTGGGCAATGCCGGTATGTTTTAAATATCTCTTGGTAATTCTGGATAATTTCTAACTTGGTATCAGCAATCTTCGGTGCCGGTGCTACTGTCGGCTCCAACATCGTCAACAGCATCTTCTAATCGCATGGCCGCGCTATCTTGTTGGGCGTTTTGCTTCTTCGTATTCACTCTCATTGATACGGCGTTGGGGGATTGAGTATTTTTTTGGGTCTCTAATGGATTTAGTGGACTCAACCAGCATAGCTTATTGGCCGAGAGCCAAAGATTCTAGGATTCTCAGTGCTCGAATGTTAATTAGCTCTTATTGATTATCCTGATAGGCGATTACTCCGTATATATATTCTAATTCGACTCTTGGTTGAATGATAGCGTCGACACTCGCAGGGTCAACTTCCGTGCTAAGATCTATGGTATATCATTCCATAATGAGCTAGGCCATCATCGCCACGCTAAGGCAGACTATGTGGCTGCCATAGCCACGACGTCCGTGGATTAGCAGCTCCTAGCGGAGGATAAATACGTATTTCTATTCGTCACTCTGGTTTCAACGCCCCGGTCATCAATGCACCCTGCAAGAGACATAAGACCGAAACCCCCGAGAATCAATATGTAAAAATTACTGCTAAATTTCAACACCCAACCACCTGATGCCATGCCACTTTCTCAGCATAGAAATAACATATATATAGCACCTTCTCCCAAAACAACGCAGGAATCATGAATAGTTTACGCGCCGATAACAGAAATAGTCCATCTAGACCCACAGTCCAGACTATAGCGCGATGTGGGCGCTTACATACAGACACTAAGTGTTCTAGCGGGGTTTCATACCCCGACAAGATCGAATCCGTGTCCTAAATGTGATTAGCTAGCGTTCTATTATTGCCATGCTAGCATGTAGGCACTGTACTTGGACCCTCTGGATCGAGTGGCGATCGGCAAGCCCCCATGGATGGCGGATTGAGGATTATGAGCGGATTCTCTTAAGAGGGCGCGGATTGCGCAATTAGACCAAGGGCATTTTTTGATATGCTCTATGTGTGATGATTATGGCCTGATATATTATGATGCTTTCTGTGCTGTTTTTGATATCTTTGTTTGTTCCTTTTGTAAAGGCCGATGATAATTGGGATGATTTTACGAATAATCTTGCAACCGACTTGGTATGTTCACGACTACTGGAGGAGAAAGCGAATACCTACAAATGATTAGATGATGTGCTGATACTCGGCGAAGGCTCCTTTAATCACCTTGTTCGGCGAACGACTCACGAAACAATTCCTGTCCGAGTCGATCAGCGTCCTCGATAATGTTATCTTCGCCCTTTCACCACTGGGAGTTTTGACGGCCGTAGTCTCGGTGATCAGGATATGCGGAAGTTCTTCCCTCAGAGCATTCGTTGGAAGAGCACAAGAAGGTCCTGCGGAAGCTGAAAGCGAACTGCTTCCTTGCGTTTCGGAATCCACTGCCGAGCTATTCAACGATGGCGGCATTACACGAGTTTTTGGCCGGCCCAAGATCGTGGAGATAGTTGCTTGGCAAGACGAGGATCCGAGGACTGGAGAAAAATCGACAAAGTTTGGCACTTTGAAAGATGCTCTTGATGAAAAGGCTTGGACTTGTCAGGGCAAAGGTCCACCCAGTGAACTACCAGAATTGGACATTCCCAACCTGTCGTTGAACAAGGGCATCAAGCGAAGAGATCCAGTTTGGTTCCATTGCGCTGCCATACTCGGGGGAATCCTACAGACTGGTCAGTACTTCTTTATGTTGGAGCCCGACATGATGCTGAAGATTCTCACCAAGGCACTGTTATATACGCTGCGCTCACAGTGTTTGTGTATCCACAGCATTTCAAAAAAGACGATAAAGCAGTTGCATCATATGCATTTCCTTTCTATTTCACCGGGACGACCCTTCTCTTCATCGGGATGTTCTTCTGTGCATTTATCATGGAGCGATCGTCGAAGGAATACTATTTCAAACCAGAGAAACCCGGAAGCAAGCTTTACTGGCTGCAGCCCGGTAATCAGAATGTGGGAGATCAAGTCTTTAATGCCTTCCTAGCTGTCAAAGAAGGCTCAGAGTCTTCAATGACTTATATCAAATCGATCAGAGATCGAAGATTTGATAGAAAATATGTGGAGATCTACTCTACCCTTGCGTCCACCATCCTGGGGTTTATCTTGCAGTTCGTCGGCCTAAGAGGTCTTCACGCCTCTGTCATTCTGGCCCAGCTTGGATCGACATTTCTCATGGCGATCATACGTACCTGCCTGCGCACGGAAAGAATGGCACCGGATGAAAACAAGATGAAAGATGATCGCGAACTCATGTCTCATAAACAGCTGGAGTTAGACTGCTTTGCCTTCTATCTCGAGAAGATCGAGTCATTCAATCTGGTCTCGCTGCCTGATCGGCCTGCGACTATGTCTTCTCCAAGGCCCATGCCTTATATTGGCGCACCACTGGCAAAGCAGGTGATTCGAACGAGAGCTCAGCTAGCAAGGCTCACCTTTAGTTCAAAACACAGCTTGAACGTTGATTGGGATGAAATGCCTATTCGTCAAATGGCCCAAAACCTCACGAGGACAATCGAGTTGACGATGGATTTGATCTCTAGTTGGGGAGGGGATTTAGGGAAGACGTTTCAGTTCCGACTTGGGTTTGATTGCCACAGACATTCTTCTGGTTCTAGCCCTCGATCTTCAGGGACGTATTCAATCGGCCTCATGCGATGCGGTGACGCCCTGCGATGGAAAGCGGATGTCAGCGAGCTAGAAGCAGTTCTAGGCTTATGGACTTGGTCACTTTACAAGTCAAATAAAGACTGGCGGGATTCAACTCTTTGTCGCCTTGTTGGATTGAGCGAAGATGAGGCAACCAGAGAAGAAACATTCCTCTACTATTACAAATGGATCTTCCGACAAACTGAAGCAAGGCTAGTCCCGTCAAAAGAATTCGACGGCTCATCACGCTTGTTTGGCTTCGAATCCATTGACCCATCCTTTGTTGGAAAATTGTTGGCCGTGAGGACAGCAAATGAGCTTGAGACCATGGTAGCCCAGGATATTTATATTCAGTTTCTCAAGGAAATTTTCATCCACGTGGCAGATTTGGGTGGAAATGTCGATGTTGTTCCGGGCTTACAAGGTTCATTTGTAGCATCAAGTACTCCGGTCAATGAGCTCATCCGTTGCTTTGAAGATGGCAACTTGGGCTCACGGGAGGATGCGTTACTGTGCATCGTTCCTGTCCTCAGATATCGGCGCCTTTTACCAGATCTTGCGGCAGATTCGGCCAAGGTCAGGGCCAGCAGGGATCGTTACATTGAGAATGGGAACTGGAACAGTGCCTTTTCGCTGCTCCGTTGGATATGCGAGCGGTCAGAGAAATCCCAGTTTGAGCGATCAGTCTACGAGTTAGGCTTCCTGTGCCGTCGGGCACTATTGAATACTAACAAACAAGTCCGTAAGCAAGGAGTCGAACAAACCTGCGCACTTCTCAAATCAGACATCAGAGAGGAATTCTTTGAAGCCCATTCAGCGCTGCCATCCTCGCACTGGCCCGCATCCCGGGATCGTGTCGCATGGTGGGACTCGTTCTCGCGCCAGCTTGGGTGGATTGCGTGGAATATTTCGACCAATGTACCAGGCATGGCATTCTGCCAACCCATTTTCAGATCTCTGAATGTGTCTGAGGATCTACGATGTCCGAATGATATGAATCAAGATCCAGAAGCAACCCAGAAGGGAATTCGGGCTTTGAAAGATTGGCTTACGCTGTACAAGATTGATGATATCGACCGCGAGGGATATGGCGAAGACGAGAGACTGGGCTTTGAATGGATTGTCAGAAACAACTTCCATGCATTGCTGCATTTCCTGTTGTTGAGATGGGTAGAGTTCAGCGACGACCTTCCCATTTTGGTTCGGATTGGGTATAGCCTCGCAGCAAGAAGCAGATCTGACCGAGCACTTGATATACTTCGCCGACAGAATGCGGACATTGAAATAATAGATCCAGACAACCGCTCAGCGCTGAGTGATCTGGTCTATACCCGCGACTTAGAGGGAAGTCGACTGCTACTGCAAAATGGAGCCGAGCCAAACGGCAACCTGCAACAGTCGAAGATTAGCCCACTTGGAATCGCCGCCCATCAAGGCTATGACGAAATTGTGGAATTACTTCTACACTTCGGAGCCAGCATTGAGATGACTGACCATGTTGGTCTCCGAGCCCTGCATTGGGCAGCCAGAAATGACCATCTCGATACTGTCCGCTTGCTATTATCCCATGGTGCGGAAATTGATCCAACGGGATTAGACAACTTGACACCGCTCCTTTCGGCTGCCATGAATGGACAGATTCTCATGGCTGAGCTGCTCATAAAAGAAGGTGCAAATGTCAATGCCCGAGGCCAGTACGGTCAAACTGCGCTGATGATATCTATCAATATACCAGACCCGATCCCGATGTTCCAATTACTCTTGGACAACGGCGCCAGACTTGATTTGTGTGATCAGAGCGGATCAACTGTTTTAGATCTGGCTAGGCAATACAATAATATGGAGGCGATATCTTTCTTCGAAATAGCACGCATGGCGTAGAGAAATATCACAGAAACGGCATTCCACTCAGCCTCATTTTATACACGCTAATATAGACTGTATTCACAATGGCCTGAAATGGACAGCGATCTTGTAATCTGCCTTGAAAAACTCGGCCAGTTGCCTGACAAAACCGTCGATCCGCGGGAATGTGCTGCAACTGGACTAATCGGCCAGCCTAGTGACTCGCCTAGGCCTTACAGTCGAAAGTTGTGGATATTAGATCGGAAGAAAGCGCTCGACGGGGGAATAGCGGCCGAGCCCTAGAAACTGCAAAAAAAGATCCTGAAAGGTGAGGCACTTTTGATAATAAGGACGAACCAAGTTGATACTAGGCCTTCGCACCAAGACATCAAGTTTGAGTGTTTCGCACCTCCTTTCCTTTAACCAACGCCATGTTTCGAACTCTGTGCTTTCGCAGGGCTTTGCTTCGACGCAATGTCGCTACACGTGTAAAACCATCCCTGCAAGGTCTTCACGATGAATGGCTGCTCAACGCGATCAACAAACTTTCGGTATACGACGCCATAACCTTGTCACAGCACAGCCGTGGAATATATGCCTTATGCGATGTGAAAAATCGTCAGAAATGTCACCAATTGGAGTTCGGCCGAGAGAAATACCCGCAGACTCATGAAGCTGGGCTCCAAGCTGGTCTAGACACATTACCCGCTATTCTACGAACTCCCTCCCTTGGAAATTATCTTCGTCGGGTGGACCTCTACGGAACTGGAATGATTGAATGGTATCCTGACTATGAAATTTCCATCCCAGATACTGTGCTGCCACCCGAGGATATCGACGGACTCAAGCAAGCAATCCTAAGCGCCGGCTTCCAAGATGCACAGGAGTGCGACTCAATTTTGTCCATGCTTTTACGAAATCCTACCAAGTTCGAGTAAGTGTTCATCTCTGATAACATCCCCTAATAAGATCTCAACTGAGTCCTGCGCTTTTGTGACCAGCAATACAGATCTGATTCAAGCACGGAAGCTCTTCAGTTCAAAGATGCCCTTATTACGCTTTTAATTGCAGCTGCTCCGAAACTTGAATCTATTTCAATGTATCCATTATTGGAATATATTCATTGTTCATGTACTGGGAACTATGGAATGGTGGATCTTCTCCGAAGATTGCTTCATCGGGCATCTGCAGAGTCGGTGCTATACTGCCAGAAACTACGAGATATTAGCTTCCACCCAGACGATAAGATCAACGAATCCATTGAGTACATTGAAGACCCATATTATCATCAGCTTAATATGGCCCGCAAACTACCCGCTGTTGAATCGGTCGCCTTCAAGCTGGTAACGTGGAGCAATGAAGCTGGAATACCACCTCCTCCCCGTTCCGCCAACTACAGCAAGATCAGCTTTACACATTCTGCCATGGAAAGTTGGGATCTTTGTCGTATTATCGAATCCGCTAAGACCTTGAAAAGTTTCACTTCCACCATCGGTGGTCGTTTATACCCTGAGGGTGGTACCCCCGTGTTATGCGTGACTCCGATACTCAAGTCCCTTTGGATACATCGGCAGACCCTAGAAGAAGTGAATCTAGATATGGAGAGCCAGACACATCGGCAAGAGTTGTATGATGAAGAATATCAACAAGGACAAGAGGATGTGATGAGTGAAGAGGAACGGAAAGAGTATGAGGAGCAATGGGCAGACGAGCTGCCAGAGCTAGCCGCCCCAGAGATCGCACCCGCGCGCGTCTCCCTGAAAGACTTTCCACAGCTCAAGAATCTCAGCATTGGAGCCCATATGCTATGCTATCTAGCTCGAGGTACAGGAGATGGCAAGAAGCAGCTTGGCTCAGAGATTTTCAATCTTGTTGATCATATCCCGTCTGGTCTTGAGTTCCTTCGGATTTACGGGTACGGAGAGCCCGCGGATGCTCACCTGGATTACGAATCTGATCTAGATATCGATGCCCAAATTGAGCAACTGGCGCGTGAGAAAGATGCCAAACTGCCAGGACTGAAGATCCTTGAAGGCGTTGAGTTTTGTATTCCAAATGGCAGGACTTTGGGTCAAGATGCGGATAGAGACGATCTTAAAATATTCTGGAAAGATCCAGATGACAACAGGTTTGACGATGTCGCCAGTGTAAGTTAGTCCGTACAATAATCTATGCGAAGGCCTTGGCAGGCCAGAAGAAGAGCTGTGCATTAGGAACTGCTATGTATGTTGTGCAGTGGACGGAGTACTAGAACACGTTAACACCTTCACACGGGGACTGGGTATCCAGTCTCATTGAAATGCCCCTCCTATTTGCCCAGCCCTGGGCAAAATGGTTTTTAGTCTTGGTAGCTTCTTGACACACGCTGATTCGACGAATGAGCTCTGTCCGTCCAAAGGAGATCATAGGATACGCCTATGAGATCCCGCACATGCCACTCTCTTAGCGCCCGGTGGGGAAGATGAAATAGATGTGCTAAAGTACGGAGTAGTCGTGTGTGTGACTCGACTCAAGAAGCTGCAAGTCTCGTCACATAATCTATGCTATTTTGCCATGGAAAATTCCAGTCTAATAATAGAGAGCTCTTGGTGAGGGGAAGCTATCTCTCCTTAAGAAAACCCCCAGAACCCGCTTCGACTCTCTCTCAACTACGCTCACTTACCGACCATCTGTATAGCCCCAGAGTCGTTGACCCAGTCAGACTCATCGAGAGAAACCTTGGAAGATCAAGCGCAAGTCTTTCGGTGATACCATACCCCGCCACAGTGTGAGTCTGACCTTCAATGCCTTGAATCTACTCTGATCCAGAAAACAGCATTTATTAGAGAAACGAGACGAGATTCAAGTGTTCGCGTGCCGATTCACTCTTGACTAAATAAGCAGAATGGCGCAACAAACACATTATCCGCCACCACCCATGTCAGGTCAGTCCTCTGCGCTATTCTGGCAGGAATCTGTATACTAACCAATCCATGTAGCTCCGGCCAATGTAACCTGTAATTAACTTCAAACTCATATCGATATTGTCCCCGTACTGAAGTCGTTAGCATTCAATCCTCCCTCGATTTCCTCGGTTGCGGCTCCCAATATGAATTATCCGCCTCCTCCCAGACAGCCTCCCCCAAATGGAGTGTATACTTCAGCCACTCCACCGACAGAGAGCCCAAAACCCCACCGACACACACAGTCAAATGGGGGATATCCGGCGCCGTCAGCCTCAGTGAGCCCGCAGATACAGGAGCCCCAGTTTGCCCAGCATAATATCGCTGCGTCCACTCAAAACACCGTCATGGGGATGGACAAAGTACCTGGAGGAGCCCCGGCATTTGGAGACTTCACTGGAGCGACGGCAGCCAATAGTGATGATACTGGCGTTTTCAACGGCGGCAGCTATAGGATCAGCCACCGAGATACCAATTCTCTACTGACAGTACAGCTGGCGATGGGTTGTCCCTTGACTATCAGACCCGGTAAGTCGAATTAACCCCAACTATGTTCTTATATCGATTTGCTTGATTGGGATCTTTCCAAGAAGAATCACACCGGTATGGAGTTAATCTTGTTTCGCTTTTAGGCGCAATGATCGCCATGTCCCCAACCCTCACATTGCGAGGAAACGTAAGTTTCTCCTGGAAGAAATTCATCGTCGGCGGCAGCATGACCATGTCCCACTACACCGGTCCGGGCGAACTCCTAGTAGCACCTTCAGTATTGGGCGATATCATGGTCCTCCGCCTGACCGGAAGCGACGAATGGAAAGTCGGACGTGATGGCTTCCTCGGACACACCGCTGCGATCGAGCACAAATACCAAGCGCAAAGCTTATCCAAAGGAGTCTTCTCCGGCGAGGGACTTTTCATCTACAAGATCACTGGAACCGGATTACTCTGGATCCAGAGTTTCGGCGCGATCATCCAGAAAGATGTGAGTTTGCCATGTCCGATTCCACAACTTCTCTCTGACATATATTGTTCCCGCAAAGCTTCGCGAAGGAGAGTCCTACTTCGTCGATAATGGACACCTTGTAGCGTGGAACTGCAAGTATAAGATGGAGCGCGTTGCCTCTGGTGGGATCATCTCTGGGATTAGCTCGGGCGAAGGTCTGGCTTGCAAGTTTACAGGTCCTGGAACTGTGTATTTGCAGACTAGAAACCTTCATGCCTTTGCTGCTCAGATGAAGATCAGCACCGCTGGTGCTTAAGTTCCTACGCATGTCTTTTGAACCACGCAGGAGCAGTTCCGAGTCCCGGTTTGGGGATTTTATGTGACCTTTTCCTCCATGAGAAACGAAGTTGTCCTTTGTTTTGATATACTTGTTGTACACTTATCCAGTGCATCGGGCTTAGGCCCAATTATGAGCAGGTCTCCGTTTTGTACCAGTTTGCTAAGGAGGTGGATGCAGTGGCCATGTTAGTACATTTTGTGTGGAATTCTTGTTTTTTTGTTCACGGCGTTGCTATCGACATTTTCTCTTATGTCTGTCATACCATCTGGTGCTACATTATTTTTACTTGAGACCCAATTCCATGAAAGTATCAATATCCCTCCAATAGCTACCGTCTTCTGTTTAACTTGTCCATACGTCTACAAGCTTATCCAGGTATGACGGAAGTACAGCAGTTCTGATAGGCAGGCCCAGTTACCTGATATAAGACCAAACAGCCCTCGGGGGTAAAGTATAGTGATGTTTGTCCATTTCATGCGAAACTATTTTTTATTCTTCACTTCGTTTCCTCGTTCAAGCTCCTCACCGGAGAAAGAAAAAATCAGCAGGACCTTTTTCCCACCCCGCCAAAGCTCTAGTAAGTCACACGCCATAAGGAAGAGATAAAAACAAGCCCTTCCTCCACAAATTGGCAACACAGCTCCATCCGCTTAACCCACACGCTTTCTGCGGCCGATCTGGGAACGGAAACCGGTCTTGATGGCAGCGACGGAACGACGAGAACCGCAGGAGTTGCAAGTGACGAAGTAGAGACGGTTCTCACCCTTGTTGAGCTCGGTATCGGGACTGCGGCAGGTCTTGCATGTGACGTACTCGACAATATAGCGACGCAGAACGGACTCGATACCCTTCTGTTGGAAACGGCCCTTGATGACCAGGCGACGACTGCCGTCGACACTGCCTGATGTACCCAACTCAGCGAACAGGAATTGAGTGCAGTGCTCCTCGCTAAAATAGAAAAGACGTTAGATTTGATACTATGAAAGAGGCGTTGAGATAGAGAACGAGTAACGAACCTTCGCTTCATGCGCTTGCAAATATCGGCAATGTTGGCGAAAATGGTACGACGGTTACCTTCACGCAGACACTGGGGAGGAGGAATCTTGTAGGACTTGGCGCCGCTGGACAGAAGATCGGGGTGGTGGCTCTCAATGAGAGAGAAGAAACGGGAGACAAGGAGCGAGTAGGGGATGGGCTGTGTGGCGTCGTGTGCCCAGATACCGGTGCCGGCCTCAAGGTCGCCCTCGGGCACTGCCTCGGGCTGATCCTCACCAGCCTCCTCAGCAACACCAGCCTCAGCGAGCTTGGCCTCGAAGTCGGTGGCGTCGGACTTCTTGGTCTTGCTGGAGCTGCTCTTCTTCTTCTTCTTCAGCATGGAGGGATCGAACTCGCCATCGGCGGCGGGGGGCCTCCTCATCGCCAGCTTCGGTGGACTTGGACTTCTTGGAGGACTTCTTCTTTTTTGAGAGACCCTTGAACATCTCAGTGACCTCGTCGACTTCCTTCTCTGTATATTCAAGACATCGTTAGTGGGGCTGAGGCGAAAACGACCGAGGGACGAAAGCTGAAATCGGGGAGCTGTTGCATACCGCCTGTGGGCTTCTCAGCCGGGGGGCATCTGTAACTTGGCCATTGGTATCCATAATGACCGATCCTTCGCTGAATGCGACCGACTTGCGCTGCTTAGTTTCGATTTCCTAAACGGAGGAGCAAAAAGCGGCGTTAGTTGTGAGAAAAGAGAGAAAACAGAAGAAATCGTATGATCTGGCTGTTCAGCAAGCAATAGCAATCCTCAACCCAGGCTCAACGATGTGTGTTCTTGGATCACTGTGGTTGGCGGCCGAGGGGTCGATATTGTGCAGACTCAAAGAAAATGTGGGAGGGTCGGTAAAAAGACAAGGGTGTGACGTACAGCGTCCGCCATGTTTTGAGGCTTCAAAGATGCAATTTACTCCACCACCAGTTGTTGGAAGGTAGATCAAGTTGTTGCGAAAGTGTAGAGCTTGAGTTGGATCGAAAAAGGGCAAAATTATCGCTGGAATCTGATATCGCCAGGCCTGGAGGTCTGTTATCGCCGTACGGGCACGTGACCAATACTGAGTCACCAGATTACACAGTCACGTGCTGAACCACGGAGCTTGGCGGCGATCCAGTTGACCGGTTGATCAAGGCAAACAGCTCATTCCAACATAACAACGGCAGTAGGCAGGCCACTGCTCGATCGAAATCGCTTCCGCTTCCCCTCGTTTACTCCTCTCATCACTTTGCAACCGCTTTCAACATGTCTTTCCCTTCAGACAGCTCAAATCCCTCCTTCTCGATGTCCGCGTACATGGTCCCCTCTCGACAGAACTCATACTGCGATTCCGATGATGAGCTCGCCTCCCTACCTTCTGAATCCACAACCGACTCCGACCTTGATACATTGTCTGAATATTCCTCCGATGCCGAGGCAGAATGGCGCGAAAGCATTGAACAGCTGGAGCTACTTCTGAGTATGGTCCTGGTACCCTTCATTGGGAAATACCTGGGGCGACGATGCGCATATTGGAGTATGTAACACCGACTAGCTTTATAGCTATGCTGTGTACAAGAAATTCCTACTAATCAGTTTCCATTTTAGGTTGGACACGATTCATGCAGTGGAAGTATCCAGTTGAGGTGGTGATGCGGAACCCGGCTGCATTCAAGGCAGCGGGTTTCATCAAGGCAGCTGCAGCTCTATGATAGATTGTCATTCCAATGGCCTTATAAGATCCTGCTGCATGTTTCATTTTTACCAAGCGTGCTATAGTTCAACCCCGCAATCCCCACCCTGATCAAATCTCCCCAGACCGACCCGACTTATCTTCCTGGACTGCCATATATCCACTACCAAAAAGCCACAAGATTACCTCACATTGAATCAAAACTCCTCGAGATGTCTACATTGGTTGTATCTGGGGTTGGAGGAAGATGTGGGACTGGGGGCAGTGTCGATTTCAATGTCCTTCAATCTCCGGCGATTCATAATTATTCTTCTCCAGCGGCGGCATACATGGATAGGCGAACCTCATATCTTGAATAGAGACATACATTTGGACTTGATCCATTTGACGATTTGTTTAATCTTCCTGTTCAAGAATGTTCTATACCCAATGAATTTATCAACTCTCATCAAAGCCAATGCTCTCTACGTCTATTTCCGATTGACCGTGGCACAATATAACTGTCCCTATCATGATGGAGAATCTATAACTCACGCAGCATTGGATTATCTGTCTGTGGACAGTGAACTGAATTATATCAATAACATTGTGCAGCGAACTACGTCAAGCATAGCTGATGTCCGTCAGATCAAGGATACTAACCCTAGCGCGCTTCATCAAACATAGGCCTGGAATATGCATGTTGTCTTAGATTCGTGATTGCTTTTAATGCCTATCAACGGCTAGGTTTAAGCTAGTTAGTCACGTTCATGAAATTAGTAGATCTTTAATATGATCTGGTTGAAGTTTGATGCAGATGTCATTGAGCTAGTATCCAACCTTTCAACTGCTTAATCAACCCAGCAGTGAAGTCGTGCTTGAAGGCTAATACAGTCTGTTCTGTCGCCAAAATTCACATAATCCTGGAGGCTGACTCCGCCTCGCAATGATTCCAGTTGTTGAGCACAATTGTGGCTGACGATGTCCAGTGTCTAGCCACGGCAAATCATTGCTTCCGTCAAAAGAAACACCGTTCAAGTGATGCATGGGGAAGTTTTCCTCAAGGAAAGGCTCGGATGGCCTTGCATCTTCTTTTTTTGTCTGATGTTTTGGCGGTCCATTGCGAGTTGCTCTCGCTTGCCTGCCTCTATCTTTCGGGTCGAGCAATCGGACTTCGGAATATGGATTGACTGTCGATTTTCCAGGAGGTCAGGGATACCAGTCATTCCAGGAGATGCAAGTAACTCTTGCAAGTCTGATGCAACTTCTGCCGCAACTTCAGGGTGCACGATGGCATGGTAAGCAGCATCCAGGGTGTGATAGAAAACTTCGTCATCGTCGACTTGACTCAGATCATAAAATTCTATATCAGAGGCAGGCGGCTGTCGGACCTCCGATAAAATTGCCGGAGAAATGGTTTCCTTGTCTGCTTTCTTGGGAGAAAACAATTCGTATCGGTCTTCGTTCAAGAGGTCTGTAGAACGAGTTTGGCTGTCAGATAGGGTGGGAGCGTGGGTTGGGACATTGAAACAGCTCTTTCTGTCTAGATTCTGAGGTAGTCCGTTGTCGCTTTGCCCCGAGTCTTGATTTTTCTTGGGATATTTCCCTCGCTCGGGAAGTGTGTCTTGTTCTGGTAAACATCTGTTCACACCTGAAGGCGTTTCAATCGAGGTGTATGGCTCCAGGAATTGTTGGGAAATTCCATTGTTCATGCTATCAGCCCCTGGAGAATGTAAGTGAGTTAGTTCAATCATCTCCGGCTGCACCTGCGGAGTGATTCTGCCTGTAGCGTGCTGGTCTGTGTTGGTTCCGGGTGAAGTACGCGTCTCGTTTCTGATTTCACTGGGCCATGATGCCTTTCTCTCGCACAGCAGCACCCATAATTCGGACAGACTCCAATATTGTTTAGTCAAGCCGGGGTTCGATATCTCCGTGCAAAGAGTTTGAAGATCCATTCCGACGTGCATCAGATTCAGCAGGTATTGTTCAAGAGCATTGCCTTGAGCTATGCTATCAGTGTCACTCTCAGACCAAGTGTACGGAATCGACGGAGACTGAGACGTCCTTCTTCTCTTGTTGGGTGAGTTGGGAGAGACATTCCCCAATCTTGGAGAAGCCGAGGAAATCTCGTGGAGAGGTGCCTCTTCAGATATGACTCGCTTTCTTTTCCCACCAAGCCAATTATTGCCTGGACGGGTCATGGCAAGCTTGGGGCAATTATCTAATGAATCTTTGAGCAGTAGCTCTTGTTGATCGCAATCCCCGTCGTGTCTTCCGCCATGATCATCCTTGTGGGTCCACGTGGGATCGGGGCTAGGGTTATTCCTTCGGGGGAGAAAGGCCATCTCACTAAAGGCAAGATCAGACTCTGCAGAATATCTGCGAGACTTCAGGCTTGGTGTAGCTTTTGTAAGGTTGGCCGAGGAAATATCTTTGTGATGATTGCTCGAAGAGGAAGTCCTGCCCTTGCTGAAGATGCCGAGTTTTGTGTTGTTGCGAAGCTACACGCAATGAGTAATATGCAAACGGAATTTACCAGGGTGGACTTACTGTCAACCTACTTCCTGTGACATTTGTGGCTTGGAACTCATCATTCATGGTGTGCTTTCTGCATGCGCGCTTCTTGGTCCTTCCTTTGCGAGGCTGCGACTGGGACCCGAGGGCAGATGATGGGCCTTTATATTCATAGCGGTCCTCACGAGTTTTGTGTCTGGGCCTTAGCTCGTAGGTATTTCGGGATCTCTTGTGGCTTTCACTTCCAAGAATAGTCTCATGCGTGGACGGTGCTCCGGATTCCTCAAGGCAACTGGCATCCCGTTTCCTAGTATTTGAGTGTCCACGCCCTATGACATCGGAGATATCAAGGGGGATACATGAAATACTCGTTGCGGATTCCTCGTGAGACATCTCTCTCTGTTTATTGCCTGGAGCCCTGTTAGCACGGAAAATCTGACAGCCTCGCGATAAAGCCATGCCTTCACCTTGACGATGACTCTGTTCCTGCTCCACAGTGGAAAGCCACCTATAAATCGGATTATCTTTGCTTTCCATCACGAACTTGAATCAATGAAGATTTGAGCGTTGGGGTGTGTAAAGCGTGAAAGGTGTTGGAAATAAAAGCGTTGGATAGCAACTGGGGGCAGTGAGGTCACCTGAAAGCACAAATTGGGAGTTGCGAAAGAAAGCACGACCAGCTCTCATCCTCCCTACATGTAGGTATCGTTGGTCTTATCCTCTCATTACTGTGTGATGGATTTCATTGTTGATTGCCTTTCTGGTGTCACGTAATGCTCACATGGAAAGAAAGATTCCCTGACTCATCTACTAAGCAGCGATCACTTCCCATGTTGCTCGGGAGCTGTCGGTGGTGCTATTCACCTACATTCCACCTCTGTCCAGCCGAATCCTTCATTGAGAGAGAATTGGTAACATTGTATAGATTTCAATCCTGGGGCCGATCGTCGCCATTTCCCGGACTGTTCCCGACCTACACGGCCCAAGCCACAAGTGGGCCCACGGGGCAATGTCTCTCTGCTTGGATACGTGCATGCGCCAAATCATTGAGACTGAAAGTGTCCAGAAGCAAGAAGGCTCTTCATGATCACTGCAGTAATGAAATTAATATTTCAGTCTGCATGGCTAGACCATCTGCCGGGCAGTCAATCCCAGGCCGAATGGGACGTGATATCCACTATGCATAAACATGCATACAACCAATGACTGCATAGAGCCGCGAGGTATGGGGAATCTGTCAAATTCCACGGTCAATGCGTACATGAGATCCCGCCCAAGGTATCGTTTCTCTCAAAGATAAAGCGCATCCACCCTGGACTTGCATCACTACGCACAGCGTCGATGTATGGGCCTGGTCAAGTATTTGAATGCCGGTATAGAATTCAGATATTGATCCGGCGCTACCAAACTCAACGCAACGAGTCCCTCGTGAAATGTTGAGTCAAATGAGGGGCAAACGAAGTGTACATGCGCCGTTGTCTTTAGTGCCGCCAATCCAAACGAAGCCTCGGATAGCATACGATTTACGACTTGAAGAGAAGCCCGACGAGCCCCACAAATCAATCAGTTCAAGGCTTAGGCTCGTGGGACTGGCTTGAGCGGGTTTATCTCTGCAGCATCTCACCCCACTCCGGAGGACCTTTTGGGCTAAGGCCGGACTTCGCTCACTCTGGCCAAGCTCTCAGACAAAGACACAGTAAGCAGTATATTGCGCGTTGTGGACTTGCCGTTGGCGTCCGACCAGTGGAAAATTTCCAATGCGAAAGCCCTAACGCAGTGTGATTGTTACACGGGACTGAATGCTGACTCGCCTCGCAACCACTAGGATCTCCCTGTCATTTCACAACCTAGACGTTTTCTGATTTTTATCCTCTTCTTTCGCTTCGATCATCTCTTTCCGTCGACTCTCATCTTCTTGTTATCATACCAAGGCAGTTCTAGCATTGCCTTTCTTTCGGCTTTCATCAGACCTGAGCCGCGATGTCTAAGCTCTTCGTTCAGTGTGTATTCTCTCTCTGCGAATCAATTCGCGCTGGTAAGAGCCAGTCTAATGATTGATGCAATGTGATCTAGCGGCCTTTCTTGGCACACTAGCGATGACACCTTGCGCGAGGGTTTCCAGCAATTCGGCGAGATTCAAGAAGCTGTCAGTTCGCATTCATTGAAGTAAATCACTATGAGTTGAGCTTTTGCTGATTCTACTGACCACAGATTGTCGTCAAAGACCGTGCGACTTTGCGCAGCCGTGGTTTCGGCTTCGTCCGCTTTGCTACTGATGCCGAGGCAGACGCTGCGATGAATGCCATGAACAATCAAGAGTAATAACTTAGCCTCACTTCATATACATTTCGCTGGTGTTCAAACGAGATCTCATACATTGTTCAGATTTGACGGACGGGTTATTCGCGTTGACAAAGCATTTGACCGACCCCAGCGCCCCGACGCTGGCTTCCAGGGCCGTGGCGGATATAACTCGCAGCCCTCATCGGGATACCAGGGTGGTGGCTACGCTGGCGGTTACAACGCCAGCGGGTACAACGGCGGTGCCGGTGGATACAGCGGGGGGTACAACCGAGGTGGTTACAACAACTATCCCCCTAGCGGTGCCAGTGCCGGCTTCGGCGCAGGTGGCCATGGTGGATATGGTTCGTCTCTTGCCAGGGGACTCTCCCTAGCATATTTTACTAATTTGTTCATTTATATATAGGCGGTGGTCCAAACAGCGGATACGGTGGTGGTGGAGGTGAGAGCTATTGTTATCCTGACCCTATCGATATTAACTGACTTCCAAAGGCTGGCGCGGGAACAACCACGAGCAAGCTCCTCAAGACGGTCACTAAGCTCATTGAATGATCGATCGTCTTTTTGGTCCCCTACTATGTGTTCTTTTCTCCTTGCAATCCCCTTCTAGAAGAAGTGACGACCCATAACGGCTGGAACATGGTGGAAGATCGACTAGGAGCGGCAGGTGCCGCTTGCTCAATTTTGATTTTTGCAATGGGATTTTGTTGTATTTTTGATTTCTCCTTGCTAAAGAAGAAATATGGGCTTCTAGCTCAAGCTACGCTCTTATCAGGTGCACATTTTGAGCATTTATATGGATGCATTTCACCTTATCCTACATTCAAAGTTGCTTGGGCTTTTATTTTGATTTTTGACACAATGACCCATGTGTATTTTCATATTGCACCTGTTCACTTCTCATAGCACATGGCATTCCTGAACGAACCATGCAGATCACGATCACTGATATGGTGGAGATAATACCACAATTTGAAATTTCTTATGAGTATTGCAGGCAACGGACCGAATTGCCACAAGTAGAGGAGCTTTTCTCTAGCAGGAAGTTATGCATAGCCACTATCTCTACCTAGTATTCTATTACCGCTACTATTCTCTTCATGCAAGGTGTCATTCGGATTTGGTATATTTGCATCCTACCTGGGAACCCAGCCCTTCTCGGGACTTTTCAGCTTCGAAGGGCTAACAGCGGAGAGCCAGGAACAGGAATTTTGTAGAACAAGATCTAAAAGTATTCTTTTAATCAAACCTATGCACGCTGCCCAGGTGCGATGTTGGAGTGGTTCAAATTTTAGTACTAACAGGATGAACCACCCACTTAGATATGCCCACTATTATTAAATGAAAACAAGCTCACTCATCTTCTTAGTGGTTTATTCGACTCTTATTCTACATCGGTATTCTATTGGAATACCTGATCTATGTATCAACAAAATAACATCAGTCGTCAAAGTACCCTCATCAAATGCAGTGTACTTCATTCAATTGTCGAACGATCATCTCCGAAACCAGTCTCAGACGCGCCCTCCAAAGACCTTGTGACCTGCAATTCAGCTTCCTTCTCCTCAGCCTCTGCGAGTCCCTCGAGCTCAATGGCCTTGACTTTCTTCACCAAATCTGTAACATGAACATCTGCACTACCAAGCCCGATGCCATCAAGAGCCTTCTCCAACATGAACAGATATTCAGAATTCTTTCCACTTAAACCGTGTCCCTCGCTGATGACCTGTGCCACATGTTGCGGCTCGCGATGGGCCGCATCACGAAGGAACTGCGGGTTAGTCGGCTGCCCGATGTAAACCATGCAGATGATTGGCGAGGATCCTTGATCTTCACCAGATCCGGTCATTCCTTGGACATCGGTTGTGGGGTGGAAAGGCGTGTAGTGCGCGCTGTATCCATCGATCTCCCGTTCGTCCAGGTAGTCGTGGACTTCCTCGGCGTGAGACGCTGGGATGTGGTACGCCGCGCCCCAGACTTTGCCTGTGGAGGAAGATTCGGATTCCAGGTGCGCGAGCTATGGGGAGATGTTAAGGCGGCTGAGGAGAGCAGGGAGTGGAGCTGGAACATACCGGATCATCCAAGGTCTCCCAGAAGCTTCGCTCGATTACGGTGACTACTCGACCCGGTTGCTCGGGAGTGCCGCGGTGGTCAGTACTTAGGGAGCGAGTCAGCGATTTTGCCATATTGTGTAAATTCAAGATAGTAAAAGGTCAACATACCTAGCCTACAATTCATGGAAAGAAAACCACGATGTCAGTCTCGTCAACCCGAACAGAGCCAATCCTTCAAGTGTAAGGTCCACCCACCTGCCAAAAACGTCGTACATAGCCACTAATATAGCCTGGTACGCGCTGGTCTGGATGATATAGTTAGATAGTCGATCCTTCGATCAGACGTGACCAATACGAGGCTTGTTCTAATGTTGCCTGTTGACCGCCGTCTCATTGCAATCTCACATACCGTAGTGTGGAGGGGGTTTCCAAATCAAGCTCCTATTTGATATAATTAGTATGCAAGACTGGGTATCGGGTCAATGATTCAACCCACCCATAACCGAATACCCAAAGATCACCCTTGGGAAAATGACTCTTCCACGTCCGACCTTCGGGGTGGACCTGATGTCCTTGTGCAATGGCAGCCATACCAGATTTGTTACCGCCACCCAGTCTCTAACGAATCTATGTGCTGGCGCTTCTCAGGTTCCAAGGTTGAAATCGTGGATTAATAGTTCCTTCCCTGCGATGGATTCCAGGGCTGATATTTGCAGGACGCAACGAGCAATTCCAGTGGGAAAACAAGGGCTTATTTGTTCACGATGGCTGTTGTCGATTGGATTTTGGCAACTGTATTTCCAAATGTCGAAGTTTAGAAATCAATCGCTGTACCCCGTCTCCATTGTTTGCAGTGTTTGTTCTTGGACATCCCACCATCTTCGTGCTCGATGAGCGATCTGGCGTCAACAATGGGAGATGTTGGTAATCTGGGATGTGTGGCTATACCTAGATAGTGAGGCATAAACAATTGTTGCAATAGTTACACAGGCTAAGTCAAGTATACTGACATCCACTATACCGTCCGTATCTAGCTAGATCTGGGATGTCCAATCTCTTGTCTCCCAGATTCTCCTGGAGGGGAAGTCCATGTAAATCAGAATTCATCTCGGCAGGATGCTTAATTAGAACCGTCGCTATAGGCGGTTCTCATCTCAGGTACAAGAGGATCACTAGAAATCCGAGTGGTAGCCTTATTCCCTTTCGTGGTAAAGGATAAAACTATTGATATATACATATATCACTAAGATGAACAAACAAGATAAAAAATACTCCAAACTGAGCGTAGAATATAGAAATGACTCCATTTTTGGCAAATAGATAATTCGTGCAAACCGTGGGGACCCATGCTCCCAGGTGCATTTGTGCCTGCATCACTCCTTTCTTATCAACGTCCTTATCGATAGCCTTATCGATTATCAGCTCCTCTTATCGCCCATCCACTCTGGTGTTATCGCGTCTTTTTGTTCCCCAAACAACCCTCGAAGGTGCTTCGATGCTTGCTTCTATTACTTTATTGTCTCTTTTGTGAAGCTTTTGAAGCTAGCTTATCATCATGGCAGGACTTTTCCGTCTTCTCAAGATGCAGTACACCCCTCCCACTGATCCCAAGAGTGTTTCCTTCGCCGGCAAGATCGTCCTTCTGACAGGTGCCACCTCGGGTCTCGGTTTCGAAGCTGCCACCAAACTCCTCAACCTTGGAGTCGAGTCTCTCATTATCGGATCTCGCAGCATGGAACGTGGCAACCAGGCCAAAGCCAGCCTCGAAAAGGCCACCAACCGGCGCAACGTAGTGAAAGTGTGGGAACTTGAGATGAACAGCTTCCAAAGCGTCAAGCGTTTTGCTGACCGTGCGAACACCGAGCTTGACCGACTTGACATTGCTCTCCTCAATGCTGGTATCTGGAATCGGACATATAATGTATCTCCCGAGGGCTGGGAGGAGGACCTACAAGTTAACACGCTATCCACCTCGCTGCTGGCGTTACTTCTGCTCCCCAAGCTGAAGAAAAGCTGCTATGCCGATAACCCCGCCCACCTGAGCGTTGTATCAAGCCAACAGTTCGTCCAAGTTAAAGCCGAAAGTGTGCGCACCGACGACTTGCTGCTGCCGCATGTGAACCAGCCTGACAACTTCAAGGGTCCCAAGCAGTATGGGATCTCAAAGCTTTTGCTTGAATTCATGATGAAGAAAATTGCCAAAATGGTCCGCCACGATGACGGTACTCATCCTCTTATTGTCAACACTGTGAGCCCCGGTCTGTGTGTCTCGGCCCTGGGTCGCCAATACAATCACTGGTGGGAGGTGTGTGTCAAGTGGGTCATGTACAAATTGTTCGCCCGCACCACCGAGCAAGGAAGTCGCTTGCTGGTGAGCGCGGTGCTTCAAGGAGTGGAATCCCAAGGAAGATGCTGGCGCAATGATGGATATCTGGAGTGAGACAACCCTTCTATTTTGTTTTTGTTATATGCATGCTAATGGTTTCTTAGTGAGTCTGCTGCGCTGACTACCAGTCCGGAAGGAGAAGAGCTCCAAGAAAAGACCTGGGAAGAGATCATCGCGCTGCTGGAGGAGCAAGTTCCTGAAGTGTCCATCATCTCCCGGGAACTGTGAAGGAGAACTGCGCCAAGTACTTTATAGGTACATTTCATTTCAGAAAAATCTTGCATGTTGCGTTTGGCGCTTGCTTTAGTGTAATATTAACAAATTTATGGTTTCGATCTTAAGCATCGAGAGTGCTTTTGGTGCTCATATGTTTGTGACTAGATGGCGATACTTGCCCAGCGCTAGCTGTTTCTTACCAGCCTCAATCCCCGGTGGCAAAGGCATCCCTAGAACAACTACTTGGATACCTAAGTAGGTCTAATCCGCTCTTATCCCAAGAGGAGTGGCCAATGCCGATTGCACTGCTAATAATATGCACGCTGATGGACGCATCGAACCATCTACCAAGAAGGTTGGTATTGGTCCGTGTAAATTGTTCCTACGCTATGAGGTATATAGTACCTGGGAGTTTGAGTGCAACGGCTCACTATTTAGAATTGAATCTATGTTCCATATCTGACTGTCTCTATATATATGGAGTGTACCAATGATTGATATTAGATTCATGAATTTTCAATTTAACATATGCCGTCAAAACCCGAGCCTTATTCGTTCCAAGTTGTGGGCAGCTTTGGATAATTCTTCGCATCATAGCCCAAATCCTGATAGACAGTTGCATCCCCTGCATTTCGGGTTAATCTCAGGGTGGTCAACAGAAAGAGCAGCATATTGACATACCTCTCAGGGCTTCAACCCGATGTTCATTTTCCTCTTCCAATTTCTCCAGCTCCTGGCCAGGCTCTTCCTCGTGGGATAATTTACCTCCCTCGGACGATGCAGCTTTGCCAAGCTGGTTCTGCGCCTCGCCAATCATTAGGAATTGAGAATTGGGATAATTCAGGAACTCAGGCAGCAGAGGCACCCATCGGAGATCTTGGAATTTGTCAAGAACTCTGACCAGCACACGTTAGCATGAGAATGGTGGAAGTTCTTCATGAAGATATACTTACGATTGAGGATATTCTGGGTCTTTTGGCAATCGACCAACCGGCGGACCAGGATACTTGGGATTCTTCGACTGAATAATCCAACTCCCGCGTTCTCGGAGCCCAAAGTCCTCTTGGAGAGTGCCCAACTCCGCCGGTATCGTCAAGATATAAGCGAGATGAGAAGCCCGCGGTGTGGAGGTAATTTCGTAGACACCTTCCGCGTAAGGTCTGGCTTCCTCCGTGTGACGTTCACCTCGGGTGGCGGTTTGGTATGTGGTACTAGAGATGAAACTGTCATGAAGATCTTGCATTGATTTTCCAGACTTCTCCACAAATCCCATATCTCGTTCCTTGCCCGACGTCGGGAACTTCTTCTTGGGGAGCATCATCAAGCGACATGAGGCATCTTTATTGACGGGGCCTTGGCCATGATCGAATTGTGCTCCAAGAGGAGTCGGTCGGAGAACAAAGAAGCTTCGAGCGACGTCGCTAATACTTTGGGGGTCCTCTACATTGACGCGCGGGCGGAAGAAGAAATAGATGAAGCCCTTTTCGAGAATAGTGGAAGATACGACATCTTCTCTCTCTTCGGACTTGCGAAGACCTGCCTCAATGTCTGGCTCTTTCTCAGAAGCGGTCTCGGGAGGTTTTTTCTCCAGTGGCTTTTCTTCGACTGGCTCTTTCTCGACTGGCTTTTCTGCTTTGACGGGTGCTCCATCTGCCTTCGGTGCTGCAGGGCCATCTGTCATTGCGTCGGGTACCTGCTCCTCTTTCTCTTTCTCTAGCTTCACATCCTCCTTTTTTTCCTTTTTGGGCTGTGGAGCTTCCTCCACTGAGCCTTTGCGTTTTGTCCCCTTGGAAGACTTGCCAGTCGGTTCGGCGGAAGTTGAGATGGCTTCCTTGGCCTTCTGGGCGGCATGGCGTGAGGATGTTCTTGTGGCCATTCTGAGTGGTAATATGCACGCAATTCGTGGCTCTTTCTCGGCTGGAGATCAATGATCAAATAATAGAACCGACAATGGTTCAGATCCAGCAGCAGTGGTGCGTTTTAAAGCGCCTGGGAAACCGCTCACAATGAGATACACATGACGTCATGTTATACTCCCTTCAATATCGTCACAGGTGAAGCCAAGTACAAATTGTGGGTAAATTTGCCGAGGATTCAAAATGCCGATGAATATTTAGTCAATATCCATTTCATCGACCATGGGCGAGTTGTCCACGGTATCAATGCCACTCAGATCGACCGATTGTGTTTCGGAACTTGAGCTTTCATTTACTTTGGCCTCCCGAAAACCCTCAAATGGGTCCATACCTTGGGAGTATTCATGCATTTGTTTGCCAAATTTCTGTCGTTTGGTGCAATGTTCACGGGCTTGAGCGTGAGATTCGGCTAATGCGTGTCTTTGTTTCAAATGCTGTGTAGCACCAGTGGCAAGGGATGGCTTTCTCTTCTGTCCTCTTTTTCGCACAGCAGGTATCCCATTTGGGTTATGTCCATCGGGCTGGTAATTTAAATCGTTCATGTAGTCTACCAAGTCGCGTTGCCATCGTTCAAACGGATCCGGGAGACATGGTACATCCGGCCATGGCATGATACACTCGGGCTCATCATCGGGTTCTTCGATGGCATAAGGCTTGATGACTCGAATTTGATCATCTTCCTCAACCGACTGCGAGTCATGAACAGGCGTCGAGGCCCCCGAGTCGTCCACACTCTGCTCACTTTCATCTGCGTGGAATGAGGTCGGCCCGATGAAGTATTCCAATGGCAGGTATGACTCGTTGGAGCCGGAAGAATTGGTGTCATTCATTTGAAGACCTTCCATTATGCTATCATATATTGGGGTTTCAACCAAGTCGATATTGAGATATCGGTCTAAAGTCAGCGGTCAACTCGCAAGATGCATAATGGGGCCCAGGAGTGGGATTGTATATGGAATATGTGACCAAGAACATGTATTCTATTAAAAGATTAAGAACAGGGGAAATATCAAAGGACATTGGAAGCATGGAACTCGCAAGAAAGCTATGGTCGGCGATAACATCATGGGCTTCCAGATGCTTCCAACGCGGGGTGTATATATGGAGAGTTACCATACATCTCCACATCTCGAAGCCGAACTTCAGATGTATAGCTAAAAAGGAGTATATGATCAGTCCAGTCTATAATATAAAACAGAATCTATAGAATAGTCCCTAGACCCTGGTCTCTGGACAATCTAAGACCAAGACTAGCTCTCCCCCTGACCGCTCACCGCCCGGCGGCATGATTGGCCGATGTCATTCGCTTCCACAGTAGAGTCCACGTTTAGTTTACTGCTACACCAACAACAGCACCAAGTGTTTACCTTTTGCTCTTTCTCTATTCTGGTGGATGCGGTGGTCGCCTCTGCCTTCTATTGCTCTCTAGTGTGCGGAGCTTGCTACTTTACAGTGCGGCTCCGGCCAAATCTTCAAGATGCAGTCCTCCCCAAACATGCTCACCAAGGTACGCCCCTCGCAATGACATCTAATGCGCCACATATAGCACTCGACTCAATTGCAGATTCTAATAACCTTCTTTCTTGTGCAGTTTGAGTCGAAATCCTCCAGAGCCAAAGGAATCGCATTCCATCCCAAACGGTCAGTGAATGCCGCAGATGGACACCTAATACCTCAAAACACCCAAGCTGACCTTGAATAGGCCATGGATTCTCGTTTCTCTTCACTCCTCAACCATCCAACTATGGGATTACCGCATGGGAACTCTCATTGACCGATTCGAAGAACATGATGGACCGGTTCGCGGCGTTGACTTCCACCCAACCCAGCCCCTGTTTGTGTCGGGAGGTGACGACTACAAGATCAAGGTCTGGAACTACCAGACTCGGAGGTGTTTGTTCACATTAAATGGCCACTTGGATTATGTGCGAACAGTCTTCTTCCACCCCGAACTGCCTTGGATCCTGTCTGCGTCCGATGACCAGACCATCAGAATCTGGAACTGGCAAAATCGGTCACTCAGTAAGCAGCGTTGGAGCCACATGTATCGAAAATGACTAACGTTCTGGCCTCATTTCAGTCTGTACGATGACCGGTCACAACCACTATGTTATGTGCGCTCAATTCCACCCCACCGAGGACCTCATCGCCTCGGCCTCGTTGGATCAGTCTGTTCGCATTTGGGACATCTCTGGCTTGCGGAAGAAGCACTCGGCCCCGACCTCGATTTCCTTCGAAGATCAAATGGCACGAGCCAATCAAAACCAAGCCGATATGTTTGGAAACACCGACGCAGTCGTCAAGTTCGTGCTGGAAGGCCACGACCGTGGTGTTAACTGGGTGTCGTTCCACCCTACATTACCCTTGCTCGTGTCGGCTGGTGACGATAGATTGGTTAAACTTTGGCGGATGAGCGATACTAAGGCGTGGGAGGTCGATACTTGCCGCGGTCATTTCCAGAATGCCTCCGCCGCTCTGTTCCACCCACACCAGGACCTCATCCTGTCCGTTGGTGAAGATAAGACGATTCGCGCATGGGATCTGAACAAGCGTACATCGGTTCAGTCCTTTAAGCGTGACCATGATAGATTCTGGGTTATCGCCGCCCACCCCGAGATGAACTTGTTTGCCGCAGGCCATGACACCGGTGTTATGGTCTTCAAGCTCGAGCGAGAGCGTCCTGCGTCTGCTATCTACCAGAACCAGCTGTTCTACATCACAAAGGAGAAGCACGTTAAGTCATATGACTTTGCTAAGAATGTTGAGTCGCAGCCGATGCTTTCGCTGCGCAAGCTGGGTTCCCCATGGGTCCCTCCCCGAACCCTCTCTTACAACCCTGCTGAGCGAGCTATTTTGGTCACCTCGCCGGCTGATAATGGAACTTATGAATTGATTCACTTGCCTAGAGATGCTACCGGAGCGGTTGAGCCCACAGATGTCAAGCGCGGACAGGCAACCTCGGCAGTCTTCGTCGCCCGCAACCGTTTCGCTGTGTTCAACCCCTCAAGCCAACAGATCGATATCAAGGATCTGAGCAATTCCACAACGAAAACAATCAAGCCCCCAGCCGGAACTACTGACATCTACTTTGGCGGCACCGGATGCTTGCTCTTCATCACTCCTACACATGTGACTCTGTTCGATATCCAACAAAAGAAGCAGCTTGCAGAACTTGCAGTTAGCGGAGTGAAGTATGTGGTATGGTCCAACGATGGACTTTACTGCGCTTTGCTCAGCAAACACAATGTCACTATTGTCACTAAGACCCTTGAGCAAGTCAGCACCCTGCACGAGACTATCCGCATCAAGAGTGCTACCTGGGATGATGCCGGTGTGCTGCTCTACTCCACTCTCAACCACATCAAGTACTCGCTTCTTAATGGTGACAATGGTATCATTCGCACTCTGGACCAGACTGTATACCTTGTCCGTGTCAAGGGACGCAGCGTCTATGCTCTTGATCGCAACGCCCAGCCACGAGTTTTGGAGATTGACCCGACTGAGTACCGTTTCAAGCTCGCCCTTGTGAAGCGTAACTACGACGAAATGCTTCAGATTATTAAGACTTCGAGCTTGGTTGGCCAGAGTATTATCTCTTATCTGCAGAAGAAGGGTTATCCGGAGATTGCTTTGCAGTTCGTGCAAGATCCCCAGACCCGCTTCGACCTTGCCCTTGAATGTGGCAATCTCGAAGTTGCTAACGAGATGGCACGCGAACTCGACCGTCCCAAGTTTTGGACTAGGCTCGGAGCCGAGGCATTGGCTCATGGTAACCACCAGACTGTCGAAATGACCTATCAAAAGCAGCGTAACTTCGACAAGCTCTCTTTCCTTTATCTCTCTACTGGTGACCAGGAGAAGCTTTCCCGTATGGCTAAAATCGCCGAACACCGTGGCGACTTTACATCTCGTTTCCAAAACGCTATCTACCGTGGCGATGTTGAGGACCGAATCCAAATGTTCAAGGAAGTCGATTTGTGTATGTGTTGACTCCAGTGAAAATTGTTTCTCTCATACTGACCGTTATAGACCCTCTTGCCTATCTCACTGCCAAGTCACACGGTCTGACTGAAGAGGCCGAGTCCATTCTGGAAGCTGTTGGTTTAACTGAAGATCAGATTGCTTTGCCCACACTCGAGCAACCTTTGACAGTTCCCCATCCTATTGTGCCTACCTTCAAGTCCAACTGGCCCGTCAAGGCTGCTGGTCACTCTTCCTTTGAGAAGGCCCTTCTTGGCGAGGTTGGTGCTGCCGATGAGGAGGCAGGTGCTGATGGATTCGATATCGAGGAGGAGGAGCAAGAAGCTGCTCTCGCCCGGGAAACCCTTGATGATGATGAAGAGGAAGTTTCCGGATGGGACATGGGCGATGATGTCAATGCTGAGGAAGATGTCGACTTCGTCAACGTGGAAAGTGCCGAAGCTGGAGCGGGTGGTTCCGAGGCCGACTTGTGGGCTCGTAACTCCCCACTGGCTGCTGATCACGTTGCCGCGGGCTCTTTCGACACTGCGATGCAGCTCCTGAACCGTCAAGTCGGTGCCGTTCACTTCGCTCCCCTCAAGGCTCGTTTCCTCGAAGTGTACAAGGCGTCCAAGACCTATCTCCCAGCAACTGCTGGTCTGCCACCTTTGGTCAACTACGTCCGCCGGACCATTGATGAAACCGACTCCCGGAAGATGCTTCCCATCATTCCTAAGGACCTAGAGACCATTGCTAGTGTTGACTTGCAGGAGGGCTATGCCGCCATGCGTTCCAATAAATTGGAGGATGGCGTTGCAACCTTCAAGCGCATTCTCCACACTCTCCTCGTGAACACAGTCTCATCCGAGGCTGACGTGGAGCAGGCAAAGAAGATCATTGCCACTGCGCGCGAATACATCCTGGCTATGTCTATCGAGCTCGAGCGCCGTACTCTTTCCACCGATACCCCCGAGAACCTCAAGCGTAGTCTTGAGCTATCTGCCTACTTCACCATTCCTAAGCTCGAGGTCGCTCACCGACAACTGGCATTGATGGCTGCTATGAAGTTCGCCTTTGCCAACAAGAACTACGGCTCTGCCTTGAGCTTTGCCAACCGGATGCTGGCTAATGGGGGCTCAGCCAAGCTTTTGGAACAGGTAAAACTTCCTATATCTGCATCTATAAACTTGATGGATCTTTACTGACTACAAAATACAGGCTAAGAAGATTAAAGCTCAGTGCGAACGCAATCCACAAGATCAGATCGATATTGACTTCGATCCCTTCGCCGAGTTCGATATTTGCGCTGCTTCCTTCACCCCCATCTACAGCGGCTCCCCCAGCGTATCAGACCCCTTCACTGGCGCCAAGTATCACCCCCAGTACAAGGGCAGTGTCGACCGCATATCGGAGGTTACGGAGATTGGTGCGCCGGCCAGCGGCTTGCGCCTGTTCGTCCCCAGTCAATTTTAATTGCAGCATGACGAAGCATGACGGTTTTCTCCCTTTTTTTCACTTCTTGGTTTGAAGTTACAAAACGGGTACATTTTCATCTGCACGAGGAGAGGTTGTGTTTGGCGGCGCTTTTCATTTTTTTTAGGCTGGGAGAAAGATAAAACTTCCTGCGCACAGCCCCCCTGTCTAGATGTCTTTTTGTATCCAAGATTATAATTGCTTAGCGATCTAGTTTGTATGCGAACATGTTTTGTCCAAATACCTCTCCTCCAGTTATCACCCACCAGCCGTGCCTTTAATCGCCTGATCGATACCATGTACCTACGTACCTATCTCTACATATAATACGAACCATAGTGATAAAAGTACAGATTTTTTGATTCGCCCAACTATGCAATTCTAATGTACAAGGGAGATGTTCGAATCGAAGAGTAGAGAGAAGAACATCAATCATAAACATACAACACCTCAATCGCACCGACCATCCTTCCACCCAGTGCGCCACCGCTCCTCCCAAAATCGACAATCAAACTCCTTCTTCCCAAGCTTCCGATTGACCTCGTTATGCGCTTCGCACATCCACCACCCAAACTCCTTCCGACTACTCAGCTTTGGCTGATTCCGCGCCATCCACGTCTGGAAGTCATCAGCACACACCCAGCACGGGTACAGCTTCGAGAAGAACTTCAAAAACCCGCGCATATTATCCTGGTGCTCTGTGTTTGCTTTCTCGGGGTATGTAGCAGCCATCGAGTGCAGTAGTGTCCAAGTCGAGCGACCTAGCTCTTCGACGTCTGGCGGGCACTCAGAGGGCGTTGCGCTGGGTGAGGGGGTTGCGGCCGCAGCGAAGGCGGGCATAGAAGCTGTCATTTTGCTTACGCTCGAGTTGAAGGTTGGTTTTGAGGTTGAGTTTGAGCTTGATGTCTTTTCAAGGTCGGCTTGTTTGGTCAATGCTCGCCATGAGGCGACGGAGGTGCAGGTGCGGCAGCTGTTTAGGTGGCATGTTAGTCTGGACTGTAGATCGGGTGACACAGGTGGCTGGTGCTTGTTGATACATACGGCTTTCCGTCTTTGCCTAGGACGACGCCCTTGGGCAATGGGGCTTTTGTATCATCGTCTTGGGCTGGCTTGGAGGAGCTTGCGGAGTCCGCGGTGGTTTGCTGGTTGAACATGAGCCCTGCGCCTTTATTTTGGCTGTTGATTTGCTCTGATGGAACCTCAGACATGGTGGCACTTGTGAATGTTCGGTTCACCTGGAGTATCGTGAATTGGAAGTTGTAAAAGTGAGTCGGAGCTGATTTCTAATAAAATGCGGAGAATAGCGGAGGCTAAAAAGAGGCAATCGTGATGGGGATTTGGCGCGAGGACCTGAAAATGACCATGAAAATGACGTGCCAACGATTCTGCAATAAATGAGCTTTGTATGTGCTAGAGATCCAAAAGCTAGCTTTCAGAGCAAACTAAGTCGCAAATGATATGCAAGTCAGATATCCCAGCGCCGATCTTGGAATATCGATGCCGCTTTGTCAGCCATTTTCCACGGCGCCCTCCCCAATTTAGACGCGCTTCCCCTCGCATGATTGTAGATGACCTCAAGCTTCTTTTCTTCTTACCTTTGTTTGCTACTCCATGCTGCCCCACCTAACAGCTGGTCCATGTGCCTGAATTGACACCTACCCTATCAACCCATTTTCAATCGCTACAAGGCAACATCAACATGGCGCCGAAGTATGCATTTACATTATCTGATTCTGAGTCTGAAGCAGAAGTCGAGATGCCCAGCGCTCCCTCAGACCAGGCACTAGAGAGCGGTCTCCGCGAGACAGTAGCTGCGATATTCAAGTCGGGCAATATGGAGGAATTGACTGTGAAACGCGTGCGACTTGCGGCGGAAGTCAAACTAGGTCTTGCTGAGGGGTATTTCAAGTCTACGGGTGTCTGGAAAATGCGGAGTGAGGAGATTATCAAGGATGAGGTGGTAAGTGTTCTTTCAGATGGATGGAGCTTCACGGTGGGAAAGATTCTGATTGAGATGGTACAGGGGCTACAAGACCAGGCAGACCAGAATCCGCAGTCCTCGCCCGCACAAAAATCGCCCTCTCCTCCCCCAAAACCTAAGTCGGCTGCCATTCCAAAGCGATCAAAGCCCGCAAGCGCGCCAAAGCCCAGGAAGCGTCAGAAGCCTGAACCGCCGGTCGTCGATGAAGATGATGAGCCATCAGTCGCGTCCGGGGATGAAAGCGACGAGGTTACCAAGCCTAAGAAACGATCAAAAGCACCAGTCGATAAGGTACCCATTAAGAAGACAAAGGGCGACATATCAGATGCTTCTGATATTTACTCCGGCGACGAAAGTGAGGAGGTCACTAAGCCTAAACAACGGTCAAAGACACCAATTAAGAAGGCAACCGTCAAGAAAACAAAGGAGGACGTATCAGACGCTTCTGATGTCTCCGATAAAGGTTCGGATGAAGTCAAACCAACCGAAAATACAGTGGAGGAGTCCGAAAGCGAGATGTCGGTGGTGCTTGACGAAGAGCCGCAGCCTAAAGCCCCACGCAAGCGACAAAAGAGTGCCGGAGCAGCTGCCCCCAAGACGAAAAAAGCCTCCAAAGCCAAGGCCGAGGATGTCACTCCGGACCAGGCCGAAATCAAACGACTGCAAGGATGGCTGATTAAGTGTGGAATCCGTAAGCTGTGGGGTAAGGAGCTGGCTCCGTATGATACCCCAAAGGCCAAGATTAAGCACTTGAAAAGGATGCTCGAGGATGCTGGAATGACCGGCCGGCCATCTCAAGAGAAGGCAAATCAGATTCGCGAAGAACGAGAGTTGAAAGCGGATCTAGAGCAGATCCAGCAAGGTGCAAAGCAATGGGGTGCAAATAGCGACGAGGATGATGATGCTGGGAAGCCTCGACGCCGGCTGGCTCGCGGGCGACAGTCGCTTGCATTTTTAGAGAGCGATGGGGAAGAGACCGATTGATAGACACCACATAACCGTATATCGTAATTAATGGTCTCTTTATTTCAACAGTTGAGCCGCTGGGAAGCAAATTAGGCCATCTCGCGACGCGCTTCATACTTCATAATATCAGAATATGTGCCTCAAGCAGTTGCCTTCCATTATCGCCCAGCCTTGGAACCACTCATGCGTTGGGCAGTCAAACTGAATATGGCAACGGAAGAGATGAAGAGTACAAGATTGTAGAACTATTCTTGTTAGCATGCATCTTGTAATTGTGTCGGAGGTGACGTACAGCCTTTCGCGAGTACTCGTTCTCTTCTGCCTCCGTTCTAGCCTCGACGAAAAGGCGTCGCAAGTTGGGGAGATTGGCCTGCAGATATGTTAGCCTTGGCAATTTTGACAGATATCCAGATAGCTCACCATTGAAGACACAGCAGTGATGGACTGGGGTTAGAAGACGGTGAGCCAATTTAAAGGAGAGTGATGATCGCAGAGCGGGAGAGTCCAGAAGCCGCCATTTGTGGACAAGTTTTGATCGTCCAAAACACCCTTTCTCTTTCTCTCCCCCATTCTTCGTTTAAATCCCCGCCACCTCGGATTGTTCTCGAGTCTCTCTGTATTTGCGGGCAAAGTGAGGAATCTCAACACCTCTAGATTCCCTTCCGATCCCGACATCGCGCGACCGTGAAGCTCCCAATTCCCCGCAGTCGCCCAACGCACCTCGATTCCCACTCCCATCCCCGATATCTCTAAGTGGAGGCACGACATAGTCGTTGCTGAAGCTTATACATACTCGCTATGGCGATGAACAAGATCCGCGGCGCCTTTGCGGTGCCCCGGAAAGGAGAGACATTCGAATTGCGAGCTGGCCTTGTGTACGCGGCCCCCTCCACGCGCTGGGCACCTCGCCAATAATGACGGACGATGCTGACTATTATTACAGTTCCCAGTATGCGTATGAACGGTATGTCCAGTGGCGCAGCCTTTACGCCGGTGTGGTAGTGTTAGGCAAAGAAACGTTGTGGCTAACAGCGCAACAGGAAGGAATCCATCCAAAAGACGATCATGGCCATGACACTGGGAAAGGATGTTTCGGCCCTGTTCCCAGATGTGCTCAAGAATATTGCTACGGCCGATCTTGAACAGAAGAAATTGGTCTACCTTTATCTCATGTGGGTGCCACCTCGCAGTTCAAGGTGGCTACGTATGCTGATTAGGCAAATCTCCATTGCAGGAATTACGCCAAATCGCACCCGGACCTATGTATTCTTGCTGTGAACACCTTCGTCCAAGACTCCGAAGACCCCAATCCATTGATTCGTGCGTTGGCAATCCGGACAATGGGTTGTATTCGGGTGGATAAGATGGTTGATTACATGGAAGAACCGCTGCGCAAGACCCTTCGAGACGAGTCACCCTATGTTCGCAAAACCGCTGCAATCTGTGTGGCCAAACTTTTCGATCTGAACCCAGCAATGGCTCTTGAGAACGGATTCCTGGAAATGCTTCAGGAGATGATTGGAGACCCCAACCCGATGGTTGTCGCCAATTCGGTGACCGCGCTTCAAGAGATTCATCACACGGCACCCGAGACACAGGCTCTGCAAATTACAGCTAACACTCTACGGAAGATGCTGATGGCTTTGAACGAGTGCACGGAATGGGGCCGTGTTACTATTCTCTCAACTTTGGCTGAATACAAGACCTCTGATGTTAAGGAGTCAGAGCACATCTGCGAACGAGTGGCTCCTCAATTCCAGCATGTTAACTCCGGTGTGGTTCTTGCAGCAGTTAAGGCTGTGTTCTTACATATGAGGAACGTTAGCCCTGAATTGTCAAAGACCTACCTCAAGAAAATGGCCCCACCATTGGGTAAGTCCCCTACTGTTCTTGTTGCACTTATCTTGCTAAATTTGGATAGTCACATTGGTTTCTTCGGCCCCTGAGGTGCAATATGTCGCATTGCGAAATATCGACCTTATCTTGCAGAAAGAGCCTGATATTCTCAACAAGGAACTCCGTGTTTTCTTCTGCAAATACAATGACCCGCCATATGTTAAGTTCCAGAAACTTGAGATTATGGTGCGCATAGCGAACGACCGTAATGTGGACCAACTCCTTGCTGAGTTGAAGGAATATGCCCTTGAAGTCGATATGGACTTCGTCCGCCGAGCTGTCAGAGCGATTGGCCAAGTTGCCATCAAGATCGAGAGCGCCAGCGAGCGGTGCGTCAACACATTGCTGGACCTCATCAACACCAAGGTAAATTACGTCGTTCAAGAAGCGATCGTAGTCATCAAGGATATTTTCCGGAAATACCCTGGTTATGAAGGTATCATTCCGACTCTTTGCCAGTGCATCGATGAGTTGGACGAGCCCAACGCTAGAGCAGCACTCATCTGGATTGTTGGAGAGTATGCCGAGAAGATTAGCAATGCGGGTGATATCTTGGGTGGCTTTGTGGATGGTTTCAACGAAGAATTCTCTTCGGTTCGTTCTTCTCCCCTGACATATACTTCTCATCGTGGGCTAACCTCTCTCTATAGACCCAACTGCAAATCCTGACATCTGTCGTCAAACTTTTCCTTAAGCGGCCTGAGAAGGCACAGGGCCTTGTGCAGCGTGTTCTCCAAGCTGCCACATCTGAGAACGACAACCCAGATGTCCGCGATCGAGCATACATCTACTGGCGTCTTTTGTCCAACACCAGCGATTCAAATGCGACCAAGAACATCGTGCTCTCGGAGAAGCCCCCCATCGTTACCACCATTCACTCACTCCCGCCGGCGCTCCTCGAACAACTTCTCTCCGAACTCTCTACTCTATCTTCCGTCTACCACAAGCCTCCCGAGCAGTTTGTTGGCCACGGCCGATTCGGCGCTGACGCCGTCATGCGCGCTGCTATCGAGTATGTATTCAAATTCTTGTTTCCATTGAACGTATCGTTAATCAATCTACAGGGAACAAATCCAAAACGCACGCGAGAACCCATTGGCTGCGGCGGCTGCCGCTGCCGCTGGCGGCACCGCCCCCCTGCGCAGGCGCAAAACAACGTCGAGAACCTGCTGGACATCGATTTCGACGGCGGAGCCCCTGCCTCGGCACAAACCGAGCCTTCCAGCGGCATGTCCGGTCTGGAGGGTCTGGCTGGCACCCCCGTACGGGTAGCGTCACCTGTCACGGGTGCCCCAACAAACCAATCCAGCAACAACCTGGATGACCTATTGGGCGTTTTCGGGGACTCTAGTGCTGCTCAGCCCTCTTCCAGCGGCCCCAGTGGCGGCGGTGGCACTGCAGACCTCATGAACGGATTCTCCGGTCTTGACCTCTCCGGCAACGCGGATTCTTCTCAAAACAACCAGTCTAAGAAATCCAACGACGATATCCTGTCGCTCTTCTAGAGCGATCTATGGTATAGCCAAGCGTGAGTTTGAACCGAACGAGATAGATTGGTGTTTTCCTTTACGTGTTTAATTTTGCTTGCATCTCTACCCAACCGGATTCCAAAAGGCCTGTATATTTCTGCCTCGAATATTGATTGTTTTATTGTATTGAGAGGTGGCCAGCTTTTTAGCGTACATTGAGTATAGCTTGACTATGCAGGCGAGTCTTTATGGCAGTTTACGAGTTACCCAGGTCTATGTTCGTAGGTATAACCGGGCTTCTGTGCCGAGGAGATATAAATAAAGTTCCGCTTTTGCCTTGGCCAATGCAAGCCACCGCTCCACCGAAAAAAAGAAAAAAGCCCTACTTTGACCAAAGGTCTCCATGAAGTGAATCGATCTGCTAATACCACAGATTGAATCCATTATCTCGTAATTACACTATGTACATATCTGCTTACCTGCTTGTAAGTATGTTGTTTGAAGTATGTAAATGCTATATTGCAGGTGATTACCCGGCAATATCTAGGACAAGCCCAGCTCAATGCATTTAACCCCGTCCGAATCACATACTCTTAAGTCCATATCTCCGAAATTGACCCTTCCATCGGCAAGAAACGGTGCTGACGAATCTTAAAACCGAAGTTTCCAGTGCCAACCCCGAGTGGGACCCGGACCTATCCCGCTTCGAAGAGTGGGATATAAATGGGGCACGTCCCCAAGAAAGATGTGGGTTTGCGACAGCGAAACTTCACTCGATTTCCGAACATAACTCCCATTGATCAAAATGGCTCAAACTGACTACAAGTTCGAAGGATGGATGGGTCTTGACCCTACCTCCGGCGAGGGCAACATGGTCTGGCAAGACTTCCAGCCGAAACAGTGGGAGGAAACCGATGTCGATATTAAGATTTCTCACTGCGGTATCTGCGGCTCTGATCTGCACACCCTCCGGAGCGGTTGGGTATGTTGATTGATATACATCGAAGAGACTGCTAGGTACATCAGGAACTAACATTTGCCACCAGAGACCCACCGATTATCCCTGTTGTGTGGGCCACGAGATTGTAGGTACAGCCGTGCGCGTGGGAAGCAAGGTTACCGACATCAAAATCGGTGACCGCGTCGGTGTCGGCGCGCAGAGCGAGTCCTGCCTTGGCCGTCTAGGCGACTGCGAGGAGTGTGCGGCAGGCCTCGAGAACTACTGCAGCAAGAAGGTCGTCGGCACGTACAACAGCATTCACTACGATGGCAGCAAGTCATACGGCGGTTATGCGACCTACAGCCGGGTGCCGGCTCACTTTGCTATCAAGATTCCTGATGCTATCTCGTCCGCTGATGCTGCGCCTATGCTGTGCGGCGGTGCTACCCTTTACAGCCCGCTGAAGCACAACAACTGTGGTCCTGGCAAGCGCGTTGGTATTATTGGTGTTGGTGGTCTCGGTCACTTCGGATTGCTCTTTGCGAAGGCTATGGGCGCTGATAAGGTCGTGGCTATCTCGCGAAAGCTGGGCAAGAAGGAGGATTCGTTGAAGATGGGAGCGGATCTTTACATCGCTACTGATGATGAGCCTGAGTGGGCTACAGCTAATGCCCGGTCTTTGGACCTGATTGTCTCGACTGTTTCGTCGGTCAAGGTGGGTTTGAACCTTTCGCAGGCTGGGTATTGAGATTCAGAGACTGACTATTTGTATAGATGCCTTTTGCCGATTACCTGGGTCTTTTGAAGACTGGTGGAACTTTCGTTCAAGTCGGCCTTCCTGAGGACGGTGGCTTGTTTGCACCTGTTCGCAACTTGATGCGCCGCATCAAGCTTGAGAGCTCTCTCGTTGGCAGCCCCAATGAGATCCGCGAGATGTTCCAGCTTGTTGCTGAGAAAGGAATTCGCCCGTGGGTGGAGGAGATCCCAATGAAGGATGCAAACAAGGCAATTGTGGATATGGAGGATGGAAAAGCCCGCTACAGATTTGTGCTGGTCAACGAGTAGAGGACTATAACCATATTTAAAAATCATCATCCAATAAACCCATGCATTTCATGGACATACAACACACATCTGAACTATACCAGGCTTGAAAGAATCCAAACAATGCAAACATTCCCGAATAAACTCTCCGCCTATCAAATTGCACGTGAGCGCCGCTCTCGGAGCTACTAGTCCGCTTTAGGACGCCAGGATTGCCCCCGCGGTGGGATGAATCATTCGGCCTCAAGTCAGTTTAATCTTTTGCCCGTGTTTGCCTTCATTCAAGTCAATTGATTTTGCCCTTAGCTAATCATGTCTCCAACACTCTCACAACAGTATCTCAGCACCCGAGGTGCTGAATACGGGGTGAGTCAATAAAAACACAATTCCTCCGTCGCAAACATTACTAACCCGCCTCTTTTCTCTAGAGATCCTTCGAAGATGTTGTTCTTCAAGGCCTGGCCTCAGACGGTGGTCTGTTCATCCCGGAAGAGATCCCTTCTTTCCCCGCCAACTGGCAGACCGAATGGCGGGATTTGAGCTTCGAGGATTTGGCTCTCGAACTCATGTCGCTATACATCTCCACCGACGAGATCCCTCGCGAGGATCTCAAGAGCATCATCCAAAAGTCCTACTCGACCTTCCGTCACCCTGAGCGCACTCCCTCGATTCCCTTGGACAAGAACCTTTACCTCCTTGAGCTCTTCCATGGACCGACATTCGCCTTCAAGGATGTTGCGCTGAGCTTCCTCGGAAACCTCTTCGAGTACTTCCTCATCCGCAAGAACGCTGGCAAGACTGGCAAGGACAGACACCACCTGACCGTCGTCGGTGCCACTAGCGGTGACACTGGTTCCGCTGCTATCTATGGACTGCGCGGCAAGAAAGATGTTTCAGTTTACATTCTGTTCCCCGATGGCGGACGAGTCTCGCCAATCCAAGAAAAGCAGATGACCACTATCTTGGACCCTAATGTGCATACCCTCACCGTGGACGGTTCGTTCGACCACTGCCAGGATATTGTTAAAGCTCTTTTCGCCGATAAGGATTTCAACTCCACTCACAACATCGCCGCTGTGAACTCCATTAACTGGAGTCGCATTATGGCTCAAATCACGTACTACGTGTACTCCTACTTCTCCCTTATCAAGACTCCCTCCTTCAACAAGGACTCCCAGATCCGCGTCGTTGTGCCCTCAGGTAACTTCGGTGATATCTTGGCTGGTTGGTTCGCTAAGCAGATGGGTCTTCCTATCGAGAAGCTGGTGATTGCCACCAACGAGAACGACATTCTCGACCGCTTCTTCCGCAGCGGTGGCCACTACACAAAGAAGGCCCTCGACGCCCCCTCCGACCACGGTGTCAAGGAAACCCACAGCCCTGCCATGGACATCCTTGTCAGCAGCAACTTCGAGCGTCTGCTTTGGTTCCTGTCCTACCAGAGCGCCGCCGGTAACTCCGCCGAAGAGCGCCGCAAGCACGCCTGCGACAACGTCAGCGGCTGGCTCGAGGAGCTGAAGACCAAGGGCGGCTTCCAGGTCCCCAGTGCCGTTCTCGAGGGCGCCAAGGCCGAGTTTGAGAGTGAGCGCGTTAGCAACGACGAGACTATCTCTACTATCCGTGACATCTACACCACCTCCTTCCCCAAGGGTCTCGGTGCCGGCTCTGCTAAGAGCTCCAAGACCGGTGGTTACATCCTTGATCCTCACACTGCTGTTGGTGTTGCTGCCTCGCGCCGCTCTATGGCTCGCAACCCTACCGATGCTCACATCTCTCTGTCCACTGCCCACCCCGCGAAGTTCGCCAGTGCTGTGGACCTTGCTCTGCGTGCGGAGAACGGTTACGATTTCACTGAGATTTTGCCCCAGGAGTTCGTTGGTCTGGAGCAGCGTGAGAGCCGGGTCACCCCCGTTGGCAAGGATGCTGGCTGGCAGGGTGTCAAGGAAATCATCAAGGCTGAATTGGAGCAGGAGCTTCAGGGTCTGCGTTAAAAGGGTTTTTGATAGAGAGCAAGACTTGGGTATAGCGTAGATATGTTTGGGATCGTTGTCTTTGTCGATTTTGTCATTATCAAGTCATAATGTGGATATTAAAAGCTCAAACTTGCTATAGCAGCATATTAAACATGATGAATGGTACAGATCCTGGCACTTCGAGCCTTGGAGATTTAGAATAACATAGAAGGCGACCCACTGCTTCTACATTGAGACTGCAATGTGATCTATGTACATGGTCATTGAGGATTATGGTGGTTAGGGCTAATAAGAGACCATATTGAGGGATTGGGATGACAGAAATCGACATTTTAATTCAGTGCAGATGCTTTCAATATCTTATAACATTATCAATTTCAATGGTGGACATATAGGGAAAGAATCCAAAGCAATAGACTCTATTATTATTGGTGCAAAATTGCCTAAAACGGCAGAGATGGGAAAAGGCAAGGAAAGCAACGTCTTCAATTTGGAAGATAGCGAATAAACAAAGATAGCAGCTCGCGATAGCATGCAATTTTACGATTCGTTCGAAAGTCTTTCGCATATACGGTCACTCTACTAACGACAGGCCATTTAAATGAACTGAATGGCTACGTAATGGATAATTGGTCATTAAAAAATAGGCCAAGGACAAAAAAGAAACTGGGCAGTTACTGCCCGACCGGGGGGTCGAACCCCGAACCTTGTGATTTATCGTGAATCACAAATAAAAGTCACACGCTCTGCCAATTGAGCTAGCCGGGCTGATGCGCTGATAACGAACTATCTGGGTATAGAATAGATAAAAGGTGTGGATATAAAAATAATAGTGCAAATATAAAAAGCAAGCGGGCAGCTTCTGCCCGACCGGGGGGTCGAACCCCGAACCTTGTGATTTATTGTGGGAAACACGAATAAAAGTCACACGCTCTGCCAATTGAGCTAGCCGGGCGGATTTATGAATTACGGATTGTTTGAATGAATCATGAGAGGTCGCACCTTTGAAATTATCTTTCCCGAGATTTAGACATGTCGAAGGCAAGAGGTTAGTAGATATATATTCACGAGATACCTATTTTCGTGATATAACTATCTCCATTTTCCCCCGTGCACATATGATCATGTAGCTTCCTATCGGATTCATATATTCCTGATATGCTAATAAGATTAATCTCCTATGGTATCAGGATTAGCACCTTCAACGCACTTTGAAGGCTACACCACCAGTTTCCGCCCACTACGTACTCGCACTATATTATACGGTAGCGAGACATTTCAGTCCAGGCTGCTTTCAGTTAAACGAATATAGGAACAGTTAGGGTTGTGGAGGTAGTTTCTTTCTGGACCCTTGCAGATGTATAAGGGATCTATATATTTGCAGTCAATAAATGTTCCCCCCTCTTATACCAATTATGAACAAGATTTAATTTTACGCTTCTGTAAGAAGAGGATCTTTATTCCATGACAAGCTGTACATTCCCGATCTTACTATTCAACAATAGAGGCCAGGTCATATTTCAGTGGAATACCAATTATACCCTTTCACTCTGGTTACATGCACATTGTCATACTTCACCAGTCGCCATACACTGCAACAAGAGCATGCTACTGTTTGCCTTAGATAGTTGGAATCTGATGTCTTAAGTTGTTTTGTCGCTCTATAGCTGGAATTTCCTTAAGCCGTCGAGAAGATACACTCCATTATAATGAACACTTTTCATCTTCATCTTCCTCTTTTTTTCCTCCCTCCCCCTGATTGCCTTGAATTCTCAAAATCAACATTGTAAAATCCTCGAACAAGGCTTGCATTACTAAATTATGTTTACATCACTAAGGCTGCCCAGGTGGCCAGGCGGTTGGCTCTGTAGTCATCAAGAGACGGCTCCAGCTTCTCTCATTGACTTGCATATCGACACCCTTCTCGTCCTGTACACTATGCTAAAACCGTCACCCCCACTCAGTTCCTCCAAAAACCCCATTCAGACAGAGCAAGTCTATGACAATGAGTCCGAGGCAGGCAATGCTCTAGCTGGGAACCAAATGCTGGAACACTTTATCTGGGGAGATCTAGAAGGCCTCGAGGATGAAGATCTTCACCCCCAGAGACACTTTAAGAAACAAGGATTTAACGCGCAGCGTGAGATGTTTGAAGAAGTTACTAAAAGTATCCGGGGCTCATTTGGGACGATTCACTCAACAGACTTCGTTCCCTCCAGATTCCTTGCATCATCACCCACGAAAAGCAGGAAGCTGTAAACCTAGCTATTGAGAATGGCAAAGTGAACAGAAAATTTCTAGCAAAATTCATGCTATGTGCTTATGAGGCAATGTCGGATGAATGAATGAAGGACAAGAAGCGCCGATCTGGTTCTCACGGAACCTAAAAAAGACATGAAAGATGCCAGCAACGTGATAGATCCAAACAGAACCCAGTGCAGAGAGTATGGCCATAGATATTAATTATATCCAGTTAAAATCTGTTGGCAAGATGTTTGCTAACAATTCAAAAATAAAAAACAGCTTGAACGTCGCAGAGTGACCTTCTCCTCTCGCAAAACCCTCGCCGATGAGCTAAATGAGAGGCTGGCTCAGCCTGTTTTCGAGGTGCGTCGTTTTAAATCCTATCAAAATGAGATTCAGTGCCTCGGATCTCTACAAAATCTGAAAGATAGGATTGGCAAGTGTATACTACTCGAGGTGCGACAACTAGAAGGGCAGAAAATCACGCGTCAAATGTGAGTCTGCACCACTAGACACATAAGAAGGATATAAGAGGTTCTTATTCAAATTTATATATGTATCAGGCTAGACAATATCTATGGCCTCCAAAGGTTCTCTCTTTAAGTGGCTATTTAAAGCAGCAAGGTGTCGAGGAGCATCTATGGGCATTTCCATTTGGTTCAACCGAGGCTCATATTGTATTCACCCTAGATTTTGATAGTCCCTCCCTTGAATATGATGGAGAGAGTGCTATCTCCAGCAAACTTTCCTTCAGCCTTGAGATCTATTGGTTTCCATGAGCGGACTGCCTTACTTAGCTATTCAATACAGAGAGAATGTCAATTCTACCCAATTCCTTAAGAAACCCACTTTCACTATTGGAAATGTATCGGTAGACTCTACCGGGTAGAGGCATTCTTGCAGATAGAGAATCCGTGGTCCTACAGGTCTACTTGAGATCTTCAGGACCTTTATCGGCGCTTTATTTAAGCGATTATAGTGGTCCGATGGCTCCCCTGACAATCATAGTTGCGGCTTGCCTTATGCAAACCAGGGATATTCAGCCGTTCTATTTCAGGTCACGGGAAGCACTAGCCCTAGGCGCCCAAAGGTAAATCGGACTCCTACAAGGACCTCGGGATAATTCCGAAGAATACGCCTATTTCCGCCCCCACAAATTCACCGAGTCACAGCTCCAAAAAATGGGAGTAACTCACAGTCAAAAGAAAGTGGAATGTGACTTAGAGCACACGGGCTGTGTGCAAGATCTTCCCGAGGGAGATCTACATGCGGTTGGGTTCCTCGAAGATCAAAAGAGTATCTTTCTTCATGGACTTGCCCTTGAGTCCTTTATGAGCCCTTAGGTATGATACAGCGTGTGAATGTGAAGAAGGTTAAAGACAGCCCGACAACAGAGGATACAGCCACAGCCTCAGGCAGTCTCAGAACGGGGTCCTCTATAAGTATTTCCCAACTTTAGGGCTAATGGATGACCTCATCGGAGGATCGAGTTGACGGAAACCGACCTTTTGATTGCAGGTGATTTCAATCTACTAGGATGGTATTTTATCAATTTCAGTCGTAGACATATAGAAAAGGTATTCAAAGCATTAGACTCTATTATTATTAGTGTAATTTTAAGATAGGTCTGACAAAATAAATCCAAAAACAAAATCTCGAAATTGACCAAGCCGCCACTCTCCTTCCAATCTTCTCGCCCTGTTAAGAGCGGAAGACGAATTTCCAAGCGGGACATAGGCCGGATCACAAAATTTGCTCAAGATACCATGAAGTCTCTTCTGATCTACACCACAAAGATCGCGAAGAGGTCAGGATCCGAGGTAGCCAGATCTCACCCTCAGGTGGGATGGTTGTCGAGGTGGCTCAACCGATTTACAGGAAAGCCATGAGACCGACAATACCAGCAAGGAGGCCAGCAGCGGGCTTGACGTTGGAGGCAGCGCCGGTGAAGGAGCCGGAGGGGACGGAGGCAGGCTCCTCAGGGGTAGAGGGGATGGAGGAGGTGGCAGGCTCGACAGCGGGCTGGGTCTCCTGGGGGGTATCGGGCTTGGACTCAGCAGGGGTATCGGGCTTGGACTCAGCGGGGGCGGCGGGCTGGGTCTCAGCGGGGGCGGCGGGCTGGGTCTCAGCGGGGGCGGCGGGCTGGGTCTCAGCGGGGGCGGCGGGCTGGGTCTCAGCAGGGGCGGCGGGCTGGGTCTCAGCAGGGGCGGCGGGCTGGGTCTCAGCAGGAGCGGCAGGCTGGGTCTCAGCGGGAGCGGCGGGCTGGGTCTCAGCAGGAGCGGCAGGCTGGGTCTCGGCAGGGGCGGCGGGCTGAGTCTCAGCGGGGGCAGCGGGGTGGGTCTCAGCAGGAGCGGCAGGCTGGGTCTCAGCAGGGGCGGCGGGGTGGGACTCGGCAGGGGCAGCGGGCTGGGTCTCAGCGGGAGCAGCGGGCTGGGTCTCGGCAGGAACGGCGGGCTGGGACTCAACAGGGACGGCGGGCTGGGACTGAGCAGGGACAGCGGGCTCGGTCTCTGCGGGCTTGGTCTCAGCAGGCTTGGTCTCAGCAGGCTTGGTCTCAGCAGGCTTGGTCTCAGCAGGCTTGGTCTCAGCAGGCTTGGTCTCAGCGGGCTTGGTCTCAGCAGGCTTGGTCTCGACAGGCTTGGTCTCGACAGGCTTGGAAGGAGCGGGCTCAGTCTGGACGGGGACAGCGGGATTGGAAGGACCGGGTGCAACAGGCGCAGTGGTGGGCTCTTGGGGAGGGACAACCCAGCCGGTGGGCTTCACAACTGGGGCAGTGGGGCCTTCGACAGCGGGCTGAGTAGCGTTGTGGAAGGTCACAGGCTTCTCGTTATCGCACTGGTGGCAGACAGTGGTCTTGGTGATGGTGATGGTGTTGGTTTTGGTGATGGGAACAACCCAGGTCTTAGTGCCAGAGGTGACGGCAGACGAGGTGACTGGAAGTATTGATTAGGACGTGGTTCAAACGATACGATTGAGCAAAGATTCTAGGGCTTACCAGGGCAGGTGGTGGTCACGATAGTGAGAGTCTTGGTGGTGCCAGGATTCACGGGAGTGTGAGGCTTGCCGGAGGTAGTGGGCAATGGGGTAGTACCCGGGGTAGTGGTGTGGTGACCGTGAGTGGGGGTGCTCAAGGTGGTTTGGTGAGCGAGAGTGGGGGTGCTCAAGGTGGTCGAGGTGGTGCATGGGGTGGTCCACGACTCAGTAGACTTGGTCCAGGAGCCGGTAGGACGGGTCCAAGACTCGTGAGTCGAGACGTGCTCGGCCGGCTTGGTCCAGGACCCGGGAGTCGAGGCATGCTCGGCTGGCTTGGTCCAAGTCTCATGGGTGGAGGCGTGGCCAGCGGGCTTGGTCCAAGTCTCATGGGTCGAGGGGTGCCCAGCGGGCTTGGTCCAAGTCTCATGGGTGGAGGCGTGGCCAGCGGGCTTGGTCCAAGTCTCATGGGTCGAGGGGTGCTCAGCGGGCTTGGTCCAAGTCTCATGGGTCGAGGGGTGCTCAGCGGGCTTCGACCAGCTCTCGCTCCAGCCCTCAGTCTGGTGAGGAGCGACGGCAGCAGCGCTCTGAGTGGCGGGCTTGATGAAGTCCTCACCACGAGCCTGCATGACGCCAGCAAAGGCTGGGCTAGCAAGAGCCAGAAGAGCAACGGAGTTGATCATTTCGAGAGATTGAAAAATGAACTAAAGAAAGATAACGAATGAAGAGGTGATGATGATGAAAAGTTTGGAGGACTGGCAGATTTCAACGAGTTTATATGTCCTTTTCGAAATGACTGATTCCAAGTCATGCTGGATATGGGTGCCATGGTTGTGCCCAGGACAGCGAAGGTAGACCTGATCCGCAATGTCACCATGTAAGACCGAATGCAGAAACTGTAATTGCCCAACGAAGGATGACAAAGACACAGATGTATGATCATTGGACGAAAATCTCGAGTAATGATACATCCATCTGGTGAACTCAGATGCAAACGTGACAATATGCGGTATCATTGGGGGTGAAAAGTGAAGAGGGTCTCCACAAGAGTAGCCTAATGCGGAAATATAAGAGGAGCTTGGTGATCGCCAGGGCAAGCCGGTTGGATACGGATCAGGAATAGTACCTAGATAGTGAGCAAGCGCTTATGTGATTGGCATATGTCCCTATTTGAGACACACGCTCAATTCTTATTGAAACCTAGGTGTATTATGGACTCGACATCTAACAAACCTTGGAAAGCAGGCAGTTTTAGATAAGCAGCACTCAGAAGGCAGTAGTCAGGACTGCTAACTAAAGAAACCCTCCGGACCCGGAAATGGTCAAGAAAATAGTGGCTGCGCGACCATATTTGGGGTGGGACCACAATTAAGAGGACAAGGCGTTTCTCGTTCGAGGTAAGAGCTTTGTGAAAACGCCAGATAGCTCGATCAGAAGCAGCAAGAAAACTCGGGGAGCGAATAGGCATGTTCCTTATTTCGCTTGGAATGTGGGAATGGTATCCGAGTAAGCGTAGGGATGTCCCATTGGTGGTTGTCATTTCGAAAGAATGTACACGTGAAGAACGAATTTCGAGGATCGACGATCTCAACAAGCTCATGGCCCATATCCTTCTGAAGAGATTGGTCGGATGTTACCATCCCAAGACCTTGAACTGCACTCGATGACGGGGAGATCTCGATGTAGTATTGGGTTGAGCCGAGCCCCCACTGCGCGCAAATAGTGCTGTTACAAGGAAAAATAATAATGGGATTCTCATCAAACATCGATTCTGAAGAAGGTTTCAGCCAATCTGAGGCAATAAAATCCGTGTTTTACCATTGCCGTGCACTCCTTAAGCTTGGGAACATCAGGGATATCCAGCTGTCATCCATGGATCTTGGCGAGCGATAGGGACAGCAGCGAGGTACTGTAGAGATTTGGGCCGCAAGCGGGAACTAGACGAAGAGAATATCTCGGCATCTCGCGAACAAATCTCTCACGGCGAGAGCAAGGAACATCGATGCAAGCCTATCCGTTTTCGATTCATAGATCAGATCCATTTTAGGTTATGTAGGGCTTAGGGCATACGCGTACACGGGATCTGGCGCGTCGCGCGTCGCGCCTTCCTGTTTGGGGTCAATTAAGCCTCAACGATAGAGCGTTAGCCTTGCCCATCCCCAGACTTGCCCACAATGCCTCACTCCATATCGCCCAGTGCTGCACAAAATGATGAGGAAATGCCAGACGCTCCTCCAGCGGAGACCTCAATTGCGAATAATGTGAAATTGGAGGATATGTTCGACGATGATGACGATGAGTTCCCGGATTCCGGAGATGTGAAAATGGAATCCCCAGCTGCGAAAGAAGAGTTTGTTTCTCTGCTCATATAAAGAAGCCTTGGACCAAACGACTGACCAAACCGTCTAGGCCTCCGGCCCCTACACCCTCAGGCGTAGACTCGGATGTCATGCTTGCCTTCTATCAACGACTTTTCCCCTTCCGATACCTTTTTCAATGGCTGAACCATGGAATCGTACCAACCAAGGACTTCGGTAATCGCGAATTTGCACTTACTTTGCAAAACGACGCCTACCTTCGATACCAATCATACCCCACTGCAGACCTGTAAGGTCCATCCAGCCTTTGATCGTCGGTTCCCTTTTGAGTTAACAAATGTGCTAGCTTCCGGAAGGACATACTCAGGTTGAACCCTCCTCGCTTCGAAATCGGGCCTGTTTATAGCACCAATCCACGCGATCGCAAAACTCTACGAGGCGGGCAAATGAAACCAGTATCCAAGGAGCTGGTCTTCGATATTGATTTGACTGATTATGATGACATCCGAACATGTTGCGTCAAAGCAAATATCTGCGCTAAGTGCTGGTCCTTCGTCACAATGGCAATCAAGGTGATCGACACTGCACTGAGGGAAGACTTCGGGTTTGAACACATTCTCTGGGTTTACTCAGGTCGACGTGGTGCTCACGCCTGGGTGTGCGATCCTCGCGCGCGCAATTTGTCAGATGATCGACGACGAGCCATTGCTGGTTACCTCGAGGTTATTCGTGGAGGGTCACAAAGCGGCAAGAAAGTCAACCTCAAACGACCACTACACCCTCACATCGTGCGCAGTCTTGAATTGCTCAAGCACGACTTCGCCCGGACAACCCTCATTGATCAAGACACATTTGAGTCTATTGAGCAGGCAGAACGCCTTTTGTCTTTGTTACCCGACAAGGCGTTGAACGAATCTCTACGAAGAAAATGGGACTCCTCTCCAGAACGTGCCAGCACTAGTAAATGGGCCGATATCGATTCACTCGCCAAGACCGGGAAAAGCAGCACGCTCAACCCAGCCACCCTTCGTGATGCGAAGCAAGATATTGTTTTGGAATACACCTATCCACGCCTGGATGCCGAGGTCAGCAAGAAGATGATTCACTTACTGAAAAGCCCTTTCGTTATTCACCCTGGCACTGGCCGTATTTGTGTTCCCATCGATCCACACAATGCCGAAAACTTCGATCCTCTCTCCGTCCCGACAGTGATGAACCTGCTCACAGAGATCGATGAATACGATGCGAAACACCCTGCTGGAACAGCGGATGCTGATGTTCCCGAAGTAGAAGGCAGTGCGATGAACGGCTCCGACATGAAGGGTGGTCGCAAGTTGCAGGACTATGAGAAGACCAGCCTGAAGCCTTATATCGATTTCTTCCGCTCCTTTATCGCAGGTCTTTTGAAGGAAGAGCGTGCTGGAAAGCGGGAACGCGATGAAAGTGGCCCGGCCATCAAGTCCGATCCCATGGAGTTCTAGCTGCTTCAAAGCCATCCTCCATTTGCCTAGCCCTGTCTCATAGACTTATGACTTTATGTTTTGTTAATTACCTTCACCGATGTCATTTGGGATTTTGATCAGTCGTTCTACGCTTTTCTAGGAGTTGGAGTTTCTTCTTGTGCATGGGCTTGAATCGTTATCGATCGGTTCCCGAGATGTACATTTATTACTTTCCTCGCATTCACGTCTATCAATTGAATGGAGATAATCATTTGAGATTTGAAACTCTATATGCGCATCTATATCTGTACAGCAAGTCAGAGAGTAGGGCAAGAACTCATTGAAGGAGTCGTATATTTGGAGATATTGGAGATATTGGTACAAATAGAGTCGCACAAGTAGTTGCGCTAAAGTAGGTCATGATATAGGGCACCGATGGTATCCACGTATCAGGCAAACTTCTCATTATCGAGAGGCAGCTCCGACAGCAAGAGGAGGGAACAAGCCAAAGTTTATGTGGGATAGTTAATTTAAGCACCGATGAAGTTCTTGACAGCTGAATGAGAAAGGCATTGTTAGCAAGCAATTCAGAAATATGAAACAGAAGGGAAACATACTCTCCAACCAGCGAAGGTACTCCTTCTGCTCCTTGACGGAGATGTAGTCGGGAACCATGTTAGCGAACTCGGCGTTGATGCCACGGTCCTCGAGGTAACGGTCCCAGAGACCCTGCAAGTCCTCATCGAGGTTCTCGAAGGGAGGACCGGCGTAGAGGCTCTGGCGAGCCCAGTCCTTCTCAGCAGTCTGGGCCTGGGCGAGATCAGCCTTAGCGAAGTGGGAGACCTCCTCGATCTGGAAAACGCCGTCCTGGACGACAGTCTGGATCAGAAGGGCACCGTTGTTGGGCTTCTCAACGGTAATGTTAACGCGGGCAGGGAAGCTGGGCTCGGGCTGCTCGAATTCCTCGCTGGTCTCGGCGTGCTGGCCGCGGGACTGGTTCTGGAACTCCATCTCGTCGGTCAGAGAGGCATCGTCGAAGTCCTCCTGCTCGCTGATGTTCTGGATATCGGCGACGGTGAAGCTAACGCGGATGCTAAACAATCAGATATATCAGCGATCGTGCTCGGAATTGAGGGGAAAGGGCAATGCCGGATGGTAGGGGGATGAATCGTACTTCTCGTTGCCGAACTTCTTGGACAGGATAACCTCCTGCTCGCCAGCGACATCCTTCACCTGCCACTCGCCGTGCTTAACAATCTCATCGATGATTTCCTGCTGCTCGGCGAATTCAGGGATGTCAGAGGACTTCTCGTGCTTCAGCTCATCCTCGAGCTTGGCGAGGAGGTCGATATCGACTGTAGAAAAATAAATGGAAATTTAGCATTAGACCACATGCGCGGTCCACGACTAGTCAATGCCGGAGTTGCGCGGACCATCTCAAATACTATTCGGCTTATCTTACCTTCAGATGAAGGGGCCTTGAAGATGCTAGATGTCGAAAAGGCAGCGTAGGCGGGCTTGGTAGCCTGCTTCCAGGTCTGCTGGAGAACGGGCTTAGGAAGCGCTGGGCGCAGAGCCGAAGTGGCAATGGAGCGCGAGAAGGAGCGCGGGATAGAGCGGGAAATGGTGCGAAGGGAAAGCATTGTGAATGTGGATGGTTTGAAGTATTTGTTGAAGATGAGAAGCTTGAGGAAAAAGTAAGTGAGCTAACTCCGTTGATGTTACGAGTGCCAAGACCGGCCTGTTTTGTCCGACTTTGCGCGGCCACCGCAATTTAGTTCCATTAAGACAAAATCTATAGAGAATCTAAATAGAATATCACTGATGCAAATAGAGAGTTGATATCAAAGGGCTCGACTTTCTCTGGCAATCAGCTCTGCTATATATGTACCGAGGCTAGAAGGATGGCCTGTTGATGCAAATCTACAAGCAAGTAGGAACTACAATATAGGTGGACAATATACAGCAGCTTCGAATTGAAATGGTATATTTGAAGAGATTCGGCTGTACAGAATCTTATGAAGAATCATTGTACCCATAATGCGCCAACCCAGTCTTTTTGGACACCAGACAAAAAAAATATATCAAAAAAAGTAATCGTGATCAGGACATGCTCTTGGGTGGGAAGGTAGATGTGAGTTTCTCTCCATCTTTCCTGAACCGAATGAACTTGATCGCGCTCAGCCCTGACCAGTGTCTATTCCAGTTCTTCATCGCGGTCATTGCATATTGATCGCTGAGGTCGGGCATCCAAAGTCCGGTCGAGAACTCCCGACCCTCGGTTTCAACTCGTTGTTTCAAAGCCTCCTCGCGCTTGCTGGGGGGACGTCCTTTGCGGCGCTGTGCTTGGAGCTCTTTGATTTCCTCAGTGTCACGGTCGATATACCTAGTTTGGGGTCAATTTTCGTTTCCTGGTGGGATCGTGGGTGCTACATACTTGGCAACAAACTCGTTCATTTGTTCAATCGAGAAAGCATCGGTGGTCTCCTGGATAGCCTCGTGGATGTAATGAATGCGGTCCACTAGTTGGGTTAATTTGGTGGCCATCAATTGTATCGAGCAGGTGTCATACTGTATGGCTGTCTTGCGCGGCTCACAGTGGCGTTATGGCGGGACAAGCGATCGTCGCGAGCACCAGCTTTGCGGAGTCGGTGGGCATCACGACTGTTCTCATGAAGCGCATTGAGAGAGCTACGCTTCTTGGAGATTTGCTTGTGCACCTTTTCCAGAGTAACAGGCATGGTTGCGGTCTGATAAGAATTACTCTAAACACTCCGCCGTAGATTTTCGATAATTTTCTTGGATGCACCGGCACAATTAGGCGGTGACCCCAAGATCACCGCCTTCCCCACTCGAGGAAAGCGCGTCTGCGCGTCGAGATAGGAGCATTCCAGGAGTTATTTACTCCTTCGATTCTTGGTCAGATATTGAAGTTGGACTTCACATTGCACTTCATTTTGGTTAGCGTTTTGGTTGTGAAAATCTCAACTTATGTTCTCGGTTATTGCTTGAATACGAGGACCCGCCTGTGCCTCGAACGGTGTCCACCATGGGCATTAAAGGTCCGTTACGTTGCTTGGGACTGTCTAGGGGAAATGATTGTTCTAACACCAAGAAATAGGACTTCACGGGCTTCTCAAGTCCATACAGAAACCATGTCATGTCAAGTCTTTTAGTGGGCAAACACTTGGAGTCGATGCATATGGATGGCTTCATCGCGGAACCATTGCTTGTTCCGTAGACTTGGTCTTGGACAATCCTACTAGGAAGTATGGCTTGTCTATCTATATGACTTATAATGCACTTTTTACTGACAAGTTTCCTCGTGATAGGCACATTGATTTCGTCCTCAATCGAGTCCGCATGCTTCTATTTTTTGGAGTAAAACCGTACCTCGTCTTTGATGGCGATAATTTGCCCAGCAAGTCCGGCACCGAACAGGATCGATATCGCAGGCGGCAGGAAAGCAAGGCTCTCGGACTAGAGCTACAACGAAAGGGAAGGATGCCAGAAGCTTATCAGGAGTTCCAAAAGGCTGTCGACGTTACCCCGTTCATGGCCCGCCAGTTAATTGAAGAACTAAAGCAAATGAATGTGGAGTATGTGGTCGCCCCATACGAGGCAGATGCCCAGCTGGTGTACCTGGAGCAACAGGGTGATATTGACGGTATCATATCCGAGGACTCGGATTTGCTTGTTTTTGGAGCAAAGCGGTTGATTTCAAAACTGGACCAACATGGAGAATGCATTGAGATAAATCGTGCCGACTTTACTGCTTGCCGGGAGGTCAGCCTGGTCGGGTTCAGTGACCCGGATTTCAGGACCATGTGCATTTTGAGCGGTTGTGATTATTTGGCAAATATTCCCAAGATGGGCCTGAAGACTGCCTACCGGGTTGTTCGCAAACACAGGAGTATCGAAAAGGCTTTGCGCATGATACAATTCGAAGGCAATTTTCGAGTCCCGGCTGACTACCTGGCCAACTTCAGACAGGCCGAGTTGACTTTCCTTTACCAGCGGGTCTTCTGCCGTAAAGCTGAAAAGCTGGTGACATTGATGCCACCTGAGAAGGATGTCAAGTTGGACACGCTGCCATTTATTGGCGCTGATATGGAGCCAGAAATTGCCATCGGGGTCTCTCGTGGCGATCTGGATCCAACCACGAAGCAGCCAATCATATTGAAACCACTAGCCACAGGTAAACGGTCCCTTGGCATTAATCGCCGACAGACACTGGGTTCTTCCTGCGAGCTGAAGCCACGAAGGCCTATCAATTCATTCTTCACCCCAAAGAGGACACCACTGGCCGAGCTGGACCCGAATAGTTTGACTCCGTCCCCGAGCCAGCAGCGACTGCTAGAGCGCAATTCAAACAACTCTTGGCAGGCCAGTGCAGCACCATCCCGCTCCAATTCGGTCAGATCCACCCCTCTAAGGGCCTTCTCCGATCAAAGTCTCAGCCCCATGATACGGAGTGTAGAACGCTCTTCTTTTTTGGCCCAAAATGCAAGATCCTCAACCTTGCAGCCCACCAAGAGGCAGAGACTCTGCTCTGAAACTGACGGAGACTCTTTGCCTGCCTGTTCTCCGGCTCGCAGTCGTTTCTTTGCTCCTACTTCTGAACAAACTAGCCCAAGCGGTCAGAAGCTCTTCCGGTCTAAACGATCACGGAACTCAGTGGTCGGTGTCTTCTCTGATGACATAGCAGAAGACATCATGTCCAGTATTCCGGATCCCAGTAGTACCCCCGGGCTTGTGGAACATAGACCGGAAAGCAATCTCAAGATATCTGGCAACCCCAGTGGAGTTGAAACGCCTTCCAAACCTACTTTCAACAAGCCTCTCCTTACTAGCGATTTGAAAGAGTCCAAGAACACACCCATTGATACCACACCAAATTCTCCGAACTTCAACCAGGCGCTCGATTTCCACGTTGACCGACAAAATTCCAATATACTTTCCAAATTCACTTTTCAAGCTGGGCAAAAGCCCAGCTCACCCGGCGCTCGCTCTATTATGACGAAGATCCCTGCGATTCTCCCTTCTCCTAGGCCTGCGACACCCTCGACCCCCAAAAGCCCAGCTGCGATCGCTCGGAGCAACATCATTCAGCGACGCCTGACACCGCTTCAGCGGATGGGCCAGGCCGCTCTCAGTCGGTCTAACAGCGTCAATATTCCAACTAAACTCCGGGATGCCGAAGCTTCCAAGCCGCGCTCTGAAGCCTTTTCACCTGTTACCAAGGGATTCTCGTTCACGGGAACCCAAGGCAGCGAAGATCTTATTGTCCCAGACAGCGAGGATGAGGAGGATGATGAGGATGAACCCAGTACAGGGTCCTCGGCGCCTCTTGATCTCAAGCGCTTTTCATTCACGCCAAATTAAGCAGCATCTTTATCGGTTACGGAGCATTGGGTCAGGAACAGGACTTGGGATCTGGGGTAGCATTGGACCACTGGTTTTTCGTTGGCTCCACTTTGGCGCGTAACCTGTATTAATATTTTTTTGTGGAGTTTTGTGGAATTCTTGTTTAACATAGCATTTGTTAGTGTTTAAGCAATGTGAGCACCTTGAAACCCCTGAAACGTTGAAACATCCAAAAGTGCCCAAACCGTGCCTGGAGACGGCCCAATATCAAGAGGCTGGAGGAATCGCGTGGCGAGTAGAAGTGGGGCTAACTTTATCGGGATCTGCACTAGTCCCCATCGGGTGAAACACGGGCCAGGCTTACCCATTCGAGCTGGCAATATTCTCCACTTAGCAGGCGGTCTGGGCTGGTTACCGGGGAAGCGACGGAGTAAACAATGGTTGGCCCAGCCTCCCATATTCCTCTATACTCTTGTCTCATCCCCAGCCTCCAGAGAGCGAGAATCTGTCGATTAGCCTGACGTGGAGTTTTGTGCCAGCTACGAGCCCTTCCCTCCCTTCCATTCTTTCCACACATTCCTCTCCTTCGTATACTTTCCACCCGTACTACACACACAGGCGTCAATTCATATTTCTGACCCATCTCAATAATCCACTTTAGGTCCGAGCCGGAATCCACAGTACTATCGAATATTTTGGATATTCTTCAAAGTACTTCAAGCATCGAACGCATCTTAGGCCATCCGATCTTCATCTCATTCCCCCACATTCTTCCTCCGCATTCCATTCCAACGATCTCGATATTCAAGTGTCAACTCAACCTCACAAACAACTACGCCGCCGGGCGTACAATTGCGTTCTGATATCGCATTCTGTTCGATATACTCCTTCTCGGAGACCCGAGAAGCGAGTCAATACATAATTGAAGGAGTTCGACCTCAAGCTGGTCGTCGTTGAACATAATAATGGCTGGTCCTTTTGCACAAAAATGGGGTCGTAAGTCACAGCATATGGGACATTGACATATAATGACATTGTCACTAATCATTTATGCAGGATTCATTCCTATGATTGGGTACCACCATGTATTGATGATCATTATCGCGGTTGCGATTATCCTATTATGTGAGTGTTTGCCTCACATATGACACACCCCCTGCTGGAATGTGCTAATAAATCGCAGCACTCCTGTTGGCCGGTTGCTCTTCATCATCCCCACAAATACCTGACATCTTCCTCATCTCTCTATACTATGAGCGCTATGATCCTATACGGGATCTCGCCCAAGTCCAGCCAGATGTCCATCTTCCCATCTCCCGTATCGTCGGTGGCGCAGAGATGGAAGTCCGGGTGGGATACTTCGGTATTTGTATTCAGCCAGACGGGGGTTCTTTTATCTGCAATGCCAACGCGACGGCCCTGGCTGAGATTGTCACTGTGGATCAAGATCCCCTCAACCTTATCTGGGTGGCATCGACGTTCAAGGACGCTGTTGTGTTCCCATATCTCCTGTGAGTAAACTATACTTATTTGTATGGTACTGGGAAAGACTAACACATGTGAAGGATTGTCGCTGTCATTCTTGCATTCTTCTGTTTCATCCTTCTAGCAACTTTCCCCGGTTGGCACGAGGAGGTCGACGACTCTGGATCTGAGCGTGAGGTCAAGCCTTTCCCCTCACGACCCGTCTCACAAGCTGCACTAGCCCTCATTTTCGTGTCCTCGGTTTTTGTCCTCGTATCTGTACTATGGCAACACACAGCATCTGTCGCTGCAAGTACGATAGCCCAAGACATGGGCAATGGGAGTGTGAAAAGCGGCGTCGGCTCTTCTGCAATGGTGCTTGGCTGGTTTGGCTTTGTCCTGCTGGTCATAGTAACTGTTGGCCTGTTGGTCATGATATTGAGTATCAGTCTGATCCGCAAACTGACCGATGAGGAATAACGGATTTGATCTCGCCTCAACACCGAGGCAAGAAAACCTTTGCTCTCTTTTTGCTCTTTTCTTCTTTTTACGACTTGCGCTACTTCTCTGCCTACGACATACCTTACCCTTTATAACGGGACGACACAAATGGGAAATGAATAATACCTACGAGCACACGACATATGCTCGCAATTCACGGATTGGATGGATACGGAACACACGACACTTGGGACTGTTTTTTGATTCCCCCGACGGAACTTTGGAATTTGGACAACTGGGATCTTTTTTTTTTTTTACAAACATATTTGAGGCCTTCGATACTCGCATGCTTTCTATTCTTGGGATTCGACACGAGCTATCTGTTTCGTCTCATCTTGAGAAACCATCACATTTGGCAATTCTGTCAATCTCCCGCGATAAGATGTTTTTCCTGAAATAGACCGCAATGTTATCGAGTCACTTTTTGTACACTTGTTTTCTGCTCTTGTTTTTTTCCGAGTGGATTTTTTACTTCTTCTGTTGAGTACCCGGCGTTTGATTGATATGATCATGTATACCACAGCCTTTTTTTTATTCCCATGCTGTGTTCATCTTTTGCTTCTTATGCAACGTTGCAAATCTTAGTTAGTTCTTATGACACGATGTCAGGAAATGATACTCAAGTCATGTCTCCATCATTCAATCCCTTGTATGTTTGACTTTATACCATATCTCCCACATCAGTTGATGATGATTTGACATATATATATCGCTATCTATATTCACAACTTTCCACTGGATTTTTATTTTGGCAAAGATGAGTTCTTATACTGGTCGTTTAAAGATAGTAACAAGTGTGAATAGAATTTGATCTAACAAAAACACGACTTGATATGATGTTAGGTAGACTGCTTCACGGTTGGTATTAGACCACGAAGCCTCGATTACTACTTCAACGATCTATAAAGCCCTAATATCTGGTACATAGAAACCGGTCTCTCTCTTCCCTATCGTCCCCTTCATTTGTACGTTGGGTTCGGAGCAAAAGAATCGTATATCCCAAAGAAGGAACATACTAAACCATCTACCCTTTGTAGTGGCTCAATTCTCAAACCCTGAGTTCTCAAAAGCGACTTGATATCATATTGATGACAAGATCTTCCAGCAAGATTTGACTGACGGGGGCAACGTTCCCCTGATCCCACTGCAGTTTCGAACTTTGCAAGCGGGATGCAGGCGTAAGCCATCTGCAAGCACATACAGGCGTGCATTCACACGGCATTACTGAATTCCAGCCAATGGCATATATTTGACAAAATAAAGAGATATTTTCTGAGAAAGTGTGAGTATCAATGATTTTCCTAAAATAAACAAGCATCCCCGAGTTGTGCCATAGAATGTAGATAAGAAATTTGAGCCTCCATGCGCCGATCCATTGTTGATGCAAGCCGCAACAGAACACGAAAACTCATAAAGGTACAGATAATGTCGGCCAGTCTGTGGATCAGCCCTTCGAATCTGCGGCTTTAGTGACGCCAAGCAAAGCATGAGAATCAATAGTCCATGGAGTAACCACCTCTGGCACTTCCACTATTGTAGCCACTCCTGCCGTCGTTTGTCCCATCATGGCCAATTGCATGGTCATCCAGCGACCTGTACTGGTAGTATTCACCTCGACCGCGACCTCGACCACCACGGCCTCGAGCGTTGGTACCACGCCCGCGTCCGGCGCCTCGACCACGACCGCGATGAGCTCCTCTTCCTCGCGAACTGTCATCGTACTGGTAACGACCGTCACCTCCACCACGCTGGGAGGAGTGGTAGTTGCCGCGGCCATAAGATGGTCCTTCAAAGCCGGCGTTCTGATTTGTGGGACTGTCCTCCTCCTGCTGGAATCGTCTCTTTTGACTTCTGTTCATGATGGGCTCACCCTGACGGAATTCCCCGCTGTCTTCCACTCGCAGAACAACCTTCTCCCCGATCACAGTCTCCAGGGTCGTGGCCTTGTCAGCAGGGATGGGATGCCAGTTTTGGATCTTTCCTGCATCAATGAGACGGGCACCTTTGCGCACAGCTAGTACTACAATAGGCAGTGGATTCTCTGTATGATAAACTTCTGTTGCTGGAATAGGCGCCACGCGGGCTGCCCAGATCTTGTTGTCCAGGTTTCCAGTTCCGGTAATCTGCCATTTTACTTTCTTGCCCATACCTCCAATCTTGTCCAGGATGGAGCGAGGCGCTGGGCGTGGGGTAATTAGGATGCTGTTAGCCATGTACTTGAGGTCATTTGATTCAGCAAGCCCTGGGGGCAGCAGCGGAGCCAGCAAATTCTGCGTTAGGCTGTTTGAATCCTCCGGAGAAAGCAAGTATCCCGTGTAGAAGACGACACGCTTGATATACATCCGTCCACAACGGCTTTTGGTTAAATTCAACGCAGGGTTGCGTAGTGTGAGGTTGTGGGCATTGACCATGCGCTGCACCTCTGCAGTTTCACTGACGGGGTCGAGGTAAGTGCACCCCTCGGTTACCTGAATGACTTCAGAAAGAATCGGCATCCGCGCGCCAGGGGGCGCCTTTTGAAGGTCTCTGTTCAGGCTTTCAAAGAAGTCCCGGAAACCTTTCACACTAGTAACATGTTAATACGCAAAGGTTGGGCCCAAGGGTCTTTGTAATACTCCGTCACAAGACTTACTGCTTGACACGATCCTCGTAGACGCGAATTTCTTCAGCCTGCTCATAAGTGAGAACAAGATCCTCAAGAAAGGCCTGTTTGAAGTTCATTGTGGTCGCAAACCGCTGACTGTTCGGGCCAACCTCGGGCTTGAGACCGATGAGGTCAAATTCAAGTTCCTGACTAGCGACCATCCGCTTGATAACTTCCGCAAAGCCGGCCTCACTTCGACCGGTCAGCAACACTGTGAGCGCATCTTTCTGCTCCATGCTATTCCTGACCAAGCGGAGCTTTGAAGAGTTAGCTGATATGCCCCGAGATGCAATGTACGATAGAAATCACACAATTTGGTCGTTCCACCATCCTTCCCATTTGCGAGGCTCTTCTATCTCCAGGCCTCTTCCTGTGGCACTGAGAATATTGGGGTCATGCCACCATCCTCCATTTGCGAAGCTATCATTCGTTTGCAGGAAACCCACTGAGGACCCATGCCATAATTGTGGGTTCGGTAGGGGACTCAAGAATACTGGAAGCGCTGACGTTAGTGGTCAAGCCTTGTATCTCCTAAGTCTGTCGAGGCTCACAGGTATTATCGAAGTCGTAGACGTGAATCGCACGAATCTGAGAGATCGCTGGCAGAATGTGGTTGTTAGAATCGTTCTCGTGACCACAACAATTGACGTCAGTAGGCATTACCTGGAAGCTCCTTGTTCACGATTGACCAGCGGCGCAGGGATGTAATGGTGTGCGGTGGCCGATGAGAGGCGTGGATCCCGCTTCCTGTGTGCGACATATTGGGAGCGGAGGACCCAAAGCGTGCAAGATTTTCTGAAACGACTGCTTTGGCAGATCGCATTATGACAGAATCGAATTAGAGAGGAGAATGGTGTCAGCGCATAGTCGTGACAAGAGCCAGTTGCCAATTGGACTGAAAAGCAGCAAGCGCGGTGACGGAGCTTCCGAGAAAAGTGGTTTTGCCGCCCGCCCAGAACGTGACCCAGGAACAACCTCAGACACCACCCCTGGCATGTCGCCTGTATGGATGATGTCGATTTGCGACAGGAAATCCTCCAGCGCACTCTCAGGGAGGTAGCTGACGAGGAGAATGAGGCTGCCAATCCCTGCGTTATTTGCCTAGACACTATCACTGAGCCGTGTGTGGCACAGCCATGCCACCATGCGAACTTCGACTTCCTCTGCCTCGTCAGTTGGTTGGAGCAACAGCCTAGATGTCCGCTATGTATGTATACACCATTTATCTTTTTGACTGGATATAACTGACACTACAATAGGCAAGATTGAACTGACAGCCGTGCAATACGAGCTCAACGCCCCGCAAGGCCCAAAGCTATACAAGGTCCCGCCCCCGAGCGCAACAACCCCAACAGTTCCAACTGCAGCTCGGTTGCGCCCAGGCACCCGTTACGGTGCACGAAGAGGACGGCGTCCTTCGCCTCCGCCGCGACCACAGTTAGATGACCCGCTCGAACGCCGGCGCAATGTCTATCGCAACCAAACATACTCTATGCGAGTCGGATCCAATCGACTCTCTCAATACCGAGAACTGACGCCAGAGTTATTCGGTCGGGACGAGGAGCTAGTTTCGCGCGCTCGGAAATGGATCCGTCGCGAGCTCCGAGTCTTCTCTTTCCTGAATCCGGAGCCGGAGCAAGAAGAGAGAACATCTCACCAGGTTTCACGGCCTGGACATCAACGGCTACAGAACCGCAGGGCAAACAATGCCGAATTTTTGCTGGAATACATCATCGCTATCTTGCGCACGGTTGATCTCAAGGGGAGTGCCGGACAAGCGGAGGAGCTGTTGCGCGAGTTCATCGGACGAGATAATGCCTGCCTCTTTCTCCATGAATTACAGGCATGGCTGAGGAGCCCCTATACTTCCCTGGAAGACTGGGACCGTCATGTTCAATACTCCGTTACTCCGCGGAATACATCTGACGGAGGGTATAGGACTCCTGATGGTCCGGACCGAAGGCCGACCCCTGTGAGCAATCGGAGTAGGCCACAGAGAGCCCGGAGACCATACAGGTCCAGGTCGCAGGAGGCGCTTGATCGCTCAAGGCGGCTGCAACAGGCTCAACAGCGATATAATCCATATTAGACCAGCGACTCTAGACGAAGTTATCTGTACCATTGTGTACTTCTACAAAACGATGACTTTCTAGAACAATAGACCATTAGCACGAATTATAATGATATATAGATTCAAAACGCTATGAATATCCTTGCTATCTATGCTTTAGTATGTATGCAATCGTCATTTCATGAAAAACAGAATTGTCCGGTTTTTACTTCCGGCGGAAACGCCCTCCTCTGCCACGCGAGAAGCCTCCTCTGTTGATGCTTAAGGACCGATAGTTCGCATGAGCCTGAGGGTTGATCCTCCGGGCGTGTGGCTTTTTTGCTTCAGTCGTAGAAGGCTTCTTCGGAGGTTTGCCCAGGGGTTCTTGATCCTTCTGCTTCGCAGCGGACAATGAAACAGCTTCCTTTATTCTCTCCGAGAAGCTCTTGGGCTTGGCGGCTAGCTTTGACTTTTCTCCAAATTCCGGATCATCGTCCGAGTCCGGCTCGAACTCAGCCTCCGTATCAAGTTCAGGCTCCGACCTGGTGTGAAGAGAGGCGGCATCATCCGCCCGCTCGATATCACTTGGGACATCGTCCCAGCCATCCGTAGCAGCAGGTAGCTGTTGCGTCTCTGCAACAGCTACGACTTCATCCTCTCTACCCAAGTCCCCATTCCTCACGAGAGCTGGGTTGGATTTGGGCTTCGGCTGAGGGACAACGGGCCTCATAATCACTCTTCGCGTCGTCCGTTTTTGGCCCTTCTTCTTGTATTTGCGATTCACATCCGGTCCTTGCCCATCTTCAACCTGGTTCCTCGCAGCTTCCTCTGCCTCTGCCTCTTCCTCCATCTCGCGCATCACATCCCAGTCGTCTTCCATCCGATCCTCTTCCATATCTCGCAGGCCTTGTACCAAATGCGATAGTCCCTTGCTGGCAAATCTTTGCGGTTTTCGAGAAACAATAGGACTAAGCCCTGCAACATCATGGTTGGCACTGGGTGGGGGGTATCGACCGGAATTAGAGCGCCGAAGGAAAGATGGTGTGCCAGACAAGGCTTCTTGAGGTGATATTTCATGGGCCGGGTTTAGTGATCTTGTCTTTTGCGCATCTTCATTATCTGCCGCTTCGACCATGGCGGCGTAGCGCATTGTCGTCGGTGTTGCGAACAAATTTGCTAGATAGAACTGTTTGGTCTCGGATGCAGGGGTTCGCGCAAGCCTCGGTGTTTCCTGCTGTGGCTCTTCTTCCGGAACTTCGGGAATAGTCTCAACGGGCCTTCGCTTAGATGGGGTCCGGAAGGTAGCTGCTAGGTTGTTCGTTTGCCTTCTGGAGGAAGGTGTTCCACCACTCCCACCGGATTCAGATATCATGTCGAAAAGTCCCAATGTTCTTCCATCGCGCTGAGGTGTAGGCCCAATTGCAGCCTTGAACGGAGATGGTCCTGGCTGGTGCGTACTGGGACTGAAGAGCCTGCGAAGAGTCGATGGCGAGTCATATGGATCGAGTTCCGCAGGATGGTGAATGGTGCGATTATTGGATGGAGTCGCAAAGAGACCTCTGGAGGCCTTGCGAGGTGTCGTTTGAAACAATCCACCGCCTTGGCCTGGGGGAGATGCATGCTTCCGCTTTTTGGAGTTACTTTGCAATGCCTCCTGTCGACTATTTTCACGTCTGCTAAGGGATGCTTCGAGAGCCTTTAGACGACCGTATTCCTTGTACTTGGCAGCTGAATTATTGATAATTTTTCTAAATTAGCGGATCATGCCCTCGTAGCTCCATGCGACATAAAACAATTGGCATACCGATTTCTGCGTTCTGTTTAATATCATGGCGTCCGGCTTTGCGACCACCATTGTCCGATGCAAAGGCCTTTTCCCATGTTTTTAATTCTGCGCGAACATTTAAGGCTTGAGCTGCAATTTCAGCACTCGAACTGAGAACAATGTCGGCCATAATTGAACTGCGTGGGTAGACAGCCTTAGAAGGGGAGGAGTATGGCTGTAAAGGTTCCCGTGACTTCCCAATAGGTGATACGCGTCACGCGACGTGAATCAATTAACATTCGCCTGACTAAAACAGTAGGCGGTTTAATTCTGCCGACTCCTTCCGAACTTGGGCGGTACGTACGTACCATTCTGCCCCAAAAGCGAGGTTAAGGATCAGCCTTTCGCCCTTCGGGGCATATGGTCAAAAGAAAATATACAGAGAAGATTAGCATGGCCCCTGCACTAAGGATGACACGCTCAATCAAAGAGAAGCACCAATTTTTTTTTTCCTTTACTGGATTGTTTTCGAGGTTCGAAGCTGTGGGTCTATTTATGGGACGATTACTGCCTTTAATTGGGCTTTCGCTTTTGGGCCATCACGTGGCACACCGAGGCTCGGCGTTCGAGACCCACATGGGCTCGAATAGGGCGGGTCCATACTTGAGAGCCTCAGGCACTGTGCCTTCCTCTTTTGGTCCATCGGGAAAGAACGGAGGTTAAATGGAACTTTAAGGATCTGCCTTTTGCCCTTCAGGGCATTGTGGTTATCTGAAAATATACAGAGAAGATAAGCATGGCCCCTGCACTAAGGATGACATGCACTATGTACAAAAAGCTAACACTTTTTTTTCTTTGCAGGTTTATATTTGATATGCCAGTCCTGGAGCGTGGGTCTTATTACCCCATATCACGACTTAATTGGATCAATCTAGAAATTCCACGTGATAGGATAATGTTCGAGGTTCGCACAATGCGTGCGCAAAGTGGAGCCCACCTCGGAGTTCGAGATCCGCAAAGAGCGGGCTTGGGATTTAACTGACCAATCACATGTGTGTATTTCTTGAGCCTCACACCTGGCCCTCAAGGTGGACTCGGGCCAGTGACAAAGTCTTCTCCTCCATCCATGGGAATTAGTTCTGTTTCAAGATTAATCAGAGTATTGCTATCTGTTTCCAAGTTCCAATCATTTGTGCTCCCGTTGTATCTGCTTAAAATGCCACCTAGGGATGACATAGTCAAACCCACTCCATGACCATCATTTTTCTTCGGATAATGAATCAATGGTTTTTCTTAAAACAATTTAGCTACCCAGCTCAACATATTTATGCACTTGGTTTATAGCTAGACTGTCTTCAACGTTACAATCCATATGATTGAAGAAGGCTCATTATCGCAGAAGAACAATTTGGGGGTTCTTTCGTTCTCTGTCGTGTGAGAGTCGAACTTAGGTGTGATATTCGTAAACTTGACTTAATATGTATCCATAGCTTTGAGAGTTGGTTTCTTTTTATCCCGAGGCAGACCGTTGGGATACAAGAGAATATTCCAATTCGGGAGGATGTTCGGCACTACGCAATAAATTCTGGATATGGAGGACTTTGGCAAGAAAAAAAATCTCGGTGCAATAATATTCGAAGTGCCGCATAAATTGACGAGGTCATGTACCTTAATATGTACTACTATAGGTATCTATAAAACAGCTCATTACAATGATTTTACAGCGATGTCTTTGTCTAGTAGAGTTTATACGGCTTCACGGAAAAATAATCGTAATGAAATGCTAGACTCACATGCAGTGATATTTCTATGCATAAATATGAAATCAATCTTGAAGCACTAGACAGATAGATGTCCATAACGGAGCGGTATATGTCTGTATCTAATTTGGACTGAAATGAGATAAGCATGAACACTACCTAGGTAAGATATTGGACAAGCAATATGCTAATCATCTTCCGTTTTTTTTTTCTTTTTTTTCATTATTTCATCATTCTCCTTTTTCCTTCCGGTCCAATGATATTGGGATCGGTGATTGCAGTTCTCGTCGGGGAAGACCCCGCATAACTCCGAGAACATCCACATTCAGGGGAAGATAAGGCTGCGATAAGCCACAAGCTAACCCGATATGGACCCATAACAGTCACATGGTAGTGTCATGTGACTCCCCCCGCATTCGTTATACCTACCTCCTAGGTACCTAGGTAGTTTCGCGTCTCCGCTTTCTCGGTTATTTCTGGCCACGACCTTTCCCAACTCATTTTAGTCTCGTTTTGGCCTCAGCTTAATTCGTATTGTACCGCGATGACAACTGTACAATTATGCCCCCAAAACGTGAGCGTACGGTTCAAGGCTCGTGTTGGCCCTGCAAACACCGCCGGGTGAAGTGCGATCTAAGGAAACCTTCATGCCAGAAATGCGTCACCTCCGGAGCAGAATGCTGCTATGACAAGCTTCTGATTAGATGGAAAAAGGCACCGACGCAACCCTTCCCCATGTATCAATCCCCGTATATGGGCCTCAATATGCACTTCAAAGACAATACCTTGGCCATCGGAGATATCAAGGCTCTTGAGTACTTTCAATTCACTGTTTGGCCTCTTTTCACAACTGCTGTACATCCATGCCCACCACCTATACCTCTGGCTATGGAATGTCAACCAGTACTCCTGGCTGTGTGTGAATTGGCCGAGGCACATCGCACCCTACGAGACGAAGCTGGGAGTAGCACGGTGAGCGCACAGTTTGATAAACGAATGAGCTGCTTGGCTTCCGTCAGAGAACAACTTCGAAAAAACAATACCAATCATGCAGCACTCTCACCTCTGTTGGTCGCAGTCTTTCTTCTGTATTTCCTGGACGGCTATATCGAATGTGGCCACCAATCTGCATCGACGGCAAGTCACCACGTGGGTGTCCAGGCGATCGTCGATCATCTCGGAGGCTTCACAGCTCTCATTAGAGTGGGCCAGAAAGACATCACCATGTTATTATCAGAGTTCGCATCCACAGACTTGACAAAGGCTCTGCTGGATGACCGGCCCCCTTGCTTTCCCGCTGAGATCTGGACACAGATAGAACACGGGACAGTCTGGTGGGACCAAGAAACATACAATGGCACGACGCTGGCGTCGGTGTTCAGGATCATGGCAGAGATGTCTTTATACCGCCAGCAAATCAAAGGAGGAGACTTCGAGGTGTTCTCAATGGAAGTGGTACAGGGCTTTGAGCGGTGTTTACAACCCTCATTCCTGGTTCTCAATCTCGACCATATCAGCAATCCAGATACCTACACTGGACATGAATCAACCCTCGAACCAAGGATGCAAGCTGATTCTTTCACACGTGCCTTTCAGCATAGCGCTCTCATCTATCTCTACCGTGCAATTTGCGGCCTTCCCCCGAGACACTTTCTGGTACAACAGCATGTGCAGTCATGTGCAGAGTGCATCAAAAGTATCTCGCCTCTCTCTAAGGCTCACAACTGTATAATATTTCCTTTGTACGTCATGGGAGCTCATACTTTCATGCAAGACCAGCAGGCATTTGTCTTGGAGAGATTTGATGCTATATACCAATATTTGCGTTTTAATTCTGTACTTTTGGTCCGCGCAGCGTTGGAAGAATTATGGAAGTCACCTCGACATGATGGGAACTGGTGGGATATGTTCAGATCTTTAGGTGAACACGTGCTGGTGATTTAGCCTCGAGCTGTATTTATCATGTGGAGCGTTGAAGTGACAATTGGATTTCCATCCATTTGACATCCCAGTCTGTTCTGTATCAATATTTGAACTGTGGCAATGGATTTATTGGCAATATCGATCATATCCCCCTTTTCTCACTTTGGATCCTTGAGCAGTTTCGGTGCCAGGTACTGTGTCCTCGAGCATTCATTGGATGTGTGGTTTCTTCGGCATGGACTATCTGTGCTGGCTCTGGGACTGTGCCATTTTCTGAAGTACTTTCTCTTTGAGACAGCATTTTGTCGACTCCTGAATCACTTCTCGGGTTGGTTGTTCCCGAGGTTGTCAACCCCGCGTTCTCTGACGGATTGCTTGTATTAATGATTGCAGGTATTGTAGCACCGGCTTGGTTGAGGTCAGATCTTTTGTATCTGATCATCAGCTCATCTGCCAGTGGTCCTTCGTCCATGACAACCCCAAACCGATCTTTGGCTTTATTCTGGGCCCTGTGAAGTGACCTGTAAAGGGCATACTTCACCATCGCCTCCGCATATCGAACCAGGTACCTATGTAGATAGGAATGGGTATCCGGCGTATCGCACTACAGAATGTTGGTGGTGAACCAGTACGCTAGCAATTTAGACATTACTTCCTCTATATATTTAATTTTTTTAAAAAGAGAAACCACATCTTGATCTACTAATTTTTAAATGCACCAAATGAGGCTCAACCATTTCTGCCTGCCAGCCGGACCGTTTACCCAGCACTAGGGCAGTTGCTAAACCAGAAACGCCACGGCTTACACTGAGTCCCCCAATGACGACTATCAGCATGGGCTCTCAGAAATGCGGGGGTCATACGATTACGAATATTTCTGCCTAGATTGGATCTCATAAAATGTGCCCTGGGTAGGGTTGAATCCTTTCACTTTGCTTTCAGGATAACTTTCAACCTCATCACCACCCACAATGACACTGTCCTCGGAACACTCTCCATTTGATGAAAAATTTGATACCCTTGTCAAAGATCAACTGGAAAAATGGAAAGTTCCTGGATTGAGCATCGCGATTATACATGGCTCCAACACTTTCACCAAGGTAGCGAACCAGTCGATTCCACGCTCTATACTGAATACTCACCAACTCTCCAGGCATATGGAAAAGCAGAACTGCCAAACGATAGCATAAACAAGCCATCTCGAGACATGACAACTGATGCATTATTTGCAGCATGTAGCACAACCAAGGCTTTTACCGGTGCTGCTACTTCCATCGCAATCCAGGATAGCAAGACTAGCAAATCCCCAATTGACTGGGACACATCCCTGTCTTCTATAATTCCAGACGACTTTGTTCTGGGTAACGAGTACGCAACCAAAAATATCACATTGGAAGATGCTCTCTCGCATCGGTCGGGTATGCCAGAGCATATGTGGTCTTACGCTCTTTTCCCAAGGGAGACAACACCAGGTTCGGTAGTTCGTGCCATGCGACACTTGCCCCTTGCAACACCGCCGCGCACCAAATACCACTATAGCAACCACATGTTGATTGCCGTATCGCATGCACTGGAGACACACACAGGCCAAAAGCTAGGATCTTACCTGAAGAAACGCATATGGGATCCACTCGGCATGAATGAGACCTACTTTTCTGCAAGTGAAGCAAGATCAGATCCATCAAGTGCCGGGAAAATAGTTCAAGCATATGACTGGGTTCCTACAGACGGCGGCGCATTTATCCCGAAGCCCGATAATGACTGGCCAGGCAACAGTGGCGCCGGGGCGATTTACAGTAATGTCCTCGATTATTCACGCTGGGTGCGTGAGTTGATTGAGAGAAATGGACCTTTGAAAGGCCATGACAGCTTAACGGCTCCGCGGACAATCCACTTTCAGAAGGGCGATTTGAATTTCCCCGCTCCGTACCATGGATATGCGCTCGGATGGTTCGTGGATAACTACCGTGGACAAGATCTCTATAGTCATGGCGGTGGCTGGCCCGGCTATGCGAGCTGGGTTGGCTTCGTGCCCGAGAAGCAGTTTGGATTCGTGGTTATGGGCAACTCGTTTTCGGCTCGATATGCTGCGTTTAGACTGGTTACCTATCTTCTGGATAGGCGGCTTGGTCTAGCGAGTGATCCAAAATACGAAGAGCAGATTGCTGCATGTATAGCGAGTCAGGAAGAAGAATGGAATGGCAGGCTCCACAATGAAGACTCTAATGATTCCAAGCAACGGTTGTTCTCCCGTTTGCCTGATCCTCCGATTCCTCATGCTTTGCCCTTATCGGAATATACTGGGACTTACAGACACGCCACCGGTTTGGCTATCACGCTCGGGATCAAGCCGGACGGACTCATTGCTGATCTGCGAGATCAGCCAATTGTGAGTAAACTATCTCTTGCCCATGCAAGCGGTGAGTTTTTCGTCGGTAGAATTCATGACAAAGGCGTCAACTTGCTTCCAGCCTTCCCTGTGGAATTCTATATCGACGCTGAGGGAGTAGTGGCAAGAGTTGGGCTTCTGTTGGAACCTGACATGAAAGGAGAAAAACTCTGGTTTAGTCGCTGTGGGGGTTGAGGGTTTGTGTTCTGATAGGAATCAAAAAGAGGCTTTGAAGTATATCAAGAATTAGAATACAGAAATCAGAAAGCTTCTGAGAAAAAGGATAGCAGATACTACTTGGAAAAGTCAGGTTCCCCCGACGTATATATAGCTTGGTTATACCTTCATCATTATATCCTACGATGTAAAACAGCCATGCTAACTCGTGGGCATCACTTTTGGTATGTCGTAGCCCTGAGTCCTATGTTCAGTGTAGGTACGGAGTATACCTAATATCTCAAGGGTCAGGTACGCAGGTACGCGCACGGCCGCTTAGCGGGGCTGTGTCAACGGAAGGATCGGAACTGGAATTGGTGAAAAAGAAGAGACGAAGCGGCTAAAGTCATGAGAGAATGTGAGAACCAGGGGCACTCCCGATCAATAGTTAACCTTATCTATACTCCGTAATGAATCCCGTCCAAAAACAGGGAAAAACAGAAAAAAAAAATCAAAAAATCAAAACTGCAACGTCGGCCGCACTTTCCGCATTGGGCGGTGCAAAGTGGGACCACGTCAGCCGGAGAAGCCCTTGAAGCGCGTTCTTCCCCCCAAACTTCCAAACATCTCGGACGTAAGATCTCTCTTCAGTATAACCCGAGTCTCCATAGATGGACGGCCAGGGAACTGCTCAGCCTGAGCGGGTGCGCAAGCGGCGCCGCCGCACAATGGCCTGCACCCAGTGCCGCACCCGCAAGTTGCGATGCGATCGCGAATATCCCACTTGCAGTCGGTGTCTGAAAAGCAGAACCCCAACCAAATGCACGTATGAGGATGGGTTTCTATGGCAGCAGCCCGCTACAGTAGCCACCACTGCATTTCCATCCGATCGCGGTTCTGCATTCATTCCCAGAGTTGACCCGGCCCCCGTCAACACGCCTTCGGATTCGGGAATGCAGACAGCATCTACTCGGACAGACCCTCTATCGGCGAGTGCGCCTCGCGGGGCAATGGCTGGTAGTCCAATGCATCACGATTATCACGGTCTTACCGGGAATGCTCTGGCGCCCCCTTATAGACATTCGCCACACGATAAAGAGCGAAAAGATTGCTTTTTGGAAACGGTACTGGGTGCTCCCAGAGCCGCGGTCAATCAGGAACCTTATGTGAACACGGGTCTTTTACAGCGTCCTAAGCGCCCGGCGCCGGCGCCAGAGCAGGATATGCAAGGGCCATCGCAAGTGGACGATGAGCATATTCACGAGGCAGAAGAGGACCCGCTGTCGCTGGGGGATCAGCTAGATATATCCCCTCGCATTATGATGAGAGGTCGTGAAACCAGAACGCGATTCAGTGGATCGGGGATTTTTGCCAATCTTGTAGCACAGGTCTGTCCTCTTTCATTATCCGAGTCGTCAAAAATGGTAGTCATGTGAATGCTGACTCCCCTGTAGTTTCCGGATATCAGATCTTTTGCAGAGGAGATCAGGCTCTCTACGCCAATCTTTGCTCAACTTCAGCCAGACCTGAAGAGGGTGAAGCGCGGGCTATTAAAACGCATGGTGCTTAACCAGCCCTTCCCCGAGCCTACTACGGCTTCACTTCTTAGCATGCTGCCCTCGCGCGGTGTGGTTGATGAGCTGGTCGGTTTGTATCTCACTTATATCGAGTCGACTTACCGCATATTCCATGTCCCGACCTTCTTACGAGAGCTTGATCAACTCTGGGCCATACGAGAGAACCCAGCCACGATATCCGCTGCATTCACAGCCCAAGTGCTGTTAGTTCTTGCCTGTGCATGGAATCTTGCGGACTTGGCCAATCTTCAGTCAAAGAATATGGGCGAGCTTAAATGTCAGACCGCAATTGAATGGACGCTGCACGCAGGAAAATGGATTGATAATCTCCACACCAAGCGTCCGGAAATTACATCAATGCGACTTTCTATTCTATTAATTTTGGCGCAAAACTCGCTCGGGATGAAACGTAGCCAGGCTTGGCTCACAACAAGCACCCTGGTCAAGCAAGCGATGATGGCAGGATATCATCGCGATCCAAGCCGATACGCACGGATTTCGATATTCAACAAAGAGATGCGACGGCGGATTTGGACTACCATCGTAGAGTTGGACTTGCAAGTCGCTCTTGACCGGGGAATGCCACCATCAGTACAGAGCTTTGACTATGATGCGTCTCCGGGGCTGAATATTTTCGATGATGAGCTACATGAGAACACCACTGAGATTCCTCAAAATCGGCCATTGGGCGAAATTACTGACATGTCGTTCCAATCTGTGTTGAGTCGGTCGCTACCACTCCGTCTCCAGGCATGTTCTCTGATGCACTCCCCACGGATCAGCTGTCGATACGAGGATATTCAGCGCCTGGACGGGGAGCTCACCCGACATCTTTCTCGGATCCCCGGGTGGGTGACAGGGGACCCTAATGACATTGTCCTCCAACAAAAGGTGACTCTGTGGAAAGCTTTGATTGAGACAAAACTTTCTCAATGTCTACTATCTGTTCACACTCCTTTCGCCATTGAATCACGACGAGAACCACTCTTTGCTTCTTCCGCACGCTCTCGCATGGATGCGGCAGTCAGGATATTGTCCACCCAGCGACGGCTTCACGATATTTCACGACCACTATCGCTGTGTATGCTTGGCGAATGGACTCTCCACGCCTATATTTCCGTCTGCCAGTTGCTACACACAACGGAATCTAGCACCGGTAGGTTCTCCTTGGAACCTATCTCACGTTGAGAACCTTCACTTATACTTTCGCAGTTGCTCCCCTCTACCCCAGCTCCTCAGCTTTCCTTCTTCATAATATTCCTGGTATCCCAGAATCACTCCTCTCGCTTGTTGAAACCACCCTGATCGCGCTCGAAGAGCGCTCCCTCCAACTCACGAAAGGAGCAAAAGACTATTATTTCTTATCAACCATTGTTGCCCTCGTTAAAGCCCGACTTTGGCCGACACAAGCATTGATGTATAAGCAACAGGTCGTGGAACGGGTTTTATCATTCGCGCAAGTCCTTTTCTCTCGACATACGAACTGCGACCACCTCGGCGACAAGGGGTTGGGCAATTTCAAGAACAACCAGCTTGCTGCATTTATGGCCGCCCCGGCCATGGTGCCTGTCATGCCGGCCGAGTTTGATCCCGGTGGGATGCTCCCGCCACCACATCCTGGCTCGAACGTGAGTTGCATGATCTTTCTCCCACCTTTTCTTGGCTATTTTTCGTATTAACTCTGGCTTCTAGCAACCTGATGAGTTTGACCCTTTCTTGGAGATCTTCGATTGGGAGGACTTGACAAGCATGACGTTTCCCTGTTGAGGAGCGCGGTTTGGAGAGACGGCTTGAATCTCTGGTACGGGTAATGTACAACATGTGCTTGATCATTTCGGTATCTGTTATGCGCTTTCAATTGTATATAGTAAACCTTGTTCACCGAATACGAATACTCTGAATGCCCAGAGCAAAGTCCGGTTTATCAGGGAAATCCAAGGCAATGCGAACAATAGTTGCGTAATTGCGAATGTTGTGTCCTGATTGTCTGCGGTTCCACCATGAGATCATGATCGGGCAGATCAGAACGCGATGTAAGGGAGCTCGGGGAAAAGAAACCATCGATGCGTGTGCCTCGATATCGCACGGAGCTCTGTTTGCACCCTTGCTCTCAGATGCCGAGGTTGATACTTCTACACTAGATGTTCCTTTTCTCTAGTTTTTGCAACTAGAGCGTTATTCTTAGTGAGTCTTGCCTTTTCGCGTGGAGAGGCTATGAATCGTCTGGTAGCTATTGTGGGGAGCGATCTGCAATAAGTGATCGTCGCAGGTCTTGAGATCGGAGGGGTACAATGTCGTCCCAGTGTGTACTTTGGACGAGTAGGATAGTGTATGTAGCTTGCATTATAGACTGTAGATATCAAAAAGGAAATAAGCAATGAAATAAACATTGCAGCCATAGAGCTCAATCTGACGACAACAGCCAATCGGCGCGTGTAGCTGCGCAGTGGCTTGCAATAGGCTCTGCGGGTCTAGTACCAGCAGGTACCGCGGTTCCACGCATATGATGGCCTGGGAGAGAGGTACCCCCAGGTACCACACGAAAATAGCCTTTCCAGGCCCGCTAAAAGACCGGCTTTGAATTGACATCGTGAGGCTCGAGGGCTGTGTTTTGTGTTTTTTGTGTCTTTTTTGTTCTCTTCTCTTCTTCTGACTTTGCCACTTGCATGTTTGACCATGTGTTTTGCCCTTCCTTGCTTCAATCCCCCGCCAAATCTCTCCCCAGTTTACTTCTTGCCGCATTGGCAATCCCATTCCAACATTAAAGAGAAGAACAACGCCATGTGTATTCCGATCTGATAACTCCCATCAATTCCCCGGCCAGCTAAGCCAATTCTCCGAATCTCCCTTTAGAGCTCTAACACAGAGATAACCCTTTGTACATAACCCCATACATAACCACGATGCATCTCCCATTCCTGTCAACGATCCTCACGATCACAGCCTCGCTGGTGGGCGCCATCCCAGCCCAAACACACGTCTCGCAAGTCTACCAAACCACCGACACATACCCACTTTCAAACCCAGGCCACCTCCCTGCGCACGACCCAAACATCCTCCTCCACGACTCGACCTACTACCTCTTCAAAGGCGGCATCAACATCCCAATCTTCAAATCCGCCAACATTTCCGGTCCCTGGGAAAAGCTCGGCACAGTGCTATCCACCGACAGCATAGTCCCCAAAGGCAATCGCACACGACCCTGGGCACCGACCACAATCGCAATAAACGGCACCTTCTACTGCTACTACACCCTCAGCGCAGCAGGGTCCCGGGATAGCGCCATTGGCGTCGCAATGACCACCGCACTCAATGGCACATGGACTGACCACGGCGTGGTAATCAATACCGGTACCGGTGCTGGCTCGGCCGTGTGGCCGTATACGATTACGAACGCCATTGATGCGTCGGTGATCGTTGAGCGGAACTCCAGCCAGGCGTATCTGAATTACGGGAGCTTCTGGCATGGGATTTGGCAGGTGCCGCTGGCGGAGGATATGCTTTCTGTGCAGAAGGCAGATGATCCCGATGCGGTGCAGTTGACGTTTATGCCAGGTGCTAGGACGAAGCCTCAGGAGGGATCGTGGATGAGCTTTCGGGATGGGTTTTATTATGTTTGGTTCAGCCATGGGAAGTGTTGTAATTTTGAGAATGGATTCCCGGGGCGCGGGAAGGAGTATAGTATTCGCGTTGGGAGGGCGGCGAATGCGAGGGGACCGTTTGTGGATCGCGAGGGGAGGTCTTTGCTTCAGGGAGGTGGCACGGTGGTGTATGGTTCTAATCATGGGGTGGTTTATGCGCCTGGTGGATTGGGTGTCTTGGAGGGGGATGCTTCCTCGGATGTTCTTTACTATCATTACTTGAATACTTCGATTGGGTTTGAACATAAGGTGGGTTTTGGTTTTGTTGGGAGTTGGATTTGGGACTGACTGTTGGAATAGCAAGCTCAACTGGGCTGGAATTACCTTGAATATGAGGATGGCTGGCCGGTTACTGTTGGAGGCGAGAATTCTACTACAACTAATGCTGCTACCATTCATGGACGGCCTGGTTGGGGGTGTCTGATGTCGGTTTTTGGTGAGTAAGTACCGCTTCAGTCTCTCTGCGCTCTATACTCACCCCGTTTACAGGCTTATGGCTGTACATATGGTCATAGCAGTGGCTCTACCATGCATCCTACTCAGATTCCCGATTTTGCTTCATCTTGCTTTTCAGCGACTGCATGTAGCTAGCAGTCTTGGCGATGGTGTTTTGGTTAGATTTCCGCACTACGACTGTTATATAGCGAGCATCTCAATCGGTTTATATTCAATGCATATCATCGGCATACCAAGCCATGTCGTTAACTAATCATGCTATTGTCCTCGCTAACAAGATCTGAAACAAACTTCTCCATTCAATCCCATCCACCATCAACACTGACAACCTGCCCAGTAGTATACGACGCAGCATCACTGAGCAAAAACACTACCGTCTGCGCCACCTCATCCGCAGTTCCATGACGCGGAATCGCAGCCGGCGGGTCACTAATCTCACCCTGAATCTCCCTAGCCTTCTCCAGCAAAGGCGTCAAGATACTCCCACTAAAGACCCAAATCAGCAAACACCCCCAAACACAGCACCAATCCCCAAATACTCACGGCGCAATAGCATTAACCCTAATCTCCGGCCCAACCTCTTTAGAAACCGACCTCGTCATCCCAACAACCGCATGCTTCGTCGTCGAATACCCCGCATGCAACGCAAACCCCTTCAACCCCTGAATACTCGACGCATTAACAATACTCCCCTTCCCCCCAGGAGCAGTCTGCATAATCGCCTTCAACTGCGCACGCATACAAAACATCAACCCCGTAACATTAACCCGCATCAACATCTCCCACTCCGCATCATCCTGGTCAACAAACCTCCCCGTCCCATGCTTCTTGCCAATCGTGCCAGCCATATTCGCCGCGCCGTCCAACCGCCCGAAATGCGCCACCGTACCGGCAATCCAGTCATTCACGGCCGCCGCGCTGCCAATGTCCAGCGCGGTAGTGGTGATCGTTGCAGCCGTTGAAGCGCCGAATTCAGTCTCGATGGTTGTGCGCGCGGCGGAGAGGACTGTCTCGCTGAGGTCTGCGAGGGAGAGGAGGGCGCCTTGCGCGTGCAGCTGGCGGGCGACGGCTAGGCCGATTCCGCCGAGGCCGGTTACGGCGTAGACTTTGCCTTTGACGGAGTCCATTGTGATGGGGGAGTTCAATTGCTGGGCTTGCTGGGGGGAATGGGGAATGGGGGTATATGTGTGCGAAGACTGGGTGGCATTTGGGTCCATGTGGGATGGGATGGTTACGTTCGGTTTGGCGGGGATAGACCGTGGGGTCGGAGATGCTCCGTGGCCAATCTGTGGACTGGCTCGGGTATATTGGAGGGTTTGTATAGAGATCGGCTAAATTGTAACGTTGGAGTCTGTGCCCGAGAGGAATTGGTATATGGCTTTGAGCACTTTACGGGGAAACCCCGCGATAGAAACCCCACTTGGAGTCTGGAGATGAAGGGGCTGGAGTCCACACTTTGCGCGATCTGAGGTTGGATGCGAAGATATTATGGGTGCTATGGTTGAGTATGGACGGTGGTCGCTACTAAAAGCCTTGAGTCATCTATACAATGTTGCTTTTGTTTAAAGCCCTCTGTATGGAGTAGTTGGTCCATATAGTGTGAGTATTATCCAGTATATACTACCCCTCTTTTTGATTTCCATAAGAAAGACTCTTTCTCATAGTTCCTTTTAGCTGTCTTTTGGATCTCTTTCTAAATTCCCCTTGAGCCCCCTCTCAATAGTAGGCTATGATATCTGCACTTAGTAACCGCTCTACAGTTGGTATTCTGTAGGTAGCATGAGAGTAGAATAGGGACTTTCGATAGGGCCCTCCGTACTCCGTATGTTATAGATGAATGTAGACTAAGTGAAGATGTAGTTTATGAGAGATAATCCTCATTGGCCAATGTCAACGCTTGCATGCTGATTTGCCGCTCAGCTACGGGGTACTCCGTACAGGCTAACGCATCATCCAAACAGATGGGCCCTCCGAGAATGCCAAGATCATCATTCTGTACGGAGTCAAGTGGCTTGTGTTATTGAAGTGGGTGCATTTATTGATTGCATTTGCCCAAGCGACTCCTCCCGATGGGTTCCAAGGGAATTGGAGCTTGGAATGCAATTTAATCTATGTGTACGTAACCTAGGTGGTTCGCATCGGAGATGATTGCATTTGTTAATGCGAACTCCGTACGGAGTATATTTTCCCTACCTCGCCCTCTTTTGTCCTATGTCTATATCACATATATTCGGATGTGTACGGGGGAGAGTATAGACGCTTGGGAGGGATTATCCAACCTCATCTGACTCTATGGAGTATACTCCGTATTCCGTAGTACGTACATAGATTAGACAAAGCTATGTTATGTTGGATGGAACTATACACGCTGTGAATAGGAATAGATACATATGCTGGCATCTATAATGAAGCCAAGTCCCACAGGGATTATAAGAGCCACTTCAATGGAGTATCTGCATATTGTACTGCCTCATGAAGTAGTCATTCAGAAGCACATGCAAGTCCCTAGCGGCAGGTCTGTTCCCAATCAGGTGGCCCGCTTGTTTCACAAGTAACATGGATGCAATGCCGTTTCAAATAGATTACTTATAGCATTCAAATCCATATTAGATCCGCAGAAAAAGTAAAAAGTAAATTGTATGTTGCGTGACAGCGATGGCTCAGCTGAACCCGGAGCTCCCAACCCCGGGACAAAGAATGTGGACAGCTGAAACGAAATTCCAACTTCGACTTGGCATGAAGCCACGTTGAATATATCTCCGAGAAATGTAGCCCTATATCACATCTACAAGTATGTACCGAATATGCCGTATGTTCTCAGTCTGCCCCTCCAAAAATCGAACTCCGTAAATCGCAAATGGGTATCTCAGAATGCAGTAAAAAGGAAAGAAAAATAAAAAAATGAACAATCAACCCCTCCGTCAGAGAAACATCCCCGACAACAGTATCCCTCCAAGAACCAGCGAGACCAGCGAGGAACTCGTCGCGGGAGCCCTCCGCACACCGGACGAGATCTCCGTTTTGCTCCCGTACACAATGCCCTCGGCGTTGAGGCAGTACATCACTTCCTTCGCCTCCTTTGATTTGTGCGAACGGCAAATGGCAAAACAAGGGTCTGGATCTTCGGTGATCCACACTGGGTAGGCGCAGCAGGACTGCAAGACCGCCTCCATATCCCTGTGCGGATCATTTTCCTGCCACAGCGGGACCTGGTTATAATAGTTGATGTTCGAGGGTAGGTCGGGCATCAAGTTGCGGGAGTTGTAACATTGCGCCGGCTGGGTGAAGGTGCCGTTGGAGGCGGTTACTGGAGGCGTCATTGGATGAACTGGTTGAGGGAAAATTTGAGTGGTTTTTAGGGTGCGGGATGTGCAGTCGCGGAAATGAACGGTGGAGAGGAGTTTGGTTCGCGAGAGGATGTCGCAGTGTTTTTGTCGCAGTGTTTCTGAATTTCGGATAGAGAAGGGACAGTGTGAAAAGATCAACCGGAGAGCATTAATGAGAGTTGGACGCAAAAAAAAGGGTCTGTAGTCCCCGGGTCCTTTTAACTCCTGAACGGCCACGGGGAAAAACGCCAAGACGCTATGTTGGAGATATTGGCCTTTGCAGGTGGGCCTAACAGTGACCACTTTCCAGCTGAGGATCTGAAGCCTTTTTGCTGGGAATGGGTGGCCTAGCGAGACAGAAAAAGGGGGGATACACTTTGTGATATACTTGGCTCCTTGCGTGGCTCATCTATTATGATCTATGTCTTTGCTACCCCTCGATGCTCCCGGACGTCTACGGAATCAGCCTATAACCGGGCTGTTGCATTGGCTCGACGCCACATTTTCTTTCTCCGTTCGTGGCCCTCGTTGAAGTCATCGAGCCATTTTTGCTCGAATCGGGGCAGTCGGCGTCCTGGGGCGCCTGGCTGGGGGTCTCCGGCTAGATTGCGGAGTGCCTCGAAGTAGGGCTCGAATTCAGGATTCAGCACTGTGAATCCTGGACCGTCACTCTTTAGCGCGATACGCTCCTTTTCCCACTTTTCTTGTTCTGCGATGGCGGGAAGGGTGGCCTTGCCAGCCAGGACACGTGCGGCAGCCACGGCTTGCCATTCGAATACTTTGAAGGTCAACCCAGCACCGACCTGGGGTTACATGAGTTAGTGCTTGAACTGCGGGGGAAACATCTTCCCGGAGGCATGTGAAGATACTTACAGCGCCAACAAAAACCAGCGATGGGTCATGTCTATAAAAGACATGCTGGTACAAATCGGGCACGCGGTTGTTCCTCGTGGCAACCTGGGGCAAGAAAGGCAATGTCCAACTGAAACCTGTTCCAAAAATGATATAATCGACATTGGGTTCAGAAGTGCCGTCTTCGAAATGCACCGTTCGCTCGCCTTGATCATTACTCGTGATGTGTGAGATAGGCGGGCGGCGCTGGATCTTCGGATGCTGGAACGCATCATCGCCAAAGTAGGCGTTATACCGACCACGAACAACGGCAATCACCGGTGCCTGGGCACTCTCAATCAAACTGACCGCAGTATCGGCAGCCGAAACAGACGCCCCAACGGTAATAACTTTCTGCGCCGTGTCAGCTTATGCCCGAACTTCGCGTTGGGAACAGCTCTCACCTTGCCCCGATATTTTTCCGGTCCCCGATAGTTCTTAGTATGTTGCACACTCCCAGGATACCTCGCCGCATACTCCTTCAACCCAGGAATCACAGGGATAAATGGCACCGCGTAATGACCCGAGGCCACAACCACCGCATCAAACTCCTCGGACCACCAGTAATCCGATCGAGCACCATCCAGACTCTCCGTCCGGCGGAACGTAAGCACCCATTTCTGGCTGCGGGAATCCTTGATCGCCCGCTCAACAGTAGTGTTATACTGAACCAGATCCTGATATCCCTTCCGATCAAACAGATCCTCAATATACTTCCGAATAACCGAATGGTGCCGGAACGGCGTATCCTCGCCATGTCGCTCAATCGACCACCGCGAGCGAACTGTAGGAATCTCTTCCTGAGAATACGACATGGCTCCCGCATTCACATTCGTCTCTAGCGTCGGGTACACCGCTGAATCCGTAAACCGATCCTGCGACACCACAGGTGTCCGACACGGCAGCTGCTCTGGAATCTCCAGCGGCGCGTCCGCCGTTCGCGCGGCTAGACCGTCGAAATCGAATTTCTGTGGTGGTTCATCGTCTCTTGAGACCCTGTTGATTATTAGCTTCAAATCCTTGCATTGGTGGGTTTAAACGGCCATACCAGCATCCACCGGCTTTCTCTTGTCTTTCATATACACGGATCACATCGAATGCCTTCTCTTGTGATAGCGCATCGACGGCAATGGCGCCCGCCGGACCGGCGCCGATAACGGCTACGCTTTTGATCGCCATGGTGTGAAATTTAATTGATGTTTAAACGGAGTTGGGCTCGTAGCTCATCTTAAATTAGTGCTGTCTCGGCCGAGCTCTTGGAAAATGGGGATCTCTATGGTGTGAACGTTGAACTCTAGCACGCCATCCAGTTGCTGTTGGCGCAAATTTGGCTCGCAGGGCCCAATGAGGGCCCCAGGATGTCTAGTTAGGGGATAGCCGAGGTCGGAGTTACTGTCTATACGTGCTAGGCGTTCATTTCTTATTCTTAGCGCCGGACTCTGCGCAAAACACAGCTTAAATCTGAGATTGTCCTTTCTTCATCCCATCGGCTTCGCGTCTAGCCCGTTGATCTGATTGGCGGCCGGGTGGAGATCCATTTGGTCACGTGCTGTTTAGCCGGGAGACTGCAGGAACTGCATTCTCATTGGCTGGGAGTTGGTGCCTTGGGATCCAGGCTGCTGATCACCTTAAGATAGGCTTTAATAGCCGCAAACCCTTGCGAATGGCAAAAATAGTACTATGACGAGTCCAGAAGCTAGTTCCATACTTGGAATGAAAAGGAGTAGTAAGAAATCACGATGCAATCTGTAGTAGATGAATGATAGATAATACAAGAATCCGAAAAGACCAAGACCTAAAATGCCGCTAAATCAAGTAAACACATCGGTAGCATACCGCTCCTTCGTCCGCAGGTTGTCGAAAAACGCCTTCGCGGCCTCATCCTCACTAAGCTCAGCATTGGGCAGAGTCTCGCCCTTCTCCTTACACTCGGCAAGCTTCTCACGGCGCTTCTCGAGATACATCTGCTTGCAAGCATCGCGAATTCCCGCACCGACACCGGTACTACCACAAACGTAGACATTCGCACCCTGCTCGAACAACTGTACCAGCTCTTCACGATCTTCAAGCATGAGATCCTGCACATGATTTCCCTTTCCTTCAGCGGGCCGGCTATACGCCCAGCGCACATCGACAGCGCCCAACGTAGCCCAGTCTGCCAGTTCGGCGGCGTGGATATCGTCCTGGCCCTTTGTGCGGCAGCCGACGTATAGCACCGCCTTGGCAGGCTTGAAGGCCTCATTTTCACGCAGCTCGTCGGAATCGGGGGAGCTGCGACGACCGCGGATTTTCTCCGCGCGGTCCATGACGAAGCCGCGGAAGGGGGCGAGGCCGCTGCCGGCGCAGGCCATGATCATTGGGGTCTCGAGGTCAACGGGTGGCTTGAAGTTCGATGGGCGGACGGTGATGTGTGCGCGTTCGCCGATTTGCAGCTCGGAGAGGTAGTTAGATGCGACGCCGAGGTATTGCTCGATGCCCTCGCCGCCTTCTGTGACGGTGTTGGCCAGGGCAGGCGCGCTGAGGACGCTGAAGGTGATTGAGCATTCGGATGGGTCGGCTAGGGGAGATGAGGAGATGGAGTACTGGCGCACGCGCATCGGTGGCAGCATGGCGAGGAAGTCGCCGATGGAGAGCTTGATTTCGGGGTAGCGGGTCAGCAGGTCGAGTGGGCTGACGCGCTTCTTGACGATTTCTTCGGTAAAGCGGCTGGGGCTGGAGGCCATGTAGCGCAGTTCGGCTTGGGTCTCTGCGTCCTGGATGGCGGCGTCGGCTAGGGCGTTGAGATCGCGCTTTGATGCTGGCTGGGAGAGCTCAATGTACGTTGATAGAAGCTCGAAGGCTGAGATTGGGGTGTCGATGGGGATCGAAGGGGATGCAGTTGAGCCGGATGGCTTTTGAACTCGGAGCACGGCATCCCAGGGGAGGTCGAAGCGACGGATTGCACGGCGGACGACCGAGCTCGGGTTCACGGGAAGTACGGCAAGGTAGTCACCGCACTGATAGGTCATGTCCGAGGGCAGCTTGAACTTGACGATGCGCTTGGCTGGGGCTTCTGGGGAAGTCAGGAGCTGGTTGTCGACGACAAAGCCTTCTTCCAGCTGAAGTCCAAGGGTTGATGCACGCATACCCGAGCTCACTTCGACCTGCAGTGAAGACTTCGGCTTGGCACTCTTTTCAAGGCCAGCGCCGCCGAATTTAGCCATGACGGCTGGCCAGAATGAGCTCTCACCCCAGCCATCGAAATCAGTGAACATATCCGAGTTTGCTGCGTCCGCAAGACCAATGTCGCAAAGCTTGTTAGCTCCGTTCTCTTTGGCCAATTGGTCGATGGCCTTGGGAATACGGTAGAAGGTGGACGACCAATCATGATGACCACAGCCGAAGACTGCATAGTTGGTACCTTCCAAATCGCCACCCTTCAGGTTGCTGAGCCACTGGAAGAAGTGAGCCGCGTTATCGGGGGGCTGTCCTTCATAAGAAGCTGAGATAAAGACGACAGGACCATCCTTGGGAATGTTTTCCATGGCGGAATCCAAGGAACTTGTCTGCGCAGCGTACCCATATCCAGTGGCATCATCAGCCAGTCTGCGGGCAAACGCCTCGCAAGTTCCTGTATTACTGCCGTAGAACACATGCATTGGCTTCAGCTTTCCATCCACGGGTGCAGCCTTGGGCTTTCGATCCCGGCTGCCAGCGCCAGTCTCTAGGGGGGCAGCACCAGAGCCACTGAGAGCAGTGCTGAGCTGCGTGGGGTCAAGACCATCTCTCAGAGTAGCCTTCATATGGAAATCCTTGGGCTTGATGGTAAGTGTCTGCTTGATACGGAGATCGTAGCTGGGATTGTCCATCTGGAAGTTGAAGTTCTGCAGTAAAATCGCAACCACGAGGAGAGCCTCCTGCCACGCGAAAGGTCGGCCAATGCAGCCTCGCATGCCATTTCCAAATGGCTTCCATGCATTCTTGGGCAGCTTCTCGAAGTTTTCATCGAGCATTCGCTCTGGCTTAAACTCATCGGCATCAGGGCCGTACACCTTCGGGTCGCGCTGCATCTTGCTAAGCATGAGCACAACGGGCTCATCCTTTTGAAGGACATATTTACCGCCTCCCAGAGTCACCGGATCTTCCTGGTTCTTAGTCGGATGGGGGTGCAGGGCGATCATCGGGGCTGTTGGCTTCAGACGCAGCGTCTCCCGCATTACGGCAGTGATGTAAGGAAGCTTAGACATGTCATCAACGGTGATCTTGCGTTTGCCAATCACACGGTCGACTTCTTCTTGGGCCTTCTTGTAGGCGCTTGGGCTCTTGAGAAGATAGTAGAACAAGAACGACAACATTCCGGAAGTGGTCTCATGGCCTATCAAACTTCAAGTCAGTTCTGAGACAATGCAACGTTTTAATGGATTGTTCACATACCAGCAATGAGGAAAGTGATCATGTTGTCCACAATCGACGTGTCGGTCATACCCTGACCAGTCTGAGGGTCCCGGCCCAGAATAAGCGCATTGAGAAGATCCTTCTTATCAACCGGGTTCTCCTTCCGCGCGTCCACTAATTCCCGGGCCAAAGTCCGAAGATACTCGATATCAGCCCAGTACTTGTTAGTTTCCGCAGTAGGCAGACTGTTAAATAGACCAGGCCGAAGGGCCCGCTTTCCAGAACCGGCTAACAAGCCAACCATGGCCTCAACGAACGGGTGCATTTCATCGTGGTAGAATGAATTGAAGCGAGTCCCCATAGCGCAAAGAGCAATGGTATCCAGCGTCAAGCGAGTAAAGTCGTCTGTGACCTGAATAGGAGTCGTGGGTCCAAGTCGGGCCCATTTTAAGACCAATTGCTGGGCGATATCATACATTTCTGAAAAGTCAGATCAGTTCCGGTCATTTTTTCCTTCTATCGCATGTAGTTCAGTAGCACCTACCGTCAAACATGCCGCGAATCATCAGCGGTCCGAACGCAGGAACAAGTACACGGTGCGCAATGGCCCAGTTCTCTTCGCCGGGGTAGTTGGCTGTGAAGAGACCATCGTGCACACCGTTGCGAATTTCATGCAGACCAGCGGAGACGACCTTGCTGAATCGTTCTTCGTCACAGACTTCGTCTACTAATTCGTGGGAGTTGACGAAGACTCGTGATCTGCCAAATGTGGTCAAACGAAAAATCTCGCCTGAAGAGTAAAGAAATAAATGAATTAGCCGCTCACATTCCATTTTATACGCATTATAGTGAAGACCTAAATCCATACCATAGTTATCAGCCAGCAGCTCGAAGCTGTTTGCCGGCACCTCCGCCTCGATATCGTAGATGTTTCCCAGGAGTGGGACGCCCCTGGGGCCTGGAATTGGGACCTCGTTGGTCGAGGCCATAGTGAATGATGAGGATCAATCGGGTAGTTTGATCTGGATAGGCGGGATGAGTAGTAGAATATGTGGGATCAAAAGTGAAAGGAGAAAGGATGAGTGATTGGTGGGGTTGGAATGTGTGCCAAATCCGGCTGTCGTGTTCCAGCGGGGTTGGGAGCTATGCTGTTCTGCTGTTCGGCTCGTATACTGTTACGTTGTACTCTGTACTCCGTAATGCCGATGAGATCAGAGATGCAGGGATTAACGACCGCAGGATAATAATGTTGAGAGGGAAGGGTTTAATATAAGAGGAAAAAAAAGCCGTGACCTCACCGATTATCTATCGAGCCTCGGTATCTTCCCTAGTTTAATTTAAAGAGCTTATTACAACGTAATCAGCTACATGACTCCATTTCAATTCCTCATGTTTCATCTTGTTCTCTCATTTACCCCCACTTCGGGCTCGGCAATGGCTGAAAGCCCAATCATGATCGCCGCGTATCCATCGGCCACGCCGAGATCGTGAGTTAATTTGTATTCTGCCTTGTCGGCTTTGACAGGGATCCCGATAACAGACGGCACTCGCCGGCACAGGGTCATCCCCACAGCTATATCCACCGCCAAGACACGGACGAGGAATTCCGTTTCGCGGGAATCTCCTTTTGGGAATACCCTCATCGGGGACGGAACTCGGACATAGGTTACCCCGATTCCGAGGACTCCACAGGGCTCACGGCGTGTTCGTGAATATGACTCGAGGCCCCCTCAACGACCTGCATTATTATGAGATCATCCTGCATGCAAAAACTCCCCGGCATAAGACAGGTCGGATACTTATGCCCGGCATAATTGGGGCTACCATGGTGTGGTGAGCTATCATTCATAAGGGGCGTCGAAGTTAAGAACGAAAATAGAACACGGGTTTACCTCTTGTGAACATTGCACATTAGGAAACTGGCCCTGTACTTGGCAAGAGGGGTAACCTTGGAACGCCGGAGTGGTTCCTCCGTGGATACTCCACTACTGGCCGCGATCGCGGGAAGATCGACTGAAAGTAAACCCGTTTCATATAGCAAGATATGTACATGTATAGAATGGTAAGCAAATTGCAAACGACGCAACAGGCAGCCTGAACAACGCCAACGAGGGGAATTTCTGGACCGAGGACCCAAAAAAAAGGGGATATCAACAAAATTGGGGAGCGGAACGAGTGGCTCTGCGTATAAAAGAAGGGTCAAAAGAGACAGGAAGAAGACGGGAAGCTGGGACGGAAGGAAATGGGTCATTATTTCGAATCCGCAGGCCATTGAAGTTGTCCAAGATCAAAGTGGTCATGACGGCGATCTGAAAGGCCGGACACAGCAAAGAAAAATGCAGGGTAATAGAGCCACAGAAGTATTCATTACAGAGAAAAGCAGGTTGCCGGGGTTACTTGGGGTTGAAAATGACAAGCCGGCTAGTTGTGGACCTGTTGGTAACCGCCGTTCTTCCACTCGCTCTGCCTCCAGTCGTTCTGGAAGGCCTGCATCTCGTTGCGGTTTTCACCGGCTGGGGCTTCGGTCAAAGCGTTTTCGAGACGGCCCTTGCGGCGCTGGCGCAGGCAGAAGAACAGGAAGCCTATGATGGCAAGCACAACGGCTGAGGCTGCGCCAGCATAGATTCCAATATGCGCTCCTTGGCCGAGCTCTTCCCACTTCTCCGACAGGGACTTGGGCTCGGGTTTATTGAGTTCCTCCAGTGTGGTGGAATTTCCGCTGCAATATGGCGTTAGTGAATATACTTTGAAAACATGTCGGATTAAACCCTTACCTCACGACCTCGATACTCTCCCAGGAACCAGAGTAGTCCCCGTAGACGTACTCTTTGCCGGTGTGGAAATCCTCAACTCGCAACTTGCCAAGAGTCATAGTGAAGGGAGCGTTCTCCCATTCAACCAAGCCCCCAGCCCAATCAATAGTTCCCTGTTCGGCCTTTTTCTGACCGGCGGGCCAGATACTGAACTGGACCTGACAAGGGGTCTGCGGGTAGTTTTTGCCCCACACCGTGAGCTCCTCGTTATAGTCAAGTTCGCGAACCATTTCGCCGTCGATCCACCACTGGAGCTTATCGTGGTTCCAGTATGTGGTGTAGTTGTGGAACTCGGTGTCGGCGTTCGGCACGTAGTGGTTTCCACCGCGTTCGTAGGAGGTAGTGTTACCTTTGCCAAAGAAGTTGGACTGCACTTCGCTAGTGTTGGTTCCCACCCACTCCCAATCGATCTCGTCCAGGTCGTCGGATTCCAAGACGACACTGCTGACCATACCTCGACCCGGGGACATCTTGACGTGGGCTTCCACAATGCCGAAGAAAATGTAAAATCTGGATTGCAAGAGGGTAGACTCGCCCTCTTTTCTGAGAGTGAACTGGGCTCCCTCATCATTGTAGTCATAGGTTCCGGTTTTCATGTTCCAAATCTTCTCGTCCAACGTCGTGTTGAAGTTCCATGTATACGTGGTGCCGAGAGCGGGATCCGCAGGACATGTCGTATTCATCGGATTACATTCAGTTGACGTTTGGGCGGTCGCATAGCTCGCCAAAGCCGCCAGAACGGCGATTCGAGAGAAGAACATGATGGACTGATGTGTATCAACGATTGCTCTCTAATCTCAGGGCGCTGTAGCCGAACAGTCTGAGAGAATGACGAAAAAAATGAGTGGACTCGAGACTACTCGAGATTCGATAATGAATGGATGTGCGATTGCACGGTAATGAGTGGAAGGCAGTCTGCCAGCAGCAAGATCCAAAGAGAGTGTTGAGAAAATGAAGAACAAACGGGGGGAAAATCAGCCACGGCGGGCCAATTTAGGCGCGGAGTGGACTCAGGGCATGATGGGGTCCCAGGCTAGCGGTGTTTTGAGCCAAGAGGATTATTTTTGCACCGTTGTACTCCGTAAAGCGTGCGGGTGTAAGGGGAAAGCTGCAGAGATTCTGGGCAAATTTGCCCACTAGCCGGTCTGGGTTAGAACGCCCCATTGGAATGCGTTCTGCTAACCCCTTTCGATCGACCCCAAGAGCCCCGTGCCTGGCGCTAACCCCCTTTCAGGATCTGTCTGGTGTTTCTCACGGAGACTATGACTTGGTGGACGACCCTGATTGGCCCCCCATTGGATCCTCATTGGCTGATCGCAGCGAACCCCGATAAGGACCATGGAAGTTGATCCGCATCAAGGAGTCTATACCGTTTTGCGTTGTATAAGACTATGGGGAACGGAGTGAGTTGGGACAATATGCATATACACGCTTGTAGGCTGGATTCGTATAACCCTCTTAACTGCAACAAGGACTTGGCCAAAATGCAGGACTAAACTAGTGGCTTAGCCCAGGTCTAGGCCACTTCAGGGAAACAAAAACAAAAAACCATCTTGCTGCAATGGCGATCAACATCGAAATGGATAACAATCGCCACGGGTACGGAGTAAACAGCTCCAAGATTGGGCTGGATACAGATCATCGTGCATGGCCCCCTTGAACAACACCTTGCAAGCCATAACACCAGGTGCCGGACACCACGTACTACCTACACCACGGGGAAAAACATGTGTTCTATTCTCCGTTCCTTCAGTTTGTCAGACTTTTTTGCAAGCTGAATTTTAAGGATGCTCCGCTTAATGGACCCAATAACCAAGCCCACACGAAGCCAATTCTGACCTCCGGGTCCCGCAAGTGGAGATGTCTAACACCGGATTTCCCTCTTTTCTTTCCCCCCTGTGGATCCTTTCCCCTGTCTCGCCTGCGCGCCCCCTCGTTAATGCACCTCCCTCTTGGAGCGAACGATGCTAGCCACATGAACCATACAAATAACGTGTCTCATCTGTCGAATTGGGTCAATCTCGGGTGCGGCGTTCCTGGTGCGATGGCCGTAATAATATACTCGGCTTTGCCGGCTCGGAATCTAGTTAGGAGAGACTTTGGTGATTCTGATCGATCGAACGCCACTGCTCGGCGGTGACCCAACCAACAGCCAAGTCCCTCAGCCAAGTCTACAATTTGCGAGCACTCAGGTACCCGTGGCAAGCTGGTCATGTCCTCCTCTATGGCGAACAGAGTACGGAGTACAGCTTACGGAGTACTCCGTACTCCGTCGCAAATTAAAGTATCGTAGTTGGAGACAGCCATTCGTGCAACCGTGCATTACGAAGTAGGGAGCGTAAGAGCTCAGAACGATGTCCAACCCATGCATTTCAATCCGAACTCAGGGGGTTTCCAAAAATCAAAAATGAATTTGTAAAAAAAAAAGAAACCTTAAAACGCACAGATCAGGCAATCTGTTTCGAGATTTATTTTCATCAAATCGTAACAGCTTGGTCGTATGTCATGTCTCATCTGTCATGTCTCATCAATAAGCTTGGAACCTTAGCCAAATATGTCCGGCCCATCTGTGGCCCATAATTTCCTCCGGTTAAAAATAAAAATAGTAAATGCTATGTACCAATGATCAACACCAGCGCCCAGTCCAAGGGTCTCAAGGGTCATTCCTTTGTCGATGAGGTATAATCGACGGCCACAATTCAAGGATCCGTCAAATACACCTTAGCTGGCCGGCGCACATCATCGCGATCTCTATAACGACGGGTACTTATCGGCTTCTCATACTCGACATATGTTGCGGACGGACGACGGCGACTCCGTCGCCCTCGGCTACTCGTGCTGCTGCGAACAACAGGAGGCCGGTAGCCGACGTCAGGCTCGTCTCCCCCACTCCATGCGCCGGGAAGTCGAAAGATTCGCCACAGCCACAAAATGAGGAGGGTGCCTGCAATCGAGCCAATAACGATACCTGCGATCCCGCCGCCGCTGATTGTGCTCGGGCAGTTGTCGCCACTTGACTGCCGAGGCGTGAGCATGGAATTGATAGGGGCCTAGGAAGCGAGCGTATTAGCCTCAGATGTGTTCCAGAACTTGCGATCCGTGGTTCTTTGTTCGGCCCGCGCCCGATGCTGAGTGAGCCACGGGTGAAAGCTTCGAAGTAGGTAGGATTTATACTCTGATATACGGAGTTCAAACATCTTGATGCACTTACCATGGCCTGCAGCCTATGAAATAAATAAGAATATATATATCTGATATCGGGGAATTTGAATCCAGTCCCCTGGTGGCTGGGAATGGTATGCAGAACGGTGGGTCTCGATGTGGTCTTAACTCCAGCACCAAAATTGAAGCGTGAGTATAGATGAATGATTAAAACCACCCACACAACAGGATGAAAGGGAAAAAAACAGAGGAAAAATCACCCAAGACCAGAGCCTCACCTCTTATAAAAACCGGACTCGACTTTACAACTCCTCTTGATTGCGCACTTCCAACCACCTTTCCCGCTTCTGACGTCAACCGGACGTCGGCCTTGGCAGCCTGGCAGAGCAGCGATCTTCCCTTTCATACAGCGCAAACTTGAAACTTGGCTTGAGCAATCCTTGTTTGTTGTCATTATTGGATGCTTGCTTTAATTGTGCTCATAATTTCATGTTGGATTCAGTCAATTGTGTCTCTTAGCCAGTCAATGTCGACCTGCACATTGTGCATCGCTTGCAGCGAACCCACATGTACCCTGTCTACATAGGTACAACATATTCCATTATGCGTGTCACACCAGGGAAACGCTATCTCTGTTAGGCCTTCGGAGAAGCATGGCAACGGGGAATAAGACCTGCAGTGGAGAAATGCCGAGAAGATGGGCTTGAGGGTTAATTGAGCTACAACATACTAATTGAGCAAATTTGGATGCTGTATTCCGTCGCAGATAGTGGATAGGCGAATTGGTCTGGACAATCTCAGTCACAAAGGAACATCGAGCGTACAACGGTGCGATCTGATCTCTCTAGTGACGAAGTGCTTGTCCAATGGCACATTCCCGGGAGTAGGCGAAATATCCCTGGTTCCTCGTATCTTCGCATGTTTTCCGAGCCTAAATTCATGCGCGCCCCTTTCGTCATCATACAATCGAGGTCGAGCAAGATTTTCTCTCATTGCTTATCATTTTTCTTGACACTCTTCACATGGTATCCGCTCGCGGAATTCCTTGTGGAGAGTCGAAGCCTTGTTTCCATTGATCGGCATGTAGTAATTTAGGATGACGGAGATGACAGGTATGTGGTTGCGTGACAATAACCTAGATACCAAGCATTGACTAGAGGAGCTGGGAATTCATGACCGTCTGCCCAATTTAGTACATCTCCCAGCCTTTCAAAATGTATTTCGACTGCCACGTTAGATATATGCAGCCATTTTGGAGCAGTGCATTCCATCGCTCTGTCTGGCAGACACAATGATGTTAGATGGTGAACCCATGTTCTCATCTTCCAAATACCAACCAGGACTCCAATCATCGGCACTAGCATTCAGGCTTGAAGATATGATAGAAGCTGACTGTGCAAATACGCCATCTAGATAAGCGAGTAGTACTATCAACTGTTGAACTGAAATTGAGGTCACTCGCGTGGCATGAAAGATATATTGAGGGATTTTTCGGGTCGTATAAATTCCTATGTCTTCATTCCGTCCGGTTCGAAGGTACTATTTGAATGATTGGAATATAAAGAGCCGTGCACCGTATAAAAATTCAATATGAGCTGCCTAGTCGCAGAGCCAGCTAACAACAGCAGCCAATATGCCCTTCGGGGTCCAATGTTTAATACCCACCCCCTTTTTAGGTATGACCAGGCACGGTTTGTAGATGTGTACTCCGTACGGAGTACAGAGTATGCATGAAAGAACTATTGAATCGAGAGGTCATGTCCATAACTACCTAATCCCCCTTTAGTGTAATTCAATCGGGTCACCCATTAGCCTGGACTTGATTTTGTTTCCTAATATATTTGCAAATGCCGACCGATATCAATTTAATTGAAATGCTTTGTACGTAAATGTGCCTTGACGTTCAGTATAAAAAACCAGGGGAAAAAAAGGAAAAAAAGAAACTCCGATGCGGGGATTCGAACCCCGGTTCGCGCTGTGAAAGAGCGCAGTGATAACCCCTACACTACATCGGATGTTGCTGTATTTAGTCATCTGACCTAGTAACTATCAGGTTCATTGCATCATTTATACACCATGGCAGTGAGCAATCCCATACCACAACTGTGTGAACTAACAACGAATGAAAACCAACATACACAAATCATCTCATCTCATCTTCATAGATTAATTCACATATATCGTCCTCCAGTGCATTCAATACAAGTCGCCGTGACATACGACGACATCGGACTGGCCAAAAACAACATAACATTAGCAGCATCGTCAACAGTGCCTGGCCGTCCTAGAGGGATATCCGATGTGTCCCTAAATTTCCGTGCGCTCGCAGGAATACCAGTGACAATATTCTGACCAGCAATCAAAACTTTGTTCTCTTCCGTGGGCGGCTTCGTTAGTCGCGTATCCATCCACCCATATGCGACAGCATTGCAGCGAACATTGTATCTTCAGCCTGTTAGCAGAACTGCGTTTCTAGCGCAGAGGGAAAAGAAAAATTGCCTACCTCGCCCACTCCGCTGCAACCGACTTGGTCAGTCCTAGTATCCCCGACTTCGCGGTCGCATAGTTAATCTGGCCCATTTGACCGTGGAGCCCGGATGTCGAGGATACATTGATGACAGTCTTGGGCATCTCTGCAGTCTGAGGATCCATCCAATGAGCAGACAGTGCGCGAATCATCCGGAAGGGAACATAGTTATGGATCTTCATGATGATATCCCATTTTTCGTCGCTCATCTTGTGGATGGCGCTGTCGTAGCAGAACCCTGGAGTCATCAGCATTTTCGAATAATCGTGGATGTTATGAATATTATTGTAGGAGAGATGCGACCATACCGGCATTATTGACGAGACAGTTAACCTTGCCGAATGCTTTCAATGCAGCATCAACTGCTTTTGCCGGGAATGCTTCGTGAACTGCGTCTCCCACGACACAAACTGCCTCGTATCCTGCGAGACGCAGTTCTTTTACGGCCTCATTGGATTTTGTCTCGTCTACATCGGCCAGTACAATTTTAGCACCTTTCGATGCAAGAAGACTTGCGGTCGCTCGTCCAATTCCTGTGGAAGGTTAACGCAAGCTAACACCGTATGCAAATCAACCAACACACCTTGCGCACCGCCCGTGATCAGAACCACTTGACCGTCAATCCTAAGAGATGACTATGAGTGATTTTCTCTTCCCAAATACAAAGCAAATGCCTACCTTGAAGGGTCAACGGGCTGGGTATCACGAGCCAATTGGTTGGAGATTTGTTGCAGTCGATGAGCCATTCTGTTGTTTTTTTCTTTTCTTTCTGCTTTTCTTTCTCTGTGTTCTTTACTATAATTAAATATGGAATCTAGAGTATGGTTTTTTAGGACGTCTGTTCTGTCTCTTGACGTTGTGAACGTGCACGTTGGTAGTAAATTCCGCGGAACTATCTAGCACCACATCGGAATTTGCTTCGGAACAATCCACGCAGAACGATCTCAATATTCCTAAATCCAGATCCCAGTCTATCGGAAATAGGCTTCTCGGTATTCCAATGGAGAGCGATATGCGGCATGATATTCAAACCTCACTAGAATCATCTCAAGACAGACATAAATACATCTGTATATCGGGCTCGAATAACAGCTCATCCTCTCTCAATAATTACGATAATCCCATACTTGCACAATATGTCTTCCTCCACTCTTACCTCAAACATTCCATTTGCCGATCCATCCTGGCACAAGAACACTGCACACCCATACTACAAGGATTCTCACCGGAAGCTGCAGCGCTTCATTCGGGAGTATGTTGATAGCGAGATCACACCCAATGCGGGCGAATGGGAGGCGCAAGGATTTGTCCCTGAAGAGGCTTTCCAACGTCACGCACAGCTAGGCTTCTTAGCTGCTGCTGTGTTTCCACTTCCCAAGGATTGCCTTGAGGGGGTGACGCTGCCTGCGGGTATTCCAGCGGATGGTATGTACAGAATTAACGATTCACGAGATACCAACTGACATTTTACCTTAGAATGGGATGAGTTCCATGATGCTATCGTGAGTTTTTCCAAGAAGTCTAGGATTTCCAAAATTGGTCAACGGAGGCGCTGACGGGTATGCATGGATAGCTCATCGACGAGATCGCGCGCTGCGGATACTTGGGCGTTGTCTGGGGAATCAACGGTGGTGCTACCACTGGCGGAGCTCCCATCGCCTCTTATGGTACACCGGAGCAGAAGAGAAAGTATTTGGCACCGTTGTTGCGGGGGCAGCAGAAGCACTGTCTCATGGTGACTGAACCAGATGGTAAGTTACTTCAGGGCCATCTAATTGTGTCAGATACTAAGAGTATCACCCGCAGCTGGTTCTGATGTTGCTGGCCTCACCACCACGGCCGAAAAGTCCAAAGATGGAAAAAGCTGGGTTATCAACGGAGAGAAGAAGTGGATCACACAGGGTCAGTTGGCTACACACGCTCTCTGTGCCGCTCGAACTGGGCCCCCGGGTGCCAAGGGCATCACTGTCTTTATTCTTGATATGAAGATGCCTGGAATCTCGGGGAAGAAGATGTACAACTCCGGTGTCAGCAGCAGTGGCTCTACCTTCATTGATTTGCAGGATGTTGTGGTTCCCGTCGAGAATATCCTTGGCAAGGAGAACCAAGGATTTGAGATTATCATGTCAAGTAAGTCTGACCACTCTCGAAGCATGACTTGACAGTTGCTGACCGAACTCAGCCTTCACTCATGAACGTCTGTGGGTTGGTATCACCGCCCTCCGTCTGGGTCGTGTTGCTTTGGAAGACAGCTATCGCCATGCGCTGCGACGCGAGACATTTGGCAAGAAGCTGTTCGAGAACCAGGCAGTGCGACTCAAGTTCAGCAAGATGGCTGGCCTTATTGAACCCGTTCATTGTTTGATGGAAGATATTGTGCATCGGTCAACACGCACTGCTCCTCTTAACTTCTCGCCGTGGACGGCGCTGCTGAAATTCCAGGCTGCACAAAATCTCGAGAGCATTTCTCGGGAGGCACAGCAGGTGTTTGGTGGACTGGGGTACTCCAGGGGCGGACTTGGTGGAAGGGTGGAACAGATCAGTCGAGATGTTCGGGTGTTGGTGGTCTCCGGCGGAAGTGAGGAGATCCTCATGGACATGATTGCGAAGCAGCAGAAGAAGCTGGCAAAGCTATAGATATATTAGAAGCGAGAGCACGCCTTGACACATTTACATTTTAGTGTGATATACTTGGAAATTTATTGTTGGTTTATGGTTTCATCTCTAAAGCCATCATTTCATAAGTTAAGCCCATATAGTGGATCTTCTTCCCCCCAACTGCCAAAATCAATCATCTGCGAAGGTTGTGCATAAAAGCCCGTGAGACTGATATTGTGAACGTCATACGCGGAATCAAATGGGAATCCGAGGTTAAACGACAGATCCATGTCAGTGGTCCAGCTAGGCCCTGAAATTTCTGTGTGATCACGATTGGGGAGCATTTCTGCTTGGTCATCTCCTGACTTCGACGCAAGCTGCTTGAGGATGTCTGATAATCCACAAGTGTTCATGATCGCGGCCAGCGTGTTACGACTTCGTCCTGCAACTGGATACCATGGTATGATTTCATCCAATGTCTCCATGATGGCGGCCAGCCACTTCTTTTCTTCTTCCTTGTCCTCGCTTGGTTCTGCGCTTACAATATCCGATATGAGAGCTACAGCAGCGGATAGACAAGGGGGTTGATGGTGGAGAATATTCTGGAAGCACCATGGAGTTGTCGGTAGGCCAAGAGTAACTTGGATATTCGGATCGCATTCGCCGTACAGATTTGTTGTGAAACCTTTGTTGTCTGCCCCTCTAGGCATCGGCGGCGGGGTGGTGATTTCGATCCACGGTTGAAAAGATAAGTTGCGAATGGTCGATTGAGGAGGATAGTTATGGAGAGAAATTGGATATGAAGGGCGCAGATGCCGGGCGAAATCGGATGATTTGCATCCCATTGCAGTTCAGGAGCGAGGTTCAAGAACCAAGAGAGCAGCTTTTGACTCGCCTCGGAGAGTTTCTTTACTGAGGATTCTTGGTAGACTCTCCCCGGAGCACCATTGATCACAGAGAGAACATCGTCCAGCAGAGAAGCTAGCTCAACCCATGCCGCCACAAGTTGGCCACTTCTACCCAAAGTCTGCGCAGAGAGTCGGGACACGTTGAGGTCGTCCAGCCGGATCGCGGTCGGTCGACCCTGGAAGGAACTGTATAATCTTGAATGCTGTTAGGATCATGAAAGCAATATTGCAGCAGATGAAACTTGCTTGTCAAGAACGTAACATCCGTGAAGAGTGATTTGTCGAACTCTTCGATCCACCTCAGTGAGTAATCCAGCGGCTACCAAGTTCCTGCAGTCTTCATGTAAGCCAAAATCGAAGACTAAGCGATACGCAATTCCTATAATATGGTCAGGAAACCCGAATTATCTATCTTTCGCAAGGGGACCGAAACAACATACCTGGGTATAACCAGCACGCTCTGTCGCTTCCCAACCCGGCCAGATAGTAGCCAAACAAACACAAGCCGGGTATGGTCGCGATGGTGGGATTTTCCATCTCGAATAATAGCTCAGCCTTTGCACGGCGGGTATAGATGGTCGCAAGTGTCTCCCTGTGGAGTGGATCGTCATCGAAATTCAATGCCCTGAGAAACAGCGAATATAGAAGAAATCGCGAGAAATAATCCGATCGTTCCCCTGCAATATACCCTAACCGGAAGACTTCCTCATCGAGAATAGGTATTGCAGCATTCTGATACTTAAAGAACAAGTCAATCAAGCGCATCTGGGTTTCAGGACTATCGGCTATCCTCTCTGCCTCCATAGGGTTGACAGATTTGTCGCTTGGCGAGTATGAGGCACGTTTTGCTGATGGGGGACTTGATTGTTGGAGAACAGAGACCATTCTCATGTGCGAAGAATAGCCAAAGTAACGCAATTGACCCTTGTCGTCCACTGTGAGCGGAGAATTGTTCGTTTCCTCCAACGGGTCCTCCAGCTCATTGTTCAGGGTTTCTTGAGCGGTGGCGCGATCAGAGCTGGATTGAGACAATCTTCTGGGAAATCCTGCCGGTCGCAAACCCATCTCGTTTTCCATGACTTGGAGATTCAGAATAACCTCGCTCTCCGGTGATTCCGGAGACTGGGGATCCTGGGATGCGTTCACACCCGGAGAAACTGCAGGATGCGAAGATTCAACAGGCCGACCGAGAGATGAACGTCTGACAGATTGTAGACGATCGCAGAGATTTGTTATTCTGTCATCTGATCTGGCCAGGCCATGGCGAGAGCTGTGTCTATAATTCCGGTCCTTGCTAATGCGGTCAACGCAACTGGAGCCACGGCTTGCCGTTGAGGCTCGTCGCCTGAAGTAATCGTTGACACTCGACATTCTTAACACAAGCAATCAAAATGCTTGCACATCGTAGGATGTCGAACAAAAAGGAGGCCGGAATTACCGAATGGTGTTGCCGTGGAGAAAGAGCGGGGGATCCGCCCCGGAATCCTTGACAACGGATCCCCCGCGTTATTGAGCCAATCGGAATCACATCGATGACCTCGCGAGAGTACAGGGCGAATCTGATCCTCTTGATTCTGTTTACTTCTCATCTTTGCCGAACATGAACGGGAACGGAGAACCCAGTGCCCCCAAACGACACCGGAGAGACAAATACATCTCCCGTGCATGGTAAGAGAAGCTCCAGTTGGCAAATTCTACAGCAATTGACCATGTTGCAGTCGAGCGTGTCAGCGTCGCAAAAGCAAGGTATGGACTGGCTCAACAAAGTAGTCCAATCATGTTGACACAGGTGGCAGTGTTCTGGTCATGATCCCTGCCTCAGTTGTCAAGGTCGGGACTTGATATGCACCTACAACACCGAGAAACGGCGACCAAGGAAGTTGAATTCCAATGGACAGCGACGTACTCCGGCGCGAAGGTCAATAACAGTGGACAAAGGAGGTGATCCTACTACCCCAGAACCTCTCGATATCACACTACCGTAACCATATCCTTCCCATTCAGCAAAGATGAACAGGCCTAATTATGGAATAGGTCAACGAACTTGGACGGTATTGGTGACGTACAAGAATCTGAACCCTTCGACAGGCCAGGATATGTGAACACACCTTTCAGTGCCCCATCGACGAGGCCCAGTCTGTACAGATCTATCGGATCAGATCCCAATCGCACATCTCTGCGGTCGCGAATATTAGACGCTCGGGCCCTCTTTAGAGGCAGCGAGGACATAAGGTCAGACCGAGAAGAAGCGCACCGTGGAGAAACTCACTCGATCGAATTGCCTGCTTTTTGTGAAATCGAAGAATCCCTACGTGCTTATTTTGAGAACTCGGCAAAGCAATATCCCGCCATCCATCCTACAAATACCATCTCTCGCATACACGAGATACTGGAGTGCTTGCAATATCCCTTGTCTGGTTCAAAGATTGATATTGACCATGTCGCTGCCCCGACTATAGCATTGCTGTGCATCATAATTGCCATTGCCAGGATCGGCGGCAAAGGCACGACACATTCCAGCGCTGATCGCTCTTTGGTCTTCAGGAATCATGCACGCAACCTACTCCAAAGCTTTGAATTTACGCCCCCAAACCTGGAAGTTCTTCGATGCTACACTCTGATCACCACGTATCTTCTGCACATGAACTTTTTGGATCTTGCTCAGCAGTCTATCGCTGTGACGGTCCGGCTAGCAATGACGCTTCGACTTCATCGACAGTCCCCACTTCCTAGACAAGGAAGTGACTCCTATGACCGGAATTTGTGGTGGACTATTTACATACTGGATCGCGATATCGCTTGTCTTGGGGGAATACCCTTCCTCGTCAGAGACGAGGAAATCGACGCGCCGCGACCGACACAGGAAGGCCATTCTGAAAGATTCTCTAGTGTGACATATATCACACACGCATGCCAGTTTGACGAGCAGGATGAACCAGAAGAGAAAAGTTTGAATCGAGATGCCATGTACTTGGAGGTTCTAGCCCATCTGGGTCGCCTGTGGGGTCGCATTTGGGGTGATCTACTTACCAATATCTCGGAATCGGACTGTCAATGGCAAAACGCAGAACTTTTGGATGCTCAAATTCGCATATTCCAGCAACAACTGTCACCGAAATTTACGTGGAAAAGACCATCAAGCCTGGAGCGAGGTGTAGAAGAGGAGGAACCAGCCATGATGCAGCGACAGCTGATTATCCTCATGGTGAGATATCTCTACATCAGTCATTCAAATTTCAATGCTTGGGGTTTCTGTTTGCTGACTCTGGGAATGATACACAGCGCATCAATACACTACGACTGCTGATTCGACGAAATCCCGCATCGAACTGCACATGTCTAGATCGTAAAGGCTCTCACAGCGGTGGTGCAGCCATCTCAGCGCAAACAATTGAAGCAATATTAGGCTTGAGCGCACGTCATGAAGAGCTTGTGCAAATTGGGCATCAAATCAGCATCACTCTCGTCCAATGCATACTATACTTGGTGCACATCGTCGGCGAGTCGAACGACACAAGTGGGACGGAATCTGCCTCTGCTTCCGTGGTTTCAGCATATCAGATACTGATCACTCTTTCTGAACGCTGCATATCTGCAAAGGAGGCACTCGAGACACTTGATGCAGCGCTTTTCCACAACGATGCGGGCTCGACTCGGGGCCACGCACCTCATCATACAACTGCAACTCTGCCACGACAAAATGGCGAGGATCGAAATGGCCTGAATTTAAACCACACACAAGGTCTGGTGAAGACAGGGAAGCAATATGAGGCCGCAACCTCAACCAAGAAAGTTCCCCGTCCAAATGGGCTTTTTGATTGTTTGCAACAAAGGTACGAGAGCTTGGATAGCTTGGTACAAAATACATTGCCCAAGCCATGAGTGCTTTGTAGGGATATGTATAGGCGAAATTTAGATGAATGGAATTGAAAAAAAGGAAGAGCATTACATACATTAAGGTACAGATGCATAGGAGCCGTCGTGATGACTTGGTGTGTTGTCTGCTGTATTCTCTTCTTCCCCATTTGATGAAAAAACGCCTTGTAGTCAAATCCCACTGGAGCGCTATAGTGCCTGAACATACCCGTTGGAGCGAACTGATTGATTCGATATTGAATTGGCTCTATAGCTTTGCTTGAAGAGGAGCAGATCCGGTCTTCTCTATGTCCTTCAGAAGCCGCCTCAGCAGCTTTCCAGTTGGACTCTTAGGCAAAGAATCAACAAATACTACTCCACCTCTCAATTGTTTATAACCAGCTACTTGGCGGGCCACAAACTCGGCTATCGATTGTGCTGCCTTCTCCATATCCCGCACGGCCTTCATTGGTGGCTCCTCGGACACGATATAGGCGCGTAGTAGATCCGTAGCATTGCGCTCACTCCACACGCTGTGTACAGCTGCCTCCTTGACGAGTGGATGACGAACAAGTATCTCTTCAAGCTCTAAAGGGGAAACTTGGAATCTGTTGAAATGCTATTAGTTTGGATCTTGGATAAGAGGAAAGTCAAGTACAGTCATTACCCATTAGACTTGATGATATCCTTGATTCGACCACTAACGAAGAGATATCCTTGCGCATCTAAATGCCCAAGGTCTCCCGTTCTGTACCAACCACCATCCAGCATATGCTCTCTCGTAGCTTTGGGATCTCCCAAATAGCCCCTAGTAAATGGATGTTGTCAGAGTTGATTCATTGAGGCATGTAAATGAATCCCTTACATCATGATATGTGGGCCGCGCAAGGTGATCTCGCCTGTTTCACCCTGGGCCACATCATTGCCGGCCGCATCGATAAACTTGATCTCTGCGTTTGCAATGAGTTTCCCTGTCGCATTTAATGGCATGTCTGTGTTGCGAGTGCCGGATTGGACACATGCGCCGGAAGCTTCGGTACACCCGTATGCTGGACCCTAGTCAGCGCTTCTTGTCTTGTGATGTAGTCTAGACAAAATTGTACGGTCACTTACTCTGACATAGTTTGACTCCGGGAAATACTGTTCTCAACTCGGTCGCGGTTTTCTCCTGCAAGCTCGTCAGCCCATGATAGTGCGGTTTATCGCAGCAAAGGACCTACACTCAAAGGAGCGGCCGAGCAAGTGAAATATTCCAACGCTGGATATTTGTATCGCCGGGTAATAGGGCTCTCAGCAAGCATCTTCGCGACCGGAGGCACTAATCTAGCCAATGTTGCCTTTCTCTCAGAAAGAAGGCGACAGAAACGTTCCAATTCGAACCGCGGCATCAGACAGACATAGTAGCCCAGCCAAGGAGCCCCGGTCATAGCTACATATAGCGCGTAGACATGAGATAAGGGTGGGAAGAAAACCTCACGCATATCACTCCTCCAGTTGTCGGGATTGTCCGCTCGCAATTGGTAGTTCACTGCAATGAGGTTGTAGTGGGAGAGAACAACAGCCTTGGGGTGACCAGTTGTTCCGCTAGATAACATGATCGCCGCAGGAACCTGTCGGTTGTCGCCATTTGCAAAAGAATAAGCTTCAATCTCCTGTATGTTTCCTTGGGCTGTGCCCAGTGTTGGCCAACTTGGCCACTGTGGATGAGATTCGCCCAATGCGACAACTTTGATGCTTGCGCTCGCCGAGCCGCTCAGACCAAGGCTCTTAGCAAGCTTGACAGAAGCCGAGCTGCCGACAACAATATAGGCTGGTTTGACAAGCTGGATGCCATATGCAATCTCGGTGGGTGACAGAGCATCGTTGATCAGAGACACGATACCACCAGCCCACCATATCGAGTGTACGGCGATGATATAGTCGATACAGCTGGAGGATATCACGCTCACGACTTGCCCGGGCTGCAGTGAAAGTTTTTGCCGTAGCCAGGCAGCTCCAAGCTTGACCAGAGTGAGAAATTCGCCATGTGTAATAGTTCTCCCGCTGACGGCTTCTTCGAATATGATTTTGTCCGAAGGGATCGGGATGGAGTTGTCTAGCAACGTCGCCTCCGTGACACTGAGATTGGTTGGGATTCGTACGCGAGTCTTGGAGCGGAATATGTGAGACATGATTTGAGAAATTGCCAGGCTAAACTAGCCATTGCAATGGGAACACAGGATCCCGAATATATGGGCTGTATCAATCGCCCGTTGCTGGGCTTCCGCGCCGGATTAGCAGCCTATCACCGGCATCTCTATTTTCGGAACAACAGGAAAAATTGACAGCGGATCGGATATTCCTGGAATCTGAGCCTAGAACCGATGAGATGGACGATGTGAGAAAGATGTGCATAGGTCGGTGAATTCCGAGATTCCTCTCGTTCCGCGGAATTCAACTGGAGATGGCTGGTCCTCAAATTCAGGTTCTACCGGTTGATGATGCGGGGAAAGGAGAACGAGAATAAACAAGAGGCAAAAAATGACCATTGACGCTCTGACTGCTTTCGGGATCTAGTAACTTCTTGTGATGTGAAGTCTAGAGTGGCTCGCGGAGAATCGCATACACGGGACCTTCTCGCCTAACCCGATAGTATCAAGTATTTCGCTCCTTAGCTCTCAAATATATGCTTTGATTCTGATAGAGCACCTGTGATAGATCATGAAGTAGCCAGAGATAACAAAATTGCCCATAGGAGGCAGACTACGATGAACATCGTTAATGTGGATGAGTCCTCGCGGAGTATATGAGACTCCCACGAAGCTTCTACGCAACCTCGAGGACTCTCCACCTGAAAGGTAAGGCCACAAACCGGCAGTGCAGACAAGACAAAAGAAAATGTAAAGAAAATCAATCCATGAAGGGTTTAATTTACGTCTCACCGCAGACGCTGCTTATATTAAATAGAGAATTTAATAATGAATACCTACAGAAGGCATGTACTCCGTACCTCGTGCAGAGAGGAAGGCTCGAGGCTATATGCTCTTTGCGGAATAATAACTATCAAAAAGAGAGAGAGCAGTGCGAGCATGTGAGATTTAGTGACAGGCTCCCCGGTACATTAGCACAGATTTATGTACGGAGTATTGCGTACATACATGTAGGAGACATATCAGGTGTAGGTACATCGTCACAGCCCTATGCTCCCCGGCCCTCGGGAGGCCCCACAGGAGGGTCCATCAGTTCCATGGTTACGCCAAATTCAATCTCACCAGTTCCCTTTCGGTGAACACTACTCCATAGGGCTGGGAATTGTGTTCGATCATGATCCAATTCATGCCGAGAAGCTGAATTGTGGATACCCTCGTATTTCAGCCGTTGACACAATTTTGCTTTGATTCTAATTTGCTAGCGCGGGGGCGCAGTTGGCTAATGTAAGCGAAGTTCAGCCCCGGGGCCCTAGCCATAAGAAAGTCCTCCTTCGCACGGTTAATATTTAAGTGGTGACCGAGGCCGTAGCCTTCAAATCTTCCACCGCTACAAGCATGGATGAAACAGCAGCGAGCTTCCGCGAACAGTTTGTCAATCCATCAGACTTGTTTACGATTCTTATGATTATTGGCGGCGATGTAATCCTCCTCGCGCTGGCAGCCCTCTCCGGTGGCACTATCACCCCTGTCACCTTCTCCTTCGGTTGGGCATCGTACGCTATCTCGGCGGTTCTCAGTGCGCAAGGCGAGGACAGCCTGATGCCCTCGAGCTCGGACTTTTCGCTCCGCGTAATCAACCTCAGCAATGGGTATATGCGCTTCAACCGCTCCTGGGCTTTGGGCCGGGTATTTCAGAACTACGAATACTGGATGCCACCAGAAGTGGACCAGCTACTGCAAAATCACCCGGTCTTATATCAGGATGAGGAAGCCGGAATGACGGACCCAGAGGTGCTGAAGGGTACGGCGGTTGCAGAGACAGACGTTAAGCCCCGCAAATTCGTGAGCCCCCACCAGGCGCGCCTGTGCGTTGCGGTTTACGAGTGGGCACTGGATGGGCCCCACCGTGTCGCGAAACCTGGCCATGACTGGGTGTACTGGCTGGGCATTGTCGTGACAGTGCTTCAGATAGCCATCAGTGCGATACCGTTCGGCCTATACAAAGACTGGAGTATCTTCCTGGTGACGGTAGGTGGGAGCCTCCTTGCCTACGCGTCTGGTGCCCTGCCGCAGTGGCGGAAGGAGAAATGGGCCTGTCGAACCTTGGAAGGTCGCAAGGACGTTGCGTTAACGCTTGGTAATGGCACGCGGCATGTGGTGGTGGTGCGGGGAGCAAAGGGCGGGTTGGATCTGGAAGATATGGCTGGCGGACAGTGGTCCAATGACGAGGAAGGCCCGAAGCGGAAGCACCCATGGATGCGGTTGATGAACTCCGGCAACACCACGCGTATGCTTACGTTCGTGTTAGCGGTACTGTGGCTCATGCTTCTTCTTGCCAGCATGGGGATCCAAGACCATGGGTGGTATCTTCTTGCGGTGGGTGGTATTGGCATCCTGCAAAATCTCATCGCGGCCGGGGCTCCACGTCAGCCGGCAATGTTGGGAGTACCGATTCGACCGGCTATGCGGCCGAGTTCAGGGGATGAAGCAAGCTCGACACCAATGGTGTTCGCTGAATTCAAGCTCATGCATACGCTGATGGAGCTCGAATTGGACTTCAAGGGGGCTGGCCGAGCTCTGCTCCCAGAATTCTTCCCTGGAGGCCGGCTACTGCCGTGGGAGGAAAAATGGTGGTCCACCGATGAACCGGAAATTCGACGCGAGCTCCTACGGGCGGCTAAAACAAAAGAGTTTAACAAGCAGATGCGCAGGACGCAATCTGGCTGAAAATTGGTATATCGGTACTGCAGTATATGGCGATGTATCATCGGGTTCTATCCCACCAGGGGCAATCCCTTGTTGTCGTATAATGATTTTATACTTATTTACTTTGATTCAAAGGTCAAGGAGTGGATGGCCTATATTTGTGTTATGCCCTAGAGCTTTGTTTTCTATCTCCAGACTACTATTCATACTCCGAATAACTATATCCAACTGCGTCTCTTTCCCCGGGATTCCATTGTGCTCAGATAATAAGGTCCGACGACATATAAATCATACAATCGAACGACAAACTAGTCCTTTTATCTTGGCTGACATTTGCCATAATATGTAAGCAGAAATTTATAGACTTGTTCACCTCAGAATCGCAATCCTCGTCTGACCACTCTATTCTCTGTGCGTGATCCCGGTTTGTCTATGAGAACTCTCGGTCCTCTGATGGCCGATTCATCAGCCCAATTAAGGATCGAATCATGACAAAGGTCGAGGCTGAATGGCAAGAATAACAAACGAGATGGCGAGGAAATGAGAGCTATTCTTGGCACTATAATTGACCAATCAACACTCGAAGAACGGAAGAGTTAGCCAATGGAGGGCCAATCTTAACCAGAACGGGGCAAGCCCTCGGTACTAAATAGGAACTGAGTAAGCACTTGTTTTAGCCCTGGAGGGGCAATCAGCTTCGCTATGTCATGGCATTCTTGAAGCTGAAGTGGGGGATTATCTGACGCAAAAAGTGCAACTCTCAGAGTCCCTTATTGAATATACCATCACTATGGCGGAGCATTTGTTCTTTCCGGATGAACCTCCAAAGCCGCTTCGGATCAAGTACAACGGTCCGCTCTATGATGGAGGTGATTGGGGCCAGTTCCCGACTCGCTGTGGCTGGAAATCAGAAACCGAAGAAGAGATGTTTCCTCCACGTGGAACCCCGCAGGAGTTCCATCCTGGAATCGAGTGCTGGCTCTATTTCGGCATGCTCCATTATGTGTTCGGGGACCAGCTGGACCAGTCTGAGTTCATCATGCACTTGGAAGATGACCCTCAGCAGTACCTGACGACCAAACATCTCCATAAATATGTCGACAATGCCAAGGAGTGGAAGAAGAAGAAATATGGACAGCGAGCCATTGAAATTGTCAAGAAAGTCAGCGAGGAACTTTCCAGATACGCCGATTGCTATCTGTCGGATGATATGACATTGGCCATTCGGCTAGTCTGCTATGTTCTCTGGCACGTCGCAGTCAAGCGAGACGGCCCTCAGACCCAAACTCCTCGTGTTAAGATGTGGCTGCTGAGCACCCTATCTGACACCAAGCGAATGGTCGCGGAGGGATGGTGTCCTTGGGAGATAGAGAAGTGCCGCATGAGCGGCGGCGGAGTGGATACTCCAGCGTATTTGCTTCAGTTGATGCGTGTCAAGCCCAAGTGGAATACCAAATTGCACGAGTCGTGCAGAAAGTCAGAATGCGTGGCGAACAATGTCGATGAGAGCGACTATGTGACTCGACATGTGCAAGAAGACTGCACCTGTCCGCATCTCCAGGCAGATGTCGAGCAACTGCACAAAATTCTCCAGGATGGAGGAGTTCCCCTTCTGATGATCACGCCTGATGGTGAGGACGAGTCTGGCGACCAGAAATTCAAGATTGAGATCACGAGAAAGCGTTCTGGCAAGCAATACTTGTCTATCTCGCATGTGTGGTCTGATGGATTGGGCAACACCGAGGGTAACACCCTCCCGCACTGCCAAATAGGCGTCCTTTACAAGGAGGCAAAGCGTGTGCTTACTGGGGATGAATATGTCCCTCGCTATGAAGGCCCATTTGGACTACTACATACGAGCGCATCTCGACTTAGCCATTTCGCGGGCAACCGAGCTCTGCGTAGAGACGATTCAGTGCTGCTTTGGATCGATACCTTGTGTATTCCACATCAGCGTGATGTACGGAGTCTGGCAATCCAGCGAATTCGTGAAGTATACGTAGATGGTCAGTGAGGCTGTCAGCAGATTCCCGAGTGTTCTTTGATCGTGATCTAACCGATTTATAGCTTACCGGACGGTAATCATCGATTCAGAGATGAGAAATGTAAACGCCAACTCTGCAAGCCAGTTGGGACTTCTCCTCAGAGTGCTGTACTGTTCGGGCTGGATTCGGCGCTTATGGACGCTTCAAGAAGGACTGGCCGCTAAGAGTCGGCTATACGTGCTCTTCGCTGACAGGGTAGTCAACATTTCGACTATCGCCCAGGAGCTCCTAACCAAGCTTGATGGAGACAAACTCCCCATAATGCAGGAGAGAATGACTACTTTTGCCAGTTCGGTTTGGTTTACTTTCTTCACGCATACCATTGACTATTCATCCAAATTTGAACGCTTCGTCGACTTTGTTGGTAGTCCTTTTGTTGGAGGAGGGCTTTCAAAGGATCAGATAATTGCCTGGAACTGGTACAATGTAGCCTTGCGAGCTACCAGCAAGGCAGGCGATCGCCCTATCATTCTAGCAGGCATCCTCAATTTTGACGTGAAGGAAATTCTCGAAGCCAAGGGATCTGATGAACGCATGCGGAAGTACTACGGCATGCTTGACCAATTTCCTCAAGACATCTTGTTCCATCCGGGTCCACGGTTTGAGGATGATGGAATGCGCTGGGCATTGAAGGTGTGCCAATTTGACGAAGAAATCACCTATCTCTCGAGTGGACCTGGTAATATCACACCCCAGGGACTCCAGATCACACTTTCTCCATCATGGCTGTTCCAATCTCGTGGAGTGTTTGACCTCAGCCTCTTTGAGCAGGACCAGGGCCAACAGGCTTGGGAACAGTGGATCGGCGATAACAACATTGAAGGCGACAACCCGCCCACTGTCTGTCTGGTGGAGACTCAAAGCACTGCTAATTTCGAGCCAGACGCCACCTATGGGGTTATTGTGCGCGGGACAGAAGATCTTAAGCCTGGACTAAGAAGGGCCTGCGTAGTGGTGTCACTGCAAGCGACGGAGGATGCCGTCCATTATGCACAATACAACGCCCTTGCACACATCCGGTCTCTTTCTCACTTTGGAAACTTGCCCGAGAAAGGCTACCTGGTGCCAGTCACTTGGGATGACCAGCAAAAACGCGAATGGATTGTTGGTTAACCAAGACCATATCAAAACGGGATTGGGCCATGCATAGTCAGTTTCTCCAAGCGTGAACCGCAGTTTTGTGGTGTGGTTGAGGATACGAATCAAATAAATTCAACACAATCTAGCTGCATCCATATCGTAGAGTTCAAGTTCCCTCAATGCCCGTCCCTGGCGTGAATATCTGATCTTATATTCATCGGCCAGCATGGAAATTCGAGACCTCGTATTACAGGCTTAGGAGCTTCATCATAGGCAAGTTCCATCCTTTCCGGCTTCTATTGCAAGTAGGAGCGTGCGAGTCAGAGAATAAGAACTTTCTCCTTCTTTCTCCTACCTAGTAGTCCACGAGACATGATCGACCTGTTCTATCCGAAGCTAGCTACTAGGACGCATAAAATGTATGTGACCGGCGTCACGCCTGACATACTTGGGCTATTTACGCCACATTCTCAATCTGCTGAACCCCTGCAACTTCTTTCCCAGAGCTAGAACCAAGCTCTTCCAATGGGATACCTTTCCCGTCCAATTCCTGTTGATAAACCACAACTTGATCGGCATCCCCAAACAAAGCCGCAATCTCCTCCAAGGGCTTATGTCTAGTATCATGATAAGCGGACATAACAACCACCGACGCAATAGCAGGCACAATAATGAAAATTGTGTAGAACTTCCAACCAATGGCCTCAAAAGCATACGGCGCTGCTTCCAGCCACATCAAATTAGTGAGCGCAAACGTGCACATAGCGAGAGCCAGACCCTGCGAACGCGCATAGCTGGGCCAAATCTCGGTGATGTAGAAGTAGGTCGGCCCGTCTAGGAATGCACAGAAAGTGGCTTGAAAGATCATGATTATCGTAGCGCAAGCAATCAACCCCCCACGGTTTGTGCCCCCGAGGTAGAATCGCTGTAAGCCGGCTTCTATGGCCATCAGAATAGCACAAGCCCCGAGGCCGAGAGAAATAAACCAATGCCGGGGCACACGATCAACCCATAGCATGGAAAGAGCATTGGTGACAAATCCAATTGATTGGAATCCGGCTTGGAAGCCAAGGATTTGAACGGTGTCGAACCCAAGGCTTGCCCACACGACGGAGCCATAGTCTGGAGGTTGTATTAGCGGCGATGTATTAAACGGATGTAAGCCCATAGGCTGGAGACTCCCGGACTCACTCAAAATAACCAAAACCCCACAACTATAGATGCTAAACTCCAAGAAGATAGTCATGAGAGCACGCTTGCGTAGTGAAGGGTTCGTGAAGATCCCCCAGTACGAGGTGCGAAAGCGACAATCCAGCTCGATCTGCTTCCTCATCTGATAATACTCCCTCGCGGCAAATTCGTCACTTCCCGGGTCATTTTTAGTAGCATGGAGTCGCTTGACAATGTCCCATGCCTGCTCTGTCCGATCGCGAGAAAGCAAATAGCGAGGCGACTCGGGCATCCAGTAAATCCCACACAGAATAATGGAAGGAAGAACCATTTGGATGCCTACAATTCCCCTCCATTGGTTCTCTCCCGGAACAAAATAAAACCCTAGCCCAACAAAACTGGCAACACAATATCCGAACAACATCAGCAGAGCGTGGGCATCGGCAACAGCACCACGGATTCGAGGTGGTGCAAGTTCGGCGATCCAAACTGGAACACTGTTTTGGATAAGGAATGAACTACATTCATTCGATCAGTCCTACAACGTGAGATGTTCTTGTGTTTGGAAATCCGATGCGTACCCTAGTCCGTTGAAAAATCGGAAGACGATAAACATGGCCGGATTGACGGAGCCTGTCAGCAAAGCCCCAGATACAAGAATAACTGCATTTCCCACTGCAGCAGTGACCTTGCGGCCGAATCTATCGCTCATCCATCCTGCCAATAAGGCTCCAAAGACGGCGCCTGCTTGGTAGATGCCTTCGCTATGTTAGATTTCGGTGATTTGCATTCCCCGGCCATTTCATTGTAACTTACCATTGATTGTTCCTGTTATTGCACTGGCATTTGGGTTTGTTAATAGCCCCATATAATTCTGAAAGGATGGCTGGGTGAGAGTCGTAGCGATATTCGCAGCCGCGTAGCCATATGCTGCTGAGCTGAGTGTAATGAAGACAATGACGAAAACGCTATAAGCATTGACATGATTTTGGCCTCGAAAGATATCATGGGAGACATTGCAATCAGCTATTGGAGTGCCCATGCTGTAAGATAAGAGAATATCGAATCTTTGGAGTCTTCAAACGGCAATACACCCGGGCTATCGAGGGACATGATCCTTTTATGGAGCCACTTGATATCAGTCTATACAGATTAAACCTTATTAGATCTTGCTGTGGGCTCGCATTACCCCGCATCCCCGCATTTTCTTTGTTTGGCAGCAATTGTGTGAAGAAACGCTGTAGTATGCTCTGGTAATTCCGAAAAATGGTCAATTCCGAGGTTCCTACAGCTATCCCGAGACAACAGTGATGATCCCATTGGACGTAATGCGTAAATGCAGCAAGGGTTTGTTGATGATAGTCTGAGTGTTGATTATTTGAACAATATTGCAGTTTGAGGCCCAGGTCTGACAGTTGGCTTGCCGATAGCATATTTTGGAAGAAAATTCCGAAACGAGACCAAACTCTCGGGCGAGGAGGAAAGCAAATAGGCATTTGCGCCTCTGAATTTCCTATGCGTACACTATGATAATTTTCAAATCAAAAGGCGTCCACAGTGTTGATACTGAGAAGGAAACACAATGGTGATATTGAAGTCACTGCTAGCTTATAACAATTCCAAATAGTAACCCGGCATGACACCTATATTACGCTGCAATCGTATGGGGCGCTGATGTCAATTTCACATTCAAATTGCCCTTATCCCAAACCACGAACGAGGATTGCTTAATCCATTGCTTGGAATCTGCAGAAATCTCCATATCAAAGTTCCAAATCATCCGGGCCAGAATCAATCGCATTTCCGCATATGCGAGACTAAACCAAAGTCAATAAATGAACAGGCAGGAGTTGGAGAAAGTTAACTTACTTGCGGCCGAGACAGTTGCGTGGCCCCACGCTGAACGGCTGGACTGCACTTCGATTGTCGGATTCATACTCGGGATCACCCATGAACCTCTCTGGAATGAAGGCATTGGGGTTTTTGAAGTTCTTGGAGGAACGTTGAGCTGCAAGTATCGGTACTCCAACCGCGGTCTAAGGGTGCATCAGCTTTTGAATATCGCTTGTTTTGGATCTGTACTCACTCCACCGGGAACCCATCTACCACAGATATAATCACCCTCGCCCTCTACCATTCGAGGAAACCCATAAGGCACGGGAGGGTACATCCGGAGACCTTCATTCAAGACAGCGAGGGTATATTTTAGCTGATTAACAGCTGACCAAGTGATCTGGTCTTCGGAAGTGAATGCGCCCCGAATTTCCGCTTTCAGCTTGTCCATCACGCCCGGCACAGTGAGTATATAATAAGTTACCCCGGATAGCAAGGTCGCAGTCGTCTCAGAGCCTGCAATGATGAGGACATAAGAGTTGCTAACAAGCTCATCTTCACTCATTCCCTTTTCGATGGGCTGCTTCAGCACATTGCTCAAGAAGTCAGGGCGGCCGTTGTCTCCATTAGCCATACGCGCCTGGACTTTCTCCTTGGTCATCTGATTCTGAGCAGCCTTCTCCTCTCGCACCTTTCTGGGAACTATCCACTTCATAAGAACTTGTCCAAAGGGGACACGTCGTAGAACGTTGGCCCATGCCGCAGTGCGGAAATGACTGAAGATAACCGAAACCCAGAAATGATATTGCGAGTTTTCGAGACATCCGAATGATTCTCCAAATGCAAGATCGCCGATGATATCAAATGTGGTGTAGTTGTACCAACGGGTCATGTCGACTGTGGCACTGCTAGATCCGGAAAGTTCATGCAATCGTTGAATCAACAAGTCAACATAGCTCTTGACAATCACTTCCTGACGCTGCAGACTGCCTTCCGAAAACCCGTGGGATAAAGAGCGTCGATAGCGCGCGTGAGTCTTATCGTCCGTGCGAAGCATACTGGGGATATGGTTTGGTCCGACCGACACATGTCGTTGGTCCTTGGGTCGCTGAGGCTTTCCTGGTCGAATAGAGAAGATGTCTTTCCATGCATCCTGGTTGATGAAAGTCACTTCGTTTGGCGCAATACGCACTGCGTCGCCATACTTTTCGTGGAGCTTTTGTGCGTCCATGGGCAAGCTGCCGCCCAGTACAGATCGGAAAAAGGGGAGGGATGTGGCTGCGTTAGCCTTGGGACCTGGGAACGATGCCAGAGGGTGAAAGTAAAGGTTGTAAATGATCCATCCGACAAAATAGCAAATTCCCTGTGACTTAGGTCAGTATTTTGAGATCAATCCGGTCTCTTTGAGCTAACCAGTAGCCATGATCCTCCAACCACACAAACAACTGGATGGATGTTCCCCATCCATGAGGGGGTCCCTGAAATGGATTTCACTAAGAAAGTCATTGTATCACTTGAGGGCGGTATTCCCCACGATTCTTCACGTATAAGATGGAGAGCGCCACGGCAGAACTAAATAAGTCGATTCGTGCGTCGCAAAAGAGTACTCCCTACTGGGTGGGGAGAGAGTTCGGAATCCTGGTCTCTATAATTGACACACATGTGTTGTCATGTCGATCGGAATATAAACGGAATAAGCGGAACATCGGGTGGACGGTTGCTCGGAATAAGAGCGTATACGTATTGATGGGCATCGTTGGCTCCATCATGGATGCAAATGGCTTTCGCCACCAATATGAGGAGATGAGGGGCTTCTATCCAATGGAAATGGGAGGGTCTGATCCCATTGAATCATATCACCTAACGAAAGAACCAAAAGACCTTGATAGTACGCTTTTGCTGCTCCGTCCATAAGCTGTATGTCATCTCCCCCTGGTGCAACGCGTACTGGGCATCTGCTAAATCCTTAGCACTGTCCCTTTCCCCCTCGTCTTCCCAAAACGTGGCGAGTTTACCCTATTCGGCAGCTAGTACGTGGATGTACAGTGCTAGGGATTTGAACACCAAACCTGAAACAGCGCGGTTGTTCTTGTTTGGAGATAGGAACTTCCTTCCGCCTTCATCTGAATCACCTCCACGTGATGAGTTTATCCCTTAACTGAATGGCCAACTTCTTCATATCCCCGTGAAGGCTATAAATTCGAAATATGCTGGAATATTGAAAGACTACCTAATATCCTAGATCTCCGGTTCTGGATATTGTATTTTGGAAGACCCTAGCTTAGTATGGTAGTCTGCCTGTTGCCGATGAGCGCTACTTGCAGTAAATGAAGGCCTAGGGCTGTCATCCATGTTCTTCTGTGGCAGGAAGGGGTTCACGTGTCGATGCCTGAATATACGATTTCGGCCCGCAAATCTTGGCAACCAACCCTGCCACAACGGTATATTCAATGTTGATTTGGTGTTTTCCAAGCTGATCCATACATTCTGCACACTCCATGTAGTAATAGTTTATCTTGATGCTTATGTACCTAGATAGGTAATAGGCTAACCTTCATATCGTGTGGCGATGTTCAGATCTTACAGTAGATCCCCTTTCCAAATTGAGCATACAACCGCGTCTTTGGAGAGTCAATATGGAAATGTACGTGGTCTCTCGTTTCTAAAATGTACGATGATTGTAAAATGAAACAAGAAATATTCACAACGCCCCAACCCATGATATCATCGAAAACAGCACACAATCCCATCCACCCAGACAAGAGGCTGAATCTCAAGAACGACAACGCGGCATATACTCTTCAGTCATTAGCGACCCGTGATATAATCCCGGTTCTCGATTGTTACACTCTTCGTCATGTGATTGACCTTATAAACACCAACAAGTCGGGCAGCAAGCTCGAACTAGGGAACAGGTTAGTTGGGTCAACCTGGAGGGAAGCTTGACGGCACTTACCATGTTGTTTCTCAGTGAAATGACAATAAACTGGGCATTCTTGGTTCGCTCCTTGATATACGAGGCGACGATAGAAACCTAACAAGTGATTCGTTAGCACACGGGTTCCACCACAATCATAGATGGTTGACTCACATTTCGGAAATCCAGGGCAGCATCGATCTCGTCCATGACGTAGAGCGGAGTAGGCTTGTAGTGGTGCAGGGCGAAGACCAGCGCCAAACTAGACAAGGTCTTTTCTCCACCGGACAGATTGCCAATGTTTTTCCAACTCTTCTTGGGGGGCATTACTGAGAACAAGATGCCTTCCGAGAAGGGATCGAGGGAATCCACCAGCTCTAACTCGGCATTACCGCCCATGGTAATCATCTGGTACATTTCTTTCAGGCGCAAAGAGATGATACCAAATCCTTCCATGAACCCGTTCAACCGAGAGGAACGAAGTCCATCCAAGCGTGCCTTGGCACCGTCTCGTGCTGTCAAAGCAGTGGTCAGATCTGCCGAGCGCGATTCGTGCTCGGCAGCACGACGGCGGTACTCTTCAATGACCGACAAATCGACAGAGGCATTTTGGACCTTCTCCTCCAGAGCAGCAATGACGGCTTTCAGAGATTCCTTGTTCATGGCCTCTAGCTCATCCTTGGTGTACATCTGAAGCTCCGTAGGCTCCTGCTCTTCGCCAATATCGCTGATGTTCTGGAGGTTTATGCTCGAAAGCTTTTCCTCCCAATAACGACTGCGTTTCTGGTTTTCAGTCAAGGCCTTTTGGTTCTCGTCCAGTTTGTTACGCATCTCGATCTCAGTGGCTCGTGTCTCATTAAGCTCGGCGACCTTGGCATCAAGCTCGTCCTTCAAGGCCTTGAGTTCGCCCTTTTTGGTTTCCAGTGCCTGCAGATCATTAGTTGGAAACCCAATGTACTCCCAAACTCTGGATTGCTTACCTCTTGGGCTTCGTCGGCCTTTTGTCTCCAGTCTGAAGATTCATTGGCTTGATTGGCAACGTCTTCTTCCAATTTCTCCAATTCATCCATGATTTGCTCGATCTCCTTTTCCGAAACGTCGCGCGCTTTGGAGTGCTTCTTGATCAGTTTCTCGTTCTTGGAGAGCTGACCCTCAGCATTTGAGATTTCCTCGGCAAGCATGCCAATCTGCTCTTTTAAGCCATCTACCTTGGCCTTTTGGCCACGAAGCTTAACACCACCGACTTCCATGATCTTATTCTGCAAGGTCTGGATCTCTTCCTCGATACCGCTCTTCTCATCGTTGAGTTTCGCGATCTCCTTCTGAGCTTTAGCGATCTGTTTCTCGAGCGCAGCAACCTGAACTTCATCGGAATCAGATGGCTTATGCTGTGCGCTCAGTTCCTTCACGCGTCGCTGCGCATCAGCAAGGCTGCGCTTGGTACTGTCGATCTCGATGAGGATCTTTTGGATCTTAGTCTCGACACGTGGGATTTCTTCCGATCTTTCCTTCATCTGAGCCTCAACGTGTCGCTGTTTGTCTTGGAAAGCCTGGAATTTTCTCTCCAAATCCTCGAGATCTGATGCCAGGCGAGACACCTGCTCTTTTGTGGTATCTGCAACTTGCTTTGATGACATACCGCCTCGAGCAACACGGGTACCACCACCACTCATGGTTCCTGATACATCGATCAATTGGCCGTCTTCCGTCACCACTCGCCAGCGTCGAGCGCCATAGGCGATACGATTCGCTTGCTCCAAATCCCTGGCAACCAATGTGTTTTGCATCACGCTGTAGAAAGCCGGGGCAAACTTTGGGTCCTTTGGCTTGACAAGGTCAAACAAGCGAGGAACACTTTCGGGTGTGTAGATTGTTGCCATGTCGCGGCGTGGTAGACGGTCAAGAAGGATGAAGTTCGCTCGACCAAGGTTGTTCTTGCGCAGATAGTCGATACATTGCTGACCAACTTCTACGGTTTCCACTACCATATTGTCGAGAGCAGGACAAGCGGTAGAGATTGCCACATCATACTTTTCGTCAATTGTGCCCAAGTTGCCAAGTCGGCCATGGAAACCATCGATACGTCCAGATTCTTTGAGACGCATCAACCCAGTCAAGACACTTCCGCGATTTTGTGTGCTTGCAAGGCTGACCCGTGCCTCTTCGGCCTTTTGGCGAGCGCTTGATACATGCGAACGGACCTCAGGTTCACGCCCAGCGTACTTCTTAAGATCATGTTTGAGTTTCTCCACTTCAGACTCCAAGGTCTCTTTTTGGGCTTGTCGCTCCTCAAGATCATTTTCCTTGGTTTGCAGGCTTTCTTCGATTGTGAGAATCTTTTCCTGTGCCTCCTCGAGCAGAACAGCGCCAGCATTAGCACGCTCACGCAAGATATCCAGCTCACTCTGAGCGACAGCGACAGCAGATTGCTTCTGGTTGATCTTCTCGTTCCATGGTTCCAGTGACTTTTGCTTGGCGGCAATCTGATCAGACAAGCCTTGTGTTTTGCCCTTGAGGCCCTCACGAATCGAGTTCAGTTCCTTTTCTTCTGTCACCATTTCTTTCTCAAATTGAGTGGTCTCTGCAGTCTTCTTCTCGATGTCGTAGGTAAACTTCTCGGCCAAGCTTTGGCATTCAGAGGCAGCAAGGCGACTGGTTTGCATGGCTTTCTCAAGTTTCTTCTGTTTGCCGACCAGGAATTTCTTTTTTTCCTCGAATTTGACAGACTCCTTATCGTATTTGGCCATTTCCTTGAGCAAGCCTTGGGTGTCGTTCTCAATCGACTCGTAATGACGAACTCCCTTTTTGTACGCCTTCTCGAGTTCTTTGATGCCGGATTCATTGCCTTCGTGTTTCTCGAGTTCCATGTTAAGCAATTCCTGCATTTGAAGAATGGCCTCCTCCGTGACACGAACATTGTCAGCACACTCATCAATGTATATCTGATAGAGGGCTGATTGTTTCTGGGCCAGTTCATTCTCCTCGCGGATGTAAGCCAGAGCTTTATCCTTCTTATCAACCAACGCCGTCTTTTCTTTCTCCACGTGTTGGACACGATTGTTCTTCTCCACACATACATCGTTGAGAGTTTCGAGCTCGGTTGCCGCTTCATCGATAGGCGTCTTATACTTGGAGGTTCCGATAATGTCTTCCAAATATTCCAACAGACCTTCATCGTGTTCGTTGGCGGCTTTGGGCTTCATCTGGGCGATGGACTCGACTTCACCCTGTAAAATCAGAAATCGCTTGTGATCCAAGTCGATCCCGCGATCTCGAAGGAAGTTGGTCACGAAGGTAAAATTGGTCTCTTTCTTGTTCATGTAGTATTTGCTGGTATTATTTTTGAACGCTCGGCGTGAGATAATTAGTTGGGAATCTGGGACCACCTCCTGGCCACCGTCGGGCAGATCGAGGACTTGTGAGAAATGAACCTCGACTTCACAGAATGCAAGGTTGGGATATTGGGCAGAGTTATGGATCAACGCGGAGATCTTGCCCTGTCGCATCTTACTGGCGCGGAAGCCGAAGACGAATAGGAGAGAATCAATGACGTTAGATTTGCCGGAGCCATTGGGCCCAACGACGGAAGAAAAAGAGGCGTGGAATGGGCCAACAATTTGCTGGCCAGCGTAACTCTTGAAATTTGTCAGAATAAGATTCTCAATGATCATCCGGGGCTTGGGCGCCGCATCCTCCTCTGGCGCTTGAGGTGCTTGCGTCCTGGACTTGGCCACAATATCCATGGGCCTCTCCAGGACTGTCGAGTTCGGGTTGATGATGGGAATCTGCGATTTGGACTCTTCCGCTGGTTTCGAGGGCGACTGGTTCACGGCGGATTCGGTTATTTCGGACAATGGTGGGACACTCGTGCGGTGGGCTCTTGGTTGAGGCTCTGGGGATTGGGAAGGCTCTGGAGTTGGGAGTGAGCCCTGTGCTGGCTTGGGTGTGATCGAGCCACAGCTCTTGCGGGGACGAGCCATACTTTTTCTTTTCAATGCCGCTTTACCAGATGGGGAGTCTGGATCGGCTTCAATTGATGCGATACTAACGTCTTCTTCATCCTCATTGTCATCATTTTCGTCGATATCCATCGCGTCGGGGTCCGTCGCATCAGTATCCATCGCATCGGAATCATCTGTTGTCGCTTCTTGGGCTTTGCTGGCTCGGCGCACAGTGGAGGGTGTAACCGGGTCCAACGTTAATCTTTTGCTCGAGGCTCTTTTTGCTTTCTTGGGCACTGGGGTGTAATCCTCCTCGGCCTCCTCATCGTCATCGTGCGCATCGGGTGTTGGTGTGACATTTCCTGGGTCCTCTGATTCAGATGTATCTTCAACGGCGTAACTCCGGCGGGGAGCAGAGCGGCGGGAAGTTCTGCCCTTTGCGACTGGAGCCATGGTGTGCAGATCAGTTTGACGTCTGCTGCATGGAGGGGCGATTGGGGTTTGACGGAGGTTTCGTCGCTTCAAAGTGGGTTGTTTACCTCGTGCCCGAACGGGTAAAGTGGCCGCCGTTCTGCCACAACAAGCCCTTCACCGCCATATCCCGCTGTAAGTTACCGTACGGTAATTACTCCTCCGCGGAGCTGGGGATCAACTTAGGAATTCATTCAACTTACTCTTCGTCTTGTTATGCCCAACATGGCTCCATGGGAGAGTTTCGACCAGGTCTTCTCGTTTAATAAGAAGTACACATATGAATCAAAGGTCTTTGACCAAATTCTATCCAACCGGCGCTCATTGGACCAGCTCTTTGCCGATCGACTTCTGGGACTCCTCGGCATCCAAGGAGGTATCATGACTTAAAGCTCTGAGCTTGGAGCGCCGTGCTAATCAAGCGCCTCTATAGTGACCAAGATCTATCCCCCGAAGGCTAATGCAGACCTCCGAACGCTTTTCAACCACATCGTTTCCTCGGAACTCGATATCCATCACAAACAATCGTTGATCTATTACATCCTCAAGGATTGTCGCACTGCACCAGAAGCCGCATCTCAGTTTGCGCAACAATGTCACCTTCCGGAAAAGTACCGCTTCTTCATTGAAGGACTTTGGCATTTGGATCGTCTTGATTTCAGGGTGGGTTCTTCATGGCCTCTAACATGGACATCTTCTGACGATTACATGATACAATAGCGAGCCGTCGAGTATCTTGCTGAGCCCTCGCTCATTCCTACCTTCCCGGATGAGATCCTCTATGTCCTGACCCTTACAAATCTTCCCAAGCACGACGACAGTCTTGCAGTCGCATACTACCTCACTGCAGCTCCTCCTCTGGCAAGCGCCAAGGTTCGCAAGGCCTTCTTTGATACGCTCGCTCGCTCGAACATTACAGAAGCATTCTATTTTACACGCAAGTACGATGATTCTCTCCGACGGGGCTTCTTCGAGCAGCTAGTTGAGTTTGTTCACAAAGTCAGCCCTGGCCAGACGAGAAGCAAACGTGCGATGGAACTCGTGGGTCTTCCGCTTGATGAAGATGAGGAAGAGTGGTTTGGGTATGTCTTACTGCAAGGCAATGCCAGCACTCTTCCGGGGGCCAAAGACACTGTCATGATGCGCCGTCTGGCAACCGGGCGACTCGGGGAGCTCACTCCGGAGCTCGAATCATTGGGAGGCAAGAAGATTGATGGGTTGAACTGGGATGACCTTCGGGGGAGCATACAACACACGTAGATGATACCCAACCAGAAACTTAGAACTGGAATTATTGATTACTTAAAATTGAGATGATAACCTTGGAATTGGAGTTTAAATTTGCTTTTGCTGGCTTCCTTTTCCCAAGTATTCAGGTGTTGTGGTGGGCGCCGAGATATATATATGAAACTCTTTGTTGCTCAGATTAAATGTGATGGTCTACGCTCACGCCAACAACTCAAAGCTGGGGTCTTTCATCTGAAACCGAGACCAATGTAAAGAAGATCCAAGATTCATTTGATTGCGATTAAACAATTTAGTATCCAGTGCTATATAACAGTGCTTGACCTCAAAGCTGGGATGGCCGCGGTTCCGATAAGATACGGACCAATTCCCTGAAAAGTCCCAACAGCAGTTTCCCTCTCGACGCGCACTCATAGCACTGTTCCTATTTATCTCACAGCTCATTTGATGAATATACCTCAAAGACGAGGCTTTATTTACTAAGGGTTCGCATATTCGCCGACATCCAGGCCAAGACAGGGCCTCCAAGGAGAGCAATTGGGAGCAAACATCGACAAAGCCGCAAACATGGTGGTATGTACCTTTTTCCAGCAAGGGCGCTGCAAGTTCGGAGGTATGGATCAATTATCCAAATGAAAAGCAAGTCATTAATGCATTTCCAGATCGTTGCAAATTCGAGCATCCGGGCAAAGCTACTGCCGGTCCCTCGGGGAATCGATTTGGTGCTCTATCTGGAGGGTTTGGAGGTAAGCCTATCAAATTGTTTTGCTCCAGTTCTTCCTTATGCAGGGAGCCCATTCAATGACTGTTTATTGTATTGGAGATTAAACCTTTGATCTTTGCATTCTTTTGGGTTTTATCCTGTCCTTCTCTTCTGTTTTATATCTATGTTGCTTGTTCTCATATTACTTTCCCCCAAACCCCGTTTGAGTGTCGGGTTTCAGAGATATTGCCTTGTCCAGAATTATGCTCAAGTCCATGAATCACACGCCCTTTAGGGCTAGCGTTCTTTCCAAGCCTGACAGCAAGTCTACAATAGGGCAGAACCAGTCCCAACAAACGACCGAGTAAGTCACATTCTCAGCATGTCAAGGGAAATCAAGATTGACAAGAAGCAGTTATGGTCTAAGGCCGAATGACATCAAGCAAGATTTGACTGCAGGCCAAGGCCGTCCGGAATGGATTTTCTCTGCATACGGACCCAACAAAGATGTTCCGCGCCAGCTTTTTGGTGGTGCTCATCGCGAGCGAAGCATGGAAGAGATGCGACTGCGCCATTATGAATTAGCAGCAGCCGGCAATCTGAACCAAGCAGTGCAAGAAGCCTCGGCTCTCTGGCAAGAGTGTGTAACACAGATGGAGGTCTCGCTGAACGACCTGAACGGTGCCATCAAATACATGATTGACGGCGCGAATGAACATCCCAACCGGGTCGACATCGTCGAGGGCAAAACGCAGGCTAGCACCGCCCAAGCCCCAGCGCCATTCGGGCAACCCGCTCCATTTGGACAGCAAAACGCCGGTCCTGCAGCCAGCACCGGTGCTACACCTGGAGCCTTTGCTGCTCCATCCTCTACCTTCGGTCAAGCGTCAGGCCTTGGCCAAGCAGCTGGATTTGGCAGGGCCTCAGCAACAGCACAGCCAGCTGGCATGGGCCAGCCTACAGCGTTCGGCCAAACATCTGCCATGGGTGGTTCTGGTTTTGGCCAAACATCGACCTTGGGAGGGCAATCTGCCTTCAACCGGACACCGTTCGGCCAGCCAGCTCAGCTGGGTGCCAACCCAAGCCCATTCGGTCAGGCTGCGGCCCCAGGAGGCCCCTCCCCATTCGGCGCTCCATCTGCTGCCTCTCCCTTTGCCCAAATATCCCAGAACCAACAGCCTGCTGCCGGTGGGTTTGGCCAGAGTGCGGGACAAGCTAATCCGTCACCTTTCGGTCAGCCTGCTGGACAAGCTGCCCCGTCGCCATTCGGCCAGCCAGCCCCGCCAGGTGGCAATCCTAACCCATTCGGTCAGCCATCAGCACCGGCAGCAGCCGCTCCATTTGGTGCCCCATCTGCCGCATCCCCCTTCACGCAGGTGGCCCAGAACCAGCCTGCCACTGGCGGATTTGGCCAGAGTGCTGGACAAGCTGCTCCATCACCTTTCGGCCAGCCTGCCACACAAGCTGCTCCAACTTCCTTCGGTCAGCCTGCTGCACAAGCTGCTCCAACTCCCTTTGGTCAGCCTGCTGCACAGCCTACTCCAACCCCCTTCGGTCAGCCTGCTGGACAGCCTGCTCCATCTCCATTCGGGCAGCCTGCACCCCAAGGCGTGCCTGTGCAGAGTGCAAATGCTGGGCCACCGGCGTTCCTTAAGACAGAAAGTCCCGAGGATCTCAATCCGCTTCCAAGGCTGGAAGGTGAAACTCGACATAACCCATCGACCAAGCAACTTGTGATGTGGAAGGGCCGGCCCGTGAAGTATATCAATGAGCACCCGTGCTACCTTCACCCACAAGACAACAAGTCTTTCATTCGAATTCATTTCCCGAATGGGCCGCCTGATGCAGCTAACTTGAAGGATGCTCAAGCCAAGCCCGAGGAGTACACCCCCGATGTCACTCAAGCATATGAGTTCTTCCTTCAAAATGGCTACTTCAAGGATGGCATTCCGGCTGTAGCCCCCCGACAGGAGTGGCTCAGCTTCGACTTTTAAAGTCCAAAGCCATGTTATCGGCATCAAAATTTTCAAATGTCTCATAGGTTGAGATATCGTGCATCTCGTTTTCATTCTGACATCAGAGATCAGAATACTGGGCTTGTCTAAAATCAAGGAAAACGGCGTTTCGGAGTTGGCCAGTGGATAATGGATTCACAAATGCCACAATTGTAACTACATACATACAATTGCTATTCTCTCCACCTTTAACGCGAAATTACAATGATACAGACATCACTACAAATTGAGGCTCTTTGTTCTTTTTCAAGATGTTTCCATTTTTTTAATTTTGAAGTAATTCCAGGTACGAACGGAACCTCCCGCAGCACGAAACAAGTCATGCGGGTTAGGACCAACTCCAATGTAGCATTGTGTACCACATTGGGGCCAGTCCTTGATTCCTCCCTGAGGCAAGCCCAGCCTAGCACATTTATGCGGCAATGGTGACCTCAACCTCAACACCGGCCTCGATGTTGATGATGATCTGCTTGACGGTCTCGGTGGGGGCGAGGAGACTAGTGTCGAGTATCAGCAACTGTACAGCACAGAAGTAGCGGCAATCATGCCACTAGTCAGGGATTGGAGAAGAACTTACTCGATGAGACGCTTGTGGATGCGCATCTCGAACTTGTCCCAGGTCTTGGAACCCTCACCGTTGGGGGTCTTACGGGTGGAGATCTGGAGGGTCTTGGTGGGCAGACGGACGGGACCCTTGACCTGGAGGGACTTGGAGCGAGCACGGTCGATCAGCTCCTGGCAGACCTTCTCGAGGGAGGCAACCTTGCGGGAGGTGAGGGTGATGCGGATCTTGTGGACCTTCTGTATAGCGGACAAGAGGCAATTAGTACTTGGTATGGGCCGACGAGGTCCATTGACATTGCACACATAGCGACAGCGAGGTGCGATACTAATGTGCGACAGCGACAATGGGATCAGGGACAACGTACAGGGCCCTCGCCGAACTCCTTCTCGGGCTTCTGGAAAGACATCTTGAATGATATGAACTGGGACGGGTTAGTGTTTCGGTTCGGGGATTTCAAGAGCAGAAAAAAAGGAGCGCGCACAATTTAAAAGGCAAATGCCGTCAAGACCTGAACTGCTAGGCTCGGTAAAGTGATGATGGCTGGTTGAAGTGATGTGGATCGAGAATTCGATATCCAAAAACTTCAGTGCGAAAGTCTTGGCGCTTCGGTTATCGCGCGCTAAGCCACTTTGGGTCCCCTTGCTCTCGTGGCTTATGTCATCACTGAAAGAGGAAATGAGACCGCCAAGTAATGATTCGAGATGATGATCATGAGCTGACGGGCTGTGTTTTCTTGTTTGGGTTCTTTCTTTCTTTGCCTTTGCATTCCTTCCATCACCACACCTGAACAGCTAGTTGAGCTGTCCCAATGGCAGAGTTCCCCCCGCTAGCTCCAGTGCCTCCCCCCGCAGTGCGGAGGACAATCCCATCAAATGACTGGGAAGCTTGTCTAGATGCATGGATGGCTCTACTGGGGGTCCGCTTAAATGCATCTGATCAACAATTCAAGATTGCATCTATTGAAGATACATCAGTCCCCCCATTCCTTGGATCGTACTATCAATACACGGCTGCGGGGGATTCTAGTCTACAAAGTGGACCTAAAGCTCGACAGCTCCGGAAACTATGCTTTTTGACTACGAGAAGATACTTACTCGGTCTCTCAAATCCACCAGACGGAATTCTGGATTGGAGGCTTCTCGGCAACCTATGTTGCTGCTATCCTTCCAGCGAGACCTTGAAGACGTCATTATCAAGTGCCTGGGATCTGCACCATGGCAAGATCACTTCAAGTATTGAAAGAGCAAAAGCCACTGTGATCAAGAACCTGTCTTCAGCCAACTCATCCTCAAACCCGGAGGTTATTTCTGACATCCGCCGTTTGACTATCCTTGCTTCTGTGGTGCCGGCATGTGGCCAGGAGCTCATGGCGGGCTCCGACTTCCTGGACACGATAGCGGAAGCCTATCAGTCAAAAAGTGCGCGGGAAGAGTTCCGGAGAATACTCGTTGCCAACGTCTACGTTGGTATGATTTCTTTATTGAAGGAACCCGTCAACCTGTCTTCGCTGTTAGATCAGTTATTCAGCCTGAAAGCGGCTGCTCGAGTTGGGGCACCAAAGATGAAGAAGGAAGCAACTCTACTTTCTGATCTCGTCTGTAGCTCAGACTTGCTCATACGGCTGGAGAAGTATCTCAACCTTCACCCCCAGAAACGGGGGCAGGACCTCATTGCCAGCTTGCGCACATATCAGACGGAGTCGAAGTCGCTACATCATCGGTATCAAAGGCGCAAGAAAGTAGATAAAGGCAAGGGGGCATCTTCGGATCCAATAATTTCGGGAGAGATACATGCACACAAGATGTCACTCGTCACTCAAGTACAAGACCTCTTCCCCGATCTTGGATCTGCCTTTATTGTGCGGCTTCTGGACTTCTACAACGACAATCCCGAGACTATCATCGCTCACCTCCTCGACGATTCACTTCCTCTAGAGCTCCAATCTCTAGATCGATCCGAGCAACTGCCTCCCACTGCAGAACCCTCTCACAGCCATCTCCCAACCCAACCAACACCACCCGCAATGCCATCACCTACATTAGAACCACTCCCAACCCGCAAGAACATCTTCGACAAAGACGTGGACATCGCCGAACTAAGCCGCTCAGGCGAAGCACAAGGCAAACTACACTTCGGCCGCGTCGACACAGACGAAACAGCCGACACCCTCCTCGCCGACCACGACCGACACGCCGCAAACAAAGCCGCAATCCTCTCCGCACTAGCAACCTTCGACTCAGACGACGACGAGCGCGACGATACCTACGACGCAGCCGACGTAGGCGGCACCATCGACGGAGCCACCGGCGGCGCAGACGGTGAAGCCGACGCAGACCAGCAGGCCCGCCGGGCAGCAGACATGGACATGACCCTCTTCCGGACCTACAAATCCAACCCAGGCGTCTTCGCCCGTGACTCAGCTACCCGTCGCTCGCAGCCGCGCGCGTCGTTGAAGCGCGAGACTGAAATGACCGACGAGGCTATCGAGGGCTGGGCTGTTATGCTAGCGCGCGATCCCAAGCGTCTCGCTAAACTCGAAGGTCGACTGGCTATGGACGCTGGCGGGTCTGCTGGTGCTGGAGCACTTAATCAGCCTGAGCTGCGATCTACTTCTTGGAAGAAGCCGCAGCCTCGAGAGGACGGAGAGGAGGGCTCTGATGAGGGCGAGGCTTCTGGCCATGGTTCGCGGGGTGGTAGGGGTCGTGGGGGTCGGGGTCGTGGCCGTGGTGGTAGAGGTCGTGGTGGCCGTGGCGGCGGTCAGGGACCGCCTGATACTGCTGCGGCACGACAGAGGAAGGAGGAGAATAAGGGAAGTCGGGCGAATCACAATCGTCGACAGCAACACGCGAAGAAGATGGCGCGTGGCGGGGGATTGCCCGGCTAAGAATGGAGGCATACTATCTTGGATTATGTGGATGCCATATGGAAAAAAGACACTGAGTCGCTTTTTTCTGTTTTGATATCTGTTGAGGACATGGATCTAATTTACGTACAATTTCGTTTGGCTCTCACAAAAGCAGCCACATAGCATAAAGACAAACAGCATTCAGAATCATGAAGATACCATAATGCACATAAGATGCGATATAGGTAGTCGTGATGGCATGTTTACACAGGGGAGTCGTACTTGGCCAGCAAGGCAAAAAAAAACCACATTGCATCAGTGGTGATCTGAAAAGACGCCGCCCTCCGCAATAGACTTGCGGCACTCCTCCATAATCCGGACTTGTTTCGCGACTTCTCCAAGTCGGCTGATGACCTCCTTATTTCCATCGTAGAAGGTAAAGATGGCATAGGGGATACCGGTATCACGGCAGAATTCCAAGACAAACTTCTGCGTGCGACGCAGATTGTGACGCGGAATGCGTGGGTAGAGATGGTGGATGGCTTGGAATTGCAAACCTCCATGGAAGAAGTCGAGCCATGTTGGGCAGTCGACGTCCATAGTGGTGCGGAGCATTTTCTGAGGGAAGGACTCACCAACCCCCAAATCAGCGGTTGACATGGCGAAATGGGACAGAGTGATCTGGACGTGTAGGGGAGAGGGCACGACGTGAGAGATGAGAAGGAAGATGATGCGACTCTTGGCATCTGGCAGCGTCTTATACATAACACCATAGCCAAACCAGGTCCAGAAAAACACCTGTCCGACAAGCTCAAACCAGACATGCCACCAAGCGGGGCCTTTTCGAGGAGCTTGGCGCTTAAGCAAATACTCCCAACTCAAGGCGTAGAGATTGAATCGTGCGAGCATCATAATAGGGTAGTAAGAGTAATTTTGGAATTTGAGGAAGAACCGAGCCACCGCATCATAGGCCATGATTCGATCATAGTAAGTGCTTCGGAGGCTTGTGAGGAAGCGATGCGAGATAGCGAAAAATGGGATATGTTCGATATCAGGGTCATGCTCTGGCTCATTGGTCACGATATGGTGCACGTTGTGGCTTCGCTTCCACCATCCAAGACTTAATCCTCCAAGATAGTCTGCAATAACCATGCCTATGACGGTGTCCACATGGAAATTGTGTGTAATGCCCATATGACCGGCATCATGGGCAGTGAACACAAGCTGATGCCAGAAACATCCGAGGAAAAATGCCGAGCTGGCCCACCATTCCATGCGGAGAAACATGTAGGACAAACCCGCGAAGAGTGTGTATCGACAACATTCAATGAAATAACTGAAGTAGTTGCATTTGTAGAGTCCCGCGGCCTTGATGCGCTCGTTCAGTTCGCGGTATTTGCGCTTGATCTCCTCCTGGCTTGCGGTATCCAGAGAGGGATATTTCGCAATGTCAAGAACGATTTCCTCCTGTGTTCTTGCATCCAAGAAGGCAGGCTTGGCTTGGCGCTGTTCCTTCGATGTGGTGTTTGTCATGGCAGTTGGTTGTCTTTGACGAACAGTGGATTTTGTGTCGACCGCATCGAATACCGGTGAGGGAGGGATGGATCCATCTTGACTAGAGCCACTGGAGCTTTCTTGCCCCGTTGATTCCTCGTCGCTCAAGCATGTGTCTTCAGCATAGGCACGGTACTTGCCACCCTGTATGGGAGGAAGGAAGTTGATCCATGTGCCTTCAACTCGTCCGATTTGGTATGAGAGCATGCGCTCGAGGGCTTCTGGAGAGTGTAACCTGCATGAGATGGGATTTGATTAGATCGATCTGAAGCTGTGGGATGTGCCATTTGAAGAACATACGCGTTGATTTCATCTGTCGCGTCCCTTCCCACCATGTGCTTGATCGGCTTCTCTCCTCCAGGGTGGTATTTGAGCCATGCGTCCACCTTCAAGACTCGGCCATCGAATATCATGACATGCTTTCCATCTGCAATGAGGCCTTCAATATATCGTCGAGTCAAGAGGCTGTCCTTTCGGGACGGTCGGAGTGCGGTCTTCTCCATTGTGTCAGGTGCAATGAGGGCGTGGATGTGCGTAGGGTCCGAGAACGACAGTAAGGGGATTACACTGACATTGTCGAGGGCCAAGCTGAGGGACTGATTGCCAATAAAGAGAAGAAACAGAGAAAACAGAGAAACCAGAAAAGATGGCCAGACTGAAAAACACAAGTACCGTGTAGGGGCTATGGGGCGGAGGTGGATAACAGCGGGGACTGATCAGCCGCGGCCTGTGATTGTCCACCTTTCACATTGCTGAACCTGAAACATACTCCTTCACCGTACATCCACCGTGTGGCATGATGACTGTGAGTCTTCGATCTATGCCATTTATCGGTCTTGAGTATATTGTTCTAATGACGTTAGGAATCAATTTCTTCCTTGACTGAGCAATGGCTCCAGTGGGACCAGGTCTACACTCCATTCCATTCGGTGGCCTGATCATCCCACTGACTCAGTTATAGGATCCTACAACTCGCGCAGAGATAGAGCAACTGCGGGACTCTAATGCCACAGAGGAGTTGGAAAAGCGCCTTCGAAACCGTATGTACCGTTTGTTATGTATTTCTCGGTACATATTTGACTCGTAGGTACATCTAGGCATTGAGTTTGGAACGGCTGGTCTGCGAGGCCGCATGGCAGCCGGGTTCTCTTGCATGAACTCCTTGATAGTCATTCAAGCCTCACAGGGTCTGGCCAAGTTCATCCGAGACAAACGCTCTGATATCGCATCGAAGGGTGTGGTTATTGGACACGATGCGCGTCACAATTCTGCGAAGTTCGCTGCACTCGCTGCTAACGCTTTCATCGCGCAACAAATTCCTGTGTGGTTCTTTGATGAGGAAGGCCCGACTCCAATGGTAGCATTTGGAGTGAATTATTTCGGTGCTGCTGCAGGTGTCATGGTGACAGCGAGCCACGTAGGTCCATCCGCAATACAAATTGTATAGATCTCCCGCTAACCAGCCCCCAGAATCCACCCCAGGACAATGGTATGTTATCAATTCCAGATATTATAGAATAATCACTGACAATCATATAGGTTACAAAGTGTAAGAATTCTGAATCTATATTTTGGAAATTGCTGACAGGATCTCTCGTAGCTATTCGAGCAATGGCGCTCAGATCAACCGGCCCGAGGATGGAGAAATTGCGCAGTCCATACAAGAGAACCTTGAGCCGTGGCCAACTGCATGGGCGGAGTTGCAGCCGAGTGAATACTTGCGCGCTGACTCTTACCAGAAACTGCTACCTCACTACAGCAATCAAGTCGCAACATACATGGTACGTCATATAATATCTGGAACGAGTCCAAGTTAACCATTCCATTCTAGAAATCAACCGTGGAAAATTGGCAACCCCCAAGACCGCTCGTGTATACACCCCTGCATGGAGTGGGAGGCTTGGTTCTTCCAACTCTGTGCCGCTCGCTTGGAATCAACGACTTTGTATCCGTTGCTGCCCAAGCAAAGCCTGATCCAGACTTTCCAACCGTAGCATTCCCCAACCCAGAGGAAGCCGGAGCATTGGATCTTGCTATTGAAACTGCCGATAATGAGGGGGAGCACCTTGATCATTGCGAATGATCCTGATGCCGACCGCTTTGCTGTAGCAGAGAAAGTGAAGTAAGTTGTGTTTCCCGATGTTTATAGACCGACCTGAACTGACGTGGGCTACAGTGGCCAATGGCATACCTTGACCGGAAACCATGTTGGTGTTCTTCTAGCATCCCACATCTTAGATTCCTTCGATGCTAGCAAAGATTGGTCTCATATCGCGGTACTGACTACAACGGTCTCGAGCGGCATGCTCGGAAAGATGGCAGCTGCAAAGGGCATCCACTTCCAAGAGACCCTGACAGGGTTCAAGTGGATGGCCAATGTTGCCCGTGACTTAGAAAAGGAGGGAAAGAAGATCCCTTTCGCATACGAGGAGGCACTGGGCTATATGTTCCCGTCAGTGTGCTATGACAAAGACGGCATTACCGCAGCTACAGTGTTCCTGGCAGCGGAGGCAAAGTGGAGAGCCCAGGGACTTACTGCGTACGCTAAGCTACAGCAGCTTTTCAGCGACTTCGGCCACCACGAGACGTTGAATAACTATTTCCGATCTCCTAACCCGCAGCTCACCACGAAGTTGTTCCAAGGGATTAGAGGCAGCCCTGGTCTAGCGAATATGCAATTTGGTCGCTTCAAGATCTTGCGATGGAGAGATTTGACCGAGGGCTATGACTCTGGCACCCCGGATAACAAGCCGGACTTGCCCGAAGATCCAACAAGCCAGATGCTCACATTGTGGCTGGAGGGTGGCGTTCGCTTCACATTCCGAGGTTCAGGCACAGAGCCCAAGGTCAAGTGTAAGTCTATTTTTCCACCTCTTGCAAGAAAATTGAATATTGACATGCATATAGTTTACATTGAGAGCTGTGGGGATTCTCGCGATGATGCCGTGAAAGCAGTTTGCGATGCTTTCCTAGCCATCCGGGAAGAATGGGTACAGATGTATACACCCTCGATGACATACAGCAAGCAGCTTCCCACATCATCTGGTCACATCCTGGATGTAGAATGAAAATATTCATTCGTAAGACCAGGTATCATATATGCACATATTTGTTTTTATTAACTCTGCTATCTGTTATGAAATGACCCAATGAAATACCGAAACCGATTTGGATTTACATGAACATCTGAATACGTTGTACCTAGGGCTCACTTGGAATTTTGTGTCACAACAATCCCCATTTAATGGATTAGAGCTATTAAAGGCCTACCTGCATGTGATTCCTTTGACTGGAATTCCCTAAACGCCATGATACATGCATCCATGCGAGTTAAGATGTGTCCTTGCGTACGTAGATGCAGTGTCCGATGTGAGTTTCCGCAAACACATATGTAGCAAACGCCTGGAGATAGACCCAACGTAACATCATTCAAGCATATTAAACAATTGTTGGTACACCATTACTACATGGCCACCTCCGAATCTCCAAGCGAGGCGACGACAAATAAAAGTCATCAACCCGCACGCAACAACTCAAAATTGGAATTGTTCAACTTTCCCCAAAAGCCAGCACTGAATTTCCCGCAGCGCCGCGATATCATTCATCGGCGTAGCTACCTTAACCTTCCCATCATGCCACCCATGTGTGCGTTTGACCAGATTCAGACTATGGCCCTGCGGCCGCGCTGAGTCAAAATCAATGATGACAGGGGTATCGCCTTGAAACATAATGTTACATGGATTGAGGTCATTGTGGACGATTCCCAATCCATGGAGGTGTTTCAAGCCCCGCACGATACCCTCTAGCCAGCGATCGACCTCATTTCGATCCGCCCCGCGCCTCTCATATGCAAGATCTCTCTTACTGCGTCCAGCCGGGTTCACTCGGTCCATAAGGGTCTGGTCGTACTGTGTAAAGTACATGCCTCGGATCGAGCCGTCCACAACCGCGCAGCCGTGGTATTGGGCAATATTCGGGTGCGGGGCTTTCTTCAAAATCTCGCAGGTCTTCACCTCCTCGATCCAGGTTTCTCGGATCAGCACTGGATACTGTGGACTGTATGGTGACAGGCTTGGCCTTTTCATATACCAGATCGATTGGTCTGAGATGCTGTCTGCTTGGGTGAATTTGTCCGAGAACTCCGGGAAAATGCGGGTTCCGGGGATCTTGTTTGTGCTGAACATGTCGCTGAACTGGATCTCATCTTTGGTCGTATAGCGCTTGCGTGAGTATGCCCGGTAGATTGCACCGGACATCTCGTAGACAATGATGGTCCTTTGAAATGCGAAGCCATGTTGGGGACCGCCGAAATCCTCGGAGTATTCAAGAATGTACATTTTGGATCCACAAATCAAGAATGGAGGGGGAAAAAATAGGATCAAGTCAGTTGTGAGAGGTGACTGGGAGATTGAAATTGAAAAAAAATAAAAAGTGGTCATGCAATGAAGCGGGCGGCTACCTAGTCACATTGCAAAAGCCCAGTCGGGTTCTTTGCGCTTCAGCCAAGGCTTGTTTGTGTAAAATGAAGGATGTGAGCAGCATCTACTTTGGGAATCGGCGTTTGCTACTGAATATATTACTCTATCTTTGGCATGTCGGTCGTTGTCTCTTCATTTACATACTAGAATGCACCATACTTGTATATCTCACCAGAGCAAGATGAGACGGCATATGCGCTCACAAGATGGTCGAAGAGTACGAGAAGAATCTCACTTCTCCAATTCCAATGACTCGTGTCACACCCATCACGCCCCGCCCTGCTCAAGGTACAGCGAGGGTCTCCATGCCAGACACCATGGCAGCGACACTGTCGAACCGCACCAGGCTCATCAAGCCCAGGACGCAACAGCCAAAGAGAAGATCCATTGTCATTTCTGTCCCCGATTCCACAGCCAGGAACCCAATAACAGAATGTAAGACTTGATTTCTGCCGGGACTGCACCAAAATGTGTCTCCCACTCAATACTTCACAGGAACAATGCCCAATCCAAGCTTCCTACCTGTGCCCAACATTCTCACAGCCATGGTCATCGACATGAAAGCTCGTACACCCATGCTCAGCCCCGATCGCGGTCTCCTCACTCCAGCGAAGATGAAGACTACCAATACATGCATCGGTATACCAGTCAAGGATCCGGCTTGAACGATCGACATGGCCATGTACACTCTCGCGCTGCGCCACCGGCATCGGGTAGTTATGGCTCGGGTACTACGCTGCGTAGGTCACAAACGGACAGATACAGCGGGACCAAAGCCGTGAGATTTGAAGATGATGAACCTATTCTCCATTCTGGGAAAAGCCCCTCGAGTTGTCCTGTACACAGTGGCCGGCAGTCTCGATCTCAAATTCGGGAGTTGCGAACTACGAGGTGGGTGTGGGGGCCTCCTTTACCCGAGCCGAGGGTATCCGCCCAATTCGGAGGATTATACGCAGAACGCATTTGAGGATTCTCTGTGATGGAAAGCAGTTTATGGATTAGATTTACATTGTGATACAATCGGACTACCCCAAGGTCGTTATGGTTGGAAGTAATTCTCGAATGGGACTACGAACGTAAGGCTCAGAACTAAAGGGAGAAAGGGGATCTATATCAATATGTTATTTTGCGCGCCCTTGGATGGTTAGGAATTCCGGCTTTCTTGACCAGAGAATCTGTTGAATTATGTGGCCTCATCCATGTTATCTGAGCAGTATCTCTTGAACGCATTATCAAAGTGTTCTTTTTCAGCGTCTTTTTCGAGGTCCGTTTCAACGGCTTTCTAGTCCGAAGGACAAACCAACCAACCGAAAGACGGAAATACACTTCAGTAATGTTCTATGGATACCTCAGAAGCTAGTGGGACTAGCGAACTACTTTATCATGACCGCATCCAAATGACTTCTGTAGTGCAAGTTGCAATGCAATCGGATTGAAATCACTTCATAATGTATTTAGCAAAATTCAAAAGCGAAGGGAACTTTGCACTAGGTAATGAAACAATTTCTGATCATAAAGCTGGATTATCAGAAGTGCGACCAAGATACCTCATGTCGCTGATTATAAAAATCCATTCGACCAAGAGTTAGTGCGGTCTCTCCCTCTCAAATGTATTCGTTTTTGAGTTTCTCCTCTTTAGGAGGCATACATTGGTGAGCATGGTGTTATCAACGTCAATCCCACAAAAGGAGGAGTAGAATACGTGTCATCAGCCCGCTCTCACAGACGTTGTTGTTGTTCTTACCTGCGGGCAAGTTGTTTCTTCTGGAGATCCTGCTCCTAGAGATATTCCTCACGCCAACCTTTAGAAACCTCTTGATTTTTCTTTTTTAGTTGCTGTGACGTAGGCCTATAATCATATTGTTACATTATCTATTCGAGTAACGTGTGTTATCGGTACTAACCAGTACGATATTGTGTCCCCGAAATTATCTCCAGTGAGACGACAATTCGCAAGCCAGCGGGAATCGGCGGACGATTTGCAGATGCCTAGATCTCGTTTTACATAGAATACAAATCTGCCGGTGTCTTCAGATCGTGGCGACTTCATATCAACCAAAGCGAGACAGCGAGAACAATCTGAAATACGATTGCTCGTGTATACTTGAGTCAGATCGAAGTGAGGGCAGGAGAAAAGAGGCTCAACACTGAGAGGAGAGAATAGAGCGGAAAATATTACTGTATATCGCGCGTCCATCACTAGGTGATTAGAACTGTCGATGGATATGTGTATTGTAACCCGAGCAAAATATTCAGGCGTAATACCCAGTTGACACTTATGTGTCAGATGGGGCCCACCAGTAAGCCCAAATAGAAAAGGGCCAACTTGATCTCCACATTGGGTAGAAGGGGATCTAAGAAGTTTGATCACACGGGCTCGTTCTCGAATTGTCCATGCAGCGCATGGACATAGGTCGACTATACCGGCGTACGTTGTACACGGCCTTATCAAAGATGGATACAGGAGCAAGTCATCTGTGAATTCTTTCCTTGGATGGAGCTTGAGGCATTTTCCGCAATATCTCCACGAGCCATCTTGAAGGCGAAGCAATAGTTTGTTTCGTACCACATTGCTACTGTTCACACACAGTATGGGGTTTCGAATTTGTAATAGTCGTGGGAACTCGTGACGCTTATGTTTCAGAGTTGCGCTGAATAAGTTGAAAAGCCTTTTGCAGCTGAGGGTTAGACACGCTGCGTCGACTTGTGGAAGGAATTCGTGGATCTGCCTCAGAACACTGTCTTGCAAAGAAAATATTGTGGTGCCCTTTCTTCCGACCAAGGAAAAGAGATATGAAATGAGACGTGCTTTAGTGCAAAATCCTTTAACCCTGCGTCTAGCTTTCCTCAGATGTTTCTTTTTTGGTTTGTTATGCTGATCATCGAGGTACCGACTCCTGCCCAAACACTGAAGCTTGTTCCTCTCTGCGCCTTCCAGTAAATGAGCTTCTTCTTCATCGTATTGAGAATGTTTCTGATCCAGGTGGGATAGTCTGCTGGGTAGTTTCCATAGTCTCTGCATTCGGAATTCCAGTCCGTTTGGTGGTATGAGATAAACTTGAGGTTAGACTTGAGTACTTCGAGAATGAGTCAAGCGAGTAGATGTTGATATGATTATGACGTGACACTTACAGGTTAATATCTTCTACATGTATATAGAGGTACCTTATCCGTGGATTGTTTATGATCAGTTCCTGACCTCAGCCCTCCAAAGTTTAGTCCAGATACGTACTGTGGTGCCTCTGAATTTCTGTTCTTCTATGAAGTCCTTCATTTAGGTAGTAATGTTAGTTCCAACTACTAGCCTTGATAGGATGCGGAGTTACCTGGTAGCAGAGTCTCTAACTCACAACCTTATATTATACTGATTCGGCTTGACATTTTAGACGTGTTGGCTACATGCGGCTTTCAAGCCAACAATAAAGCGCATCATAACTGACTACATGTAGTTATGACTTTGTAACCACGTTGCCCTCCTCATCGAACTTGGTTTCTTTCAAAAAGCGTGACGCAACGGGCGCTGTCGAAAATGAATGACTTTCTTCATAGCTGCGTGAACCTACATACATTCAACTTTTGTCTAAGAAATTCGTAATCAAGATATTGACAGAGAGGTAGCATGATAGCGAACACAGAATCGGGCTAATTGTTGTGAGTATTGACTTGTTCCTTTGTCACTTTATAGTTGCTCTCTCCCTAGAAAACGCAATGATAGCCCCACAGACAATGGTCAAAGTCATGGCAAGTACTAGTAATAGGTTAATAAAATTTGGGTGTTTTCTAGATTAGTAACAGCGATCATTGACATACCTGGAATTAACTGATACGCTTCGATGTAGCTAGATGAAACTGCTGCCTGGAGCGCTGGTGGCAGACTTGCAGTAAAACTATAGTCCTTGAGAATCTCCTTGATGAACTAAATATCCTGTTAGTATCTTGCAAACCAGTGTGATTATGAGCCCAAGAAATACCTGAGTTCTCTCATGCAAGGGGATATCTCCCAAACCGATATCGAGTCGTAAGCGAAAGAGTCCCTGGAGCGCTGCCGTGCTGACGCTCGTGCCGATAATCTGCCCAACCTGCTGGGATAGATAATACACTGCGGTAGCGCTCGCCATCTGATCTTCAGGCGCACATATCGTCAAAGCAATAAATTGGGCGGAAAGCAGCAGTCCACTCCCCATCGCCCAAGGGAAACAATAATATACTTCGATTCCTTGAATGCCATTCGCCCATCGCAATACCATCAAAAGCTGGGATAAGACACTACCCGCTATAGCTACGAGAGATAGCTTTTGGTATTGGATGGTCCTGGGAGGGTCAGTATTTAAGTGGTGTGATTCGATTAACATTTTCCCAACTCACTTGCTCATGGCTTTTCCAGCAATCACAGAACCAAGGATGAGGCCAAGACCCGAGGGCCAGATTCGCATGGCAATCGCCGAGTTGGAAAGATGATTTATTTGAGCCAAATAGGGCGGTAGGTTATTCAGGATCTACTATGTATCAGCAAGAGATGATCGTTATAGGACAACTGAATAGTGGGCACTCACCGTACTGATACTTGCAAAGAATATAACCTGACCGAAGAGAATCCCACCGAGGCCGGGTGCGCACACGACGGAAGGAGGGATCATAGGCATTTTAGTCCCAAAACATTCGACTAGAACGAAGGCCACGAGAAACAAACACGACACAGCTAGTATAACCGGGGTGTTGGACTGGAAAAGAATGCCTCCATCGGTTGTCGCGAGGATGAAGGAAGTGACAGTGATAAAAAAGGTAGCAAGACCAAAATAATCAAAGCTCCATAAGCTTATATTGGAGCTGGAATGGATGCGCTTCGCAGAGGCTGGAAGTTGCCAGTGAGCTAGAGCCAAACACAACAGTCCGATGGGCGCTTGACCGATTAATGACCTGATTGTCAAAGATGTCAGTTATCCGAGATCTCATAGATGTAGGATTTTCAACGTCTCAAGACAAGTTTACCATCTCCAGTCGATCATGTCGGCGACAAGTCCCCCCAATGGTCCTCCACAGCCCTGTCCCAGGATACCAGCAGCAATAACAAAACTTCGGACGGATGCAATTTGGGTGATGCAAAACATTTCTGGTGTTCTAAGTCAGTTTCAGGCTCGGTTTAAACGGACCGATGCATCCCTACCGTTAACGAGGACCGAGAGCAAATCCGTCATACCAGCACCCCCAATACCTGCGACGAAACGACCAAAAACGAATGGCCATAATGTTTGAACAGATCCGCTAGAATTAAATGTGAGTCGCGGAAGAAGTGATAAAACGGCCGGGGTGGTCTTTCACGTACGAGATCAAACATCCGACTCCGAACAAGGCATATGCCAAGAGTAGGAACCGTCGACAGCCATATATATCACTTAGAAATCCATACTGTACAATGTATAAGATGAATGAATGAGAGAATCGATAAGACAGAACTGACCACAGGCAATGCAACGCAGAATCCCAGGTTATATGAGACTAGCAGCAGCGGCGCACTGGATGGGGCATGTAGCGACGAAGCAATCTCGCCTTGAGTAGCCAGCAAGATAGATTTGTCTGCGCTCGCTAGAAAAACGCCTACATAATATGAATTGTAAGTCAGTTGCACACCCCGAGAAAAGATCACATACCAACTAAACCAGCCAAGATTTTCGTAGTATTGACCTTGTTCGACTTCTGAGGCTCAAGATCGCCCAGCAAAGCGGTTTGTTCATGAGCCATTTAAAATTCCTACAAGATAGGCTTGCTAGGCTGGAGTCGAACAAGATAAAGGACCGTCACTCCCAAAGATCAAGGCTTCGGCGATTTGGCCAAGACAATAGTCCAGGGCGATCGCACAAATTTACCGCTAGGAGAGCCCACTGTGGATTCCAATTACATCGCGTACAGATGCCCTTCTGCAAGTCGGAAATAAAAAAAAAGAAAAGTAGACGCGGGGAATTGAGGTCTTATCCTCGAATAATAAATTCATTCTGAATTCAATCGGGTTTTTTGGTTCTCCTCTCTTTTCGCCACCAAATTCATTCACAGTTGATATATTCGGAATCTATACTTTGGCAACTCACCATGGCGACGGGATTATCTGCTGATTCAACGCAAGTACTAAGTCAGTTCCGAAGAGAACACCCAGAAATCAAATTTCTTCGCTTCCAATGGCAGGACTATTCAGGTGTTCTTCGAGGACGAGTTGTCCCGATGGACACAGTTATGGCCCAGATTACCAAGGGAGGCCCTCTGAAAGCGACTGGACTCGCGATGTGTGTCTCCCTCACTAATAATCTGCTACCCTCAACTCCATTGGACGGTCAGTACTGGCTGGTACCGGATTGGTCAACTCTTCACCCGACAGCCAGCCCCAAAAGCGCATCGGTGATGTGCGCCTTGGACTACACGGTGCCAGCCACTGGTCCAGTCAGCCGAGAGGTGTGTCCGCGCCATGTGCTAGAGAAGGTCCTCCGACGAGCGCAAAAGGACTGGGGATTGAGCTTTCTAGTCGGCTTCGAGGTAGAATTCGTGGTGATGAAAGCCAACCCGAGCACGGGGAAGATGGAGCGATGCAGTCAGGGTTGGGGGCTTTTTTCCATCGCCGGTCTACGGGATCCCTGTTACCAGTATGTGGAAGAATGCGTCAGCCAGCTCGAGGCCCTAGGTGTGGATTTCCAAGCGATACACACAGAGGGCCAGCGAGGGCAGTATGAGTTCGCATTGGGTCCGCGACCACCCCTCGAGGCGGTTGACCAGTTGGTGCTGGTACACAGCTATCTCAAAGACATTTTCGCTCGTCAGGGCTATACGGTGACTATGGTACCCAAGCCAGTGCCCTCGGAATCACTCACGAATGGCCAACACATGCACCTTTCATTACAACCTGCCAGTCCGGAACTGGAAGAGTCGTTCCTCGCTGGCATTCTCAAACGTCTACCGGGTCTCTGCAGCTTCTGTTTACCGCAGGACGTGTCTTATGAAAGACTGGTGCCGTTCGTGGCGGGTGGTAATACTGCTTGCTGGGGAACTGAGACACGCTTCGTGCCAATTCGGAAGATCGAGCCTAGCCGCTGGGAGATCCGCAATATCGATGCAATGGCCAACATGTATTCCGCTATGGCAGGCATTCTTGGTGCCGGGCTCTGCGGTCTGGCTGGCCAGGAGCCGCTTGTCTGGCCAGATCTCGGGGATCCTGCAAATAAAGACGCATCCCGAGGGGAACCCCTACCCAAGAATGTCGAGGAAGCGATAGCTTTGCTGGATGCGGATGCTTTTGGTCTGGCGGACATGATCGGCCGTCCCATCATAGATCACTACGTCGACATAAAGCGATTTGAGCTCTCCAAGCTCAAAGGCATGGATCCGGAGGCTGTGAAAGAGCTGTTCATCGAGCTGTTTTAATCTCGACGGCCAGTCGTCATTTTTCATGTAACTTTACGTATAGACTTCGCGTTTAGGTAGTGCTTTTGGTGTATATAACTGATGGATCAGTGCATGATTCCCTGTTTAATGTTAAATTCGACTCAACAATGGGCTCATTTTCCCCCTTTACTGGGAGAGAAAAGTGAGCTAAGTAGCTCCAGGACACTCATAAATCTGACAGATGGCCGCTAGAATTCTAGCGGTGAAAGAAAAATGGATCGTACTATTTTAGTTCGTAGTGCGGATATCGAGGGTTTTCGATCGCAAAATATGACGGTGAGTGCATGATTGGGCTTCTACGACATGTGTTGTACTCCTAAATCCTGCAGACACTGCTACCGAGCATATTCCGAGAAACCAAATAGCGGCTGAACCAGGAAGACGGGATCTGATATTCTCCTGAGCCACTTTAGTGTCTCGCACTGCGGGAAGCAAGATGCCGATCATCTCGATTGCAATCTGCATACTCAACCTAAAATGACCCGCAGGTAGATCATCACTCTATTCAGCGCTCTGTTAACTTTTCGTCAGCTCAGCTCCAGTGGGGCCATTTAAGCGCCTCGATATCCACCAGTCACACCTCCTTCTGGGCGGTCCACACGATGGGATCGGGGGCCAGGGTGTCCCGATCGAAAGCTGTCCATACTGCTCCGTACTCCGTACTCCGTAAGTAGCTTTGGAATGGCTGATTTAGTGCTTTGTCGTCCCGATTGAGTGTTGCGATGCCCTGGAATATATTCGTCTCGATACAATTCCATGACCCTGTATTTCGACTCCCTGCACTTGTTTGAACCTCGTTCCTTAGCTCCCTATAACGTAGGTAGGTGCGTAGGTAGTAATCAGGATTCACTCCATGTATGTCAGGTACAGTGGCCATATGCGAGTATCTGGGGCCCGCGATCATGCCGATCGCTTAGCTGGAGTGGACCTGCAGGTTTCGTACGTCCCCACGAACCATCCTGAGGCTAGCTCATTGGCGGGCAGATAATGCTCCCTGGATGGATTTGATTTGTTTCATAATTGACTCGGTACCTGTTACGAGGTCAACGTAATTTAATCGCCTTGCGCTAGCCATGACTGAATGTCGGAAATTTGCTGTTTCTCTCCAAGGGCTCGGGGCTGAAATAGAATCCTTTCCTTCAGAAGAACCACCATCGGCGTTTGTTTGATAACGAAAGGGGGAAAATATTTCATCATGATGCAACTCAGCGAGTCAGATGGTCCTCCCCTCCTTGATACTACCTTGACAATCAATGGTCTGTTCCGTCAGACGGTCCTGCATTTCTCAGACACAGTCGCCCTCGTTTGCACTCACCAGCCACGGGACTTGTACGGAGTTCCGAGTCTCCCTCTTTGCGATGATGGGCAAGAAGCACCTTACCTCCGATGGACCTATCGAGATCTCGACCGTGCAATACAACGGTTTGCGAATGGACTGAGAAGGCGCGGACTTCGAAAGGGAGACCCGGTGTTGATGTTCATGACAAATACTGCCGAGTATGTCATCGCTACATGGGCTGCGTATCGTATTGGCTGCGTACATGTTCCAATCAACCCTAGAAGCTTGTCGCATACCCGCGAGGTCCAACACATGTTGCGCACCACGATGAAGGGTTGCAATACCAAGTCCATTGCGACTATTGCGGGCAATGCCGATCTGTGTCCACAAATTGAGAAGTTGACAGCCGGGGTGCCCTGCATGAAGATATTGGTTGACGGCCTAGTTGATGGATGGATACCATTCGAAGACTTGATGGAAGAGCCAACAATCGCTGGGAAGGATGGACAGTGCGATGGTAACGACCCAGAGCCAGGGCCAGGGCTTTTAGGATCCTCGATATTCTTCACCAGCGGAACTACCTCTCTTCCCAAAGGCTGTTTCGTGCAAACGTCGTCATATCCTTTCACAGTTGCCACAAGTTGGCGTCAAAGTTGGCAGCCAATGTTGCCCGGTGACAGGGTTGCACTCGCACTTCCGAACAACCACGCCTTCAGCTATATGTGTCTCATGTCATCTTTCGTAAATGCAGCTACCATTGTGTTTCCGGGATCTGGCTTTGTCCCAGAGACTGTGATTCGGGTCCTCCACCAGGAACAGTGTAGTCATACTGCGTTTGTGCCAACCATGATCCTTGCATTGAGTGGTGTCTCTTTAGCCCCTGGCCAGAAGCTTAACTCCCTACGACGAGTATTATTAGCGGGAGCTCCTCCAACCGAAGAGGTCATCAGAATCTGTCTTGATCATCTTGGTGCATCAGGAGTCGAAAATCTGTACGGAATGACCGAGGGTGTCCTCGTATCCTCTAATGTGGTCGGATGTGCCAATGATATCATCAGCGGAACAGATATATCGATTGGCTCTCCGTTGCCAGGTTCGAAGGTCAGAGTTTGCGCTGAGGGAAACCGTACCCCTTTGTCTGTCGGAATGGTCGGAGAAGTGCATTTTTCCGGGCCAAGCTTGATCAAAGAATATATAGGACGAGCCGATGATGATAAATTCTATATTGGAGAGGATGGTCGACAGTGGTTCTGCACCGGAGACAAGGCGGTGCTGGGCAACGATAATCGGTTTTATCTGGTTGGCAGATATAAAGACACGATCATCCGCGGAGGTGAGAACATCGAACCATCCGCCATCGAAGCTGTATTGGGCCAATTCTCTGAATTTCATTGCCTTGAACCTCAGATCGTCCGAGTACCAGATCATGTCGCCGGCGAGCTTCCTGTTGCGATTGTGAATCAAGAAATAGATCAAGATACGGCACGTCGAGTCAGGAACACTATTTTGGAGAAGATGGGAGCGCTCTACGTCCCGGTGGACGTGATATCAGTGCAGTCTCTGGGAATAAATGTTTACCCCAAGACCCTCGCAGGCAAAATCCAAAAGCCGAAACTGGAGAAATTGATGAAGACATACTGGGAGGAGCATCGATCTCACGCTCGTGACAAACTAGACCCTTTTCGCAAATCACGGGTTACTCAAGGTTGGCCCCCCTGTCAACTTTCGTTTGCATCGAGCTGATTGGTATGAATGTTAGGATTAGCAGCTTTGATCAATGATCTCACACTCAATCCCATGCAGCGGAAGATATGGCAGGATACGGCACGCAGAGTCTCGTTCTCTGACTGGGTGGCTGCTGATGGTCCTACCAAGCAGGCTCAGTCGGCTAACGAGGCTCAACCAAACCAAGACACATACCATCCCATGAATTCAAGTGACAGCCAGAATATTGTTGAGCCAGCTCTAGGCTCACAGGTCATGGAATCATTGCTCGCAGCCATTGTGGAAGAAAAAGGAACTCAGATTAACCCAGCTACTCGAATGGTTGATTTGGGGGTGGATTCAATATTATCCATTACAATCCTCAACCAAATTAAAACGGAAACAGGCTTCTCACTCCCATCTTCCCTATTTTTCACCCAAAAGACGATTGGGGAAATCGTTGACAGTTTATGTTCGATCTCGAGCCCAGAGGAGCTTCTCGATATCACCGCCTCAGCAGAAGAAGCACCTCGCGACACATGCTTCTCAACACTTCTCCAAGGCACACCAAAGCCTGGAGTCCCCTCATTGTTCCTCACACCTCCGGGTTCAGGATATGCTTTCTCATATGACGCACTTCCCAACTTTGAAGATGATTTTGCGATATACTCCTTAGGATCTCCATTCCTCATGACCAAGGACGAGGCTTCATGGACAGTGGAAGAAGCCGCCGCTTTATACGTCAAGACCATTCGCAATCTTCAAGCGCAGGGACCATATATTCTCGGCGGGTGGTCTATGGGTGCAATCATCGCCTATGAGATAGCATATCAACTTCACCAACAGGGGGAACAGATCCTAGGGGTCATAAATCTCGACATGCCAATCCCTAAACCACATCCCGATGTTCTAGAGCCAACTGTCAAATTGCTTGAAATCTTGGGCTTCTATCCCCCAATTCGTCGCGAAGGAAAGCCCGATATGGAAATACCTTCCTATCGACGACAGCACAGTCTCTCGTCGGTTCTTGCAAAGATGAGATACTCGCCTCGACCGATCAATACGCCCGGGAATGTGACTCCAGTGCCCATATTCGTGATATGGGCGGGGCATGGTGACCCCGACCGGCTCCCAGTCGTGCTGGCTGAAGCAAATGAGCTATTGAAAAGATATGGATCCCAAACTCAGAAGAGAACTGGACAGGAGTGGTTACAAATACCACGTGAATCATTTGGCCCGGGTGATTGGGCGGAAATGGTGGGAGAGGAGAACGTCGAGTGTCATGTCATAGACCATGCAGCACATGATTCAATGATGGATCCAGAAGTGGTATGTTTTTGCCCTATTGATATCAATCCTGGATTTTTATTTACTATCGTTCTAGGTGCCATATGTGGCGGATTTGATGCAACAAGCCATCAAGGGGTGGATGGAAAAATCCATGTCTTTCGGCGAGCATTCCCGATAAAATGTATCCTTGTATATTGTCAGCGTGTCAATTTATGCAGTTCAAGGATGATCAGTAGCATAGAGGAAGTCAACGCTCAACAGTTCTAACTAATGTCACAACCTGTCTATATGTTGTCAAAACAACCAGTCTTTTTTTGAACCTGACCCATGTTCGTACTCGGCTCCTTCGAGTTAACAACAACAAGAAGAAGAAGAAGGAGAAGTTGTTGGGCTATGTAAAGAAACTTCAGCGAGCGGAATTGCGTAGCGTGATAAGTTGCTCAATCTTCATCTGCCTGTAGTGTACACCGTACTAGCCCGCTTGTTTCAGATTTCCAGCTTTCGAATCGATTCAGAATCTTGTTTATTCCGAGCGGTTCAAAATCCATTGCTCTTGTTTCTCTGCCTTTTCTAAGGCGCATTCAATCGTATCTGGATATAAGCCTTGCAGAGTGTGAAAGGGGAAATTACAGTCCACAACTCGACCCCTGCGGGATATCCGCAGTATGACGTCATCTTTGCTTACTGTTTTTTCCGCGTCTTCTCTATTTGTGCTAATATACATACCGAGGTCGTGCTCAACATGCCATTCAGACAGGCGTTTCAGGACATTATCAGCAAGGCGGACAAGGCCTGGGAGGAAATAACCCATCATGGCGCTCCCCCAGTACCATCGCACAACAAGCCTCCCCCGCCGCCTGTTCCAACATCCAGCAAACCCCCACCAGCTTATCCGGAACAGCACTACCAACCCCAGATCTACTGGCGGCCCAACCTGCATCCTCAAGCACCAGTGTCCGCCAACTTCTACCACGAACAGGGTCAGCACGGTTGGGGCAACAACGAGGCGCAGAATTATATCGACAGCCCGCAAAACTCATTCCATTCGCCCCAGGGCGACGCAGTGATCGTGCGCGCTCTGGTCAACCACGGGCACCCCGACCATGCCCAGAAATTTACCAGCGCCCGGCTATCGAGTCACCAGACCCTCGGCCGACCACGCGGCTGTCTGTCGGCCAGAATTACAGCGCCGGTCGCCCGAGGTATCTGGCCTGCTTTTTGGCTGCTGCCTAAAGACCCCTTCAAGTGGCCCGAGGATGGCGAAGTCGACATAATGGAAGCGTGGAACGGCGATGCGGTCAACCACACGTGTCTGCATTGGGGCCACTTCAATGGCGAGGACTGGAACAAGCATCGCGTTCTCGAAACCCCCATCCCCAACATCAGCTCGCCGATGGGAGTGAGGTACGATTTTATCTGGGACGAGGACGAATCAACGGGCAGGGGGCGCTTGGTTTGGTTGATCGATGGTAGACCCATCATGAGGGCTGAGAAGCCGCCTGGCACGAGGAAGATGAGTGAGTTCAGAATCCTCATCAACATCGCTGTTGGAGGAAATGTCTGCCAGGGAACTATGCCCAGCGATGGATGCTACGAGACGGTGATTCGTGAGTTGGCCATGTGGGACGCGCCGCCTGGGGGATGGAACGAGTTTGAAAGGGCTTGGAGAGATTCGCAAGATGGCAATACCATGTAATGAAAGGAAGGGAATTTCCGTTGCCAAAAGATATCAACTATACCCATATCCCCTGAGTTCTAAGAGGGGCGTCTCTGACTAGCCGAGTGAGATGAGTTGTTGCGTGCTGATAGAACGAAATCAATTGTTTAAGCAAGACTTCAGCTTGATGCATCTTGCCTTTGGTTGCTTATTCTCCCATTTTTTACCTTGTGCGAGGATCAATTCCCACCATTTCTTTTATCTCACTATATTGCGTTCAAGGCACCGTATCTACAAGCTACTACGCTCCAACGCTGCTCTTTAACAAAGTCTCGAAATTTTCTCATCTATAAATCGTATATACAATCCGAACTAATTACTATTAAATAACGTGCATCATAGGCGTCGATCCATCCTTGGTCTGATGTATGCCTTGTGAAACGCGCCTATTATGCACGACATACACAACGATCTGAGCTGCAGCGCTTGCAATTCCGACGGATACCATAGCGATCATGGTACGCAGACCGGTCGAGTAACTATATCTCGGTGTTAGAAGCTGTGGTGGAATTGACCTCGACGTATGAATTCACTTACAGTGGCTTGTCATCCGCCTGGAAGTATTGCGTTCCAACCATTAAGCCGCTAATTGCAGACATAACCCACATGCTGCAACAGAATTTGGCATTAGCGCTGGTCAAAGCCAACATATGAACATGGAAACTCACGCTATGCTGATACTTCGCTCTCTTGGGTCTCGACAGTTCACCTGAACCCAAAAATTATGTATGGGGTGGTAGCCCACAGCAAAGCTATTCACTGCGGTCCAAAGTCCCCAACGTGACCACTTGCCAACATGAGGCTGGACTGTGAGAGCTACTATCAGGGTAGTGAGGTAGCAGACTTGAGCTGCGATTACAGAAGCACCTCGTAAATTGGTTCGATCGCTCATGTAGGCGAAGAAAAACACCACGCCGAGTGATAGAAATGCGCCAACAGCGGCAAGAGCATTTGCCTCTGTCCTGTCAAATCCGAGCGACCTGTAAAAATTAGTTAGTCGGAATTTCGATAACTTTCGAAGCTGCGATTGAGCCTAGATATACTATAGTTTGCTTAGTATCCACAGAAGGGAAGTCTTACATAATAATTGAGGGTGTATAAGTGGTTAGCGGACTCCATGTCGAGAAGACGACAAATGTCGACAAAAAGTGAAGCCAACGGCGGTAGCAGCACATAGTGCGGAAGACAATCTTAAGCGGAATATGTTTGCCATAAGCACCCTCGTTGTTTCCACCATTGTCGTTCTCGAGTCGCGTTTTAAGAATGTTCTGCTCGTACTCGGAGAACTTGACAAGTCCTGGGCTTAATAGCGGTCTGGTATGGTCGGGTGATTCAGGAAGGAACAAAGAAATGACGAATGAGATAAAGATCGTGAATAATCCTTCAACTGTATGAAAGATGTGTTAGGAAATGAGATAAAGAATGTGTTTATGACAGGAACACATACGCAGAAAGAGCCATTGCCATCCTCGGATCCCGCGTTGACCGTTGAGAAGCAGAATCCCCGAAGCCAGGATGGGACTTAGCGCGTTGCCGCCAAACATTCCAAAGAAGAATATGGCAACCCGCTTGGCTAGTTCTTTTTTCGTATACCAGGACGACAGGATAAAGACTGCTCCAGGGATATAACCTGCCTCAGCGAAGCCAAGGAGTAGTCGCAATGCTAGAAATGCTCCTCGATTCTTTATGAAGACTTGCATGGTGGCAAGGAAACCAAAGAGAAAGACCTGAATCGAAATCCACTTGCGAGGGCCGACCTGTAATCGTTCTCATTAATATCAGATGTTCCAGCCAAGTGTTGATGATACGTACTCGTTGCAAGGCCATATTGCAAGGTATCTCAAATACCACAATGCCCATGAACATGAGTTGATTCCCCAGGTTTACTGTCGACTGGGAAACATTGATGTCGATGGCGAAGCCACCAGTCAACGCGCTCGCAATGTTCATGCGATCGAGTTGGAAAACAAGAAGCCCGAGAAAAAGCAGTGGCAGCACAGTAAGATCGATCCTTAGTACAAATGGATGTTAGTGTATAGTCCCATCGATAATCCGGGGGGTAAAACGGTTACTACTTTCTGCGAGCCCTTTTCTCATGGTCTGGATCCCATTCGGGCAATGAGACCGGAGAGGATGAAGTAAAGACACTGCTGCCCTTGGATTCTTTCGCCTCCAAATCCATACTCTATGACTGCCTTCTGGTAGGCTAGGAAGCAGGATATTTTCAGCAGCTATCGGTGATGACCAAATTCAAGAAATTTTCGAGCATGAATTCCACATTTTCCTCAGTTCGTATTAGGACTCCTTTTAATTAATCGCTTTAGCAACAATGGCATTATTGTCGAGATCGCGTGCTACCACAAATCCCGAGTATCTCAAATGACGGGGCCAAGTCCATCAGGAAATATGGTATCGGCGTGAGGGCTCCTATTATTGTAGCAGGATAGCAGGATAATAGAGGAGAAGGTGAATCCTCCGGGCTTGTCAGTCTTGTCGCCAGGCCGGTCCACCAGTCAAGTCCGCGATAGCGTCAAATGGCGCGATCAGGCCCACAATCGACGACAACACCAAACCCCTAAGATGAATGCTAAATCTATATCGGGATTTGCACCGGCATTTCGTTTACAGCGCCTATTTATACCTTGTATGTCAATATCGTTTGATATTGGATTGACTCATCTTTTCTAGCGTTTTTCGGTGTCATGGTTGGTATGCCGATTAAAAGGGTCGCGGTCATCGGCGCCGGGCCGGCAGGAGCCATTGCGATAGATGCGCTCGCGCAAGAAAAGGCCTTCGACATTATTCGTGTATTCGAGCGCCGCGAAGGCCCAGGGGTTGCTGGTTCGTCGACATCATTCTTGCAACGTGATTCCGAGTGACCTCTGACCGATGGTGGTATTAGGATCGGGGATTCGTCTCCTCCCCCAACGCTGGTTGACTTCGCGTCTCTGGCTAAGAGAACGGCGGATACTCCTGTTCCTCTTCCTCACAGTTTGCCTGCGCAGACTCCAAAGTCGGACCAGCCTCGATTTGCAGAGTCGTCCGTTTATCCATATTTGGAAACAAATATCGATTCCCTGCCTATGCAGTTTTCTCGGGAGCCTTTCCCGGAGGAACGCAGTGAATCTTCCATATCACACCATGGACCCCAGACCCCATTTCGCAGGTGGGATGTAGTCCGCAAATATGTTAGGGATCTTGTGGAGCGTCGGGGGTACAATGACTGCATTTCATACAACACCACAGTCGAGCGGGTTGAGAAGGTGGGAACGGAGTGGAAAGTCACACTTCGCAAAGATGGGGAGAAGAGCGACTATTGGTGGGTTGAGTGGTTCGATGCGGTCGTTGTGGCGAGTGGGCACTTCTGGGTACCATACATACCCCCAATAGAAGGCCTGGAGAGCTTTGAGAAGGCGAGACCGGGCAGTGTACTTCACAGCAAACATTTCCGAGGGAGAGAGGCATTTACTGGCAAGGTAAGCTACACCAGTTCCCCTGTTGGAAGTGAGGTGACATCCAGTTCAGTATGTTGACGTGATTCCTTTAGCGAGTTGTGGTTGTAGGCGCGTCTGTCTCAGCGGCTGACATTGCATTCGATCTTACGGAAACTGCAGAGCGACCGGTTCATGCAATTACAATTGGACATGCAGCGAACGGTTACTTCGGCGATGAGGCATTCAAACATCCAAGTATACAAAACCACCCATCAATAGAACGGGTCTCTGGCAGAACTGTGCATTTGGTGAACGGAGGTTGTATCACGGATGTTGACTACATAATTTTCGGGACAGGCTACAGCTGGACGCTACCATTCTTACCGGCAGTTCCAGTACGCAATAACCGAGTGCCCGAGCTGTATCAACACGTTGTGTGGCAAAAGGACCCAACTCTGCTGTTTGTCGGCGCTGTCGCTGCTGGACTGACGTTCAAGGTGTTTGAATGGCAGTCTGTGTTAGCCGCGCGACTGCTTGCTGGCCGAGCTACTCTGCCACCACTGGAAGAAATGCAGAAATGGGAAACAGAACGTGTAAAGGCTCGGGGTGACGGCGTGAAGTTCACGCTGATCCATCCAGACTTCGAAGACTATTTTGAGACAGTGAGAAGACTGGCCGGTGAGGGAGAAGAGAACAAGGGACGAAAATTGCCCAAGTTCCGCCGCGAGTGGGTGAGAGCATTTTTGGATGGCCATGAACGCCGCAAATCGATGTGGAAAAGGCTGAATGCGAAAGCCCGGGCTGTGTCTCAAACAACCAACAAAGAATTAGCTCGGCTCTGACACAAGCTGAAGCAATGTACATCTCAATATTCGAATAATGTGACGAGAACTCTTGGAATATTTCTCGTATATTGATCCTGATACCATCGAAGATTAGAACGCCTGTGGTAAGAGCCATAGTGACTTAAATCCCGACCGTTTGAAATGACCTAGGTACTCATTCGACACCTTCACCATGTTCGTTATCTTGGAAAGAGAATCTAAAAGTGCCCAGGTGGATTGGAAGGTTCACTAACAGAATACTTTAAACATCCCTCTATGGATAAATGACCTCGGGATGGTTCTAAAGCAAAGTAATTGTTCAGGCCTACAGATGTGGGACTTGGGAGGGGCAGAGGTGTGTTGGAAAGGAGACGGAACTCCCGAACAAGACGACGGGTTGTCAGCGCAGTATAAGCCTAGGCTATAACAGGAACCTTGGTTTTTGTTGTGGCCTGGGAATTTGCTGCGTTTTTCACACTGATAACACTGATAGGCACCGACCACTGTCTCAGCAGTAATATACATAATGGCTCCACTCTCTCAATCGCATTTTCAAAGGCCTGGGACGGGGATTGCCCCCGAGTGACCATACTCTAGAGCCTCGCCGTTTCTTCTTGTCATGGACATATATAGGGTCCAAGCGCCTGGGCTTACATTGATTATTAGAGCGGGCTACGCTCATATGCTGTAATCCGCCAGCCAGCTGGCATCTATATTCAGTTCTATGGTGCCTATGAAAGCTGAAATGGGTGTCTCTCTAAGTACTCCTCAAAGCTTGATAGCTTACCCCGAGCGACGGCAGCTGCCTCAGCAACCAATGTCTCCGTACTAGGACCAAAGTACCCGAACTCTTCCATGAAGCTGAATCCGTCCGCAAAAACATCTTGGAAGAAAGGCAAGCTTGCCTTGAATTCATCGGTGGAGATCTGTCGGTAGACAATGGTCTTTCCGGAACTCTTCGACAGAAGCGCCGTGATCTCCTCATTGGTATACAATCTCGTGGCAGCGTGAAGTACCTTGCCATCGAACTTCTCGGGGTCGGCAAGAATCGCGCCCGCAAACTTGCCAGTGTCACCGACAGCGTCAAGCATGGGGAACTGTTGCTGGGGAGATGTGTGGCGAGAAAGCACATAGGTCCCGTCGGCAATCTGCTTGGGGGCCATGGCTGGCTGCTGTGAGAGATTCTCCATGAAAGAGCCTAGCGAAAGGAAAGCACTCTTGATCGGAAGAGTGCGAATGTAATCTTCAGCGGCGGCCTTGGCATCGAATGGAACAACGGAGGCGTATTTGCCCTTGGAGATATCGCGAACTGCAGGTAGGGTGCTCCAGATAATATAGTTCACATTTTGTTGGACAGCGACATCGGCGATTCGCTTCGCGTTACCGAGCTCGACATCGAACGCATCAGCACCAAGGCTCGGGGTGGTCATGGCGTAAACAGTATGGACACCAGCTAAGGCTTTCGCCAGAGAATCTGAGCTTGTCACGTCGCCTTCCACAACCTCGATGTTCTTGTGCTTTAACTGTTGGGCCTTCTCGGAGTTGATATCGCGGGTAATAGCACGGATTTTGTACTGTTGCGACAGCTCTGGGTCGTTCACCACGTGGTTCAGGACCGAGCTGCCCTGTTGGCCAGTGGCCCCAAAAATGGCAAGAATTTTAGACATCACGGGATGCTATAGTGAAGTGAGACTGAGATATAACAGTTGTGGGCGAAGCCGAGATTAGAAGTTTCGATACAAATGCTCAAAAAGCAGGTCTTGCTGATCTTAAATAGACAAAAGGAATCGCTCAATTCAATCCTCTGCGAATACCGAAGAGCGAGGCTGACAAATGACTAGCAAGGATTAGAAAAGGCCCCTGGACGCCAATTACGAATCACACGATATTTTGAAATCATCAGCGGGGTATGTCGATATACAGCTGCAGATAGAGGCGGGAATTCTCGTCGACAAATAAGGAATAGGGGTTATATCGCGATTCGCGACAGTCCACTCGCACCAATCCTTCGTGGAAGCAATTGCAAGGATATATGTGCCCCCTTGTCTCAGATGTTTACTCCGTGTCGGGCTGACGCTCGGATTTACCCTGGACGTCACTATCTCCGAGATACTCAAAATGTCATTCTAAGTCTGTGGGAGAAAGTCCAGGATACATCCGAATCCTCGCTCATCATGGCCCCCGATAGTCCGTCCCTTATCACAGAGTATATGCGGCTCTATTGGTCCTATTTATGGACGCAGATACCACCAAATTTGCTTGTCTAGCAGGGACGCGGAATTTAGGCGTAAGGTTGTTGGATTCTCAAATGATGACAATGGACATTGCCCAAGATGAAGGCGCTAAGGACAAAGAGATAGTAAAACCACTTGTCAACGGCACTTAATGCCCTTTCCCCCTGCTTTTACGTGGAACGGAATTTGTATGATGAATTGACTTTTAGGGCCCTTTCAAAGTCTCCTGATAATTCGAAGACGATGACACGCATCCAGCCTTGTGTTCAGGTTGTATTAACTCTCAGGTCGCAATATGTCCATTTTGAGAACTTGCCGCATTTTGGATTCACTTCAAGTCGAGAAGAAGAGCAAAGACTAATTCAAGTTAAGGATCTTGCCACAAATCTAGCTTGAGTGTCGGATGAGCAGACTGTGGCACTGATATGTCACTTTTTACACTGGACGCTCACAGCTGATACTGGTATCTATCGCAAAGTGATTATTGAGGCTATAACCGCTCTTCGCTGCAATTGGACCCAGGGATCCACCAAGGATAACGATATGCCCCGGTCAATGAAAACTATCAAAAGTAATTGAGGCGCTTTGGGGATCTCAAACCCGAGGAACACCCCGACTCCCACTGTGGGGCTCCAGGTATGAATCCACTAGAAGTTGTCGCTCAATGAGATGGAATTAAATTCGTGAAACAATGCCCCTCGAAGAATATCTGTAGCCTTTATGGCAGTTCGGTTGTATGCGTCGTGTTCTAGAGGGATAGGGACCGCGAGAGACGGAGAGGAGCAGAGCTCCGGATGCTATTTCTAGAAGGTATTCGCCTTGGACAATGCAATTTGCAGGATCTTGGCAGGACTGATGTAACAGGAGATATTGAGCACTAAGCAAGCCATCGAGACTCGCCTCCCTAATAGCAGGTGTTGAGATAGGGTCTCGTGATGGATCCCGTGATGGTCAGGCATCACCCCATCAGATAGATAGATAGTCGGGAGCTCGTCTCCTTCGGAATACAACTCTCTCCCTCCCTTCTCTCTGAGCCCCACACTGTAGTCCTTAAGAGCAGGCTAATAGCGGGATAGTCTAGTGGAAACTCTGACTGAATGTGTGATTGCTGGTGACGGAATTTGTTCTCCAAGAGCTCGGTTACATCAGTGGTTGGTGATATATACATGCCACCTAGATTATGTAAAGCCTTACTCGGTCTTTGGCCTTCCATGATTGACTTTTGAGCTGAATCTAAATCGCGAGACTGTGTAGTGATAATGGCACATTTCCATCTGGCGTTCTTCGTGAGACTACATGTCCAGGTGTACACTACGAGGGTCCTGCTCGAGCCCAACGCCATTCATCATTTATAAAATCTAGATTGATAAAGTCTAGCTCACTACTGAGAGAGGGATTGCAATAACTAGTAAGAAGGAATGAAAGAGACGGTATCTAAGAGGGAGGACCATTCGTATGAATCAGAAGCTCTTGTAGCGTGCCCGACTTAGTCTTTGAAAGTAAATGAGTGAATGATGCGTCCGCTAGTTTCAACAACGCATAATACCCGAATAGTTATAGTTTCCACGTTTCATATGTAATTGGGGGCAGCCTCCGTGCAGTTGAAATAAAGGGGCGTGCCCAGCGCCCAGCCCTCAGCCCCGTCGCTTGGAGAAAGCCACTGCCGCTCGTACTGTACCTACATGTCGGTACGTCTAAAGGCTGAAATGAAGGTTGTGTCAATGGAGTGAGCTCTCACGATCATCACCATACACCCGGTTATAATTATAAACCATATTGCGTGTAATATGCACCAGATGAACGACGGAGCGACAAGCCAAACGAAGGACATCCGTTTGGATAACAGTTAAATACGCTCTATTCACTACTCCGTACTCAATCAAACAAAAGAAAAGGAAAGATTGAACCAACTTCCATTTTCTCTGGCAGTCATATTCAGCACGCTGATTATGGGTTTCCTCCGACTCACGTTCCCATACATAACGAGTGTTCCGTACTAAGAGGGCCATTGAACAATGAACAACCCTTGAAGTAATCTAAGATTTAGGCATAATCCAGGCTATGAACATGTGGGCATATCCTTAGAAACGAGCTGAATGCTCAAGGCGCGTAAATGTACTGCGTAATGAGTTTGGAACATTTCTCAGATATAGCGGTCAGTGCTAAGCCTGTCTCAGTCCTTTGAAGCCTTGTGAGCTGGAAGTCATCTGTGCCTGATACCCACAATTACGAGATGCACCTGTAGCATTGCCACTGAGCCGAACTTAAATTACTGCGCCAAGCTTCATCGAGGTACTTCCATGTCCACGAGTGTTATGTACACCATTGACTTTGCGCAGTTCTACATTTTGGAGATAACGGCAACCAAGGATTTCTAGGAATCCCACTCACCAGGTTCTAGCTCATCTGTTATCTAAATAATCCTCTTGTCCGATATTGGAGCTTCCAATCTCGTCCGGAGTACAATGATTCAGACTATATATAGAGTCGAGGTCGATCTTCGGCTTATATGATCAGGCGTCCAACAGTGGAGTGATCGGCACGCCACGCGATCTGTTGGCTCTAATACCAGCCAATTATATACATATATTTCAGGCTCTTGTCGATCACTACCCCAGAATTACGAATAGACTGTGAGCTTTGATATGTTTGCGCTCTGGAGTGAAGTGTTCAGGTTACCTATGGTTACCTATACTTAGTAGTCGTGTACGGAGTAAGTAATCAGTCATCTAAGCAGAACTAAGACAGTTGTCCGTAATAAGAATTGATCGAGTGAGCTGGGCCAGACCGAAACATTATTTGGTCACCGTAGCTGACAGGAATCTATTTATACAGCAACAGGTGTTGCCTCGGATACATACTCCAAAGGATATACGGCAGGATATATAAAGGTCTTGAGCACTCCCTCTCTTTTGCTATATCATCACAACATCTACAATCCACACACTCGAAAAGAGCCAAATACAAACAATCACTCAAAATGAAGACTTCTTTTGCTACCATTGTCCTCTCCCTCGCCGGTGCTGCCTTCGCCGCTCCCGCCGCTGGGTCTGGACCCTACCCCTACAGCGTGGACAGCCTTACCGTCAAGCATACCACTGAGGACAAAACCTGGCATATGGTGCTTGGACTTACATACCGTGATGACTCGGCCCAGGCAATTGAAAGCACCACCTGTTATGCCTCTTGGTGAGTACTTGAACTAATCTATCACGAAGCCTACAATCGGAGACTAATCCACCGAATTAGGGTTGATGGCGCCGATCCTTCCGGACCTACCAGCCCCAAGGCTTGTGCAGACCCAGCATTCACCTTCTGGTTCCCCAATGGCGTTGGCAACCTGGATAACTACGACGTTCTCGCCAATGGTCCCGAGGGCACAGCTGGGGGTAACATCGCATCTGGTCCCAAGTACCAGTGTGGCCCTTACGAAGGCCACCTTGACAATGTCGACAAAGAATGCAAGATCACTAATGGTGGACAATTCTACCTCAAGAAGCAGTGATCGTGTTAGAATTGTATCGGAGAGATATTTGGTTTTTGTCGATTATGTCGCTCTTTAATGTGGTGCTTGGGTGACCTTCCAGCGTTGTTCATGGTACATTAAGGTTCACTTTTGATCTCGTTTTAATATCATGCTGCCTTTACCTACATATCTCAGAATGAATCCGTCCTCTGTTCTAGGTTGCATATATCTCTCCTTTTGGCAAAGTTGAAAAATATCCATGGATGGATGAACTAAGCACTGGCACTGCTATGACAGAGACATTAATATGCAAGGTACCAATGGGATATAAATTGGAAATAATACAAGCTACAGACTGCACACTAAGGCCTCCAAAATTGAGGGTTGATCCTCTATCGCGTGACTGTACCAGATCCTGAAGATGAGCACGACTTGAAAGGTTACACCCTTCGCCGGACGATGAGCCGGTCCGTGCTCGGATAGTACCTGGGTAAAAGGTTCTACAGAACGATGGTCATTCGGGAGTAGGTGTGAAAATGGTTTCCAATATGGAAGTGGTACAGGGCAAAGGGTGATTCGATATCCACACATCAATATATAGTCAGATCGGCCGTGAAAAGTTATAATGCTGTGTTGTATGAGCCTTATCCTCCGTTGACTTTCCTGTCACCACATGCATCTCTATATCTGTCTTTACTATGATCCCATTCTGATCTGAATCGGGATTGCTGACAGGAATGATGGCATCCTGACTACCTAGCGTCGTATCGCGCAGTCCCTGACGTCGATTTCTCCTCGGGGGACCCCGTCGCTGCAGATAGCTCGCTCTGGCCGACTGCATGGTGGTTGGGTAGCGGGCAGTGGTGGATCCAAATATAGCCGGGATGTAGGTTTTGATCAGGACGAAGAGAGAGGGAGCGCTACCGCAGAATATTGCTGTAGATAAACAATTAGAGATGGGATTCCATGGGGATGGAAGGTATATACCGATGTAAGCCTCGATCGTGCACCAGTTGGAGGAATCAGCCAAGAGGATGTAGTAATCTTCTTTGGCGGAGGCGAGCTTCGTGACAAAGTCATAGCGAACGCAGGCCGCTAAATGTAAAAGTTCCATCAGTGAGGACTCAATCACTGGATGAATTGAAGATAATACGCACCAGCAATAGGCAAAATACCAAGTCCAAAGATCCCTAGAACACTCCCCTTCTTGCGCCAAGTCAACTGTAGACTATAGATCATTGGAACTGGGAGTAAATATGTCAATATATCTGTCACAATACTCAATATGCCATTCACCACAAAGAAAGGTTGTTGTGTTGACATGGGCATACATCCACTCGACGTTGGGTCTGTCCAAAACAAGGATGGAGGGTTGCACGTCGCCAGTACGCTAATGAGGCTCACAAGGGAAACCAAGATATTAAAACCCATGACAAAGAAGACAGCCCAGCGCATGTATTTGCGGGGATCGAGGCGGAGATAGAACCATAGCAGGGACATCTTAATCAGTCCCATAGCAAGGGGGAATAGGAGGCGCCCAATCCAAACACACTGGTAATCGTCAGGGTTACCGTATTGAATGGGAATAGAATGCATACTTTTAGCAAAGCCACCATGTCACTTTGCAGTATCGCAAGCTCGTGCTTTCCGAGTCCGTAGTTGGATCCAACCATGATACTTGTTGACAATCCGATAGTGAGTATCTGATCGAATGCCAGTGATTAGATGTTGTTCGCCGTATGATTGAAAAGCCCTTACTGTGCCAGTTATCATGAGAACTAAATATCTCCTTAGTTTTGGTCTCGAATTTGGTCCCATCGACTTACTGTCATCCGCCCCCAGCGCTTTCAGCATAAAAGCGCGTGCGTAGATGCGCAACGCGATGATAATCGAGTCGAACACGATGAAGCCGATTCCCACGCCAAAGATGGCCGCATGTCGATTCTCGGAAATATTGCCTTGGGACGCCGTATCCTGAGCAACTTCCATCCTCAATGCGTCGTGGAGTGTCAAGAGCCAGGTGCGGCCAGGGGGAGGCTACGAGGCTAAGTATTTCACTATACGGAGTACGGAGAGCTGTGTAAAGCTATTTGTCAAACTTCGGGGGCAAAATGCCTCGGATACGGAAGAAGTTAATCTACATCCTTGTCGATTCTTCGGGGAATCGATTTAACTAGCAGCGAACAATGGACAACCGGTGTTTGCATGCAGGGTTAGTTGACAGAAAAGCCCCGTTCAGGGTCTAACAACTTGGGAACAAAAGGATTATATGCAGTCAATGATTGTTTCTGTGACGACGAACGGTGGGCTCGTGGTGGAATACCCCACAGAATCCGCTCCGTCGGTTAGCACTTGCGCGGACCTCGGTCGATGGATCTACCCGGGGCCCACAAATGGCGTCCAGACTATATATCGATCAGCCAGCGCCGAGACTTTTGATGCAGCCGTCGCTCTTGTCGGGAGCTTTGTTTTCGAACCATGGCATGATACTCGTAAGAGACCCATCTTGAAACACGGACTGGGAATACCCATGATTCATTAGCCTCTTGGCGGGCCTAGATGGGCGAGGGCCGAACCAACTATCGACACTAACAGCAGAATTTGCATGAGGGGAGATTGCTTTCCCCCGTGTGGGTATTTCTCGAGGAGCCAATTGACTGGCCAGTGACACTGCTAGTGATGAGACATAGTATGCGAGGTTGCCGCTTGAAAATTTTGCCCCTCCGGTCGACTGAGCATGAGTGGTAGATTGAGAAGCAGCTTGTGTTCCCACACGCATTGATATTCTCTCGAAGAGAAACACACCACTGTCGCAATTGCTGAGTCAGAGAATGTTTCTTTAGTATCCGGGGGCCAGTGGTATCCTCGGCTGAGCCTGCACCAAATGCGCTTGTCATACCCCACGTCCACCACCTTTGACAGAGTAATTGGCTTGACGAATAGACCACTGCCTCCAAAAGAAACTGGCATATCCCAAGACCATCGACTAGAGTTGCATTGCGGCGTAAATTTGCTGAGGGACCTCGGTAAGGTGCTTGCGTAGTTGCAAGAAAAGGTTCCTGACCTGGAAGATGTCACCCAAGTGTATTATCTTGGTAGGTAAAGAGATACCCGCGGACTCACAGATGAGAATCTTCTCACTATACTAGCCTACTTCGATACAACTGCATACTCTGCGGATGTGATGGCTATCCGGAATATCAATGAAGGAATGACTTATAACGCCGTGCACGCTCTCCAACGGCTTTGCAAGCATATGAGGTTCCTTTTCCTTCAAACTGGGTCAAATGCTTGTATCAATCGAGTATCGACGAATGGCTGTAACCTTTTTGTCACAGATTTATGGCGTTGCTGTGTTTCGCTTCCAAGAGGACATCGAGATCAATCCTACTTTGCGCGAGGACAACCGGCGCATTGCTTCGCGCTGGGGTGACGAGATCTTCTAATATGCACACGTCGACCTAATCAAATCAGCCAATAAGGAAAAAAAAAGGGCAATGGTGCGAAGTTCGACCAGATCAGATTATTGATGCATCTCACCATTTCCTGAGTTTGACTATGTTGACCCTCGTGGTCAGGTCACGTTCCCATTCCCACAAGCATGACCTACGTCGAGCTCATGGCGCTCTATTTGATGTTGTATCACTACACAATTGGTGCCGGTGCCACCGCTGTCTTCCCGGTACCTTACACAAACTATGTCCACACGTACACGCCATCCTCGCAAGATATCATCGCCCGCTCGGAGATCTACCCGTCTATTGAAAAGCCGCATCAAGCACACGGAGAGGCATTCGACACGGCCGATAACGCCACCCCGGGACTCTGGACCCTAGTATGGCCAAAGATGCCAGTCCGGAGGACAAGGGCCGGAACCACATCGAGACTCGGTTCGCAGACCAGGACGGCTACAAGAGGATGTGCGAAGAGTACAGTCTGTGTCCTCGCGAGACTTCCGAGGCGACTCGGATCTTCCTTCCAGCAGACTTCACCCTTCTCGGTTGCAACAGCGAGTTTAGCTTGGATAAATTCGGAGTGTTGGTTTCACGGAGTGTGGAGTACCCAGTGGCGTATGGGCATTTCCAGGTGTTTGATCATCTAACTCAGGAGACGACCTTTCCTAATAAGGAAGATTGGACCAAACGTAACACGAAGGATGGCCAGGGCATCATGCCCTGATGGGGAACAAGTTCAATACACATGGAGCCTTGCTCGTGAGTATCTCTACAGACAGCGATTGGAGATTCGCATAATAACGCCCGTCACCTACATCCCTTACTACTCAGAAGTAGAAGAGCAATCTAAAACGTCGGCATTATACGCTCAAGCCATATTGTATTAGCTCTCTTGCCTTCTGCCATAACCAATCACTTATCGTCACCAACGGTCAACCCGAGGAACAAACCCCTGACTGATCGTCCAGGATACACTTCCATGATGTCTCAGCTTGTGTGGTGTAACCAGGAGCCTGGAAGACATGACCCGATGAGCAAACACCGAGCAATAGTCTGTTGCTCACAACTGGAGATCTCGCCACATGGCAGGCAGCCACTGGATACGTTGTCCAGCCCCGGAAATGATTGACCGGCAAAGGGAACCGCCCCTGACTCATATATTCCCAACCATTTGAATGCGACCTCAAACCCAAAGGATCAGGTTGGTTCACCCGATTATTCGGCAAGGCTCCGTGAAGAGGAGTTAGCGGCACAGGCTAGAGGTTACATGGGGTAGTGATCATCCGTCTTGAAATCCATTCCAACACACACTTGAACAGAGGTTTAGTCTTTTTGGGTTTATGTCTCATTGAACCCTTTTCATGGATATTCATCATTACTCGGGTAGGAGTCCTAGCCGAGGATCTTTGTGTTTCCGTTGATCGTCATAATCACTATCCTCGTTCTCCTTCTCGCCAGGGTGGGGGGTGAACGCATTGCCCTCACCATTCGTCAGTGCCGTGGGATACTACAGCAAGACAGGCACGACATAGTAGCAGACACCATATCGCAATAGACACGACGCGAGGCTAGGCAGGTACAAGGTCATGGCGGGCGTTCCGAGACGATCACCGTTGAGTTTGAGAGTGGAGCTATTACCTGGTACGGAGTACGGTGTTGTCGTTACTGGCACTGCCGCGAAGCCCGAGACATCCGTCTTGTCAACACAAATAAACCATCACCGGAATTCTCAAACCCCAAGCCAGAACCTGCACTACCTAAACCAGAATGGCTTCCTAATAACCGAAACGGCACGCCGACTGCCTTTGGCTCTTTTTCACATGAAGCATCACTGGACAGGAAAGATCGGATCGTAGGGGAATTCAAATATGCACGTCATAATTTTCACGATTTGGAAGTCGTTAGCTGCGTATCTATCTGCTGTCAATGATGCCGTTGAGGGCTCTTGAAAAAACGTGATTATTTTGGTCTTGGAGAGTTAGTGGGGAGATTCTAAATTTCCCGTACGTGAGGACCGATATCTATTCTCTGCGGTGATTAGAACGACACTCCACAAAAAAAGAATGTCACTGTTTCATTCGGAAGGTTGAATTTTAGTGGGTTTCTTCGTTCTCGATCTATCGCCTGTTTCATCTCTTTCGTTGCAGTCTAGGGTGGATAGATGGCGGGTCGTTTCCATTTGCGTCGCGGGCCTCCAGATGCGTTGTCAATTGCAACCGGCCTATGACAGGGCTGGATCTATTTTGACTGGTATATTGCGCCGCCTCAATCCAGGCAGACTCATTATCCCAGGCAACCGTGTTGTTTGGCCCCTGAATGTCGTGCCTTGGCAGCCCCGCAGGCCAAACGATGGCTTAATAATAGAACATCCCCCAAGGTTATCTTTGGCCAAAACCCTCAGATTGACTGCTTATGCTTCAATGCTAAGAAAACATCAAAGTGAAAATGTGTCAAAAAATGTGTTCCAATAAACACCCGCTCGCGAGAGCTCGCAGGACACAGGTCATTTTCTCCGTCCTTTCATGGCCATGTGCGCTCGCTGCCCTCTTGAGGACTTATGGTAGCGCTCAAGGTTGGATGCAGCTCATTGCAGTGAGTTTTCCTCTACCGCATAAAATACAGGACCGTCTAATGATTGGAAGATCTCAATTTCCACCCTTACGCCGATCTTCATTCTCGTCAGATATCGCAAATCCGGAAGTCAATTCTATCCGCTGCTCGTAATAGCCATTGATGCTTTGATGGCTTTACTCTTCATCGGGGTGTTCATTTCCGGAATGTTCATCCTTAGTACCCAGGATATTAGCCTATGGGTGAATCCCGACAACTTCAAGCTGGCCAGTGGCATTCCGCAGATCTACTCCAACCTCTCATGTCTCATCCTCAGGTAAGTTGGCTCGCCGAACGGATGTATCCCGGTCTTTGAAACATACTGATCATCCTAGTCTGGTGTATCTGCGCACATTTGTGCAAGCATCCTTCAACCGATACATGCAGTTGACCCTCAAGACTCGCCAGGTTAACTACACGCTTTGCCCGGCGTGTGACCGATCTGTGGATGCTCCTGTGGGCCAGCGTCAGGATATGGCCATGGCTGCGGAACAGCAAAGAGCATCTGGCTCTGTTGATAGTCTCTGTGGATTGTACACTGGCGATGCTGAATCGCAGCAGTTGCTACCTGAGAGCGTTTAGGGCGTCCACGGTCAGCAGACTACTGGCGTCATGGCCAATAACTGAAGCCTTAAGATGCCAAGAATGACGGGAAGATCGGATACGGTGACAAAGGCCGATCTGCACGACATTCTCGATTGCCGGGGAGTTGAAGGATCTAGTCTTTTGACTTTGACTTTGAACGATTCGAAGGATTGAATCGGGGGATGGTTTCAAATAGCAGAGATTGAAAGGAGATACTGTGATGCTTGTTGATATGCCTGAACCTTGACAGGATTGCGATTGTTATGTGGTAGTACTTGGTTCTTTGTCGAGTGGGTCAGCGCTGTACACCCTTGCATGCCGGCAAATGTTCCAAGGTCAGTACTGTCGCTGACAATAGGTCATTTGAAATCCACCGTTCCTTATGTACCTTTTATAAACGCCGGCCGGCTGATTTTGAGAGCCATTCCACATTATTAAAAAGTCCATATTCCACCAAGAGATAGGGAGAAACTCTGCAGAATATATGACAAGATGGCGAAAATACCCACAATAAGATGAGTTCTCTCATTGCAGTTGATTAGACACAGAACCAGCAGAGAAGACGCAGACTGCCAGTTTATGCCCACTAGATCCATCTCAAGGTTGACTTCAGCAACTCTGTAGGGCGATACTGAGGCTAGAGCCAGAAGTGAGATGTAAATCGTTGGAACTGACAAAGATGGGGTAGACAGGCCAAAAAACACTCATAATGCGAGCTAGCTGCCGGTCCGTGAGTAATAAGCAACAGGTCTCTATCAAGTGGAACTAAATCTTGACTGTTGAGTCACTTCTCTCTCGTGGGTCATCTCCGAGCAATGTTTCCGAGTCACCAACTGGACTTGATCCCTCGCATTCGAGTGGTTTTGGCTTGAAGATCCGGAACGAAGCCCTCTTGCGATATTCACGTTGGAAGTCATAACTAGATCCGTTTCTCAAAAGCCCCCACACGGAAGCAAAGTAAATACGATGCTGGTAGACATAGTCTTGGCATATCTTCGTTGGCCATATCAAGAAATCCAAATCGTCTTTCCAGCTCATTTCTTTCCTTCGCTGTCAGCTCAAACCCTCCAGCGCTGCAACAATACCCACATTCCACGGTGCAATGTCCGATTCCACGCTGATCTGCAGAGCTCGTTTCGCGCTCATAGCTCACGCAGCATCAACAACTACGGCTGCTGCAGCCGCCTTGATTCACGCAGTCTCCAACAAGCACAGGATGCATGTACCATGTCGGATCGGACTTCCACTGCCCAAATGCCCGTTCTAGAACAGAAGGGCTTTCTGTAATCTAGCTCCGCAAATAGTGCCATTCGCACTCTAAAAGCCACGCGTTGCGATTCAACTCCTTCAGTCTTCGTGTCTGGGATGGGGTCATAGGCTCCTTCTTCAAAGCGATCTATTTTTGGCAGATTCTTCTGTGCGCAAGAACGCGACTAAGACCATGATTTCAGGTGCCTCATTGCCTTAGTCCTCCCATTAGTTCAATCGAAATCGTTGGAGGGCGTCGGAGTCTTGAGTCTTCTCCAGGGCAGCTTCTCGGGCGCGCAGTCCTCGCGGAGTCCAGGAGACCGCGAGGACGAATCTACACTTCGGATTTGTACACTCGGGATGCACCACCATGAGTTGTTGTCAAAGGTGGCTCTGGGACGCTATATAGCGTATCAGAATCTATTTAAAATGAGTTGCATCCTTTATATAAATTCGTAATCATGATCATCATCATATGATTATCTGACCCGGGCTATCACATCAATCACCACTAACAGCATCCACCCCTTTCAACTGCAGACGTTCGACAGAAGCACGAGACGTTAACTGGAATGTCTGCAGATGCCAAAGCAATGTCGCGTGCAGGTTCAATGAAAGCCGCTTCGGCAGTCTTGCCAAGGCGAGAAAAACATTCATATAAGCCATGCAAGCCCCATACATTGTTGAGTTTTGCCCTGCGCCGAGGATAGTCTGGAGCGAAGCCCAGATCTTGTTTAAACAGCACTTCTGCCTCTTCGATGCGATTTTGCTCCAGCAATAGGCCACCGAGAGCATGACGGACTGGCTGCATCCAGGGGGGCGGATCAGAGTACGCAAGTCCATCCTCGAGCACAATGGCTTCCCTCAGGAAGGAAAAGCCTTCCTCGATGTTCCCTTTTCGGTACTCCAATTCTCCAGCAAGCATCGCTGATGCCACCCTGAGGACGTCTTCCTCCTTGCATGGAATGCTGTTGAACCGCGTACTAGGGACTGCCTTGCGCGCGGTTTCAAATTCTTTCTGGGCATTTTCGGCTTCTGCGATCCGCCCAAGTGCGCTAAATGCAAGTCCACGGGTATAATAAATGATAGCTGTGGTCGCACAATATGTATCACGGTCTGTGGGAAATTCGAGGTCAAGAATCTGCTCCCAGCGACCGAAGCGCACCAAAACATGTGCCTTGCTCCCCACAAAGCTCTCGATGAAGTCTGCCATGGGGGGACTCTTGATCGCCAGCACATGAGGATAGATGATCTGTTCGAGCTTTTCTGCCGCAGAGATTGCATCTGAAAAGCGCCCGCACATCATAGCAGAATACAATTTCGCACGGATATAATGCGCCCGGTAAGCTGTGTACATAACAGTGCCCGGCTCTTTGGCAAAATAAATGTCATCTGCCAGCATCGCTTGATGGTTCGACTCGATACCACGGCGGTAGTCGCCTACCGCCGCATCGATGTGCGTCGGCATATGCAACATGTGCGAAGCATGCGGGACGATCCCACGCAGTCGATCAGCAGCCTGCAGGGCTAATTCCGGGAATGGTGACATCTCCAGCATATGGATATACAGATGACAGAGTGCTGGATGATTACGACCCGAGGACTGCTTCAGCCCCAGCTCGATGACATCGCGAGCCTCAACTGTGTGATTCCCTGTGGGTTTGCCAGTATCCAAGTCCCATAGTCCACGTGGGGTGATACACATCAGCGCCTCAGCAAAGAGGGCCGCAACGTCTATATCATCACTAAACTCCTGATACACAGGGCGCATGGCATCTGCGTATGCGCGATCAAAAGGACTTAGGTCGTCGGGTATGTCATTGACTGATGGAAAGCGGGCACCAATAGCCTTGATCAATGCCTGTTCAACCGGAGTGGCATGGCTAGCCAGCGCGGATGCTCGTTCTAGAACTTCATTGACCTTCTCGATAGAAGCCCGGCGATCCTTTGGATCAAAAAACTTCCAGGCCTTGTTGTAATTCGGCCCGGATGCGTAGGCGATTCCCCACAATGCCATCACGCAATTGGGATCACTTGCCGCTGCTTGTTGGAAGCACCGTTCTGCTTCGTCATGATTAAAAGAATAGGCCCATATCAATCCGCGATCGAACCACAGTTGGGCCTCCGCCGAAGAGGTTGTTACCGCTCGATGATACGAGCCAAGATCGTAATAAGCCTCTGGGGCAATGGAAGCATCAGCTTTGGACTGGTCCCTAATTGAGGTATCAGAGGAGAATTTCAAAGAAAAACATCATTCAAATACTTACTGCATACTGAGGAACAAGGCTTTTAGTACTGATTTCGGATCTGTCTGACTGATCACCCCGTGCTTCCAGGGTTCCCTGTTCCGTTTAAATAGAGAAAACAAATAGAATGCTGATTTCTATCAATCCAATTTTGGTAATGCACGAACTGAAGTGGCCCAATCAAGAATGATCTAGACTGAACTGAAGCTGAGAAAGCATTGACAGTATTCGATGGTGTGACAAAATAGAGAGAGATAGAAGGAAGAAAGATCAGTGAGGGGCTTACGTGCTAATAAGTACTTGGTCTCGTATCTATACAGGGTCATGTGATACATAACCTCCATTTGCTTTTTTTCGTATCAACTTTCCGTCGACGGTTGCTTTTCCAAATCGTTCCCAAGGGACTACCTACGCAGATGTGCTTGAGAGCTGGAGTACTATTTGGAGTTAGTAAACTCAGGCTTTATTCCTCACTCTATCGTGGCCCCGTATGTCCTATCCGGCACCTTTGAACACATATAATGTTGATTACCTTGCCACCTGGGGACCTAGCCAACCTTGGAATTTATATTAAAGCATCAATCCTGATTACGATGAGGGGAGGAAGAGAGGTTGCCAGTTCCCATGTACATAATATCTCCCAGGCTGTCCACGTCCTGTGATTATGTGTAATCGGTTATGGATTGATTACAAATATATGGCACCAGATCTAGCTCCGCCTCAGCACTCCGTCGTAAGTTCGAAACCAGTCCTGTCGCACGATTTCAACATTGATCCCTTTCGGTTAGGTTGCGGGGACGGCCCTATTGAGTTGACTTGCCACCTGAAAATCTCAGTATCCCATCAACAGCGATTTTGGGGATAGGAAGCATGAGCTTTTGTGATATCCTAGGTATGCCCCGGTAAGATTGATTCATAAATACCTCGGCTCTCTGGGGTTCTGCTCAAGTAGGAGCTTGTACGCTCGAATGTTGATTCTCAACAGACGTGGACCCCGACTTAGTTGGCTCTTGCGCGTTTTGACGGGTTGTTGTCGACAGGCCGTTCTTGATGGAAATCAGTTACACACCCATGGGGGGTATCTCTGAGATTCCCATCACAGCACTCGAATGTAAAGCACTCTGGAAAGTCCCTGCGCATCTCGTCGGTGTCGACATCATATAGGTCACCATCGTTGTCAACCCAAAGAGCCTCACCAGTAGGCTCACATTCCTCTATTATGATTTAGTTTGTTACAAACACTAGCTCATCATCTCTTCTTGACCGCAGTCGTACCTGGATGATATAGACAATTCTTCTCCGACTTGGTCGTGATATCGAATTCTTTCTCGCAATTCATGCAGATTGCGTACCGTGGTACTGGCCTCTTTGTATGCAATGTTGACAGGCCCCCTCACTATCGGTAGGCGTCACCAATAGCAGACGCTCGGCTTCTTTGCGGGCCTCCTCATTTTTCTCACAGATGGATTTGAGAACCATGCGAACCGTCTTGTCAGACACTTCGTTGATCGCATGATCGAGAGTTGTAGCCTCAGGCCCTTCCTCTATGATGGGCATGGTGATCTGTGTTAAATTGCCGTGTTCGGCTGCGTTCGCGGTAGGTAAACAAGAAGGGGCAATCCGTCGCGCGTGGAATCGATATCTCAGTCGTCTACGCGTTTTAGGTAGCTCACACCGCCTCCGTTATGCCGCGTTCCTATCATCGTCGCGCCATCCCAAATGCGAAGGCTACATGTAGGCGGCATATATGTGTCCAGATCACTGATTATAGAGAAGTTTACACCCTGATCTTTGCAGATGCAAAGATAGAGTTACCAAAATTGGGCTCTATTGATGACTGTATCGTGTCTAGGCTTGGTTAGTCCTGTGTCTAACTTGACAGCCATCCGTCTATTGCTTTCTCGGAATGTTGATTACCCGGCAGCCAATTGCTATTAAAGCATGAGCCCTGAATGAGCACTATCAGAATGGGAGGAGAGGTTTTTGCTTCCTATTGCCTGACCCAGTAGGGTCAATACACGTTCCCGCAACGGAGCCTGAAAACATTGGAAATGTTTGCCGTCCGTCCGGGGGCTGCCCCTGTCCATTACGCGCTCAGCATTCCCACTAAGGCTCGTTATACTGTTAGCAAAGCTGTTTTGCATGTTTGCTGCTACGCTGGCCGAAGAAGCTGTTCCATATTCATCAACAAGCAGGATGGCAACAATGGGTTTGTGTGCCCCAATTCTGTTTGACGCGTAGTCATTCGCATCATTCGCTGCACAAAGGCCGCTCCTAATTATCAAGAAATTGTTGCCCCGTTGACCATAAAAATCCTGTCCACGATGTAGTTGGCAGCATCTGATATTCCCACTAGTCGAATAACTCGCTGAAAGAACTGTTCTGCTCCCTGGCCCTTCCCCTGCGTGCGGATTTTCCGCTGCCTTTTTTGTAATCTTAGTCGCTACTCTGTACCCTGGGGCAATATCGGTGAAAGCCGCGCCCACCTTGTTCTAACCTGAGCCGCAGTCACCTAACTCCATTCCAGTGTGGAGCGCCCAGCCCCATTTAGCTTCAGGCTGATGTCCATCATGAAAGAAAGGGCATTCGGGTTGCTATCAGTGTCTCGATTTCCTCTTGGTTACCCTGGTCGTTCAAACCAGAACTCACATTTAAAGGCATTACCCAGCTTGGGGGCAAGCCAAGAAAAGAGGAAATCAAGCCCTAAGGTCCATCGACTGAAAGCCAATTGCCGGCGAATATATGAGAAGTGTCGCCTCTGGTAGCACCTATGGACGGACCATAGCTCACAATGCGACGTGTAATGATACCGCCAACAGCACAAGTAGCCAGCAGGTCCGGGAGGAGGACCAGCGCGAGGGGAGACTTCGTGTACATTTTATAGTAGAGAAAAACAGCGTATTTGTTGATTTAAGGTGAAGAGAGCTGATCCGGACCAAAATCAGTCTTAGTTCCCTTTCTTCTGGCCCTTTGCATGCCATTTTAGAGACATTTCCCTATGTCAGTGATTAGAACAAGGAGCCTCTGCGGCATTCTAATTCATGTCTTTGCCTTCTCCAGCGCCAAGGCAAGTAAGCCCGCAGGATATTGTTTCAGTTGAGACCGAGGGTTTCAAGGAAATAAACGTGCACTAGACCTCACTGGACACTTACTAGTATCAAATTCCTATTAAGTGATAGGACAACGGGGGCGAGCAAGTATCTAGATGTATACCTCGATGCCAGGCAAAAGCAGACTGGGGTATCCCCAAATATTCTTATGGATGCAGCAAGATTTAGTCCACCCTCTTGGGTAGGCCTTTCTGTGTTGAGTACATTGTGTACTCCAGGCACGGGGTATTGAAGACCGGATATGGTTAGATCGTGGCTGTTGAGGCTTGTCGATCCGTGGACTTGAGGGCGGAAGGCGGCGGGTCGGACCTTGGCAACCAAATGGGGCCAATCAAAGTCCTGTGCGAGATTAAGATCAGAAAGAAGCCATGGATACTCCGTACATGTCTTAGATTGTTCCGCACCAGTTCAGGCGAGGTAATTTGTACTCGCTTCCACGAGATCCGCTCAAGCCGAAGGCGTTATGTAAACGAAATTCGGGATATAATACCATGGCTTGATGGCAACTCGTAGTAACCTTGCATAATTATACAGTGTCTCCGCTAGCAAAACATGCTGCACAAGAACCAGGCAGTACCAGCAATCCACCAGGCCCCTTGACCTAGACTCCGAACAGCCCCATCGATCTTAGGCGGACAGCTCACAGCAGGAGTCGCAGCGGTGCACTCATGACTAGTGAGAATCGAAGAGATGCTCGAGGCTGCTTCGGCGGCCATGCTAGCTATGCAAGGACTGGGAGTGGGTGCGGGGCTTGCGAGAAGAGCACATTTTGGGGCCCTCTCGTAGCTTCGACCCGGAAAGGTTTCTGTGGGGATGGTAAGAGTTTGAAGTACATCAAATGCAAGCCCCGGAGTTTTGCCACAGTCCTCGTCGGTAGTGAGGGTAGTCAGGTTCGCCTGACGGCCCCCTCTTTCGGTGGTGAAGATGATGCTCTGGTAGGCCTCGTAGTATCGTTTGTGGAAACCGTCTGCATCGTTTCGTGTATGAGCATTATCATAGTCGGTGCCGTTGTCAGATGTAGAGCAGTTAGACCAGCCCATCGACCATCCGAATTCCCAGGTGTTTTCCGTGTCGAATTGATTGGCGATTCCGAAAAACACAAACTGTGTCTCTGTTTTGTTGTCGACCAGCTGGTCCGTAGAGAGTGACTGGAGAGGCAAAAAGGTGGAATTCTCCCCCTTTCCTCGGTGTAACAAGCCGACCCTATATGCCATAGAAGGGCTTATCTGCTGAAAGGCCGGGTTATTCCTAACAGCGAAGACGATAGGCATGAGTGGCATAGGCTCATATGTGTCGTTACGCGGAAACACAAGATCGATCTCGGCGAGGCCCAACCCTGTTGCGTTCACGGTTGCTAGGTTGACCACCAGGCTCAGTGCCAGCAGGTACGCCTTGAAACTGAACATACTGAGCTAGTGGGGCAGAATCGGAGGGAAGATCGATGCTGATGGCAAGATGGCCAAAATAAAAGACTATCGAAACGCAGCAAGAACGATGGCGAGTGGGGAGGATCATAGAGCAATGAACATTTCAGAAACCAGCAACATTTAAAGGCGCAGAAAAATTACCAGTAGCGCCGGAGAAGCGAAATTACTCCAAAAATTGAGTCCCCTAAACAAAAGAAAGAAAAAAAAACGCTACTCTCGGTGTCTTCGGGGTGGATCAAACATGGTGGATCAGCATTAGGGCTTAGCGGCTTTATCAACGACCCGCTACATAGTTCCCTTCCACGCAAGCTCGGGCGAGAAAACGACCAGCCATGCTTTGGTAGTTGTACTAACATAGCACCGAATGACTAGCAAACAAGGTGCTCAGTCTATCTACAATGTCGGTGCCTGGTAGATCATGCATCAGGAGACATCTCAATACGACTGTTCCGTCTCCATAGTTCGGTTGTGGTCACGCTCTCTTAACGTTCTCGAGACTACTGGACCTCGCAGTCCTCTCAAACCCGTCAATCTTTGACAAATCCATATAATCTTTTTCGATTTTTACACACTTTTTACATCCTCTTTTCGTTTGACAATCCATCATTTTGGCTCCTTTCTGCTGTGGCGCAGCGGTCCCCTCGCCGCCTTCCGCCGGAATTATCTCTGGACAGACACTACCGAGGGTTAAAATGTTCAGAGATCTTCGGAGACGTCGATTGTGAAATGGCTCGCTTTTTGCCGTGCGAGGTACGGTGTATTAGCCTAGCCGGTGTTGTTAAGAGAGGTCCTTGGGGACGTCGATTGTGAGATGCGCGTCGGAGGGCCTAACGGGACCTAGTATTTATATATATTAAAAGAGTTCCCCGCTCAGGTTATATAGTGTCACAGTCAGTCAAGATCACACAAACACGGATGAAGGGTGAGAAGTGCGCGCATACACGTATATTTTGAAGTTGACGAGCACGTCAAACTAGCTGCTCTTAGGTCTATGGTGCTTGCCACGTTGCTGATTGTATGACAGCACATACGTATAGCAAAGCCCCTGCTGGGAAGGTCTGACCAGGGCGGACTAGGCCCTTGATTGAATCACCAATAAATTGGGCATGTCCATAAAAGCGATATCATTAGCGGGGTTTCGTTTTCTCTTGCCTGTCCGTAGGATTTCGCAGAAAGTTCAAGCCTCACAGGTACCCAAACTACCCACAAAAATGTAAAATAAATGCTTACAATCACATTAGTTTTGGTTATCTTGGTAATCTGTCTTTATATCGATTTACCATTAGTAATACCATCTGCTAGAATCATTATATATATATCAATACCGTTGCAGCAACTGCACCATATTCTAAACCTCGCCCACGCTCCCCTACCCAGTCCCGCAGTTCTCAATGTCAAGGATTGTGCAGGGATCTGTCTGCAACGGTAACATTGTGATAGCAATGCGGTAGCCAATAATTACTTACGTTTCGTAATGTCGAATTGATGTTAACTTTGGGCGCGTGGCATGACCGCAAGTCCTGATAGGTTATTCAAGACAAACAACATACCCAGAATACATAGCCAACTTGTTCCTATACCACAATACTTCTTCTACTATTAGTCACCATACTTCTGAGCCCGTTTCGACCATGCGAAGGCTCACCAACCTTCCAAGAGGAGTATCGGGGCAACTAGGTACCAAAGGTCATCGAAACGGGACATGGCCTGCAGGTTGCGGCGCCGGATACTCCATATGTGGCAGCGGCTGGCCCAGACAAGTTATACTTCATCGACACCCGGTTCGATACTGGGACTGCAAAGCATATAAAGGAACAAATCGAGAAGGCAACTATACCGAACCCGGAGGAGTACGTCGCGATAGACGAGGTTTCGGCTACGGCAGAATTAAAAAACTCTGTGTCCGGCGAAACGACATTCGTGTTTGACCCCCGCTATGCCAGGGTGCTGTTTGCAAAGGGAATGAACAGGCACAACCCGGAGCTCAAACTGCCTGAGCATGAGCCCGTCGGCGATTGGTTGGTGACCTACGACCTAGGCAATACACTTACGAACCTGGCTAATTCCTGCTGTGATTTTGACCATCACTCTGCCTAAGGCCGCATACGGCATTCGAATGGCAACTGTCGAATCTGCCACCCCTATAGGGTTGACAACGAGTACCCATGACCAACCGGTGATCAATGCCATCGGCATATGCGACCCTCTTTGCTCGAAGGCTGTCGACACACCAAAGGAAGATGGAGAGACGGACCGACAAGCTGGACTGGGCCTAAAAGAGCTGTGCCGGGTGGGGAATTGGACATCAATTCTAAGGGAATCAGCCAGGCGACTCTAGACCTACAACTGTTAGTCAATATTTGTTAGGGTGCTCTAGTATTTGGGGATAGATGTTGCAGAGCCGACAAGGAATGCAGGCATAAGTGCCTTGATCTACAGGCATCAGATTCCATCCGAAACGTTAAGGGAACACTGACCGACGCTTCTATTCATCCGCGGCAACGCCTGCTCAACCTTGAAGAAAGTACGTGTTAAACGGAGATTTTAGCCTGGGCTACGGGAGGTAGCGGAAATGCAAAGGATGTAGGAGGATAGTGGTGTGTTCTTCTTTGTTCTGTTTGTGTATAGTAGCCACAACTCGTGTGTCTTGGACATATAATAGAGATTTCCCCCGAGTTCCCAGAAGGAACAGTCATCGATATTTGCCTTCGGGGTTAGCTTACTCCTCCTTCCTCGCTGTGGTATAAGAAACCTTCACGCCCGGATTGGTTCCTTCCCTTCTTCCCTACCTTAGACGAATACAGGGTATTCCAGTCATATGGATCATTCTAGACTGTATTCCAATATCAAGCATAGCATCTGAAAAGCTACAAAGTAGCCAAATCTTGTGGAAGTCAGCAAAATGAACCCGAGATCAAAGCTAAGTTGAATATATGGTTGCTTATCTATATTTATATTTTCTACTGTCTGATTGAAACGCCTCTGTTTTCAGCTGAAAGCTACACTTCAGTGCTGTACCACTATATATATCAGGGAATCAGTAAGCCTATATTTGAGCTTTGTACTTCTGTACTGATCGATTGCTCAGCTCGGATTATAGTCGCGGGGTGGCAGAACTGAGAAGAGCCAACTAGTTATACGGGGACGGGGAAGTGGCGGTGCTAAGGAGCTAGCTGATCCGGACTAGTGGCAAAGGTGCCTCACCTGCGAGTTGTAGGGAAAGGTAGAGCGAAAAATGGAATAGACTGGTTCGATGGAGGAGGGAAGAACAGGGGACTGACTACCTGGGATATAGAACCACCCACGGAAACTCAGACTAAGAGCACGAACCGAAAAAGCTCAAGGTGGCAATAGGATGGTCATTCAATATCCAATATCCGATATGGTGTAGTGGCTAACATCGCCGTCTCTCACACGGCAGCCGGGGGTTCGATTCCCCCTATCGGAGTTTCTTTTTTATTTTTTTACTTTTTATTCCTCATAATATGCTCCAGCCAGGCAAGGCAGTATGGGCATAGACTTGACTTGGCCTAATGTCCGACAAAAAAATAATCCAGGGAATTCCCCAAAATTCACGGATAACAGAAATCATAAGTTGAGTTCTCAAATATCGACGCATCTATTTTGAACTTCGACACGGGAAATAAACTCGGCAAGATACGTCATTTTATAGCCTATTTGTGATCATCTTGGGAATACCTTCCATCTATGACAACGGGTCAGAGGATTGGTCTCCTGATCATTCCGAGCACCTCTATATATATCCATGGCTTGCCTTGGATCCTTCAAGAATTAGCTCTTGCATTCATACCCGGTACGTCACTTGGATGAAACTTTCAGCGCTTCTACTTGAGTAGTAAATTGTGGAAGTTTGAAATAGAGGTTGTCATATCATACGTAAAGCTCGCATAGGATTAATTACAGGAATAACAGGATTCTAAACGTCAAGTTGATATTTACCTCGCTATCGACCTCAATGTTCTCTTAGTCATTTCCTCAAATGGAATGGAAGTCATGAAATTGAATCTTTGATTTTATTGCTAGCAAAAATTCCCTTCGCACATTAACGGTACTCTGTATAGAAGGAATGAACTAACCGCAGGGGGATAGAGCGCTCAGGGGTTGGTTTCAATTGAAATCGAATCAGCTGCCTAAATATGCCTGACGTTGGACCGCTCTCGACGTCGCTTATTACTGCGTTGTAAACAATAGTGTCTAACTGAAGCTGTCGAGAAGGGAAGATTATATATGTTATAGACTTCTAAAAAGAGTACTAAAAAGTCTTCCGAAAGCCGCAAACACGGCCAACTATACGAAACGCTTCATTCTGATGGGACTTCGAAGCAAGTGTGAAGAACAACATGATTCATTCATTTGTCCCGGCCGTGCAGCCGACTGCTAAGCATGTTGTTGATATATCTAATATGGATACCGTTCCTCGGGTGGATATCCTCTATGCGCATGAGGATAGACCTCCGCACTAGCCCACAAAGCCCAAGGCCCAACCCGGCCCAACCTACAAATGGGCTGGGCTTTGGGCCCGGTCTCTAGGCCTATCGATGGGCTATGGGCCTCAAACAATACAAACTTGCTAATTCTTGGCAGATACATAAGTGATGTAGATTTTCTAGTATTTTTAGGTATACAGATTACCCTCTAGGCTCTAAATTTAGCGAGTTCTTCCGCGGTAGGCTTGCAGACTCGAACATACGTGAAAAAACAGGCATTAATCAGTAGCTTTATGAGGGCCAAGACTGCGTTTATGCATGCAAATGGGCTTTGTTAGGGGCCTTACGGGTCCCCACTAATGGGCCGTGGGCTTGGTTGGGCTTCGAAGGTAGGGCCCAACCAAGCCCATTGCGGAAGTCTACTCGAGGGAGCGCACTCGCTTGCTAGTTGGTCGGGAAGAACGGACGCCAAGGTGAGGCGGGTCCATTTTTTGAGCTCCCATTGCTGGTATCAATGGGGAGAACGAAAGGACCCCAATTCCTAGTGGATTCTTCAATTCCCAGGATCGCGTGTTTCGCTTGGGTTGTTGTTGGCAAAGAAGATGGGTCTTGAGGAGATTTGGGAGGTGTTTTTGAGGGCTACTATTGCCTAGGTCTATGATGTGAATGAACAGTGAGGGTAAAGTACATGGAGCTTGAAGTGAATGCATTTGGATATAGGTACAAAGGGACGGTTATTGTATTCCTAAAAGGTATTTGCGGAGAATTGGAATCCTACCTGTCAAGGGCTGATCGACGTTTTACATAACAAACCAGCGCTGCTCCGAAGAGATGGGCCTGATCCTAGAAAGGGAGAAGAAAGATCTAGTTTGGTCGTGAGCTCAGAGCAGTCCGGTCATTCATAGTGATAATAGCATATGCATTTCGCGAGAAAAAAAGAGGTGATTACATGAATGATGTATTTTGCTAGCCGAGCTAGTCTAGATCAGCTAAAAGTAGTACATGGGTAGAGGATATATGGAATCGGAGGAGCTTAGAAGTGGATGGGCTTGGAGTAGGTGGCCATAGCAGCCTCCTTGAAGGCCTCGGAGAGAGTGGGGTGAGCGTGGCAGGTGCGGGCGATGTCCTCGGAGGAGGCACCGTACTCAATGGCGAGGGTGGCCTCAGCGATCATCTCACCAGCACCGGGGCCGATGATGTGAACACCGAGAATGCGGTCAGTCTCGGCATCAGCGATGAACTTCACGACACCCTCAGAGTCGAGGTTGGTCTTGGCGCGGGAGTTGGCGCTGAAGGGGAAAGTACCGACACGGTACTTGACACCGGAAGCCTTGATCTCGGCCTCGCTCTGGCCAACCCAAGCGACCTCGGGGTGGGTGTACATGACGCTGGGGATAGCGGCGTAGTTGACGTGACCGTAGCCAGTCTTGATGTATTCGATGGCGGCAACAGCCTCCTCCTCAGCCTTGTGGGCCAGCATGGGGCCGAAGGTGCAGTCACCAACGACACGGACATGAGGGAGCTTGGTGCGGTACTCCTGGTCGATGATAAGACGGCCACGGTCGTCCTTCTCAATGCCGACCTTCTCCAAGTTCAGGCCCTCGGTGTAGGGGCGACGGCCAATGGCGACCAAAACGACGTCGGCGTCCAAAACCTCCTCCTTACCACCCTTGGCGGCCTCGATGTTAAGAGAAATGGTAGCACCGCTGTCGTCACCGGAGGTGACCTTGGTGCTGGTCTTGAACTTAATGCCCTGCTTGGCCAGGATCTTCTGGGCCTGCTTGGCGATCTCGGCATCCATGCCGGGGCCACCGATCTGGCCGAGGAACTCAACAACAGTGACCTCAGCACCGAGACGGGACCAAACGGAAGCCTAGTATCACAACAAAATGTCAACACGATCCAACTCTCGAACTTCATGCTATGCGCTGATACATACCATCTCGAGACCGATGATACCACCACCGATGACGACCATCTTCTTGGGGACCTCAGTGAGGGCCAAAGCACCAGTGCTGGAGATAATGCGCTTCTCATCGATGTTCAAGCCGGGGAAGCCGGTGGCCTCGGAGCCGGTGGCAATGATGATGTTCTTGGCGCGCAGGGTCTGCTCACCACCGTCGTTGAGGGCAACCTTGATGGTGTTGGCATCAACGAAGGAGCCGGTACCCTTGTGGTAGTCGACACCGTTCTTCTTGAGCAGGAACTCGATGCCCTTGGTGAGACCCTCCACGGAGGTGTCCTTGGCCTTCATCATCTGGGCCAGGTTGAGCTTGACCTCACCGACCTCGATACCGCGCTTCTTGGTATCGTGGAGAACCTGGTGGTAGAGGTGGGAGTTGTTAAGGAGAGACTTGGAAGGAATGCAGCCGACGTTCAAGCAGGTACCGCCGAGGGTTCCGCGCTTCTCGATACATGCGGTCTGTCAGGGTATACTGTTAGTATGCGGGTTGCGACACGTTGACCGACTCAGTTCATATTCGGGTAGCTTTTGAACAGTTCGTTCGTACCTTGAGACCCTCCTGACCGGCCTTGATAGCGGCAACGTAACCAGCGACACCACCACCGATGATGACCAAGTCGTGATCACCTGTTGGCCGGGAAGGCGGAAATCAGCAATCCATCCGGCAAGCAAAGGAAACAGCTCCGGGAACTCCGTGGCAGCAATCCAAGTATCAACTTACCTGCCTCAGCGGCGTAACCACGTTTTGACTGGCCAATGAAGATCATGGGAGTAGCGAAGCTGGAGGGAATGGCTCTGGGGCCGGCATTGCGAAGAGCAGACCGGGGCGTAGCCCGGGGCAAGACGGCGCGGAACATTATTAAAGGAGAAATAAACAAAGATAAAGTCTAGAAATGGGAAATTCAATCCTTGAGGCCAACGGATTGAAGTTGTTGGGAGTACACGAAGAAAGTGGATTCGAGCCCGGGAAACGAAGGACTGAGCTTTTGCGGCATTGCGCGGCTTCACCGCCCATAGCGGACCAACGCCGCACACCTCACCCTTGTGGCTCGGGCGGTGAACAGCCGGCAAATTACCGGATGATTACGGGAGCCTATCCCGGTAGTTTTGCCGGCAGAAACCCAGCTTGTTGAGTTGATTAAAGAGATGAGGACAGCAAACATTAGAATGACTATTGTGATTTTCCTGAACCTAGCAAACATCAAAGGCTTCACATCAAGGTGGCAATTTGATCCCGGGTTCCTTGGGCAGCAGTCCTGTCGGATCAACTTCATTTCCGTCTGGCCAATCCCCGGCCCTTCCCCATCACATACCCGCGGGCGATCTATCGGGAAGGGTTTTCGGGGTCCTCCGCGTCGGTTACAAGCGGGCACTGGGGACGCCGATGTATACCTACTTTAGATCGTGCCCCAGGTTAGTTGTACCCCGGTTCTCTGATTCTCTAAGGCTGGCCTGGGTACGCTTTAGGCCACTCGATCGCTTATGTAAGTACGAACAGTTTCAACCAATTGTTTTGTGTGTATCTTGCCTTAGAAAGCTATTGCAAGCTGTTGCTCTATAGATCTAGAACTATATGTATTTTCATGCTTGGCAAATCCTATCTGGGTAGATGTTCCGAACATAGTATTTGTTATATGTATGTCCCATCCATTTCACACTCATACGTATATATAACTATACATATTTCATTGTTGAGGGCGAAAGAAACGTCTCAGGACAGATCCTACGGGCCGGTTTGAATTCAAAAAGCTAACGAGCTATACCGAAAGTATGGATTGAGTATACGTAGAAAGCAGTAACAAGCAGCAGGAACTTGGATTTAAAGTATGATAGCATAAGATGAAACGCTACCTCGCGAAAAGCAAAGACTCAGTATTCATTCCACTGTAAACTAGCAATCTCGGTAATCAATGCAAGGCCATAAACACATCCTACCTAGGTAGGGTCATCTAGAGGAAGTCTGTGACTTCCAATGCATGAGTTCGTGCAAGACATATCAAGATGTTTCTAGCCCTGTGCACGAGCTGATTTCTCCTCCTCCTTTCGATTCCTTTTCTGCCGCCACTTGATCCCACAATGCGCAACAATCCATAGGCAAGGAGAAGCAGCAATGGAGATCAAAGCAAGCGTGGTGTATGCCCAACCCTCACCCATAGCAGATCTCATGGGACTGATAGCTGCCGAAGCCGCCGCACCGAGTTCACAGCGAAATAAGTTGTTTGCTGCTGTCGCTGTCGCTGACTTTCCTGGCCACAGATCGACCATCAGGGCATTTAGAACTTGCGAGGTACCGATGATAGACCACCCTATGATGAATAAGAGAATGATAGGAGCAGAAAGGTGGACCTTGTGACCTAAAACCCATCCATAGGCGAGGATGGCTAAATTGCTGATATAGTAGAGCGGGAGTGCAACTTCAAGTCTTGCGCGCTCGATGTTGAAGTTGCTGATATCAGCACGCACATTCTTGACAATTATGAGACCCGCACGCTTTGCATGACGACGATAGTTCCAATCGACTAGCCGACCAGTCGTGAAGGCTGAGAGAACCCCTCCTCCGCCGATAGGAAGGTACATCAAAGCAGCATGGAGATCATTGAAATGATAGATTTTGTGAAAGGAAGTTGACGCACCGGTCATGACCGCGTAAAAGCTAGCAAAAAGAAGCCCTGTTGTGAGTAGGACCGCCGATGTCTCGCGATCCAGGACGACCTTCATAGTGGGAACCGGCGAGGGAAATCGGAGAGAGTAATTACTTCTTACTTCAGCCTCTTTGACTGGATCAGGTACAAGACCCTTCTGTTTTCGACTGCGATGCCGAATGATATCTGCCACGGAGTTATTCAACGCAGGTGGGGGGATCGAGCCGTCTCCGACGACTTTGCGACATGTCTCCGGCAGGAATAGAGCGAGAATGAGGAAGAAAACGCCGCCAAAGATGAGGAGAAACCAGAATATCCAGTGCCAGTCAGTATACTCGCTGAAAAGACCGCCAATGATTGGTGACAGAGAGGGACCTAGCATACTTCCGATTGAGGCGAATGCGATGTATGAGCCTCTCTCTGCAGAGGTGATCATGTCTCCAACCAAACCGTTTGCCAGGGCCACCGTCGTGCTACTGCCAGCACTCTGGAGACATCTGAGAACGAGTAGGGCGGCGTAACTGTTTTGGAGAGCCAATCCCAGATTGGCGGCGAGGTAGGTTGCGAAGCAAATGATATAGGCAGGTCGGCGGCCCGCAGTGTCCGAGAACCCTGCTATCAGCATGGGTGCCACGCCCTGCATAATCTAGGAAGAAAAAGGGTTACCAGCTGTTGCATCCCCTGATAAGGCTATTGCTTTAGTTCATCTTACCAGATATGTAGTGACGGTCAAGTTCACCTGGGAGATGGAGATGTGCAGAGAACTTGCGATAGTGGTCAAAGCAGGCAGATAGATGCTCGACGACAGGGGGGAGAAGAAGCTAGCTAGGGATCCCATGGCAACAATAGCCCGCTTTTGAGCGACTGTAAACTGGGAGAATCCCTCCAGGCGTGCATCTGCATGCTGACTCGGGTCTGGTGGTTTGGTGTCAACTTCAGCGCTGTGCTCCTGTACCATCTTGCCTAATTTCATCGGATCCGGGGATTTTTTGACCATGTGGTAGAGTCGTGGAAGCAAGAGGATTTATGAAATATCCCGATGACTCTTGGAGCCGGTTCAGGGAAGTCAACGAATCAGAGTTTGGGGACGACGGTTGCTTAATCCCGGCACCGGCATCTGAACTCAGTCTCAGCCCAACACTTGCTCTTGCCCTTTGACAACACTAGGTTATAGGCGATGTATGCGAGCTCTGCGCCCATATTAGATGCTAGAATGTGGTGGTAGTTTAGTCTGCGATTCGAGTTTGGTTTGTGGGGTCCTGGTAGGTCATATGCACATGTTGAGTCCTACAACCTGCGTTCTCGTGAGAGTACTGACACCTAAGGGCAGAGTGTATACACCGCGAATGAATCATCGAATGTGTTCATGAAAGCTATTCAAGTCTCAGATATCGACAAGGTCTACCTACATATGGATATTTAAGGGTGCTGTCAACCTTCCAGGGGTGAATATACCCATATCAGATGGGCTCGAAGCAAGACGCCTCTTGGACCGATACCCCGTAAGCAAGATTGAAGCGTCATCGCACCCATAAGATTACCTGGATACAGTGAACTCATGAGGATAAACAAATTCCCCGGGCATCCGCTCAACTTCCAACCTCCAGATCTTGCCGTTGCCCAGAAACGACATTGCACAACCCGTGAGCCCTGGCGACGAATACCAAAGCAAGAGGTGAAGCTGAGCGACAAAGCAGATGGAGAGAGCTATGAACAGAATGACTTGTCGAGGGGACAAAAGTCTGGAGCCTGGGGAACTCGTTTTTGAAATCTCATTCTTCCCAGCCCCTCCGCACAGTCAGGGACACATTTGAGCAGAGGGACCGGGGTGGATTCCTTCGATTCTGTGGCTTTTGCCAGTCGAGTAGAACGGAGCACGCCCCTGGCTCCACGTGCATCTTGGCAGGTCCCCCACAGCCAAATAAAACGCACCATGCTAGTGCTCTCTACAGGCAATTGTCCTTCTGCATCAACATGGCCTTTTAATTTATTTTTCTCACTAGACCAGGAACTCGATGCAATTCCCCACAAGAGACAAGCACAATACCGTGCCTGCAAGGGCCTTGACGAATGGGCAGCCTTGGACAGCGCTTTCTTGTGTGATTTTGCTCCGTACAGAATCAGGGAGGAGGTCCATCCGATCGGCTGTAACGCTATTTTCAACATTGAGCATCCTGTGAAGCGACGTGCTTATCAAAGAGCCAAGGAATAGAGATTACAGCCACCCCGATCGGCTGTACAATTCTTCTCGGCGTTGTCTTTCAAAGTGACACCTCATGCATCGCAATATACCATAATGGATGCTATATATATCGCCTACTTTCTCGTCCGAGTTTCATCCCAGTTGCGATTATAACTACTCTTCTCACTAAACAGCGCCATCTATTCACCCTAGCCACCCCTAGCAACCGCAGATATGATCTTCTCCGTGGCTTCTATCGGGATTGGGGCCCTTCTCTCCGCCCTACCTGTATCGGCTGCCCCCAACACATGCTCGCATAGCAAGGTTTTTGATAGCACCAACTTTTTCTCTGGATTCAACTTCGAAGACGCCCCTGATGCATCTGGCGGCTTCGTTGACTACGTGGATGGCGCAACAGCCAACAACACCGGCCTTGCTAAGATCTCCAACGGCGCAGTCTACCTCGGCTCCGACTACGAGACTGTAACCACCGTCGGGCGCCCTGCTGTCCGCGTCCGATCCAAGGATGCCTTCACCACCGGCCTTTTCATCTCCGACATTTCACACATGCCGGCAGGCACTGGCAAGGGTGCTTCCTGCGGTATTTGGCCTGCCTACTGGACAGTTGGAGCTAACTGGCCAAACGACGGCGAAATTGACATCATTGAGGGTGTCAACAACCAGGCCGCCAACGGCATCACTCTCCACACGGCGAAAGGCTGCAACATGGATGTCTCTGGGTCCGAGGCAACCTCCGAACAAACTGGTGCTGACTGTGAGGCCAACAATGCGGGATGCACTCAGTCTACTACATCGACCAACAACTACGGCGACGGCTTCAACGCCAATGGAGGTGGTGTCTATGCTGTGGAGTGGACCACCGAGTCAATCAGTGCCTGGTTCTTCCCTCGAGGGAGCGATATGGCTACACAGCTGATCAATGGTGGTACTGCCGATGTGAATGTTGGAATCCTCGGCAACCCCCTCGCTCACTTCAAGGGTAACTCCTGCAACATTTCCAACAATTTTAAGAGCCACAACATTATCTTCAACATTGACTACTGTGGAAGTTGTACGTATTCTCTATGGAGCCAAGATTCATTTTACTGACTCTGACAGGGACATCAAACAACTTCAAAACTGATTCGGTCTGCAAGGCCCTGGCCCCCACCTGCAACGACTGGGTCGGCCAGAACCCTGCGCAGTTCAAGGATGCTTACTGGTTGATCAATTCGGTCAGGGTCTACAACAAGAAGTAAGACTTGGCGCTGAAGTTGCTTGCCCGACTCTGAAGATGGGAGATATCGATAGCTCAGTCAATGCTCGGCGTTCTCATGTTGCTAGTGCGGGTTGTACATACCCTTACATGCCCACTCTGAGTATGTAGTGTATAGTAATATACACAGAAACATTTAATCTACATCTTCTGTAATATCTATCATCTAGTTTTCTGCCTTGTGTTCCTCGGCAGGTACGATGTTACATGTACAGCAGCCCTTGGAATGTGGGCTGGCAGTTCAGGGTGGTGCAGCCCATTACTTTGTACGGGCTAAAGCAGTCTTTGTCTGTGAATCCGTTTCAACTGCTTGCACATAGCTCCTAAGCACACCCCAAATGAACTTTGCATTCTCTGTGTTTTGCCGGGCCCACTTTATAGTTAGCCCCTCTGTTGGAGTCCAGGGCTATTGTAGGGAGTACCTCACGAGAGCGTATCCAGGAACAATATTCCATTTTAAATTGATCACTAGCCATATGACTATGGCTTAACGATGAGGGCCCTATTCCGTGATCGTCAAGCTGGTTTATCCCTACCTGGCGGAATATTATTGGCCCAATATACGGGAGAAAGTACAACCTTGCAAGATTGGAATATAGATTAAATGTGACGACGCGGTGCGCTAGTGCAATTCGGTTGCGCATCGACATTCCTTCTTCAACTGTAACCCTCTCGGTAGTTATGCAGGATGGACCCCTTGGGCTTATATTCACGAAGTCTGTACGGGGTGTCCCATATGTGAATGGGCGTGAGTAGAACAATAAAGCTATCTGTGATACAAAATCATAACACATAACACGAAGTATTGACAGAATGAAGCCAGGTGGATGAAGCTATTTCAGCGGCAAGGGCACGTGAGATATCATGAGATGAGATGAGTAGCGACATCCGATACAGCGCGAGATCCGATGTATTGCGGAATGCTCTGTAGACAAAGTGTGGGTTGTGAATTACGCCTCTTCCGAGACGGCTGCTAGTGGACGGCTTGGCGCGGGCTTACTTTTAAGACTGGGTAGACAGTGGCTAACTGTTGATAAATTTCTGCTGCTTTTAGGCCAGGTGCAATATGGATACTTCCTTTTTGACAGCCTAATGTCGTGCCACTTTTAGAACATTGCTATGGATGTGATGCATGCATACTTTAGTCAACTAGCGAGTTCTTCGTGAATAGGGAATCTGAGCGAGAGCACTATCTGACCATCGCGAGCCGAGGCCACGACGGAGTTCGTCACGCCATTTTGATTCATTTATAGTGGCTCATCGTATATTGCACGAAGACCACCAATGAGGGATTATTATTCAAGAGAGAAAACAAAGCTCCACTCTGTTGGAGACGTATGCAAGGCAACATCTTGGACGAGAGCCAATAGATTTAGATCCAAGAAATAATGTTACAGCCGATGGAAAAGACGAACCTCCCTCGAACCTTGGTTTTTTTGAGAAGTCGCATTCAATAACCGCTCGGTCCACTGGGAGTCTGTGTCATGCAGCGTCGCTAGTCAGCATCCTAAATGAAGCACATGCCTTAGCGGGGGATATAGTTCATGTAGATCTCTCGGAGAAAAGGATCAGGTACATGGGATATATATCCATTGAGAAGCTGGGGGGTGGTTGGTAGCAAGATGGATTAAGTCTTGGCTCTGTAAATTGTGTCTCTAAAGAAGCTCTGTGGATGGTTTGGAGAGGGGATATAACTTGTAAAACCAATGACGTGCAAGTGATGTCCGAGCTTAAATAAACAATTATGACGATAAAAAAGACTGAGGAGTATGGATTTTGAGTGATGAAGGCGTGATTAGGGACATCGAAGAGTATTTCACAAGATCCACCGCGACATGGGGGCCATATGCTCCTTTGGGTGTAGACAGATCGTGGACTGAGTGCGCAATAGATGCCTCCAGGGGCTTTGAGGAGATGAGACTAGCCGATTGCAGTTAGACCTCCTAATAGCACACGTGATCAGGCACAGACCCCGGACTGAGAAATACGCAGCTCCCCCGCTCCCGCCCCCCGCGTAAAAGCGGCAGCGAATGTCAAGACGACGGGAGCAAGCGCACCTATAAGGCTAACCAGGAACAGCCACTGATGCCAGTCTTCGGACCAAGCCTTGAAGAACCTTGCTTGACGTCTCCCGGACCGATCTCGAAGCCGATTTAAGCCGAACTTGATTCTCATCGTCTGATGTGCAGACAATTACCGTTCTTTCTCCCCCGGATTGACGGTTTCGGTAAGCCGGTTAAAAGGCACAACTACTAGCCCCGCCCTGAGCCCCTCACATAGGACTCGCTTCTCGCCAAGACCGATTCTAGAGCCCTGTCCCCTGTTTTTCTCGTGCTAGTGAAGGAACTATGGTACGTTGATGACAGTAGGATTCCTATTCCTGCCATGTCCCGCCGGAATATGACCGCATTGGAACGACCACCCGCGCTTGGATACGGTTTAGTCGATCCCCGTGGGGAAATGTGCCGTGCAGGGTTGTCGATTGGGGAGCTTGAATTCGGACTTCCGCCGTGATCACACGAGAACCCTCGGTGGCTGAAAAGGCTTTAAAGCCCAGCCCGCCATGGTCGCGGCGCGAAATTTGGACTAATCGATTTACTGTGCTGTTCCAGTCAGGTTGTATACCCTGTCCGTTTGTGGATTGGCTTTTCTTCTCTGTTGCTGTTACGAGTTCCTGCTGCCTTCTCTGAACCGTAGCCGACTAGTCTGGGAGTGCTTCATATATTGAATGTGGAACACTCGAAACGATCCTCATCTAGTCTTTCACTCGCATTCAAGATGAGTGACAAGATTCCCTCGTGGAATGTCGTCCACAAGCTAGAGAAGCGCCGGCTTCTCATTGGCATCAACTCTGTGGCTGCTCTGTCCATTCTGTTCTTTGGATACGACCAAGGAATGATGTCCGGTGTTAATAACTCCAAGAACTACATTGACCTTATGAAGTTCGGTCACACCGAAGTGATAGATGGCGAGGTAACACCAGTGGTCACGAATTCTCTGCTGCAAGGTGGGATTGTTTCGGTATACTATTTGGGAACGCTTTTCGGCGCCTTGTTCGGTGGTTGGCTTGGAGACCGCATGGGCAGAATCAAGAGCATTGCGGCTGGCTCTGTTTGGGCTATTGTGGGTGCAGCGCTGCAGTGTTCAGCCATGAACCATAATTGGATGATTTGCGGTAAGAAAATGGAGAAAGAAATACAACGAGAGTTGGACTGACATTTGCAGCCCGTTTTGTCAATGGTATTGGAACCGGTATCTTGAATGCTATCGTCCCCGTTTGGGCTACCGAAACGGCCGAGCACACTTCGCGTGGGCAGTTCATTGCTATTGAATTTACCCTCAACATCTTTGGTGTTGTGTTGGCCTATTGGTTGGAATTGTATGTGCGCCTCGCTGATTTCTGCTTTCACTTCTAACCTTTGATAGCGGCTTGGCTTTTGTCGATAATGGAGAATCCGCCCTGCGCTGGAGATTCCCTATCGCATTTCAAATCATCTTCCTGATCGTTCTACTTGCGGTTGTCTGGTTCTTCCCGGAGTCGCCTCGATGGCTTGTCAAGGTTGGCCGAGAGGACGAAGCCCGCTACATCCTCCAGCGTCTGCGTGGATCTAGCGGAGATGACCTGATTCGAGCAGAAGCTGAGTTCCAGGACATCCTGAGCATTGCAGAGCTAGAGCGCACAGTGAATCATGGGGACTCGTATTGGTCTATGTTAGTTGGCTACAAATCTGGTGATCTCCACATCGGCCGCCGTGTACAGCTGGTCATTTGGTTACAGATCATGCAAGAATGGGTTGGTATTGCAGGTGTTACCGTCTATGCTCCAACGATCTTCGGTATTGCCGGATTTGACTCGATGAAGAGTCAGTGGATCAGTGGATTGAACAATATCTTCTATATGGTATGTTTCTTTCCATATGAGCGACTGAGTGAGGAAAACTAATGTCTACGCACAGTTTGCCACGCTAGTCTGTGTCTTTACTCTCGACCGTATTGGTCGTCGGTGGACCTTGTATTGGGGTGCGGTTGTGCAGGGCATTGCTATGTTCCTTGCCGGTGGATTTTCCCGACTCGCTATCGACGCCAAGGCAGCTGGGGAGATGGGCAAGGCATCTTCGTATGGTGCCGCTGCAGCTTCGATGATTTTCATCTTTACCTCCGCATTCGGAGCTACATGGCTTACAGTTCCATGGTATGGAACTATCACAGGAATCTGATCACCATATTAAGCGCTAACACTCGATTGTCCAGGATTTACCCGGCTGAAATCTTCCCGCTGGCCGTCCGTGCGCGCGGCAACGCATTTGGTGTCGTCGGATGGAGTATTGGAAACGGATGGCTGGTAAGTGGACCGCATTCCTAGGAAGACAAGAGGACCATGCTGACAGTACCTCTAGACTTTACTATGTCCGGTCATGTTCAGCGCTATCGGCGAGAAGACTCTTTATGTTTTCGCGGCCAGTAATGTGATCGCACTCCCCATGGTGTGGGCTTTCTATCCAGAGAGTAACCAGCGCACGTTGGAAGATATGGATCTTCTGTTTGCCGCAGATACACCATGGACCTGGGATGCGGAGAAGACCTTTGCCCGCCTCAAGGCAGAGAACCCGGGTATGGTCCAGACCCTTGACCGCAAGGGCAGTGTGGTGGACCCCGAGACTGGAAAGTCTGTTTCTATTGGTGCTGCTGCGGCCGCTGCGGTCTCCAAGGCTGGTGATAATGTCACAGGGGCAGAGCATGTGGATCACGCTTAGATCTGACGTTGGACTTGGCACGAGTTAATGATGAATGGTTGAACCCTTGATAAATGGATATATGAGTTACACGTTATTATCTAGGTATCTAGGTTTATACATCAGGTACCTAATAAGCGAGGAAGCCACTTGAGAGTGGTCGTATTTGAGATGATGTTGTTGCAGAAACCGGCGCCCTGATTGGCCACTTTGAGAACAACATCCCTTAACTACGAAGCTTGAAATTTTTCTTCTTTTCTCCTTCTTTCGGCAAGGATTCATGTTTGTCTAATACATCAAAACTACAATCTCAATAGAACCTTCATAACCGATCATTTGGTAAGTACCGCAATCCCGAATAACGCGTATCGCGTCGCATCGCTCCCAGCTAATCACAAATTTCGAATAGAGCCAATATCAGGTGCTCGCGAAGCCAAGCACTTGGGCAAATTCTAAAAGAACTCCTATCTGAAATCAAGGCGTGCTAAGCTGTGGGAGATAGCCAAAAAAAAAAACAACGAAAATGCCAGACAAGCAGCTACTCACGGCCGACTCAATAAAGTCCGACTCGCCAATCTTAACATCAACCCCAGACCAATCAAAACCCCAAAAGGAAAAAGCAGTCCAACCAGAGCCCTCAGCTCTGACCAAAAAATATCTTCACCGCATATCCCTACACCCAACGCTAACCCCTTACCGCCGGCGCGTGTACCGCACGCTCCTTTCCGTCCCGCCAGGCCGGTGGACCACGTACTCGGCGATGGCGACGTACCTGGGCTCCAGCGCGCGTGCGGTAGGTAATGCAATGCGGAGTAACCCCTTTGCGCCGGAGGTGCCGTGTCACCGTGTGCTTGCGGCTAATGGGTCCTTGGGTGGGTATAAAGGGGAGTGGAAGGTTGATGGGCATAAGGCTGGCGGTGGATTTTGTGAGGAGAAGCGGCTGAGGCTTGAAGAGGAAGGTGTTGTTTTTGTTGATGGGAAGGTGAGGGGTGTTTGTTTTAAGGAGTTTGTGGATTTAGGGGTTAGGTGATTTAGGGAGGTTTGGCTGATGATTGGATTTGCTTTTTTCTCTATGTGCATCGATTAGGGCGTTGGGAGAATTATGAATTTTGTATCCATGAATCGAGTTGGATATTGAGAACTTGTGCAGTTATTTCTGGAAAGTTGATGTCCAGGGAAAAGCAAAGGTCAAAGAAAAGAGAAAATAGAGGGGAGCAAATCGCCACTCTATACACCAATGTGATCATTTGACTGAGGGGGCCCTGAGGCCATTTCAAGACAGAAATAATCATCCTGGGTACAGGATTCAACTCTCCAACACTTTTCAGGTGAGGTAAGGCCCAAACCATACCAAACGCCTCTTCAGTGTCAGCCAGTTGGTCTACCACTTTGAGCAACAATATACCTACTATGGGATTTTATTGCTGGCTTTGCTTTTCAGCAATTCGCTGGAATACAGCCGATGGATCCAGGAAGGTCTCAACCCGATAACACTTCATACGCCCGGCATCGTCCTTCCGGACAAAGAACACGGCAAACCCGGGGATAGTGATTTCGTCGGTATCCAGGCTGTCTCCTTTGACAAGATATCGGATAGTTGCGGCTTGATAGATACGAGGGGCGACATAGTCAAAGTAGCGGATCTCGTGAGTCAACATGGCTAGTTGGCTGAGGACACTTCTGAACATCTGCCGCACCTCGCTGCCCTGGATCACAGGGTTATTTGCGTATTGCATCTCTACATCCTCGGTCATGAATTCATCAAGCCACTGATCCGTGTTGAGAGTAGCACTCGCCCGGTGGCACTGAGTATTGGTATAAGTTAGCCGTCGTGTGCGCTGCGAACTCTTGGAAGAAATAGCCCTACCGCTTCTAGCCACTCCAACACGGCATTGTTATCAAGCTCAGGACCTACTGACATCATAAAAATGAGATAAGGAGGGTAGAGGATACGAGCCCTTCCGAGATACAAAAGTAAAATAGGATTTCAAGGCCCTGCAGATCTATGTGGTTATATAACTAACGCCTGAAGTGTGCTTATAAATTCAAAACCCACTGCGAGTTCTGATTCACAGCTTATCTCCGAGAACTTGGACCTTGCTATATCTATTTTAGCGAATCGCAGATCCTTATTCATTTGCCTACGATGGCTGATTCAGTTATGATGGCTCTTTGGCCTCTTCGTATGTGGAACTGTGAGCTTCTTAATTCCATGACGCCTTTGATTACCAAGTAATGGAATAGGGACAGAATGAGAGGACTTCTAGTTGATGCTAGGTGGGTATATAATATGAATAAGCATTCAAAGCATTCAGAGAAAGTGTACAGCGAAATATTGTGCTTATTCACTCTGTGTCCCGGAAATAATGCTTTCATTCAAGTCTGGGATTTACATGAAGGGCACGGGCGGAGGCCAGATCCCATCCTTCTCGCCTGAAGCAACTTTCGACCCGGGGATGTAAAATAGAGATACTAGGACGTGCAAGGCAATCAAGGGCAGCTGGCTGACCTCTACGGGTGGAAAGACATCTGCCTTGGGCGTCAAAAGTGCTGATTCTCGGCGTCCTTTTCAGAGGTCCTTATTCTTGCTGTAATCTGTTGATCAAACCTTCAATTTACTCAGCCATGACTATAGGTCGCCCAGAAGTACATATTCTCCCTGACTCTAATGGCATCAGCTACCGTCACATCTCTTTGTCAGATGATTTCTAACCAAACTACTGTCTCAGAAGCATCGAAGTCGGGATATCGACAAAGCTAGACCAGTTTGGAATGTTCAGAACCACTAGCTAATTTCCGGTTGGCTCCGAGGGACTAAGCCTGATGATAACGTGCATAATGCCAGCCATTAATCTGAGCATAGAATAATACAACTCACTGTCGAATTTTCGGAGGAATTTGCTGCGTTCAATCCTGGACCCAAGCTAAAGGAACCAGGTTACGCTGGTTTGCAAGCGTTCGAGTTCCAACCGATCATGCACTACAGAGGCAACGAGGTAGCTTGGCTTGTTCATAAAGGTTTATGTACTTATAGCGATGTCTCTGCACAATAATAGGGCTTTGCTCAATGGCAGTCTCATATATTCTCCGATTTTGAAGCTTGTGATAGCGAATGTACACCCAAAATTAGGGATCCGCTGTTTCATAGAGCGCTTTGTTGCAAGAATGCGGCGATCTATACTATATTTACTGTGCTGTTTCCTACTCACAGCATCAGGCACGAGACCCAATGTCCTAGATCACTCATTTGTCGCTTCAAGTCACACGCTTCTTCCGAAAGACCCAATTGTCCCAGGCCATCCTTCTGCCGAAAAACACCCGAAAGCATGCAAAGGAAACACACCAAGTACCAGACACCAATGGTGTAAACACAACCTTTATACTGATTATACAGCAACAACCCCAGACACTGGAGTCACGCAGGAGTTCTGGCTAAACATAGACCAAGCCACTCTCGCACCAGATGGACGTCCACGCTGGGGCCTCACCATCAACGGATCCCTCCCAGGACCAACCCTCGAAGTCAACTGGGGCGACACAGTGGTCATCCACCTCCGCAACAACCTCCCTAATTCTGTCCGCAATGGTACAAGTCTACACATCCATGGACTCCGTCAATACTATACAAATCCCATGGATGGAGTCGTATCCGTCACTCAGTGCCCCCTCGCACCAGGTCATACCATGACCTACCGCTGGCGAGCAACACAATACGGCACAACCTGGTATCACTCGCATATTGGACTGCAGACTTGGGAGGGTGTATATGGAGGTCTGATTGTCCATGGCCCGGCTAGCAGCAACTATGATGAAGACAAGGGTGTGATACAACTCACAGACTGGGATATCAACACAGTCGACCAGCTCTGGCGTGGGGCGGAAACAGGTGCCTCGCCGGTGCTTGATAATGCCCTGATCAACGGCGTCAATATGTTCGGGAAAGATGGCGATCCTGGTCAAACGGGGTATCGGTTCAACACTTCCTTCACGACGGGAAAGTCATATCTGCTCCGTGTGACAAATGTCGCGTGTGATACGCATTTCAAATTCAGTATAGACCACCATACATTGACGGTCATCGCTATGGATCTCGTTCCCATTCGGCCGTACAATACAACGGCTGTCAATGTCGCAATTGGTAAGTTTCTCGCTTTCAATTCGTCCGCACGTCAAACAACCCAAGCCCTACTTCTATACAACCCTCAGATGGAATACCTAATCATTGCCCATGTCATAACAGGTCAACGCTACGATGTAATAGTCCACGCAAACCAAGTCTCAAAAGCCAATTCCTTCTGGCTCCGCGCCACACCCCAACTAGCCTGCTCATCCAACAGCAACGCCGACAACATCCGCGGTATAATCTACTACAACCGTCCACATTCCCAAAAATCAAACCCACCGCTTCCCCTCCCAACAACAACGCCCTACATCTTCCCAAACACCTGCGAAGACGAACCGGCCTCAAGCCTCATCCCCATAATCTCCAAACCCCTAGCCCTAACCTCAAAATCCATCTTCTACAACTCCACCCTCCCAGTCACAATCGCCCAAGACAACCACTCCCTCTACCACTGGTACCTAAACGGCACCTCAATGCAGGGCAAATGGAACAATCCCACCCTCCTAAACCTCCCCACCAACCGCGCATCCCTCCAAATCCCAACCCCCAATATCTGGGTCCTGGTCATCATAGAAACAACAATGAATATCTCCCACCCAATCCACCTCCACGGCCACGACTTCCTAGTCGTCGCGCAGGGTACTGGGTCCTGGACTGGATTTGGATCGTCTACATCGAACATGCACTCACTAGATTTCGCAGCGGGGGAATTACCTAAACGCGATACAGCGCTGCTTCCGGCGTCTGGATATCTCGTTCTCGCGTTCCGGTCGGATAACCCCGGTGTTTGGTTGATGCATTGCCATATCGGGTGGCATCTGGATCAGGGGTTTGCGGTGCAGATTGTTGAAAGAGCCGGGGATGTGGAGAGGCTGTTTGGACTTGGTGTGACTGGGATGAATGGTTGGGGTCGGGAATGGATCGAGGAGAACTGTGCTGAGTGGGAGAGATACAATGATCGGGGATCTCCCATTTTGGAGGATGGGGCAGGGGTTTAGATTACTTCTATTTGTAGATAATACAGTGTTCAGATCTGCGTTTTATGGGATCGGTGTAGGGATTTCATCCGTTTTCTAAGAATAGTCGGGGTATACTCCGTACGACTGTTCCTGTTGGATGGGAGGTTGCGCAGGTCAGAATTGTTGACAAGCTTGAAACTTTGGCTGATCGTCGTGTGGCACAAAGAAATAAGATCAGCTTCAGGGTCTTGAGGGTTCAGGGATTGGGGATTTTGATTGCTTTTTGCGGCTTGCCATTTGGAATTTTCTTCTTTGTTCGGGTTCGTTGGGGATGGGGATCGGCAGAGCTGAGCTGGGCGTTGGTCGCACATACAAACCTGGAAGGATTGGAATAGGGTGATCTTCTAGGGCTTGTGAGTCCATTGGACAAGTTATACCCTGTGTTTACACACATGTACTTCGTGGCGTGTAGTCGGTACGCAATACAAAAGCCCAGCTAGTGTTTAGAAACTCGACGATTAGAGGAAAAGGGGCATGGAAACATGAAATCCGAGGCGAAGAAGCCAATTCTAGAAACCGGGAAGATCATCCAAAAGTAAACAGTCAAAATCTCATAATCGTTGCCATTCATTGAACACATTCCACCGCGTACCACCAACTCATCTAAGCTCATTATCTCTGATCTAGGTTCTAGAACACACAGAAGAAAAAGAGCTTGCAAAACCGAAACAATGGAAGAAGCAAAATGCGCATCTTCTATACATGATCGTTCCATGACATCGCGATCTATCGGCGAGAAGAAAAGAAAAAGAAAACAAAAAAAGGGGTAGAAGAGTTATCAGAACAAGGATCATAATATCGTAAAGTGTGGGAATGAAACAACGCAAAAGCTCAAAAACACAATCATGAGATCTGCTTCGCAGAGCGCTTGCAGGCATTGCGCTTCGGCAGGTCGAGGTGGTGGTATGAGCGCAGGTGCTCGACAAGGTGGTCTTGTCGTGGGAAGCCATTGCTGCCCTTGCGCGAGCAGCTCTCGACTGGGCAGTTGCGGAAAACGGGGTAATGGACGCTGGATTGGTGGCGCTTGAGGTCCGCGAAGCGGGTGAAGGACTTTCCGCAGTTGTCGCATCCGAAAGGCTTGGCGGGCCTGTGGGGAACATGTGTTAGGGGGGTTTATTCCGACTGTGAGGTGGAGGTGATCTTACTTGGAGGTAGGTGCTGGTGAGTCGGGGCCGGACTCGTATTCGCCCGTGGGGTAGTTTGGCAAGTTCATCCCTTCAGCTGGGAAGTTGAAGTTGCTGCTGTAGCTGCTGTAACTGCTGCCGCAGCTGCTGGGTGCGCCATGGGGCATAGTGGATCGGTCGAAGACGGGGTAGTCCTGGCGTGTGGGGTATTCTTGTGGTTCTTGGTAGGTGTATGGGGAGCTGGTGATGCCGTATACCTCTTGAGCGACCTCTTGCATGGGGAGTGGGCTGATTGCGTCGAGGTCGCAGAGGGAGTCGTAGACTGGCTGGCTGCCGTAGAAAAAGAAATCCATGCTACCTGGTGAGGAGGAGTAGGAGGAGTAAGAGTCGGAGTAACTGAAGGGGGACTGCATGTCGACGGAGGTGGATGAGAGGGAGCGTTGGTTTAGTGGAATTGGGATTGCGGTCTTATAGAAAGAGAGAGAGGGTTAGTCTAGAAATGCGCCCATGCAAGCTCAAGCCACCTACCATTGTGAAAGAAATGAATTATTGGGATTTCGAGGTAGTTCCAAAACTTGGGAATTCATAGATAAAATCCTCTGGCGTTCTCGAGGGACCAGGGCCCTTTTATGTGCCCAACGTGAACCTCGAGCATCATGGAGCATGACCGGGGCCCCCAAGGAGGACATTGGTGGACACGGGACAGTGCATGAAGTGGACTGTGAATGGCTGTGAATGGCTGTGAGATGGGCAGTGAAAGAGCACTAAACGGGTTCTAGAAATCAACTAGAACACCACTCGATGGAATCCCTCGGGTTCTCCGCCTCCTCGCAGGAAAAAAACCACCATCCATGCGGACGGGGAACATTCCACGGCCCTTCTAGCGTGTGTGTTGTATAGCCCTGCTCTCGTTGACGATGATTGGAGGAGATGTAGAGTGAGCCAATGCGATAAGCAGCGGTCAGACGTCGGTGCCCAGTGTGTTTTCCCCCTCACGACGATCCTCGTCTCATTGGCCATTCGCTGTTCTGAATGTCTTCTAGCGTCATTCTAGCGTCTTGCCAAGCGCTCGTGTCTGACATGGCCCCCCGTTTTTTTGGATTTGTCTCTTTTGGTGCGTAAAAGTGGCACAGTGTGGTTTCATGTGCTGCACCGGATCCTGGTATATCAGAGAGGAAACGCACCTCGAGTTGATGTACGGAGTACGGAGTACTCCGTAGTGTTCTGCAGTGTCTCCCCCGGCACCATTTGAATGCGGAATCTCCGCATCAACCGTGTGAGAATCTCTCAGTCGGCACAAACGTGCCGAGTTATATTACCTTGAACATGATCCGCAGTCCAGCCTCACGGGCCCGAACGGGCTCCGTCATCTCGCCAAGCAACATCCCACAATTTCCCTTTTTCCGGGGTCCCAGATCGATGATGTCGTTTGCGCACAGCCCCCGAGCAAACGTATCTGTGAGCGCTAACAGGATACAAAAAAGAAAAAAAAAACAAATCCCGCACTTTTGTCCGTAGCGCCAAGCTGAAAGGAAAGCCAGTTGGACTCCGGAATGGCTTCTAGCGCTTCTCTGACGTCGCACGTCGACCAAAACGACCAGGGCTCACAGCTGCGATTCGTCACATGCCATGTAGGAGGATGGATTTAATTTGCTTTTCCCTTTTTCGTTCTGTTCGAGTACCTCCGCGGGGAATGGTTTCAGTTGCTTCCGATCCCTGCTGGATGAAATGGGATTCGGAATCAGATCGCCTGCAGCCGCATGTTTTTTGTTTATTTATTGGATCCTTTCTTCTTTTTCTCGTGCATTGTGCTTGAATTGCTCTTGCATCATTCCCCATTCAGGTTAACGGTCGATCTGCAATTACGTGTCCGCAAAGTACAGATCGACAACCCCGGACCCAGCACCCAGGGTGCTATGTACGAGGTACTCCGTACAGACTTGTCCGTACCTGATGGATATACGTCGGGCACTGGATTTACTCTCGCAAGGCCTAGGCCCGAGTATCTCCCTATCTCCAAGGCAGACTGGCGCCATCCTAGAATGAGCCGCTAACTTATGCCAAGGAGGATGTTATGTATTATTTATGTACTCCGTACTCTGTACATACTACGCAGTACATGGATGTACTTATGCAGGCTGCTCGCGAAGTACACCATGGTCGGAGGGATTCATTGTAGGAACAATTAATAACCTTGCAAATAACACAAAACTCCCATGATCACCCATTTCATTGCACTCATTCATGCGGAAAAAAACAGTAAAATATGAATCCGAGATCCCACAGATTTCAATGGTCTTTCAGCCTCCTATTCTATCGAGTCATAGCGTCGGGTCACAAATTGCGATCAAATACAGGATTCAAAGATCAATCATCTGCACATGGATACCCGTGGGGGTTGCTCATTGGTAAAAAAAAAACGAACAAGTTATAACTCGTCCTCGAGGTACTTGTACACAAACTTGAAATCAGCCTTGCGTCGATTCATCCTGGGAAGATATTGTCAGTGGCGAGTTCGGGAACGTGCGAATCTGTTTGTTAATGCTGGACTAACCATGTGCTTTCGTAGTCGAAGAAGCGATAAGTGCCTTGTTCGAACTCCTCGGTGATATTCTTCGGCTCCTCATGACGCTGGAACCAGGTTTGGTATTGCTTGTGGAAACGCCAGCTTTGATTACGCAGCGCTTTGGCGGCAAGATATTGCTGATACGTCCCTTGACGGTAGTAGAAAAGGTAGAAGAGGGTATCGGTGTCGATTCGTCCAGTGTCATATAACCGGGGATCATCGAATATCGCAAGAGGTTCCTGGGGATAGTAGAGCGCAGTACTGTAAGGGTTCTGCGGCTTGTAGTGGCGTGGTTTTTCAGCGTCGCCAGCCTCCGGACAGGTTGTCAATGAAGTGGCGAGAAGGCGCTGAACAGACGGTGAGGGGTTCGCCGATGCACGCGCCTTCGTCACTTCAAAGGATTGAAGCAGGTCCTGAAGACCTGGAGGCAGGTGATATACGGACTCTTCAGTCTCAGTTCCTGGTGCTTCTACATTGCCATTCGTGGATGCTTCCGCTTTAGCCGGCGCGGGGGTTGGGGCTGGAACACTTGCACTGGCAGGGATCTTCGGCCGCCCGGCCCCAACAAGCTCTTCCGGACTGGGCGCCGCAGCGGGTGATACTATTGACTTGGCAACGGGCACTGCGGACGCCACACTGGGCGAAGCAGTAGATGATTTCGACATAGGGAATGCCACGGAGAGGGCCGGGCTGTACCCGGGTGGAGGGGGAAGAGGAAGAATGCCAACACCACTTTTGTCGCTTGCGGCAGCAGCTGCAGCGGCGGAGGCATACTTGAGGTCACCGGCGGGACGGGTGGGGAGGGGGGCAGGCTTCATGCCAGGAGTGGCACTGGATGAAGCAGTAGTGTGGAGGGTAGCGAGAACGGGAAGCGGCGATTTCATCTGCGTCGATGGTCTTCGAGGTGTCGGCGCTTCAGGCTTCGCTTTTGGCTTGGGTTCGAGCTCTTCATCTTGAATCGATTGAGCGTCTTGTGATGATACCCGATCACCTTCGCCGCCCATACCAAATTGTGCCTCGACCTCCTCGCCAATATTCAGATCATCGTAGAGAGTTTCGTCCTCGCCAGAGTAGTCAAGGTTGCCCCCTTCCTCGACGTAGTATTTGATGCTTTCCTTGAGATCTTGTACCGCGCCCACATCCAGGTTGCCGTTTTGTAACGAACGATTGAGGAACTCCAGCTTGTTTACGTGCCATTTATGTCGTTCCGTGACGTGGGAGATGTCCGCCATTCGATCCGCCTTCTTCGTGTCCTTCTTGCCCTTCTTCATCTGCGCATGAAGTGTCTCTTCCTCCGCCTCCAAGGCTTCGATCTTCAGCTGAAGCTCGTCCACCATACTGGCGAGGAACTCAGAACACTCCACTCTCTCCTTCTCCTTTGGGTCAAGTCGCGACGCTGCCGATAGGCCTTCCTTCGAATACGCTTTCGTCTTCATCTCCTTCTCAACGGCCTTGAATTGTTCCATGCACTATTGAGGCTATTAGCCTACTGCCCATTGAAGAAACCATGGATCTTGGAAGGGATCCAAGGTCGAAAACCAAACATACCACTTCAATAGCTTTCCGTTGTTCCATCAGGGGAGCTTTATCCTTGACTTCATTTCCAGCGGCCCAAGATTTGATCTGATCACGGAACCTTTGGAGCTTCTTGATTTCGCGCTTGAGGTGGTCTTCGAGCTTGTCCCGCTGCGTGGGATTTGTGGCCTGGCGTATTTTCTCGTAAATGCCTTCAAAAGTTTGGATCCCTTCAGCGACCTTTTTAAAGGTCTTATCAATTTCTTGTTGCGTTTTTCGGGCTGCCATTGTGAGCCCGTTGGTTGTGGACTGTGCCGTCCACTGGCGTTGATATTAATGTGGTCGGAATGGGGAGGTAATGCGCTATCGACCGGGAGGATCAAAAGTGCACAGTCGAGCGGGTTGAAATCGGAGGGATTGCGAATGTGCTTGTTTGATTCAACGAGGGACAGAGACTCGGAAGCCCATGGAATGCTCTCCGCGTTTGAGTGGAAAGCTTCGTGGTTGCTCTAATAGGTAGGCGGTCACGGGCGGAGGCGAACATGAGGGCGGCGCGAGAGGAGATCGTGGTCTTGGAAACCAGTCACTGTCGCATTTGAGTCGCTCTCAGTCGGTGTTTATTTTACTTTTGTGCTAACAACCCGTGTCGCGCTGATAACGCGAATCAAAAGACCTCCTACTTGTTCAAGGCAACGCTTTGTGCCAGCACTATCAACGATCTTATCTTGTCCACATCGTCAACGGCGGGTATGTTCCCCAGTTCCACCGAGCTATTCCCCATGCTAATTTTTGTATAGAAGCTTGATACATCGCAAACATGAAAGGTTGCGACCGATAACCTCTACAATGCATCGAAATCGCTAATATCGCTTAGTCGTTATTCAAAGAGTCAAATCGGCATCCGTGACTGTTGATTCGGAGTTGGTCTCCTCTATTGGGAAGGGACTCCTTGTATTTGCCGGCATTGGCAAGGAAGATACCGAGAAAGACGCAGAAAATTTAGTGAACAAAGTGTTGAAGGCTAAATTCTGGCCTGATGACAATGGAACACAAGTAAGGCAAATTGGTCCATATGTGCCACGGCGGCTATTAACATCATCATAGTGGAAAAAAAGTGTCAGGGATATTGAGGGAGAAGTACTCTGTGGTATGCTCCCCCTCGTCTGCTATGTCCTTCTCTACGAACAATGCTAATGGTTATCTGGTATAGTTTCCCAATTCACCCTTTATGCGAAAATGAAGAAAGGCAATAAACCCGACTTTCATGACGCAGCTAGCCCGGACACCGCACGCAAGATCTATGACTTCTTTTACCAAAAGATGGGTGAAGTCTATACCCCTGACCGAGTCAAGAATGGTGTCTTCCAAGCAATGATGGAGGTTGAACTGAAAAACGACGGGCCGGTGGGTGTAGAATACTGCAGCGCAGACGCGGCGGTACATTTTGCCTTTCTGGCTCCTTTTTCTCGCCGCTATTGAATTTTTACTGACTGATTTCATTCTAGGTTACCATTGAGATCAACACCAATCTGCCCAAGAAAGAGCCCAAGGAGCAGAAAGATGGAGACAAAGAGTCCGACGTACAAGACATCAAGGGATCATTTGAATTTCAAATCCCTCCTGAATTGCTCCAATGAAAACCGCAAAGAGGAATAGATATAGAATAAAGCTTTATATATCCATAGAAGTTAGCAGATACCCTCAATACAATTTGTTGCATACTTCGTTGCTGCATAGTACCTGTCCCAACGAAGTCGGGGTGCCGCAATGGAAGCTTCCTGAACCACAGACGCCGCACTCCCCCACAATGCGCCTCACTTCATTCTCCTCCACCTTTTCCCAAGATCACTTTTGAACCTCTCTCGTATTCTTCCCCACTTTTTGCATTTCTTTTTCTCACTTCCCACTCCACAGCCATGGCGACAGCTCAGCGTAAGTCTAGTGCGGGGTCCACCGATCTGCCCGCGGAACGCAAAGATTGATGTGGTCGAGTGACTGACCAGCTTGTAGGCTCCCGTGTCTTCTTTGACATTCAAATCGGTGACAGCAAGCCTAACCGTGTTGCATTCGAGCTGGTAAGTGACGGCCCGCATCCTCATGTCGCGTTTGGTTTACAGCTAACATTAGAGGCGTCATACAGTTCAACGATGGTACGGCATGATTTTCTCGACGATTTGGGACGTGACTAACAACAGCAACAGTTGTCCCCAAGACCGCTGATAACTTCCGTGCTCTCTGTACCGGCGAGAAGGGCATTGGCAGCCAGGGCAAGGAATTGACCTACAAGGGTATGTCTGCATTACCCCGCCCCCATCACGTTGGCGCCCACTAACCGCCGCGTTCCGATACAGGCTCAATTTTCCACCGTGTGATTAAGCAATTCATGATCCAGGGTGGTGATTTCACTGCGTTCAACGGCACTGGCGGCGAGTCCATCTACGGCGAAAAGTTCCCCGACGAGAACTTTGATCTCAAGCATGACCGTCCCTTCCTGCTCTCCATGGCCAACTCCGGTCCCGGTACCAACGGCAGTCAGTTCTTCGTCACCACTGTCCCTACTCCTCACCTCGATGGCAAGCACGTCGTTTTCGGCGAGGTGATCAACGGCAAGAGCGTGGTTCGCAAGATCGAGAACCTGAAGACCCAGTCCGACAAGCCCATGAAGAACGTCACCATTGTGGACTGCGGTGAGCTCTCCGGAGAGGACTACAAGAACGCTGCTACCCGCCAGCAGGATGCCACTGGCGATCCATACGAGGACTTCACCGAGGACCACCAGGGTGAGGAGCTCACCGCGCCTCTGTGCTTCAAGATCGCTTCCGATCTGAAGGGCTTCGGTAACACTGCTTTCAAGAAGGGCGATCTCGAACTCGGTCTTGAGAAGTACCAGAAGGGTCTGCGCTACTTGAACGAGTTCCCCGAACCCGATGAGAATGACCCCAAGGAGCTGGGCGAGCAGATGAAGGCCCTCCGATTCACCCTGCACTCCAACTCTTCCTTGCTCGGCAACAAGCTCCAGAAGTTCCGCCAGGCTCAGAACTGGGCCACATATGCGCTCCAGGTCGCCGATGCCGCCAAGGCCAAGGACGCCGACAAGGCCAAGGTCTACTACCGCCGTGCCGTTGCCCACGAGGGTCTGAAGGAGGAGGATGCCGCACTCAAGGATCTGCTGGAGGCCGAGAAGCTGGCTCCTGGCGATGCCGGTATCATCAACGAGATTGCCAAGGTCAAGAAGACTGTTAAGGACCGCGAGGCCAAGGATAAGGCCGCTGCTCGAAAGTTCTTCTCTTGAACATCTGGCACTTGGTTTGTTCGTATATTTCCTTTGTTCCATCACGATTCACGACGTGGTATCCTCGCTCACCGATGACCCATGATGTATGATATAACATCATTAAGGCATTCTGCCTCGTTCTCTGTGTGTTTGGGTCAAATCCATGCTGTAATCCCTTCTATGTGGTAGGTCTCGTGTAGTGCGGCATCTCAGCCTCCAAAATGAAAAATCCACCCAAATTATCGGGAATGTCTCTAAACACGGTCAATGATATATACCTAGCTAGTCGTATTTGAAACTACATATTCTGCGCCGTGCGCTATTTTGAAGCGCCTGTGAAGATATACAGCGTTCATCTCAACAACGAGAGTCAAAATAGCTGTTCTCTAATCACTGAAGTTCTCTGCTCTTTCACTCCTGCTCACAAATCTAAAAACCAATATGGCCTCCGAATTGTGCTCGATATCCTCCATACTAATCGTCGGTCCTGGGGTATGGGGGTGCTCAACCGCCCTTCATCTCGCCCGTCGAGGATGCACCAATGTCAAGGTGCTGGATCCTTGCCCTGTGCCGTCACCCATTGCTGCAGGGAACGATATCAACAAAATCATGGAGCACAAGCAGCTGAAATGTAACTACTTTCGGGCTTTTCCCTTCCTTGTCAAACATTCATGCAATAAACTCATCGGCTAATATCCACTAGCACCAGATTATGCTCACGATTTGAGTCTTGCCTTTACGACTTTCACTAGGGCCGCATTGCAGGGTTGGAAGACCGATTCAGTATTTCAGCCGCACTTCCATGAGACTGATGGATTTCCAGGACGTGAAGGAGAATGAGTGGACGAATGTTGTATAAGAGACTAGCGTCATATTGTTAAAACTCAACTGGTTGTGCTCTTTAAATATACCAGGCATCCTCTCTGTTGAGACACTGATACTCTATATACTCTATCCAACGTCCCCCTCCTTCTCATCTCCCTTCCACCAAATCCAGCTAACCTTGCAGCAAAATCACGTCTTAATAGTCCCAAAGTCACAAGGCACTGCAAGCAGGAATATTTTCATGTTTCTCCCAATACCAAGAGACTCCAGGCTGACTGATGCGGTTTTAAAGGTGTCTTCATGTCATGTTCCGTTACGGTATTTTCCGCGTCAGATATTGCCTTAGAGGACCAATTGACGGAACTCTTCACATTCAGCAGCGTTGCACTCGTGTATAAGGTACAGGTAGACACTCGCGAGACTCCAGATCCCCCAAATCGACCGTAGAGTACGGCAGTTCGGTAGACTGGAGTTTGGAATTGGATCTGGGCTCGTGTGACTCGGAGTGTGTCTTCGAATGACAGGCGAAGGAGTAGCATTCAAGAAGTCCTTTTTCATGGATAGTTGGTTTGATGAGAGGAAATATCTTTCACCGTAAGACATTTTATATTATAGGATCTTGAACCACTGCCGGTAGTCTGCGCCTTGACCCAGACCCTAGTTTCAAACTATGCGCATCAGCCGCTCGTATTGCCGCCTGGCCCGATCATCATTCTAAAGAAAAGTATAAGTAGATAAATCTACACCGAGCTTTCAAAGCAATTGTCCAATTGACCACCACGCCGTGGAGGTAGCACTGGATCCATTTTTGCCACGGGGTACTGGGTGTATGCATTTGCTTCAATAGGAGGGGATATGATAATGGTTTCTAGTAGTCCTATCTGAGAACCACCGAAATAAATGTCATAACATTGCAAACAATTCTTTATGAGAGATGGGGATCTTTCTTACCCCCTTGATGAGGTTGAACCAATCTATTTCACCTCCGCATGTACCTCCAATGCATCATATATCCGCCCAAAAAGACCATCATGCCAGTTCCTCACATCCTCCCAGTCACCCTCCGGTAGCGTGGCGCGCATGTTCCGCAGCCACCCACCAACAATCAAGTCCGCATAGCTGGCCTTGCTACCGAGTATGAAGGGTCCACTCGTGTCCTTCAAGAAAAGCTTACCCAATTCACCCAGCGTATTCCGGAAAGATTCCTTCAATTTCTCCCGTGGCTCGCCTGAGATTGCAAAATCATCCCAGCTCTTCACACCCCCGCGCCGCGCGAACTCCGCTTTACTGATCTCGGCAGTAGCGGGGTCGAATGGGAGATTCTGCACTCCAAGTTGCACATGCGAGGTAAAGGCTGCGTCGACATTCACATTGAACTTGGCGTATTCAGGGAATGGGCTCTCGGGGATTTCTGACAGTGGTATCATGATCGGATTCTCTGGCTTGAAGACATAATCGATGGTCTGAGGAGGGAAAAGGTCACCCGCGCCAGAGTCCGGATACGTCTGCTGTAGATGGACTGCGATATCAAAGGAATCTCCGACCGATGAATTGGTGTTGGGATCTTCGATGATCGGTAGAGTGAAAAAGTCGGTTCCATCGGCAAACTTGCGACAGGCGGGTACTTTGAGACTGTTGCGAACCTTGGCAACGTCAGGCAGAGGCACCCATGTGGTGGAATATGGGATACCCTTGAAGTTGAGTGCCATTCGGGCTTTCCAGGGGTTGGGTGAGCAGCAGCTTTTCTCTACTGGGGGCCGCATGGCGATGTCATAGAAGGTGATAGACTTGGTAGACATGGTGATGGGTGAGGAGTGTTGCTCAGATAAGTTGGATATTGTGTCTTTGGAGAGGAAAAGACCTTGATGAAGACTACCTAAGTAATTGAAGGGCTTTATATATCGTGGGGTGCGGGGGCTAAGTTGCTTGACTTTGCTACATCTGGTGGATGTTGTAGAGGGCTGACGTGGGGTCCAAGTGATTCACCTTGACTCATGCCCCACCTCTTCTCCACCGTATCTTTGCCAAGGCAATCCAAAGCATTCATTGTGATCCCACCATTCTGTTTCTCGTGAATGTCTTCTCTATGGCCCCAGGAATACGGAGCACCCGGTCGGCGAACCCGGGGGACATGCAGTGTACGCCAAGAGTATCCAGAAGAAGGGATGAATCTTTGATTGTCATCATGAGCCATGCAGCATTGATCGGTTATCTAGTGAGAACTAAAAATATATCGAGTTTTAGCTCAAACTGTGCTCATCTTATGCAGCTAAAGGATCAGAGTAGAGGCGCTTCTTCTCTTCTTCCTTCACTGCACAGCGACTGCATTATCGTATTCTGCATTGATTCCCTCTCGGCGTATCGATCATATCATTGACAACGGTATTGAACTTTGGGTTGATCGAGGCTCATTTTGAAAACAGAAGTATCGACTATATGGTAAGTGCCATCCGCTTCCGACATAGATGACCTTGAAAGGGTAGAGGAATGTCTCGTCTATGCCATCGCGGCTGTCACAGAGCAAGGATACTGTCAATTTATCACGAAAAGCCATGGAAGTGCTGGTGGCCTAATTAAGACCACAAGACATGATTTAACAGCCTAAAACTGGGCGATAGTGGTAGGACGTCGATAGCAATACCCTTGACCCCTGTTGAGGAAACGCCCCGACTATCTTGTGTCCCCTGCTCCATCTTTTACTTTTGACCTCAAAAGCCACTAATGATGGGTTCCTTATTCATGGTATCCCAGGATCTTCGACCTGTCTAGACACCGAATTGGAACCACAAATTTTCACCCTTGTGGAACTATTTATTAGCACAGAGACCCCTCGGGATTTCCGCCTCCCATCATAATAACCAAGCATATATTCAAGTGGCCAATCATGATTATGAGCGAGGCAGAGATAACGGCAGGTGCTCCAGGGTATCTGAAGGTATGGGGCCCTGCACTGATCGCTATCGGAAATTCGTTATTCTTTCTAGCCACTATCCTCATGATCTTACGTATATACACCTTTTTCTCTATAAAGAGAACGAGAGTCATCTGGCCTCTCCTATGGGCACTGACATCCTGGTTAGTACATTTAAATTAGATGAATTGGTTTTCTGATACGTTTCAGTTCCTGGGTGCCGCCGGCACTATATTTTATAGCTTTGAGGTTACCCGTCCTGATCTTTATATACGATCAAAAGTCAACATCATCCCGACCATCATCGTGTGCTTTGCCATCGCATCTGCTAAAATGGGGATGGTGATGTATATTCTCGAGGTACAAAACCGCGCCGGTAAAAGAATTGGGAAGTGGGCTATGCTGGTTGCTGTAGGGCTAAACGTATGTCATTTCCCACAATTGACAATCAATGACTATAGCAACTGCTTATTCGAACCTGTATAGCTGGCCTCTTATATCGCCTTGATTCTAATAAAGGTATTTCACGATTACAAGACCAACAGGCCAGTGCGCACTGGGCTCAAGCTGGGCGATCGGTGGTTTGTCGGTGCCGGGGGTATGTCTTTCTTCCAATCTCAACAAGTCGCAGTACAGCTAATATATGCGGTCCAACGCTTTAGCATGGAGTGTTGTCACAGATCTTTTCCTCGCTATATACCCGGTATTGATGATTTGGAAATTACAAATGCGGAGAAAGATCAAGCTCATCATGTGTGTTTTGATGAGCCTTGGTATACTTGCCGCTGGCCTGGGGATAGCGAAGATGATTGAATTCATGCTTACGGACTACAGTTGTGAGTTAGACCTTGGCATATCTATGGATACTTGTGGCATGCTCGCAGGATGTATATTCAAGCAAGCTATTTGTACGAGGTGGACTGACATGTGTATCTCACAGACAAACTCGCAATGTGGTTAATCTTTCATGTTTCCGAGGCGTGGATATTGTTAATTGCCTCGAGTGTCCCCCCCACTGTGGCCGCTGTTCAAACGCCACATGGCGAAACCGGAAACCGTTTGAGCGATGGTATGTTCCGAGTTAGCCAGATCACTCCGCCGGGAGAGCATCTAGAAAGCCTGACTAGGAGGCCTTGGGTGGTGCCATGATGAAAATTGTCTATGATTGGAATGGCTGTAAGATGGACTACTTGAAGTTTCAAGTAAAAGATGTCTGACCAAAAATACCCAAAGTGTTCCGCTAGATCTGGTATCACTCCCCCTGTTAATCAATTCTTTTTGATCCTTAGCGGTTGGGTTGAGATGAATTCATCGTCATTTCCTTGCTTATAGCGTTCACTGATACTTGATCCCAGGAGAGCTAGGGACCTCGTCATCGCGCTCATCTGTGTGCACGTTAAGCTTGTCAAGGTTGTCAAGGGACAAGCGCAAGAAGTCATGCTTGTTCTTCCAGGTGACCTGGCTTTCTGCAAAGTTTTCACTGTCGGCGGGAGCTGGAGGCGGGTCGGTAATCTTGGTGACAAGGTACGCTGTGGATGCCTCAGCAACTCCGTACATCAATACGCCAATAAATGGAGTGCGGAGCAGAACGGTGAAAGCGAAGGCAAAACCGAAAAGGACGCCCTCTCGGTCTCGGAACCACCGACGCTTTTGCTCGGCGGTGAATTTGATTCGGCAGAAGTACGGTTCGAGCTAGACATTGTTAGAATAATCCGGACCGAGGAAAGGCAACTTGACTCACAAGCTCACGCATCAGACTGCGTGAAGAGAAGTAGGTGTGAAGGAACATCACGATCCAGTTCTTCGGCAGGAACAAGCCCGCGCCGAAAATAACGGCTGCGGGGCCAGAGCCAACGTGGCTTCGGAACGTGTAGAAACTTGCTGCCGGCATGACAAATCGACCGATGATTACAACCATGGAAAGAAGGTAGAGGCCGAGCATCATGCCAATCTTCTTCACATAGCGGTTGAAGAATGACTTCAATGCTTCTGGAATCGGCCGGGAGCCAGCTTTCGTTGTGTATTGGATGAGATGGGGGTAGTATAGGGAGCGAAGTTTGTTAGGATCCTCCGCTTTATGTTTCTGGAGGTATGTGGCGTCCACCCATTGAATTGACTGCATGAAGCTGATGAAATGGTCAGTGAAGATTGCCAATCAGTTCGATGAAAAGAAACCGTACATTTCATCCAGCGTGGGAGTCACATATCGCATCAAAGTCATGAGCAGGAAAGGTACCTGAAGTACAGACGTGGACATGAACTCAAGGCCATTGAGAAGCTTGTCGTCCCAGACTGCCTCCTCTAGGTCGATCACCCATGATAAGATGTAGATGAAGACCTTAACACTGAAGATCTTGGATTGAAGTTAGACGGGAAGTCCCGATAAATGTGACATAGTGTGAAACATACTGGGATCTGGATGATCAATTGAATAATGATGCCCACAGCTATCGCGAGACCTGCTTGGCGGAAATGGTCATACTTGAATAGTTCAGGGTTGGATAATGCACGAACAGCTGCAAATCTCAGTTAGCAAGTGTCAGGAAACCCATGGACCATTCAAAAGTTCATTCCAAGGCAAGTGACAGGGAGGGGCTGGCTGCATTCAGTACAAGTAGCTCCTTGCTCGAAGTCTTGGGAGAGAGCTATCTTCGAAAGTGCCCAAACCCAATGTTGTTTGCTGGTATGCATAGCCAGGTATTTGGCTAGGCATTCTAAGCCAATGATAGACTCGGATGGCTGATAAAAAGCAATAAACCATTTAGGGAGATAGACATACTTCCTACCAATGTGAGCTGGAAGCCGCGGATCACGGCATTCAGCTCAAAGTTCGACATCGTCTCTTTCGAGAATTTGGAAAGATCCAAATGAGTATTACTGCTCGCAACGCTAGAAGTGTCGAAAGAGTTAGAAAACTAGCAGCAATATCCCTTTTAAAGGGGAACCAGAATTAACTGTGGATGCCTAACCATTGCAAGCTGCATTGGGATCACATGACCGTATGGCCTGAGGCTGCAGTGCATCTCCCCGCGTAACATAGTGCAGATAAGCCCCGTCTCTTTGCATCGAATACCCTGGCTTCTTGCATTCTCCTGTACAAACATGTCTCTATCTTAATATCCTTCAAACTACTCTCCTTTTTACCCCTTATTGATCGCATTCATGAACCATGCCCGAGTCTCCAAGTGAGCCGGGTCAGATACAGTCCCTTCGTCGTTCCGTGACCCTTCCTACCAAGTTAAATCCACTCGCGCAACGCCGCTCGAGTGTCCCAAATACCCCAGAACATGTAATTTTCTATCATCCATCCGCGAAGATCGTTCATTTTGCTCCACGAGCACTCGCCCCTATTCCCTCCAGTTCTGCGCCCTCCGACTTCGACTACCCCGTTGACACTATCGAAACACTCCCCTGGCGCTCTGCGACTGAACGAACGGTCGCAACAGCGCCATTGAGGCTGGAGAAGGTCCATGGGTCAACAGCGTTTCTGAAATGTGGAAATGTCGTCCATGCGATCCTGAAGAACTCCCAGTGTTGGTGCGTTGACGGGGTCTCGAAGTTTGTACTACGCATTCGTCCTCTTACATACTATCGCATTGAGATTCCTTACGAGACGGACGACGATCGAAGCCTAGTGCAGGATTTGAAGATAGCGTTTCCAACAATACTTCGGTACGAGGTGACGCCATGTCCTTTCAAACGGACCTTTAGCGTCGAGCTTCCTAATGATGCGATGGCACCTCGGCGCAAAAAGGCCTGGCAACCCAAAGACCGGAGACACAGAATACCGACCATTTTAGAACCTCCGCTTGAGAATCTATCTCCCGTTTCAACTAGATCGGAATGCATCGATTCAGCAAGCACCGGAGATGACACCGATGGAAACTTGACCGATGACAGTTGTTCTACTTCAAACAAAGCCAGTAGCGCAGCCTTGGAGGCCATTCCCGACGATACGCAGGCACCTACCATCAATTTGTCAATCCCGTTCCCATCAATTGGCACTCCTAGGCGATCAGTGTCCGAAGGCCCACCAGCTTTCACCAGCCTGCTTGCAAAATTCGAGGCTACGACAACCACTGAAGATGATTACGACTCTTCGTGTGAACTCAAGCCAGACGACGGGTCGAATTTTGATACTGTACTTCAACTTGATACTGAAGCACAGCCTCCTACAGAACAACTCAATTTTGAGCTTCCTGTCCACAGTGGAGTCGAAGCTGAGCCTGGATCCGAACTCGCACCGGATGCTGAAATTCCAACAGATATACAAATTGTATCCAAATCCGAGCCTGAAGCTGGGCCTGGAGCCACTTTACAAGCCCAATCTCTAAGCGAAGCCGCGGTGGAAGCGGAGTCTACAATTTCAATCGAGACCGAACAAGTCTCAGAGGCCGAAACTTCGGAGGAAATTGTGCTTCAATCCCAGCCTACGATTGTAACTGAACTGGAAGTCTCCACACTAAGGATCGATCACGATTGCTTCTTCGCGTCTAGCGCCGAGTCATCCCACTCCGCTGAGCCTCAATCCCCAGATTCAGTCTCCACCCATCCTACATCTGTTGGGGGGCCTGATTTGCCCGAGCCAACCGAGATGTTCAATCTTTCGAATACGAAGGAGGCAGTTTCTGGGTGCGAATCAAAGCTAGCGAGTCCATGCAAGACAACACAGCTTCCCACAGTCGATATCTTCGCACGGGATAATGTCGCAAACGCAACCGGGATGCATCATCAACTATCAATGCATAATACAGGCCAGAATAACTTGCCCAGGCGCTTCCCGGATGCATTCTCGGATACCTCGCCCTCTATGACTCGTTCAAGCAAAGTGCACCCACCCAGTCGTTTTCTAGATGTTTCCTCGGACGCTTCGAGGCGCCTGCCGCCTCCCGCGAAGGCAACTTTATCCAATCCGGATCTTGACCCGATTAGTGCTGAGTTTCGGCGTCGCGCCCAAGCCACAAGAGAACGTGACTTTTCCCCTATGCCTCCTTCTTCGGCGTTGTACCTCCCATCCGGTGATGATGCATCATCGTTCATTTCCAAAGCTATCACCCTGGTATTGATTCCCCCAGCCTATCTACTTGTCATTCTTCTTCACATTGCGGCCCGCATTGTCGACAACCCAACTCCCCACCGGACTATCACCTCCACACCAAGCGAGTCCACCTCCCGACCCCAGCACTCCAAAAAGTCTTCAGCCTCAGAGGACGATTTCAGCTTTCCACTGAAGCCCCTCACTTCTTCGGAGCATGACGATGCCCGAACTACCCAAAAGCCCAATCCTTGGGATTTGGACTAGCTGGCAGAGGCGCCCACTTTTCAATCTCCATCCACATCTTTCTCCTTTACGTGGAATCTTTTCCTTTCCCATCTTTTGCCCGGTTTAATCATTTCACTTTGTATCACCTTCTCCATACGGACCGTTCTAATGTTTTCTTGTTATGATCTTTCGCACCTAATTTCACGACTTACGGTGGACATAGGGCACGGTTTGTATTCTACTGGATTTCTGTATTCTAGCGTTGCATGTATTATCGAAGGGAACACGGGGTCATATCAAACGAATAATTAATTGATGCAAATACGCTATTTTTATCTCCAATCATGCTCTTTCTGTAGCGTAGGTACCACCAGACTATCCGGCATTCCTACGTAGTGTAGAGCTATTTGATTTGACTTAGGAGATTACTTAAGAGATGCAATCCACACAAAGTAGTGCCCGCTTGGAATGCTAAGAGCTCTTCATTTATTTCCCCGCCCGATGGGACTTGTATGAACAAACAAAGCGCCCATAAATCACAAGAGCAGGGGAATATGTACACTTGAGGGTTGAAAGAATCGAGAACAATAAGCCAGAACCACCACTGAACGCCAGCTAATGCATGAGAAAATAAAGCCATCAAACACATCGCGTGTCAGGTATGAGCCAAGTACACAGAGGCGATGATGCTGTCTGGTAAATGGACCGAATAGCAAATCTATGCTTTTGCGACCTTAGCAGCTCCGCCCTTGGTCTTGGCCTTGCGGCCGCGGCGATCTCGCTTCTTCAACCCGGTCATTCCTGCCTTGCAGACCTCAGCGTAACGAGCGTAGAACGCCTCGAGATCATCGGGGTTGACGATGGTTGACAGCTTAACCTTTGTTGACTTGTTCTTGGTGATCTTGCCATTCTTGCTTGCGGACTTGGGGTTTGGCGCATTGGTGTTTCCATCGGTGGCTCGGATGAGGATAGATGGTTGGGAGTTTGTAGTAGTGGCACCGGGCACATCGATAAGAGGTTTTTGAGTGAGATTTACCGAGCCATGAGTCTGTTGGGAGGTTTTGGAGAGCAATTCGCCGAGAGATTTGAAGAACTAGAGGTCGCCGGTGTTAGTGATATAGCTTGGGATTCGGAGGTGGTCGCATGCGCGGAGGTGTAGCGATCAGGTAACACCAATATCAATATTTACCTCATCATGTCCCAAATGCGGCGCCATATTGAAGAATGCTTGTGCAAGGCGCGCGGTAATTGAGCGATCTGAAAGCTGGAGCAGATGATCAATACGCAATTGACAGCTGGGCACAACTCGCAGTGGGGGGAGAAACTCCGCTGTGGGTGCCTCTCCGCCTTTGCTTTGGGGCGGCAGAAAAGTGAAAAAAGTTGTCTACCGCCTCCGGTGGTACCTGATGTCGAGGACCAGCATTCAGAACTGTTGAGAGCAGACAAGATATTTCGCAGAAACAAGATGCCTCGCCCTCGGCATAAGACCACTGCTCTGCCTCGGGATCTCCGATCCGAGCTCGGAATCCGCGATAGCTACGGCGAAAAGAAGCGTCGTCTCAACGGACCTGCCTCGCGCAAAGAGCGCCGCCAAAATGAGCGTACGGAGAAGAAATCTCGACATGCAGCCTCGCAACACAAGAAGACTTTTGAGCGCCCACAGCAGCGGCCTCAGCAGAAAACTCAGCGACCAGCTCAGGTCGACAGCGACGACATGGACCTTGACGAGGAACCAAGCGCACAGCCGACAAAGTCTAAATCTACGAAGGAGACTGCGAAGAAACCCAAGTCAATTCTGAAGAAAGCACCTGTTCAACAAGAGTCTGAATCCGAGTCTGAATCCGAGCTTCAGTTTGACTCCGGATCAGAGATAGATCTCAACGAGGATGACAGTGAAGATGAAGATGAGGAGTCGGACGACGATGCGTCCGAAGATGAACCCGAGGAAGATATCCCGTCTGCAAGGCACATCTCAGGATCAGTTAAGTCCAAATTGGCGCAAGACGATGCCGAGATCGCTGCATTGGAGAAGAAGCTTGGCCTCAAGAAAGGTAAATTGCCGAAGGCCTCTGAGGACGACGGATTGGATGATTTGCTGGGAGACCTTGGCGGTATCGGCGGTGATGGCTCAGAGGACGAGAGCAAGAAGCGCAAAAGAGAAGCCGACGATTGGCTACGGAACAAACGACTCAAGGCCAAGAACTTGCAGGCTCAACAAACCGCAGAAGACGATAGTGAAATGGATAGCGCTGAGGATTTTGATCTGGACGAGGAAGTTTTCGGGAGCGATGACGACGAGGCAGCAGATGGAAGCGATTTCGATGGCTTCGACGAGGAAGAGAGGAAAGAGCCCAAGCAGAAAGAAAATCCTTATATCGCCCCGGTCACAAAGCCTGAACCCACAGCTCAGAAATACATCCCACCTTCACTGCGCGCGCGCCTTGACCCGGAAAACGAATCTTTGACTCGACTCAAGCGCCAAGCACAGGGACATCTGAACAAATTGTCCGAAGCTAACATGCTTTCAATTGTTGCTGAATTCGAAAAGCTCTACCGCGATTACCCTCGTCAACATGTCACATCCACCTTGATCAATTTGCTGATGGGATTGATCTGTGAGAGGGCGGCTCTGCAGGATACCTTCCTCATTTTGCATGCAGGTTTCATTGCGGCGTTGTACAAGCTGCTGGGAATGGACTTTGGCGCAGAGATTGTTCAAACCGTTGTCGAAACATTGGATGCTGATGGTGATGAGCGAGGAAAGTTCCAAGGAAAAGAAGCTACCAACTTGGTGTCTCTTCTGTCACAACTTTACAACTTCCATGTTATCGGTTCCTCGTTAATGTTCGATTACGTTCGTCTTTATGTGAACGAGATTACAGAGACGAACACCGAACTTTTGCTTAAGATTATTCGGAGTAAGTGGTGATACCCCAAGACAAGATGCGATTACCAGTCCCCTAACCTGTATACAGATTCTGGCCCTCAGCTCCGACTGGATGACCCATCTGCGCTCAAGGACATTGTACTGCTCATTCAGCCCGCGGTTGCCAAAGCCGGCGAAGACAGTCTGTCTGTTCGAACCAAGTTCATGATCGACCTCATCACAGATTTGAAGAACAACCGCGCAAAGGCCTCCGCTGCAATTGGCGCAGGTATTACCACGGAACACATCACCAAAATGCGCAAGATTTTGGGTTCTTTGAACAGTTCTCGCACTATCCGTGCATCCGAACCTATTAACATCTCCCGTGACGATATCCACAATTCTTCGAAGAAGGGCAAATGGTGGCTGGTTGGCGCAAGCTGGAAGGAAGATCCTCTTGTAGCTGCACAGCGTGAAATGGCCCTCGTTCAAGAAAGCCAGACCCAAGTCCAAGACGACGAAAGCGACGGCGAGCCTGACTTTGGTGTCCTCGCTAGAGCCCACCGCATGAACACAGATGTCCGTCGCTCGATCTTTGTTGCCATCATGTCTGCCAATGACTTCCAGGATGCGCATGTCCGACTCATGAAGCTTCGCCTCAAGCGTGCTCAGGAATTCGAAATCCCCCGTGTGCTCCTGCATTGTGCTATGGAAGAACAGGGCCACAACCCTTACTACTCCCTTATCGCACGCCGACTTTGTGGTGATTTGGGACGTCGTATCAAGATGTCATTTATGTTTGCGCTGTGGAATGTCTTCAAGAAGATGGGTGAGCGCGGAGATATGGACGAGGATGAAGATGATCACTTTGACCCCGACGATGAGGAGAACGGCGTCAGCATGAAGTCTGTGGTTAACCTGGCCAAGATGTTCAGCACCCTCATTACTGACGGTAGCTTGACACTGAGCATTTTGAAGAATCTCAACTTCGCATACCTGCAACCCAAGACCAAGACCTTCGTCGAAGTCTTGATCATCAGTATCATTCAGCAATCCCAGAAGTCCAAGAAGAAGAAGAAGAGTTCCAAGAGCGCTTCAACCGACGAGGAAGGCAGGAATGAAGAAGCTTTGATGCAGGTCTTCCTACGTGTCAAGGAAACCCCACACATTGGCAAGGGCCTTATCTACTTTGTGCGAAAGGTTGTCGCGAAGAGTGACATTGTCTCCCCCGAGGAACTGAAACTCGTTCGGTGGGGATGCAATGTGGCTGTTGATGCCCTTAAGGCTGTTGCGGACTAGGGTGTTGCACCAAGTCCATGCAAATGCACATAGAATATACCCAAGTTGTTACGTTTCTCATGATTTATTCCACTTCATTCCTCAGTCTCCAAACTATCGTAATGCGAAACCATCAATGTAGACAAATCGAATGATCACATATTCAAAATATGGTGAGTGCTCAGGACCGCCTCCGGCCTATATTGACTATGTGCATATTTATGACATTTATCTTAGTCTTCCAGAGCTATAGACATGCGGGCGCGCTGATTGACGGTGAATTTGAGATGCAGCAATCAAATGAGAAGAACTCAGCCGCACCACCCACAACATCGGGGAAAAGACGCCTAATGGTTGGCTGCACGGCCAAGCATAAGCACCAAGATCCTGATTGGAGCCACGCCGCACAACCCGAGGCACTGCCTCATTATGATAACCTCCATTTTCACCAAGGTCCAGTCACACATTCTTGATGCCATATTATTTGGCAAAGAACTGTGTCGCAAAGCATGGCCGAGCTCGCCTGTACCGCCATTGGCGTTCTCTCGTTCGCCTTAGAAGTATGTCAGGGGATCGTCTCCTACAAACAGGCATGGGCGGACTGCGACGACGATATGCAAAATGCACGGAACAAGGCCGAAGTTCTGTGCATGATGCTCAAGACACTACGAGAAACGATAGAGGAACTACAACAGACAAACCCACGAATTGCAGCCGACCTCGAGCAAAAGGCTTTGAGCATGCGCACTTCGATTGAAAAACTTGTGAAGATCGTGGACCGATTCAAACCTGCGCCGTTTGAGGCTTTTCCCGCCAAAGTGCGCGCCCAGGTCAGAAAGGGATTGTATCCGTTCTACAAAGATGCTGTGAAAGATGCACACGTACAGCTAGATCAGATTCAAACGATTTTGCAAACATCATTGCTGATGTGAGTGTAGAGAGTATGGGCGTCTGTGTATGTGTGTTGCTGGGACTAACGCAAACTGTGACAGATATAATTGGCAAGATACAAGAGCAGCGCGAGTCATGCAAATCTCCATTTATGAAGAGATGCGGAGTATGCATTCTACACTGAAGAATACTATATCGTCTACAGGCATGCCGCCGCCGAGTCTACTGCAAGTTGTGTGTGATCGCCAGCGCGAAGAAGTTCCGATAATGCTGATGCAGAAGAGATCATCGAGAGATGAGTATGGTCTATACCAGAATCTCGAATAGGCTTTGACTGATATTTTCTAGCAATCAATTCTCAAATCGACATATCTGGACTGAAGACGAATCAGAGATAGTGACAAGAGCATATACCTATCACAGCCGCCTTTTGAATATCGCGATATCTATGTCTTTCTCCATGACTCGAGGAGCTGGAGGGTTCTCTATTGCGCCAAGCTTGCATGTCCAAAGCATTTGGAGCGAGAGTAGTGAGCGATATCACGAGGCTAGCGAATTGATGATAGGCTGTATACTAGATGAGTCGATCATTCCGAGATTACAGACTGCCTTCTTAGAACGGCGATTGTCTCCCTTCGACACTTTCTATTCATTGCCGCCGTATCGTGATAGGGTTAGTTCTCTAATGGATGTATGTTCACAATCTCTCCACTTGGATATATGTGTCTAACAGAGAATAGATGATGTTCCATGTAATGAGCACGCAGTGTCTCGATTTGAATCCACCGCAAGCCTTTTCCAACTTGATCAAGTTCATGCTGGAATGTGGCATGAAGCCGAAAACAGATGATAGGGAGCTATTCGGCGGATTGCTTGCACTTTTCGGACTGATTGAACTCGCCGTGAATGATCTTCCGTCGGTTTTGGAACTAATTGAGTTGAGAGGGCCGCTTCAACTCTGGCATTTGACTCACTATCCAGAAATATTGAAGCGAAATCTGCGGTTGATTCTTTCCCAAGATGAAGAATGTATTTTTCTTCCCTCTCCACCTTCCTAAAATATCCTGTTTTTCCCGTTCATCGAGGCTGACCGAAATTTACAGTGTGCCACATGCCAAGGATAACCAAAGCAATCATTCGGGAGTCTGAGGACGAGCTCAGGAAGGCTCTGGCGAGTGGAGATGCTTCGCCAGATGATATAGTCGACGAGAGCGGGCGCATCTCGGCGCTGGAATTTGCATTTGGGTGGCCGAAGGGTATCCAAGTTCTTCTACAGTCAGGGGCCAATGTACCCGCTCACTTTGACGCGTTTGTTTCCGGAGAGGGAGAACAATACAATGCTTCAGCCGCCCTATTACTCCAAGGTGGTTACTGCTTTGGGTGGTATGATGTGTTCTGGAGCACGAAGGGCAACGATGATGGCACTAGACAAGCGCTGCTTGTCCACGAGTTAGCGGAAAGGCGAATAAGACTATGGATGCTTATCAAGTCTTCCTTACTTGCTGATGAGATACCGCCTCTCGATGACGGCTCCATGCTCGATGGGTATGCCTCAAACCTTTGCAAGGCTTTGGCTGGCCTTGGGATCGATATTCCGAAATCGCTATGCGTTCTGATTGAGGGCAATCAAGATTCAATTTACCAGAAGCTTGCGGATATGGATATGCCAGCTATCCGCCTGATGGATAGCCTGTACGACGCTGGCTTTCATGACGTTGATTTGCCTAATTCGGAAGGGAGAACGCCATTGATGAGGGTGTGGCCTTTCGTGCATAACATCCCTGAGTTTTTCCGGCGTGTCGCCTGGTTGATGTCAAAGGGTGCCAGTATCGAACGAAGGTTGCCACAATCGAACGCCAAAGTGGCCCACTTGCTCACAAACAGAATCATCAGATGCCACTTTTTGTATCCGAGAGGCGTAAACGAATCACCTTATAACGCAAGCGACGAGTGGAAGAAACTCGCTGCGGGATGGAAAGATGCATACTTTTTCGTACCCACTATACATGACCATTGCAACTGTGCCTGTTCTTTGGGTGGATGTACCACGCTCTCGGTGGCCCTCAGAGGCATTCTTTCGTGGATACCTCGATTCGAATTAGAAGGCCACATGGACCACTTGCGACCCTGGTTCCTGTCACTCGTTGCCTGGCAAAGTTCCTGGCCACATCTTGCGCGAGTGGTACTACGGTCCCTCACGTTTGATGCGTTGGGTCTCACGCATACCTGCTGTATCGAGATCAATGCATATGATGCTTATCCAATCCAAACAGGGAGATCTGATGCAGAGATTAGCAGGATCTTGGATGAGGAGCACTGCTTGCTTCAAGATTTTGAAGAACTGCTACAGGAGATGGAAAGCAAATTTGATGAGCTTGGCCTCTCGATTGAAGAATTCCTCGATGACTACTGGTATGATTGTGTAATCAAGTACCTCTCGAGGCGTGATTCGTACGATGAGCATCATGTCAGGGAAGCAAGAAGGCTGGGAATTTTCCTTGAAGCAAAGGAGTTCCACATACCCAACGTAGCCTCTTTATCGATCTGCTCCCAGATCCGAGAACTGTAAGATGGTTCGCGCTCTGAATAGCGCAAACTATCATTCATGCCTTTAAAAAGGATTCCCAGACAGGGCTGCGAGGATTAATCTAATAACGCCCTGGGTTGGCTGGATATGTATACACATAGACACATAAGCAGCGTGAATATAACGAACCAGAGTCAAATCGCGTTTCTTCCTTGAATTGGCGTCAGCTGCGACCGTTCATTCAGCTGTTTCGATGAGGTCCCATTCCATGGCAATGAGCCAGGCGTCTTTGGCCTCTGTGTGCTCGCCATCTCCGGATGGACCACGCTCCAACACATGACTAGGCACCTGCCCAGGTATTTGAGGTTCGCTAAAGTGTGTCCCAAGCTGCAAATTCCAGTTAAGCCCTTTATGAATGCCCACCAAGTCCCCTTTCCGAAGATGGGGTGTTGACTTGGATCGCGAGGGTCCCATGATCATGATATTCAAAACGTCATCGGGACCTGTTCTCTGCACATGATCCCCAGTAAGCGCTTCGGCCTGTAGGAAAGCAAGAGAGCCACAACCGCTAAGAGCCGACTGGCTGACATGATTGATCCGTGCTGTTACAAGATACTTCCTCAGCTTTTCTGTCGAGGCGTCTGCACTCTGTACCTCTAAAGGCTGAGTCAACGGAGGCTGTGGGAAATTTTCACGCTTTGCCCCCATTTCCAAAACCCAGCTACGCACCTCAGCAGCCATTCCGCCGGGAATAAAACTTGGCCTACCAGCCCGATTCCGACCACGACGATGCAATGTGCGCGAGGATGGAGAGAACGGCGCAGGGATATCCTCTGCGCCCGGTTTTGGCGGCGGAGAGCGAGGCAGTACAAAAGCTGGTTTGCGTTTCTCAGGTGGCGATATCCCAGGTGTGTGTGTCTTGGGATTGGGTGCAAATTGGCTGCTAGGAGGCCTCGCTGCCGAGGAAAGCATGAAGCGAGGGCGCCCGCGAAACGGTGTTGTCGTTCTCATTTCACCTGGGGTAGATACAGCTGGAGCAAATTGACGAGCACTTGGTGCTGGGGTGCGTTGTGTATTACTATCCGTTGCCTCGACGCTCTGCCTGTTGTGATCAAGCAAATCGATGTGACCAGTTGGTAGATTCAGTGTTTCGGGTGGCGATGAAAGTATTGGATCAATTTGTGTTGGCCTCTTCGGATTCAAGGGTGTAGTTCCCTCCACACGGCGCCTTTTGTTCCTATCTCCGACCGGCGCAAATAGCGCATCAAACTCAGCATCTATAATGCTCGGAGTCTCTGGTTCTTCTGGAGGAGAGCTGTTGATGGCATCATCTGGTAGTTCATTTGATTCTCTTCCGTCATTTCTTATATGACATATAACCCCGACATCACCAGAGTCGTCGACCGCGTCGCGTTGGCGCGAGGGAGTGATACCCCGGGGAGGGAGATTATGGGCAACTTGAGGCGTTGAAGATGGCCCGTCATCGTCTATCACGTCGAATTCCTCATTCCCACTCTGTGTTGCAGTCTGTGACAATAGAAACCGAGGTGTGGGGGCGAATTGAGGACCATTGCGGCGCGTGGATGGGTTGCGGCGGGAAAGGCGGAATGGTGATGGAGTCTAGGGCCGAAATGATTAGCTCAAAGTACTGATCAATGTTGCTACTGCCATACCGCTGGAAAAGGCATTTATCTGAATTGATCAGAAGCCCGAAGGAACACCATGGCTCTACTTCGGTGAGGTTGGTCGGGTCTGTGAAGTGGGAGGTGCGCGTTGGATGGCGGGGAGAAGATTGGCCATCACGCCAATCGAGTCGGAGTGCATTTCCATGGCTACACACAAAGTAGGATGCTAAAGTCCAAACCAAAGTCGAAGAAACGTTGGATATTTCTTCTTTGGGGAATTTCCTGCTGATTTAGCACAATGTCACAAATTCGGAAGAATACGATGCATCACTTTCTCACCTCGATCTATATGTCGTGGCACTCGGTTCATACGCCAATCGACTTAAACCCACCGAGAACTTCCCCTTCAGAATGTACGATTCTTTCTAAATCAGACGCTTATAGATCATTGCTGAAGCGATAATCATCATCGTAGATTTATCAATATCTGGGTATATGATCTAAAGTCCAAAGCCTCAAATACGAGAAATATCACGCAACACCAGTGTATCCGCAGTGTCAGCATCGATGCCGAATCTAATCCGCTGCTCGCCACCGTCATGGCCACTGGGGGGAGTGGGCATTCGATCGAACGAATCTCGTGCCGGAGTCTCATCCTCAGCAAGTGTAGAAACACTAGAAGCACCAGATCCATTCCGAATCCTCTGTCGCTTGACCTCCCACCAGCCCATCGAGAACGAGCGTCCCTCAAACACACCCCGCTCTTTGAGTTCCTCATCGGATTGCCATTCCGAGCCATGGGGCATGAAAGAGTCCAGGATGCGCGATCCATAGAGTAAACTTGCAACAGAAGCAATACTTGTTGGACTCTTGGGCAATATTCCATCGGTACGCATGACATAAAGTGCTATCAGCGCACATATAACCATGCTACCAAGCAAGCCGTCTAGAATTCGAGTCGAGAGTTCGTTTTGCACGAGGTAATTTCTTCCATCGTGAAAGACACCAGTGTAAATAGGTGCTTCCATGATGGCGGGCTCAACAAAGTAGGTTGCGTTGAAGGGGTCGTCAAAGGATTCCCGAGCATTTGTATCGAGTAGTTGTGCTATAATGATACCCCAAACCGCACTGAGTCGATTGCTCAGTTTTTCCGGATCAAGAAGTTCATCTAACGGGACGCCATTGATACCATTTGAAACAGCTTCCAGGATGGCGTCATTGAAAGTGGGATCGGATTTGAATAAGAGATCTTTTAGATCGTGAAGGCTTGGGAATGTGTGCCGGGTTGTATTGAAAGGTGTCCGAGCTGAGCCTTCCACGACTCTGGGAGGGGTATCGGTATCAATTGAAAGCGAAGGGAGTTGAAACTTTGTGTCGACTTCTACCTCTTCGATAGTGGCGTTACAGTATATATAATGATAATCGGTGGAAGCAGCATTATTTGGACCCTTTTTGAGGTATAGAAAGGCGTGCGTGGAGCAGTTTGAAGGCGCATTGCCTGACAGCTTGAACGGGCTAGCGAGCACATAGTCGATCTCATTGGCGATGGAACCCCCAGAGACACGGACGAAACATGGAGAGTATAGCTCGCACCACAATCCCCCCCTTCGAATCTCGCAACCGCCGTTGGCCGGATCTGGTGCACAAATAAAGCGGCTGCGGAGGGCGGGAATTCGTGCGTCGAGGGATCCAGTGTTTGGCGATAGATGGTCAGTGTCGGCGAGTTTGAATTGCGGGAAAGCCAGGTTATTATATGTCCACTGTGGATCAGAGTAATTGAAATTTAGGATGAGACCAGCTGTACTATCGGTGATAAAGTCGTGGGACTCCCAGTAGCTCATATCGTGGCCAGGAGAGGCAGGGTCGCCTAGGTTCCAGCGGGTGATCTGGGTGAGATTCACGGGGGATGTAGGCCCGGAGACTTTGGTAGTAAAAAGACCAGAGACAACGATGGGGTTGAGAGTGGCGAGGAAAAGGGATATTGTAGCTGCAGCTGGCGACCACTGCTGCTTTCTAAGTGTATCAAATACGGCGTAGGGGGCGATCTTGCGTAGCTGGTTCTCTAGGATGGTTGTCTCGGGGGGAGCACGGCCCTCCCAGAGACGGGAATAGGGCTGGACAGTACGTGTGCCAAATTCAACAGATGTGAACAGACAACGAATGATAAACATGACCAACGCTGGAATATAGACCCAGAGATAGTGAATGTAAGGAGACTTTCCATCGACAAGGGTGATCCCACGTTCACTCGTAGAGATGTGGTAGACGACCTCGAGACCTATAATGACGGCTATAGGGATCAAAACGACAGTAGTTCGAATGAAAAATGTGGTAGAAAACGGTTTCCACCAGGTAGGTGAAGAGTCTTTGTCGTCACTAGACTCGATGGATTGGAGCGATGATTGATCCTGAGGAACAAGCATAAAAGCCCCCTTTGGATCGATCAAAGTACTATACTGGGCCTGACCCAGTTTGGATTGCGCCATCTCTTCTTCTGACTTGCACTGCGATCCGCAAAATGCGTCCATGAACTCCGAACTTCGGGAAAACACAGTAGCAAGTCCTCCAATGGACCCAACGTCTCGTGGACACACGGCGACGGGGATAAAAAAACATAGAAGAATGATCACAATAGTAATCAGCAAAACCAGAAGACTTGCCATCAGGAAGAATGACATCTGACGCAAAAATAATCGTTTCACAAACCATTTTCCCGTTCCCTCCACATGATGCGGGTCAATTTGCAGGACCTGATCCTTCACCGTTTGCTGCACAAGACACGACAATGAACGAGTTATAACATTATTAAACAACGTCATATTTGCCCAAAAGTCATTCCGGGATTTACCATCTGCTGCAAAGGTAAACTGATCACCGGCCATCTGATCGTCCCACAAGCCGTTCGTCGACGCCGATTGGAAACCACTATACAGGAGCTTTGATGCCTGTACACCGGTGATCACTTCTGTGATATTCAAACTGTCACGCTCGATATGCGCAGAAATAGCATTCTGTCCATCCTCGCGCCAGATCCTTACCGGGCCTTGGTATACCGTGTAGCGGAGCTTACACACAGTAACATGCAGTGGATGCTTTTCCCACACCGTGGTGTCCAATGCCTCTCTAGCCTCATTTGGTGACATGCCATATATTACTGATGGACCAATGGCTGCCCAAAGCCGCAAATCGGCATCCCAGTTGGTTGTATATGATTCCAACTCACTAACTTCGGTCTCGTTACTCCGTTGATGCTGACATCCTCCGAGGCTCCATTGAAGGCCAATGTTGAAGTCAGACGTCATCATTGGAAAAGGTGGAGAAAATTGTTCAAGGCGACAACCGTCGGGGGTGGTGTATATCGCTAGGTCTCGGTAACCACGTTTCTTGGCGTACTTCCAGGTTATAGTGGCATTTTGGCAATCGAAGGAAGGCTCAATGACCTGTAAATTTGCCTCATAGCTGCGATCCGCGGGAATTGTGTCATTTCCTAGCGAATATGATTCGGCTGGCTGGAAAGGGGTGTAAACGTAATCTCCATAGAGACCAACAGGGCGAGTCATGTTAAGGCCAAAAAATGCCATGCATTGAGCATAGGCCTTGGCCGACTGTGACCTAGGGTCAAAACTAGCATAGTCGAACTTATGAGATACTGTCAGATTTGAAGGACGGGCTATGAGCACTGAGTCAAGTTCGAAGAGACCAGTGGAAAGCACAGTGATGCCGTTGAGGATTAACGAGCCTGCCACGCAGAGGGATACCAAAAGGTGCCTGTGCCTGAGCGATTGGTACAGCGATACAACGTTCAGTTTCGACAGGTAGTCAAGGAAGATGCTTTGTGAAGCCGGGGTTGGACCCCGGAGCATTAGAACCCAAGGCATCAGCTGGCACGCACGGTATTCGGCTTGGGTCCAACCAGCTGTGAAGATTGTAAAGACTATCAAGAAGTTAGAACATTTGAATTCAACTCAAAGTATAGGAAAGCCACATACCTGCGGTCGGCCCATACGTCCAGAGATAGTAATATCTATCTCCATCGGTCTTGATACCCAAACTCCGATCCTGGCGCTGGCTATATACATATAATGCGACCAGTGCAGCTAAGCATGATAAAAAGCTAGCCAGAAAGAGGACCATGATCGGACGCCGCAGAAAGAAAGGCGCCCAAAGTGGGCAAGGGCTGTAGCCATTCTCATCCGCACTATCCTTTTTGGCAATAGGAGAATAGTTGCCCGGCTGTTTGACGATGAAATCATGCTCCTGCGCTGGCATTGTTAGGAAACAGAGACTAGGGTAACATCAAACAGCATAAGCCAGCCCTCTCGATCTTGAAAAAGCAAAATAATATTGTATGACCGATGATCTGACACAAATATTGCAGAAACCGACGTTGAAATTGCAAAAGAAAAAAGTTGAGGCAAAATGAGCAGGCGTTGGGTTATATCAGGAGCCTTGACCATTAGCGCGGATAGTGTATTCGGACTCCGAGAGGACTGAATCCTTCATACAGGGTCCAGTCCCTGATTTAGCATTGATCAGCGGATAGATGAGCATGTTTCCTCTTGGCATCAATTTCCATTGGACTAAAAGATCTATTACGCGCTGACTAGAAGGGCCAAACCGCGCCCGGCGCTAAATCTGTTTGACAAAGTACTTTGTACTCCGTACGGAGTATTCCGTACAACATAGGCTTATGTGCCCTTTATGCTCATATATCACTATAGGCTTTTAGGTCGCCTCACCCCTGTCAATTTGTACGTGATAGCAAGGCCTATGAGGAAATACCATCATCACTTTATATATTCCATTTTGTCATATCATTTAGGGCCGTAGTTACGACACAGTTTTGCACTTTGTATGCAGGCTTATAGTAACGTCCGCTGATGTCCCTGTAGAGGCGAAAAAGAAAAGCTTGCTGTCATGTGTTCGAAGTGAAATCAAAGATTTGAAGACGTCAGGTTTAATCTCTATTTATGTGTATGTAATTCAAAATAATAAATTTACAGAGAAGAACCAACTTGGCGGAACTGATTGGCGAAGCAAGATCAGAAAGAATAGAAACAGGAGACCCTTATATCTGAGAGAAGTACTCATCGAAGTTGTCCATGGCAACCTTGGTGCAGTCGAAACCATAGATCTCACGCTGCACATCGGCATCAGCCCATTTGTCAGGGACCGGACCCTTGCCAGCGCGGAGGGCAGCGAACTGCTTGTCACGCTCCTCCTTAGCGGCACCCTCACCCAAGTGGAGGGCACGACCAGAAGCGGTAGCCATATCAACTAAAGCCTCGGCACGGCTCTTGCGGATCTTTTCGTAAACACGGAGAGCCTTGTTTATGGACTCAGGGTCAGTGTTGGGGAGTTTGGAGAGAACAACGCCAAGAACAGCACCATCCTCAATCGCCTGGGCAGCACCTTGCGCGAGGTGAGGCAGAGTTGGGTGACAAGCATCGCCAACCAAGGCAACAGAGCCGTGAATCCAAGTAGGGAGCGGCTCGTGGACACGCAGCTTCCACTCGCAGACCTCGCCCTCAGGAACATAGTTCAGCATTCGCTGAACCATGGGACAGAAATCAGAGAAAACCTCCATCATGGCAGGCTTAGAACCCTTCGTAGTATACGTGGCATTTGTGGCGGCTGCGAAGTTACTATCGGGCTGCGTAGTCGAGAGGTTATAGATGGTATTATTAGAGACAGCATAGGCAATAATGTGTCGCTTCTCACCGATCCAACGAGTAACTCGATTGCTGTTAATGAGGGCCAAAAGTTCGGAGTCGTCTTTGATTTGGTCTTTATGAATCATGATACGATAGGCCGCCTGTTGGGTGTCTTTAACGCCGACATCCACACCAAGTTGCTTCAGCATTTCCACGCGGGTCATACTCTTGATACCATCGGCAGCGAGAAGTACATCGCACTTGACCTTAAATGGGACAGCACCCTCAGCGCGGGGTGTTGCAGTGAATGATGGTCGAGGGCAAAATGAGTCCACGTTGTCTGCGTTGATTCCAAAGTGGAACTTGATTGTGGGATGTTTCTTACATCCTTCGTATAATCCACCGGCTAGGGAAGCACGGTGGCCAACCATGTGCTTATATCCGTATGTGCTTTCAATATACCGTAGATCCACATATGCATGCTCATTATCTGTTGCGCCGTCTGCACACACATATTAGGTTCATGTTTAGTTTCCAATGGTCAATTATGCCATACCTCTGACAGATGTATCCTCAATATTCACAGCTTCTGCCTCAATGCCCTTCCAGACACCAAGTCCATCCAGGACGCGAGCCATATTGGGCGCCAATTGAATACCAGCTCCAACGAAGCCGAGGTCGCTAGCGGCCTCATAAACATCAATATTCTGAAAACCCCGTTGGGCCAAAGCTAGGGCGCAAGTCAGACCACCCATACCTGCACCCAGAATGGCGATCTGCAAATCCTGTGGTCGTTTCGTCATTGTAACGGAGGTGAATGGAGAAGAAGTTCTAAAGATATCTAGAAGAAAACATGTGTCAAAGATAGTGCGAAGGGTCTGTTTATAAACAAATTATCAAGTATCGCCCGAGCGATGCTGCCGACACGTTTCGCACTTTCCTTCATGGCCACGGCGGAGTAAATCTTTCCCGCTTCTCCCACATTCTCCCCACAATATTCCTCGCACGGGCTTGGGTTCCCATTGTGTCCTGGGTGGACTTTATCCGCTTGGGGGTTTGATGGTTGGTCATCAGGACATGGTGCCCAGGTGGAAATTCCTGGTGCCGAGTCCGAATACAGGTCATCGTTCACACGTCGTACTACGTCAGCCTAGCCTTGTGGTCGTGGTGAATCAGCACCATGAAATTGCAGCTGCCCTTCCCCCTGTATCTTTAGACTTGAAGCTACCTTGATCTCAAAGCAATGGTGCCTGGATTCATATCTCCTCTCGTGTTCTCAGTGTGTTGTCCAGGATCCACCAGCGCATGGCCAACATCCTAGTGTGCCAATCGCGAGTAGATTTTCCACAATATCCAACCCCGGAATTTACCCCGGAATTTACCCCGGGTAAAACCGCTACACATTCCCGTGTAAAAAGAATGGTTAATACTGAATTTTGAAACTGCCGATGGTCGAATGGATTTGTGTCTGTAGTGTGGGCTCTAACGTGATATCAATATTAGCGAGGCGCGACCAATGACTTTGTAAAACTACCTATTGGAGAGTGATTACCTACATAATTTATGCAAAGGCAAAGGCTTCCGCAATTCGATCCCAAAAAAGTGTATTAAGTTAAGTGTGTCTATTACGGGAACTTCATATCCATGAGAGTTATCGCAATGGTGTGTTTTTGCGTCCAATGATAATGAATAGATATTTGCGCCCTAATTTCAATGGCTTTGAAGTTCAATAGGTATAGGCATCGTGATTAATTAATGATCACAGAGCAGAAGGACTAGAAATATATCTGATGGCATAAAGATAACGCACAAGCTCAACGGGGCGACTTCATAACCCCCACATCCAGGGCGACGTGGCCAATCACAAGAGAGATACCCCACAACCATGTGGCATTCTGCATAGTGTGACCACCCGGGCACCTTATTAATAGTACCATGCGGGAGTCTAAGGTTTTTATAAAATTATTTTATGGTAATTGTTGGGTGTAAAATATTTTAAAATATTTATACACGTTTGATACTTTTTTTTTGAAGAAATGTTTTGGGTTTTAAAATACTTTGGTTCTACTTTCTTTGTTTTATGTATGTTTTGTATTAACAAAAGCGTTTTGGGTCGGTTTTGCCAAGAAGCAAATATTTTATACACATTTTCTGCTAGCATTCTGAATTTTAAACATATTTTACCACTATTTTAAAATTGATCTTGAATTTTAAGAGTGTTTTATCATGATTTTCTGGTATTTTATTAGAATTTTTTTTAGGGATTGAACAACTTTATTAAATTTTAAATTCATTTTTGTTCTGATGTTATATATGTCCTCGAATCTATACTATCTATCCTTAAAATTTAGGCACTAATCCTTATATTCTCCTAGTTTACTAACGATCTATTAAGCTATATCTATTTTAACTAGCGGATATCTAGATTTCTCGAATACTATTAATCTAAGAATGTGGTAAGCGCTAGTATCTCGAGCTACCGAGATTATTTGCCTCTAGTTCTAATCTACCTAGGTAGGATATCTAAACGGTTTTATAGTAGTCGCGCTATTATATAGCTAGAAACGATAGTCCGCGATTAGAATAGTGCTAGGGTTAAACCTAGGATATCTATAGTATCGATAAGAAAGTATAAGGGTATTATAAGGGTATAATAAGCGTGTAACCGGCGCGGGTTATAATTCCGGATCTCTAAAATATATATATAATTATAGTATTAGTTACTATAGAAAAAGAAAACCGGATTAGGTTTATACTTAGAAATAACGTACCTAATTTATTAGGTTCTATCCGTTATAGGAATAAAACGAGAAGGGCTACCTAGGACGTACTATAATTAGTATAGGTACTTACTATAAACTTATATTATAAAACCTCCCTCTTTAAGTAATCGTTAAGGCTATTTAGAAACCTTCTATAGAGCCTTATCGGTGACCGACGTTATATATAAAGTTAGTATAAATATAGGTAGATATTTAGTCCTAGAAGAGGATTCGAACTTATATATCTAACCCTAATCTTCCTTCGATAATCTAATATTCGTGATCTATTATTAGGTTAGAGGTTAGTAGTATAATAGTAACTTTAATAATATACGTAAGATATACTACTGATAAATATTAATAGATATTATAGTCTCGTTACTAGGTAGGAATTATTAGCACTTTTTCTTAAGGTATATAAGTTATAAACCTTATACGGTAAACGTAAGGTGCTTAGCCTAGGTAAGGTAAAGTAGTTTATATATTATCGTATAGCACTACGAGAAATATTAGTCTCTTTTCTAATATTCTAATATCCTTAGTCTTATCTTTAGTTTCTAAGTATATTCTAGTTAATAGACTTCGAAGTTTAGACCTAGAATAACTACCTATAAAAGTATATAATAAAAGCCTTATACCAATTTTATTACCTTTATAGAGATATCCGTCCTTTATATCTATAGAAGTAGCCGGGGAAGATATATTAGGTAAATAGAGTAGAGAGTTATCCTTACCTCGATTAAATAACTCTTCTATCGAATCTCCTACTTTTATTAATATACCCGAGGTTATAGTAAAGAGGATTATAGGATATCCTCTTAGTTTCGCGAGATAGAAATATAAATCGTATTTAGTGACTCGTTTTAGGATAGGGATTATTACGTTAATCCTTATAATTAGACTAGTAGGTGACCTAGGATAAGTTAGGAATATTAGTGAGTTATTCTAATTAGGGTAGTAATATTCTTCTATAACTTAGCGGTATTATAATTAAAGTAATCGTAAGGAAATAGTAGAATATATTAATTATATATTCTTTAGATAAGGAACTAGAGTAGAATTATATAAGTATTTATATTATAATTATAGATTCGAACCTAGGTGATTTAGATTTCTAGCTATAAGATCCTATTTATTTAGTATATACGTATATAGCCTAGTAATATCTAGGCGTAAGTAATAGCTAGTGTCTCCTATTCTCTTACTATATTTAAACGAGTCTAGGATATCTACTCTATAGATATCGATATAGTATTATCTCCTCTAGGTTATATTTTAATCCTACTTAGGATAAATGATTTAGAGTATTTAATTATATTATAACAATATATAAAGAATAAAGTAAGATAAGAGTTAAGGAGTTAAGGAGATAAAGAGAGACGAGTTCTAAATATAGTAGGAGCACTTCGGGGAAATATCACCTAAATCTTTAAGCCCTAATAAGTAGAATAGTGAAAAGAACTCGAATATATTTATTTAATTATAGATCTCCTAATATATATATCTATTTCTTTTAGATAGCTACGTTACTTAACTTAAATTTTAACTAATAAATAGCGTCTAGAAGAATATAATATACTATATATAGTATATAAATATATTACCTTATTCTAGATTATTCGCTCCCTATCCTAACTAATTACTCTATAATATAAGGTTCTCTAATATATACTCCTTTAAGTATAGTAGAGCTAAGAGACTAATAATATCGTTACTATTATATTAAATTCGGAGCTACGGGAGTCTAAGGATTAAGTCCGGAGTACTCGTAGGCTATAGAGTCTATATATATACGAACACTCGTTACTTTCCGTATATTAACTTATAGGCGAAAATCCCTTTAATCCGGACTATACCTTTTATATTATATTTAAGGAAGTCCTTAATATATAATATAATACGTTTTAACATAGACCTATATATTAGATATATATATAAGAAAACGACCTTTATCTTAATATAACTAGTGGTAACACTCTATAGATAGTAGGATATCTTATACTTACTTATTAAAGAACGAGACCTTCTTATACTAATAGACTAGGTTAGTACTAGGATCGCTAACATTAGGGACCTAGTACTACTTATCGTACGTATAGCGTAGGAGAATTAGAAAAGGATAGTCTACTCGGAGCGAAGATAGCCTTATCGGTATATTATTAAATATATTTAAATGTCTTAGTATATAGGGGCTCTATAATCTAATATCTAAGTATTACCTAGTGGAAAGATATTAGTTTATCTCGCTATATATTAGTATAAATAAGTCTTCTTTAGGCGTGATATTAATAAGTAGTAAATTAAAAAGACTTACGAATACTAATAGATATACTTTAGCCGCTTACTATACTATAGCTATCCTATTAGGGTCTTCTATAGAATAGGCCCCTTCGAGGTATAAACGTAAAGTACGTCGAAAACTCTCCTTAGATAATATAACCTTCTCGATATCTCGTCCGTTACTTTTAGTAATCGTTATTTTAAGTAATCTAAACAAAGTAGAATAAAGTTATTAGTTTATTAGTCCGAAAATGTTATAATTAACACTAGAATAGAGATATTTTAGGGTAGGGGAGATATTATACCGATATAGACCTTTACCTACTAGGGTATTATTATACTATACTACCGTATACTCTCTTACCTTTTAGGTATAATAAACTCCGATATATATATTTAGCCTCCGCTATATACGCTAGAAATTTACTACTTTTTTATTTATTAGCGGTATAATAATATCCTCTATAGACACTATACTAGCCTAGTTAATATCGAACTCGGTTCTATTAGATATCGAGTATAATCTCGACCGTAACCTTCTTATTTCTTAAGTAGTAATAATTACTACTTCTAGAAGCCGTTATAGTCTTAACCTTATATATTTCACTATATAATCTAAGTTTATTCGATCTTCGCGGTCTATCGAACTCTAAGTAAGGATAGAATTACTCTTAGCTATAATAGCGAAGGTATTCACGATATTATCCTCGGATAAGCGGTAAGAAGATATAAATATAATTATAGTAGCTTAATAGAATATA